TTACCCAAAAAAGTGACTTTAGCAAGTTTTTAATTTTTCTCTTGAGAGTACAAAAAAAAGTCACGTTACAGTTTTTAAAGATTACTTTTCTTTACATAAACAAGCTTCGATAAAAAAAAAAGATTGAGTATTTAATATGGCTTCCTAATTGCTTGGAATGATTTGTTTAGAAGCTTCATCAATTTGACCTTGTCATGTTTCATTTTTTTTTCTTTCTTTTACCCCAACCTTCTTCATAAATGGGAGGAGGAAGGGACATCTTCAAATCTCTCATTAAATCCTTTGTTATTATGCATGGAAGATATTGTCTACGATAAGGTAACTATATCGATAAATTCACTAGAATAATAATAACAAGATACCTTTTTTATGACATAAATTGTTATCTGATAATAAGCACGTCTGTGAGGTATCTAAAAACGAACAAAGGCCATTTTTTTTTATTAAATGAGAAAAAATAAGCCATCATATACAGAGATGTATCATGATGATAGAACTGCTCTTCTTCGTCATTCATGTTTTCTAACATGAGCTTCCTTTTCTTTAGTGTTACTAATCGTTATTATAGCGATGGTTTCATGTGAAGATTGTAAATAAACGTTTATTACATAATTTCCACGATTTATATTAGTTAATTGTAAAGTTGCTATAGTTGACTTGTGTGTGTGTATAAGAAGATGAGTAACGATCTTCAATTGTTCATTGGTTATTATTCTCATATTCTTGGATAAGCTTTATCTGTAATCCTATTTTACTAAGAGTATGCAATCCATTTATATACAATAATCTATAGTGTATCCTTAAATCCTTGTTTTCATCCCAACTCCTACTGTCTGTATTCAGTAACAATATGAGTACGTTATGTAAAAAAAGTTAAATAAATACATGATCACTTTACTACCCTCTTCTTAAATATCTAAGGAACCGTTTATCAGATATTAAAAATAAGACGTAAGACTATATGTATTTACTTTTGTTAATATTTATTTATTTCTCTTAGTGTATCATCAAACATCTTTTTGTTTAGCGCTCTAGTCGCTCAAATTTCAACAAGAAAGAAGAGTTATCTGTATTATCTTGAAAGGAACCCTTTTTTTTTTAATCTCGAACTAGTCTAGACAATAACACTAAATTTAATCTATTATGTGTTCATACATCACATAGTCATTATAAAACTGTGTTTGATTTAATTGCACAAAGAAAGAGCATCTGTTGAATGTGTCCTTTATTAGAGTCGTCAAACAGCATTGTTGCACTTTAAAACAGAAGAAGAGGGCGACATTGTCTGTGTACATAGCGTTGCACAAATACAAACTTTAAAGCTACTACTAATAGTAACAGTTTCCCTTTGCTACTGCTGCTGTTGACCTGTAACGAATCGGTTAGGTTACATGACTTTTTTTTTTTAATTTTTATACATGTGTTATTATTTATTATGATTCATATTATAAAGTAGGTTCCAAAACTATTTCTGCAAGCATTCCTTTACTATTTTCCAAATCATCTGTAAGAATTTCTTCTGCTCTTCCCAAGTCTTCAGATGATACCTTTTTAACAAAATACAGTAAATATGTATACACACGAAACAAAAATCTATCTTACCAAAACATTAGCACTTTTAAAAGTACTTAGATATAACAAATTGATATGAGCTTCAGTAGCTAATGGATGAGAAATAGACCAAACAATACCGCAACGTTCTAAATTAGATCCAGCTAAATTAACTTGAATAACACGAAATGTTTGTGATTCTTCATCTCTAAAGATAGACTCTGGTTCAAATAAGTTCAATATACGTTGATTTGCAATAAGTGAAATACCATCACTCGTTGCAGTATATGAAAAAAATCTTTTATCAGTATCAAATGAAATTAATTCAGGATAAGATAAGATCTTGAGAACTGTCATGGCCCATTCTGATCGATAATGATGATTTAATCCAACACATTGGAATTCATCACTTAAAACAGACCTTTCAAAATTTTCTTTATTAATGATGGATTGTGGTGGCTTATTTTCTATCTTTTTATCTAACTGAGGTATTGAATTAGGTGAACTACCTAAGCATTGTTCAATGGAATCTAGATCAAATATGAATCCATTTTGTTGTAACAATTGAATAGCTTGTTTTAACCTTCTATCTTTGATCTATATAATATGCACATAGTATTCAATTTATAAGCCTTTTCTTTCCTTATCACTTTCTTCTTACCAAGACAAAATCAGTTTGATATGTCGACATATAAAATATCGAAAACTTGCCCTGAGCTAATGGTCCTGAAAGATCACTAATACGTTTACCACTTGAATCTATTTTCAAAAATATGAATATAAAAGACATGTAGATGTATAGGCAGATAGTAACACTACCTTGTCCACCTTCATCATCTACTTGTAATACACGATAAGTATCATTAGAGAAACGAATATCTTCACATTGAGACATCACAAGTAAGGGTATAAAATCATTATCAATGATTTCTTTACTAGCTATAATTGATATTTCATAAGCATTTTCTGTAAAAGAAAAGAAATAATGGGAGCTAATTATAATATATTTTAAGGAAAAGATCAATATTTTTTACTAACGAAAAAAAAAAAGTTATATTATTCGACATACTCTATCACATTTTCAAAGAAACAAGATTTTACAATGGCATGAGTGACATGGTGTAAATGGGATCGAGGAAAATGAAGTAACTTCACTTTCGAAGGTAAAAGAGTAATCATAAACTTATTGCCCCTATTTGTTTAAATAGAAAAAAAAAATAAATAGAGAAAAAAAAGTGAAATAAATAAATGAAAAAAAAAAAGCTTATTTATATGTTCATATATTTATTTATTTTGCACGCACCATAATTTATTTCCTCATTCGGAATTTTTTTTTTCTTTTTGCTTGTGCATTAAAAAAAAAAGGTTATCATTGTTATTAAAAAAGAAATAAAGCAGCAAATAATAGTGCATTTTAAAATGAAACTTAAACTACTAAAATAAAGGAGATTATTACATAATATGTGAATTTCAGAAAAAAAAAAAACCCCCAAAAAAACAAAAGAAACCATGATGCCTTAAAAGTAGTTTATTTACTAACAAAACGTTGTAAATAGTAGACGAAGGATCATTGTCATTATTCTTGATCTTACACAATCCTATTTTGTGTTGAATAGAGTTATGATTCATACTTTGAATAATAATAATAAAAAAAAAAAGAAATACTCTGTAAGGGCATTTGATACTTATTTCTTTATAACTCTTTACGGATCAAATAAATAAATAAATAAATAAAAAGAGAGAGAGATGGCTTATTAATCATTAGTTAAATAAATGCCTTCTTACCAGCTTTGTCAACAAACTCATTGTATCTTTAATTTAAAATAGTAACAAGAAAGGGCAATGTTACATAAATTCACCATAGTCACAATGATTGCGGACTAATAAGTAAAAGAAATATTTTTTTTGAAAGGCACCAGTTTTTTTTTTTTTTTTTTTCCTATTAAAGAACAAAAATATGGAGTCAATTAATAAACATATAGAACAGTTAATACAATTAGATCAAGAGGCATTAATTGAAAATGCAACACTAGACACAGTTGTTAAATGCATCTCTTTGCCTCTTGAATGGCTTGGTCTGAATGGCTTGTCAACTTCTTTATCCATCGAACAACGATTAGCATTAACACAACATACAGCATGGAAACGACACGTATGGAATCTATTCAAGGAAATACTTCCTCGTTGGACATTTGCATTTAATTCGACTACAGCATATAGATCGTTGCTTGATGCTACATTATTTTTTCAAACAAATGATGACAAGATCAACGTGCAGATGGCACAAGTTGCCTTACCCATCTTGATCGAATGTATTTCCTCTCAATCTGAAGCTTCTTTAGAAACCCTAGAATTATATTCAACTGCATTAAAATTACTTACTTTATCTTCAACTTTGCTTTCACTATATGCATGTCATATTTCACATAATGATGTTCGATTCTTTTGTTCCATGATATGTTCCATTCCCGGGCATTTGGTTAATGTATTTGGAATCCAACTAGAACATATAAAATTTAAAGCTGAACATGAATGGTATATTGACAGGTAGCATAGATTTATATGAATTTGATATAATCGAAAAATATATTTGTTGTAATTAAGGCTTTTTTTTTTTTTTTTTTTTGATTTATTAAGAAATTTTTATGCAAAATTAAGTCATAAAGCTGCAAAAAACTTTTCACAAAATTCGGTATATTTTACACAAGAACTTTTAGGTAAAATAATAAGGCAAGGATATGAAGGTTAGTTTTATTTTGTTTTATTTTATATTTATATATTTATGTATATATTATTAATATGCAATTATATTTTCTTTATAATTAGATATAGTTATGAAATCAATTTATTCAGTAGCAAGGTCTTCACCTGAATATTGGCCTATCCTGTTTGAACAAATTGAAATAATTTCATCATTTGAGAAAATAACTAAATCTATATTACAATACGTTAAACAGGATGTTTTACCAAAGTCAAATATTCAATCAGTATCCAAAGATCTGGCTGCTATTTTATTTGGAAAGCCTATGAAGGATGAACGAAGAAAACAACGTATAAATCACTTTTTGAATACATCTTTATTACGGATGGCCAAGTTAAGTTGGGCTGATGAGATCTTGGCTAGACTCGTTATCTCTACTGTCATTTATGCAGAAGGTGTTTATGCTGGACAGATATCTTCCTCTGCTCATGAAATAATTATAAGTTTTATAAAACGTCTTATTCAAACTTGGTCAGATACCGTATTTATTAGACATGCAAGTTTTAAAGAACGTTTATGTGAGTCTATTTTATGATGTATATATATATATATATATGAACTAGTTATATTTTTAAACTAACAATATTTATACATGTAAATATATATATATATATATATAAAAGATATTACTAAAGTTATTTTAGTATTGATTGCTTATCTCTCAGACGATACCATTCGTACTGAAATAATGGGGAAAACTTCAATACTCTATAGCGTATCAGATTACTTTGATAGTGGAGATATTTCCATTGCTCAATTAGGAGCTGTAAAGTAATTTATGAATTTACAAACACTTGGGGGAAAAAAAGGAATATAGACATATATACTGAGAAGAAAAAAAAACTTTATTTATATGCATTTATAGGTTGTAGCAGAAGCTATTTCTAGTAGAATAGATAAAGATAAACCATTAGATACTGGTTTATTAACTACATCAGATGAACTCCTTGAATTAAAAAAGCTTGTTAATATGACAGATGCGTTGGATCAAGAAGAAGAGCTTATAATAACTTCTTCTTCAGAGATAGAATCAGAAAATGAAAATGGTACAGATGAAGAAGAATTGGATCCTGATGCTATTTATGTAGTAGAGGATGAAGATGAAGAAGGTATGAGACTACTATTCTATATAATATATATGTATATGCATATGAATGGATAAATTGAATAATTATATTTTATAGAATCTGAAGAAGATGAATTTCAGGCTTATTTTATGGAAGAAGAATCGGATGATGAAGGCTTAAGAAGAGAAGGTGATTCAAAAATTCAAAATAAAAGACCAGTGTACGTAGAGAAGCAAAAATATATACATATATATATATATTTATATATATATAATCTTCAAGAGTACGAATATCCTAATTAATCGCGTAATTTAGATTTGTAAGAGATTTGATTCAATGTCTTCAGGATCAAAATGATCCTTTAAGATTAGAAATTGGCTTAAAGGCAGCAGAACAGGTTATTCGTCAAAGAGCAGGAGCAGGGACAGAATTAAGTAAAAAAAAAAAAAAAAATATGAAAGGAGTTTACTTAGTCGTTCTATTATTCACTCCCTATTTTTCTTAATAGGCGAATCTTCTGTTAAGCTTGCAAGTTATCTAATTGGATTTCCAGAAACTTATGAAATACAAGACTTTCGAAAATTACAACAGAATGCATTAACTGCTCTAATCGCTTCAGTTCCGACAACTGTAACTGGGTAAATAAGGGCCTACATACCACACAAACAAAAATAAGACCTCTTATTTATAACTAATATAAATTAGGTTTGTTATTGATCAAATATATGACCGAAACACGTCAGCTGGGCAAAAACAATTGATATTGGGGGCTATATCAATGGCAGTTAGAGAATTAGCCGGCTGGATAGATAATGTAATATATACATATATAATTCATTGAGTATTTTTAAAATTACTCTATATTTATTTTATTTTATATTATAGGAATCAATCGATGAAGCAACAAATAGACTGGAAAACGCGACAATCACAACTAATGATCAAGTCGGTAAACCATTATTTATTTCTAGAAAAATGGAGATCGAAAAACAGCATAAACAGAATATTCGAAAAAATAAGCTATCTGGATTAGCTGGTCCAGTTTTCTTCTTCCCATTGCTAGTGGGTTGGTGGGAAGGAACACAAGGCCTCATAAAGTAAATCAATCTGAAATTATGAATACATCCATGATATGAGCGCCTATTTCTAACATATATCTATCTTTACCTATCTTGTTTAGGCATTGGATTGGGAGTAATCCTATTTTGGCAGAAAGGTTTATAATGACCTTGAATATTATATTACATAGTTCAAGTAAGCTTCTAACAAAAAAAAACCAACTATATAACAATAAAGTTAACCATTTTTCTATATTAGCAAATACGTCTGATAAACGAAAGATAGTTCGAGAATATTTTGAATTTGCATTATCAATGAGATGTATAACACTTAATAATACTTATGTAATAAGGAAGGCGATATTACTTGGTATTGATATAATTATAAGTACCAGTTATAAAGGACAAGAGCAATTACTATTTCATGATTTTTTAAAGGAGCTTGTGGAAACAAAACAGTGGTTACAAGGTAATTCTCCAAAATATTCATATATAAGCATCTACTTTTTTTTTTGTTTTCTTGATTATTTATCATACAACTTTTATTTATTTAGAAATTATGGAAAATCAAGTAGAACAAAAAATACAAGAATTAGCAATAAGCATATTAGTTAAGCTATCTCAAATTACGTTGGCAGGAAATTAATGTTAATAGAGTTATATACCCTACATTTGTATTACACTTCCTGGCTAATCTTTAAATATCCTTTTTTAAGGTTTAATACTCAGTCAAAATCCCTTTTTTTTTTAAAAAAAAAAAAAAAAAAAAAAAGTTCATTTTAAAACAATAGAATTGTGTAATGATTGAACAGAAAGAAAATATTTTATAACAATATGTAAATTTCACATGAATAGAAAAAAATACTTCTTGTTTTGCATCCTTTATTTATATTTGAATTTATATATCTGTGTGTGTATGTGTTTACCTTCCACGTGTAGAATCAATTTGGTTTTATAACTATGTATTCTTTGAATATTGTCTTGGTAACTTGGTTAAGCTTTGCCATGGTTACTTTATGTTGCATATAATGTGTAAAATAGTCACAATAAAAGGATTCAGCCAAAATAATTAAAAAGAAAAGGTAAGTCAACTTTAATAATATAATATTAGGCTAGAATGTTGTAAACTAAGCTTTATTATTATTACTATAATTGGGGGGGAGTGAATGATTAGAAAGGCAAAGTATTTTTTTTAGTAAGTGGGGGGGAGGAGGTAATAAAAGACAGTTGGGAATACACAAAGTTATTTTATTTTAGAGAGTCGGCTATTCACGGAATAATCGGAATGCTGAAAGTGCTACGAAGAAATAATAATAAATAGTTTCAAAATAGATTGCTATTGAATAATATTGTTATAAAAAAAGCTTTTATTATAAATTAGTCATAAGGAAAACTATAAGCTAAATGTGGTTTTAAAAGATGTTTTATATTTTACTGAAAACAATAAAGTGGAGTAAAACAATAAGATTTTGGTTTCAAATTACTCTAATAACATTGACTCCGCTTAATCCCTATTCTAGTTACACGAATAGAAGAAATTACGAGATTAATACTTCAGCTTTAAAAGACTTGAAGTCAGCTTCAAACTCAATTTATTTCTTTTTTTCTTTCTATATCTTTTTATTTTATTTTAATTTATTTTCTTCTTCTTCTTCTCTCTTTTTATATATTACGAAATAAAAAAAAATAAAAAAAGAAAAGAAAATTTCTTTAAATAAGCAGACTTTATATACATGGAATTTATATGTATATTTAAAGAAAACGATCAAATACGACTTAGTTAATGCTTTTTAATTTATGTAATAATATTTGGAAATTTATATCGAATTTCAACAAGTAACGAACTTATTAACAATCGAACTTATTTAACACTCACTACCATTATAACCCCATTCTTATTTAAAACAAAACAAAAAAGGCTCATTTTTATAACAACTACAACTTTGTAATTTTTATTTAACTTTAACCCAATTTTACCTCTAACCCAAAATCTAAATAACCACCCCATATATCTACTATTTTATTTTATTATTTTATTTTATTTTTATCTTCTTTTATTTTTGTTAACGAAAAGAAAAATGGATTTCTGTACAACTACTACTCATTCAATGGATAATATTCCATACTCACCAACTTCTTTATCTCTTGAAGATCTCATTAATGCCCCTGCAAAAGCTGAATCTCTTTTAGAATTATTAACTCCTGACCAAATTTCAGCTATTGAGCGAACATTGGGTAAGGTTAAAAGAAGAAGACTTAATAAAGCAGCTGAAATGAATAAATCATTTTCACCTTTGGTCAATCCTAAAAATAATGCCTCAACCAACACTAGTAATGCGTCGGCATCTGCTACAACTAACAGCACGACCACTATTTCTTCTTCTTCATCACCATCTACCCCGCCCCCTGTTCTGAAACATGTGTCCACAAATAACTCCTCATCTCCGAATGAACCTATCACTGAAGTAAAGGATGGCGTTGAATGGGTCTCCTTTGTATATTCGCATAATCGTACCTTAAAACGTTATTCTATCCGTACTGATATTAATTCAGTCGATCCATCTCTTGTCTGTGATAAGTTTAAGAGTGAAAATTGTGTAAGTTTTATTTCTATTATTATCATTACATTCAGTTTGTAAAAAAAAAAAAAAAATTGAACGACCGAATGGGATGAATAAACTCACGTATTTTTTTTTTCTTGAATAGGTTTATCCCCGAGCAAATTTACCAAAAGAAGAATATCATGGTAATAGATGGGCTTACGAAACAGAATGCAATAACCTTGGATGGAAATTGGCTTGGCTTAATAAAGAAGAGATTGCTGGTAAACGAGGATTAATTCAACGCGCTGTTGATTCGTATCGTAACCGTTACCCTAGTATGCGATCCCGTCGTGTGGCTCGACAAGAGAAATTATTAAACGGTACACTTCGTAAACGTAAACATCGTGAAAATGATGAACCATCCTCGTTTGATTCTTCTGATATGGCTTCATCTTTATCTGGTGTAACTATTCAGTCATCCCATCATCCTAAAACAATTGCTATTGAAGATGCAAATCATCAACGTTTTCGTATTAAAATTAATGTTGAGTCCGTTGATCTTGAAGAAATTAATATTGAGTTTCGTAAAGCGAATTGTCCCTTTCCTCGTGTCATGAATATTCCCAGGCCTGCTGTCAATAATGCTCGTTGGTTAGAAGAAACTATGTGTAATGAATTAGCTTGGAAACTGGTAAGTGTGTGTGTGTGTCTGTATATATATATATATGCGTGTTCTTTTTTTTTTTGTGGATTCTATCTTATTTTTAACATAAATATTTTACAGGCATGGTTAAATCCTAGACATTTAGCGGGTAAAAAGAATATGCTTCAACGTGCACTTGATATCTACCGTTCTAAATTTATGCCTTCACTTTTACCTCGTAAAAATTCAAATCGAGTGGCTCCTATCCCTCCTCCCTCTTTGACAGATACTGTGAATCCACAAGCTTCACTCATGGACTTGCTTCCTTCAACTAATACGCTTAATAATATAGCAAATGCTTCATCTACTGCTACTCATGTAGATGCCATACCTAGTCCAACTGAAACCTCACCCGCTAGTCCTCTTACAGCAGTTATGAATCCTACTATCACTGTTAGTACAGGTATTCCATTGACTGCTGATGCTTTGTCTGCCCAAAATGCTTTATTTGAAAAGATGAACCCTACTGTTGCTTCACCTGCAATGTCAAATATGAGTGGAACCACAGAGTCCCTTGATTTTGCTGATTGCTTCTCGCTGGCCGATGAAGATACAAAAGAGGATTCTACGTCTAGTGTAGATGCTGCGGCTGCTGCCATATTTTGTGACATGCTTTTGCAAGAACCTATGTCTTTATTTAGTGTTAACAAAGAAGACAGTAGCAACAATTTAAACCATAATTCTTGTAGAAACTCTACTAGCTCTTACTCTTCTGATAGTACTGCTTGTACTCCTAGTCCTACCATGCCTGCAGATCCCTTTACAGTAGATTTATTTGAACAATTTATGTTACCTACAGATAATCCATTTTATAGTATGATGGATCATAACGCAACCGTCTCTGATCTATCTAAATTGTATAATACTACTATTGAAGATAATCTTGCTACTGCAGCTAATTTGTTGGACCCTCTTTTTTAATATATTTATTCTTTTCAATTTGTTTGTATCCTTATAACTTGTAAATAGTCGTCTATCTTCTCTTTCCCTTCCATAAAAAAATTTTTTTTTTTTTTGTAAATTCCCATGCATCTATTTCTTCATTACATTTATTTTGGCAAGAAAAAAAAATAATATTATTTATTCTATAAATTTATACAATGTAACAGCAAAAAAAAAAAAAAAAAAAAAAAAAAAAAAAAAAAAAAATCATTTACCATTATTACTTACTGTTATATTCTTATTTTATTATTTTTTTAGAGCAATACGTGGGTTTTAAACTCTAATAAAAAAAAAATATGGTACTTTAATATATTCATCTTTCATGTATATTCAAATGTCATTGTGATGATTTTTTTCCCCTCTTCCTTCTTCTCCCTGCCCAACTACTACTACTGTAGAAAATAAAGTTACACACACACACATTTTCTTTTTCATTCATTATTAGGAATAGAAGAAAGTTGGTATTACGTTGTTTTCAAAATATGAATTATTACTACTATTATTGTAATTACTTAAAGAAGACTAACATAAATGTATAAAATGGAAGATCTTTACTAAATTAATAATAGTATTATGATTAAACAATTGTATCATTATTTACCCGTTCTTTTTCTTTTTTATTTTATTTTTTTTTATTTTTTTTTTAAAAAAAAAAATGCTAACTAAAAGGTTACACGTATCTATAAGATTAATTTTTTTTTTATGGAGTTAAGTTCTAGCGAAGATGACTATCATAATATGGATCGATGATTTTCCCATTATATTCATTAACACTCTTGAGATAGGGATATTTGCATGTTATTCTATATATAATTATATAGTTCATGAGAAAAAGATGTATATTATGCCATTAGCGAAAAAAAAAAAAAAAAAAAGTTAAAATTCGGCACCTGATATGAAGTATACCAAAATTACTTGGGTGAAATAGATTATCAATGATAAAAGATACTAATAAAAAAAAATTTTTTTTAAGAACACAGATAAAAAATGGAAAAAAAAAAAGGTTAAAAAGAAACATAGTATAACTGATATTGAAAGAGAGTAGAGGGTAGAGTCAATTAAGAAATTATTGATTAGGTTTATGTGTAGTGAAAAAAAGATAGCCAACTTTTTGAAGGATTATACAAGTAACTGACCAATAAAAAATAAACCAAAACAGAATACCAAAAATAGATACGCGGTTATTTTGTAGGAATCTTATTCAAGAAGAAAGGAAAGAGTCCTCAATAGCTTCAGTCATTTGAAGTCGATAGTGCATTTGGGGACAGTAGATAGCATGCTGCTTTATCAAAAAAGTAGTGTGTGGTGCTTTGAACAATAAGTTAAATGACCACCAAACACCGACGAATGCACTGATTACATTCAACGAAAAACAAGGGAAGCCAAAGGATAAGATCTAATGAGATAACTGGCCAATATCGTCTTGGAGCTTTATTTCATTAGAAGCATTTCTATGTTGATTTTAGGTTATGTTGCCTATGGAATCTAGTTTGTTGTTTATTTATTTATTTATTTTTAGATGTTTGTTAGGAAACATATTTCAACTTGATATTTTTTTTCCAAAAATTACTGACAAAGCTTTCTGGTCTACCGCTACATAAAATACAAAAAATAAAACTGGTTGATATCAATTCATTTGTAATTTTTGCCTTTTTCAAACGTATTTACCATAATATTTGCAATGATAGTACGTTATCAATTCTTGAGTTTATACCAGCTGCTGTTTGTTAAGTTGTCCTGATTCAAAAAGATGAACATATAGAAACACGGTCAGTTTTACTCGGACAATATCATGATCTCTTATTCTATTATAATCCTTTCCCTCATCTTGAGTTTCTATCAACATGTCACGGAGATCAACAATATTAAATTTGCTTATGTAATCTGCTAGTAACATTGTAAAGTTACAGAGATCTGATCTCTTATAGCTCTTCTTTCGTAAATATATTCTTATTGCTTATATATGTATCATCTTCTGTGTACATATATCATTGAACAAGCAGGATGATCGGCTACACAGTTTTTTTTGCTGAATTTATACATAATATTACCCACATTCTTTAAAAAAAAAAGATAAAGAAAGAGAATATGAAAACAAAATACAAGTCTGTGAAAATTGAAGAGAGTAATTTATATATTTTTACAAGATAAATGATGCCATGATCTTGACAACGAACAAAATAAAGAATCATGTAAAAGTATTGTCCTCAAATTATTCCGTATTCGTGTAGCATAATATTATTTTATTCTTTCCTTCCTGAGCTATCACTGTTACTAAAACAAAAAAAAATAAGTTATCATTTCTAGAGTAAGCGACGCATCAACATGAATTCATAGTGTGTATTCCAGCTATGATAACAATAGCAATTGTTCATACGCTACTGATAACTATGATTAAAACTGGGTGTAGAATGAATATTATGCTGTAAAGTACAATATACTAGTTTTATTTGAATATGCTCTTTATTTTATGTAATAAACGATGGCTTGCTTCTATTAACTTATTTACACAGACAATTACAATCTTAACAAGATGTGTTGATATTATTCGATAAAGTAGATCATGAGATCTAGATAAAGCTTCTTGAATAATAATTTTATGATTTATTTGTTTAATTAAAAGACACAACATTATATATCAGTTCAGAACACATTGATCATTTTAGATGTAGCTTGTGAAAGGGATGCGGTTAATCTCTTACTGTTAAGAAGCCTCAATAAGTCGTAGTTTTGAAGAAGAGAAAACAGAAATAGAGAGGCTTTTTACGGATAGATGAATGTTTTGGTACTCCCTCCCCTCCCAAACGGAGAGTTACTTACAATTCATCAGCAGCAGGATGGATATACTTTATGAATATGATATGAAAGGTCGTTATTTAGTGATGAGATAGCACACCAGACTACATATCTGAGATAATCCAAAATTTAATTGAAGATAGGGGAATATAAGTGTGTATGTTTACCGCCCTATTCTTCATTATTGAATCCTATTAAAGAATTCTAGTCGAAGGTAAAGCTTGGTGTACACTGTGAAGAACTGAATAAGATGGACTAGCTAGCATCAAGCATCTTGGATTCTGCTTAAAAGATGATAACTCCTATTGACTGTAAAGAATGGATTTAGCGTTTTATATCTTTCTTTGAGAGTCATCGTAATGAAAATCAAAATAAACTTAAAAAGCAAAAAATATGAATTCAGCTTTATTTTACATTGTGTGGTTTTTATAGACAAAAGAATTTGAATTATAACTTGTTGGAATATAACTTATAATTAAAATGCTAACTCAATCACCATACAAAGGACAAATTGGTTTTAAAATTCCGCATTTTGGAAGGGGAAAATCAGTATTGTGCACGATTTATATAATAAGCGCGTCCTGAAAAAAAAAAAAAAAAAAAAAGAAAAAAAATTCTGGACCGTGTTTTTTCCTTTATTTTTTTAACTCTTTAAATTTTTCAAAGGCTATGGTTCGTGCAAAAAAGCAAGCAACACCCGAGGAAGAGAGGCTTGTTTCTAAGTTTTTAAAAGAAGGTAAATAAAATAACGCTACAAAAGACACGTATTTTCATTATTTATACACCTGTTCTTGAAAAAAATGATGTTCGAAAAAAAATCATCATGAATGAATGAAAATAAAAAATAAAAATAAAAATTTTTTCCTAATGGTCGATTAACTCATTTCAATCTTTTGATGCAGATGGTCATGAAAAAAAAATTCATCGATTAGACTGGAAACAAATACCTATTCCTGATAGTGTTCAAGTTCAACCTTTACTTGTAAGTCTTGTATAGTCATGCTTCATTCTATTTCATTTCACTCTACTTTTTTATTTATTTACTTCTAAATCTTTATATTCTTTTTCTGATACCATATAACACAAAAATTCTATATTTAGGCAAAACTTAGAGAAGTAAAGCAAGTGATAGATGATTATATCGAAGAAGAGTATGAAAATTTTAAAATCGATTTTGCTGAAAAGTAAGTTTGTACAATGCTTTCTCTATACTTTACATTGGTTCTCAATAGACCTCTTTTTGTTTATTTAGCAATAAAATTGAGACTGTTCGCAAAGAAAACGTATTTAGTGAAGAGGTAACTGAGTCTGAAATGGATATTATCCAAAAAAGAGTTGCTCTTCAACAGCGTCAATTTCAAGAGTTTGAACGAAGAGAAAAAGCCCGTAAATCTAAAAAGATTAGATCTGTCTATGATTATTTAACAGATGAAGAAATCAGTGAAATGTTGGAAGATTGTAAGCATGATGAGGTAATATATAGATAGATAGATAGATAGATCTATATATTGCATAAACTTACCTTTTATTCAATTTTTTTTTTATTTCGGATATAGGAGGAGGTCATCGTACGTCTTACTCAACCTGGATATCTTATCAGTATTCGTAAAATAATTGCTACGAAATATGCTCCTGAAGTTGAAACAAACCGTAGTCTTATGAGTGATGAACAAAAAGCTGCTTACAAACAACTTTTAAAGAAGCGTTCAGAAACATTAAAAAAGACAACCAATGATTCTGCCAAAAAGTAAGTGGATATACATATATATACATATTTTAAAAGTGGAATATACATTCTCATATATAAACAAAAGACAATATCGTATGGGAGGTCGTTTAGGCTTGGATGAAGCTCTTAAACAAGTTCAAGAGAATCAAGTAGATCCTGAAAAGGCATTTGAAGGCTGGTCTCAAGCTCGTATTCGTGCTTATCAAATGATTGATCAAAATCCAAATAGTTATTATTATCGTTTCAATGCGCCTGGTGAAGTGCAACGAAAAGGTCAATGGGCTCCTGAAGAACGCAAACTATTCTTTAAACGTCTTGAAGAAGTTGGTGCGAATGGTCAATGGGGTATTTTTGCCATGAAGATTCCCGGTCGTGTAGGTTATCAATGTTCTAATTTCTATCGTCTTTTGGTTGAAACAAATGAGATTCAAGATCCAAATTATGTTTTAGATGAAAAGGGTAAAGCACATTATTTATTTGATAAGAAAACAGCAGATGGTACTACAGAAAAGACGTTTCGCACACATAGTAAACATGGTACTGGTCGTGGTTCTGGTATACCCTCTTCATCGTCATCATCATCGACAACTAGAAGAACAAGGGCTACAACAAGTACTACAGATAAAAAATCAAAAAAGAAGAAGAGAAAGACTAGAAGCTGGGATAGTGATGATGATGACTCAGAAGATGATTTTGAAGACTATAATGATGATTCTGGTACTTTTACATTAAGTACTCGTTCAACCCGAAGAACTCGTGCTCGTCTTGAACCAAATGTAACCAATCATGATACCACTAATAATAATAATAATGAAGAAGAAGAAGAAGATGAAATAGAAGAAAGTGAAGATGAACGAGATCCATATAATCCTTTACCAGGCTTTATTGATCCTATTACATTAGACGAAGTTGTTAAACCGGCTATTTCTATCTATGGTCATGTTATGGGGTAAGAAGTAAAATGAAGTAAAATGAACCATTTTTGTTAATCTATTTCATTATTCTTTTAGATATGATAGTTGGGTACGTTGTCTTACTAATTGGGAAGGTAAAAAGAATATTTGTCCTTTAACTAAGAAGCCTTTAACAAAACGAGACTTAGGTAAAGTATGCATTAAAAAAAAAGCTTATTGTTCACATATAAACTTGTCTTTGTTTTCCTTTTAGTTATTTTAACACATGAAAATATTGAAGAATACAGAGATAAAATTATTCAATAAAAATCATGCTAAATAATGAAATCATTGACTGAGAATAAAAATTGTGATAATGACATAGTTTTGATTGGCAGTGACAAGAAAAAATTAAGTTACCAAAAAAAAAAAAAAAAAAAAATGTGTAAATTACTTTGGCAACAGCTTCTTCTTTTTTTTTCTTTTTATCTTTTGTATAAACAATATATTTCTTTGCTAAAAAAAAAATTAATCTTATATGTACAATTAATTCATTCACATTGCACACATGAAACAAAATCCAATTCTTATTCCCGAGATCGCTCACATCTTGTGTACATTAGTAGAATATAAAGATTTATATAATCTTGCTTTAACATGTCGAGTATTTTATCATGCATCCAGATCTCATTTATGGAAGACATTAAATCCAATATCGTATCGTATTCTACGAAAAATAAAAACTACTTTGGATAATACAACTATTTATAATAAATTTGTTTGCAAGTTTTCTTACATAGCTAAAGAGGATATACATCATCTTGAAAGATTTTTTTTCAATCCATTTTTATTTCCAAATTTAAGAGAGTTACAGTTCTCATATGCTGGAGCACAAGATCAAATTGTATCTCCAATGATTTCGGCAGCTAGTAGAACACTTTCTTCACTCAACTTATCTCAATGTTACTGTCTATCAACAAATGCGATACAGCCTTTATTTGATATTTTACCCCATCAATTGAAGTCACTTGTTCTGTATGGATGTGGAAAGATAGACCTTGAGGTCATTGCAGAGATCATTCAACGTCACTCAAGTTCATTAATACAAATAAGGCTGACAGGTATTAATGATGCTATACTTGACGTAATCCAGAACTGTAAAAAGTTGAAGGATTTAGGATTAGAGCATTGTAATGAAACCAATTTATCAATTACTACTGTAAACCGGTTTTTTGAAGCTTTATTAAAGAACGAAATTCAACTTAATTATCTTCGTTTACGTGATATCGATAGTCTTACCTCTAATCATTTAAAAATAATTGCAAAATCAAATTGCCGTAAATCTCTTATTTATCTTGACATGAGCGAATGTAATCGAATAAATTCGATTGGTGTCTCTTGGCTTGCAAGAGGATGTATCAATTTACAAACTTTGTCATTAGCATATCAAGCAGGTGTTACCGATCAAGCTATACAGGTACATTAACTATCTATCTATATATATATAAAAGAAAAGAAAGAATATACACTGTCTTACTTTATATATACGTATATATGTATATAGCTATTTATTAACAACTGCCATCAATTGAAACATATGGACATTTCCGGTTGTCAGCTTTTAACTGATCATGCCTTTCTTCCACTCCTTGAAACAGAAGAGAACAAATCAGTAAATATTCAACTAGAAAAACTTAACATGAGCGGTCTGGACTTGCTATCCACATCTCTAATTCATCATATTTTAAACAAGTTAGAATCTTTGCAAGAACTTTGTTTAGGTGTTACATATGATCTTGATCAAGCGTATCGTATCCTGGAAACAATCAACAGTTGTGAACCTCGATTTTATCTTGATACCGGGAAATATTACACAATTTGTAAAATAAGAGCTCCATTGATGTTACCTTATACTTGTAATAGAGCACCTACGAATGTTAATAAAGCAACAGCGACAAATATTAGCAGAATATTAACTTTACCATCTTCTTCAACTTGGAATTTACCAACTTCATTATTTCCATTATAGATATATATATATATACGTATATGTATATATATTTATAAATATGTATATTATTTTAGTGATATAGTTATACACAGATATAACGCACAAGGCATATAGATTTAAAATCGATCACATGCATACCTACTATAGATATACGTCTAACAGATAAATTCTAATATTTTTTATATACTAGGGGTTTTTTTTTCGAACATTAAAAATGTATTTTTATCTTTATTTTTATTCCTTTTATCTTTTTAAATTCTATATTATTATAAGTCAACTTTTATTAGCTTCTCAGAATATATTACTGATTATGGATTAATAGAGCTTTAGTAATATATTCATATCACTGTAATACAGTGGAGTAATAATAATTATAAATTGATGAAACATCAGTGTAAAGTAGGATAGAAAAAAAAACTAATATTTTTAAGAGGATATATGGATTACCCTCCCCTCCCATTGCCCTTCTTCAAACTTTAATAATAATCTATGTTACTGTAGATGTTGGTATGAATTAAGGTTTATACACATTAAAAGTATAAAACGTATACTATTTATAGTTGTTCATTTTTGTAATAGTATATAATTTGTATACCTATAAAAAGCATGTATAACTACTTATCTATTTATGTAAAAAAAAAAAAAAAAAAAAAAAAAAAAAAAAAAAAAAAAAAAAGTAACAATAAGAAAGCCCGCTAACTTGGAGTAAAATATATAGACACATATTTATATAAAAGACTTAAAGTATTTATATAGAATACAAAACTGAGTAGAAAAGAAGTAGGCTCCTTTATTTAATAATATTATTAATTTATAGAGCATTAAAGTATATTAAACTGTAATATATAATTTTTGTATATAAAATTGAACTGCTTTTTTTTGTTTTCTATTTTTTGCTTTGGTTAAATCAAGAGAAAGAGATTGGTATTGTATGTATTAACTATGCAGCACCACGAATAGAATATACAAAAAAGAGTACCCATGCAACGATAAGAGCAGCAACGAATATACTAACCATAACAATACTACTCTTTTTTATGGGAGTTTCAGAATATGGATCTTTACCTTTAGTAGTTAACTCAAGCTCCCTATCATTAATTGCTTGCATACGAATAACACGCGTAGTTCGGCTAACTTCCAAAAGGTTATTATAGGAATAAAATTGATAAATCCATAGCCCTGAGATGGCAATAAATCCAACACCAGCCAGGATAATAAATACAAGCATCACATTCGTATAGGCACCTCCGTTCGTATTATCTTGAACAACTCCTACAACAACATCTAAAATGGCTGTACCAATATTATTTGAACTTTTATAAATGCCTAACCCTGTACCAATGTATTCAGATGGGAGCAACATTCCTATGGAGGTGATCATGGCAATAGGACCAAAAGCAAGCGAGATAGAATAAAAGACCATGCCAACCATTGCATCTACATAGGTCCAACCCAAAAGACCTGAACTGAGAAGTAAGAAAATTGAAGAAATGAGGAGAATTATCACACGACAACCATAGAAATCCATAATGAACCCAAGAATAGGAGTGGCTACGATAGGTACAGCTTGAGATGCACTAGCTTTATAACCAGCCAAGACGTTATCTGTTTTAAAATGTTTAATAATTAAGTCAGTAGCAATTGTCTGGAAGGAGGACCAGACGGCAGCATAAATAAATTCAATAAAAATAATATGCCAAAAGATCAGTGGAAATTTGAAAATTGAACGCCATTTAAATGTCTTTTTCTTTTTTAGTAATTCTTTTTCCTTTTCTGACAGTGTTACTTGCCCTTTCAGGTGTTTAACCACTAGAGCATAAATAAGATTCATTAGGATCGAGAATCCACATATAATAAAGGATAACCAAAAGGCCCAAACCCAATCACCTGTAGCTTCAGCAACTGCATTTGAAACTAAGGTACCTAAAAACGTTGAAAGACGACTGATGGATAACTGCAGACCTATAGCAATTGATAAATGCTGAGTACGAAACCATTTTGAAAGTAAAGATTCTTGCATCGTCACAATCAGACCACTACCAATACCAAAGATAACACGAGCAACAACCATAAGAGGATAGGATTTAAGTTTAGCGGCAATAGCAGTGAGAAGAGAGCCAAGGATAACCATAAAATTTATAGCTAGTGTACCCCAAACTGAACCAAAGATATCTATAAAAATACCACCAGCAATGGGGAATAGCGTATTAATGATAGCAACAGAAGCAGAAATAACTCCATATCTAGTATTTGAAATTTGAAGATTCTAATTTATAGAAATCATGTTATTATTATATGACACTTTTATTCAAGGTTCTGTATAATATGCGCAACTACTCACTGTTGTAATCTGCTTTTTCATAGCAGAAAGAGCACTTCCAGAAAAATGTGAGCCAACTTTTATATATAAAATATTAGTAAATCAATTGTATTATTCAACTATTGTATAACTTTACATGGAAATAAAAGTGCAGTAATTAATGCAATTGATTTGTATTTCCAGGAAGCATTTGCAAGGGCCGTATCACCGCCGTGAATTCTCAAATCGTCGCTCAATTCTTCATTATCAGTGTTATTAATATCTTGTGTATGATTTTCAGATACTTCAGTCAATTGCTTTTCATTATAGGGAGAAGTTAAAACTTTGGCCTTTTCATTCTCCATTGAAATAAGTAGCAAGTTTGCTGTAATAAAATTTGAAAAAGGGAAATATATGAAGAGAGAAAAAAAAAATGAAAAGAAAATAAAATAAAATAAAAAATAAAAATAAAAATAAAAAAAATAAAAAACGAAAAGGAAATATGACTAATATATTATGTATACATGTATATTATATTTAGCAATAGTCTAATATTTGATCCAGGCTATAATTTGAAGTAAAAGTCGATTTATGATTGATCGTTTCCTATTTTTTTGACTGTACAACTCCAAATTCGGGGATTAACATTGCCTGTGGCTCTAATTGGTAAATTTCAAAATTCAATTAATAGGATTCTATTTCTTTAGAAATTTTATATCACGATATGGTATAATTCAAGGGATTCTTCATTTAAAGACTATATAAATAGAATATTGAATTGAGTTCCTCAGTATACATTCACGTATATCATTGCATGATTCAGTAAGACTTATCACATTTGAATCTTTCAAAGTCATTATATTCCATCTATTTTAATATCAGTGCGTATATAATATAAAGTTCTTTTGTCATAATGCCGTTAAACAAGCGGATCATAAAATTATTCAAGAAAGCTTATCTGGATCTTATAATCTACTTTATCAGATAATATCATCTAGCACCTCATTATCTATAATGTATCTTATTCAGTTGTTAACTAACACTTTTCTGATCCATCTTTTATTTCGGCCTTCTTTAACAATTCTAATAAATACTCATCCATTTAAATTCACTAATAAAAGCACTCGACTTTAGAACTATTTGTTCGGTCCCGTCGGCTTTTTTTTTATTATATTTATTTTATAGAAATATCACACCTTTAATGGTATCCATGTAACAGTTAATTTAAATATTAAAATAGGTCAAGTAAATGCTCATATATAAAGTATGCACACTATAACATAAGAATCCTCAAGCTCTTTTATTTATTTCTTTCTCTGTCCTTTATTCACTTCAATTATTGTCAAAGGCATTGTCGGTGGTTTATCTTTAACAGTACTTGTAGTCGGAACACAATAATTACAATGTAAATAAGCAAGTCTACTGTACATGTTTAAATCTAATAATATACTCTCCATATCCTTCCTTTTTTTTAGGATCTTGATATTTCCGATCCCAAATACAAGGACCTGGGCTCCGCTTCTCGTTTTGGTGTTGCTCTACGCCTCCAAAACCAACGTTCTCTTCTGTCTTTAGAGTATTTGTCCAAGCATCGTGCCCCTCTTTTTGGCCCTGTTACCTGTGAATACGTTCAACTTGGCTAGGTGTCTGAAGAAGATTTTCGCACTCTGGGCCCCTGCAATCCTTTGGCTTCTTGGGATGCTGTAGATTCATCTTCTGTTGTCTCTCCTTCCTCTTATCATCTGCATATTAATTTTAATAATAAACTTAATAATCTTTTGCCTGAGTCAAATTTGATATTTTTCATATAATCATTGGTAAATTCTTTTCTCAGTTTGTAAATGACAGCTCTTGGAAGGAACTCATCCAGTTTTCTCACTTAATTATTTTTTTCGATAAGCAAAATATTGGACATGGCCCTATGAAATATATTAGTTGATTATAAGTCTTCCCACACCAAACTACTAAAGCTAAGTTTTTTTTTCTTTTTTACAATAATTCGTAGATATCCTGATCATTATTTATTCTATAATTATCCTTAAGATACATGAGTGAGTTTTTAACAAAATTATTAAAATAATTATTCAAAGAAGTTTTTTCATTAATGGCTTGTATAAAATTTGAGAAACTACTTTTATGACCACTAATAATATCATCAAGCGTTTTGTTTTTCTTGTTCTTTCCTCATTTTTAATGCTGTTAATATGTATTCAATCTTATATTAATAAACACTACTAACTTTTTTTTTTTTACTACTTCTTTTAGTTTTCTCTTTTCAATTACAATGACTTCCTCTTCTTCTTCTCATTCTTCATTTTTACTTTTATTATTTGAAAAAGTAATATTAACTTTTTTTCTCTATCTTTTTTTTTATTGGGATTAAACTGTGTATCTAAAGTTTTCAGCTTCTCTAATAACCTTTTGTGAGACAAATTTAGCGTAGGCAGTGACAGTTTGCTCCTAAGTAAGTTGTAGGAATAATTATATTTATCTGCATAAGAGTGGATAACTGAAAGTTTTTTTTTTTTTTTTTTTTTTTTTTTTTTTTTTTTTTTTTTTTTTTTTTTACAAATATCTGTTCTCTTTGTTCTGCTTCATTTACACAAGAGATCCTTGCATTTTTCTGATAAAAAGTATAATAAATTGAATTTATACTAATAATTGTCATCAACAAGACACTCACCTGTAATTTCTTGATATAGCTTTTAACTTCTTTTGGTAGGTCTTGCTTGATGAGCCAATCCATATCTTTCTTATAATGATGTAGTATCATCTTTAAATTACTTTTAGGATCATGTAGAGAATAAAAAGTACTGTATTTATTGAAACCCTATTCTTTAATACAGTTACTTGAAAAGAACCTTCTACGGTCTAATTCTGTAAAAGAGTTCAATTGCCATAATACAGTAGTAAGAAAGCTTACAGCTTAACTATTTAAAATGCAAAAACTGCCAAGAATATTTTGTACAATTGAAAAAAAAAAGCTTTCCACAACAAAGCTAAGAAGGAACATCTTGTAAAATTGAAAGTGTCTAGATTGTGTATGTGTATCTAAAAAGTAAAAATAAAGCTGCTGTATAAAATGATATTTTTTATATTATTGATAGCTTATCTACTCTTATTCTTTGGAGAATGTATGAACATTATGCTCTGTCGTGTAACCGCGCTTGACTAGTTTTGGCTTAATTACTTTACAAGAATGCTCAGCATATTCACATGAATACAATTATATATAAAAAGTAAACAAACTTCTTTTTTTTTTTTTTTTTTTTTTTTTTTTTTTTACTTTCTTACTTTCTTTCAAAGAAGACAGTAATGCTTTACTACATTCAAATAAAAGGCAAAACTTATCTCTAGAGTATTAAAAAGAAAAGAGAAAAAAAAGACAAGGAGAAAAGCAGGAGAGAAGATTTAATGCAAAGTAAATTAAAAACAAAAAAAAAATACGCTAAGATTAAACTTTAATAACTTCTCCTTCTTTTCGTTTATTTTTTTTTCTTCTGAATTTTACTATAAAAAAAAAAAGTACATTTTTTCGTTTTTTTTCCTTTTTTTTTCTTCTTCTTTTTTCTTTAGCTTTTTTTATTTTTCCTATTCTTCTTTATTTTTACTTGAAACTATGGGTAGACATTGTCAGGGTTATGAAGTGTGCTCAAGTCACATAGCTTGGCTTACTTGAGTTTGTAGAACTGTCCGTTTATAACATGGCTAAAGGAGAGGGCCTAGACTCTCTTTTGGTTACTACATGCATATCCGCCTTCACCTTGGGTTATTGCAACCTTAGATAATTGATGGGACCTTATCGAATTTTGACTGCTCAAGTTTGATTTATTTCCAAAGGAGGAGGGAAATAAAAAGGATACTTGGGGTTGGAAATTGTAAATCTGTTCCTTTTTTAGGGAGATTAGCGTACTCTTTGTCTGCACCATTGAAAGGGCTTATCTCAAGGTTTAGTTTTTCTGTTTTTCTTTTTGGAGGTTTTTCCTTCTTTTTATTTTTATCTAGTTGCTGTTTATAAAATAAAAATAGATAAGGATGCACAGCTTACGTTTCTGACCGTGGTTTTTTCATCTATTTATTTAGTTGAAGAATCCCAACTTGTATTTACTGTTAAGTCAAAAGTAGATGCTAGGGGTCAAAGAAGGGACATTCTCAGGTAAACAATAGTCAGGTCGTGCACTTTATATATCTGGATTCCTTCCACTTCGCCACGCTACAGGTCAGAATGTTTAGCCCGGCTTCCAATGAAACTTACATCCAACTGTATTTTTTATTGGGGTAGGAAGTGAGGAATCCTATCTTTTTCTTCTAGCAAGGCTTGGGCCAGGTTGGACTTTGCCAAGTGTCTACTAGTTGAAATTGGACGTTTATCTTTCAAGTAGAAATTTAGAGGGAGAAGAAAAAATTACAGCCCGTATCAATTTGTGTATGGGTTGTAATATTATTTTTGGGATTAGATATGCTTTCACCTTCTCGTGGTTAATCCTGTTAGTATCAAGTCTCTTCTAAAGAGATTTGAGAACTAAGAAAAGCATCTTTTTTTTATAATATTAATAAAAATGAAAAAAAAAATAATTTAATAAAATCGTGTTTTACAATAAAGTTGCTTCTCTAATAATATTTAATAATGAAGCGTATAATTCTTTCATTAACAAAAGTGGTGAAAGACTATAATAGCACAGTGTATAAATATTAAAAAGATTATTGTATATTTTTTCCAAGATTTCTTTCCTCTCAAGGTAAATTCCATTTGGTTAAATAAATCCAGCATCACTAGAATGTACATTGTCAGAATAAGACTAAAACTAGCCAACATTCATAATGAGCATTCATAATCTGATTGCTGTACAAAAGATGATTCATCTTTAGGGTATAACTTAAAGTTGTTTCAAGCCTTGCCATCATTATTTTATCTGGAAACAAACTAACTTTGGTTTTCCAACGAGTGCTTTTTTTTTTTTCAACATAATTTTCTACAAGGAAAATTTTCTTTAGGTATTAATTATTGAGTAGCTATATATTTATAAAGACTGATGGGAGGCTTCACCAATTCATCGAAAAGAAGTTGTTGAAATATCTCAGCCTTTGCAAATGATTTTTATTACAAATTTTCCATAAAGATAAGCCCTTTACTCCTTAGAATCGTATCTACGGATGGTATAACGACACTTAGTACAAGAAACATATTCTTGAAGTCTATAATGAAAGCAAAAAAGGTTGCCATTTGACATCACTTGTAAAACATGACAACACGTTTTTGGGAAACGATACTGTTAGATAAAGTATTTTAGTTATATATTGCTCTTGGATGAGCATTGACTTCATCATAAAGAATATAAAGTGTAGTTGCTCCTTCAGTGAATTTGTCTCATTACATGGATTAATTAAAGGAAGATCTATAAATTAACTAAAGTTAATGCACATAACGTAAATATACAGTTAATCAGAAACTATTGCCATCTTTTATTATGTACGATGCGTAAGTTGATTTTGATGGCGTAACGCTAAAAGGATATTTTGCTGTGATTCAAATAGCAAATATCAAATCTTAATTTGCATAATGTCCAACAGACATATTTAAAAAAAAAAAAGGCATTTTACATTGTTGTATAGCTGAACCTTTATTTTACCAAAGTAGTAAAAAGATAGTATATATTTGAAGCCTATTGTATTCTACCACATATTTCATAATATTACATAGAAAATAATGCCTTTAGTTTTATTATATACGTCAACTATTCTTGAATGGAATTTAGAAAAGATGTAGTATCTCTATCAAAGTATCAAAATAAAGATAAATATCAAAATATTAGTAAACTTAACGAAACAATGGAGCTATTACTTTTTCTTTTTCTTTTTTTTTTGCAACTAAGAAGACCTTTGACAATTACTTTCAATAAAGAATCACATAGCAATTTGGATAAAATGAAGATTTCTGGAATATATCATAACGACATAAAATTTATTTACGTTTATTGTGTAAAAATCAGTGTATTCCAGAACATTAACGAAAAAAAAAAATCCCATTTAGACTTATGTGACTATGAATCTGCTAAGATCTATCCATTATCTAGTATAGACAGCACATTTATTGATAGTGTTACTATTGCCTTAGATAATAGTCCAAATCTTAACATTTACCCTGATGAATATACTTTTTATTCTATCTATTTTTAAAGTTATAAATGCTATAATATTGTTTATCCTTTGCTTAAGCTTGTTGCTAATACAATTAATGCTATGTATTTTTATTTTTATTTTATTTTGTTTTGTCTGGTGAAATACTATACAAAGAGAATGATGTGCATGCTTATTTGGCTGATATAACTCTTATAGAGTGGAGTTACTTTTGTTTGAAACCTTTAGCCCTTATCAAAATAAAGATACAAATCAAAAATAATTTTAATGAATACTCCACTTTTTGCCCTAGATATCTTTCTCAGCTTCTTACTAAACAACATGCTATACACTGGCTTATAGATGCATCATAGACCACAAATGAGGGAAACAACTGTGGAACCTCCTATTATTCCTTTCTGAACTGTATTCCCATGCAAAATAAACAATAGTATATAAAACTTCATAATTTATCACTTCTTGGAAAAACACGATAGCTTAATATAATACTTTACAACGTATTAGGCTGATTTCCTGCCCCCCCTCTCCCATCTCTACTTGAGCCTAAATCGAAATCCTCGGGCTGGTTCTTAACCTACCTACCTACCCCTCTTGCGCAGCTATACATTTTAGTTATAGAACTCCCCCCCATACTCACTTTTCTTCTCTTTATTAATCTGACTCAGGCAGCAAATTTAATGTATTAAATAATATTCTATGCTAAAATGATTTCTTCAAATTTATTTACAGCTAAATCGTTATTCTCAGCGTAACACGGTTTACAGTATTTCTGTTTCTAAAAAAAAAAAGACAATAAATATAGTAATCCCCCAATTAAGTGACATGACATATCTTTCTACTCCTAAATATAAATTATATAATCAGAGCTTTTTTTTTTTAAATAAATATTTGTCATATATTCTATCCTTTCTTTCCTTCTTTTTATAAAGATAAATAAATATATCATATACCATAATTGCACATATAATTATTATTATTTTTTGTATAAAAGTATTCATATAGTATGCGTGCAGACGTTGGGCATGAGAAATCTTTCAACAATAATTTGAACTCATCACTACTAGCTTCTCGACGTCAACCAACTACTATCAACAATAATACATCATTAAGAGGAATTCGCATTAACATTAGCTCAGATCCCTTTCAACATCGTATACCTCCTTATATTCAACGACTTTGGCAAGAAAGCAAAATACGTAAAAGACTCTCAGCATGGAAGCGTCGACTCATTAAGCGATACAGGCAAACAGGTTGGATTGAGTTAAGCATCATCATCTTTGGTTTATTCTTTGGTTGTATTTTTTTACTTGTTCATGTAGGATTTTTTAGTGGTAAAAAATATCAAGATTGGCAACAGGAGCATTCTGAGGATAATCAGTTTATGGAAGAAGTTGATTTGTTAGATAAAGTGTATCCTGATGAAGGTCGATTACAAACAACTGCTATACTACTATCGCTGTCTGAACAGAATTCTAACTTGCAACAAAAAAAGTCTAAATTACAACCTATATTAAAACAACTCTGTCAATATGATATGTTTGCGAATTACATTGTTTGGAATGATGATCCAATTTTCAACATGACTTTAGATGTAACAAAAATATACATATATAAATATACATACACATATACATATACATATATATATATGTGTGTGTGTATGTGTGTATTAGTAGGAATTTAGAGTCTAAAAAAAAAGATGTATAATTAGATGATCTATACTGAAGGATGTACACCAAGTAAATTGACAATAATTAATGCGCCTGTTAAAATGGGTGTATCTGCAAGATACCATGCTTGTCGTCTTTCAAAAACACCTTATTGCTATTTCCAAGATGTATTCATAGAAGAGCAACAACTTCGAAGCATATATGCAAACTTTCTTAGATCTCCTCATTTAATTCATGGCAAATCAAGTAATTATCAAGCATTTATTAATTCTCAATGGCGTTATTGCTTTTTAAATAAAGGTATACATCTATCTAGGTATGTTAATAGAGATGTATATAATATACTTATCTATTTATTGTTAGATGTTCAGTTACATACGTGTTATATTGACATTAAATCGGGTGCATTTGCTGCTAAGGCAATGGTATCACAATTCTTGGAAACTTATGATCAGAATTCAGTTGTAGATGACTTTGCAGATATATATTTTATGATGTATATGAATCAAATACCATATCAACTAGAAGGAAACGATGATTCCATTATTGTTAAGGAATTAACTAAGAAAGAAATTGAACACATGGTGAAAAAAAAAAAAGATGTCTTGTTAATATATACATCATATTGACTTACTTTATGTATAGGATCTAGGATTAACAATATTATATAATGATTTGGAAGAAGGTATCATACCTATCAAGCCTTATTTGGAAAGTAAATTTGAACGTAATGCAAGAGCTCCTTGTAGAAATGATCGATGTTTGTTTTTGACAAATAAACAGATCATGCCTGCTATTGATCTGTTCTCATATAATCCCACTATTTATATTAACACATTACAGGAAATGCATGATGATTATTATACAAGCACTACGAATCAACATCAATATTCAAATGCTGTAGATGGAAATGAAGACAGTTCATGGAAATCAATTCAAAGTATGTCCTATTGTATATATACCCGAATTACTAAATAAACCATTTAGATATTCAAGCTGGAGATTATATTGGACTTGATATGCTAATGCCTATGCGCACTTCTTTGATGTATCGTTTCCTTGTCAATCAACCCTATGTTTACAGAACTAGGCTAAATGTTCAAATATCTTATGATGGCCTGTTATGGGTAATACGAAACGCTTTTTTAATCATAATCATAATCATAATCATAATAATAACTTTATCTTTAGCTTAAATTACATCCTTTACCTAGTTTCAATTGTCAAAATATAGATAACGATCGACAACAGCAGCTTCTTGAATGTCAGTTTATAGTAACGGATACAGGTTATAGATATATTCGATTGGAAAGTCAAAAAGATCATGATTTCCCCTTTGATGTATATGATTTATCCTTTAGTGCTAAAGTGAAAAAGGATGCAAATGGTCAATTGTTAGAAATGACTTTAAATGACGAGAGTATTGCTTTTGTTGAAGATGAATTCACTGATTAATGATAATTTATTATTGCTGGTCCAATATGTTCTGAGCCTTTCGCTCCTTTTTTTTTTTATGGATATAAAATGAAATTTATTTATAATAAAAGAAAGCTTTAAAATGAAAGAAATGGGTATTTAAATAAAATAAAGTAAAATAAAAAAGCATATAAAAATTTGTACTATATATAATGGGAGAGGGGAAGGAGGAAAGAAAAGAAAAAAAATATAGAGTTAATTGAATAGTGGTAATCCATCATCGTCGTCATCATCAACATCGTCTTCATTGTCCACTTCAAGTTTTTGTTTGGAATCATTTATACTTTTAATGTTTAGTTTTTCTAAAATGTCTTTGCCACGTGGATTTGGTAAAGGCACATGTACTTGACTGAGTGTCTGAATTTCAGGTGATAAAGTGTAATCTTGTAATGAATCTTTGTTTTTAGTGTCAATGCAGATGCTAAAGGCTTCATCTGTTGAAGCTAATTCTCCTACTGAAAAGTCTCCATCAAGATCAGTAAAGACATCAAAATTATTTCCTTGTTCTCCATTTTCACGTTCTTTTTCAAGATCAAAGTAAGTAGAATTAGTATTAGAACCTTCGTCATCGACCTCACCAAAAAATGAAAAATCATCAAACGATTTTGTTTTTTTATTGGATTTGAGGGCTACTGCGGTATCTTTTGTTTGAGGGATATTGATATCACTGTCTAAATCTTCACTCAAAGCATCATTTTCATTGTTGTCTATTGACAGCGGTTCATTTTCTTTATTATCTTCTCTGATACATGTGAATGGCTTATTATTGTTAATTGTGTTGATTGTACATGACTTTGAATCGTCTTCATCTCTGTATACCTCAAAAGGTTTATAATCATCTTCATTTTCATCCTTGTAAACTTCAAATGGCTGACTATCTTCATTATTTTCATCCTTATATACTTCAAATGGCTGACTATCTTCATTATTTTCATCTTTATATATTTCAAATGGCTTGCTATTTTTATCATATTCATCATCGTCATATAGATCAAATGGAACAGGTGATGAAGTAGTCGCAGTGAATTGGGTATTTATATCGCCTTCAGAAATAAATTGAGTGTTTAATTCCTGTTGCTGTTCAGGACTAGCAGGAAAAGATGAAGTTGTATTTTCTTGACTATCATTTAGAAAACTATCGTCTCTAAATAAATGAGATACAATAGGTGGTGTCTCGGCTCTTTCAATACCTCTTTCAATATCCTCATCACATAAAACAGCAAAGGTAGGTTGAATAAAGTCTTTAAGTTTACTTTTACGTGATTTTTGACTAAACTCCAATGATTTATTAGGATTTTTATCCATTAAAGGTATACGAACTTTATTCTTGTTATCTACATCTGCTAAAGGAAGTTTTTTCAATTCTTGCGATTTTAAAGGTTGTGAATTAGGAGGTGAGGGAGTTCTTTTTTTAATTTCATCATTTGTAAGAACACTATTTTCATCAGTATCTGCTAGCTTCCGTTTAACAGATATTTCTGTTTCTTTTAAAGGTTTAAAATAGGAATCAATTCTGCTGTTTGTTCCTGTATCTATCGCTTTCTTTTTTCCTCTTGGTGCCATCTTTATAATAAAAAGGAGATAAAAAAAATAAAATAAAAATACAAAGCGCGCTTGAAATTTTTTTAAAAAATAAAAATAAAAAAATATGTTCCTTCTAAAAATGGATGCTACATCATCAAGGGGAAAAAAGATTTGAGCCAACTATGTTCTTCAACTAACAATTTGAGTGCTATTGTTGCCCTATATGGAAAAAGTATTTAAGAATAAAAGTGATTATTGTCCTTTTTTTTTAAATATTAATGAATGATTTATTATACGCTTATTATACATAATCAAATCTACTCTATCTTACTATTACAGTTATTAAAGACAACAATTTAAGCTTCTTTAGCAATACTATTTTATTGTTATCATTTGATGTGATTGCACCTACAGGACAACACTATCATAACAACTGGTGACGTTATGTAGAATGTGACTGTTTATTACCAGTTTAAGTTTTTTTCTTCAGCACTATCTATGGAGTTCGGGCTTAATGTTGTAAACCCCAGATTTTTTTGAGAAAATAACAATATATCGTCTTTACGAAAAAAAAAAAAGGTAAGGCGTTTACACACCCCCTTTTTTTTATAATAGTTCAAACTTCATAAAGTAAAGTATTGAATAAATTACATCTTATGGCAATTAAATGTTAAATTAATAGAATTTATTGAATTTTGCTGTTTTTTGTTTGTTTGTTTGTTTGTTTGTAGATCTTTTAGCTAATTACCCCCCCCCACTTTTGTATAATACCATGTCTACTCATCAAAAAGGAAACTTTACGCATACCGAGTATGTTGAATCTGCTCCTCTCCCTGATTCAGTTCCTAAAGTTGATGAGCTTGGAGCTACTTCAGCACCTTTGAAGAGCGCATCATTTTTTATTGGACAATACTGTAAAGAATATAATGAAGATTTTATGCTTTGCAAAAACGAAAATAATAATCCCAAGCATTGTCTTAAAGAAGGAAGAAAAGTGACTCGTTGTGCAATTGATTTGTAAGTTTGTAATTAAGGATTATGATGATTTGTTTATTCTTTTTTTTTTTTGTTTTAATGTATTATTATTTTAATAGAATTACTAAGCTTCGAGAAAATTGTGGAAAAGAATTTGAAGCACATTGGCAATGTTTGGAAAACAACAATCAAGAGTTCGGCGCTTGTCGTGTTCCTGAACAAACGTTTAATACTTGTGTGTTTGAAAAATTGGTAAATATACATATTTTTGCATCAATTTATTTTTTCATTTTATTGATTTTTCTTTAAAAAAAAATAAATAAATAAAAGGGTTTGGAAAAAAAAGTCCCTGGAGCTTTAGAAAAATAAGAACGAATATGTCTTGGGAAAAATCCTATTATTGAGCCTTCAAAAGAATAGATGGATTTATATATATATATAAGCTAATAAAAAATACCAGCAGGTATACAATTTCTTTTATATATGAATTATTGATTTAGTAAACATTATACTGTGTTAAAAAAAGGTTTAGAAATAAGAAGTTAAAATAAAAATGAGAAATGTTTAGTGATTAATGAAAATAAAAAAAAAACTTTTTGGATGTATTGAAATTGTTGCAATGAACGAAATAAGTAAAGTATAAAACTGCAGTTTGCATATTAGGGCTTTTTATAACATGCGATAGCAGTTCTACTGTGAACGATTTCGATAAGCTTGATACTTGATAGATTTCCTAAGACGCTCCACACCTATTAACTCTTGTATTGCGAACATTTTTAAATTATTAAACACAAGATGTACTCATCAAGATTTTTTCTTGCTTTATTACTGTGCTTCAAGTGTTCTTTTAGAATTTGAAAAATGTCAAAAATCATTATTATTTTTCATATTATAGACGTAATTTTCATTAAATAATATTCTATGGAAGATACAACATTATTTGAATTCCTAAACGCACCCTATTTTAAGTGTAAGTGACGTGTTTTTGTCGGAATTTTCTCTTACGCGTCTTCTAGTAAGATTAGAATACTTTCCTTTTGAAATAAAGCACACTAGTTTTTCTTTTTTTTTTTTTTTTCCTTTTAATAAGCATACAACATGTCATCAAGTTCATCAAATCAAGTGGAGCAAGATCCAAAAACAAAAGCTTTAAATAATTATAGAAGAAGACTCTTGGAACATCGTGAATTAGATGCCAAGCTTAAAGAAAGTAAAGTTAACCATAAATTCTTAGATTTTAGTTTAATTACTAACTTATAATTCCATTATTAGTGCGTCTCGGTTTAAGAACACTCGATAAAGAATATGACAAATCTGAAGATGATATTAAAGCATTACAAAGTGTTGGTCAAGTCATTGGTGAAGTTTTAAAGCAATTGGATGATGAACGCTGTAAGCTAATTCAAAAAACAAAAGAAAAGAAGAAGAAAAAAAAAGGAAAGAAATTAACAAATTAATAACAAAATTTAGTTATTGTAAAGAATACAAGCGGACCTCGTTATGTTGTAGGATGTCGTAATACTGTAGATAAAGAAAAGTTAAAACAAGGTGCTCGTGTAGCTCTTGATATGACAACTTTAACTATTATGCGTATTTTACCTCGTGAAGTAGATCCTCTAGTTTATAATATGTCAATTGAAGATCCTGGCGATGTCAGTTTTGCAGGAATTGGTGGTCTCTCCGAACAAATTCGTGAACTTCGAGAAGTAAGTTTTATATATAAAGTTAGAGATAATATAAAATTTATGGAGCTGGTTTTTTTTTTCTCTTTAGGTTATTGAATTACCTTTAATGAATCCTGAATTATTTTTACGTGTTGGTGTCAAACCACCTAAAGGTGTTTTATTATATGGTCCACCAGGTACAGGTAAAACTTTATTGGCAAAGGCAGTTGCCAGCACACTCCAAGTCAATTTCTTAAAAGTAGTTTCAAGTGCTATTGTGGATAAATATATCGGTGAAAGTGCTAGATTAATTAGAGAAATGTTTGGCTATGCTAAAGAGCATGAACCATGTATTATCTTTATGGATGAAATTGATGCTATTGGTGGTCGTCGTTTCTCAGAAGGTACATCTGCTGATCGTGAAATTCAACGTACTTTAATGGAATTATTAAATCAAATGGATGGTTTCGATTATCTTGGACAAACAAAACTTATCATGGCTACAAATCGACCTGATACACTTGATCCTGCATTACTTCGACCTGGTCGTCTTGACAGAAAGATTGAAATTCCTTTACCTAATGAACAAGGTCGTTTAGAAATCTTGAAAATTCACGCTGGCCATATTGCAAAACATGGTGATATAGATTATGAAGCCATTGTTAAACTTTCAGATGGTTTTAATGGCGCTGATTTAAGAAATGTCTGTACAGAGGCTGGTATGTTTGCTATTAGAGAAGAACGTGATTATTGTATCCAAGAAGATTTTATGAAAGCTGTAAGAAAAGTGGCAGAAGCAAAGAAGTTGGAAACTAAATTAGATTATGAAAAGATTTAAATAGTAAATAAAGTATATAATATTAAGAATGAATGATATCAAAGATAAACAGACTTTGGAACTCAATATAATTTTAATACTATTTATACACACACACAAAAAAAAAAAAAAAAAAAAAAAAAAAAGAGGAATCCAGTAAATAAAATAAAATGATTACATAAGTCTTTCTTTTAATTTTCTAGCTTTTCTAACTGCACGTGTATCGCTTGATCCAGGTGCTCGTAATTTCCATTCAATGGCATGATAAGCCCACCATGAAGTTTCTAATATGAAGCAACCTACAGTCACTTCCAACACACCAACACCCCATCCTGGATAAAATCCTTTCCAGCCTCCTTCTTCATACCACATTTTTTTTATACAATCAAAAAATCCTGTGTAAGTTGTATTTGTCTTCAAGACGCCACTATCCTGGAGCATCAATCTGAAGATCACAGTGTCAATAGGGTAACTTAATGCACGAGTAAACATACTGCTGATAACACCACATGCAATTTCAGGATAGAATGTATGCAGTACTGTTAATTCCTTTTTTTTCTTGGATGCATTAGTTTGAGTTGTAGTAGATGATTCGCCATCGTTTGAAGACAATGATTCGTTTGAAAATTTTTGGTATATAAAGCGATATATAAAAATTAACAGTTTCTCGGTAACTGCATTCAATATACAAGAAGGTAAAAAAGCTGATATAATGTGCTGATAATTAGGATTAGTTGGCCAAAAGCAATTAAGTTCTTGCTTATAAAGATCAATAAAGTCGCGGGAGTTATGAATGACAACTCGTGTTAAATCTGAATCTGATTGAACACGAAGAATTAAAGCATTACGATAAAGTGGATAAAGTGGAATATTGATGAATAACGTTAACCCTTTCGTGAGTAGACTGAGTAAATTACTGAGAATTTTCTTGTTTCTTTTATTGGCAGATGTGATGGCATGTGACATGATTTGATTCACACCCGATTCATAAGTTGCACTGATAGACTGACCTATCAATCCTAGCCCAAAGCCTGGATAAAGCCTTCGAATACCTCCTAGTTTATATGTGTATATAATCGATTGTAAACCGTAAATGGGTGTATCTCTTTTATAACTATGTAATGTTGGTAATGCTTGTAGACGATGTCGTGCTGCCACAATAGGAAAACATAATGAATAATTAGCTATCATAGTACTAATAGCCAATGCAACACCTGATATATTTTCCTTTACTTCCACTAATAATATGTGTTTATTTAATATTAATAAGAATACATATCTATATATATGTGTGTATAGAAGTAGAAGATACCTTTACGTTCTGAAGGAGCATTATGTATACTGACCGTTGATACAGTATCAATTTCTGCTAATGTCACTTGTTGTGCCATTCGTTGTAATCTCTCAAGCTCATGACGTTCTTCTTCTTGACATTCTGTATGAAATCGTGTTTGTATTGCACTTCCAAGTGATAGGAAGCCAAGATATGCATTTAGGGTCATTATTATGTAATAGTTTTTTTTTTCCTTGAAAAAAAAGGAAAATAAATAAGTTTTGATTGGATAACGTTTTTTTTTTTTCTTATATTATTGACAAACTGTTATTGTACTAGTTACTCAGGGCTCCAATTATTGGCTATTTCATAGTTTCTAATTGGCGGCTTTATGTATTTCTCTGCTGCGGACGTATTCTTTATGTAAAAGCACTTTTTTTTTTAAAATATATCAATAGGTTATTGAGTAAAGGTAATTAATTAAATTATTGCTTTGTAAGTTCTTCTTCATCTTTAAACTAGCTATCTTTTTTTTTTCTTTTTCTAATTTTGACATTAATGTAGTGAATATACGTATTATCTATGATCTGATAAGAGAAAAAACAAATTTGATTTTTAGAAATAATCTATGCAAAACTACTATTTTATAAATAAGTCAGTAATAACTTCTTTTGTTGCTGTTTTTGTTTTCTTCTTTAATGGAAGCTGAACACTGTCATTTCCCTTTAAAGTTAATAGCCTTCTCATTTTTTTTTTTTTTTGTAACACTCAAAAATGAAAATTGATCCAAGTATTGAGTGAGTTCAACAAATTACACACATGTTTAATTTATATATTATTTATACCGTTTTTACGCATTCACTCTGAATTCGTTTTTTTTATTTGATAAAAGTTGAAATAGTTCATAAATACAAATTACCACTGCTGACAATTGAAATGAATACATTGTTTTAAGTCTTATACAATCCATATCTATACATACAAAGCTACTGTATTCTCTAAATGATTTGCATACTCGCCTCTCTGGATTCACACGCATCTATATTATTTTCCACCTTACACACTTTTATTAAATTCCATTAAGGGATTCGAGGCAAAATAAAAAAAAATGCTGGTATCAGGCATGACTGCCTTAACTTGAAGGGTATTTTGATGAATAGAATTTATGAAATCAGCAATAGATAAAAGTAACTCTTTTCGATTTACAGAGCTGGATAAAATATTCAGTCTCATTTTTTTGTTATGAATTCTCTGTATCTTTCTGTCTTTAATAGGTAACAAAAGCTTTAATTTTTTTTTTAAAAAAAAAAGGTAGTTGTCATACTCTCCTCCTTCGTTTATATATAAGCATTTGAATAGTAAAAGTTTAGTAACTTGTCTTTATACTTACTCTGCTGATTATATAAGAAAAACTCAACATCCATCGTATTAACTTCTTCAAGTGATAACCTAAAAATAAAAATAAAAATTCCCTCACAACAAGTATAATATTCTGGGACATCTTTTGCTATTCTCTTTCGTTGGTTACATCAATCATGCAAGAAAAAAGAGATTCATTTTGACAGAATTATCCTACTGTATTTTATTACTAAGAAAAGAGTTTGGTCACATTCATTTGTAAAAGTAAGTCAAATAATAACACTACTCATTTTTAAAATTGATAGTAGAGCATATATAATCAATTAAATTTTATTCTAAATTTTTTTTCATACTACTAATAAAAGTAAGAACTTATATGTGCCTTAAAGTAAGCTTATAACTTTATAAGAAATGTGATTTCATCTGCATCTTAAAGTTTAGATACTGTAAACGTGAATGACTTGTAACGATAGGTGATCATTAAAATACTGTCTAATGTAAACAACTAAATTCAGCTTCTCATATTTTCCTTGTGACTAGTCATTAAATTCTATGCTTATATATGTCTTAACTACTTTTAAAAAGAAACAAAAAAAAATGGTAAATACTATTCTTATTATATTATATTATCAACAGGCGAATATTTTTGTTTGTTCTTTATGGAAAGAGCATTAGATGTTTTACTTTTTTTTCTTTTACCACAACAATCAAGACAAGCAAATATTTGGTATTATTATACATGTTATATATGTTTGTATATAAATATATAAAAATAGATATATGCATAATGCATACAAAGCGATTAGAAAACTCCTAAATCGCTCTATGGACTTATTAATAATTTTAAGGCATATTGAAGATGAAGCAAGGACAATAATAATAATAATAATAATAATAAAAAGCAGTCTTTGATATATATGTATATGGATTAATAAAGATGAATTCTTCTCCTAGAAAAAAAGAATAAAATAAGCTAAATCACCTCACATGGCTATTCTAATTACCATTTTAATAGATTCTAATAATCAATCAACACTATATATTTTATCCGTATGTTGTCTAATTTATATATGTTACGCATATTGTGCAATTTACACTTGCCATTTTTTTTTATACACAAGAAAATAGAGATAAAATACCTTTTTTATCTGATTCATACTTGTAGAAGAAGAATCATTCTATTTTATACAAATAAGATATATATTCAATATTTACATGCATATGTTTCGATAGGGCAAAGTAAATATGTTAGATTGATCAGGAGAAGAAATTAAAAAACATATCAAATAATAACGAAAAAAAAAAGGGGGGGAAGGAAGGAATTGAAATCATGTTCTTTTTTCTTTGCTGCTATTAGGAGACAGTCGAGAAAGTAACAAAACTAAAAAAAAAAGGAGACAAAGTAAAAAGATTTAGGACAACAAGATCTCTCAACTATTTCGGTTTGTATCATAATAATAACCTTTTGCTCTTCTTTCTTGTAGAATTTTTTTTTCTTTCTTTTTCTTTTTTTTTTTGCTGTAAACTATTTTAATTTATTCAAATATCAATACATATTTATATCGCTTACATAATAATATAGTTTCCTATGTCTGGCCAAAGACAACAACTATCCAATTTTGACGATCTTGCAGACATTGATAATGCTACAGAAGAAATACTCGCTACGACACTTCGTGATCGATTTTTAAAAGATCAAATATATACTCGAGTTCGAAATTCATTATTCGTTGTTATCAATCCATATAAGGATGCTCGTGAAACCATTCAAGAAACAAGTGAATGCTATTTGGCTGAATATAAAGCAACAGATCACAATAAAGACCACTCATTACCAGTACATATTTTTCAATATATCAATCAGATTTATTTTCATATGCGTCGTACCGGAAGTGATCAATCTATCATATTTAGGTAAAAAAAAAAAAAAAAAAAAAAAAAAAAAAAAAAAAAAAAAAAAAAAAAAAAAAAAACTTAATAATTTATATCCTCCTTATGTTTGGTTTCGAAAACCTAATCCTCACTCCCCCTCCCCTTAAATCTATAAGTGGCTTATGTGGAAGTGGAAAATCTGAAATGCATCAATGGACATTATATCATCTTATCACCCTAAGTAATCCTAAAAAGCCATCCAAGACTCAAGAGCTTATTCAAAAAGTATATGGTATCTTGGAAGCTTTTGGACATGCCAAAACAACTTTTAATGAAAATGCTTCATGCTTTGGAAAATATCTTGAACTTCAGTTTAATGAGCGAGGTCGTATGATTGGGGCAAAATTTCTTGATTATATGCTTGAAAAATCGCGCATTGCTCATACATCTGGAGAGGAACGAAATTTTCATGTTTTCTATTATCTCTTACATGGTTCTTCTCCCGAAGAAAAGTCTGCACTTCATCTGAATAATTCATCATTATATTCATACTTATTTAAATCGAGAGAGGCAGCAAGATTAACTGCTGGTCTTATCAGTGAGGATGCTGAAAAATATAGGGAGCTTAAACAACTTTTAAAATCTTTAGGGATAAACAAGTCAAAGCTATTTCAAGTAATGCAAATCCTTGCTGCTATTTTACATTTAGGCAATTTACAATTTATAGACGATCCTACTAACGCACAGGATTCGGCTATCGTTAAGAATACGCTTGAACTAGAGATGACTGCAGAGTTATTAGGCGTTGAACCAAGGGCCCTCGAGACGTGTCTTAGCTACCAAACAAAACTCATTAAACGTGATTTAACAACTATTTTCCTTAATGCAGAACAAGCTGCAAATCAACGTGATGCACTTGCTGAGACACTCTATTCCCTACTTTTCTCCTGGTTGATCGAGATTGTCAATAAAAAATTATATAAATCCGAATTTCATAATTTTATATGCATCGTTGATTTCCCAGGTGTAAGCCCGACTAATTCAAATGCATCTTATGAACAATTTCGTTCACTCTATATGAATGAAAAATTGCATCATTTTATGCTTCAACAGCTCTCGGAGAGGAATACGGATGTTTATTCTTTACTAGGGATAACGCCAAATGACTTGTCAAGTACCATCTATAACGATTCCTGTATACAGCTCTTTGATGATCCTCATCATGGCTTGTTAGCATCCTTGTGCAAGTCATCTGCTACAGCAGAGAGTAGCCCTGAGCGCTGCTTAGATGATTTTAAACAACATTATCGTAAAGATCCAGTTTTGGGTTTAAAACCTATATCATCCAATGATACATCTTTTACTATTCAGCATTTTACAGGAACAGTAACTTATTCTACTCTTGAATTTGGTATACGCACGAGGGAGATAATCTGTGCTGATTTTATATCTTTATTCAATCCACAAGATCACAATAGTCCATACGATCTTCCAACTAATAAGCTGGTCACTAAATTATTTTCTCGAAGATTGACTTTGGCCCAAGAACATCCTAATGGCATTGACAGTGTAGCAGGTCAACAACTTGAAACACCCCATCGACCATCATCCTCTATGAATCAAAAATCAGCAGAACATATTGTAAATGTAAAGACAACTGGAGAGACAGTTATATTAACCGAGAGGCCCCTTTCACTTAAAACGAACGTAAACAGAGCGAATGAATTAAAAGAGGGCGTTCAAGGCATCATGTTGACTTTACATTCCACAAAATCATGGTCTATTCTCTGTCTTCGTTCAAATGATTTATTATTGCCCAATTCATGTGATCATAAGAAACTTGTAGCCCAGATAAAGACATTTCAATTATTACCATTCGTATTGAAAGCAAAACATGAGTATTCAATTCAACTTGATTTACAAGAATTTTGCGAACGATATGCTGATTTGATTTATGCTACTTCAGTTGACTTGGATGCAGAATCTGTAGATAAATTGCTTGCATTGAAAGAAGCTTTCCAATGGAATGAAAAAATGATATTACACGATACTCTGAAGGTATATAATTTTTTATTTTATTTTATTTATTTTTTATTCATATTGAAAGAAAACTTTAATACTTTTTTTTTTAGGTTTATTTAACAGAAACATCATGGACATTTTTAGAAAACAAATTGCGTTTTAATGAAAAACGAGAGCAACGAATAGCAAGATGTATTGCCAAGGGAATACCATATGGTATAGTGAGTTTTTTTTTTCTTTTATGTATATATTTATATAATTCTCATATTTATATTCATATATGTATATATTTTGGTTAAAGAGGATGTAATTGATACGATGAGTCAAACATGCTCACAATTTATTCCTCATTCCTGTAGATCGATAACGGAGACAAACTCTATTTATTCAGAGGAACTCTTTGACAGCTATCATGATGAAGAGTCGAATTCCACCTGTACTCATATTTGCAATAGTGTACTTGACACAACAGCTATAAATAATGTAAATAATAATGATCAAAAAAATGACAATAGTCTACATACAACAACCTCGAGTAGTAAAAAGAAGCAGAAAAGGAAAAGGAAGAGTAAATCAAGAAATTGTTGGCTTACGCTAACATGGATGACAACATGGTGGATACCAAGTTTTATTATGAGTTATATATGTGGTATGCGACGATCAGATATACGCATGGCTTGGCGAGAGAAAGTGACACTTTGTCTCCTCATCTTTTTATTATGTGCCATCATGGTTTGGTTTATTGCTTTCTTTGGTCGCCTCGTATGCCCTCATCAAGACCTTTATACGCAATCTGAATTACAAGCAAGAAGTTATCGAGACGATGCTTATGTAGCTATTCGTGGGGAAGTCTTTGATCTAACATCATTTGCGCCTCGTCATTGGGCCTCTGAAGTAATATCTACACAAGTTTTGTTTCAATACGCAGGGCAGGACGCAAGTGATCTCTTCCCAGTTCAAGTCTCTGCAGTTTGTGATGGAGTCAACGGCGTTGTACCCAAGGAAGTGACGCTAGAGGCCTATATTAATATTACAGATTCAAATGCAATCTATCATGATTTTAGAAGTTTCCAAGATGATTATCGTCCGGATTGGTATTTTGAACAGATGGTCTACCTGAGACGCAACTATCGCATTGGCTTTATGGGGTATGATCCTGAAGATATTAAAAATCAAGCTACCTTCCCTGTACAGATTGGTGGGATTAATACAAAGAGACAATGGGCTATTATTCACAAGAACGTATATGATTTAACCTCTTACATGCTGGGTCATCGTACACCTCGTGTCCCTGAGGGCCAACAGGTACCGACGGATATCGATGTCGACTTTATGGATAATTCAATTACAGAGTTATTTAGACAATTAGCAGGTACAGATATTTCCGCTCATTTTGATGCCCTACCATTAGATAGAGTCGTAAGAGAACGTCAAATGACTTGTCTACGTAATCTCTTTTTCGTTGGTAAAGTCGATACGCGTAACTCATTCCAATGTCTCCTGTCTGAGTATCTATTGTTGTTAATCACCGGATTTCTTTGTAGCGTCATCCTGTTCAAGTTTTTAGCAGCACTTAGGTTAGGTACACAGGTTACAACTGAAGAATATGATAAATTCATTATCTGTCAGGTACCCTGTTATACTGAGAGTGAGGATTCACTAAGGAAGACGATTAATTCATTAGCTGTGATGCGTTATGACGACAGGCGAAAATTACTTTTTTTAATTGCAGACGGTATGATAGTGGGTAGCGGGAATGATCGATCTACGCCCCGCATTGTTTTAGATATCTTGGGTGTTGATTCAAACGTGGACCCTGCGCCCAAATCCTTTCTATCACTAGGAGAGGGACGTAAACAACATAATATGGGTAAGATATACTCCGGTCTATATGAATACTCTGGACATGTAGTGCCCTTCATCGTTGTCGTTAAAGTAGGCACACCAGAGGAAAGACAAAAGCCAGGAAATCGGGGTAAACGAGATTCACAAATGGTTCTGATGCGATTCTTGAACAAAGTTCATTTTGATACCCCCATGACCCCAGTAGAGCTTGAACTCCATCATCAGTTAAAGAATATCATTGGAGTTAATCCTAGTTTCTATGAGTTTGTATTGATGGTGGATGCAGATACAGAGGTACTCCCGGATTCGCTGAACCGAATGGTATCCTGCTTTGTGAATGATGCCAAGATAGTAGGCTTATGTGGTGAAACAATGTTGTCGAATGAAAAAGATACATGGGTTACTATGATACAAGTATATGAGTACTACATCTCTCATCATTTAGCAAAGGCCTTTGAGTCCTTATTTGGATCAGTCACTTGTTTACCAGGATGTTTCTGTATGTATCGAATTCGCTCAACGACACGTAATCAACCTTTACTGATTTCAAACCAAGTTATTAAAGATTACGCAGAGAACCATGTTGATACGTTACACAAAAAAAATCTCTTGCACCTTGGTGAAGATAGATATCTGACGACACTCATCTTGAAGCATTTCCCAAACTATAAGACAAAATTCACACCCGATGCAGGCTGTATGACGAATGCACCAGATCAATGGCCCGTATTGTTATCTCAACGTCGAAGATGGATTAATTCTACTGTTCATAATCTGGGTGAATTAATGTTCTTACCTCAATTATGTGGCTTTTGCTGTTTTTCAATGCGATTCGTGGTCATGTTAGATTTATTAAGTACCCTCGTAATGCCTGCAGTTGTTTGTTATTTAGGTTACCTTGTATATCAACTTTGTACAAACACAAATCAAGTTCCTTTAATGTCTATCATCACTTTGGCTGGTGTATATGGTCTTCAAGCTGTCATTTTTATTTTACGTCGAAAAGTAAACCAAAAAAAAAAAAAAAAAGAAAAAAAAAAGAAAAATTGATTGTTTTTTGTCATACATTGGATCGGGTTATATATCTTTTTTAGAAATACTAATCCATATATGTATTTATAAATATTAGTGGGAACATGTAGGCTGGATGATCGTTTATATTTTGGCCATTCCAGTATTTTCATTCTTTATACCTATTTATGCTTTCTGGCATTTTGATGATTTCTCCTGGGGGAATACACGTATTGTTGTTGGAGAAAAAGGACAAAAGAAAGCAGTCGGTCCTGAAGAAGGAACATTTGACCCTGATTCAATTCCGACCAAATCTTGGTCTGAACATGAGCTAACGATATTGGAACAAGAAGAATGGGAAAAGCAGTCTAAATGTTGCCCTCATCATGATACATGCCTTTGTGAACAGTCGTCGCAATGCCAAATGAATGATGATAAAGATGTAGCGTATTCGGTCTATAGTAGTACAACTATGCCAGCAATGAATACATTAGAATTACATCATCATCCTCCTTCCTTTCATGAAAGGGACCTGAGCGTTATCGGAGGTAATAATATTAGTGATAATAGCTTTCATACAACAACAACAACAATAGATTTTTTTAATGACCCGAAACCCCCGTTCATGATTGAATCTTCTAATATTCGTCCTTCATCCTTCACTCTACTACCCAATGATGTTATGATAATGCAAGAAATAGAAAGAATTTTAAATGAAAATGATTTAATGCAATTGACTAAAAAGCAAGTTCGAGATAAACTTAGTGAAGTATTTAGAGTTGATATGAATTGTAAAAAAGACTTTATTAATCGATGTATTGATCATTCATTAACAAACAATAGAGTATAGTTTTTTTTTTTTCTATACATATAAAAATAAAATATTTTCTTGTAATAATTTATTCATTTTTTAGTACAAAGAATAGTTTTTATTAGTTAGGAGAAGAGTAGAAAAACCTTATCACATTTAAACTCAAAAAAAAGATACACAATAAAAATAATAATTATAAAAAAAAAAGACAATAAAAAATAGAGTTGATCAAATTCGTATGAAATGTTTTATTATGTTATGAAAAACCAGTTTCATAAAGCTATTTATTTTTTTTTCTTTATCAAAAAGAAGTAAATATGACATAGAATGAATTTCTATTTTTTTTTTCTAACCAGAGAAAAACCAAAATGCAGAATATATGTATATATTTAAACAAATTTCCAATGAACAGTTACTCTTCCTTGATCAAGATCAGCAATCTTTTCAAAAGCAGCAGGAGATAAATCAACGGAACCACTAGAACAACCAGGGCAGGTATCGACAATCTTAACAGTAACAGATCCCTTAGGTCCAGTTACTTGAATATGCTTACCACAGTTAGGATTATGGTTAGAATTAGCACCATTAGCCATTTGAACATGATTTAAGGCAACAATCATATCACTATCTGTGTTGGTCCAGCCACAAGATCCGAGTCCAGCATTATAGAAAGTACCATCACCGGTATAAGTTTTACCTGAGCTAGAAGAGGAAGAAGAACTCTTCTTAATTTTAGCTGTGATAGTTGCTTCTGGTGTTGTAGTTGTTGTAGTTGTTGTAGTTGTTGCAGTTGTTGTTTTAGACTTATGATGATGCTTGCGATGTTTGTGAGAAGTAGTAGTAGTGGCAGTAGTAGTAGTAGTAGTAGTGGCAGAAGCAGAAGCAGACGCAGACGCAGACGCAGAAGCAGAAGCAGAACCAGTAGCAGTAGTAGTAGTGGTAGCAGTAATAATAGTAGTAGTGCTTGTAGGTTCTTCATCCTCCTCCTCATGATACTTTCGAAGCATTTTAATATAAGCTGAAGGGGAAGAACCAGCTTCCAATTCAGCATTACTAATAGGAGCAGTGGATGCAATATATGTACATGCAACTAAAACAATAGCAATACAAAGAATAATACGAGAGGTAATATGAGACATTATCAAAATGTAATAAAAAGATGAATGAGAAATAAAAAGAAATTATTGCTAAATGTTTGTATTTTTATACTTTTTTAAGAAATGGAAAATCCCGCCCACGTTTTGTACTTTATGTTTTACTTATGGCAATCATAATTTCGGTTCCTTAATTTGTTACTAAATAAAGTAATTATTTGATGGGTCCTGATATATTATTTGAGTTCGAAACTTAATTTTTATTCTTATTTTATTTTATTTTTTGAATAAACAAGAAAGAAAAAAACTTAAATTAAATAGCAGATTCTGTAAAGAAAAAAAATTTTTTTTTTATCTTATACACGAGTATATCTATCTAAATATGTCTGTCTGTCTGTAAAAAAAAAACAAAAAAAAAAAAAGAAATAACTGCTATCAAAATAATTAAACTGGACTTAAGGTCGTATATAAAAGCAGTGATTAGGATCAATATAGAGTTTATTTTATTAATAGCATAATATATAGTTACATAAATTTGCAATTTATAATATGTACAAAAGTAGAAAATTTTATAAGATTCGGATATCTGGATGCTCTAGGCCTTCACAATAATAGAAGTAACACAAAGTTTTTTTTATGGAGAATTGAGGATATCACTATCAATTTCTATATTGTGTAGGACTCTGTTAATTAAATAATGATCTTCCCGAACTGATTGACTCCACTGCTTTCCAAATTTAGTAGCCATATAACTCAAATAGTATATTATAAAGCCGATTAATACAGAGGGGAATGTCATTTGAAGGGTGTTTACTTGCTTTAAAGGATTATCTTTATCTAATAATAGTATTGAATATAATCGAAACATAATAATAATATTATCTTTTCTTTACCTAGTATATGTATTTTGGCATAAACAAAGATAAAAGGCAGGAATACAGTCATCAATCCATAAAAGAGAATTGGGCCAATCGAACTTTTCATTTCTCGGTTGAAATTGAAACATTTGATACCATTATTTTGTATCTATTACAATATATGTAAGTAATAAAAGGAAAAAAAGAAAAAAAAAAAGAGAAAAGAAAAAAGAAAAAAAGAGAAAAAAAAAGGAAAACATACCCTAATGAAAGAAGTATACAATTCATTTTCTGGTAATCTTGAAAGTAAAGAATAAAATAAAGTTAGACAGACAACGCCGTTTGACCAAAGAAAAAAGACGTTTATAACGGGGGCCTTTGCTCCCCAGTTCTGAAATGGTATAATGATATACAATTGAAGTATCCATCCAAATATCATAGGAATTAGAATCCCAAATGAGATTGTAATGACACATAAATTAAATATCTATTTTATATATAATTTCAATTAGCTGGTCTTTATCTTTTTTTTTTTTTTTTTTTTTTTTTTTTTTTTTTTTTTTTTTTTTTTTTTACATAAAAACAAGTTACCCATAGTAAGCTATTTATTAAACTCTGGCGATTGATTAAAGAATAATGCAATACAAGTTCTCTGATTTTTTTTGCTATAAATCCGGTAGAAATTATAGTAATGCAGCCAAACCAATAAGTATAAATATCATGGATTTTTTTTTCTGGCTGGGCATTGATACCAAAATAATTAAATAACCAACGTCCTATAGCAATCGGTCCTACAAAAATGTAACATAATAAAGCACACCATGAAACCCAAATGATAATCATAAAGGCAGTTAACCTTAATTTGAATTGAGGAGGTATATAAACTACAGTTGTGTTCTCTGATTCTTCTTCTCGTGTCCTAGCTGCTGGGTGTCCTAATAATCTTTCTTGTGGATCAATGGCTTCTAATGTAATTGGATCAACCGGTACAACCATACGACGTCCAGGAACAAATCGAACTCCATCATGATTGGGTACACGAACAAGTTGACCCGTTCTAATAAATGTGACTTCTTGTTCTTTTTCTTCTTCTTCTCCTTGATTGTTGCCTTGAGTTAGATTTAGTCCGGGGCGTTGAATCCAGGCCATCCAGGTCTTATAATAAATATATCCTTCTTCCCTAACTGGTCTTCCACCCAATAGGAAAGAAGAAAGTCGGAGTTGCTGACATAACCAAGTTACCCATCGAACCATTAGATTTTCTAGTAATTTTTTAGGATTAAAATAATTAACTAATGCCGGAATAATTATCATGACAATAAGTAAATCAAAAGGAATGGTCAACAAAGGCTGTGTATAACTCCATTTGAGTGGTAGGATACCATCAAAAATAGATCCAATCGCTGCTACTAAACCACCTACACCTAGTTCAATTACAAGCCCATAAATAATTGCACTTGCACCAATTTTTTGTAACTGTGTAAAGAACGGTCGCTCTACTAATTCTTTAATTGGATTAAATTGAGGATCATTAGGATCTCGGATAAACCAGATAACTCCTGGGCGAACTATTTCTCGACAAAATGTGACCATGCTCGTAAACAAGAACATAAAACTAGTTCCTACTGCCCAATGCATGAAGATAGAGCTAATCGTATTTTCTTTAAGAAATGTTATGCGTTTGTGAATAGCCATTAAATGCCCAGCTGCTCCACTACTACTACTACTACTACTACTACTACTACTACTACTACTACTACTACTGCTTCCAATTTTATAAAACAAAGAAAGTCCAACAGCATCAAGTAGTAAGCCACAACCAAGAGGAAATAGTGTCAACTCGATAGTAATAAAGAATAAAACCTTTAAAAGGATACCTAAATGTCGAATAATTTGACGGGCAGTACGACCGATTCGAGCATACATATTGTTTGTTTTTGAGAGATAGAATGAACCAATAAAAACTAAAATAAGATAACCTGTTATAATACAACCCGTACGGTCCATAGTGGTAACGCCATTTGACATTTGGGAATAGGATTTAAGAAAGTCCTTGAAAAATGGTGTAATATACTGCCATCCAGACACTATATCGCGCCATAATGAAATAGTATAGGATTGAGATGAGGGTCCTAAGAGAATATTCGATGATGATAAAGATGCAAATTTTTTGTCATCATCATCAATTTTCGTTGTGATATTTAAAGTTGAGAAAAACTTGACAAGACTTTGTGCAATGTGTAGAGCAGTCAAAATAATGGATCGGATCCATACAGGCGTCCATGAAGGTATCCATTCTGAAATAGGGTCCAATTGACTATAGAATACAAGCCAAGTATCATAAAAAGGTTCCAAAAGACATGTTGAGAAAAAGTGTAGAGTATGAGTTAATGTAATGAATGGAGGTTCCCAAGGCTTTAATATGATAAAAAATACACCCAGAATATAAGGAAGCCATATGCCTACTCCTAATCCAAGACACATAAGAAGGATAATGATACCCGAATTTTGAAATAATATAAATAAACTTCCTTTCATGCCTATTGCCTCTAATATACCATCCATATCTTCAGGGCCAGCTGCTTCACGTATTATATTATCATTTTCATTAGCCACGTTATTTTCAAATATAACAGCTTCATTATTGGGTCTAAATAAAGGCTCTTGTGGATGAATATCATTATACGTGTTTTCCGGTTGATTAATTTCTACTTCTTCCTCAGATTCATCAAAATATCCATCATCGTCATCATCATCATCATCATCATTATCCACATCTTCAACTTCCAAGTTAAGAAAATGCTGCCCCGTAGTTGATGTTGTATTGCTTTGATGTTGCTGGTCAATATCTGCTAACCACATTGCTTCCAAATTTTCATAATCTGAGGGTTCTTCATGTAATAATAAAGGTCTTCTGCTGCTTCGTCTTCTCGCTCTACGAATAGTTTCTGATGGGACTTCATTTAAAGGTAATGTAGTATCCAAAGTATTTTGTTCCTGTTGTACCCCTCTTGCTTCGTATTGTCCTAATATCATATCTTCTTCTTCAGATTCCAATAACTCATCATCTTGTAATTCAGCAGGAACATTTTGAATAATCCATTCGCGTAATAAAAACCCAGCAATGAATATGATCATGACGATAGATGATATTAGCCAGCCATATAAACAATCATGCAATAATTTATCCATAAAACCTTTGTTAGTTACAGTTAAATTAGGCTGATCCTGAAGCTGAGAGACACCGAGAATACAGTAGACGAAAAAATAACGTATTATATTTGCATTCCAGAAATAAAATCTCCATATCCAAAAAGTAATGTAGGGTACAAATACCAACCAAATGAATAGGACTAGTAAGGAACGTAGTGTTAATATAAATAATTTGTATAACCATTTTGTCAAATGATGAATCCATATTTTTGTTGGTATTTTAGCAGGCATATCTGATTTATATATAGGCGTGAATTTGTAGTTATAATTACATAATTCACAATATCTATTATATTATTATTATTAGAAGTTTATTCTATTCTAATTATACATGTACTTACTTTTTTTTGCTATGTGATAACCAATCTAATAAGCTGCATAAATTTGTAAAGTTAATTTGTGTGTATTACATAAATGTATATAAATGTGTATACATATAAAAATATAGATGCATGTTTTTTACCATTTTTGATGTACAAAACGAATACTTCCTAAGCATTTACAAGGATGAAATAAAGGCTCCTCTAAGGTAGCTTCACCTCGACACACTCTACAAATCTCCTCTTCTATAATTGTCATGATTGTAAAACTTAATTTCAGTTTTTATTTAATTTTTTTTTTCTTTCTTTCAATTTACCTTCTTCCATTACAAATTATATACTATTGAATGAACGAAAAAAGAAAATAAAAGAAAGGAATAAATTATTGCATAAAAAAATAAAAGAAAGAAGAAAAGAAGGAATAATTTGATAAAAATCCAAACTGTTTTGGGATATTAAAATAACAACATCAAGTGAAATTGATGGCAGTTCTTCTCGGACTCTGTATTTTATTTTAAAACACGAAAATTCTACCTTTTTTTTTAAGACACAAAAATTCTACCTTTTATTTTATTTTTTTCCTTTTTGCGTCTTTTTTTTTTTTTTTTTTTTTTTTTTTTTTTTATATATATATATATATATATATAATTATTTTTCAAATGAGTGATATTAAAGCTCATTTGTTTCCATTTTCTGTTGAAAAAGACGAAACTATCAATTCAAAGAATTACTTTATAGTCAAAAAACAAAAAGATGAAAAATATGAAACTGTCGTGTTAGGTCGAAAACTTATTGGACTTCCTGTTACATTGAGCCATGATTCAACAACTCGAGGTACATTAACTTAGATCAAGACGAGATTAAACTTAAATTATTGTTGATGTAGGTTTTGTTTGGAAAAGATCAATAAATAATGAATACAATGATGAAGATCTTCAAGAGGAAAGATTAGAAAATATGAATTGGATAAAAACAGATAAAACGATCGACAAGTTTATTTTATGGAAAAAAGATACAGCTCCTGATTCACAAGATTCTAGAATTAATGCTTTACATAATTGGATCGATATTTCTCAAGCTGTAAGTTTAATCAGCTTTAGCCCTTTTTTTTAAGTACTGACCTTCTAATAAAATAGATGAATGAGCCTATACCTTTACCAAATAAATCATAGTATAAATAGATTTCAAGTCATTTGCTTTCTCAGTCAAAGGGGAGGAGGGAGGTTTTTTTTTTTTTTTTTTTTTTTTATTGTTATATTATTTAAATTGTAGTAGAATATTTATCAAGTCGAATATCCAAGCAACGTCCACCATACATGTAGCCATTGAATCGTTCTAATAAAATATATTAGACATGTCTATTTTTCTTTTTTTTCCCTTTTTACTATTACTATTATTATTATTTACCAATTGCTTTTTCACAAGTAGCAGCATCTTCAAATCGAACAAATCCAGCACCTTTTGGATGACCATTTGTAGTTAATATTTCTGATCTTATGACAGGTCCTACATGTCGAAATAAATCAATCAGGTCTTGCCATGTAGTAGAAAATGGAAGCTAAAATATTAAATATGTGAATATTTTTATTCAAGTTTTCAATTTCAAACTTACATTGTTCACAAAAATTTGATTATGTCCATGAGTAGGCAAATTAGCAGCAGGACCACCCACTAAGCCCATAGTAGCATATAAAGGCAAGGGCGGTGGAGGTGGTAAATGGGGATGGTGTAGTGGTGGTGGCGGTAAAGCATTTGCAGTTTCTAACCCACCGTATCTGTATATATTGTACAAATCTGCTGTTTTCATTGGTAATGGTTGTGCAGTTGTTGGTGTTGTTGTTGTTGTTGTTGTTGGCGCTACTACAGCTGTTGCTGCTATTTGTGGTGGTGGTGTCTGTAGTGATTCATGAGCAGAAGTAGGTAAAGGATATCTAGTATGATTACCGTTTATGGATATTTCTGTTTGTATTGTTTGTGGTGAGGGTTTACTATTATCATTCGTGTTGACTAATCTTTCCATATATCTCTCTTCTTTCACTTCTAATCTATGACCTTGCCATTCATAGCCATTAAATATTTCTATATATTATCAAATTAGTATAACTTTAATATCCTTTCTTTCTTCTTCTTCTTTCTTTACCAATAGCAGTGCGTGCAAATCGAGGTTCGTCAAAAATCACAGTGCCATGACCATTAGGTCTCCTTGATCCAATATCCGTATGTACATCAGTATGTAACACTCGACCAGCCCTTCTAAATAAATCTTTCATATCTTGCCAACTTGCATTCAAAGGTAACTATTACAAAAAGGAAAAAAAAAAGGTTATTAGATTTAAAACAAATATTAACTCGTAAATAGATTACATTGCTAACATGAAGTCGACAATCATCAGGTGCATCATGAGGGTCTCTAGGTGGACCCGAATGTTCATAATCACGATCCTATAAAATGAATATAAATTAATTCATTTTTTTTATGCAAATAGATGTATATTAATATTTATAAATAAATAAGATATAAAACATACTTCTCTCACAAATACAGGTCTACCCATAAATTTAGCTTCATTTAACATGTGAATTGCTCTTTTAGCATCTTCTGGATATCTATATTCTACTATACTATAAAACAAAATTAACCCTACAGACACTAATAAATTGAATTCAACAATCATACCCGCAGCCTTTTGATCGTCCATTTGCTAATTTCAATATGTCAACATGTGTCACTTGTCCAGCTAAAATTGAATGAAAACAAAAAAAAAAAAAAAAATGATGTTAACGTTCCATTTTATTAAACTAGACATAGCGTATTTACCTTCTCTCATAAAATCTTTGAGTTGTGGCCAAGTAACGTCAAAGGATAGATTACTAACATAAACTCTACAACCTTTATTGATGGGAGGTCTACGACGATAATGTGGAGGTGGTGTTCTTGAACGATAATGACGCGGAGGAGGTGATCTCCTGTGATGATGAGGTGGAGATCGTGAGTAATAATGATGATAATTTCGATTCGAATTACTTCTATAAGGAGAACGAGAGCGTGAAAGAGAGTAAGAGTGAGAACGGGAACGTGACCTACGACGACGTGAATAAGATCTCGAACGTGAGCGGGATCGTGAATATGAACGTGAACTAGAACTTCTTGTAGAACGGGGTGAATACAACCGATTATGTCTCGGTGATGGTGAGTGGTCTCTTCTATATAATCGAGGTGAAGTCGACCTTAAAGCGGGTGAATGACTTTGTTCACTCATGTATGTGCAATATGTATATAAAAGAAAAGAAAAAGAAAAAGAAAAAAAAATACTAAATAAATAAATATAGCCAGGTCAGAGAAATAATTCTCTTTTTTTTTTTTTTTTTTTGAGTTTCAAATATTATGTAATAATTTGAACAATATGTACAATACAAGAAATATAAATAGGTTTCTGCTTTATTTATTTATTTATTATATATAGATGGTATAATATATCTTTGTTCCAAGACATATACGAATCTTTATTTCAATTGTGAGTTTTCTTGAATCTCACCCAGATCTCATTTGATTTCTCTTCTCCTTTATTCATTTCACCCATCGTATTGAAAATAAGATCCCAGTTCTCAAAAGTATTACCAACATCTTCAGCACATTCTGTTAGCTTCTTCATACTCTCTGAAAGTCCACGAAAATAAGTGACCATCTGGGCGCTTAAATCTTTTACTTTATTTGTTTCTTCTACTTCTCTTAATTTTTCTTTGATGAGATCAAGCTTTGCTTGTGAAGCTGGATTATTAACAATCACTTCTTCACTTGTTGTCTTTGACGTGTTTTGTTGTTGTGCTGTTTTATGAGTATGCCTAATTGCATCTCTTTTTGAATATGATCGTTTCATTTAAAAAGAAAGAAGAAGAAAAAAAAGAAAGAATAATAATAATTATAAAAATATTCAAAGAAATTTTTATTCTGTCATTGAAAAAAAAAAAAATCTGACTGATTTGAAAGGAATAAATAGAAGTTTAAGAAAGTTGAAGAGAATATCTTTTATTATTTAAAAAGTACAAAAAGAAAAAGGCAATTTGCTTTATGTTAATTCATTTCATTGCTTGCTAACTATTCCTCTTTACCTAATATATATACTTTTTTTTTTTGCTTTAAATGATAAAGGCTTTATATAGTCATTTTCATTCATTTATTTATTGGTACATTAGTTTATTGTATATTTACATTATTATTCTAATTTAGTAGTCATCGAACTGAACATGTCACGAACTTGCTCTATAGTCATTGTGCCTAAAACATCACCTTTACGCGTTCTTACATTTACAACGCCTTCATCCATTTCCTTTTGTCCTACAACAAAAATAAAATTATATTGTTGGAGTTGAGCTTGACGAATCATTTTATTGAGTCGATCATGAGAATTGTTGACATCAACGAAATAGTGTGCATTATCACTTGTTGTATTTGTGCCCAGGGATAGATGGTCAGCTACTTTTTTAGCATAGTCTGAAAATGGTGTGGCTACAGGAATAACAATACCTTGACGAGGACTCAACCAAAAAGGCCATTTACCTCCTGTATGCTCAATTAAGATGGCCATCATTCGTTCAATGGACCCAAGAATAGCACGATGAACAATCACAGGTGTTTGAGCTTCATCATTTTTATCAATGTATTTTAATCCAAATCGCTGAGGTAATTGAAAATCGAGTTGGATCGTAGCTGTTTGATGAGATTTACCACTTGAATCCTTCACCATAATATCAATTTTAGGTCCATAAAAGGCTCCATCACCTTCCTTAATTGTCCATGGACGTTCACTTTTATTTAAAGCTTGAATCAAGGCTTCTTCAGCATGATTCCATTCTTCGATTGTACCAATGTAATGTGATTTAGGTCTAGTCGATAAAGTTAAATCATAATGCGGGAATTTAAACGCTGAATAAACATGATCTACAAATGATAAACATGAGGTAATTTCTGAAGTAATTTGTTTTTCTGTACAAAAGATGTGAGCATCATCTTGATGAAAACGACGTACTCTTGTCAAGCCTGTTAATGCACCGGAAGCCTCATTTCTAAAATAGTTGATTCATTTATATGTCTAAGTTCTTTTTTTATTTTATTTTTTTTTTCTTTTTCTTTTACATACCTATGAAGAGGACTAAAGTCAGCTAATCGAATAGGAAGATCACGATATGATTTAGGTGTGCTATCAAAGATTAGACAATGACCAGGGCAATTCATAGGCTTTAATCCAAACAACCCTTCATTTGTATCTATGGAATGATCTTTATCATCATGACTATGAGTACAATCATGAGCATGTCCACTTTTGACCATAAACATGTCTTCCATATAATTCTGCCAATGTCCACTTGTTTCCCATAAATCCTTTTTATAAATTAGAGGGGTCATCACTTCTTGATACCCATACCGAGCATATTCTTTTCTTAAAAAATCTTGTAGCTTATGTACAATTCGAGTTCCATGAGGTAGCATGAAGATTGAACCAGGACTAACGGGATGAATCATGAACAATGATTGTGCTTTACCAATAGTTCTATGATCATGTTCAGTTATCTTTGAGACGTCTTTATTTTCTTTTAAAGGAAAAAAAAAAGTTAATTTTTAGACCTCAACTTTTATTGTTTATATATAAATACATATTACCATCTACTTTTGCTTCTGTTGCAATTTTATTTGAGCAAACTCTAGATGTATGAAAGGAACGTGTAATAGGCTGTTTGTGTAGAATAGCATCTAATTATTAGTATTGTAGGATAAATAACAGGAAAAAGTAAAAAAATAAAAAAAAGAATCTTCAGGTTAACTTAATAGTGTTCTTACAAGAATTTAACCTTAAAGTACGTATTAATTGTCGAGAAATCATTATGTAATAAAAAAAATAAATAAATAAAGTAGGGGTAAAGAAGACAATAAATCCCTACGTTTATGTAAGAATATAGCTTTGACCAGTCACAATTTATATAGGATGTATTTATATATTTATTATTACAATATTTTTTCATTATTATTATTATTACTATTTCTTAACAACCTGCACAACATCTTCATCGGCAACCAGATGATTAATACCAACACGCTGAGGATTATGTTTTGTTGATGTTCCCTATAGGAAAAGGATGACATTTAATATTTTTAACAACTAAATTATGACAAATGTATATTTACCCAAACTAAAGCATATCTAAAGTTATCAGCTAAACTTCTGTGAATAGCATGACAAACATGTTCAATAGTAGCACCATTTCTAACAACAAGGCCATCTTCAAAATCAGGGAATTCACCTCTTTTCTTTGTATATACACGCATTAAATTTAATTTTTTCCAAATGCTTTCTACAAGATAATCTAGATTAAGATCTTGTTCACAAGAGACTACAACTGTATCTGGTTGATGTGCTAAACGATCTACTTCCTCTAAACTAATTTGATCAATTTTATTATAACACTATAAAGGATAAAAATGATATGAGATTCTATTTATTTTGCTAGTTTTTTCCCCTCTCCCATCATTGTAGCCTTACATAAAGACATTTAATGTATCTTCTATTTCCAAGAATAACATCAATAAATTGGTCTACAGTGATATCTTCACGAATCATAATATCCGCATTAAAAATTTCTATTTACACTATGTTAGATAAGTGTTCCTTAACAATTGGTTTCTACATACTATAATCATGTAAAATATTATGAACCATCTTTTGATCGATTTTAGTTAATTTAACAGTTGAATTAAAACTGATACCGCCTGCTTTCTTGATTTTAAATGAAACATTTGGGAAACTTTGATTTAAACGAATACCAACTGCTTCCAATTCAGCTTCTAACAAAGGTCTAATATTTTATAATAAATCAGGTTTAATATCCTATGTACATGAATAAACTTACCTTTGTTGTGCTGATTTGGTTGCATCCAACATCATCAAAACAACGTCAGCTGTACGAGCAACAGCAATCACTTGACGACCACGACCTTTACCTTCAGCAGCGCCTTCAATAATACCAGGCAAATCAAGTAATTGAATATTGGCTCCCTTATAAAAGAATTTACCAGGAACACACGTTAAGGTTGTAAATTCATAACCTGCAACAGCTGATTCGGTTGTTGTTAATTTAGAAAGTAAAGTTGATTTACCAACTGAAGGAAACCCAATCATAACTACACGTGCATCACCTGATTTCATTACATCAAAACCTTCACCCTAAAACCAAAAAAATAAAAATAAAAATAAAATAAAATAAAAATCTGAAACTGATCAATATGAAAAAAGACCTCTACTATAATATTAAATGACTAACCTTTTCAGATTTTGTTTTAGAGCCTTCTAAAAGCTGCACACGATATTTAGCTAATTTAGCCTTTAAAAGACCGAGATGGTACTCAGTAGCTAGATGAATATTTAGCTCAATGTCAATTTTAAAGAAAAAAAAAAAATCATGTATATTTTCAAATTCTCATCATATCAGTCTAACCTTTGTTCTTTTGTGTACGCTTAATTTCATTTTCGATATCTTGAATCTTTTCTAGAATACCCATTCTTAATTTATATAAGTTGAATAAGAACAAGAAAAAAAAAAATCGAAAAAAAAAATAACGGATACATCCTTTCGTTTTGAAAGTCACGTAATAATAAGAATTGCTTTTTATCAATTTTTGGTAAAATTTTATTACATGATGATAGCAATTCATGCCATTTTATTTTTTATGTATATAAGTTAATAATAATAATACAATGAATTATCTTTTATTAAGATCTATCCCTCATCTTTTGACGCTTTGACTTTCCTGGTCGTTTAATGCTGCTCTTTTTACCAAAAGACATGCCCTTCTTTGCAGGATTCAAGGGGTTTTGTAAATTTTTATTTTTCTTACCCAGAGAATATTTAGCATCCTAAAGCATACCCTACTTGTTAATATACAATATAGACTCGTTTATATCACTATACCTTTGTATCTCTGGTATAATTCTTTGGTAATCTATCCTGAGTATTAGCATTTGTAGCAGCAGCAAGTCTTTCTGCTTCCTCTAAATCTAAATTAAATTCATCCTCAAGAGTAACTTCTGAACCTTCCTTTTTCTCTATTATATATAAATGAATAAATACATACACACATATACATCAATAAAACTATACACAACATACTTCTTTTTAATATTTTGGCTCGTTCATTTGCTTTTGCCTTTTTACGCTCTTTATCAAATAAGTTCAATCTACGTAAGGCTTCTTCATTTCCATCCTCAGCTTCTGCCACTAATTTTTGTCGCACAGCCTCCATCTGTTGATCGTCTTTCAACATGGGTGCAATAAAGTCCTTCGGCTTGAAGAAGGTTATCTTTCTTCCCGTCTCTTTTTCTTCTTTAACTGCTAATTCACGAGCCAAATAAACTGCTTCTAATGCTTGTCTTTCAAACGCTTGTTCACGTAAAAGATCGTCAAAGACATCAGCTACTTGGAGCGGTTCTTTAGATGTTAATGATAATGTTTCGCTCCAAGGTAAATTTTTTAATTCAATATCCTCTGTAATACGTTCTAAAGCTTGCTTTTTTTATTCCGCACACAAATAAATAAATAAATAAATACATGTATTAGATTAGTTGACAAACATTGAATTATTACTTTATCCATTGCAAACCTCATTATTCACTAAAAGCTTTTGCACAATCACCATATCACCGAATTCATCATCAATGTCATCTTCATCAAGATCTTCTAAACGAATCCATTGAGGTTCTATTTCTTCTTCTTTTGCTGATACATTGGTTGTTAAAGTAGGATCTATTGTAGGATTCTTGGAATCGTTATTGTCTAGTTTAATCTTTTTATGTTGTGGCTCCATTCTCAAGTCGAATATTTATAGAAAAAATAAAATAAACAAGTAAAATAAAAAGGTATCGTTGTGAATGATACTTGGATGGCTTAGCCTTATGTTTTTTTTTATTCGGCATTTCAAAATAAAATAAAATAAAAATGAACTATTTAAACATAAGCATAATGTAGTAGTAGTAGTAAATTCATGCCAACTAGGATAATATGCATATACATATTTACATGTGTGTTATATTGCACCTTTATACATATACATATATATATTAAATTTAAACATGTTGCACTTGAGTTATTAAAAAGGCTATTTGTTCAGCGACATCAGATAATCTTGATTCTTGCTCCCCATGATTTCCTCCAAAGTGACCGCTATCTAAATCCATTTTAAGTAAGACGATGGACTTGTTGTTTTCTTGTTGAGGTGGCATAAAATGTCGAAGTCTTGCTACAAACTTTAAAGGCTGCCAATAAGCTACACGTTGATCCTTCATACCACCCGTAATATACAACGAGGGAAGTTGCTGATGTGTTTGAAATAGGTTCATGTTGATATTTTCGTAAGGTGAATAAGATTTGATAAGATCATAGGCTTTAGGGTTTCTGGAAGGGTTCCCCCATTCAGGATATTCAATCTGAGTTAATGGTAATTTAGGATTTAGCATGGAAGATAATGGATCTACAAAAGGCACTCTTAGAACAAGTGCTTTAAAAAGATCAGGCCTCATATGTAGCATAGCACCCACCAGTAGACCACCTGCACTTGTTCCCATAGCAGTGAGATAGTTAGGCGAGGTTACTTTGTATTTTACTAAATGTTCTGCAACCGATATAAAATCCTTGAAACTATTCATTTTTTTATCAAGTTTACCATCTTCATACCAATCTCTGCCTAACTCTCCACCTCCTCTATAAATAGATATCATCGTTATAAACAAGCATTCCTTTATTATCCATATAACAGTAATACCTAACGTGAGCTAATGCAATGACCCATCCACGTTCTATCAAAGGGAATTGTTCTATTCGGAATCCAACATCAGTAGATGTACCATAAGCGCCATAAGATTTCATTAATACAGGATTTCTAAAAGCAAAAAAAAAAAAAAAAAAAAAAAAAAAAAAAAAAAAAAAACCGATAAATAAACTTTATCTTTTCTTTTTTTACATACATAGTATGTAGTAATAGTATTCACCTTCCATTTAATATAATATTTTTTTGATGTATCAATGTCACTGGGATTTGTTTATCATCATGTGATTTAACATGAATTTGACTACAGGTATATTTTGATCTATCAAATTCTATTATCCTTATATATCAGTTGTCATATCATTTCTATACACGCATATACACTTACTTTGAATAAGTTGGACTCTAATAGGGCTTAATGTATGAGTCGACATATTGTATTCATACGTAGATTCATGCATAAATGGGGAAGTGATTGAAAATCGAAATTTATCTGTATTAAAGTCCTACATTTGAAACTAATAAATTTAAAAAAAAGGGATTTTTTTTTTTGTTGTCAATTTTACCAAATTAGTGCCTGGATTTAAAACACAAAATTTCTCTGGTAATTCGAGTTGATGCGTTTTTTTCAGATCAAGATCATAACATAATATCATTGGAAGTCCATCTTTTCGACCATAAATAATGACGTTATTCTTTTTATAAAATAAAATAAAAATATTAGCCCTTCCTTCAATATCATTCATTAGTCATATTTACTTACTTTAAATAAATCAACATCTTCTATTTTCTCAGTAGGCTGCATCGTAATGACATCTTTCCAATTGGACTTTGCTATTGCATTATCAGGTGTTTTTACTAATTTGAAGTTTTTTGCATTATCAGCATTTGTCAATATATAAAATGTGTCCTATTATAAAAAAGATTTGAACTAAAGTAAACGTTTTTTTTTTAAAAAATTGACAACTTTACATTATGATGATCTACGTAATATTCAATGCCTGGTTGACGAGGTTCAACAAGTCGAAGTTGTGGTAATAATTTATTTTCGAATGTATATTTAGCATCTACAACTCTAACTTCAGAAGATGAAAGGGTATTTGAATTAATGGTTATATAATTCTAATAGAATTAAATAAGTGAGAATGATATATTTATATTGATATGTTATAGAGCTACTTTGAGCTACTTTACTCCATCTTTTGAACTTGTAATGTCTACAAATATTGTATCATCTAATTCTTCATAAATAAGTATATCATCTAATTGATTTGTTCCAATTCTATGTGCATAAACCTTTTTTTTTAATATTGTTAGTCATGTTTCTTCCCCTCCTTCCTTCCTTTCTTTTTTTTTTCCTTCTTGTTACCTGAAAAGGCCTTAATTGCTCATTAGGTACAGTATAATAAACAACTTGATTATTTGCCCATACAAAATTAAATACATTTTCCAAGACTTCATTCTATATACATACATTCATATATTTTCAATATTAAAAGTACGTGTATTACTACTGCTCTCTTCTTTTTTTTTTTACCTTCCAATCAGATCTATTATTTAAATCCTTAAAATGTAATTCACCATATTCCATTCCTTCTCTTTCTGTATTATATGCAAAGATTGTATAATCAGGCGAAAGTAGTACTTTGCGTATTGACATATTCATTGATCTTAAAAATCCTGAATTTAATAAAACTTGCTATTATACATTAAATTAAATGAGCCAATTATCTTCTGACAAAAAGATAATGTCTTTTTATTATTATTTACCTCAGATGCATCCATTTCGCCTACTTTCTTTCTTAAATAAACTAAACCATAAGGTGAAGTTGTAGAATAATATTCATAACCATGAGCTACTGTCTTGAGAGGCTCTAATACAGTTGGAATATGTAAACGTTTTTTCATTTCACGTAATATAATTTTATGTAAAAATCGATGCTGATGCATTGTTTGGCGTGTGTATCTTGAAAGAAAACTATTAGTTTTATATCATTTAACACTATTCTTTCTTACTCATTTTCTGATTTTATATATGAACCAAGATGCTATAGAGAAGGCACATATACATAAATATGTTAATTTTCTTTTCTTTTTTTTTTTTCCTTCTTTAACTTTACTTTATTTGATAAATTTTCCATCCATGAAAATAAATCTTCTCGTGGCTTTCCATGATGTATCTGAATATCACTAATTGTTTTGGGAATAGGTGCTTTATGGGCCTTTCTAAATAAAATTTCAAAAGCTTTAAATACGTTTTGCTAATCTTTTTTTTTTTTTTTTTTTTTTTGGCAACCTTACTTTAAAAACACTTTTCGAAGAGACGTAAATAATAATCGAGTCTGGTTATGAGATAGACTATCAAATAGGTAGAGAGGGTTTATTTTTTTTTTATGCTAAATTAGAATATTATTTTATTTTATTCTCTTTAATGTACCTATGGCTGCGAATAATACATTTCGAAATGGCAATCATGTATTTCGTAATTTTGTTTATTTTTTTTATAAGAAAAAGAAAAAAAAAAATAGTTTATCAGGGAGCGGGGAAAGGGGTTGTGGATGTGCACCCCCCCTTTTTATTAATTATTGTAAAGTCACAATGCTTTTATAAAATGAAGGGATGATCAAAAGTGACTCCTTTATTATAAATATTTATATACACGCATATTTATAATGATTATACTATAGTCAACATCTATTCTATAGTAGTCGTGTTTTATTGCTTTTTAAATTTATCAATAAATTCTTGTTTAAAGGTGGATTGAGTTGTCTTTGGAAGAATGATAAATGAAGGTACGCCATTTTTAATAACATATTGATCCAGTGATAAAATCTTGCCCAATGATAGTTTTTTACCAATTTTAATAAGTTTAGGATTTAATCCACGTGTATCTTCGAAATAAACTTCGACGTTATTCACTGTATATTCATGCTTAGAATCCCAAGGTGCTGGCTGTTCAAACATGACTTCTAAATGATCTTGAAAAGTATGTGTCTCGTTGAATGATTGAATATAATCGCTTTCCTTATATTCTGGATATAAAAAGAAGACAGGCCAGTTAATAGTCTGCGTTTCTTCGTCTAATTCAATGTTAGCCTTTTCTCGAACTTCTTTATCTTCTACTTGAATTTTAATATTACGTTCCTTGAATCGTTATATATGTAGTGTATGTATGTAGTGTATGTATGTATGTATTGTATTGTATATATTGTATGTATATTAGCTTGGTTTTTTTCTTTCTTTCTTTCTTCATACTTTATGTCTTGACTTTCTTTTTTCTTTATACATACCTTGAATGCTTTTTCTAGATTTTCCTTTTTCTGACGCTCACGAGCTTCTCTTTCTTCTTGTTGTCTCTTCTTTTCATCCATAATCTTTTTACGATTCATAGCTCGATCACGCATTTCTTTAACAGGTTTATTGTCAGGATCAACAGCTAATGCATGATCGCAACAATCAATTGTTTCTACCAACTTATCTAAAGCAAATAGGGCTTTAGCTGAACGATAGAGGGCTTTGATATTTTTAGGATTGATCTTTAAACATTTTGAGCAATCATTCAAGACTCGTCCATAGTTTTTTAATTCTAAATTACAGGCAGCACGATTGGCTAGACAGGCTTCAATAATACTTTGATCTTTACATTCCGTTTCAATAGCCTTTGTATAATAAGCAATGGCGTCGGGATATTTAGCTTTACCCGCTCTAAAACAATCATTGCCTTGTTCTCTAAAATTTTGTGCAACCTCTTTTTTTTTTTTTTTAAATAAAAAGTAAATCAAAGCTGATATATACATATTTATATACATATATGTGTATGGGAAAAGAAGAAATGGGTTGTTTAATTACCTTCAGGTGTACCGTCATAAACAAGTGATTGAAGTGCAGCTAAACTATCGTTTTCTTCAGCAGGTAATTCACTCATGAAAAGTGGTACTTTGGATAATTCCTCGTCTAAATTATCAAAATCCATGGCGAATTGACTTCTGTGTTTTTTAGGTCCTGCAACAGTAGGTTCATCTTCAATCTTTTGTGTTTCCTCTTTATCGTTTGTTGGTAATGTTTGTTCTGTCATGACTAATGAATGAAAAAGAGGGAAAAAAAAAATAATAATTATAAAAAAAAAATAAGATCGATATATAAACTAAGCCACTACAATGGATGATGAATAATATAATTATGCTATCTCTCCACTAGAAAAAAAAAAGATTCCTAATATTATTTCCCCCCGCATTATCCTTTTTTTTTTCTTTTTTCTTTTCTTTTTTTTTTTGTGGGGGGTGCTTAATATGTATAAAAATCGATTCATACTTTTACTAACAAAGAGTCAACAACAAACTAGTGTTAGGAACAAAGCATTTTCTAAGCCTCTAGTACAAGCATCCTATTATTATTCTTCTTTACGTAGAGTTCGTCAGACAGGTAAATAGTAGAATGATACAACGAAGCTTCAAAAATAAAATGATGACAATCAAGCCGTTAATGTTTTTTTAAAAAAAAAAAAAAAAAAAAAAAAAAAAAAAAAAAAATCACATGTTGTAGGACCACGTAATCGAGTTTTGAATCATGTTGAACAGTTGCGACCTCATAATCCGACTAGCAGTAGTCGAACAGCTCTCGAAAGTATATCCACAGCTCCAAAAATCGCAAAAAAAGATGCCCTCATCCATGAAAAGAACCCCGCAGCAGTAGAAGAAGTAGAAGGGACGACAACCACCACCTTAGTTGAAGTGCCTATAGATAAAGATCATCAAATCGTAAAGCCCAACACATCAGCTGCTTCTCTTCTTACTCAATCAGCGGTCATTGTGGGTCGTGAACTCGAAATGATGAATGTCTTTTTGGGCTATGAACAAGCGAACCGTTATCGTATTATGGATCCACAAGGTACACCTCTTGGATATATTGCAGAGGAAGAAGGGTTTGGTAAATCAATTAGCCGACAACTACTTCGAACTCATCGTAAGATGAATGCTACTATATTGAATCCTGAGGGTCAAGTTATCTTTAAGATTATTCGTCCTTATTCTTTGATTAATAGTCAAATTTTTATTTATACTGACAATGATGAATTGATTGGAGAGGTACAACAACGATGGCATTTACTGCGTAGACAATATGATTTATTTGTAGGGTAATATATACAAATATATATATATATACAACAGTCTTGTTCATTTACCTTCTTTTACGTTTCAGAAAAAAACAATTTGCAACGATCGATACACCTTTCTTAGGTTGGGATTTCGCTTTACGGGATGAACATGGAGGTACTCTTGGTAATGTGAGTCGAAACTTTGTTGGATTTGCAAGAGAGATATTTACAGATACAGGAGAATATGTGCTGCGTATGGATGCAGTGGATGGACATTCACGAGGAATGACGTTGGATGAAAGAGCAGTGACTCTTGCTTGTGCTATTTCCATTGATTTTGATTACTTTTCAAGACATTCGACTCATGGGTAAGTAAAAAAAAAACAAAACAAAAAAATCGAGGAAAAGAAAATGTAAGCTTATTGTATATCTATTTATAAAGGGGAGGAGGATTCTTACCTTTCCCAATGTTTGGAATGGGAGGAGGAGGAGAAGTTGATAATAGTAATGAACAACAAGGAATAGAAACTGAAGCACCACCACCTCCACCTCCACCACCACAACAACAAAATACAAATGAATGGGGGGATCCTTGGTTGACTGATGATGAGGCAGGTGTAAGTAATCCTGATGATGGAGGATTCATGGATGTCTTGAAAGACTTCTTTGACGATCAAGACTAGTTAAAAATAAAAAAGATTGTATTATATGAAAACACACACACTTTTATTTATGATGTAAAAATTCAGGAACAAAAAATCTATATCTGTTATAAAAAATAATAATTAATGAAAGACCTTTCAGCTGCCGTATTTGATGGGAGAAGATAAGTTTTACTATAATCAAAGTATGAGTGAAGAAGTAGTACACTCCATGATGATTATTTTAAATTGCAGCTTATATAAAAAAAAAAATTGTCCTTCTCAAAACAATTCTTTTCGTTTCATAAAAAAAAAAAAAAAATACACACACACACACACACACACACGCATATACAACATGATGAACATTAACAAATATGCTTCCACTACTCGTTTTATAACCCGCTTTCTTCACAAAAGAAATTTTCATGCATTGCCCATTTCAAACCAATTTGTCATTAAGCCCGAAATAAAAGCAGCAATTCAAAACCAAGGACCTGTAGTTGCACTTGAGTCTACTATCATCAGTCATGGTATTGTATAATATATATATTGTATATATATATATATTTATTGGTATTTAATGTGATTCTTCTCAGGTATGCCATATCCTCAAAATGTTGAAACAGCTAAAACAGTAGAAACCATCATTCGAAATCAGGGAGCTATTCCTGCAACCATTGCTTTGTTAGATGGTCGAATTCATATTGGACTCACTGATCAAGAACTTGAATATCTCGGAAAAATAGGTCGAAAAGCACAAAAGACGTCAAGACGTGATTTAGCCATGGTTCTTTCTCAAGTAAGAAAAGAACCTTATATGTATATTCATATATATATATATATATTAAACATTATTTTATGCATTTATATCCATATATAAATATATAGAAAAAGACGGGTGCAACAACAGTAGCAAGTACCATGTTCTTGGCAAGAGCTGCTGGTATACCTATCTTTGTTACAGGTGGTATTGGTGGCGTACATAGAGGAGCAGAACAAAGTAAAAGAATACAGAGAGCTATCTTGTAAACAAAAGGAATTGTATTCACCTTTCTTTTTTCTCTCGCCTTTATTTGAACATATATATATATAGCTTTTGACATTAGTGCAGATTTAATTGAATTAGGCAAGACACCTGTAGCTGTGATTTGTGGAGGCGTTAAAAGTATATTGGATATACAAAAGACATTAGAGTATCTTGAGACTCAAGGAGTTACGGTAACGACCTTGGATAAACAAAGTAAGCGATTTCCTAGTTTTTATACACCTGATAGTGGAATTGATGTAAGTTTGATATCTATTTGTAACACTCTCTTTTTATTATTTACAATGTATACAAATGTATAGAGCCCTTATTATCTGGAGAATACATTAGATGCAGCTAAATCCATTTGTAAGAAGTAGTTTCTTGAAAATACTAACATTATATTAACGGGAATATTTCTCCTTTTTTTTTTTTTCAGTGGCCAATCATCAATTGGGATTAAATAGTGGTATGGTATTTGCTGTCCCTATTCCAAAGGAAGCAGCCGCTGATGCAGCATCTATCCAAACTGCAATCGAGCATGCAATTTCCGAAGCAAGGTAAAGAAAAAAAAAAGGTCTATTACAGCTCTTGGATAATCACTTATTTATAATATAGAGCAAATAATATAACTGGAAAGGAGGAAACACCATTCTTATTAAAACGTATTGCTGAATTGACACAAGGAGAATCCCTTGTAGCAAGTAAATATAACAACAAATACTAATTTGATGACTGAAACTTATGTATATTTTAATAGATATTGAACTTGTCAAAAATAATGCAAGAATTGGGGGTCAAATTGCTGTACATTTATCTCAACTAAAAAAATAGATTATATTATTTTTTCTTCTTCAAGTAAATGAACTACTTCCTTCCATATATTGACGCTCTAAATAAATACAAATAAATACACACACACATTTTATATCTTTTTCTTTTTTAGTGATAATTAACTTACATCTTGGTAAAAATTGACTTTTGCATCAGTATAATTGTGAAGCGCGTGATAGATCTCTACTGATTTGTTATGATTAAATACCTTATCTTCCTTTCTCACTTGATCTGAAAAGGCTTTCGAGACATCAAATGTTTGATGAATAGCATCTTGCAATTCACGCACACGTTCATCAAGCTTTAATACCTTTTCCCGTTTTAATTTTTGAATGTCTGCACCACGTACTTCATTTATTTTGTTTGTGATAAAATCTGTGACGCTATTACTCTGTTGTATCGTCCTTTCACGTTCTATCACGGTATTTTGCAAATAGGCTGATAAATCTTCAAAATCCAACTGCTTTTGGTCTCTTAACTTGAGTACCTCTTGTATTGTATTGTAATAAACCATGGTGTCATGCACTTCAATTTGCCAGTGATGATCCTTGGCTGTTAAATCCTTAAGGTTACTTGTATACGTCTCTAAACCATCTGCAAATATCTTTAAATCATCCTTAAAGCTTGGTTCGATCTCTGCAAGTTCCCTCACACTTGCTGTAAACCTTTCATAATCATGACATAAATCCTCAGTCCGTTTACAAGTCCTTAACAAGGTCTTTTGTAATAAATCAAGGTTTTCGTATATTCTTTCATTCCTTTCTTTCATTTCAACAAATTCAATTTCAGGTTTACGAATTTTCGAAAAGGCGTTCAAGAGAGAATCGCTAATAGTATCTATCATCGTTTCTTGTCCTTCTCGTAAAGCCCTAGCTGATGCATCATTCTATATTATAGTCATATTATATATGATTGTAAATAGTAGATAAATATATAGAAAGATAGAAAATGCTTTTTTTTCTTTTCTTTTCTTTCTTTCAAAAGAAAAAAAAAAGTGTGTGTGTGTGTGTGGGCCTTACGAATTCTGAGGATTCTAAAAACATGGTAAAGACTTCAGAATGACTCAAGATAGGATGTCTTGCAATTCGTTGAATAAATATCTCCAAACTAAGTCTTCTTTTTTCGATAAATTCAGAGCCAAAACGATCTCCTTTTACATATTCTTGAAAGCAAATATTAAAAAATATACATGTCATAAATGATCTTTTTTTTTTTTTTAAGGCTACATTACCTAAACGATGTTTATCAGGTAAAGGAGGAACGAAACATGCAGGAAATTGAGTATACAATACGTTATGAAGCCAAACAAAATCTTGAAATCTTCTACGTACTTGAGCTTTCTATAAGAAGAAGAAGAAGAAAAAAATCGATATATTATTTATTCAGGTTATTTTCTGACTTACGTTAGATACAACTAAATATGAAATAAAAGTGTTTTGTTGTTCTTCTATTTCTTTTTTAGGTTCCAAAATTTGTATTTTTTTATCCAAAATAATAGTATTGTTGTTGTTGTTGTTGTTGTTGTCTTGCAGCAAAACTTTATCTGAAATATCAATGTCGAAATGAGAAGAATCAAATTGATACTAAATGTTATGTCAAGGTTAAACATAATGGTCTCTTTATCATAGTCTTTGTTTCTTTTCTTTTAAAAGAACCCTATACTTACATTTTGAGAAGTTAAAATGGCTGGGTCATCAGCATTATTATTGCTTAAAGGATTTACTAATTCAGTATTATTATTTTCAGTAGAGTCATGTAAAACATCCCATTGTACATTAAATTGTTCATTGGCTGATTCTGTTGTCATTATAACAAAAGAAAATTAGGGTATAAAAAATATATTTATTAATGTATAAAGAAAACAAGCACTTTTTATTATTATTTTTATTATTTTTCTAAAGCATGAAAAAAAAAAAAAATGTGAATTAACTCAGCAACAGAAGAAAAAAGAACTTGACGCACCTCATCCAGCTATATTTTTCTAAACCATATAAAATCATGATAGTCTTTTAAACATTACTTTATTAAATTGGTTCTCACTTTATATATATATATATATATATGTAAGTAAGTAAGTATGTATGTATGTATATGAATGTTAGTAATAAGTTTTCTCCTTCTTTCTTTTTTTTTTTCTATAACAAAAATGCAACAAAGGCAACACCAATAAGTGCTAAAAGAGTGGTGATCATAGTAGGTGTATTTGAAGAAGCGCCACCTTGAGCAAAGATAGAGCCAGGTGATTGAGATTGTCCGGGTGTACCTATTGTGGATGTTCTGGTACCTGTAAAGGTTGAAACAGCAGCAGGACGAATCTCGATAGGGATAGGTAACTTGGTATTAGTAGACTTGTCTAAAAATATAACATGATAATTTCCAGGCTTGACAGAGGATGGAATACTAAAGTTAATCGAGTGTTCATAGTAGGTGGTATTACCCTCACGTTTTACGAAAGCATCTGTCTTGGCTACGTCAGCGGAAATAGCAATAGGCATAGTAGTTGCATTCATAGTACTGACTGCACCCATGGATGTAGACTCCAAATCAATTTGAAGAATGAGTGCTTATGTATGTATGTATATATATATATATATTAGAAGAGGAAGAAAGTCAGTTGTATTATGATTATTACTAGTTTAAATGTGTTAGTATACCTGAACTATCTACGTCTGGAAAGAGACGATAAGTACAAGGTAAGATTTGACCCACAACATAAGGACCATTAGTAACAGGGCTTGTCACATTATAGTTTCGAGTAGGTGCGGTTAATTGAGCTGTTGTAACGTAAATACTAGCAAAAAGACATATAAATGTATTCAACCTCATTCTATGTTATATATAAATAAATAAAAGAAGAAGATAGAGGATGAGAATATTAGAGCTTATATTTGAAAAAAAAAGAAAATGGACATAGGGAGAAAATAAAAAGTAGCCGTAATTTTTTATTTTATTTTTATTTGTACATTTGGATATATATATTTATAAATATATAATATGTATATACATATATATGTGTGTGTCTGTGTGTGTTTGGCCTCATTTTGAAATATAAAAAGGAGGTAGAGTTATTAAGTTGCATTGTAAAAGTTTCTGTTATATGATTGTAGTCCATTGCATGTATACATAGTTCTATTATGTAAACATGCCAATTATGGCTGACATAAATAAGATACAATGATATGTATATATATATATATATATATGTGTGTGTGTGTGTGTATATATATCAAACTGCTTAGGTACTAAATGTACGTATATATGTATGTATTTATTTATTATATTGAATGTTTATGATAACTGTATAATACCTCCTGTAATAATAACTTTTTTTTTAAATTATAGAAAAGATAAAGAAAGTGGAAATACCAAAAATAGTAGCAACACAGATAGATACTTCGACGTGACTGGATGAACTGATAGTACTTGGACCAGCATAAGGCCTGGCTATAGACGTTGAAGGTAAAGAAGCTCTAGTAGAAAAAGTGCTAGGGCTTGTGGGGGTACCTTTTATTTTATTTTATTTTAATAATTATAAAAAAAAAAAGGAGATAGTATGATTAGTCCCTAAAAAAATAAAAAGATCCTGTTGAATAAAACTTACTACTAGAAGAATCACTTGAGATAGAACTTGATACGCTGATTGTGGAAGAAGCAAGAATAGAATTTACAGTGGAAGAACTTGTTATCCAAGAGGCAGATGTTGAGGATGCTGCACTTGTGGAAGCAATAACAATAGTTGATGTACCAGAAGAAGATCTACTCTCTGTATTAACAATAGGCAGAGAAGAAGTAGAGCCAGAGGAAGTAAAGATACTACTAGGTAAGATATCTTCGTCTGGTTCATTTTCGTTTATCTCCTGTTCATTTTCATCCATTTCATTTTCGTCAACTTCATTTTCATCAAGTTCATTTTCAACAGCCTCGTTTTCAGCGGCCTCATTTTCATCAACTTCATCTTTATAAAAAGAATCGTTTAGTATGATATTATATGAATACATATATATATATATAAGAACTTTTTACCTTCATTTTGACCAACTGCCTCATGAACGAATATAGCTACAAATAAAAACAAGAAAAGAAGATATTGATATTTCATTTTAGTTTATTTCATTCAATGAATAAAAGAAAAGTAAAAAAGAAGCAAAACTTTACTTTGTTTTATATATACATCCATTCTCTCAGGATCGACTATGTACCTGAGTGTTTGTCGTGTCATGCTTTTGATTTCCTAAAGCATAAGTAAGCATCTATCTATATATATACAAATTTATAAATATAAATAAATGTATGTATGTATGTATGTATGTATGTATAAAGAGGCAGACTTTCTTTTATTCTTTATTTTATATATAACATTCATAATAATAAGATCTATTTTATATTGATCATTCCCTTTCTTGCCGTATATCTATTTTATTTAGTGTTGTCTAGATCCCGGTTATATACAGATAAATATATACATATATATATATATATTTGTATACACACACACACACACACACACGTATACATATATATAAATATATACAAATATGTCTATATTTGATTAAATGCTCTATGTGTATTATCATAAGTCCATCTCCCTTACATATCACGGGAATTATAAGTCAACTATAAATAAATGGTATCTATAAAGTGTATGACCTTTATGTTTTTTGTTTTCTTTAGGCATATTTCTCCTCTTTTAATCTATGCTGTATAGATTACCTTCTCCTTATAATATTCTTATCTTTTTGGTATGAATGAGTAGTTTATTACTCCATCCAATTTTAATTATCCCATATAAAATGCACTTGATATGTATATTTGGAAAAAAAAAAAAAAAAAAAAAAAAAAAAAAAAAAAAAAAAGAGAGAGAGAGAAAGAAGGAGAGCTAAGTTTATAAGATGCAAGGACTCTTTTACATATATAAATTATGGTTATATATTACTGCAAAAGATCCTATTTATATGAGTGATAGAACTTGCATTTTGACAGCAATATATATTTATATACATGTTTATGTATATCTATTCATATTTATTATTAGCTTGTTCTAATAGTAGTGTAGGTGGTTAAATATAAAAATAGATATCATCATTCACTTTACTACTACTAGTGATGCAGTCAATCAATACACACTATTTTGATACAAAACTATTGTAATATCATCTAAAGTTGTACTAATAGTATAATGAATGACTTAACAATCATCTTATTGCTTACATAATAATAATAATAAAGACATGTGTTAATGTGATAAAAAAAATAATGATAATAATTTATTTATTTATTAAATATTAATAATAATAAAAAAAAGGCCCTATAATAAAAAAAAAGTGGTTACTATGACAATAATAATAATAATAATATAAAAATAAGGATAAATTTTATCAGTTAGCAAATCAGATGTGTTATGAATCATCGACACTCTATTTTGGACGTTGTTAAAGACAACGAGCATTTCATCCTTTCTTTATTTATCCTTATAATCAAACATATTATATACCTTTGTTATGTCAAAATACAATAATTATAAAAAAGAAACATTCATAATCAGGAAGAAAGGAAAAAAAAATTTTTTTTTTTTTTTTTAACTTTAAAATAACTTGTCACGTTATTTGTCTTACTATTTATATATACATGTATTATATATGAATACACATTTATTATATAAATAATTTAAAACTCATACAAACAAAAAAAAAAAAACAGTATTACATAAGTTTATTATTATTCTATACATCATATTCTATATTTTCTTTTAAAGAGCTTCGTCTAAAACCTTCTTAACATCCTTATAAACTTCTTCAATAGATTGTTCAGCATTAATCTAATAATAATAATTCAAAATTGACGTTAAGTTCCTCTTTCTCAAGTTTTTTTTCTTTCTTTCTATGACTCTTATATATCTTTTACCTGACGAACTTTATTCTTCTTTTCAAAGGCTTCAATAACAGGATAACTTGTATCCTTAAAGACTTGGAATCTTTTCTTGATAGACTCAATGTTATCATCAATTCTACCAGAGGTAGCACTGCGCTTCATTAAACGGTTCAAAAGAGTTTCCTCGGTACAACTAAAATACAATACAAACTTGGATTCTACAACTGTTTCCTCAAATTTATCAGCTTGGTCCATTTTACGAGGAAAGCCATCAATCAAGAAACGTGTCTTCTTCTCCTTTTCCATTGCTTCTTTCATGGCATTTTCTAAAAGGGCAATAGTCACTTCCATAGGCACAATCAATCCCTCACGAAGATAATGCTGAATTAATTCACCATATTTTGAACCTTCACGCTTTTGTTCCTCACGTAATAAATCACCAGCTAATCATAGTTTGGTATTTATGAAATAAATAAGTCAATAAATAAATAAATACTTGCTTTTCTCTCTTTACCTGAAAGATGAACAAAATCATAATCTCTCTTAATATTTTCACATTGAGTTCCCTTTCCAGCACCAGGTCCACCTAATGTCATACTTGAATTAGTTTTTTTTTAAAAAAAAAAAAAAAGAAAAAAAATAAAGCATCATTTCAATTTACCGAGAACAAAGATTACTGTAACTTCCTTAGGGTCAAATGTAGTAGTAGCAGTCATTGAAAGTATTAAAAAATAAGGTTATATATTAAAAAAAAAAAAAAAAAAAAAAAAAAAAAAAAAAAAAAAAGAGAGAGGGAACTGATTTTTTTTTATGTCTTAAAAAAAAAGGTGTACAGCAGTTTCATAATATAAACCAATCGTCTATTACGATTTAATTTGCGAATGAAAATGACAGAATAGAAAAGCGTGCCTGAACTAATGATTTTAAATTGCCATATATGTACTTTATTAAAGTTTAAGCCTATGTTATTAGCAAGTAACCTATTTTCCTTTACCAAAAAAAAAATGGCGTGTAATATATTTATAATGATAAATGACTAGTCAAGATCAGACTATATATTTGTATATAAGAGTCAAAATATCTTATGATTTACGGTTATTTTATTCAATCACCACCTATATCACATATCATTACACAAAATAAAAACTACAAAAGCCCTTTTATATGTTTTCATATCTATGATATAACATGATTGCTGTCAAAATTGGAAGCAAGTCATATTAAAAAGAGTAAATGCGGCTAGAATAAATAAAAGTGAAATATAAATATAATATGTATGAATGACTGTGCCCAGGAACATAAATCAACGAATCATAGCTTGCATAGGATGCATTTTATTTTAACCAACTAAACTTACTACACATGTATAAAGTAATAAGCCAACATTCAATCATTGTATAAACATCTTTAAAATAGGATTCAAATTAAAATACTCAATTTATATGAATATTATTCTAATCTTTATTATATATTATTTCAGTAATCAAAACGAAAAAAAAAATAGATAAAAAGAAAGTCTATCAAATTATTTAAAGTATATAAGCAGCAAAGAATGAAAATAAGAACATACACACACAAAAGTTAAAAGTAATGGGAATAATAAGCCTGATTAGGTATAAAGTAGCTAGTAGTTGCGCTGTGTATATTTATTTATTTATTTTTTAAAAAAAATGAAAAAAAAAGGTTAGTATTATTATTAACAGTAAATGTATATAATAAACTTACGGGTTATAGATGGGATAAACAACTGGTAAGTTAACAAGACTCGTATTATTAGGATTCAATAATCTCATTCTTTTTCGAGAATGATTGTTCAAAGACGTATACCAGTTCTGTTGATGAAGTGGAACCCATCGATCATTTGCTAGACGAACATAAGGAATTGAAACTTCATTACCATTCACTGTAGTATAGACATATTTTAAATCACTACTGTATTGAGAACCCATTTTGTTTAATAATATATTTATTTATATAATTTATATTAAAAAGTAGAAAGGAAAAGGAAAAGGAAAAGGAAAAGGAAAAGGAAAAAAAAATTTTTTTTTCAAGTACGTGTATTTATCAGATCAACAAAGAAAATGGTCGTGCTTTTTTTATTCCGTATTAAGTAGTATCATGTTATAATCTACTAAATAACCAATCTCTAATTTCTTTTGAAATATGTTCATTGTCCATATTGATTAATCCTGGTACGTCACAATGTATTTTATTGATAGCTTCATCTACTGCAAATCGTGAATAGGGTAATCCTATATAGAATATTATAAATATGGGTTTTTTTTTCTTTTTTTTTTCTTTTATATGTATATATTACCTTCTAAGGCAACGGATATAGCTGCTGCAAGTGTAGACTCATGTAATAGATCATGACTTGTAGTAATATCTGCTTTAATAATTTTTGCATGTCTTACTAATAAATGTGCTTTCTATATAAATACATGTATATGTATATATAAATAACTGTATACAGACTACCCAAATTTTGAATTCATAATTACTTACTATATTTCCCCAAGATAAATTTGCTTCTATTGTATTGGTGAATTCAGGAGTTTGGCCATAAATCCATTCCCAAGTCATTAATTCTTGTCTCGTTGTTTCCAGTTGTTTAGGAAGTGTATCAAACAGAATTGGCTAAAAAGAAAAAAAAAACGGGGAGGGGAGAGGGGGTTAAAAAGTTAAATAAAATATGAATAGATTTTATTACTTTAACAGGAATACCATTATTATAGGAAAGAATAAATTCTGATAAAACTGACTCACAAAACTGTTGATGATCGATTGTAAAAGAATAGTCCCGTAAATTAGTTACTGGGGAAGGAACTGATTCGACGCCCTTTGAAATGATGCCTTTCTAAGAGAACAAGAAAAGAGAAGGTAAATGAATGAAGAATACTCATTCTTTTTTTTTTTTTTCTTTACGTTATTCATTCGTTTTTTAGATAAACATCCTTTTAAATTATCTATATTTGCATCAATTAACATAGTTCCGTGATGATAAGCTCTTGAACTAGTGATTTTATATGCACTTCCTGACACTTTATGTTCGTCAACCACAATATCATGTCTTTCATTTACACTTGCAGGTATATCAAGTCGATTTAAAGCTTTAGACACAAGTTCTGCATTTGTTCTTCTGGAAAATGCTTCACGAGGCATGAAAATAGTATAAATAGAATTACCCATATCCTATATACCATCAGTTAGCATTTTGTGTGTGTGTGTGTGTGTGTTTAAGGAAAACAGGGTTTACATGATATACTGCACCACCACCAGATCTTCTTCGAACAAGTGGTATGTTATGCTCATCCATAAATCGTAAATTACATTCACTAAAAGGATTTTGGTTTCGTCCTACTACAACGCAAGATCTATTTCTCCATAAGTAAAGTATATATCGTTCGGGTGTTGTTTCTCGTAATAACCATTCTTCAATGGCTAGATTAGAATAGACATCATTAATGGTGGAAATATAACAATCAACTTTATTTTCGGTTCTTAATGTCGAGGAAAAAAATCGACTGTTTAATTTATATACTGCATTGAGTCTTATTGATGAATGTATACATGTTGAAAATAATGATCTCATGAATTAATATAGTTTAAATCTTCCTCAAAAAAAAAAAAAAAATATTAGAATTAAGTAAAAAACTATCCTCCCCACCCCTCCCCTTATCCCTTCAGTTCTTTTCAGTAATAAAGAAGATTTAGCGGAGATGTAAAAAAAAAAAGACATTTTATTATAATTCTTGATCTACAAGCGAAGAATCTAAAAGTAATAGATTTCCTTCTTTTAATAAAACATGTTTGAATACTCGATAATGATGATTTAAACTTGAATGTGAATGAATTTTATAATTTGTTCCAAGTGAACCTGTTTTTGAGGGTATACTATAAAATACACGTGATACTCTGGAATGAACAAGCGCCATAGCACACCTATTTATGAATAATGAATATTTTTCATCTCTTATATAATATAAATACATCTATAAAGACTTACATAGCACAGGGTTCGTGTGTGATATAAACATCATAACCTGTACATAAATAAGCTGTTTTCTTTGATTGCTCATTATCTGTCATTTCATTTGCTGTTCTCTTCATTTGTCTTCCTCGACCTCCATACACTTCATTCTCTTTTAAGGCTACAAGGTTAATACAGTTGATAACTGCATGATGAAGTGGATGTTCCTTTCTTGTATCTATTCCTTCTGCTAAAACTTGATTTGTATCAGGATCTACAATACGACAAGCCACTGTGGATAAGGATAGTAAATGTCGCATATGATCATGAATAACAGTCATATCCTCTTTTGTAAATTTTGGATCTAATCGAGTATCTTCACGATACGATAATGGCCATAAATGATGCCATGCTTCATATTGCTGTCGATTGAGAGGAGCATAACGTGGTACAGAAACAACATGAACGGTTGGCTCATAGAGTTGTTGTTCGTTATTTAACAATAACTGTTCAAGTTCTGTTTGTGATAACTTGTCTTTTAAACACATTAAAACTTCCAAAATAAAACCAGAGTCGGTTTCTGGTTTAGTTATACGTCTAATTCTTTTACAATGTTCTAATCCTTCTAATGAGGCTAAATATTTCTGTGCAAATCTACAATGTAAATACAAGTATGTTATGCTTCCCATCTTTTATTAGTATTCTTTATCTTGTCTTATTTTTTTTACTTTAATACATTATTCGTTTGTTTTGGTTCTACATATACTGTATATACATCCATCGTTTCCAATCCTCGCTCATACTCATCGGCCAAGGCCTCCTCAAATGGCCACTCTTCTCTAGGAATAAATTCATCGGTTTTTCCCTTTACTATGTATATGTATATATACTTAAGTCTTTCTATATATTCTCCTTCTAATAATATAACATATGTACCATTTTTTACTTTAGTTTTCGGCTTTTCGGTTTTATCATTTGTTTCTGCCATGATAACTGTTATGCATTTGGATAACAAAATGTCAGAATATATTGAAAATTTTGTGTTTTATTTTTTTGTAGAGTGGCTTTTTTTTTTTTTTTTTGGAATCCAGTGTACAACAATAATTGTCGTCGTTGTCGTGACTTTAATCAAGTCCAGCTTTTACATGACAGACAGATAGAGAAACAAAGTAGAATAGTTGCCTTTTTTTTTTTTAATTATTGCGATATCAATATCCATAATGGTGAAATGTTTATCCTTGATTTTGCTTTTGCTTTATTTAACATCTTTTTATTTTTACTAGCCTACTACATATATTCCTACTATTGTTCAAGACGATGGTAAACTATTTTTTTTTTTTAAAAAAAATAAACAAATTAAGGAACAATGTACTAAAAAAAAAGTTCATTTTTTTGTCATTAAGCTCATGCTGATGGTATTTGGGATGTTGCTTGGTCAAATAAAACTAATTTAATCGCTACAGGATCTGAAGATAATACAATTAAATGTTGGTAAATAATTAAAAACTCAAGAGTAATAAGACAAAGAATATTCAATGCTTAAAATACGCGTTTTTTTTTTATCTATATTATTCAATCAACTAGGGATGGCAATTCAGGTGAATTGAAATTTACTCTTGAAGGACATGTATTGGCAGTTATTTCAGTCGATTTTTCACAAGATGGAACTCGTAAGTTTTGTGTGTGTATGTGTTTTTTTTTTAAACATGATTGAGCTGAAGCTTTTCCTTTCCTTTCCTCTCCTTTCTTTTCTTTTTTTTTTAAAAAAAAAAAAAAGGTCTTGTTTCTAGTTCAATCGATTCTAGTCTTCGAATTTGGGATGTTGAAAATAATGGAGCACTCATTAAAACAATTACAGCAACACCTGTTGAAGCTTGGAAAGCTAAATTTAGCCCAGATGGTCAATACATTGCAACTGGATCACATAATGGTGATATAAATATTTATAGTGTCGAGTCAGGAGAAAAAGTGCATAGTTTACCAACAAAGGATAAATTTATCATGTCAATAGCCTTTGTAAGTGTTATAGGGTCATATATCTATAATCTGTTTTAACAAGATAGTTGATAGAGCCCTGATGGTAAATATGTTGCAGGTGGAGCCGAGGATGGAGCAATTTATGTATTTAATGTAGAAACAAATCAGTTAGCACATACTTTGACAGGTTTGTCTAATGTGTGTTTTATATATGTATACATATATGGATTATATTGCTGATTTCTCTTTATTATTAAAGGACATGCTATGGCTGTCCGTACAGTTACATTTACAAGTGATAGTAAAACCTTGATTAGCGGAAGTGATGATAAGTGTATTCATGTTTATGATGTGGAACATGGACAATTGGCTTCTACTTTAACAGGCCATTCTGACTGGATTTTATCTGTTGCAGCTAATCCAGATATTAGTAAACAGCAACTAGCTAGTTCTGGAGCAGACAAGCGTATTAAAATTTGGGACCTTGGTTTAAGATCAGTATTGGAGACACATGAAGTACATACAGACCAAGTAAGTTTATCTATTTATCTATGTATCATTATTAAATGTGTAATACATTTTTATAATATAGGTTTGGGGAGTTGCATGGAATTCTGAAGGAACTAAATTAGTATCTGGTTCTGATGATAAATCTCTTAAATGGTTTGCTAGTAGTGGTTCATCATAAAAATAAAACTTAATTCTATGTATTAGATAAATATAATGTAAAAAGAAAAAGAACCAAGCTATGTAGAGTTAGTTCCTTTAAATATGATGGCTTACTCTTCATTGCTGCTATTCTGTTTTGATTTCTTAATGCAAAGAGATTACTAATATGCCCTGGAAAAGTCAACAATTTTTTTTTTAAATGTCTTGTTTAAAACTCTTGAGAGGATTCCTTTTGTTTCTTGTTGACACTTCTTTTGAATACTGAGTATCCTCCAACACTAGTTTACTGTTGCTGTTAAACATTCTAATATCTTGAAACAATTTTAGATAGAATTGATAAATAATACCACTTTGAAAATTTTTGTTTCTAATCTTCTTATTTTAGATCAAGGTTTGCTTACTGCTAATAGCAACCAAAGTTACATTTTTTTTTCTAATGGTAGAATAGCTACTATCGCCTATTAATATGGCCTTTTTTTTATTTTTTATTAAAAGAAAAAGTAATCAGTCATTTATATGACTCCAATATAGAGTATTATTAATCATACAATAAAATATCATCTTCTACAGAACATACACAAATATAGCAAAGCAATACTACTGAGTATTGTAAAGCGGATAATTATCTGTAAATGACTGCTATAAACTTAAAATATGTACTTGCATGAGGAAGAGTGGGGGGAGTAAGTCTAGTTAATAATAAGTATTAGCAGTAATCTTAAAATAGGGTCTTACTAATTAAGATATGATGTCTTAACTTCAGAAAGAAGATAATAGCATGTACTTTAAAACGATCCAAATAGTTTAACCTTTTATTATTATTATTATTACTATTCCTAAAGTTTAACATGACAATAACTCAAAAGGTATCACTTTCTCTGGTTTATTATTATTATAATTTTGTTTGCATTTTTCTGCGACCCTAATTATTAGATATTGCTCTACAGCATTTTCGTATCTATACTTTTCATCAGCTGTCTAATAAAGAAATTAACTAAAAAACGTACTATTCTTTAAAGGTAGCACAGATGAATATATCGGAATAGTTATCATTACAATCTTCTTTGAAGACAAGATATAAAATAGGCTAGCTTTTTCTTCTTCTTTTTTTTATATATATATCCGATATAAAAAAAAATGACTACCAGGGAGTATCAATAAAAGGAACAAGATGGTTCGATATACAATTTATTATATGCATATATGAGCTTTTTTTTTTCATTATTTTCCCAGAAACAATAATATTCTCTCTTTTCATGCAAGAAAGATAGATTTATAATATATAGAAATCCTCTTCTGTATTCTATTTATTCAATATGCATAATCTATCAATGTTCATTTATAATTCACTCTAAGCTCTTCATATATCATCATTAATGAATTGTTAACCTCTTTATATGTAATTAGTCATTATCATAATAACAAATACTGTTTTACATCCTTATTTGGTCCTAGGTAAAAAAAAGAAAAATACTCTTATACAGGCTTCTATAATCAATACAATATGCCCTTCCCTTTTTCTTTTTTTTTTTTTTACTGTTCGTATTCTTGGAAGAATTGGCTTAATTGAAACAGTAATAACATTTGCTTAATGTTATTAATAACTCCTATTATTGCGGTCATTTAATTTTATAATAAAATGTAATTATTTGCTTTTAACAATAATAGTAATAAAATTTTTTCAGTTTTTTTTTTTTTTGTTATTTGTTATTGTTTCTTGTTTTTCTTTCTCAAAAAAAAACATGGAAGCGAATACAATACCCCCTATAGTGGAAAAGCATGCAGAATTTATTAATTCAACTGTAAACTCACTATATACGATTATTGCTGCCATTCCTGGATCTCATCTCGCTCTTAATTATGTTAAGAATGCTTATCAAAATGACCCTTTTCGAATTGCTCTTGAACTTTTCCTAGTCTTTTTCGCTATTCGATATTTAATGTCTGCTAAATATAAACCTCACGATAATGCAGTTAAATTGTCAGACAAGGTAAGCTATTTATGAAAAGTCAAAAAACACACACACACACACACATAATGATAGATGTGTTATATGGTGAAATAATGTGAATTTTGTGTAAGGAGGAGGATAGTAGGAGAGAGAACGTATTTCTTTTCTTTTTTTTTTTTCGTTCATTCCATACAATAGCTCTATACACATATATTAAAAAATAAATAAATAAATAGGAAATTGATGAGCTTGTTGAAGAATGGCATCCTGAACCTTTAGTACCAGCCTTGAATAAATTTGATAAATTTAATTTGGATAAAACACCCGTTATCTCGGGGGCACAAAGCGCAAAATCAAAAGTAGTTGGCTATGCTAAACCTCTCATGAACTTAGCAACCACGAATTATCTTAATTTTACAGCCTCTGAAGAGATTCGAGAAAAGGCGATTACGACACTTCGTAACTATGGTGTTGGTTCATGTGGACCTCCTGGTTTCTATGGTACCATTGACGTTCATATGGAACTTGAAAAGGATATTGCACACTTCATAGGCACGGAGGCAGCTATTATTTATGCACAAAATTTTTCAACCATTTCTTCTGTTATCCCTGCCTTCAGTAAACGTGGTGATATTCTTGTTTGTGATGACAGCGTTAGTTTTGCCGTTCAAAAGGGTATTCAAATTTCTCGTTCCATTGTCCGTTGGTACAAGCATAATGATATGGCGGACCTTGAACGTGTATTAGAAGAGATTCGTATGGATGATTTAGTTCACAAGAAGCGACTTACACGTCGTTTTATTGTCTGTGAGGGCCTCTCGACGAATTATGGTGACATTGCTCCACTTGATAAACTGATTGAAATTAAAAAGAAGTACAAGTATAGATTAATTTTAGATGAATCCCAATCCTTTGGTGTTGTCGGCCCTCGTGGTGCTGGTCTTACTGATCTCTTCCAAATCCCAGCAACCGAGGTGGACATTATTGTAGGTTCGATGGCCAACGCACTTTGTTCCTCTGGTGGCTTTTGTGCGGGATCAGTTGCGATTGTAGATCATCAACGTTTGAGTGGTTTAGCTTATTGTTTCTCTGCTTCCATTCCTGCCATGTTGGCTGTTTCATCTAGTGAAGCCATCAAGTTGATTAACGAACAACCTCAACTCTTGGCTGAACTTGCTGAACGTACCAAGACATTCCGTTTAACATTGACTCACAAGAGTTTAGAATCCTTTGTGGAGTTGTTTTCAGGTGATCCTGAGAATCCAGCCCCCTTTTTCCATATTCGAGCCAAACCCAGCTTTTTACAATCACGTTTATTAGAGCATGAAGAAGAAATAAGTCGTGAAGATGAAGAATATCTTTGGCAAGATGTTGTAGATGAATGTGCTAATCAAGGTGTTCTTGTTACTCGTGCAAAATATGTGATTGATCAAGAACGACACTGTCCTAGACCTGGTATTAAAATTAGTGTTACCATTGGCTTGACAAAGAAGGAAAATGAAAAGGCAGCTGGTATTGTCAAGTCCGCCATTATTAAGGTCTTTACTAAATGGAGAAAATAATTATTTACTATGAATGTCCTTTAATATTTTTTTTTTTTTTTGCATTAATTCGCATTTTTTTTTCGGGGGAGAAAGGAGAATAATTTATTACTTACATCTATATTACTTACATATAATTATAATATATTATATATCTAATAATAATAAACTGAGGAAAAAGTAATAAAATATATAAAGAATTTAGAATAATAAGCAACCATTATTTGTTGCATGATATAACTGCTTTGTTTATACTATACTCGACAGAGGCTAGAATAGGATAGAATCAAATGGAAAAGGTAATTCAAGGGTTCAAGTTTAATTATTAAATTGCATGTTTTAGTTGTAATTGGCATTTATTATGCGTTTATATTTGTTTCATGTATTACATAACTATTTCGTTTAATTAAAAAAAAAAAAAGGTACGATGAATATAAAGACAAGTAATGATAATGCGTCTAACTTGATTAGTTTTAAAAAAGACAAAAAAAAAAAAATAAATAAATAAAATAAAACCATCATAGTTGAGGACATCATAATAATAAAAACTCTCTCTACAAAAAAAGGAAAAGAAAAAAGAAGCATTTATTATTATTTTTAGCTTATCAGTCAAAAGCTTCTAGGACGTTTAAAACATTCCGTTACTTTTCCTACTTCCAAAAGAAGTAAAAGAAAAAAAGAAAAAGAAAAAGAAAAAAAAAAGGGGGAGGAGAAGAGATTCGAGATCAAAGAGATAATGAATCGATCACTTTTCTTTTATTTTCTTTTATTTTCTTTTTATTAGCTGTCATATTACGGGGGAAAAAAAATACACATACATAACATACATACATACATACATATATTATATTCATTCTCTCAAAGAAATCTATATTGAAAAGTCTTTTCTTTTTCTTTATTATTATGAACATGTATATGTGTATTCTTTCTCTATTATAGTAGCCATTATCATTATCATAGTAACATTATCATCCTTTTTTTTTTTAAAAAGAAAAAGACCCGGGTTATTTTATGCCGGACAAAGATAATTATCCCCCGCCGGCGTCAAAACATTGGATGTCGATCGAACCACAGATAAACTTTTTTTTTTTTTATTCTTTATCTTTCAAATCCGATCAGCTCTTTGATATTAAATATAATCTATATTAAAATATTCCAAGTAGTACAAATCACTAAAAAAGTAATAGACATTTAATCATGTCATTTTTCTTTCTCTTTCCAAAATCTAGATTTATCTTTATTAGATAACAAAAAGACAAAACAAAACAAAACAAAAAAAAAACACGTATTTATTCTGGAGTAGTGTTCTAAAAACTATAATTTTTAATCTGATAGGTTTCATATTCATAAAAAAAAAGAAAGAGAGAAAGAGAGAGAATTTTCCTTTTTACACGTTAGTGAGCCACGTTTTTTTTTTCTTTTTACATAATCATACTAAAAAAAAAAAGTTGAGTTCTTCTGAGTTCCCTTCCTGTACAACGAGCTTTTATTTATGCATGAAGCAGCTGCCAGCAGCAACTCTCTTCATTCGGGATACCAAATTATACTAAGATTAAAAAATGAGAGTAGACAGCTTTCTGTATGTCATTGTGATATCACACAGACATAAGCCTGTCTGTTTATATGAGTAAATAAAGTCCAAGTATTCTTCGTGTTAACATGAATCAAAGTGGAGTTTAGAAACAAGCCTTTCTTTTTTCTATTTTTCTCTTCTAACTTAACTACACGATTTTATTAAAAATATATTCATTGATAAATTTGATTTGAAGAAAAGAAGAAAAGAAAGGAAAAAAAAAAAGAAAAACCCATGCGATTATACACACTAGAGTGAAAACTACACAATAACAACAACAACAAGCATTAAAAGGTAATGTTTTATTTATTTTTTCACACACCATCCCGCTTGCTAAAATAATAAAAACGGGGTTATTAACTATTTTATAAAATCGATATTATCTTAAATTGTGATCTCTGAGAGTAATTGGTAAAAAAAAAATATATCGGCTGATCTTAGAATTCATCCTTTCTTTTTTCCCTTATACGCACGATATCGACAAGATTATTATTTTTTTTTTAAAAAAAACAAGGGTTTCACTGAGCTATTTTTTTTTTTTTATAAAGTATAGGCTTGTTATAATATATAGACTAAAAAAAGAAACGTAACAAAGAAGATGAAAGGATGAAATAATAAACTTGTTGTTGAAAAAAGAGGACTATAAAGGTAATTAAATGCATTCATTTTGTTATAGTAAATATATCATGGAAGAAATAGATATAGTTAGATTTAAGCAGAAAAAAAAAAAAAAAAGCCAATCAGTAAGACATGCAAGGCGCTAATTTAAAATGAAAATAAAAACACCGCATTAAAAAAAAAGTATATAATAGATCAATTTTCTGACAAGCTTTTAGGCTTTTCTTTTCTTTTTTTTTTTCATTATACTTTAAAGTAAAAATGTCTGAAGAAACCTTCACCGCCTATGCCTGTCGCTCCAAGAGTATGTATTATTATTGTTATTATATCTTTAGTCTTGTTTGGAGCAATTTATTCATGCAATTATTTTTTTTTTCATTCTATCATTATAGGTGCTCCTCTTGAACCCATGGAAATGAACTTCTGTCACTGGGATGACGATATGGTCCAAATGGATGTTATCTGTTGTGGTGTCTGTGGTACTGATGTCGTATGTATCATTATTATTTTATATTATTTTATTATATGTGGTATCGATTCTTATTCAATTTCGTCTTTTTTTTTATTACCTATTTTTGTAGCACGTCATTGATGAAGGTTGGGGACCTACTGAATTCCCTTGTGTTGTTGGTCACGAAATCATTGGTACTGTTACCAAGGTCGGTAAGAACGTTACCCGTATCAAGGTTGGTGACCGTTGTGGTGTTGGTTGTCAATCTGCTTCTTGCGGTAAGTGTGACTTCTGTAAGAAGGGTATGGAAAACCTCTGTTCCACTCACGCTGTCTGGTCCTTCAACGATCGTTATGACAACGCTACCAAGGATAAGACCTATGGTGGTTTCGCCAAGAAGTGGAGAGGTAACCAAGAATTCGTTGTCAAGATCCCTGATAACCTTTCCTCTGAAGTTGCTGCCTCTTTCCTCTGTGGTGGTGTCACTACCTATGCTCCCTTGAAGCGTTACGGTGTCGGTAAGGGTTCCAAGGTTGCCGTTCTCGGTCTTGGTGGTCTTGGTCACTTTGGTGTCCAATGGGCTAAGGCTATGGGTGCCGAAGTTGTTGCCTTCGATGTCATCCCTGACAAGGTTGAAGATGCCAAGAAGCTCGGTTGTGATGACTACGTCCTCATGCAAAAGGAAGAACAAATGGAACCTCACTACAACACCTTCACTCACATCTTGGCCACCAAGATCGTCAACAAGTGTTGGGATCAATACTTCAAGATGCTCAAGAACAACGGTGTCTTCATTCAATGTGATATTCCCGAAGTTCCTCTCTCTGGTATCCCTGCCCTCGTCTTGGCTGGTAAGCAATTGACCATTGCCGGTACCTTCATTGGTGCTCCCGCTGTCATCCAAGAATGTCTTGACTTCGCTGGTGCCCACAATGTCCGCACCTGGGTCAACACCTTCCCCATGGAAAAGATCAACGATGCTATCCAATTCGTCCGTGATGGCAAGCCTCGTTACAGAGCTGTCGTTATGAACTAAATTTTTTTTTAGTTTCTATCAATATAATTCTTCCCTTTATACATTTTACTAGCATGTTCATATAAAAAAAGTTATCTTTAAACATTGCGCATACATAAAAAATCAAATTGTATATTAATTTTAATAAAAAAAATATAATCATTTGATTATTATTTTTGTAAAAAAAAAATTGCGGGAATTATAACTTTAATTTTGGCACTTTATCGATTAAAGAAAAAATAATATTTAATATTTTTTATCTATATGGGGCATGTTTCTTTCTAGAAACCAAAAAAAAAAATGAGTTTTAATTCAAATTTGAACAATTAGAGAAAGAAGCAAAACATACAGTTTTTTCTTATTGTCAAATTTGCTACTGCTATTACTACAGTAGGGGGAGAGGAAGGGAATACATGGATACTACTCCCTCTTTCCTCTAGTGTAAAATTATAAACTAGTAGTATCTGTTTTCTGTCAGCTGGTTGTTTACATGCTCTTTTTTTTTTTTTTTTTTTTTTTTTTTTTTTTGCGTGTGTGTGGGGTTAAAAAGCTTGTTTTCCCGAGCTATTTTTATTTTATGCTTAATCTATATTACTCAACCACTGATTTTATTCTTATTATTTATATTATAGTGACGATTGATAGAAGGCTTTGTTCAATAAAATTAGTTTCTCTCTCTCTCTCTTTTCCTTTTTTTTGTTTTTGATATACAACATATCTAATGAGAATTTATTGCAAATAGATACAACAGCAGCATCTATTTGAAATAGGGTGTATGCTATACATTCTTTATTGATATATTAGATTTGATATCGATTCGGTTTAATAGTAATAATAAACACTCACACTCATACTCACACATTTACACTCCCTTTTTTTTGGGGGGGAGGAGGCTTCTTAATTACTTTCTCAACGACAGAATTTTTCTTTTCTTTTCTTTTCTTTACTAACGCCGATAAATAAAGTTTCTAGATCCTGGTTGTTCAGGAAGAGAGAAACATGTTCACCAATTGTACCATGCTGTTTATTACATAGAGATTGGCTGAATATAGTATTAAATATACTGGGAGTCAATGATCCTATGACCTCTTTTCCCTCCCACAGAAAGGGTTTTTTTTTTTTGAAAAAAAAAAAAGGCTATTGTTTTCTTGCCTACTATATTCGATATGTAAATCTGTTGTAGTATATCTAACACATGTTTGGAGAATACTACTTCAAGTATGTTATAGAGTTCAAGTATGTTATAGAGTTCAAGTATGCTATAGAGTTATTAGTTAAAGTAATAGAGAATACCTACAAATTATTATATATAATCAAGAACAAATTACTCTCAATATAATATCTTTTATGAAAAAAAAAAAAAAAAAAAAAAAAAAAAAAAAAAAAAAAAAAAAAAAAAAAAACTGTATTGATATTATTAAAAAGAAGAACTATTTACGTATATTAATAATTTATTAACCATTTAATAATAAAAGAAATACTACAATTAAAGTGGATTGATTATTTTTGAAAGAAAGTGCCAGTCTTTTCTTGATAAACTGTAAGTGATGACATCTTCAGACCCAACGACATAATGAATTCGATATGTATCTGGATTGATTTTATATTTGAGATTTGATATTATTTTGATAGCCTCTTTTGTTCTTGGTTGAAGATTTCTATATAAAAGACAGATAAAGTCACTTGATATAAAGTGGAGAGAAGAGAGAGAGAGAGAGAGAAAAGAAAAGGGGAGAAAGGGAGAAAACTTACCTCTTTAAAAAAGAAGGTTTCAAGGTAGATAGTTGACTCATGCCTTGTGTATCTTGATTCCAATCTTGAAACGTATTTAAATAAAGCTCTTGTTGTGTCTTGAAGAGCGCTGCTGCATTGGTCTTCTCTATACATTCAATTTGAATCATCCTATCGTTTTCTTTTACAGACAGCACTTTATAAAGGTTTTCTTCCATCTCAAAGATCTTCTCTGCCAAAGATCGAAGTGTGGATTCATTATGATCGCCATTCTTTAATAAGTCTAATAATTCAATTGATTTTTTATCAACCATGACCACTTGAATCTAATATAGGTATAGATTAGCCTTCATTTGATTTTTTTCTTTTTTAAAAAAAAGAAAGAAACCTGTTTAATAAGTGTATGTAATAATTTATCAATTGTAAACATAATATAAGCATCAATGCTATAAACGAAACGGGCATTTTCTTCAAATGTTTGTTGATCATAATCTCCTTCGAAAAAACGTTCAATAATATCCAATAAAGCATCATAATAACTTTTAGATAAATCAATATCTAATAATATATATATATATATATATACAAAGAGAAGGAAGAGAAGCTGTTTAATATACCTATCTACCTACATACATTTACATATAAATATATACCTTCAAATCGATTTGATATTAGATCAAGACGAGCTGCAACTGAATTCAATTTCTTACCCCTTTCAGGGTATTCTTCAATCTCTTCACTTATAGATTTTATCTTACATAATCGTTCATAGAACATATAATATAAGCGAAACAAACAATAATAATTTGAATTACAAAAATAATAATTAATATGTTGCTGTTGTAAATTTGCAGAGGGACTCATGAGAGGTGATGAAGATGATGATGATTGATGATGATCGTTTTCGCTGAGGGGTTCACTATCATCATCCATCATTTCCTTTATATCGATCATGAAAGAAGAGGACATGGATACGTTTAAAGAAGAGAAAAAGACGGGTACAAATGACTCTTGCAAAAAGTCACAAATGGCTCGCTTTTCAGAACTTGAATAATGACCGTATTGTTGACTATTCATAAAGATACATAACAAATGAATCATATCTTTCATCACACGTACTGGTTCCTTACATAACATAAATGGAAAGTCAGTGATCGTCTCTTGCTGTAAAAGAAGTGACTTTGTGGAAATAGCACGACGATCAGTTAACTTGAACGTATTCGCTTGATAATCTAATGATCGATAAAAGTTCTTTTCATCCCATTCACGCCAGACTTTCTTATTCCATTCTTTTCGACCTCGTCTCCATTCTTTATCTTTTATTTCAAGACGACGTATGAGTGTTGGAAGGACATGACATGGTTGTTGATAGAGTAACCGAATAATTTCTGATGCTCGTTCTCCATACACCTTTGTAACAATCGATCGTAAAGTAGAAGAGGATTGAAGATCCTGATGGACTAATTGTAAGCAGTAATGATGACGATCCTCTATTGGTTGTAATTCTGTTTGAGCTAGGATAGGTTTTAGCAAAGAAATCACATGTAAATTGGCATCAATAAGAAGATCGTACTCATATCTAAAAAATAAATAAATAAATAGTAAGTTCCAGTCAATATATATAAATATGTATATATAAATATATATATACATGTGTGTGTGTGTGTGTTTTACCTCTCTTCTTCACATTGATGAAGTGCTTCTTCAAATTGATTCTTTTTAGAGGCAACAAAACCTGTATCTTCACTAGCCCAAATAGGATGAGAGACATATTCATCGTTTAGAACCTCCCAACATAACTGATCTCGACCTGAACACTCTATTTTTTGCCATTCCCTGGGTACAGCATGATAGCTTGGACTTGATTTGACAGGCTGACATTGATTAAGATCTGGTTTTTTGGGGCCATTCACAGCCTTTGGAATCTTCTGTTTACTTTCATCATAACCAACCACCCTCTTAAAGAGATGAAGTAAATGAGGACTATAAGCTAAAAAGACCTTTTCAACTTGTTCTATCAACTCATCTAACTTGATAATACCCAATGTATATAACTGAAGGGTCTTTAAGAAGGCTTCATAGCTAGGTTTATTACCAATATGTCTTTTGATTTTTTCAAAGAGTTCAATTTCTTCTTTGGTAATCATACTTGTATTAGGATTAAAATGAGGAGGCAAAGAATCAGTACTAGTGCTTTCAATGGGAGAATCTGATCTCTTTATACGCTTGTTCATAGGTTCTTCAACTATAAACTCTGGTAAAAATTGTTTAAATTCATAAAGTAATGCTTCAGCATCAGGTAAACCTTCAAATAAGGCCCTCATATGAAGATATACTTTTGAAGTTGATTCGTTTTGATTTCGATAAATTTGTAAAATTTCTAAAAACCGTGTATAAATTTCTGGCTTTGTAGAAAAAAATCGATTCTTTATCAATCAAAAAAAAAAAAAAAATAAAAAAATAAAAAAATAAAAAATAAAAAAATAAAAAATAAAAAAATAAAAATAAAAAAAAAGAAAATAAAATAACATAAAATAAAATAACATAAAATAAAATAAGAAAAAAGATGGGGTTAGAATATCATGAATTATTCAAATTTATATTCATATTTACTTTAATTTTGTTAACATAATCAATAGCATTTCTAAAGTCTTTTTGATTATATCGATTTAAAGGTTCATTTATAATTTCTGGAGGAGGAAGAGGAGGAGGTAGTGATGGAGGGGAAACCATATCACTTATACTGGGTATACGAAAAGCAGAAGAAGAGAGTGGTTGAAAGTTTGTAATAGAAGGAAGGGTATGACTGTGACCATAGGAAAAAGGTGAAGGGAAATGAGGCCTTTGCTGTTGTAGTATATGTTGAGGAGGAGGAGGGGGAGGAGGAGGAGGCCGTTGTTGTTGTTGTTGCTGCTGCTGCTGCATAATAACTGGTGTAGGCAGAGGTAATTTCAAAATATGATTAAAGTGCTGCTGCTGATTGGTAGGTGAAATGACAATGATACTGTTACGTGTAGAATCACATGAATCATATTCAATACGGTATCCTGAAGGCAAAAATGTATTAAAACCATATATTAATTCTGGATGTCCTTTGAATAAAATAGAGACGCGTTCAATAACTCCAGGTGTTTCGATTCTATTGTAAAACATGAAATAAAATTGAGTTTAAAGCAAATAATAATAATAAATAATAATAATAATAATATTACGCTTGACTTTTAAAGTCTTTCATAATATCTAAGAATTTGTTATAAACAATAGGTTGATCAGCAAAACACGTTTTGACCTGGTCAAGATAGGTTAAGGCATCAGTCACGTTTAATGGACGATAGGATGATGTAAGGTCGTCCTTATGTAATAATGAATTTGCCGTAGTGGTAACTGAGGAAATAGTACGCTTTTTAATTCCCGATAATGAAGATGAAGATAACGGCGGAGGCGGTGGTGGAAAGAGTAAACTATTGGATGCCATATTTGGAAAAGGAGGTAGATGATAGGATGAAGTATTGTTATTGACTAATGGGTGATGACCATAAGTTGACGAAGATGTAGAACTTATGGGAAATGAAGAACTTGGAATATGATTAGTTGATACCATTCCTCTACAAAGTTATCAGCCTTATTTTTTTAGTATATAACGCGTTTCTATTCAATTTAAAAGACTATTACCTTGAATTAGTTGAATGAGATGGAGAAGGCAGATTAGGAATTGTCATTTACAAACTGAATAATATAAAAAGGAGAAGAAGAAAAAAAAAACAAAACAAAACAAAAAATAAAAGGAAAGGAAAGAAATAAAAACAAATAATAAAATTGTAGTTATTTATTTATATAATAATAATAATCAAGCAGTTGTAATCACTTGATTTGCTTTTCTCTTTTCCCCTTAATTTACAGTATTTGAATTTAAAAATTTAGACGACGATTATGAATTGAGAACCAGACAAAAGAAGATATTGGTAATTACAAGTGACTATTTGCTTTCTCTTTATGAAAGTATAAAGCAGTTGTAACTAGTATGGCTAGTTCATACGTATTCTTGGGGGGTGGGGAACATTTACATCACACTACCATCATACTCTATAGGATTTATAAGCTTGAGTACAATTAAAAATCGATTACCAACATTTTTAATATTATATAAATAAATAAAAGACAGTAACAATATAGAACCTATCTTTGTAAACATCTGCAATACTAACAAGAAACATCTTTATGTAAAACGTTAACAAGTTAGCAGCCTGTCCAACTGTTCTAGTCATGTTTTTTTTTAAAAAAAAAGTGTCTTACCTTATAGCTATATCAACGTAGGCAAAAGTCAAGTATTAAGAGTATTCAGGGATTTCTTTTATATTATATATATAGTTAAAAAGAATTCTAAACATAGAATAAGATTAAAAGATGCTGAGGAAAAAAAAAAAAAGTCCCTTAGTTATTTTAATGAGTAGGAATATATCTAGGCATTATGGATTTGCATTCTCAACACTTCCATTAATTATCATTTATAGAAAAAGAATAAATGTATATAAAATAAAGAGATGAACATTTTAGCTTACTGTTATTTATGTACTCTTCTTGTTGTTTACTTTGGTTAAAAAACAGAAATAATCAAAATGGTCTACATATCAGCAATATTATAAAGCAATAGACAAAAAATTATTCATAGCAATAATAGCTGATTTAGGTATTTCCTTTGACAAAGGTCAAGTGAATATAACTCTTGTTTTTGAATCCATCTTATTTCATTCTTTTATTTTCTCAAAAAAAAAATCAATTCTTATTTTGTTCTTTATTATGTTTGGTGGTGGAAAACGAGTGACTTGTGTAGGTAAAGAAGCAATATAGAATTTGCCCTCAATGTTCAGATATTCCTTTATATTCGGGCATTATCCTTGAATTATATATAAGTTATTTATTTACATATTAAAATTTTCTTTATCAATTCAATTTAGCACTTGGATTTGTTTTAAGTAAGTTGTCATTGAATACAATGCATAGAAATATATTTAGATCTTTTTATGGTAAGCATAGTCAAGTAAATATTCATTGTTAAATGTTGAATATCTTGGTTTTCACAATAGTTTTCTTTATAGCTTTTTAATAATAATGATTTCCATGGTATATTAGTAGCTGTTAACATATTTAACTTATTATTATTACTATTATATCGAGTAACATCGTTCAATGATTATGTAATACTTTTTATTTAGACATAAGATATATGAATATATACATCAAGTTTATTAAAACTATCATATTATGGAATTTATTTATTGCAAAAAAAAAAAAAAAATCTTACTCTGCAAAATAATAGTATGTACTCTCACTTGATAAATTTATAAATCTCACTGCTCAATCCTGATTTATATATTTTTCTTTCTTCTATGATAAACAAATAATTTTTTTTTTTAAAAAAAACAGGAGAACACACTTGTATATTCTATTTCAAGAAATAATCTACGGTAAAAAAAAAAGGACAGGCCGCAATTGAGTGATGCTACTCAGCCATTGTTCTATTTGTGCTATAGATCATGAGTTGTAAAGCAGCATATCGAATAAGAAAGAGTTTTACTAATAAAGAGTACCTTTAACTGATACTAGGTAGGCCGAAGAAGTAGTTTTTTTTTTGGGTTGTAGGGGACTATCTTAATTTTAAATCTTTATCTCAAAAGTTTTCCTTTTAGGCTTCTTCTCTACTCTTGTCCTTGAACAGATACGGGATGTTTTTTAATGTCCTGTGCCCAATAGAGTTTTAAAATTTTAAACATATTATCATTAAACTTCAGCAGTAGGTAATACATGCATATACAAATATATATGTGTGTGCGTATGTTTTTTTGTGTACAATGTTAATACTCATTCTTGTTGTTATTTTTCTATCCTTTTTGATTTACATGAATAGTGAAGATATTGATGCAATTGCACGACAATTAGCACAACAATGGTCAGCTGCCATCTATAATCGTTTACCCAAGACAATTCATCCTTCGGCAAAAACTTTTTTAAATCATTTAGAATCAAATAGTCGTGTTGTTTTTAAATATGAAAATCAAGCATTACTTGTAAATATATATTTGTATATGTATGTATTATATGACTAATCAACAGTATGTTATAATACTAGGATAAAACATTAGACATTATACCGATTCAAAGACTTTATGAGGAGGCTGAAAGCCAATTGACTGATGCGACAAGCTTGGAAGATCTTGTCATCCAACGTCTATTACATTGGTTTAAACATGACTTTTTTAGTTGGGTGAATAATCCTTCATGCAATTACTGCCATAATGTAAGTCAGTTTATTGTGTGTAAATACTTTAAGCTAATTTACCCTACTTTATCTTTTTTTTTTTTTTTTTTTTTTTTCTTTTCTTCCTTTAATGGTTTCATTAGACACAAACAAAACCGATAGGTACAGCTCAACCTAATCAAGAAGAACTACGTTATGAAGCCCATATTGTAGAAGTGTATGAATGCTCCTCATGTCATAATATTACTCGATTTCCTCGATACAAGTAAAAAAAAAAAAAAAAAAAAAAAAAAAAAAAAAAGTCAAGTTATCCGACTAATTTCTTTTGTGTGTTTTTTTAAAGTGATCCAGAAAAATTATTAGAAACAAGAAAGGGACGATGTGGAGAATGGGCCAATGTATATAGCGAGTATTATCAACAAATAAAGAGAGGATAACTTACATTTTACCTTTAATTTTATAGTGCTTTACTTTATGTTGTCGAGCAGTTGGATCAGAAGCAAGAATTGTATATGATTCAACGGATCATGTTTGGACTGAAGTCTATTCTGAATTTGAACAACGTTGGATTCATTGTGATTCTTGTGAAGAAGCATGGGATAAAGTAAGTCGATATAATTAGAATATATCACTTGATAACACATTTATATATATAAATAAATATATATTTTTTTTAGCCTTTATTATATAGTATGGGATGGAATAAAAAATTAAGCTATTGTATTGCCTTTTCAAAAGATGAAGCATTAGATGTAACAAAGAGATATACAAGAAATTGGTCAGAAGTTTTAAAAAGACGTAATAAAGTAAAAGAAGTTGTACTTCATCTGGTAAATTAAAATGATACTATTTTTTTGTATGTATTTTTTTAAATGATTTATTTTGTATAGTTCCTAGAAGATTTAACTTTGAAATTTCAAGCTTCTTTGGATCAAAATCAAAAAAATAGATTAGCTCAAAGAAGGTTGAAGGAATGGGTTGAATTAGAAGATGAAAGTAAAAAGAACATTGTAAAAGAAGATGAACTGATAGGAAGACAAAGTGGTAAGATATTAGAGCTTAATTTTGTTGTTGAGCTTTTATATTAAATTGACATAAATAGGCTCTCTGGAATGGCGTACTAAACGTGGAGAAACTGGTAATAGTACATTGGAAGAAAATACGATGAAGAAATTAGATAAGAATGACTACCGTAATCATAATACAGCCCTATTTACTAGTTTAGCTTTAGCTTATTCTTTCTTCTCTGTTTATTAGAGTATCAATCTATGATATCCTTCAAGAATCAAGATTTAATACACCAATTTACTTTATTAGGAAATGCTATTCATATGCAACCTGACATGATGCAACAGTCATTCACTCGTATTACCCAAGCAATACCAGATCAACGAGGCGCTACTTATTATAAAAAGCCTATTCAATTAAATGATAAATTAAAAGGACTTGAAGTAGAATTTGCATTTCGTATTACTAATAATCTCGGTAAGCCGACAATAGGTCAAGGAGCAGATGGATTTGCGTTTGTAATTCAAGCTCAAGGAAATAATGCATTGGGTGAAGGCGGATGTCAATTAGGTTATGGGGGCATTAAAAACTGTTTAGCCATTGAATTTGATACATACCAAAGGTGACAATAGAATAGATTATCAATAATTTTTATTAATTTATATAAAACTATATACAGTTTCGATAGATGTGCAGAGCCATCAGGAAATCATATAAGTGTTCATGGTCGAAAGCCTCCCCTGGGTAATTCTGCACACCAAGATTATTCATTGGCTTACACCTTTCGACTTCCACCACTTCAAAATGGACAATGGATGAAAGCTAAAATTCGTTTATTTATAAATTACATCATTGAAGTTGGGTTAAAAGAAAATAATGATGCAGAATACATTCAAGTGCTTAAAGCGACTCATATCAATTTTATGGATTACTTAACCGGAGGACAAAATGAAGCATGGATAGGATTTACTGCAAGTACAGGTGGGCTTGCAGAAAATCATGATATTCGATGGATTTCACTTGTTCAATATTATAAATAAATCAGAGTAGGGAAGAATATCGGGTTTAATCATATAGAAAGATGTGATGCTTTAGATGTATTAAAAAGAAATAATAATAATAATAATAAAAGGATATACAAGTCATAAATTAATTTATATGTAAAAAAAAAAGAAAAAAGTACAGTAATATACAGTAAGTCTCCTTGGTCATAATATAAAGCTTCATATTATGCTCCTGTATATGTTAAAAGAAGAAGAGCAGACTTTCTCCTTTATATTATATCACTTTTATATACAATATTAACTCCTTGATAATGATCTCCTCGAGTGAGATTAAAAATAAAAGGGGAAGGGGAGTAGAATAGATAAAAGAAATGAGTGATATACAACGACAAGAACAAAGAATATCTACAATAAAAAAAAATTATATACACTGTTTTTCCTCTCTTTTTCTTTTTCTTTTTTAATATAAATATATACAAATATATAATGCGTTTCTATTTAATTTGCTTTATTTTATCAATATATACTTTATTTGTTAGAGCACAGATACGAGGTATGAAATAAGCGTTCAAGTATAGTTCTTGTATATATAATTTTTATTTTTATTAATGCATATATATTTTTTATTTTCATTATTTAGCTGATGAAACAGGTATTCTTATAAAGATATATATTATATTATATAGAGTTGGATAATTTATTATGATTAATAACAATTCGACTATACATAGGCAGCGTACAACCACAACCTCAAGCAACTAACAATAGTCCACCAACAGCAGTAGCGACAGCACAAACATCTATACCAGCTGGTAGTCTACTTTCATCTAATGGCACACAAGCCAATGCAACTCATTCAACTACAACCAACAATGCTAATCCATTTGTGGGCAAACCTACTTACGCATCATTCTCCAATGATATTCCACCTGCATATCTCACTTGGAAGAAACCAATCCCTAATCAAACTTTCCCACCACTCTACAAGATTGGTGTCTCTAATATTACTTTTGAATGGACAGTAGATCCAAATATTCTTAAAGTACAGCCGGAGAATTTAACAGTAGCACTCGCTAATCCACAAAAGCAAACTTATACAGCAACAGTTGTACCGGGAACAGCTACTTCAGCGTATTGGGACTTGGCACACCTTCAACCTGGATCACCCTTGATGGTAGGATATTATACAGTTTGGGTATATGATCAGAGGGGACCTAAAGCATTTCCTAGTCCTGGTTGGTTAATGCCTGATTCACGACTTATAGTAGCACTTTATTCAACCGAAGCCTATGTTCCTAGAACTGATTGTAAATAATACTAAAGAGAGAGAAAGAGAGGGAGGGAGAGAGGGAGAGAGTAATGATAATGGTGTATATGATTTTAATATGCGACTCTTTTTTTTTTTTTTTTTTTTATTAGCTATGTTTTGCCCTACTTGTTATTTAGGTGGAGCTGGATCATTCCATGAATCGTTGATGCCTTTAATGACTGCATTAAGTGTTGCAATACTGACGTCTATTATCATGCTTATCTCTATACTTAGATAAGCAAAAATCTCGTGTAATGCATTATATTATTATTTATTATATAAACAATGTATAAATTTCATATACAACTGCCCTTTTTTATGAAACATGAACAAAAATAACCTATTTCTTGGCTTCTAAATTTAATACTTTTATATACATATATCAATTTAAACAACATATAAACGAAAAAAAAAAACGAATAATGTTGTAGTCAGTAACAAAGTCACTGCTGATATTATATTGATGATAAAATAATGTTATCATAGAATAAGTCAATCTCTTTTTTATTTATTGTTATTGTATACTGCATGTACTAATTTTAGTTTCTAAAAAAAGAAATTCCAATTTCTATTTTCATCACAAGTAAAACTATCCGCTAATGTAAAATCCAGTTGATATAGAAATAAATAAGCTTAAATATTCCAATAAGATGTGTTAATGATGGTTTATTTTATGTATTGAGAGGAAGAGAGGCTTTTCAGTTATATATCACTTTATTTGGTGTATTTTTTCTATAGTTTTTAAAAAAAAATAATAATAATACTATAATAATTAAAATGGGATCTACAAAAAAAAAAAAAAAAAAAAAAAAAAAAAAAAAAAAAAATGAAATAAAATAAAATAAAAAAAATAAAATTAAGCTCAGTGGAATTTTTTTTTGTGTATCACTATAATTTATTTATATAAAAAAAAAGCGCTTTTATTTCATTGCATTTTTTTTTTTTTTTTTTTTTTTTTTTTTTTTTTTTTTTTTTTGCGTAATTTTCCTTTTCTTCTACTATTATATCACTAAAATGAAGGCACTTATTCTTGTTGGAGGTAGTATTGATTAATAAACAAACTATTTACCTTTTTTTTATTAATCCTCGTTTATTTTATTTTATTTTATTTTGGCTTGTTATAGGTTTTGGTACTCGTCTTAGACCTCTTACACTTACTCTTCCAAAACCACTTGTTGAGTTTGCTAATAAGCCCATGATTCTTCATCAAATTGAAAACTTGGCCAAAGTAAGAATGAAAGCTCCCCTTTTAATTCTTTTTCAACACGTTTAATATTCATATTTATAATAGGCTGGTGTAACAGATATTGTATTGGCTGTCAATTATCGTCCTGAAATCATGGTAGCAGCCTTAAAAGAATATGAAAAAGAATATGGTGTGACGATTACATTTTCAGTTGAAACAGAGCCATTAGGTACAGCAGGCCCATTAGCTTTAGCACGCGATATCCTTGCCAAGGATGATTCTCCATTTTTTGTCTTGAATAGTGATGTTATTTGTGATTATCCATTTGAACAATTAAGAGACTTTCATTTATCACACGGAGGCGAAGGTACTATTACAGTCACTAAAGTAGATGATCCATCCAAATACGGTGTTGTTGTAAATAAACCTGGATCTTCATTAATTGAACGTTTTGTTGAAAAGCCTAAAGAATTTATTTCAAACAAAATCAATGCTGGCATGTATATTTTAAATCCTTCTGTCCTGAACCGTATTGAAGTAAAAATCATATTAGATATAAATGTATATAAATATAATAGGATCCGTTAAACTAACTTTTCTTTCTCCCCTTCTCTCCTTTCTCTCTCTCTATTAGTTAAAACCTACTTCAATTGAAAAAGAAGTCTTTCCTTATATAGCTCAGGAAGGCCAATTACATACATTTGATCTTGAAGGATTTTGGATGGATGTAGGACAACCCAAAGATTTCCTTACAGGAACCTGTCTTTATCTTTCTCATTTAAATAAAAAATCAACCGAACAACTATGCAATAAGGAGTATGTTTATAAGGGTAATGTGATGGTACATCCAACAGCCAAGATAGGTAAGGATTGTCGTATTGGTCCTAATGTCGTTATTGGTCCCAACGTGGTTATTGGTGATGGTGTTCGTCTTCAACGTTGTGTTTTATTAGAAGGGGTTAAAGTGAAAGATTTTGCTTGGGTTAATTCAAGTATTATTGGCTGGCATTCATCCATTGGTCGTTGGTCACGCATTGAAGGTTGTTCTGTCTTGGGTGATGATGTTACTGTCAATGATGAAATTTATATCAATGGTGGTTCTATTTTACCACATAAAGGTATTTCTTCAAATATTACAGAACCTAAAATTATCATGTAAAAAAAAAAAAAAAACACCTTTTTACCCTTCTTCTTCCTCTTTAATAATTGCTATCTACCTTAATAATTTATTCCTCTCTCTCTCTCTCTCTCTCTCTCCTTTCTTGTCACTTATATGCATCTCCTTTTATATATTTATATATAATAATAAATAATAATAATAAAAATATAAATATCAATATACATACACATGTATATTTTCAATAACAGCTACTAAATTAGACCCTGATAATCGTAGTGAAACGAACTCAAGATAATAAGAAATTGTTTATTTAAGACAAACATAGGAATTATCTGATTTTAGAGAATAGAAAAGTATTCATATCAGAATTTAACTAATATTTAGTATTAGTAGTAGTAGTACTGTTCATGATAATAGAGTGTATAATAACAGTGTCCTTAGTAGGTATTATGTATAAATAAGTTGGAATCTGTTATCCTCGTTATGAATCTGGGGTTTAATAAAGAAGAGTAATGAACTCTGATTACCTCATTATTAATGATGATCGTCAACAAATTATTATTATTTAATGTCAGTTTGTACCACTACCGCTTGTTAATATTAATCGTCTTTTGCCTTTGAAAAAAAAAATACTTAGGGATGAACTTATTTAAAAGGTTCTATTATGCATTTTTTTTTTTTAAAAAAAAAGGAAAAAAAAAGCCAAATAACATCATTCTTTAACTAGTACGTGACTAATTTATTTCTTTATCTCTTGTCGTAAGTTGTGCAATAGCTGGATGTTTCGTTCCCCTTTACTAGGATTGTCTTCTCCAGTCCGTGGCTTCATTTTCAGCAGTTTTAAGCCATATGTGTATGTGTTGTAGGAGGGGAGAAAGGGCTTGAAAATATATAAAGTCACTATCTTTTAGCGGTTATTCTTGTTAGTAGGAGCTTTTTTGCTTTGAGACTAAAGGAGACTTAACTACTTTACACACATTGATGTATGAAACTATTTGATTTGTTCATTTTTGCTACCATTACACATTCTTTAGACGGCCATCTTCTCAAAGTATGCATGATTGATTATCTCTGATCCACCCGCAATAATAATAATAATAAAGGAATGAAGCAAAGCTACATAAACATAATGAAATAATTTATTGAGCATAAAACATATAGTTTGTGCTAGATATACATGATAAAATTTACAAAGAGCTATTAATTGTCAACAAACCTTGAGTTTTCTTTGATTGCGCAAGGTTTTCATGTTTGGACAAGTGATACTAAAATAAATCTCTTCATGATCAAGACTCAAAAAGCCTCTAGTTAATAACAATAGTAAGAATATGCATAACATAAAATTCTAATGTATTCAGTAATGCGCATTGTGCAGTAAACAGTAGTTGATTCCAGCATTTTAACAAAAGACTCCTATTTATATTACAACATAATGTAATAGCCTACTTTATAAATAATACAAAAAGCTGTCATCATTGGTCAAGTACAATGGTTCATTACTAAATAGCTCAAAAAAGAATACTATAGTAATAGAACGTTGATTTTTATTTTTCCTACAAGTAGAGAATTGCATTGCTAAAAAATAGGGAATTACGGATAAAAACCAGGTCATATCAGTAATATATATTATAACACTCTGATAGAGTATTTACGGCTTAAGGGGAAAACTTTTTACAGTTTATTATAAAAAGGGATGAAAGGAGTGAGGTGATAAGAAGTAAAAAATTAGGAATCAGCCATAATTGTAAGTACAGTAGGTACAGTAAATATTCTGAGCAGTTGAGAGCATATTTATATGCCTCACTTAATTTTTTTTTCTTTACATTAAAAAGAATAAGAGTTTTTAACAGTGAAGAGAAAGACGATTATATTAACAATATATTTTATTTTTTTATTTTTTTATGGGAGAGTTTTCAGTGCTATCAATAAATCTATCAGCATGATTGTGCTCTTGTGATGAAGAAGTTCCATCACTAGACAAATATAATAGCACACTCTCAAGACTTGACTCGATAAGCGATTGTAGGGTGAGCATGTTCGTGATAAAAGTAGACAGCTGGGTACAGAATAATAAAGGGGAAGTAGGGTAATCGAACTTCATTTCTTCTTTAAATAAATATAGTTTTGGACATACCAGCTGCAAACTGTATACATGAAAGTTTTTTTTATAAAGCTGTAATCCATACAGCTTGACTTTTTTTATATTGCTCCCACCTCTAGTGTTCATATTATAAATTTGATTTATAATTAACTTGAGGTTTTTGGCGATTTTTTTTTTATCTTTCATGTAATGGTTGTTACTAGTCACCGACCAAGGACCAGACACCTCCACAATCGACAACAGTGCCACGACACCTTCCTCATTCAAAACAGACAACAGTCCGTCCACTTTGGTCTTTCCGACTGAGGAATTTCCCCATTCTTTTTTCATATTTTGGTTTTGTCGAAACAAAGCCTTGTATAAAGGGGCAACGAAATGAAGTTTGTAATCATTTTCTTTTTGGGTGGTGTCCGTAAACAAATTTACATTTTCTTCATACTTTTGATTTAAACTATTAAAAGATCATTAACGTTAGTAACTACTTGGCATTTTTCCTTATATTTCTATTACTCACTATGTCTTAATAATTTTCTTTACAGAATAAGACAGATTCGATTTGTTATTATTGTAAAATGATTTGAGACGCAAAAAGGTATAACAATCGTTGAAATTTAAATTAAGAGGTTGTACTAGGGTGGGGGTCTGATAGGTTGTTGTTTTTATAGATCTAATAAACTCCATCTGATTGCTAGTCAAAGGGGGAATGTCATTCAAGCTTGCATCAATAATATTGTAATATAATAAAACTTGATTATGGATTAAAGGTATGTATTCTGCAGTGACTTTCCACTGTTTAACAGAATCAGCAATAGCTGATAATTCTTCAATCTCTCCGTTTTCATATACAATCTCTTCTTGAAAAATCAGATCATCTTCAGCATCCAAAACGTCGTCTTCTAATTCTTCTGCTTCTGTTTCATGGTCTGGAGATTCGTCTTCTTCATAACATGTTCTTGAAACTTTATTAAAAAATGCACTATTTTCTCCACCAGGTTGATGAAAAAGATTGTCTTGATCTGCAGTTCTTTTTCCATTATTATTAAAGACATTATTAACTGTACTTTGGCTTCCCATATGAATAGTTTGTTTATTTAATGTGCTATTATTAGTGGGTAAGTTTCTGTTGCTAAAGCTGCTAGCTTCACTTGACGAAGCTAGAATATTTTGGGCAAAAAAATTAGCTTTTTTCTTTGCAAAAGAATTATAGTTAGGATTTTTTTTGAACTTAAGCAAGTCCTTTTTCATTTGTTGAAAAACAACATTATCATCTTTGTATAAATCAAAATAAAATTGATATGCTTTAGGATAGGACCATTCGTTACAATACTCTGTTTCAAAATAAGACATAGACATAATTTATTTAATATAATTAGAAAAAAGTGCTGAAAAAGGTGTTGCTTCATTTACTTTTGATCTGATTTAATTCTTAAAATTGGTTCACTGCAAAAATATGCTCGTGGAAGATCCCCAAAAAAAAAATACAGGTTTTAAACATAACCTGTCTAATAAACAGGAGTCTCATTTATGCACAAAAGCGGGAAATCTCGGGTATAATACAAGTTGTTTTGATTAGCAAAAGATAATGGAAAAAAGAATAGACAGAAGACAAGTCTGTGAAAACTTTGTATAGTTTATTAAAGATAATACAAAAATTGTACAACGAAAATTATATGGAAAAATCGAGGGTTATTTATATGTTTTTACAAGGTAAGTGTTATCAATGGAAATATGATTCAGATAAGCAAGTTTTACTATAATAAAGTGTTTTACATAAAACATTGTCTCCGAATAATTCTGCGATCAATTAGATATATTTTTATGTTTATTCTCCCTGAGTTGTCGCTGTTCCTAGAAATATAACGAATCATTATTATTGGACTGCGACACATCAATATTAATTCTCAGTGAATATGTCTAGCTGCAACAATACCAATTATTTATGAGTTACTATCATTATCATTGTATAAGATTTTAATACATAACAATATTCAATATTATCAATGTATATATGATATGTATTACTCATAAAGAATTATGTAATTGAATACACCAGCCATAATCCTGTTTGAATTATGTATATAATTATTATTATTGCTCGAACATTCTAACAATGACTATTATTAAAACTGAGTGTAGAATGAATATTATGCTGTGCAGTTCAATATACTAGTTTTATATGAATAAACTCTTTATTATGTAATAAATGATGGTTCATTTCTATTAACTTAGTTATAAGGACGACTACAATCATAACATCGACAACTACTTTGTTGCATTTGCACGATGAGATGCATTGGTACGAGGCACCCAATCTAGGTCATTGAAGTCACTGAAATCAAGTTTATGAGCGTCATTTGGCAAGTGATCAATTTTCTTATCACACTTGTGACAGGCAAAGTGTTGTGGTTCAGGTAGGTTTAATGAATTAAATAAAAGGAATAAAATAAAAAGAAAACAAGACAGAAGAAGTACGTTGAGACTTGTCAATAAGTTTTATTAAAAGTTAAAATCAATACAAGTATTGTTCTTAGTTATAAATTATACAAAATAAGGGTGAATAATGTAAGAGTATTTATATATTTTGTGAATAAGGATGATGAGTAATAAGAAGATAAAAATATAACAAATTGTATTTGATAATATAATTATAGAAGGATTACTAAGAGTTATAATTATAGATTCATGTCTTTAGTATATATTTATTTTTATAACTAATACGTGTATTCTGAGTAGAATCAATTATTACGCGTATTTGTATTATTCTTAGTTTACCCCAGTTTAACTTGTATAAAGTTATTTTTATAAATTTATATTCAGCAGAACAATAATAGAAGAAAGAAAGTTTATTTTTAGATGTAGGACTGTTTATTAATTAATTATTTTTCTATACAATGGTAAATATACTAAATATGTTTATAGAGAGAATTATTATACAAATGCACTATGTATTCTATTATGACTATTTATCTTATTGAATTAAGTTATAAATCTTACAACCATGACACAAAGGCAGAAGAGTGGCTGGCAAAGCCAACACACTTTCTCAAAGCGGGCATATCCATGGTCACCAACGTCAAGGCAGCTTTCACCACTTGCTTACCATTGACTCTTGTCTGAAGTTCTATTCCATTCTTCAACAACAACAAATCTTCAACCAATGGGTTCAAATAATGATTGATTTGATATGTCGAGGGTTCAGAAGGACCAGGCAATAAACCAACTAAAATTAAATTTTTTTTCAAGTTTCTTTCTTCACGAGGTAAGTTTTGAATAGTCATGTAGAAAGCACCACAAGAATATTGAGCGTTATCATAGAGCTGGAACCAGTCGAAATTCAAGGTCAACATCAAATTGTAATTTGAAGCCATTACAAAAGGTGTGTCATCCCTTTCATCCAACTTGGAATTGCTCCAAACTCTACCATCCCAGATGTCAAACAAACGATTGGTGACGGTTGTTCTTGTTTTCCACTGTCTAATTTTTTCAACAAAGTGGTCACGAAGGAAAAAGGTTTTAACGGTGTTAATCCAGAATAGCTCAATGGGGTTGAGGAAAGGTGAATAGGGAGGAAGATAAGCACATTTGTATCCTCTTTTCTCAATAAAAATTCTTGTTATGGCAGGCTTATGAATAGGAGTATTGTCGATCACTAAGTGAAACTCTTTCATGTCGTTCTTATCCAAGACGTCCATTACATTACTTAAATATGCTAAATAATGTTCAGTTATCGTTCCAATTCTAGCTGTAGTTTGAATAATTTTTCCGTCTGATTTTCTTTTTTTAGATCCGGCAACTACGATGGGTTTTCTCCAAGATATGTCGATGACACCTTGAGATGAAATAGCTTCGAGGATTGTAATATACGTACCTCTGGAAGCTGGAACTACTGACTTTGTAGTTTTTTCCCTTTTTCGACCAACCTCGAGTTCGCGTCATATGAAGATTAAAACCTGCTTCGTCTAAAAATATGCAGTTCTTCTCAAAATCAAACTCACTGTCTGCCATCCATTGCATTATAGTATTTTTTCTTTTTAGAATCGTCTCTCCCGAGTTTCTAGATTCGACTATTTTCTCTAGTTTTTTTCATAGACAAAGCACAGTTGTTTCTGGCATGTCTATAAAAAGAAGACTTACTAACAGACAATCTAGGGAATTCCTGGTGCAACATCTCCCACATTTGCGTAATAGTAATAGTTGCAAAATTGTCCACAATTTTTGTTAAAAATACTGTGTGCTCTTCTTTTAAATCAGAAACAGTTCCAACAATGCGTCCTCTTTTTTTGTTTCACGTATCTTCCCCTCTTCTGTCCATTGTTTTCGAAAAAGGTAAGCTGCACTTAAAACGATACCAGTTCGTAAAGCTGCGTCTTTTACAGGAACCATTTCCGTTATCAAGCAGATAAACTCTTTGATTTGTTCCTGGTTGTACTTTCTGTATTTCAAAGTTTTCTCGTTCTCTTTATTGCTGCTGGCAAGTTTCTTAGCAAATTCTTCGACAGTGGGCTTTGCTAGTTTATCGTTACTTTCATTCCCACTTTCACTATTATCTTCGTTATAGTTATTCTCTTCTGAGTCAAGAGCTCCCAGTTCTTCATTAACTTCTTCATCAAGATCCATAGCGTCTGAGGAAGGCATAGTGGTTACCCATTCAGATCTCATCATAGACATCATGCTAACATAAATCTCGGTAGTTTGTTCCTCTTCCTTTTGTTGGAGGCTTAATTCATTCATTTCAAAGTCAGTGTTCCTTGATATAATATTTTTTTGTATTTTAAAAGGAAGACTTTCTCAATTTTTTTCTGAGCTTTTATCAATTTAGCTCTAACCTTTTCTTAATTTTAGTGAAAACATTTTATCCAATCTGGCTTTAAATTTATCATTTTATTCTAGAGCCTTTCTCAATTTTACTAAAAAATACAATACACATACGTAATGCGCGTGACGGTTTATATCACCCCAAGAACTGACGTAAGATATCTCTTTTAGCCAATTTAAATTTTTATTTTTTTTTAAACAATCTTGTTTAGAAGGGAATAAAATGCAGTCAATTCGAAAAGACCATCAATGCTTTATACATGGTTTACCAAAAAAGAAAACTTAAAAAAACTAATATAAATACTAACTTCTTGACGCTAAGCCGTTCAAGTTATGTAACTTGAATTTCATTTTGTATACTCAAATGATGCTTTCTATGTGCGATATCTAGTACAGTTCTGGTCCATGCTGAGCAACTCAGATGTTGAATACTTAAAAAAAGCCATCTGAGGCTCAGTGATGTAGCTGACTCCCCATCAGGCCAATGGTTGCAATAAGTGCCTGCCGGGTTTAGGATATCTTTATGACTCCCTCCATACCATTTAGACGAGGTAGCTGCACGTATGAAGGATATGTGGATGCCTAGTACAGTTTTGGTCCATGCTGAGCAACTCAGATGTTGAATACTTGAAAAAGCCATCTGAGGCTCAGTGATGTAGCTGATTCCCCATCAGGCCAATGGTTGCAATAAGTGCCTGTCGGGTTTAGGGCATCTTTATAGCTATTTTCATACCATTTAAACAAAATAGCTTCGCGTATGGAGAACTCTCATCATTTACTATACCAAATGAAATGCAAGTTACATATCTTGAAGATAATTGAAAACAGTTTTTCCGTTTACTCAAATGATGCTTTCTATGTGCGATATCTAGTACAGTTTTGGTCCATGCTGAGCAACTCAGATGTTGAATACTTGAAAAAGCCATCTGAGGCACAGTGATGCAGCTGACTCCCCATCAGGCCAATGGTTGCAATAAGTGCCTGCCGGGTTTAGGATATCTTTATGACTCCCTCCATACCATTTAGACGAGGTAGCTGCACGTATGAAGGATATGTGGATGCCTAGTACAGTTTTGGTCCATGCTGAGCAACTCAGATGTTGAATACTTGAAAAAGCCATCTGAGGCTCAGTGATATAGCTGATTCCCCATCAGGCCAATGGTTGCAATAAGTGCCTGTCGGGTTTAGGGCATCTTTATAGCTATTTTCATACCATTTAAACAAGATAGCTTCGCATATAGAGAACTCTCATCATTTGATTGTGCTGAATTGATAAAACTTCTTTGTTAGACATAGTTTGTATTAGCCATAATTTGTAAGTTACTCTATATTTCTGATTAGCTTAGATAGTAACTCCTTGTGTAGTAGGCATCTTCATTGCGCAATTGCTTTAAAGGCTTTTGATGATAGTGGTATTACACGTGTGTATCGGTGTATCTTTGACTCGCTTCTAGTACAAGAAACTTTCAATATTCGTCTCACAATTCATTTCTATTCAAACCAAAAATCAATTTCCCTCTTTTTATTGTTTATTTTAAAAGTCAATTCATCTTGCCTCTTTCCATGTAAAAAAAAAAGACTCAGATAATAGAATGCATTTCTATGATAATTCTGTCTATGTTCATACCAAGTTTATTTATCCTTGTATAGAAAAAAGGTTTATACACATATAAAATATATCTTCTTTTACTGAATCTAAATTTATAAAAATAGCTCTGCAAGTCAAGCTGATGATAAACCAAGAATAATACAAAGTACTCATAATAACTGATCTCTCTTAAAGTTACCAAAAGGCATAAATATCATTATAATAATTCTTGATTGTATCACCAAATACAATTTCGTTATATTCTTATCATTCTTATTCACGAAAAATACAAATACTCTCATATTATTTACCTTCCTTTTGAATTAATTCTTATGACTTGACACAACAAGCACCTTTTAAAGTAGTTCTCCTTTCTATATTAAAGATACCATCCAAATTGATTCAACTAGATAGAATATTTATTTATATATATAAAACCTAGACTTTATTGATTTAAACTTTAGTTATTTTTGATATTAGATTTTCTGCTTCTTTTAACTCATAATATCTAATAGTTTTGCTCTTAACAACAAACCAGAACCGTTTAATAAGGATTTAATTCAGATAAATACTTGATAGGCGTGCGTTTATTATTATTATTAAGAAAATGAAAGAGTAGAAAACCAAATAACTCTCCATAATATCTTTCTTTCCAGTAGTGTATGAATCTTACCTATTTTTCAACATATATCAATGTTAAATGGCTAGTTTTATTTCTATTCCTGACTATACTTTATGAAGGGGGAGGGTGCCAAAAGATTATCTTTTTCAAATAGTATGTGTACACAGTAGTCGCAATACCAATGGGCGCTTATTTAAATCAAGGGGTAGGAAATGAAATGTCAAATGGTGTTTCTTTTTAATTTTGATACTTTAGTATTCTCATTCAGAAGCTATAATAGGTGTTTCTTAGTGCAAAAATTCTAATTCAACATTTTACTTTAAAACAAAAAAAAAAAAAAAAAAAAAAAGGAAGAAATTTATGGTTTTTTCTATATTCTAAACTAGTTTGAACGTAATTAAAGCACACATGCTCAACTTAAATTTGCTAAAAAATTCCAATAATATTTATTTATATACACAAATACATTAAATCATACATAATATCTTTATTCACATCTATCATCTTGATTTTAATCAATCTCAATCACTTCTTCTGAAGAAGGAGAAGGTGGAGATGGTAGAGACTTGGGCTGGGAAGATTGTGGCAAACAAAGAGGTTGAGATGGCCTATCCGATTGTGAAGTTGAAAGTAAAAGTGGCATAGCAGTTAACTGTATAGGAGTTATATTTCGTCCCTGAGAGCTCTCTCCATTATGCGCAATTGAATAGTTACTATTCCCTTGCTGTAGACTTATTTGTGGAAATGCAATTTTTTGTTGTTTGTGACACAAGCTCGAATGTATCTGATTAAAGAATTCATTTAATTGTTGTCTTTGCATAATTTGTTGTTGACGTAATTCCTCAGTTTGCAATTTATGTTGAAAATCGAGCTGTCGTTCTAAAATCTCTTGTTGCTGTAATATCTGCTTACGTTGATCTTCTAGTATCTTTTGCTCACGAATATCTCGTAAATGCAAAGCATGCGAATAGATTTCCTTTTCCATCATCTCAATAATCTTACTTCCGTTTTCCCTGATAAGTTCTTGCTTTTGTCTAAGGATTTGACCAACAACTGCTTCATTATATCCTAAGCTTAGATCGTTTCGACATTCTCTACTAATAATACTTAAAGATTTTGTCGTAATCTTTTCAATAAATGTATTGATCATATTAGTTTTACATTGATTAAAATTTTCAGGTGTTAATCGCTGTGATAAATATTCGGTTTTCATGAATTTTTTAAATTTGTTTAACTCTTTTTTTCCTTGTGATTCTATCATTTTGAAATGGGTTTCTTTATAATCTGGGGGAATCGTTAATGGTGGCAATACAGGATACTGTAAAAAATAATGGCTAGATGACTGGTTTTGTGAAGCAGTAGATTGAGGAGCTTGTTGTCCTTTTTGGGGTGTATGTTGTGATATAATATTTTGATGCATGGATTGATATATAGACTTGTGTACTTGTTGTTGTGCTTGTTGCTGCACTTGCTGCTGCACTTGTTGTTGTGCTTGTTGTTGTGCTTGCTGCTGTGCTTGCTGCTGTGCTTGTTGTTGTGCTTGCTGCTGTGCTTGTTGTTGTGCTTGTTGTTGTGCTTGTTGTTGTGCTTGTTGCTGCACTTGCTGCTGTGCTTGTTGTTGTGCTTGTTGTTGTGCTTGTTGTTGTGCTTGTTGTTGTGCTTGTTGTTGTGCTTGTTGTTGTGCTTGCTGCTGCACTGGCTGCTGCACTGGCTGCCATGTTGGCTGCTGTGCTGAATGCCATGTTGGCTGCTGTGCTGACTGCCATGTTGATTGCTGTACTTGTTGTTGCATTGGCTGTTGCATTGGCTGCTGTGTTTGTGGGTGGATATAATACTGTGGATAATAGTGTATAGGATATTGTGTATATTGCTGTGGAGGTACATACATAATAAAGTTGTCTTGCCGTGGTATAATAGGTTGTGGTCTTATATGTGGATTGCCATTCATTTTAGCATCTTGCTCATATCGAGTATTTACAGCTTGTGCCCAAGCTTCAGGATTCAATGATTGAAGATCTTCTAACGCATTAGATGCAACGTCTGCCGTATCCAGCTCCTCAGGATCACTATTCAGGACTTCAATATACTGATAATCATCATCATCTGAACCTTTATTTCCAGCTTTCTTTTTATATTTGTTTTTCTTTTTATTCTCATTTTCTGCATTGAACCCTGCTTCTTTATAAGTCTAGTAAAAAAAAAAGTGATTAGCATATGTAGATAAATGTCATATATATATATATATTAGAATGAATATTATTACCACAGCAGTTCTTTTACGAGCACCTCTGCCCATATTTAATTCAGCTTGTCTTTTTTCTTCCTTTTTCCTTTCAGCTTCCTTTTTTTGTTCTACTAAAAATTTCTCCCAAAAATCAGCATCTGTTTGTTCCCGATTTATGTCTTCAGTTGCTAATTCTTCTGTATTGCCATCTTTTTGCCAAACCTTGGCAAAGGAGAAATTTAACCCATTAGGCTCTGCTGCTTTACCTTCTAATTCCTCTACTTCCTTTATTTGTTGTTCTGTTGCAACCTGACGATATTGTTCACGATCTAAAAGATTATCAATAGCAGCATCATCATAGACAATATCTTTCGAGTCATCATTAGAAAAGAGGGCTTCTGTACCATATTTGAGAATTGACTCAATATCTTCAAGATTTTCTTCCTCATCAGCCTTCATGCGTTCAACAACAACGTGTTCAAGCGCCATCTTTCGTTTACCAATTTGCAAAATCTTTTCTTCAACCGAGAGACGGGTCATGAAACGATAAATAAGGACCATGTTTGATTGACCAATACGATGTGCACGACTGATAGCTTGTAAATCAGCATAAGGGTTGAAATCAGAATCCCAAATAATGATGGTATCGGCTGTTGCTAAATTAATGCCGACACCACCAGCCCTTGTACTGAGTAAAAAGACATCTATTTTCGAATCTGGTGCATTAAATGCATCAATACTTCTTACTCGATCACGTTCACGTGTGCGGCCGTCTAACCTAACATAGCGTACATTTTCATACGTAAAATAGTCTTCTAGAAGATCTAAGGTGCGGGTCATGGTCGAAAATAAGAGAATACGATGTCCACGCTCACGAAGCTTGGGTAGCATTTGATGAAAGAGTTTAAGTTTTGCACAGGCATTAATCATTGCTTTCTGAACTTCCTCTATAGTCGGCAGTTGCTTTTCAACACCATCAATAAAGTAAGGATGATTTAAAATTTTTCTTAAGTTTACAAAGATGCTTGAAATACCCTTTTGCCTTCGTGCATTTGTAAGCGATAACGTTTCAAAGAGCTCTTGGGTTAAAATTTGCTTATAAATTTCTTTCTGAAGAGATGTCATAGAAACAGGAACAATCAGTTCATATTTTGGAGGAAGCTTCTTAAGAACTTCTTCTTTTGTTCGTCTTAAGAAATGTGGTCTTAAACGGTTATGAAGCTCTTCTACTTGAGCAGCTGTCATTTCTTGATAATCATCAGCTTCATAACCCTGAAAATCATCTGGATGAATGAAATGCATGATATTGAACAGTTCGCGTAGATTGTTTTGTAATGGTGTGCCGGTTAATAAAACAGTATGGTCGACTTTTAATTTGCTCAAAGACTTGAACAAAAGGGACGTATCACTCTTTAGACGTTGTGATTCATCAACAATCAAAACTGGCCAAAAGAGATCATGCAAGTTAGATTTATCGAGTGCTGATTCATAAGTGGCTACAACAACATGACATCTTAATTGTCCTTTTCCATTAAAAATTTCATGTTTTAGAGCTAAATTTCTTGCCGTTGCAAGACCAAAAAAGGGGACTACAGTCATATCGGATGCCCATTTTTGAAATTCTCTAATCCAGTTTGTAGCTGTACTGTTAGGAACGACAACAATAAAAGGGTAAATATCAAATCTCTTGTATAAAAAATATAAAAAGGAAATAATTTGAATTGTCTTTCCTAAGCCCATATCATCTGCTAAAATACATGATTGTTTTTTTTCCCATTGATAAATAAGCCAACTAAACAAAGAAAAAAGGAGTATATAATTAGTCTTTCAAATTGCTATATATCTATAATCACTTACTTAAGTGCTTCCATCTGATGTTTCATTAATTTTCCACCAGTAATAAATGAAGGTTGAGCCTTCAATTCATGTTTCTCATAACTTTCTGCAGTAGCTGCGGAACGAACTTGCTGCACCAAGGCTTTTATACCCTTAGGGGGAGTAACTTTCATTGCTTGCAAATATCTCTTCATAGCTAGTTCATAATCAGGATATAAATCTGTATCTTCTTTGGCTGGAGGCTCATCCCATACGGCTATGTGTACACCAAACAAAATTGAATATATATACTAAAACCATTTTTTTTTCTTTTTTACCTTCACCATAATCTAAATCCTTAAAGACAGCTAATACTCGTTTTACTTGTGTTTTTTCTTTGTCTTTCCATTCTACGTCTAAGATACGATCGATAACTAGCCAATCCTCGGAGAACGGGACCAAAGTCCTTTGTAATTTCTTTTTAATATAAAATCGATACAAGCTAGTATTGAAGTACTGAACCCAATTTTCATTCACCCAGTTGGTATGACGATACGACATTCCTTTCCATTTTATTCTTAATTCCTTTACACCATTTTGTATTCTCTCTTCTACAATAGAATCTACAGACATATCTTCATAGGTGTGGCATTCGAAGCATTGACCTCTCTGATAAACATCTAGTATTTTAACATTTTCGGCTAGATTAATAAGTTCTGATGATACGCCTGGTTTAATACATTCCATATGAAATAATCGAAAACAAGTTATACAACGAAAGGAGACTGAATGCTCCTCTTTCCTTTTTGCGGCATTCTTGTTACATCGTGAACAAATAGTGCTCTTTATACATTTTGGACAAATAAAACCATCTCCATTTTTATTAGGACGGAAAGCGAAGCAATTGTTATGGTATGAAGAAGAGCATGATTTGCACAGTAATGCACGTGATCTCCTTGCCAGTGGACCATATTCAAAGTCTACAGGATCACGCTCATTGTTTGGTTCACTGTAGCGATGACATTTAAGACATAATTTTGAATGACAGCTGATAAATACATCATCAGTATAGAGTGGTATAGAGGCGGTTGGTGGTTTTTTGGCTTTTTTATTACTTCCAAAGACTTTGTTATTATAAAACTGTTCAAGAAAGGAAGCGGGTCTAACAGAACTGCGGCCACTTTGTGTTGTATTAGAAATAATAGATTTCATTTGCGATTGTAGTTCATCATTATCGCCATCTGATTGACCACTACTAAAAGATCGATCGTCAATGAAGTTATCATCATCATCGTCTTGATAAGTGTCATCACTTTCATTACTGTCTTCAGCTATTATTCTCTTTTTTTTATTTTTTGTTTTTATAGTCTGTCTTGTCACTCTAGGTGTAAATGTCACTTTCTTTTTTTGGTTTTTATGTAGGTTTGATTCAAATTGATCTATGAGTGGTTTATTTACTTGAATTAAGCTATCTGCTAAAACCTATATATTTATATACATGTATGTATGTATGTATGTATTTTTTTTTTTAAAAAAAAAGGAAAGAAAAAAGTTTAGATTATATACACATTTTTTATATATAAAGGAGGTCTTTTTAATTCAACAATATATAATGTAATTTTACTTTTTTGATTTGACCATCTCTAAATTTAACAAAATAAATCAATGTTCCATTCTTAGTTTTTTTACGTTTTTCAATTCCTTTAATGGAAGATTTATAAGGCCAAGGTTTTAAATTTATTTGAATTGGATTGTATTTATTTTTTATTTCCTGTTTCAAGAGAGTCATAGTTTAGTAAGTAAATACATGACTTTGCGTTTAACTGTCTTACATCCTTCGACAAGAATTCATAGAATTTCATTTCGTTGTAAAAAAAAAAAAAAAAAAAAAATTAATTAAAAGCGCGATTTGTCCTGTTTTTATAAAACACGCAAAGAGGATTTTTTTTTTTTGTTGATTTTATTGGATATTTTTTTTTTTTTTTTTTTTTTTTTTTTTTTTTTTTTTTTTTTTAACTGGCAGATCTGGCAAAAAAAAAAGGGGAGAGGATAAAAAATGTATGGCAAAATGAATACGATTAAAATTTATAAAGCGATCTATGAGCACATAATATCTTTGTTATATTGGATTGCCCAGGTCAGTTCAAATTATGTGAAAAAAAAATATCTAAAAAACCCTCTTACGGGACAAGAGGTAAAAAGGTAAAGGAAAGGACGAAGAAGAGAAGGTGTGAAAGAAAGGGGGTAATATTGCTAACAAGTTTAAAGAGACAACCAATTGAGTAATTTTCTGCCTGGATCACGAAGTGGAGGAGACACTCTGCTTACACTTTTTGGACGAAAGGAAAAATAAAATCAGACGAAAAAAAAAAATGAGTTCACTTGTAATAATCAAATCCCAAAAAGGAAAACCCTGTTTCTTAAAAAAAAAAAAAGGTGGATCACAGACGTTGCATAAGTATTATGTCTAATGTAATGAAGTGCGTTTTAACCTTACGCTCCTTTGATAAATTGCAACTTAAAAACACAGAGGACTTCCTCGATCCCAGAAGGCCTCTGTACATCACATCCATCCTTAGCAATTAGCAACATAAACTTGCTTATAATGCTCAGCAATACAAGATGTATGCGTGTCTGGTTTTTCCAAAAAGAATTCTTATTTTTTCTAATGATCTTGAACCAACATCTTTGATAGAGCACAAAAAGAGTGAATATGAGGGCTCATTAATAGCGGTTCATAGTCACGCTGGCTTATGGCATTTACGACAAACAGAGAATAATGCACCCTACACTTGTCCATAAAAATGTGTAAATGGTACTTAGTGTGCTTATTCAAGTCATCCATTTTATTTTTTAAACTAAGGCTACAATAGGATACGCATTCATGATTTTTTTTATCTGTTTTACATATTTGTCATTTTTTTTTCTACATAAGTTCAAGGAACTGTTTTTTTTACGTTACCAGACCCATAGGCTTTGTACATTACCAATGGCATTGATATCAGCAGAGGACTTTTCAGGTATATTATTCTTCCTTTTTTTTTTTGTAAGATACGATTTGCTCATCTGCTAATAAAACAGGCTCACTAAAAGTTGTGGCAGTGCCCCTATCATTGTTAATCCCTTTTGAACAAGGTTCTGTTAACACATTTTTGTCAAGTGTTGTAAATGGCTCTAGTGAATATCAAATGGTTGGATTCCTATTAGGTTGTTTTTCATTTTAAAAGGTTTTGCCTTGAGGGATCAATAAACTCTATATTGTCAATTAAGTTAACACACTGATAATTCTAGAGTACGCGTACATACATGGGAGACTACGTGTGTACAGATATATGAAAGTATAGATTTGACAGTCATATTTAAGATACAGCATTGGTAAATATTGTGGTGAAATACACCGACAATTAATAAAGAATATGCACAGATATGACATGTAATTCATATCGTGCACTTTCACTATATCATATATCAGCCAAACGAAAACAGAAAGAATCCTGAAATCCAGAGATCTCAAATAATATACATATAGGCATGATTATTTAGCTCCAGTTGAGTCCAGACTTACTGCGTAACTAACAACTCTATATTGATTCGCGTTCAAACTACATCCAACAGATGATAGTTGTGCCAGACAGAACAATAGAAGATGTTACTCAAGATATTGTTATGACATCGCTAATAATGAACACTGTAAGAGAAATAATTTACATGCCATATCAAAATGTTGCTCTTGTTTTTTTCTTAAGACCTTAGCCTTTTTAATAAGTGGAATATTTACCAAAAAGGACTACACTCGATTTCTATTATTTTTTTTTTTTTGAAATGCAAATCAACCTTAAATTTTCCACAAATATGTCACATTTTCTTTACCTTCTTTACTAATCTTCGCTTATTTCATACAAAGACATGCATCAATCATTTATTTTTAACGAGAAAAAAGCTATTTATGACAGTCGTCTAGAGAAGAATGAGCTTTCAAGCAAGTATTATTATTAGTGCACATATCTAATCAAAATTAACAATAACATCATCGATGCCACATGCTTTGATTGTGGTCAGAAAGGACACTTAACAAAAAAACTATAAAGAATGCTCGTTATATTCACCCGAGACTGGTGACGAAGGTATAGTTGTTCGTATGTAGAATAAGGTGCTAAACACCCACTTATTTATTGAAGAATAGTTGGCACTAGTACTAATAAAAAACGAAAACAGTCAGAAAACGTTAAAAGAGCTAAAAAAAAAAAAAAAAAAAGGATGCTAAAAGACAGAAAACACAAGCCAGTACCGAAGTTGCTTGTTCAAGATGTAAGCTTTCAGGTCATAGCTCTGCACGCTCCCCTAAATGCTCTTTCTATATTTTATCAAAAGCAAAAACCTTGGATATAATTATACTGCGTACACGCGGAAGCTTCCTTTTGATAATTGCATCAAAGAAGAATAAAAAGGTGTCCTGAAAGAGAAAATTATCGCAAAGTTGTTTGTAAATTAATATCTTTTACAAAATCCCAATGAGCCTGCCCCAGGGTTCATTTTTGAGCAACAATTTTGGTATACACTATATGTCAATTGGTCAATAACAGGAGGCCTCTCCAGTAGCTCTCTAGTCAGTCCAAATCTTTTACAGCAATGGGATAACTTTAAAAGAGATAACCTAAGGCATGCCATGTCGTAACTTTAATAAGCGGTGCAAGTCAATGTCTGGCTGAGGCGTGTACAGAGGTAGCTACCTCGTATCAAAATGCAACCGCCGAGACCTTTGAAAATAGATTGATTTATTATCTTCTGATTTTATTTTCCCTTTCGTCCAAAAAGAATAAGCAGTGTATCTGAAAATTAATTTGGATTCATCCAGAAAAAAAAATAACATCTAATTTTAGTGTAAAATCCTGTATCAAGACTGTGCAATGTTTAAAGTACCAAATAGCCTATAGTTTTATTATTATATGGACAAATAGCAGCTATTTTTTTTTTTTTGTGAATTAAGAAATAATACAGTTTTACTTCAAGTATGAACTATATGATTTTATAAAGTTTTTCTATAAATGGAATGGTATTGTTGTTTGTAACTTCTAATAAGAGATTCTTCCTATTAACATATTTACAAGTCATAAAGGATTTACTTACAAGAGTAATATCTTGGTAATTGAGTGCAAGCTATTATAAAAAAATACTGTAAATATGGTATTTTCAGAAGATATCAAGAATATACATGACTTTAATAATGTAATATATACGGTTTTATTTTATTGAACATAATTAAAGAAACAGACTTACTATATTATAGAAAGTTATCTAAGAGGGCTCATTTATAGATATACATTATACGAAATAAATTTATCGTTTTAAATTAAAACAAGTCCAATACACGATTTATTAAATCAAAGCGTAGGCTATAAAAGTTGCTAAATTGTATACTATTTGACAAGAATGATACTCGTTAGCGTGCTACACAATTTTGTTGGTTAAAATAAACTATATTATTATTATTTCCATAAAGAATAGTATTCAATTTAATAATGACGTCATCAGTAAAGTAACAACAGCAAAAAAAATAAAATAAACAAATAATATATTTTATTAATAATTATTTCTCTTGATCTAATTTATTATTCAATGTATCTTTCTATAGCAAAAGATACACATATAATTAAGACTAAAATGAATAAAAGAGACTTATATGTTAACTCAAATAGACTTTTTTTTTTGTATTTAACACAAGACTATATATTGTGGTATAAACTTATATTTATTGATTACTGAGGAAAAGAAAGAAATGCAGCAGAATGCTTCTTGTTTAATTGATAGGAAGACATGGCACTTCCAGGTCTAGGAATAGCAGGTTGAATATTATTATTTGTTGTTAAATAACCCATTTGATGATAAAGCTGTTGTTGCTGTTGATTGTTATTATACATTGGTGGTATAGAAGTTCTGTTATTATAATAGTCAATCATGATGGAAGGCTGCCCTGTATGATAATATTGTTGATTAAAACTATTATATCCATTATAGGGTTGTCTAGCGATGATAGGCTTTTTATTATTAGGCACAAATTGTTGTTGTTGTTGTTGTTGCTGCTGCTGCTGCTGCTGCTGCTGCTGCTGCTGTTGAATTTGCTGAAAATTAATATTATGTGTACCTGCTTCGGGTAATTTTCCTAATAATCCTTTTATTTTTGCCTTTCCTGGATCAATCTTTGGCTTTTGTCGTTTAGCTTCAGCTTTTTCTTGTTCTCTTTGTATTAAAAGATCCATGCCAGACATCATCATTGAATTATTATTAGGAGTACTAGTCATGCGTTGTAATTGTTTTCTATGATTAGTAGTAGAATGCACATTATATTGAGGTTGAATGTATTGAAATTGCTGTGAATGTTGATGTTGATATGTAGGATGTAAGGTAGGAGGAGTGACATGATATTTATGTTGCTGACTAAGAATAGCCTTGTTATCATCATCATCATTATCATTATTATTATTTATCATGTATCTTGTTAAATCATCTGTTGAAATAGATCGATTTTTTGTAGTAGATCCTTCTAATCCTACTAATAAATTATTTCCATCTAAATTCTGCTGTTGTATTTTATGCTCATAATGATGTGATAGGCTAGGTGCAGATCGATTATTATTTCCATAAAATTGTAACGAAATTTCCTCTTGTATTGACCTTTTGTTTGCGTTGACTGAAGTGAATACTTCTTCATCATCCTCTTCTTCTTCCTCATCTTCTTCCTCATCTATGTTTATATGAATAAATACAAGTAAGTGTGTATATAATTAGAAAGAGAGTTTATAACAACAGTAGTCATAAAGAGTATAAGAGGGAGAAAAAAAAGGAGAAAAAGGGATGGAGAAGGGGTTAAGAGGGGGGGAAATAAAAATAAAAATGAAAAACTGGGATAGAAATGAATATTCTTTATTTACCTGAGTTGTCTTCTTCATCACTTGGTAAAGGAATTATTTGTAACTTTGATTTATTATGAACAGGAATTAATGTTGATTTTAAATCCTTCCTATTTCTTTTTTCGTTGTCATCATCACTTTCTGACGAATAAATAACCTCATCATCCTCTTCATCTTCTTCATCATCACTTGGCATACATTGAAGATTACGATTACTGTTACTTTTTTGATATCTTCTTTGTTGATTTTCTATAAAATAATACAGTCAAGAGGTTAGTTTGACAATACATGTATACTCCTTTATTTATTTATTACCAGTCACAGCTAACCAAGAAGGTGAATGAGAAGAGGAATTAAAATGAAGGCTATCAAAACTTTTAGTTAAGTTATCTATAGCTGACATGATATTAAACAGAAAAGAAAAAGAAAAATAAAAAGAAAATAACCTTGACAATACTTTTCTTGTTCTTTTTTATATACTCCTTAAAAAAAAAAAGAAGTTGTTAAAAATAGATTTTATTTTATTTGCCACTGTTAAAGTAAAAAAAAAAATCATTCATGATTACATGTGCTTGTATACTTTATTTAAAGCTATTCTTTATATCTCTCTTCTGTTCTTTCACTTTTTATCTTTTTATTTTTTATTATTCCATTCCAGGATTCCAAAAAAAAACCCCAAAGTCTTACTACTTCTTTGACAACTAACATCTTTCTTTTTTCTTTTCTACTAATATTCATCTATTTTCTCCAAGTTAGATATAAATTAAGTATATATCTGGCGAGGAAAAATCAAGATCTTTTTATTTTATTTCATTTTTTCTTAGGGTTAGGGTATGACAAGAAAGAACTGGGTTTACCTTAAAAAGAAAATTATTCCAAGTATTACATGAATTAATAGACATCACTTTAAGATTTCTCCATGTATTCGTTTATTATAGCACATTATCTTTGTTTAACAAAGATGTCAACAATCATAATTATAGATGATCAGTTTATAAAATTCTTGTACCTTAAAAAAAAAGAGAGAAAAAAAAGGAACAAGCGTTTTACCTAACTCCAGTTTTGAAGCGGAGACTATCTTCAATGCACATCATTGAGATCTAGAATACACGTTCATTTAAAAACTGTTATTAAACAAACATATTTTTGGTTAAAATAATATATTTTTTTTTTCCTTATACATATACGTTGTACAGTGATTTACCTAAAAAATAATAAAATTAAATATAGATATCAATGGATGAAGATACTTCCCAAAAATGTTCAAAAGTCATCATGGACTCTTTAAAAGCTATTTCTGCTGACGTTTTTTTCTTCTTTTTTCTTTAAATAAGGTAATAGTGAACTCGGAATTGATTCTCATACTCAATTTCATTCAAGATTGAAAGGATTCGAATGTATTCTCTTTAGCTTCCTTTAAATGATGACAGAATGCAAATCGATATTTAAAATCATTATTCTTCCTTTTCTCTTCAGCTTGTTATTCTTTGCATTTATTTTTTCTTTAATTGGAAGATTTGTGGTAGTTGATGCTTACAAGCAATATTTAAATTTATTTAATCTGTTAAAGTTTTTGAGAATTTATCAGTGAAAAGGGCACATGTGTGTATGTTTCAAACTTTTTTTTTTTTTTTATTCAAAACTGGTAAGATATTTTCTTGGACTACAAATTGGTAATGTCGTATATTGTTATCTAATGTAAAGAAGGACTGTTTATGTGGATTGCCCCTCCTCCCCTTTAATATATATTTATATATATTTCATAAAGTAACAGTATACAGAATGAAAAGTTGATTTATATCTATGTCAGTATTTCAGAATATTGATTTATTAGAAACTAACCATCTAGTTCTTCGCGTAAAATGTATTAGTTATAGCGAATCTTTGCTTAAATCTTATCCTTGAAGCTTTGATCAATGTACAAACTATCTATTGTTCATCAACAGATATCATTTTCCATAATCTAAATATATGAAGAAATAATGGGTTAAATGATCGCTTTCAATTTTTAATATTCTATAAATTGGATAATCATATGAATATTGCTCATTAGTTCTATTGAATTTGAAGGAATAATAGGATATTTTGATTTTTAATCGTTTCTAGTTGCTACTACTAACTCTGCACGACTCATTAGCTTTTAAAATGATTAAAATCATAAGAATGAATTCCAAAGCAGTAGCGTATATCTCTAAAAAAAAAGAAAATAGTTGAAATTTTCTTTAAAAAACTATGGCTATATCAGCCCCTAAGTAACTTTCTTTCATAAAGTATTGCTTTATTTAGTCAGTTTAACATTCAGTACTCTATTTGATATATGTGCTTTTCACTTTTTTTTTTTATGTATATATGTAGCAACTCAAACCATTTTAGTGAAGCTATCAATTTTGGCCATCCTTATCAAAAAAAAAAAGAAAAGAAAATTCCCATAATATCTAGTGAATTAGATACATTTCATTAATTAATATTTCAATCTATAAAGTAGTATTCATATTAACAACGCATAAATTACTTTTATTCTTACAATATAATTATTAAGAGCCAATTTATTTTAACTAGTGTCTTTACAAATTGAATTGACAGCCAAGCAAAAAATGATAAAACATGAATTGTTTGTATAGTAAATACAATACAAGCCAATTTTAGGGTTAAAAGATTCAAGGGTATATGTACAAATATGTATTTTTTATTTTTATTTTTATTTTTATTTTTATTTTTTTGAATGAGTGACTATCTGTTCCAAAAAAGAGCATAGCAAAAAAAAAAAAAAAAAAAAAAAAAAAAAAAAAAAAAAAAAAAAAAAAAAACTTAGTTATTTACTTTTTTTTTTTTTTTTTTTTTTAACAAACAAATAATTAAACGAAATGTCTATAGACAAACAAGGTAAATTTATTCTCTAAATTAAAACAAACATGTAAAATTGTTACTTATATTTTTATACTTAATGTAACTATTTGTTAGATCGCAAAAGAAAAAGATCTATAAATCATCATAGTTATTCATACAGTAGAAAATTAAGCTATCACAGACATGATTCAAGGGACTTGTAAAGTATAAAACTAACTTTTATTTCTATAAATTCTACTAAATAAGGAGTTTTCTTTTTCTTTGTCTCGCTTTTTATTTTATTTTTTTTTATTTTTCATAAAAGCGGTTATAGATCGAGTCAACATAAACATACGCGTCCAAAATATAAAATTAATGAGCCTTCTACTCGTAAAATAAGTACTTCAAGACATCGTTCTTATTCAACTGGATCGGTCTCTGAAGATATTGATGGAGAAGAGGAAGAAGATAGAAAAGATTATTGTAAGGGCGGTTATCATCCAGTGCAAGTAGGTGAAAAGTATAAAGATGGCCAGTATACTGTTATTAGAAAATTAGGTTGGGGTCATTTTTCTACTGTATGGCTCGTGAGAGATCAAATGTAAGTATTCTAATTCATTTATTTCTGTATGGCTAACTTGGTATTCTTCATTGTAGTACAGGAAAGCATTTTGCAATGAAAGTTGTCAAGTCTGCAAAACATTATACAGAAACTGCACTTGATGAAATCAAATTATTAGAACGTGTAGCTGAAGCAGACTCAACTTGTTTAGGTGCTCAATATGTAACAGCAGTTGTTGATCATTTTATGGTAAAGGGGCCTAATGGTACACATGTATGTATGACATTTGAGGTTTTGGGTGAAAATCTTTTATCGCTCATTAAACGATACAAAAGTCGAGGCATTCCTGTCAATCTTGTAAAACAGATTTCTAAACAAATGTTACTTGGTCTTGATTATCTACATCGAAAATGTGGCATCATCCATACTGATTTAAAACCTGAAAATGTTCTCATGTATCTCGAAAATGCTGAAGAATTATTAAAACAATTGGAGATGAATAACAAAGTTGATGGTGATGAATCTACAAACTATGAGAATAGTTTTTCACCCAATAGTCGAAGTAGAGGTAGAAGCCCTGTCAGAAAACATCGACATGTGAAAATGGTTCCTTCGCAACCACTATCTTCTGAAAACGATGTTATTACTGAGGACGAAAGAGGAAGAAATAGCTCAGGGAAACGTTCTAGATCAAGGTAAAGCTTATTTTTCAAAATGAAAAAAAAAAATAGAGAATACGTTTACTCTTTTCTTAAAAAGTGTTAATACTCATAATGTCATTTTAGTTCTAGTCAAAGACATAATAATATCCAGATGAATGGTCATGATGAAACTATTAAAATCAAAATAGCTGATCTTGGAAATGCTTGTTGGGTTAATCATCATTTTACTGAAGATATTCAAACAAGACAATATCGTTCACCAGAAGTAATTTTTGGAGGCAAATGGGATTGTGGAGCAGACATATGGAGTTTAGCATGCATGGTAAAATAACAAGAATAAAAAATAAAAGTGTTCCATTTATCATCTTATTAACAATTTTCACTAGATTTTTGAACTATTAACTGGGAACTATTTATTTGATCCTCAAAAGGGTTCAAGATTTAATAGAGATGATGGTATATATTCCATATTGAATATACAGCTAAAAAAAAAAAAAATTAACATTGTTTAACATATTATTAGATCATCTTGCTCAAATTATTGAATTAATGGGACCTATTAAAAAAAATTTTGCACTATCAGGAAAAAATTCATCAGAGTTTTTTAATCATAGAGGGGACCTTCGTCACATTCACAGACTTAAATATTGGTCATTAGAAGACGTTCTTCATGATAAATATGGATACCGTCGGCATGAAGCGGAGGAAATAGCAAGCTTTTTAAATCCTATGCTTGCTTATGAAAATAGAGCAAGTGCATCTGAATTAATAACACATCCTTGGTTACATGGAGTAGAGCCTATATTATCCGAAGAAGGCCTCAATAGAACACATTGGAGGACAGATCGCCCCTGGAGGGACTGGGAAAGGGAATATAGAAAGAGAAGACAACGATAGTCTAACAGAAGAAAATGAGAGTTTTGATTTTCTCTTTTCTTTTTTTCTTTTTTTCTTGAATTGATTAAATATCATTATCGTGCCTTTTATCTCATTTCCTTCTTCATAAACTACCTACATATGTTATTAGCATAATACCGAACTTTTAATTCCTTTTTTATATACATATTTCATTATTCATACACAAGCAAATGCAAAATATATTACACGTTAATTGTATATTACTATATTCAATATATTTATCCTTTTTTTTTTATGTAAGTCGTATATTTGTATGTATGCATGTATGTATGTATGTATGTATATTAAAGTTTTTCTTATTTATATATATATATAGCATTGCTTTATTATAAAATAGTTGCATAGTATCATATTGATATAAAGAAGTGCATGAAAGAAATTATGTATTAGAGTTATTATTGAATGTAATGTTATCCGTACTTTGCGTTTTCTTGCGGGATTTTTTACGAAGTGAGATTTTTAACGTACGTGATAAACTTTCTGCTCGAGACATGGTAGTCTGATTGACACCATTTTGGAAAACAGATGGAAAATTTTCCATAATAGGTGTTCGAATAGAAAAGGCTCGACTAATAGGTGACATGACAGGAATATTTGGTAATACAGGTGGATTAGTTTGTTGATAAGCATTTGTCTTCGTGACCGTATCATCATAAGATTGACGTGAACTATGATGTATACTCTCTGCTGTTCCACTGGATAACGTAGAACGACGACGACGACGACCATCTGCAGATCCAGTTGTTATAACAGATGCATTCGATCTTTCTTCTTTCAAGTTCTTTTCTTTAATTCCCCTAATTTCATCAGCAAAATTCTTGTGGAAAACTATTATGTATAAAGTGTAAAAGATCAATATTGATATTATATATATACATATATATGACTTACATTCTGTTATTGTAGTATGAAATGGCCGCATTTCATTGCTTACAAGTTTATTATGGGTATCTAAACATTTTTCAATAATCAAAACCTTATAAAAAAAAAGAAAAAAGAAAAGAAAAGAGAGAGAAAATAGATTTCAATGTTATGCTTTTTTTTTTTCTTTTTTCATTTTTCACTGTATTACCTGATCTTCAATAGCAGATTGTAGTCTATAAATCCATTGTCTCATATCAGAATTTTTTTCCCAGTACTCTTTACTTAAAAATGCTTTTTTATATAATGGGATACCACCATTGACAGGGGCATCTACAGCACCGTTTAAGGACATTGAAAATGGACTAATGTTTATAGGTTGATTTGGTAAACTAGAAGTAGGACGATCGAGGTAAATAGAAGAGTATTTTTTTTCTAATGAAATCAACTCCTTGTTCTTGTTCTCAACGGCTATAACAGCATTTTCGATGGGTGAAATTACACTCACGTGAGACTTAATAATTTTAGATCGACGAACGATTGTCGGAAACTTGTCCTCACATTCAAATTCAACTTTTTCTATCCATAGATTCAAAAAGTCAGACTCCGGGGATTTTGTTGCAGTATCATCAGAAGAGGATTCCTTTACGATAGGACGAGAAAATGAGAATTTTGAAACACTATTAAAAGAATAATACTCCTTGATATAGTCAGGTGCGTTTGGATTAGAAAGACAAAGAACATTCTCAAAGTCAGGAATGGGAGTAACAGACGTGATTTGTAAATATTGTCCATCCAAGGTACTATTTAGTTCCTTTACTTGTTCATCCGTCATGGATATAGCAGCTGATATCTTGCTGGGAAGCAACTGTGCATTAGGATGTCTATTTTGCATTCTTTCGATAAAGGAGCCCATCTTTTCCCATTCAAGTCCACGATAAATATACTGTCTATTTCGATTACTAGCTGGGAAGCCTCGTCCATAGAAGCCAACTCGAAAGTACTCTGTAAAGCAACGCTCCTTCTTGACAATATTATCAGCAAAGATGGCCTGGCGCTGCAGGACATCACTTAATTTAGCATAATCAAAAATGGTCGTTTCATATTCGTATGCAAGTTCTTTGCAAAGTTCTATGCAAAGCTCCCAGGCATTGCCTTGATCCAAGTAAGTCATCATTTTCATATACAAGCCCTCCTTTCGAATAAAGGAGCTCTGTATAGGTAATGAAAGTTCAGGAATCTCTATTAAACTATCATTAGGGTTCCATTGAAGAAGATCAGCATGAAACCGTAAGGTTAAGGCAGCTTCAATAAAGTTACGACTATCAAGGTGGAGTTGTACCAACTGATGTACATATTTAATATATATTTCCTCTCTTTCAATCACTTGAATGAACTTCATAAGCTTCAAGGTTGCCGTGATACGTTCATCCATATATTCATTGTCGTTTGAAGGTAAACTTCTAATTTGCAATAAGAGGCCCATGAATTTACACAAGGAATCAACAGACCGTTTCCCGACCATAAGAAGATCATCTCTACCATCGGACTGTAGCCGTTGTTCTAATGCCTTATTAAGCTCAATTGAAATACGAGCACAAATGACTTCATCTCCTTTATTCTCGGACATCACAAGTCGGTCCAAGGTACTAATTAACGTATGCTGTACATGGCATAGTTCACCAAAGGAATAAAGTTCAATAGCCATAATATCAGCAATGATAGAAAGGGAATTCACGCGAATACGGTCGTGTAAAGTCAAACAAGCAGCACACATAGGACTTAAAATAAAATAAGCCAAGTCTGCCTGCAAAAATGAAACATACGATTTGATGGGCTGCGATCGTTGTTCATTACCCTCATGCTTCCCCTGAATAGAAGAAAATGAAATTTCATCAGTTGGAGCGATACGTATACTATTTCGAGTCGAATAATGATGAATAGGTGTTGATACTGTGTTAGGATCATGATGATCGTTCACAGATGTGATACTTTTTCTAAATCCTGTATCATCTGAAAAAATGATAGAATCTGTTGTTGAGATGGATTGATTAGGATTACTTTCATCACTACTACCGTGTTGTAGGGGTTTATTAGTTTCATTGTCAAATAGCATGTTAGGAACCGTTTCAAGGCTTCCTACTTTTCCTGCTAAATTCCATAATGACAATATAATCTTCGCTCCAAGCTCACCTCGCATATTTCCAATGATCTTCCATACCGCACGTTGTACTTGAGGCATAAATTCAGAGACCTCTAGATGGGGGCTTCCTATGACACGCAAGAAGCCGACAAAGTAAACACGCCATAAAAGTAAGATAGATTCATTCTCTGTCATCCCTTTATTATTTTTCGAGTTGTTATTATCTTTAGCACTTGCCATACTATTTCTTTTCTCTCGTTGTTGTTCTATCTCTGAATGATTAGAAGATAGAGAAACATCTTCACTCACAGGCGATAAAGCAGGTTGGTGCCCAAGGATATCATCAAATAATTCCTTGTAACTTCTTTCTGCAGGTATAAACATAGGCTGTTCAAAGGCGGACGCTATAGGTTCCAAAATATGACAAAGTACAATTTGATGGGCTATAACATTTAAATTTAACCAATTTTGAGGTATTTTCCTTCTGTCTCGTGTCTCATCTTCCTCACATCTCACCATACCATCTACAGTTAAACTAGACTCTTCTAACATCATCACATTATCACCAAAAAGAATGCCCATGCATGTATAAACAATTTTACGCAAAAAATCAGTAGTGTCCTGGATTCCATCATGTTCATACAATTTCTTAATAAATTTGATCCATTGTTGGCGTGGTGTAAGATAAAACAATTCTAATAAGACTACAGTCAAATCCAATAGGCCTGTACTGACCATAGCTGTATAATTATCTGTTAAAAGGTCTTGATGAGTCAATGTTGTAAGCGCTGCTGCTGCTGATGCTGATGGTGATGATGATAGTGGTGGTGGTGGTGGTGGTTGAAAAGGATAGGTATTTGGAAAAGGTGTCATGGGTGAGTTGGCTAAGGCTTTGAGGACTACCGGAAACGATGATTTGTTGCCACCGTTGTTGCTACACACGATAGTTGAATGGGCATTGCTGTTTGCCCCTGAGACAAACGTACTCCCAATACTAGACGCATGACTTAAAGATATAGTCCCACCATTTCCTACAGAATTTGACTTACGATGTTGCCCCTGAATCTCTTGTAAAATTTCTGAAGACATGAATGGATTTTTCAAATGGTTGCTACTACTTGCAGAGCTTGATCGCTCTCTCAAAATAGAAAACGATTGGCGCGAATGACGACGAGAAGAGGGATTTGATCCCATATTATTTGAGGACGTATCTACGACAGCAGAGGCAGATAGAGGACTAGATGCATATATAGCTTGAATTGTCAGTCTTTGAACGTCTTTATAGGCATTTAACAATTGTGGAACCAATTGAAGTGCTTCATCTATTATCAGACTGAAGTCAATCAATGATTGAGAAGGCTCCTGATTATTAAGAATACTGTTATCATCATCTGTCGTTGTTGTTGTTGTTGTTGTAGTAGTAGTAGTAGTAGCAGCAAATGATGTAGGGCGAGAAAGATTGCTAATAGAAGGTGACGAAATATTGGAAGATGTCAATCCTGAGGAATTGATACCAAATGACTTCCTCACCTTCTCTAATAGCTCACTCATGATAGTAATCGATAACCTTAAATTTTCAATCCATTGTGATCGAGGTAATCGTATCTGTTGTTGATGACTATCTTGTTGTTGTTCTACTTGTCTAGCAAAGATCACATCCTTCGCGGTTGTCATATATGAGTTTATCCAAAGTCGAATCCATCGAAAAATATGGTTTGACATCTCAAGTCTACAAGAAGGATCATTAAAGATAGGACCCCTTGCGATATTTAAGATCATTGCAAGCTTGAACCCTACAAGCCTACCGGTGACATGAGAGCAAGCATCTATAAATGAGACAGCAACACCAACTACATACTGAGAAGGAAATATCTTTTGCAATTCTACTAAAATATCCGCAAAATATTGAAGACATAATGTTTGTGTACCGATCATTGAGCTAGGATGCTCGGGATTCATAATGAAGGTGATTGCGCTTATCAATTGTTCCATACTCGTTTTAAATTTATCATCATCATCATCATCGTTATTATTATTCCCGCTTTGAACTTGACTTAAACGTGATCGGACGATAAATTTAAACAAGTAATCCCATACTTTCATACTACTACGTAATAATTTTGCTTTAGATGCATCTCCTAGGGACTCGCATAAACGCGTTAAGCTTTTGATAAGACATTTATAAGTCGCTTCTTCCTTTTCAATTATAGGCTTATAATGACTGTTCATATGCTCAGGTGTATGGCCATTGTCTCGTTGTAATGAGAATCTATTCTCAATATAAACGTCTAGCACAGGTCGAAAGTTACTAAATCGTCTGTCTTGAACAATACCTAATAACCAAATTATAGCCGCCATCACTTGATCATTAATTTCTCTGCTGACGAGTTCCTCCTGCTGATAACAAGCCATAATATCTAAGAGCGCATCAAAGATGTCACTCAAAAACTTTACAACTTCTACTTCTCCAATAAATGTAAGCTGATCCAACACAGAGAGTAGCATTGAGGTACCATTGTCCTCGAAATCTGACAATAACATTTGCCAGTTTAATAATTTGACAAGGGTTTTATTTTGAGTAAGTTTGTTTGAACATAGATAAGTCGATAACGTGACTGTATCACGTAATAATACAAGTTTGTTATTATTTGAATTTGAAGATTGTTGTTGTTGAGATGCTGTAATATCATTCATACTTGTAGAAGCGCTTATTGTATTTAAAGGTGCGCCTATTGTTGAAGCAAAGGAACTAGTTGTACTCTGAAAACTTTGAGAGGATGGCGAATGACGATGACCTAGTTTACCAGAACTTCCTGTTGTATTATTCCAATAATAAGGCCGTGATACCTTCATAGTTGAGTCTGTCATTGCCTGATGATAAGTGTTAGATGGCTCTGTAGATCGTGCACACCAAGGCAAACTATCCAGATAAAAACGAGTCATTGAGCATTGACGATCATATTTATACAAATAAAGTGTATGTGTGCCATCAGCAATAAAATCACGATGCATAGGGGGCATAAATAAAGGTAAAAATCCCATAGCCAAGATCTTTTCTCCTCCTCCTGTTGAAGTAGAGACAACTGAAGTAGTTCCTGGGGACTTGGTATTTCCTGCAATAGGTAAAGTTATACTTGTATTACTAATAAGATTATTATTATTATTATTGTTGTTGTTGTTGGAAGAAATATTTCCATTAAAGTTGCTACTACGATGCTTGATAGTTAAGAAGACATGAGATCGTTCCCATTGTTGTACATCCTTAATGTTTATCTTGATTAATTCTCCCCATTTTGGCCTCTGTTCATGATAAATCACTGTACTTTCCCAATAACTAACAGGTCGAGCCCCAGCACCCATTACGATAGCACTCTTAATGATCTCGCCTGTTCTATTATCACGAACACATATTGTAACCTGAATATTACGAGACCGACCAAGCTGACTAAAGTCACCTAATTCAAGTTTAATATAAAGATCGTTACGACTGTCATTAGGGAATGCAACATCGGCAAAACCTAATCGTAAAGTATGAGGAATACCATGTAATAAAGCTGCATTTGTATTCAGTATAGAGGTCAGGATGCCATAAAAGGAGCGAACTGAGACGCGTAATAGATCTGCTCTCGTGTTCTTTGAAAATTCTTTCATGTTATTAGAAATAATGTCCTCATGTAACGTTGAATAGTTAGATTCAGTAGTAGCTGTATAAATAGGCATATCATACTCAAGGGTTGATTTTTGAATATCCTCATTATTGTGTTGAAGAATTGATAAGCTATTCAACTTTAGAACAGCACAGCCAAATGGTCGCCGACACATATGTTGTGTCGTTGCTGTATTTACAAATGCTGTTGATTGCTTTTGAAAAGGTGGATGAAAATGTTTATTGGTATGAAAAAATTGTGAGGTATGACTACTGATACTTGCAAAATGGTCTTTACCGTCTGAAAATTTCATTCCTCCCAATCGAATGATATGGCATACCATATAGAGGTTTTCAGAGATATCATGTGGAGACAAGTCGATGAATAATGCTTGTAATTTACCAATCTGTGTTTCATCTTTTGGCATACCATTATAGTTCAAGATGACAAGAAAATTTTCAGTTAAAAACTTATGCTCACTGGCAGAATAAAGTGAAAAATAAAGCTCCGTAAACTCGCCAGGTTGACAGATATGAGCGACACAGGCTTTTAATTCAAATAATATATGATAAAGTTTAGCGCCCTTTGCTTGAGGCTGACCAGATACGATTTGAGTTGTTTTATATGCAATACCATTATCAGTAGGAGCCATTGATGGCTCGATACTGGGAGAAGAAGCCTTTATATGTGTTACAGTTGCGCTTTTGTTATCTATTAGAGTCGAAGAAGATAGCTTTTTGTTTGCATAAATAGAATATTTCCAGTGTAATTTATAAATTGTACTCAAAGAAGCATTTGTAGCATCTAGTTGATAACCCTTTTCCGGATGTCTAATAATCATTTCATGACCTTGCTCCAAATTACTAATAACCATTTTTTGAACAATTTCCTTTCGAAGCTTAATCAATTCTTCTCTAGATAATGCTTGATCTAAAAGCTGTCTTCGTGCCTGAAATAAATAATTGATATTATCTCTCACTTTATTGAAGGTATTATATTGACGTTGATTGATGTATGAATATAGTAAGCTATTCCATTCACTTACACAGGCTGCAATTTCATCAACTAATGGTTCCGAATTACCAGTAGCTGTTGATTGTTCAAATCTCGAAAGTGGTAATGAAGGTGGGGGTATATTATTACTATCTCGAAGTAAAGAAGTCGATTTTTTTCTATTTAAATCTAATGTTTCCAAATCAAAGCTAATAGGACGAATAGAAGAATTTGTTTGTTGTTCTGGTATAGTTGTCTTATTACTAGACTGGATATGGGATTCAGAGTAGGATCGAAGTAATCCATTAGTCGGCATGTCAAAGCTAGATCTTAGTGATGAAACATCTGAAACATCGCGATATTGACAAAATTGAAATGCTGTATCAGCTTCATCAGGATCGATGTCGATGTATTCTTTAATTTGTACATGTGTTCGTGGAAAGCAACCTATTGGCGCTTTATTCGGCTTACGACCTTCCTCAAGTACAGTCAATACATAACCTCTATACCATTGACCCTGTTGTTCAATTATAAAAAGTTCATCACCTACTTCAAGAGGTAATAAGCAACTATAATCTTCTGGATTAGTAGAGGGTTGATCAAGATTGATAGAAGAAGTTGAAGCATTTGTGTGAATGGAAATACTATCATGATGATGTTGATTTAAATTATTTTGATGTGAAACTGTAGATATAGGCCTTATACTATTTAAAGGATCAAATGGATAAATAGCAATTGCATGTGCTATTTTTGGTAAAGGCAGCCACTTCATTATCTTAAATGTGGGGCAATTATTATTGTCTTAAGAATAAATTATTTAGTGAACGTTTAAACATTTTTAAGTTCCGTACTTGATTTACCTTTTTTTCTATATTAAATAAGATAAGAGAGAGAAAAAAAAAAAAAGGAAGAAATAATTCAAAACTCTCCATTTGTGAAGTAAAAAAATAAATACAAAAAAGGAAAGGAAATTGTTGCTTTTTTTTTTTAATAGATACATGGACTCATTTTTTTTTTTTTGCACTACATTGTCTTTATATATTATTGTAGTAGAAATGAATACCCACATCGAATCTCTTATTTCTACAGTCAGACAATTCGAATCATAAAGCTTTATACAACTTTTAGCTGCGTATTTATTCAATCATTTTTTATGCAATGACTTCATCAATTATCATTATTGACTGATTACAATGCAATCGAAAGAATATTAATCTATTCACTTCATACTTTTGGAATTTTGAATTGATCCAGGCCATTGTTATGTGTAATCTACTTCCTGAGTCCTAATTTATTTATTTATTTTCGAGGGTTCCGGAGATTAAATTATATTGTCAGTCACTACTCGAAGGCACAGTTAAAAATAATGTTGAGATATACCAACATTGAGTACAGAAAGAGTTTATAATATAAATGGAATATTGTCGATAAGAGAAGTTTCTATTCTCTCTGCAATAATATAAGTGATATATGTATATCAAGTTGATAAGCTTTCTAAATGTAATATTATGAATACATTCTATACTGTTAGAATTCAATAGTCACTTTACACTTACTATCGTTGCAGCAGACTGCTAAATGAATATAAATAATGTTATAATAGTCATGATATTTATTTAGTACGTCCAAGTGATGAATTTTTATTATATATAGTAAAGTGTATAATGAAAATAAAAACGATCCTCTTTTGTTAAGATGCTATTTTTTGACGTGTTTTGAATGCTGCTTTTTTGATTTACGTAATCTATAAAGATTCAATGTTTCATCAAAATCAACTTGATGGTTGACCTTCTTTTGCCATTGAATAGCTGGTAATAATTCGACTTGAAACCTTGCCTGAGCTTCTAACATAAACTTATCTTGAGCTGCTTGATTTCTAACTTCACTTATACAAATAATCGTTGTATTTTCATTGGATAAATACTCCATTGTTTTCACTAAATCTATTGCACTTGCTTCTGAATAAATGCAGTCACAGGCTACTATATAATCGATCTCTTTTCCTGCATTCTTAATACTATCCATCTCTTCTTGGTTGTTCCATAATAAGGGATCTACAATAATTGTTCCATCTTCATATTCATTTTTTCTTCTACCAGTTAAAGACTTAACATGAATACCATTCGCTTCTACATTTTTCTCCATTTGTTCAACTAGTTCTCCAATATCTGTAATCGTTACATCTTCAATTCCTAATTTATGTAACATGATACCAATTAATCCTACTCCTGAACCAAGCTCTACCCAGCGTTTTCCATGATCTAATACGTTGATCCAACTGTGTCTTTTATCTCTTTTGGAACTTAATCTTTCCAAATAAGAACAGAAGACAATTGAAGTAAGCCAAATATATCCACCCAAATAATTTGAATGGGGGTCTTGTACTAACACAATATCATGAGGTCCAATATGTATAGTTAGCGTATCTGCTGACTGTAAAGCCCAACGGTCTAGTTTATGAATGCCCCGCTTAAAGGGTTGTCCATCTTCCCATCCTTCAATTGTTGCGATTGGAGGTTCATCTTCAATAATTCGTTTTTCTTTAACCATTTAATTTCTTCTCTTTTTTTTTATAAAAAAAATACGTGTTAACCTATAATAGTAATGCTTTTGATTCACTAATACCTTTGGTTTTTATTTTCTAGAGCACATTCAATCTTTAATTATTATTTATTAAAAAAAACAAAAAAAAAAATATTATATGTTTTTATATAATTCAAAATCAAAAGAGATGTTGAGTTAAAACTACAAAGGGTGCATAATAAGGTTGCATGTAGGAAAACTACCGCTTTATTTATGAATTTGCATGTTATTTAGATTAGCTATCTCAAGCTGTATGATTGAAATTGTTTTTTTTTAAAAAAAAAAAATAATTAACAACTAAACCTTCTGCAGATTCTAATTTTTAGCCATAAGATGACATACAATTATATTGTAGTTGTATATATTATATATCACTGCTACTGCTTATTTCTTAATCAAATCAACTATACATGAATATAATATTATTCTTAAAAAATATTAAAAAATATGTTTGTATGTGTAATATAAAATAGTTTATACAAAGTATGTTAATGGATAGGTTATCAATTTGCTGCAATAAGCCTATTTATTGTATCCTAGTTTTGCTTATTGTTCAGCTTGATTATCTTCCTCTTTGCTGCTTGAGTAGCGAGATAATATTCGCTTGAAAGGATTCTTAAGTTTATGATGATTACTTTCCTTTTTCAATGATTTCTGCTTATCTTCTAAGTTATTCAAACTGTGTCTTGATAGACTTAAACTTAATTGATGTATGGCTGGTCTTATCCCATTATCTCTATGAGGACTTTCTTTGTTAATGTGTTCTTCCTGTAAATCATTGCTTCTTCGATTACTTATAATAGGTGTAACAGGCAAGGATTCATATTCAAATGGATTTGTTGAATGAAAGGCATTCACTGTATTGTTATAGGAGTTTAATTCTTCGTGCTCATTAAACAAAGATGATGCTTCAAATGGATTGGTCGACTGAGGAGTTGCAACAGGAGAATTTTGTACAAATAGTGTCGTTTCAAAAGGATTCCTGCTTATTTGTCGTTCTAAATTATCCTCTGTTAATGGAGCAGTATGAAATGAATCAGGTGTATTCATATTAACTGCATTTGGTTTACTTGATATGGTATCTTCATGTCTTGTAATAATAGGTGGAATATGGTGTATATTTCTTCTCACCTTAATAGATGGAATCTCCTCTTTGCTGTTATTTATTGATGAAGTTCTGCTTTGGATTATATTTGTATTTATTTCTTCTTTGTTTATATCATTATTATCCTGATTACACAATGACCATGTTGCATTTGTTTTTTCATACAGAGAAGAATCAGAATAAAAGCTTTGATCTGAATCTTTTTTAGTCAAAGGAGGTAATTCCTTTAACGTCTTTTCTTCTTCAATTAAGTGCTTATCTATAATTGGATCCTTAAACTCAAGCTATAATTAAAAGTTAATAAATAAACAAAACAAAAAAAAAAAAAAAAAAAAAAAAAATGAAAAAAAAATCATATACGCAATATTTTACAGGGAATTTATATTGAGTGTTGTATCCTGGAGGTATACAATAGCTCCAATATTTGAGATCAGTTTTAAAGGTTTGAATTGCGTATTCCCACATATCATTTTCATTCCATAGTCGCTTTGATACCTTTTTCAATGATTTATCTGGAATTGAATTAAATTTCCATTCGGTACTTTGAATTGGATTGCGTAGCTTTAAGCAGTCTTCAAGAAATTCTATTTCCTCTAAACGGTGTCTATTAAAAAATAAATAAATAAACATAATAATAAATCTATATATTCAACTCACTTTTCTGCTTGCTTATTATCTTTCACTTCATTTTTTAATTTCTGTAGTTTACTTTGCGCCTTACTTATTCGTCTACAATAAATATCATCTTCAATTTCGGCAGCTGATTTATCCTTATCTTTTGGATCAAATCTATTTTTGTTTATTGATTTATTCTAATTCTAGTTTGTAGCTAGGCAATAAATATATCTTTCATTCTTTACCTGTGACGACTCCGTAAATTGCTTGCTGCGTCAAATCTTACAGTATGTGCAGTAAATTGACCACCACTTGTAATCGAATAATAAGTGCTTGGTCTCATCTTTGATGCTTTCACTACATCAATCGTTTTAACACAAGATTATTATTTTTTAAAAAAAAGATTCGTCTTATTAACTGAATAGCTTACCAGATACGACCAATCCTTTCGCGTTTACAGATTCTTCACCTTTATAACTTGTTCCCATCTCTGGTCTACCCCACTCGCCCAAACCTGTAGCACCAGCAAGCAACATAGTTGATCTTCTTAAAAGCGTACTTTCATTATTCCAATCGTCAATCTCATCATGTCTCCAAAAATCTTGATCATACTCATTTAGAGGTTTACTATTTTTATGGATCATATATGTATCATGTTCACGTACAATAGGTAAAGTATCGTTGGGGCTGAATTTTGCAGTACGATAAAAGGCATCCCATATGGGTAATTGTTCAGGCGATAAAGTCCAATAACGCATAACACCATCAGATGTTGTAGTCCCAATGTTTTCCGGTCAAATATTAGACCAACAAATCTAAATATACATATAAATATATATTCATATATATATTCTGTAATAAACTATATAATATTTGGTTACACTTACCGAAGTAACAATGCCATCATTGCCATCAATTTTCGCAACTGGTGCATGATAAGTGGCCCTTATATCCCATATATTAACTATAGCATCTTCACCTATATTTTTTGTTTAAATAAATAGATAGGTAAATAAATAAATCTGTGTATCAAAATAATAAAATTTACCAGCAGAAGCGAGCCAATAAGGAATAAATGGGTTAAACTTTGCATCCGTAATTGGTCTATCGTGTGCATTTTCTGCACTCCAAACTAGACCGTCAGGGCTTTCTGTAGATGAAGTTCGTGTATCAATAATACTTAATCTTTTGTCGTAACCACCACAAACTACAAGTGTTTGAGGATCATTAGGGGACCAACTTGCACAGTTCAGTAAGAACTGGCTTGGCTCAAAAGATCTCAATGGTTCTTCTTCATTTTGTAATTTCCAAATAATTAATCGATTTGCCGTAGTTGATAAAAATTGATTCGGTATTGCTGAATTATAATTGGGTACAAATTCCACTGCTTTAACGTGTGTGTTTATATTATAAGAAGGAGAGTATAGTGAAGGCTATATCAAAAAAAAAAAATGTACATGGTTTATAAATCAATCAATTTGTCATTATTTTTAATTTATTTATTTTTGCGTGTGCTACCTTAGGCAATGGGTTTGTGTATTGTCCTATCATTGTAAAAGCTTTCAATGTATCATCATCCTCAAGCTCTACTTTATAAACTCTTATTATTCCTTGGTTCGTCCCAACTAAAAGATAACTTCCAACCCAGTCAAGTGAATAAATAGGTAAATGAAGTACTTCTTTATGGATAAGCTATAATATAACATAATTAACTTATTTTTTTAACTTTAAAACTTTTTTTTTTTTTTTTTTGGTGACACATTACTTCAAACCTTGTCCCTGACTGAAAATCATCCTTAATAGCTGACATGTCTTTTATAAAATAGAGTAACCCGTCTTTACTTCCTGAACCTATTACGACCATGCCAATATTCTATAGAGTAGAGTTATAAAATAAACTATGATTATTACTAACATTTTTTTTTTTTTATGCAGCAAATTAAAGCTTAGTTTTGTTTTACTTCGGAGATCGCAAGACATGTCAAATAGTTTTCATTTTCGCCATCTTTAATAATATTGAAATGTTCTGAACAAATACTTTTTGTATGTCTATAACGCATGATGTCTGTAAATAAGCAAAAGGCATTTCATATTATTTAATAGTAATTGTATGTATTTTTACTCTTCATTTTCAGAAATTATTCTCCAACCATAAGAATGGTTAACAGAATAAAGTAATGGCATTCTTTGTCTAGGATAAAGATTCCTTAATTTATACAATATATCATCTTGATAAATTTGTACCATTTTTTATACAAAAATAAAATATAAAATATATTTAAAAAAAAAAAGAAGAAGAAGAAATAAGGGAGGGCCTTTTTTTTTTCTAGTAGCATAAGGAAAGTATATCTTTGGTTCTTTTTTTTTTTAATACGGAGTTTTCTTTATACATGACATCAAAGCACAAGTCATCATGATGCATACAAAATTTAAGGTAAAACCAATTCATCAAAACTTAGGTTATCCCAATTTGGCTTATCCTTCAACTTTTCCAAGTCAATTAATTTTTCCTTTTCTGTATATAAAGATTTGTAAGCACTTTTAATTGTTGCTTCCGAAACACCTGCAACATTAGCGATATCTCTTGTTGATCTTGGATTTTTAAAAAGATACGATACAAGGTAGATGCAAGCAGCAGCAATTGATATAGGCGACTTTCCTGCAAGCGTACCTAATTCCTTTGCTTTACGTACAAGATCAATACCTGATTTTTGTACATAATTAGGTAATTGTAAATTAGAACAAAAGCGAGACATCAAATCTTCGGAATTCATCACGGATGTATTTGTTTGTAACTTGGCCTTTAATACATTACAGCAACGACCAATTTCTCTTTTGGGGACCCGAGTTAGGGCACAGATTTCTCGAAATGTTCGAGCAACTCGTTCTTGTCGACATGCTATACTAATGCAGGCAGCGATGATGGCATCATTTGATTTACCTCTCAACAATCTTTCATCCTCTACTCGTTTATAGAGTTGTTTAGCAGTATCACATACAATCTTTGAAAGAGAGATGGAATCACACATTGCTTGGATTTCTTTATAAGCTTGAGCGAGATTACGTTCTGCCTTTTGTCCTGTTGCCTTTGCTTGTGTTTTATTCAAATCTCTAGCGACTCCTGATCCTCCGTCTTTACGAGAAATAATTGTATCTAATTGGTCCCCATCCAATAATGGATTAGCTGCGGCACCGACACGGGAAGGATCCTATAACTGACTATTATTAGATACTCTAAATTATCCGATTATTGAAAATAATAATAATAATAAATTTTAACCGTACATCACCCTCATCATTAGCAAATGTTCTCCATTCCGAACGAGTATCAATAATACGGTCACCCAATACAAGACCACAATCACCACAAACCAAATCTCCGGATGCAAATTCTTCCAGTATATGTGGGGGTTTCACTCTACAATCAGGGCAAATTAATGTAATGTTCAGATTAGGTCGAAAGGATTGATTTTCTTCAACTTTTGTCTCTCGTAAGGGAAATGGAATTTGTGGTGACATTGAATAGATAAAGTAAAATGTAACAAGCAAAATAAAATTAAGCAAAAGCCAAAAATAAAAGGAAAAGGAAAAAGAAAAAGAAAAAGAAAAAGAAAAGGAAAAGAAAAAGAAAAAGAGGAAAGCCCCCCCACCCAATTAATGCATCAAGCAGAATCTTATGATATACAAATATACCAAAAATAAATTAATACGTATTTTTTTTTCTTGTATCTAATTGCATTCTTTTTTTTACTACTTATAAAATATAGTATAATAATAAATCTTTTCATTTTATTAATAATATTAAATTTAACAAATGATTTTTTTTTTCATTTTTATTTACAATACAATTAAAGAAAAAAAAAAAAGGAGGGGAAGGGGTTCAAAAGGAATTTATACTTCTTCTTCTTCATCCTCCATAACTAACGGTGAATTATTAGCAGCACTAATGCTAGAAGAAGAAATGGTAGGTGTAGCTGGTAATGAACCTTGTTTAGCCAGCTGAGCTTGCTGTTTTGCTTTTTTATTTAACAGTTTTCTCTTTTCTTTTGCTTCTATTCTTGCTTGCTTTTCTTGTTCCCTTAATTCTTCTCTTAATCGGCGTTTTTGCTCCTTTTCTGCAATCTTTTGCGCTTTCTCTTCCATTCTTAATCTCTTCTTCTCAGCTTTTTCCGCCCTTTCTGCCACAATCTCTTCTATAGGTCGCTTTCGTTTATGCTTTTTATGTTCACCACCAACACCTGTCGCTGATGATGATGATTCTTTCGCTAGTTTCTTTCTTCCTACAGTAGGTTTGTTAGTGGGTGGATAGCGAGGTCGATTCTTGTTTTTGTTGGGTAGAAATTCATCTTCTACTAAAGGAAGATTTGGATCAGAAAGCCGTTTAGCAAAATAAGCTTGTAATAAACCAATAACTTGTTTTTCGGATTTTACTGGTGAAAAGCTTGATGGAGGTGGGTACTTATAAGTCGGTTCTTTTGCTGCTGTAGTTTTGATTGGTGCTTTATCTTTATTTTTACCAAACCAAAGTCGACTTGGTATCTATCCTTAAAAGGTTAATTATTTTTTTTTTTTTTTACATGCGTATTATATTGGTTTACTTTACCGAAAGACTGTCTAGATTATACTCTTGATCTAAACCAAGATCTTTAAAGCCGAAATAATCTTCTCCTATATCCTCTCCAAAAATACCACTATAAACAAGTATTACATTCTATTCCTGATATATTATCTTGATACACTTACGTTACAAATGTCTCTTCATCATTAAGCAATTCATCTTCTTCCGTAACAGGTCTTTCAGTAGGTCCCTAAGTAAGATACAAGAATCAATAGTTTATCATATAATATAAAATATATCAAGCTTTACAGATAAAAGATCTTGATAAGAAGTTTGAAGTCTACGATGCAAATCATCTAATCGATGCACACTTCGCTCAACATTATCATGCACATAATATTCAATATCGGAAATATCGAGTATTCCATTTTCATAAAGTGTATGAATCAACATTTCCTACAAAAATCCAAAAAAAAATAATAATAATATTTTAGTTTTAATGCACGTTGCAAGGCTTAATAAAGGAGAAAAAAAAACTTACATCGCCTTCCATCTTATGAGAATATTTATCCCAGTAAGATCGCATTGTTTTACCAATATTAGTTAGATAATTAATCATGATATCAGTCAATACATTCAATGCACCTATTTTGGCACCTTCAAAACCAGCATGAGTCAAGAGCTTGGACAGTATTTTTTGAGATACTTGGTATCCTGATTCAGGAGTTAAAATTAAAGGGGGTATTTTAGCTGATGAGGAAGGTTGAATAACTTGTTTTTGATTTTCTTCATTATCAGCAACAGATTTATTAATATCAATAGAAGATGCTAATGTTGATATCTAATATGTATATATAATAATTAGAGCTTATCTCTTTCTTTTTGTTTCTATTTATATTTTTTTTTACCGGTATATTATTACGAATAGAGTTGCATTTGGAATACATTAATCTGATTTGCTCTAATGTATGATTACTTTTATCTATTAAAGGATTTAGGCCATAGTCTGGAAAATCTAATTCAGGATATTCATCAAGTGATATAGTCGAATATCTACAATTAGGAATAAGTAATCTTTATAAGAATGAATTCTCCAAGTTTATAAATACCCTTGAGCTGCTAATAGAATCTCTGAACTTAAATCAGCTGAAGATTTTCTAGCAAAGTTGTATTTTTCACGGTATGTTGAAGGCTCACTACTAATAGCAAAATCCTCATTTACACCCTCTAATTCAGGTATGCCGCTTGTAATCTCATAATCCGGTAAAAACAAATCATTTCTTGTTGAATCATCGGCTTGTTTTTGAGGCTTTGTAATTTTTCTAGAAAAAAATGCATCCAAATTTTCATCATCACTTGATTCCAAACTAAAATCATCATAAAGTGTTGCATTGTTGGCTCTACGATCTGTCCATTTTAAAAAACGATCAAATTCACATCGAACAAGCTTAATGATGGATTCAGGATTATCATGTAAATGCTCAATCATTGAGAATCGTTCCATGTCTAGACCTGATCTAATAAGTGCTTCACGTTCTCCAAACGGGAACTGATATTGCTTCTCTACATCTGTCTATAATGTATATACGTGCATATGTAAATAACACTATCTATCCCCTCCCCTCCCCCTTACTCCACATTCCAATAATTTAATCTCTTACAGTTAATTTCGCTCTTGTTTTCTTTGTTTTGTCGCGCCATACTTGATTTTGAAATTCACCTAAATCATCATCAATTTCTGCTCCTATTTTCTTATCCTCTTGTTCAAGGTCAATGTTGTAATTCATATCACTGCTATTATTTTGCCCTTTTACTGTTTTACCACCATATTGTGAAAGTGGTGTCCCAACTTCAGGTGTCATACCATTTTCAATGTCACTATTAACCATACCTTCTAATGTTGAAGTGGGAGCGACACTAGATCCTCGTGTCATTGATCGTTCTCGAGAATGTCTATCCAATTGTATAGGAGTTGACTTTCGCTCCACTGATGGCATATGTTTACCTGCTAATTTCTTTGATACACGTTCTGAACTATGATCTTCATCTTCACTTAGATCCTCACCCTCTTCATCAACTTCTGTCTTCATTTCTTTAATACTAATATCAGGCACTCTAGCCATTAATCTGTCTGTTTTTCTACGCATGGCAATCGCATGCTTTCTATATTCACTTGCCTAAAAGTTTTTTTTTTAAAAAAAAAAAATTATTTTGTTAATTCTGGGCACTCTTTTGTCTTGTTTTATTTTATTTTTTCCCCCTTACAGCATTTGTGTTATATGTTAAACAATTTTCATAAATTAAATAAAGATCATCTGCAAATTCTTTCTTGGATCGATAAACTAGATTTTTTAATTTTTTAGTTACTGTTCCAAGATCCATTGGCTTTTTAATGACTAAACCAAAAAAAAAAAAAATTAGTATGATATGATATTGAACTGATAACATTATTTACTTTCAAAGTAATCTGGTGCCTCGCGCTTATTAACTTTGTTCAAGAAAGGTGTTGAATGTTCAGTATAGTTCTTTAAATCGGTCAATACTTTTTCACAAGCCTCATATAGCTCTTCTTGTCCTACTCTTTCATCATTTGCCTAAAAAAAAGAATAATAAGCCAAATAATATAATCTTTATATGTACTGATCTACCACTTTACCCATTTTGATCTGTGAGGTTTAAAATCTGATAATAAATTCTGTAGTTCACGATCAGATAATGATGTCTTTTGTCTATTTGCTACAATGCCCTGAAGAAGATACTATAAAAGAGTTTTAACAATAAATGAATATAGACTATCCAATATCTTTCCCTTTCCCTCCCTCCTCCCGCCCCCCTTTTTTTTCTTTACTTTTAAATTAAAATTGCCATCTGCATTAAACATTGATAACTAAAAATAAAAAAATAAAAATGTTATTATATTAAAACTTTGTAATGTAATAAAGCTTGCTCTTACTGATTTTGCTGTAGCATTTTCTTTTGCTTCCTCCGCTTCATTTAGTTCTTCTTGTGCTTCAAATTCCTAATATTAAAAGTTAAACGTTTTAAAAATATATATATATATGAATATGTGTTTTTTTTTTTCTGTTTTTAGAGTAACAAATTACCTCTAATTTGCGTTGTTCAATCATAGCATCTCTATCTAATTCAAGTGTATGAAATACATCTCTAAGTGGAACATCGTCTATTATGACACTCATTTCATCTATTTTTAGTGTTGAGTTATTTACTAGTTGAATAAAAACAAAGAAAAATGAATTAATTTTTTTTGTATAAGTTAAAACGAGTAATTATTTTACATTGTTGCTGCTGCTGCTGTTGTTGTTGTTGTTGTTGTTGTTGCTCATGTTGGCTTATTTCATTCTTTTTTCCATTTACAGTATTATCATTTTCAATAGTAGAATTATCATGGGACATTGTAGGCAAGTCTGCTTCCTTCTTAACATGAACATGTTTCTTTAAATATGTGTCCCATTCTTTGTCAACAACTGATTCGGATGGTAAAGTTAATTGGTGAGCTTGAGCAATAAGTGAATCAAGATCGATTAGTTTACAACATAGATTATGAGTGGGAAATAGATGGGGTATCAATTGTTCATAAAGCATCGAACGTACACGAAATACTGCAGTATTTATTTCTACCAGCGTTTCTTCTTCCTTTCGTTTGTTAACAAAGGCTATCCAAACAGCATATGAAGTTAGCGAGTCTTCAAAATACTTTCGTTCTGTCGTAGTTAAAAATAATTTATGTATTCCATTCTCATAGAGGTGCTTGGCCAATACAAAAGACAACGGTAGCCAAGAGGGTAAATTTTTTCTTTTAATATTCATAATAATAGTAGTGTTGAAAGTATCTGTAAAACGAAAAAAAAAAAAAAAAAAAAAAAAAAAAAAAAAAAAAAATAGAAAGAAAAAAGAAAGAAAAGCTTTAAAATGAACAAAACTACTACCTACAAGTGATTACAAGTCACGCTATATTATTCTAATTTTGAAGAACTTTATAAAATGTAAAGTCTTATTTTTAATAATAGATTGTTACAAGAACTTATTTTTTCTCTCTATTCACACATATAAGCGATTATTACAAAAGTGCCTTTTCTTATCCAACATCGTTTATTGATAATGATATCCAGGTATCCTGACTGGATAATAAAGCACAAATATATATAAAAAAAAATATATAATAATAATAGAGAAGGGAGATGTATAATATATACACGGGGTAATTAGAATATAGAAAAGTGAAAAAGAGGAAGGCTTTGTTCTTTTTTTTTTTCTTTGCTTTTTTTTGCATATATAAAAAGAAATCTAAATGATGATGCTCTTCAAATCTATTATAGAAGAAATTAATCGTCTTGCTCACTCTCACTCTCTCTTTATACATGTATATATGCGTGTATATACTAACCTAAAGTTGAGGCATAACAGGCTTACTTTGATCAGCAGTCATCCTAGAAATACCAATACCAATACCTTCAATAAGAGCAAGAAGAGCACCACCAACAACAGCTGAAACAGCAGCAGCCTTTACACCACCACGAGCGGCTAAAACGCCACCTGTCAAACCTCCTGAAATAATAGAATTCCAAGGATCTTCCTTTTGTCTGATACCTTTCAAGCCACAATCAAATGTTGAAAATAAACCACCCCAAACTGCAAAGTTACCACCCAAAACAGGAGCTCTAGCTTTCATAGCAGATACTGCGCCAACTAAACGTTCACCCTATTTAATTAAAATTTAGTTCTTTATATTAAATGTATACACACATAATAACAATTCTAAACACTTACTCTAGGTGAATTCTTTGCACCTTTTACAGAATGCCAGATACCACCACCAACAGCACCCATAACAAACGCACCACCTAAATCATTAAGAATAACCCAGGGGCTAATTGAAAGAGAATCAAAATACTATTCACTTAAATTCAAGGGTAACAACTTACCAAGGATCTCTAGAATGGTCTTGTGCAGAATGTCCCATATTATTGTTGTTTTAAATGTATAAATATTTGTATATTACAAAAAAGAAAATGGTGGAATTATATCGTCTTTTTTAAGAAAGAAAGAAAGAAAAAAAACGTTTCCAGGGTTTGATTATTATTATTTCGAACAAAAAAAAAAAAAAAAAAAAAAAAAAAAAAAGGAAAGAAAAAAAAAACGACTGGGTAATGATAGTTTGCCTGTTTTTCAATTCCATCTCCACAAAGTCACAATAAATAGCGGAGAGCTAATTAATCCATGAGTAGAGCATTATCTAAACGGCAAGCGTAACTTCAATAATTATGAATTCGAGGGATTAAGAAAAAGGATTATGAAAGCTTTGGTTAACTCAAAAGAACAGCTACAGCTTATATTCATCATTTAATTGTTTTTTTTTCTAAGGTGAGAAACCTAAACTTTAATACAAGTGAATAAATATTTTATTAACAAAGCACATTATATCTGATTGATCTAGCCAGCTTAACGATATATGTATATTACTATGTATTTATGTAAAATTGACTACAGTATTTGAACTTTTAAATTCAGAAGATTACATCTATTTTTTCGGATAATAAGAAAATGCAATATGTGATATATTATAGTGTCAATTTAGAAAAAATAAAAAAAAAAATAAACGTCAATTTTAGAACAAATATAAAAGACTAATCAGATATAATGACCTTTAACCAACATAAAGTTGATAGATCATATGTTGTCAATCTAAAAAAAATAAAAATAAATAAGCTTTTTTTTTTTCCTTTTTAATATAATAAAAGAAATGTACGAGGTTATAATTCAAGAGAGAATTTGTTCTATCAGAGGAAAAGGAATACAAGAAAGTTTTAAAGCTTTTATTCTATTATTTGTTTATAATAAAAAAGAAAAGGAGAAAAAAAAAAGAAATGCCTTGTAATATGTTATAATAAGACAATGTGCAGACTGCGGAACACTTGGCTACTACAATAAAATATATTACGCATGTAAACTTTATAGTTCCTGAAGTCTGCTAATGATGGTAACATTTGCATATTATATATCAAATGTATCATAATCCTTCTCTAAATCTTTTTTTTTCCTCCCCTAACTCTGAAGTTTATTCTCAAGAGAGTTGGCTGAAAAAAATAGAGCATAATAATCACTGCTCTTATGATATGTGATGTTTACCGTTGCCTAAATTATTTAAGCTTCTAACTTCGCCTTCCTTTCGATGGAGGTTTCATCAGTATCAGCATAGATTCATTATCAAGGAAAGCCTTCTACAGGCTATAATGTTCCATTGAAAAAAAAATTTTTTTTTCAACGTTTTTTAATTTTTGGCTAATTTAAGTATATAAAATGTTAATCATATTAAAACTAGTATCTAGGCCAATTTTTATTTATTTATTCACTCATTCATAGTATTATCGACTTATTACCTAACAAGAATAACAATGTTTTATTTAGTAACTTTATTTCTTTTTGATGACTTTACAGTTAATTTTCTATTTTATAAAAAAAAACACACACACACACACACTGTAGAATATTGTGGCTGAGAGATGTGAATGCTAGTAAGAATAGAATGCCTATTTGTCTGTCTATTTGGAAAAGAAATAGTCGGCCTAATGAATTTCAATAAAGATGATAACATTAACATTTGTTTAGACAGATTCTTGTAACAGATACGGACTTTCCTCTACTTGTAGAAGAAAATTAGATCACTACAGGTAATATCCATTATATCTAATTAGTCTTTTATATTTGTTCTAAAATTGACGTTTATTTTTTTTTTCTTTTTTCTAAATTGACACTATAATATATCACATATTGCATTTTCTTATTATCTGAATTTGAAGTTCAAATACTGTATTATATTATTAGAATATATGGTTTAATTCCCCTTATTCTGCATCAACAAACACATCCTCATCATTCTCATCATCATCCTCTTCTTCTTCTTCTTCTTCTTCTTCTTCTTCTTGGGAGGAAGGATCAAAGTTTTTAGATCGATAAGGCTTTTCCTTCATAGCTTGTTTTTTTGCTTTTTCTTGCAAATCTTTATCATCACTACTAAATACATCCTTAACCCAGTTACCTAACCCCACGGCTGCTGCTCCTGCAAGTGCTGCACTACCATATTTCTAAATACAATAATAATAATAAAAGTTAATACGTTGCACTCATACATGGGTCTATGTATGTAATTTACTATCCAACTAGAGGTGCCGCTCTTCTTCTTTTTCGGTTTCTTTTCTGGCATAATAGGCTTAGGTGTCTCTACTTTAACAGGTTCTGGTGTTTGTACTGGCTCTGGGGCAGCAACTGGTGTGGGTGGAGGAATTGGTGCAGGTAAAGGAATAGGCTGAACAGGCATTGTATGAGTTGGCTGAATGATTGGGATTGGAGGTTGAGCGATGATAGGGTTGGGATCAATAACAGGTGATGGACTTATGATAGGATGATGAGGTGGAGGAGGAGGAGAAGGAGTATAAGAGGGCGGTTGTGAAGGGGGTTCATGAGTTCTAGCTGGAGAAATAGAATAAGTTGTATCCTGGTAATTATGATTATATACTACTGGTGAATTTTGGATAGGTGATTGTGGTGATAATGTAGGTGTCGGTTGTCCGATAGTTGGGGGATGGCTACCTACAACAAGAGGTGGTGCTACATTAGTAGTAGGTGATATTAAATAGTTCACTTTTTGATCTTGATTGAATACAGGGTTATTAGAACTAGGATAAGAAGGTGGAGATAAATTAGATTCTGTGGTATAGTGTTTTAATTTTCCATTATCTGCTGATAAACTTTCATTCTTTTGTTGTTCATTCAAAGGTACTGATAGTATTGATGCATTTTCGCTATGAGTATAGTTATTATTTGTGTTTGTTTCTTCTTTAGGCTTTGAAAGACCAATATATATCAGGAGTCTGGAAACAGATTATCTTGTTATTGTTATACTTACTGTAAAAGCTAATTTTATATAAAGATGTCCTAAAGGACCCCCAGTAGTAGTTGAGAGAGGAACCCAATCTTCAAAAAAGCCGGCATCAAATACTTTCTTTAATGAAACTCGGGTAGAGCCTATATGACCAGGTCTAGTAGGATCTTCATTTATTAATTCTAGTGAAAGGAAATCTTCTTTATCACGAATATAACTTTTGTATATATATATATATATATATGTGTGTGTGTGTGTTTTAGAATATAAGTAAAAAAATGCGAGTACTCGATAATTATGTTATCAAAGTGTTACTATACCATTCAAATGTGTTATGATAGCTTGGTTCGGGGCCACTTGCAGATTCAGTCCTTTGCTTTTCAGACGGAGAGACATAAAATTCTATAAAAATAATTGAATCTATATATTTATATATGTGTAAAAGAATAACATATTAATTAAAATAAAAATGAATGCAAGTTAAATATTTCATACTTGGATATCCATTTTGTGCAAGACCCTGAATGATAACTATTGCAACAAAGAAATCACAAAATTAAATAAACTGATTTTGAAAAATGTATAATACGTGTGTGTGTGTGTGTTTTTTTACCTGGTGAAAACAAAAGCTGGCCAATTGGCATTCTCTGTAAATGTATTAATAAGGGAAGAAAGATATAAAAAACAAAAAAAAAAAAAAAAAAAAAAAAAAAAAAAAACAATTTATTTTATTTTACTTATTTTATATAATTATATATGTATATATATATATATATTGACAATAGTTTATATAGGAGACTAAATACATGTTATATTACGCGTTAAATAGATACGCATATTTGGTGCTTCTATTTAGGATGTTTATTTTGATTATTCGACTCAACAGTATTTATGCAGACACGAGAGTAATAGTCAGTTACAAGATATGATTATTTAGTTATTAATGGATTAAATAATTTTGAATAAAGGTATAGATACAAAGCTATTTCATATTCAAAATATAAATAAACTTATATAAAGGACATTGTAGGTTTACAGAACCATATTTTAGAATAGCTTATGATAGTTTTAAAGTATTAAAATATTTACTGAAAGGTAATGTTTTTTTTTTCCTATCATTCAGGAGATGAAACAGTATTGGTTTTAAGCGCTCACCTATTTTTGCCCAATGCTAAATAGGTATATTTTTATAGCTTTAAGGTTATATTAATTGGTTTTTCTTGTTTTTTTCTTTTACTCGAGCTTTTTCGATGTATCCATATTTGTGCATAACGAAAGAGATTAAAAGAAAAAGAAAAGCAATGATTATGTGATATAGCATAAACAGTTTTCATTATGAAATAATCTTATATACACATTTGATTTACAGAAGACAACTTTGTTAATGATGCAAGTCACTGTCTACAAGCTCAAGAGAGGAATATTAAAGGCAATAGGGATTATTTTCAACTTGTAGTTGCATGGGCATGAATATTATTTTAGGTTAAACATTTCTATTTGCTAAATGCTTTTTCAACAATTGGAATAAAGACTTTGCATGATTTGTATCCTTTGTTTCTTGATTCCTATTGAATGCAGAAAAAGAAAGTTGTATATTTGTGTGACATAATGAAGCAAGCATTAACAGTTTCGTTGATTGGCTATATTTAACAGAATCTGAAAAAAAAGTAAAGCGGCCAATTAAAACTAAGGATCATAACGCAAAAAAGAATCAAAAAGATATAAAGATTGTTACAATTAGAATGTACAAAGAAAAAAGCATACCAACGATAAATAAAAGAAAAGTATTAACAACATAGAAATCATTTTGTTTTCCTTTCTTTTACATTTATTTCGAAAAAAGAGATTTTTAGTAGCTAGACTAGTGTAAATGAGCCATTCTCGCTCACTAGTTTTTTTTTTTTTTTTTTTTTTTTTTTTTTTGTTTTTATTACTTTTATTTTTTACTAGTAGAGGCATCTTCTTTATTAGAATTCTCTTCTATTTGATTTAAAAGATTAGGATCTTTTTCAAGAATAAGATTACGAAGCCATTTTGCTTCCATTTCAAGTTCTTTTACTTTAGCTTCAAGTATCTCCACATTCTCCTCCATTTCTTTTGTAGTACGTTCAAGGGCTTGTTCTCTAAGTTTCTTTTTCATACGAAATCTTGCTGATGCTGCTGTATTTCGACGTCTTTTATCTTCTTCCGCACTTGATTCATTTTCGGAGCGTTTTTGTTGCTTGTAATTATTATTGGTATATAATGCTTGATGAATTTCCATCAATTGAACGCTACTAAACGGTCCAGGAGCTGGTGCGATTCGAGGTAAAGATGCAGCATTATTTGTAGATGAAGGAAATTGAATAGGGAAACAACCCAGCACTTTATCTGTCTGTTGCTCATGAGGAGGAACGGTAGTATTATTTTGATGTTGTACTATTGTATCAATTAGTATAATATGTACAAATAGATACACATGCATATACATATACATATACACACATATTGATTAATTACCCAATTGGGAAAGTTCAGTTAAGGTTTGGATAAGTTCTTGATCATCCTTTCCTTTATTAACATCCTCTTTAAGAGCTGTGCCAGGAATAGTATCAAAATTGAATTGGGCATTTGCCCAAAGTGCTAATTCGTCTTGTAATGTTTCTCCATTAATGTTAATGGGTGAATCTGAATTTAGCAAATTAAATGATGAAATATATGACATCGTTGAAGAATCGTCAGAACAATGTTCATGCTATTTCGAAAGAAAGAAAGAATGCATATAATACATACATAAATAAATATACTATTTAGTAAAATAGACGTTAGTAGACTGCTGTTTATTACACTAGTAATAGTAGTTCATTCCTTGACACTGAGTAAATCGGAGTCAATAGTTTCTTTGATTTACTATTGGCAGATAATTTTTTAAGAAAAAAAAAATAGATCTTATTTAGATGATCATCTTACAGCTAATTCTAAAATGATAAATGGAATTTTATTTACTCTACTGATTTGTAAATATAATTAACCGTTGAATCAATTAACGATTTTTGATTGGATAAAATATCGACTTGATCTAGCTTAACTTAAATTGACGTTTCGATTTCCTAATTTGTTAACTTTAAGCTTTTTTTTTCTTTTTCTTTCTATATTAAGAGGATTATTGGATATTTTTGAAGAAAGCAGCCAAGATGATAATATATACAATAAATAAAGAGGAAATGGGAAATGAAAGTATTTAATTCGATGCCATAGAATGAATGTCAGTTGACGAGACTTTAAACATATCGTTGAGGCAAGTTCTTCTTCAATTATGTAAGTTAGTATCAGTCTATTATTATGCAGAAAGTACAGAGGATGTATAGCTTCTTAGATACATTGTATTTACATATTTATAATCTGCCTTTTTTTTTTTTTTTACATGCTCAGCATATGTGTTAAAAGTTATACAAGTATGGACGTTCTGTGAAGTCAATAAAGAATAATCTCATTTAGGCCCTTGTCATTTATTACAGTTTTCATTCTCTATTTCAATATGTATGTATTGAATCTGTTTATAAAATTGGTACTTTTAATATCTTTACCTTTTAATGCTTTAAATAATTCATGATTGTATCCGTTAGTGTCCCTAGGAAACAATTATAATTTCCTTTAATGTGTAATAAAATAACTGATTTACAGTACTCCATTATGTACGATAAGAAATTAGGGTATTAGGTATAGAAGATGTAGTTGCAATTGTAGATAAAGAAGTTAGTCTGAATACTTGAACTATTTATTTCAGATGCAAGGTAGTGTATGTTATCCTCATCTATTAGTATAGAATTTAATTTTCTTATTGAGTAATAAGTGACTTTTATGTGAATTAGTTTGATTCATATACTCGACTTGAAATGTGTTTTCCCCATAAGGAGTATATCGAATAGAAGGTAGTAAAAGGCGAATACGTTTAATGTATTGAATACGTTGATTTTCATCAGAATAATCTAAACAAGTTTGAACCGCATAAGAACCCTTCTATGTATGATACTATCTACTTGTAGTCTCTTCTCATTTCCCCTTCTAGCTACTCTAAACAGACTAAGGAGAAAGAAATAAGCTCTCTTTTCATTAATTATGGAAATACATGTATCCATTTTACCTTTTTTTTTTTTCGATCAATCACATTTGAACTAAGCTTTTCTATAGACAGGCTCAATAAACATACAAATCATAGTTAGGGCTGATTTAACCCTAGTATGTATTGTACAACATAGTTTCCAAAAGGGATCTTGAACAAGTGTAAATGAATACCCTGTGATTGATTTAGTAAGCTGTATCTAGATTAAATAGGATATCACACCATTTGCGACTCTGATGCGTAATCAATACAATGTTGATATATACAACAACCCTGTCTTATGTGTTGCAACGTCAATACAATATTCACTAATTGCCTCATAAATGAATTGATTGTATAAAGACGTTTTTTGAATTACTTGACTTCCATTTAAAACGTTAATTAATGAATCTACATGAGGCTCAAGTGCTTGAATTACCATTTCAGTCCATATAATGTCATATATATTTGTAATTATATTATAATGAGATAAATTCGATCTATTGTGATAGAAAGGTGTTCTATCAAGAGAATGTTGAATGGATGATGATGATGAACTTTTTAGTTAAAGAAGACTTTGATTGTAATTGATCTAGTAGTAATTGATTTGAATGACTATAATATGAATGGGTCATAAGAGTAGATTGCGTATGTGAATAATGGTACTTTTCTTTTAATGTACAATATCCATATTAATAAAGTTGCTGACAACTAGTTGATGATGTATTATTATTCATTGAAGGCAATCCATATGGGGGAACTTCCTGGAGGGTGATAAATGATAATTTTGTTGCCTACCATGCTCTGTCATTTACTTTGTCTTTATTTATTAAAAATCGAGACCAGCTTTTACTTCTTGATTCTAAATTAAATTTGAAAATATGATTCTACTATTCTAAACAAAATAGATATGCTTACTAAAGGATCTATTGAATAGAAAGACAAATAGAGATTAGCGCTTTGTTTGTGTAAAAGGTAAATACCAGCATGTTCTTCATTATTAATAATAAGGGGAGTATCTTCTAATTAATTGATTCATTGAGCCCAACTGTAAAATACTAAATAAATAATCTTTGTGCTGGTTTTATGACTATTGCCATCAAGATAAGGTAGTATTATTTGAATACTAAAACAAGAAGATAAATAAAAGAAATCTTATGGATTCTATTCATCTAAAGGCATTTGTTGCTTAAAAGCTAAAGAAAGGAAAAGACGATTATAAAATAGTATAAACAATAAAGACTGCCTATTTGTAAAGCGATAAAAGGAATAGAAGAAGATGACTCTCTTCTGCTGTTTAAACTCTAAAAATATGTCATTTACTTTAATGGGGTAAAGATATTCATATTAGAGTAATATACTATTTACTGGTCATTGAAGGATGTGTGTGTGTGTGTGTGAATGTGTGAGTGAGTCAGTCTATCTGTTATAGACACTCTTCATTGGATCATATACATATTACATCAGCAAATTTATAAATATACATGTATTAACATATATCACATTGTTCAAGTCACAGTACTGCATAATAAACATTGGTAAAAATAAAATAAAAATGTCTTTTTCTTTCTTTCTTTCTTTCCTTTTTTTTTTTTTTTTTCTAAATCATAATAATAATCATGGAGCAGTCAATGTCACAATTTGCAAAAGAAGCTCTAAGTAATTTAAAGAACAGCTTCTTAAACAGTAGAAGATATTATGCTCAAATGGACCAAGAATCGGAGAATGAAGAAGATATAACAATGTCCCATAGTCTATTTTATTCGATATATGATAATAATGCGGATAGTATACCTTTGACTTTATCAAACCCCTATTCAGATAGAAGTGAATTGTTATTTGAACATGAAGATTCTAGTCATACTAATAATCAGGATGTTGATGATGATGATGATGACGACGACGACGACGATGAAAGTCCAGTAAATAATAATATATAAATGAATACATAAATAATCATGTATGTATGTATGTATGTATGTATTAACAAGTTTTTATATAGAAACCTTCAGCTATTTACCTTGATCAACCAACCACTTTTAATCATTTTCCCAAAGCGCTATCTGAATCATTATTACCGACTTCAACTGCAGTAAAATGATTTTATTCACATGTTATCTTTAAATGTTAACTCTTTATTATGTACACATAGATTCCACTTGGAATTAAACCATTATCGACAAAAATGAAAGATAGTAGAAAATATAGGGATCCAATATTCGCTGCATTATATACCTTATGTCTTGCCATATTCTTATTGTCGAGTTTTATAGTACTATTTACAACTAATGTAAGATTGATTATAGATATATGATATACATATATGATATTTATTTATATAATATTTATATAGAGTCGTGATATAGAAGATTATATTAAAGGATCCACGTTTAAAACAATAAAAGATAGTGCAGGTTAGTCTATTCTAATTTTTCATTATATAACTTAAATATGAATTATACAATGTAATAGGTGTATTATCTGTTATCATTATTACTGCTTTAATGATTGGTACTTTTTGGTTATATATTTTACGTATCTTTACAAAGGTCCAGTATGATAATACATATTAAATAAATAAATTAGTAGGACTTATTTTATGTATCTCTAGACATTTGTATGGGGAACTGTTGTGTGCGTGCCAATTAGCTTAACTACCATCTTTATTTGGACATTAGTAGAATCTTTACAAAACTATTATATTTATGAAGGTGAAAAAGAAGTATCTATTACCACAAAAGACACAGGGTAATATATACATAATATATAAGTGTATATCTATATGTTTATATATCTGCATGTCATATTTATATTTATATATTATCATTCTGCTTAGATTGACTATAATGTCGTTTATTCCACTCATTTTAAACTTAATTTATATCAAGCTTATATTTGATTATAGGCATAGAATTAACAAAACAATATCTATAATAGAAGCAAGTTCTTACATTTATCATTTTATATATACATATTTGAAACTAATTATGTTATAATAGCTTTCGTGTGATGTCATAAAATATAATCCTGGTGTTATTCTTGTATCCTTTTTACTCGTAATTATATTTGTTATCTTTTCTATTATTTGGATTATCTTGTTTACTCGCTTATGGTTAATTGGTCATTTGAGTGATAAATCATCTTTATCAGGTAATTAAAAGCTAAAAAACATGTATATATATATTATATAAATGAAAGACTTTGACAAAGCCATATAAATAGGACCTGTTTGGATTGTAAATAATTATGTATATTCATTAGCAGCGTTTTATATATTTATATACATGTGGACAGCTAGATTATTGATGTATATGGAAAGGTTAGATAGAATACAAATACAATTATTATACAAGATATTCAAATTTAATTTTGAATACACAGATTTATATTATCAGCTATTACCGCACAATGGTATTTTCATCGTCAGGAACCGATGAATAATAAGCCGTGGAAAATAGCATTTGTAAGGGCAACAAGTACTTCATTTGGTACATTGGCTTTGGCTAGTTTAATTTTAGCTATTATTCAGTTTTTACAACTTGTAGCTAGTTTAATGAGAAAGGTAAAGATATGCATTCAAACAAAATAAGTTTTAATTTATTTATTTATTTATCTTTTATAGTATTCAAAGACTTCTAGACCATTTGCAAATGTATTAAGTTTTATATTGAGATATATTGATATTCTTGTCAGTGCATTTAGTAACTATACAATTTCTTTAACTGGGATTACTGGTGAAGGTTTCTTTGCTGCTGCTCAATCTGCAACAAAAATATTTAGGCGTAATTTATTGACAGGTGTCTTTGGTGGTAAATAAAAAATAATCATAACAGACCCACTACATGATACTAATACCAAATTATATTTACAAGATCTATTAACTCAACTTATGTTGTATATTGGTGCAAGTATAATTGCCTTAACATCTGGTTTTAGTGCTTATGTTTATGCTACACATAATCTTCATTCACCACATGGATTTATTGTCGGTCTTATAGGAACACTTATACCATGGTATATGTCTCAATTCTTTTCCTATATTATGATTAGCATGTAAATACATCTTTAGTGTCATCTTTTCAAAATTTAATTTAACTTGTTTTATATATATATATATATATCAAATAGTATAGACGCAACTTTCCTTTGTTATGCTATTGATTTAGATGCAGGCACAGTGCATTTATCCGCAGCTCATACAGCTTTCTCAGGATTTGATTAAAATAATCTTTTATACCATTTTCATATTATTATTTGTATATATATCATGTAGTATTTGTATACATTTACAGTAGCACTATTTATTTATTTAAACATACATATTCGATTATAAATAGTAATTTATACATTCTTCTTATCACAAGTGAAACTTTTGAGATTCTTGTCTGTTTTTCACTCTCCTCCTAGATAGTTCTTTCTTTATTATTTTATCAATGAAATCAATTTGTTAAAATACTTTTACAATGCTGCTAATAAAATTTAAAAGTTCAAGTATAAAAAAGGCAGGTCTTTGAATAAATTCATTATTGCTTAATCATACAATGCATATATTTTTGATCAAATCAATTACAAAGGAAAATATCCAGCACTAAATGCAGTGAAAATTGTATAATTTTGTAGTTTTATCTTTTTTTTTTTTTTTAAGTCTGAGATACTTTGATATATATGTATATAAAGCAATTTTCTTATCTATCAAATTTTAACTTTTCTTGAGTCTTTTGAAGACACTATTTTATACTATAATAGATAACATAGATTTAATACTGCCCAATGATGACATAATTTATTTGTTAATAAAAAAAAAAAAAAAAGAAATACTTTGTGTTTAAAAGAAAAAATGGGAAAGACTGTTACTATCGAATTTAGTAGAAAGAGGGAAAATGGCTTCTTTATCTGTTTACTCGAGCAAAACCAGAATAGAAATGAATATTCAAAGTAAAACAAAATAAAAAAAAAAAAAAAAAAAAAAAAAAAAAAAAAAACTGATTTATTATATGCTATTACGTACCATGTGTATTCATACATTATTATTATAAAGATTTTTCAAGTCTCTTTAGGGGGAATCTTTTAGCTAAATAAGTATGGACTGGTCCCAAAACAACAATTCTTTCATAAGTCAATGCTGTTATCATATTTCCAATGACTAGACCCCATAGTTTCCATCGAAATTCCCTCGGCATCACGTTATGTCCTAATGGTGTATTATACGGAGTAATAAAGGTAGTAGGCGGCTCATAACCTATTTGCTCAAGGACCTCCCTTGTCCCACAATTAAAACGAAACATACATCCAAATCGATTTGGATCTGCTAATGTCCAATAGGAGGCAATCGCTAGATACAAGAGCCAAAGACATACAAGTGTATAATTTCTCCAAAAGCTTTGTCGAAATTTGTAACCGAAATTAAAAACCGCTGCATTGTTGATGAATTGATAAAGACAAACAATACCTAGTACCTCTCCTTCATAATTATCCGCTAAGAGCATCCATTTAGATAAGTCAACTGCTCGTGAATCAAATTCATTACATAGGAACCAATCTGTATATAAATGAAAAAAAAAAAAAAAAAAAAAATATTTTTATTAAAAATTAAAAATTAAAAATTAAAAATTAAAAATTGTATATGTATTTATATTTACCTTGCTTATAAAGCATTACAAAAGCGCTAATTAAAAATATCCAGTTAATAGCAACTAGACCCATACCTGAGGCAAGTGCTTGAGGACCAAGTAAACGTGCTGTAGGTCGATGAGGAGAAAGATTTGAAGCAGCTTTTGATTGTGAGACAGCATATGTAAGTAAGACTGTAATAAAAACGTCAATAGCAATCCAGATAGCTTCTGACATAGAAACTGAAAAGTAAAAAGCAAAGATTTTCAACATCATCATTACTTGTCCATATACTATTATGAAAAAAAACAAGTATTATACAAATATATATATTAGTTTTCTCTTTTCTTTCTTTCTTTCTTTCTTTCTTTATATATATATATATATATATATATATATACTTACAAATCAAGTATTTGTAACCAGTAATGGATGTTGCTAGAGCTCCACGACCTTGACGAATTAATTCAACACAGGATCGAACACTACGAATACTTGTATTGAATGGAGAAACAATAGATGCTTCAGCATCAGACATAGCAATCCCCACATGCGCTGCACGTAAAGCACCACAATCATTACCACCATCACCAGTCATAGCTGTAATCCCTTGTTCCATATGCAGCTGAACACATTTTACTTTACCATTAGGTGTCATACGAGCAAATACACGCGTATCCAGTAAGTACTGTCGCATCAGGTCGTGATCGTTTAACCATTCGAATGCTTTCCCGGTAACAGCGAGTTCAACAGGCGTATGATCTTTGTTCATCAGAGAATGATCCACATTGATGTCTGGGAATGTCTCTGGATCATCCACATCACACCAGACGACACGTCCCCTTTGCGAATCCAAGTCGCCCAAGAGGACCCGACTGGTCTTTGATGTCGTCATGCCGCATTGACGAGCGATATAGACACCTGTAAGGGCTGTGTCACCCGTAATCATGATCGTGCGTGTGTCACCTCGTTTCAATTCAGCAATGTTCTCTGACGTATCAGGTTTCAACTGATTTTTAAAGATAATAAGGCTCAAAAAATGAATATCAGTTTCCATTTCATCTCGTTTCCATTGTTGAAAGCCATCAAGGCCACCTACTATTTGATCCAAGTTGATTTCACGATGCGCAAGAGCAAGCACATAACAGCCTTCTCTAGCTTGATTTGCAGTTATACGATCGTAATCCTGAGGGATCGAATCTGGATGAGAGAGTTCCTTAATTTTTTCATAGGCCCCCTTGATAAAGATATGAACCTTGTTCGTGGCTGTATCTAAGACAGCAACGGACATGGACATACGAGCATGAACAAATTCATAGCGTTTCAAGACATGAATTGGAGATTGATTATCAGTTTGAGAAAGAGATGATGATGATGGTGGTGGTGGTGGTGGTGTCAGAGTATCAATATAGTCAGTATGATCGTTTAATTGCCATCCAGAGGACCTAAACATTTCAATATCCACAGGGTTTCCTATAAATTGACCATTTAAGGTTGTTACAGCATGACACGTCGCAAGACCGATTTGAACTAAATGAGGTAAGCGATCGACTGATCTCTCATGTCTATCAAATTCTGGTAGTGGCTTATTCTGAGCTTTCTTCTTGATCGGTTGAGCGCCAAAGAATTCAAGTCCTTCCTTTGTGAGGGTCCCTGTTTTATCAAAACAAAAGAGTTGAACTTTACCTGCCATCAGGATTCGAGGCAAGTCAACGCAAAAGATCTTTTTCGCTTTTAATCGGTTGGCAGCAACGGACTGGCCTACAACCAAGGCAGCTGGAAGCAAAGGGGAGACAAGTTGAGAGATAGCAAACATCGCATAAAACCATGCACTTGTGCCCTTTGCGTACATCCAGATAGCTAAGCCAAGACAAAGTAAACCGCAGCAAAGTAAGATTAAGATGACAACCTTAATCTGCTCATCAAAAATAAAGGAAACATGGGTTGGGAATAAGATCTTCTTGACAAGCTCACCTTTATCAGTTGCAGTACCCGTATGAGTTACGAGAGCAGTCACTCGACTCTCATTCGAAGCAGGTTGAGCTTGAGAGATAATGGTACCAGAAAAGATAGTAGACATCTTGCTACTTCCTAAACGATCAAAGACTGTCTCTACATCATCCTTTCGTAGAGGGAATTTACGAATAGGTAAGGGCTCGCCTGTCAAGGAGCTTTCATCAGCAACGATATTGCCTGTCAATATAACACCATCACAAGGAGTTGTCTTACCCTCTGTCACTTCAAAGACATCCCCTGGCAAAAGATCTGCAATCGATTTTTCTTGCCAGTGGCCATCACGAAGAATGTTGATACGATCTGTAAATTCGGCCATTTTTTTAATTCGTTTTTCAGATCGAAGACGAACGATTACCTTTACCAGAGCAGAAACAAGAATGACAGCAGTATCAGCGATACCCACTTGCCCTATTCGATAGGAGAGAAAAGAGTAGGGGAAAAAAAAAGTTTTCAGTATAAAAGAATATTCATAAAATAAAGATTAGACATACAATAAGCAAAATAGTAAAACAACCAAAGAATAGTAAATTGATAAATGTAAAAGAAGGATGAAAATTCTCGAAACAAGGCAATGACAAAATTTGGGACATAGACTTCAATAAAGTTAGGACCAATTAATTCTTCTCTCATAATAGCTTCTTCAGAAGTCAGCCCATAATCTAAGGCAGCAAGACCAGCATGAGTATCAGCTAAATGAAATTGATGAGGCGAAAAGGAATCACTTTCTGGATGATAAACATAACGTGTACATTGATAGACAAAATATTTGGTTCCACTAGAGGTATAACGAAGTGGTGCATTAGTCACTACTACATCCAAGCCAAGTATACGCTTAGATTTCCATTCTAAATATCGAACAAAGTCTGTAATACGATCTGATTGATCCACCATGAGAATCAAAGGGGATTGACGCCTTTCAATTTGAACATATTGACCCTCTGCATAGTTACATTTGATCCTAAAGAAATTTGGCAGTCTGAATCGAAAGATAGTGAAACTAGCAAACCAAAAAAACAGAATATACCACATTCCAATAAAGGTACTAGCCTGGATTTCTCCATAGCCACGGAAAAGAGAGTAATTTGTATAGTAATCCTGTGTCATGAGTATCATGAAAGCTACCTGTCCCACTGTTTGTAAAATAAAAAACAAGAGAGAAATATCACCAAGCCAGTTTCGCTTATAAGCATGTATGATTGTATCATTATCATCAAAATCAGAAAAACTATCTGAGCTATTAGTAGTTTTGGATTTTGTATCCATTTTTTTCTCTTCCAATGATAATATATGCTCGGGATCAATATATGTATCTCTATGAACTTCATTGGCTTTTTTCGTTGATAATTGTTGTGGCTAGTTAAAGAATGTTAGTAACGTCATCGAACTGTCACTATATGAAATATATACGACTCCTTAACTCGCCTCCACCCCTTTTTTTTTTTTTTTTTTTTTTTACAACACTATCCTCCTCTTCCTCCTCGTTATTTGTAAAATTTTACTTGTTACCTTTTCAGTAAATTTTTTAAATAAAAACCAAAAAAATAACGATATAAAGCAAGAACCATAAAAGCTATAGAGAGCAATGAAAACTGGTTCTGTAAATGTAAGTTGGCCATAATCAGGAGTAGGGCATTGATGCCACATAGCAGATTTAGGGTTAGGTAACCAATTAGGAATATTTTGAAGATTTGCAGCTTTTGCACATGCTTCAGCACTTTGGTTGGCCTTATTTTCGACCACAAAATTTTCAATATTTGTTCGAAGATTGTTACCACCACAAGAATACACCTTACCGATTAATGCAGGAGCACCGGGACAAGCACATACAGATACAAGAGAGTCATCGCAGATCTCACGACATTGACTATCAACACAGTAAGTTGTACCTTCTGGACAAGTTGGAGGTTTATTATCTGGGGGGCACATGGCAATATCACGTACACAAAGTTCCGGGCATGGATACGAGTAATAAGTTGGCAACTTACAATGATTACCAAAAGCATCATTATCATTCACTGTTAATTGATAATTGATTAAAATAATGATTTTTAATATTTAATTTTTTTTTTTCTTTCTTTTTTTTTTTTTTTTTTTACCTATATGAAATTGTGGGGAGGCAAGTGAAATTGAGATAAAGTGGCCCAATATTAGTGACAATATAATAATCAATGTGCCATTAAGGCTTAATTGAATCATTTTAATGAAATAGTTTTAGTAATTTTATATCTTTATATCTTTATTATAAATTTGTCTAGAAGAAATATGTGAATTGAAGGGAAAAGTGCAAATCGAATTTTGAAATCTGCTAATGAAATTAAAATAATCGTAGATTAAAAAATGAAATAAAATAAAAAGACAAACCGTTATAAAATCGCTCTGCATAATTTAGATAGGTGCACCCCCCTCCTTACTTTTTTTTTTTTCTATTTATCAATAAAACTAGAGTATTCCGTACTACGTGATATGCTTTTCCTTTTCCACTACATCGTTAGGTGTCAAAAATGACTTCTTAGCTTTGTATACAGTTTCACTGAAATAATAGAAATCAAAATTCGGGTAATTTAATCGTACTATGTCTATTTTCTTTTTCTTTTTTTTCTTTTTTTTTCTGTGAACACTTAATGTCGCCACAAGCTTTTCTTTTCCTGTAACAATATATATAGATTCTAGTTTTCCAAATTGATTGAGTTAATCAAGTTTTGATTTTTCGCATAAACTATTTAGCTTTTTTAATGAAATTAATTATTTCGAATTGTATTTGAAAGTATTTTATTTGATAAATGCTATTGACTTACTAATAAATAGAAGACAACATTCATTCTAAATAAGTTAAACTTATAAGCAGTAAATCTACCAGTACAATTCCAGATATAAGTGATAAAGAATGAAATGAGAACTAATATATGTTTATTACATGCAGGTATTATAACGTACAGCATGTTACTTTCTTTAAAGCAATTTTAAAAAAAAAAGCTGTATTTTAAGTCTAAATAAATTTTAATGCTCAATAAGTCTTTGATAGGATCAGAACTTGTCTTTGATAAAGTATAAACAATGACAAATATGATGTCTAATGCTTCTACTTTAATAATAGTATCCATCACACTCTAATAAATAATTAACACTTTGATTTTCTTTTTTCCTTTTTGTGAATCATTGAAAAAGTTTAAAAGAATCAAAAGAGTAAAAAATAGATGTGTATGTATGTAAATAATCACATTTTCTATTAAACATAGTAACAATTGTATTGTTTGTAAAAAAGATTTTTTGAATAAAGTGAGTTATCTTAATGCTAGGATTATTGAATAAAGTATTGGTATAAAATAGAACACTTTGATATTTCGCGTTTAAGAATTGTCATAAAAGAAAAAGAAAAACAAGTAAGTTATTACATAAGATGTGTATTCTAGCTATGGTTTGTATACTTGATGCCATAAACATGCAAGTTTAATTATTCGATGCATACTATAGACCAAGTATATCTTCGGTATGCATATACTTCATCATATATATATATGTAAACTTGCGCTAACAGCTTAGTTTTCTTTTAAGTACTGTTAGCAACTCACTCATAGTCAATACATGTTAAGTTGCTGTAAAGTGTCAAGAAGCCACTTCTTCCTTTCAATTTGATGTCTAATTATTTTATTATGATCAGCTCTTTATTTTATTAGAATTCCTAATAATACAGTTTTCAAGAAAATTCGAGCAATGTTAATCCAAACATTGAAAATCATAACTTAATAAAGGATAACTTATTTTTAACATGGAAACTTTACTTTATTCTTTTATACTATACTATTTGGCTATAAGAAATAAACAGAATGTCTGTTTAGCTCGTTAATAATAATGATGATATTTTATCATCACGATATGGCTAAAATCATTAATTTAAAGAGACTTCTGTTTAAAAATAAAAAGTAGTTACTACAGGTCTGTTTTTTTGGTTTTAGTTATTGCTTTTATGAATTTTGAATAACACTTGCAAAATTGCAATGAGTTTAAATAAGGTTTAGCAGAAAATGAGGATACACAATCACAACAATAAATTATGTGGAGCCCAATATTTTATTTTTTCTTACTTTTTTTAAAAAAAAAAAAAAAATAGGTATGCTCTTTAAGAAGAGATAACAAGCACACACTAGTAACCTTTAAATACGTCATTTGTGGTAGATTGCAATGATATCTATTGTGTGCCATTCGTACTAATTTATGAAAGCCATTTTAATTTAAAAAGGGAAAAAAAATGCGGGGTTAAATTACATACAAATTTCAGTTTATTTATTTATGATTTCAAGCATAAGGAAGCCGAATATCGCATCTTCATTTTGTAAACATTGATATTGCTGAGTCACCATAAAGCTCCTGGAAAAAAAGAGAGAAATAGATATATTTATATAATATAATTATTAGAAAACAACTTTATAAGATTATGAGTGAGTTTCTCAAAGTAGTAAAATTTGAAGAAAAGATATAAGATTTATTTCTATATTATTTATTTATTTGAATTTATACTCGTACAAAATCAATTATATCATTCCTGAGCTATAATCGAAAATTTCCATATAACATTATTTATTCACAAGTCTTCTAGCAAATGCATATTCGCCCCTTTTAAAGTGTACGATTGATTAAATGTATTTAATGGATATATGCACAATTACTATAAAAATGAAAACCTGGTTCAACTTTTTTTGATTGTAGAATTTATTTATTCTTTGAAAGCTAAAGAGCTGTGGTACTGTTTCAGTAGTATAGCTTAGTAACATTATCTCATTTGGAATAAATACATCTTTAAAATTTATTCAAATTGTTAAAAATCTTTAGTTTTATCTTTTAATAGTTAAGACTTGAAAGTATTTTTTTTTTTTTTACTGTCTGCTTTGTTTCATTAATCTACTTTACTGAAAAATAAAACAAGGCTATGAATTAAGAATAGCTTACTTTCTTGGGGGGGAGAAAACAGAAAGTATAGCAGAACATTCACATATCTATTCATAATTTGTTTATATGAATCTAAGTTATAGAAAACAAGATATATTTGGATTACAAAGACAATAAAGACCAAGATGTCAGTGTATACACTTTTATCCAAATGACTACTAGCTAAGAGAGTTAAATTCAGTTAACCAGTAAGTCATCTGTATAGACTGTTGATATATTATCGCAAATGTGTTCAATTTATTTTGTTTTCGTTATTAAGAACGAATGCTCATAGGACAGCATTTTTTTTTTTTTGCAGAGTTCTTCGTTTCGCTGGAGAGCATTTGAGCGACGACTTAATATGGAATGGCTTATATATATATATCACAGTTACTGTAAGTATACGGCTTTTACAGACAATCCAAGTGCTATATGTATATATATTTGACTGCAGTATATATATATATGTATACATATACATGTGTCTTTAATTTATGTTAAAGTAAGCATATTAATAAAGTTCACTAATAACAATTTTAGAAGATGGTTAAATTTTTTATATATCCTATTTCAAGCTTTTTATATATGCACTTTACTTTAAATAATTAGAAATCACAGATATTCGTAAAAAAAAAAAAAAAAAAAAAAAAAAAAAAAAAATTGGATGCCGACATCGACGTCACGTTAAGACACCTTCATACGCGTCAGTTCTTGCACAAAAAAAAGGTAAGAACAAAATTAAGGTCCACTTTCTTCTCTTTTTTTTTTTTCATTATTCAATACATACATATTTATAAATCTATACAAAATGGAATGTCTTTTTGGAATTACAGGCAAAGGATTTACATTACTTGCTGCTGATACAGTTAGTGCTCGTAGTATTGTTGTTATGAAAGGTAGTGAAGATAAATCTCGTGAATTGAACTCGCACACAGTTTTACTCTACAGTGGAGAACCTGGTGATACTGTCAACTTTGCTGAATATATTCAACGCAATATCAAACTTTATGGCATCAAACATGACATTGAACTTAGCCCTAAAGCAGCTGCTACATTTACTCGTCGTGAATTAGCCGATTCTCTTAGAAGCAGAGTAAAAATTATGGAAAAAAAAAATAGATAGATAGAAAGAGAAAAATACTAAAACAGTTATTTATTATTAGCATCCTTATTCTGTTAATTTGATCATTGGTGGTTATGATGCAAAAAAGGACAAATCTGAACTTTATTGGATTGATTATCTTGGGGCCATGGCATCATTACCTTTCTGCGCACAAGGTTATGGTGCATATTTCTGTACATCACTAATGGATAGATACTACAAAGAAGATCTATCCGTTGAGGAAGCAAAGAAATTAATGGCTATGTGTATACAAGAACTTAAGACAAGATTCATTGTTAATTTGCCAAACTTTAAGGTTCAATTAGTTGATAAAGATGGTATTCATGAAGTTGAATTGTAATTTCGAAATATAATATACACAATATACAAAAAAAAAATACTTTTTTAATATAATGGTAAATGTAATGGGGGGAATTAAAAGGAAAAAAAAAAAAAAAGCGAACAACACTATATATGCATGAGTGTACCGAAATAGTATGTATGATAATAGGTATTGTATATCAGTAAATAATAGAGCAATTATTTAAGGGATAATATAACACTATGTTATATTTGCATTATGAGGGTTAATCATAACATTATTTTTGTTTTAAAAAAAAAAGGGCTTTATTCTATTAAGTTTATTATATTTAAAGTGTTGGCGGAATATGTTTTTTAATAAATTCAGCAATATCCCTTATTTCAGTATCGTTTGCTGAATGAGGAAGACCAGGATATGTTTTACGTGTTACATTATAACCTAGAGTTTGAAGTAACTCTGCGGATTCTTTACCATATTGAGGTAAAACAACGGGGTCATTATCGCCGTGGCACATTAGAATGGGTGTGTTTTTATTTGCTTCAGAAGCCAACTAAAAAAAAAAAAAATACATGAATATATCTTTTTCTTTTAAAATATACATGCATATAAACTTACACTAGAAAATTTACTAGACAAACCAAGCCATCCACTACAACCAATAATTGCACCTAATTTATATTCAGAGGTCAACCCAGTTAATAAAGAAAGGACGCATCCTTGAGAGAAACCTCCAACAATGATACGATTGCTTGGGATGCCACTGTTAACTTCATCACGAATAATTTGATTCACTTATATAGATGTATACATATATTCTATTAGTAATATGTTATATATTTTCAAATTATATTGTTATCCTACTTGAAGCTACAGAATCAAGCATTCCTTTTTCATCTTCTTGCTTTAAATGTGATTTATCAAGACCCGTAATGTCAAACCATGCTAGAACAAATGCATTAGTATAAATATATAAAATATAGTATTATAATTATTGAATTACCGGGCATAGGATATCCATTATTTAAAGTAACAGGCTTAATTGGACTAGAAAAATAAAAGAGTTAATATTGATTAGTGCTAAAACAAATTTTCAAGTAGTTTTGTTTCGAGAAAATTACGCATTAGGGAAAATCCATTTAATATAGGGAAAAAGGCTTGAAAGTTCTTCAGCTAAAAATGACCATCCAGCACCTGTATCACCAAGACCATGAAGCCATAGAACAGTAGCGGTTTGCTTTGTTTTGGCGGAAACAATGATTGAAGGAAATACCATTTACTGATTATAAAAAAAAAAGGGGGAGAAGATAAAAATTTTAAGTTACAGACGTTTTTTATTATTTGTTTTTTTTTTTCTATTCTTAGTTTAATACAATGAATGTTTGAATTTACTCAAAAAAAAATTATAATTAATTGGCACTAGTACCATATTTCTTCTTCCAAATATCTTCCATCTTTTCGTCAATTCTAGTAAACAAATATTCAGCACCACCTAATACATGGCCTTCCAAAATATCAATAGAAAACTCATCGGGAATAGTACGAAGAGGAGCATTTAATTGACGGCACATGCTTTCTGCAGTGGCAGGCATATAAGGACTAAGAAGAGCAGATAAGAGATAGATTAAATTAGCAGCAGTAGCAACAACAGCATCACACTTGGTACGAGATTCTTCAAAGAGAGCATTATTCATATTGGCTTCTTGAAGATATTGATTACCACGAGCTGAAATAGTCATGGCGATACCAAGACCTGCTCTAAGTTTAACAGCTTCCATAGTTTCAATATATTGTTTCAAAAGATGGTTAACATCTTTGATTAATTCACTTTCTAATGGACCAGAGAAGTCAGCCTTAGGAATAACACCATCATATTTAGCAAAAATGAAGCGAATAGCACGATTAACAAAGTTACCAAGATTATTTAATAATTCACTATTATTCTTGGTAATAAATTCATTCCATGTAAACATGGAGTCGCTAGTTTCAGGACGAACAGACATAAGGTAGTAACGCCAGACAGAAGGTGGAATACCAGTTTCTTGTGCATTGTTTCCAAAGACACCAACATTACGGGATTTGGAGAATTTACCTCCTTCATAATTAAGATATTCTATTATACCATAAAGGATTAACATGTGTGTTGTATATAAATATATATATATTATTTATACACTTACCACAAGTACTAATATGATTCACAACTGTCCACTTTTCACCAGTACCAACTTCACAACCAGGGAAAATAACAGAGTGGAATGGAACATTATCCTTACCCATAAATTGATATAGTTTAACATTATCAGGGTTCTTCCACCATTTTTCCCATTCATCGGTGTAGTTGGCTGTAATACTAGGATAACCAATAGGAGCATCAAACCAAACATAAAATACTTTATTTTCATAACCTTCAAGTGGAACAGGAGTACCCCATTTCAAATCACGAGTAATACAACGAGGCTTCAAGCCTTCCTTCAACCAAGACTGAGTAATGTTTATACCATTAGCAGACCATTTACCTTCAGTAGAAGATTTCTTGAAAGCCTTTTCAATCTCAGGTTGAAGCTTACCCAAATCAAGGAAAAGATGATTAGATTCTCTAGTAATAGGAGTATTACCATCAAGCTTACAGCGAGGCTTGACAAGTTCTGTAGCGTTCAAAAGTTTACCACAGGCATCACACTGGTCACCACGAGCATCATCATACTTACAATGTGGGCATATACCCTCAACATAACGATCTGCCAAAAATCTTGTATAAAATTGTAAAAATTACTTATCCTCCTATTACCTATTTCTTTCTTTTTTTTTTACCTATTACACTTTTCACAATATAATTGAATCATAGATTCCTTAAGAATATTACCGTTCTTATAATTCTTCAAAAAGATATCCTGTGCAATTTTTGTTTGTTTTTCAGTAGTTGTACGACCGAAAAGATCAAAAGATAAATCGAACCACTTGTATACACTGGTATGAATGGCATTATACTTATCACAAAGTTCTCGACAAGAGACTCCCTCTTCTAAAGCTTTAGTTTCAGTAGCGGTACCATATTCATCTGTACCGCAGAAGAAAGCGGTGTTGTAACCACGAGCACGACAATATCTGGCATAAACATCTGCACTTAAAGTAGAACCAACAATATTACCCAAGTGGGGAACGTTGTTGACATAAGGAAGAGCAGAAGTAATCAAAACATTACGTTCATTGTCTTTAGGAAGAACTCTATTTGCCAAAAAAAAAGCATTAGTTACTATATATTAATATACAAGTATACACTATATCCCTTACTTAATAGAAGGATCAATAATTTTAGCAGCAACTTTGTTAACTTTTTGAGTAGTAGGATTGAAAGTAGGCTTAGGGATTTCCTTAGTTACTTTCTTTTCAGCATGAGCTGTTTTATTTTTAGGCTTAGCGCCTTTGTTTGTCTAGGTATAATATGTTGTCATTATGATGAACTATTATTATTTCATATTGATTGTATGTTACCTGTTCTTTAATATGTTCCACACCAGCAACAAATTTTTCATTCTTGGAAACAGTTGCAAACCAAGCAGATAAAACAGGATATTTGCTAAGGTCTTTAGCAGAAGAAAGTGTTTCGACAAGAGTACCATAATAAATAACATCAACTACAGTAACTTTATCTGATTCCTATAAAAAGTTTATTCAGTAATCCACAATGTGTAAGAATATTTTGTTGTTATTACCTTAGCAAAAGCTTTATCATGCTTATTCATAATATCTTCGACATTTTGGAAAGCTTGATCAATTCTTCTTTTAATAATTAAGGGGCTAACAAGTGTTTCTTCTTTTTCAATAACAGTTGATTGTAAAGCATTGAAAGTAGTAGCGTTAAAAATATATCTATAAACAACAATGAATTGAATTGGTATAAACAAAGTAAAATTTCCGTTCTTTTTTTTTTTTTTACTTTAAAGCGGCATTCGCGTCAGTTAATGTAAAGTTGTTACTAACAAAAGTAACAGCATCGCCAGAAGTTTCTACAAGTTTAGCACCTGTAACTTTAGCAGCTACAGATAACTTCAATGCATTTGCATAAGGCTTAGTATTGGCTGCTAGTTTAGGTAGAGTTATCTTAATCGCTGCGGGCATCTCTAGATAATGAAAGAGGAAGAGTTTAAATTTTACCACTACACAAAATTATAAAACATCAAAAAAAAATAGGAGAAGATAAGCCACAGACATCTAATCAGCTGAAACGTTGATTATTATGGCGTGCTTTCGAAATCTTTATTTGTTTATTAATTATATACTATTATTTAGAAAGAAAGAAAAAGGAATAGAATAGAATAGAATTGTCGTAACGAATTTATCTTTGAAATTTTGCTCTGATTATATTATATTTTTTATTGATTGTTTGTATACAAAGTAATTGTGTATTGTTTTTTTTTTCTTTTTTTTTTTTTTTTTTTCTCTCATTTAATTAGACTTCACTAATTGGGCTAAGGTGTTTTCGATATCTTGTGCTGATGCATTTTGGAGAATGACTTTACGCTCCACACCTTTATCTATTGACGAAAGAGCTTTAGTAATGACGCTCTATCACATGTATCTATACAATATATAATTACCAAAACGAGCAAAGGCACGAGCTTCTACACCACTAGCTTCACGAATTAATATAGGAAGCTCAGGATTAGCTTTTTTAATATCCAAGTAATTCTTTGCAACAAATTCACTAAAATAATTCGTTATTAATATTTCCAACTTGACTCAATTCTTTGATTTACCGAAGGCCACTACTAGAAGGTGAAGTCTGGCAGAAATGAAGACGAAGCTCCTTAAGTCCTTTTAATTGTGTTCTAAGAGCAGACATAATTTGATAAATAAAGAGAGGAGAGAAAATGTCTTTTTATTATAGGCCAAATAAAGAGTGTGGGGCAGCAAAGAGAATAAATAAATACCAAGCCCTGCTGCTGAGTATAAAATAATAGATATTAAGTACCTACTTATTTCACAGACTCTTGAAACGGCTCTATTAAACCATGACGTATTAAAATATAGTTTTGATTAAGGGGTGTTTAAATTTTTGTTAGAATAACCAATAACATTTTTTTAGGCACAAGAAAATATGTGTATACGTTAGCCTGTTAGACAGGTCAGCAATATATTATATTTTAGACAACCTACCTGTACATATTTGAACTCTTGTCAAGAAGAGAACCGTGTTCAGTACGGCGATGCATTTCACAAGAAGATTAGGATACTTCCCTGAAGAAGATGTGTAGTCTTCCATAGTTAGAGAGAACATTTTGAGCAATTTTGTATATGCATATAGATCGATCTATGCCTCTTTGCCATAAGAATACCAGAAAAATTAACTATTATGTCTGTAAAATCAATAGTTTGGTAGGAGCTTCAGGTTTAAAAAAAAAAAAAAAAAAAAAAAAAAAAAAAAAGAAAAAGTCTGGCTTTCTACATTACTCATCTTATGTTTTGAACCAACTAAACAGTTGTTGTAAGGTATTAATATAAGTATACAAAATGATAGACATACTTGTAATATACAAATAAGCATTACCTTGATATGAGATTAGTCTACATTTCTCACAAATATGGCATCTTTTTGACTTGTATTATATAGAAATAAAATTAAAAACATGCTTATAGTTTATTTTAGGGATAATAGTTCATTTCTGCAGTTTATCATATCAAAGAAAATTTTGCATTTTAAAAAAAATTATCAATTTCTGGTAGATATTGCTTTTAAATGCTTTCAGTAATATGAAAAAACAAATAGTTTTTTCTTACATCACATGAATGGTCTATAATGACACAATGCACTATAATATAAAATAATAATTGACAAGGATATATTATACATGCTTCAAAGTTATATAATTGCTCTGGAGTATTAAGGGTAGTTACTGATTTTATTATTTGACAGAACTTTCCTTCACTCTCCTAATGGAATAGGCTATAATTGAGAATCTTTTATATTATTATTTTCCTTTTTTATCGAATAATATAATGATGAACATAAAGCGTTAATATTTAATCCTGACATTTATCATATATTCTTTCTTATTCTAACAGCTTTACACATGTTTTTATGAATACATGCAATTTATGATCTCTAATTTTTTATTATTAATTAAAACTTTACACACAACGATATTCTTGCAAAACAATAATATATTTAAAAATACAAATAAATTTAATTTCTCTTGCGCTTTTTACCAGAAACAGCTGAACCCTTTAAACGAGAATGAAGAACCTTCTTTTTGATATCATCTGGCTTAACTTTATTGCGGTTCTTATTCTTAACATTAGCAGTCTCATAGTAATGAACACCAACCTTCTTCTTCTTTCTATCAACTTGTTCCTCATTATTATTAACTTTAGTTTTCTTTACAGGCTGCTCTTCCAATTCTTCCTCCTCCTCTTCTTCTTCTTCTTCTTCTTCATTGCTCATTTCAAGCTCACTATCGATTTCTTCTTCACCTTCAATAATAGGAGCTTTCACTATAGGACCTTCTTCACCCACAACATTCTCAAAGACTTCATCCCAATCAGTAATTTCATCACTAACTGATTTTGTCTTATTTTTACTAGTAGATTTGGTATTATTTTCTTCTTCAGCAAGACGTGCTGCTTCTTCAGCCTTTTTAGCTTTTGCTTTCGCACGTTCATCAGCAATTAATTGAGCATTATTTGCTAAATCATCTTCCATGTAATCACTAATAACGTTAATCTTAGAGAACACTTGTTCAACACCAAGTTTCTTTTTCTTTTCATCATTTTGTTCTGTTGCAAGAGGTTCAACTGATTCTGGAGGAGGAACATAATAAGGGATACGACCACGAAGCCAATCATTAAGGACCATGATAGAAACATTATGCACATCAGGCTCACCCTTTTTAAGTAATTTACCTGTCTTTCTGGCAATTTGTTCAAGGAAGTCTGTATGATCAGTCCAACTTTGAATTCCATACGTTCTCTTGAGATATTCATGTCGAACACGCTCCAAAATAGTAGGGATGGTATCTTCAGGATTATCCATCTTTTCAACACGAACTGAACCCTTTAAGATAATATCTACTTCACCATCATCTGCGTTAGGTGGGACAACACCAGGACAATCAATAAGATAGATACGTTTCATTAAAGTAATATATTGCCAGACCTTAGTTTCACCAGGGATAGGAGCAACGGAACATACCTTTTTAGCCTTAAGTGTGTTAATGATAGAAGATTTACCAGTATTAGGGTAACCGATAAAACCAACTGAAATTTGTTTTTTATCGCTATGCAAAGAAGAGAATTGACGTAAAAGTTGAATAAGAGAACCTTTACCGAAGGAATTATTAATTGAAGCATGGAAAGCAAGCGTAGGAGCGCTTTTAGAAAGATGTGAAACCCAACGAGCAGTAGACCAAGTAGGAACAAGATCACATTTGTTTAAAACAAATATCAATTGCTTATGAGGTTTTTCCTTTTTAATGAACTTTTCAATATTTTTACAACGGGTGCCGATAGGATCGCGAGCATCAAGAACATGAATAATAACATCAGATGAATCAATAACCTTATATAATTCATTCCAAATACGCTTAGATTGACCAGCCTGAAGATACCAAGCACGTCCAGCCTCAGAATAATCGGATTCTTTATTAGCTAAAAGACTAGAGTCTTTTTCAGCTTTATAAGATTCTATATATTTTCAATTAGTTGTCATAATATTTTTATTAGATGATTTAAAAAAAAAAAGGTACCATGAATATCATCAATTTTAGATATCCATTCTTCCATTGAACCCACTGCCAACTTGGGCTTCTTTCTTTGAGCTTTAGCACCGAAGGTATTGCTAAAACTATCCGTTTCCAAAATATGCATACGGGTATGTTTAGTTGAATCTTGCAAGAGTGACATTGGTAGCTTATTTTGTTTTAATAAAACCTGATAAGGATCATCAACCTTGGCTGCAAGAGATTCACGAAAATCTTCAAGTGCTTTTTGTCCAATTACTCTTGTATTGCCTGATATAACATATTAGATCAGATTGATCATTTGATCTGATGATAAGATCATTTGTATAACTTACCAAACCATTTTCTGTTGGGAGCGATTCTAGCTGTTTTAACTTCTGTACTCTGAAAATCGGCAGCCTTGACGATTTTACCTTGAGAATTTCTAATGGCTTTGCCACCTTTCAACATGTTGATGTATTTGATCTTTTTAGCATCTCTATAAAAGTTTTCGCCCTTGACTCTCATGTTCTTTGCACGATCATCGCCTCCTGACTTGTCACGAGCAATTCTTTGCTTTTCTTTTTTAAATTGTCCCATTTTATTGACAATGTAATTTACAATCAAAAAAATATAATAACAAAAAAAAAAAAAAAAAAGAAAAAAAAGAAAAGGAACTTTCAATAGCAATTGGGCGGGGTTATTTTTTAAGAGAAAAAAAATTGGACTGCTTTTCTTGCCATGATTTACTTATCATAAAATTATAACTCTATTTGGCTCAGGATGCACAAACAAATCAAAACTGCCAAAGCCATTTGAATCTTCGCAATAAGAAAGGAAAAAAAAAGGTTTATTTTGGATTGATAAGGATCCAATATATACTATCATTCGAATAAATATTAAAAAGCCATACAAAAATGTCAGCTTTAATTGATTAAAAGTATAAGATTAACTAAACCGAAAAAATAGAGTTAATATGTATTTCTTCTGAAAACTATTTTTATTTATAAGTATTAGTAGGATATATTATGCAAGTATAATATTTTATTGTCAACATAGTGAATAAGTTTTTGTTTTTTATACAGTTTTCACACTTTGAATTCACACGATGTTAGTTTTTTTTTTTTTTTTTTTTTTGGACGAATTAAAATTACTTTTCAGATGATTTGCTTACCTTTATCGGATAAAATAAAAAAACTTCTGCCTAGATCAACTTTAGAATGGAAACAGCAAGTAATACAGTGGAAGAAGCGGATACAGTAAAACATAAAGTAAAACAGCGTAAATGCGGCTCAACCACCTATATAAGAGTAAACAGCAATGCATGCTCCCTAAAAAAGCAAAAAGAACCAACGCACGGTTCAGACGAGAAAAAAGAGATCTTCGTGATCAAATGCTCCTTGAAAAATATCTGTAGATACGCTGAGCTCATTGATGAAATATCTTTGGTCGCGGCACACGCAACAAAAATGATGTGGGTAGGATCGTTGTTTATCAACTATCTTTTTTTTTTTTTTTTTGAAGCTCTTAACGAAGGGTGAAGAAGTTCCTATTATGAGTCAGAATGATGTCTACTCCATCTTTTTCATCGTCACTGGTAAAGGCAAAAAGTCTCCCAGTTATATTCAACAATACTTTGTTGAGTTTTGCAATGAATGTGAAATTGATGACACAATACTACGATCCTTCAAGAGTATTGGATTTTTTTCTATTTTATCCATTGTATGCAAACAATACGATGTGCTCATACGCAACCACGTATGTGAGAACCACGAAAGGAGAACAATTCGCTTCTTTATGGAATCCTTGCCCGATAAAGATCCTACATTTTTTTTTGCAAGGGCTTATATGTTAACGAAAGAAAAACTCTAGCTAACTATATCTATTCGCTAAAGCTGAAGCTGAAGCTGAAACAGAAATTCGTATGGCCGTCATCTGTCGAAAAAAATCAACATTTTGAAGAGACTTTACAAAAGACGGAGTCGTTATGATCTAGCTATCAAGCATTGAGCTGTAACTCGGAAGACCTGTACTCTCAACCACATCAATTCTTTAAATAGCTTTTTTACCTTCAGCAAAAAATAAGTGAAAAGGTGTACATTATGGAAGAAAAACCAGTCGCCGTTGCCTCCAAGTCCTACATTTATAGGAAGTTAAAAGAACTAACGTTTACTTCAATACTCAATAGACGAAGTTTCGAATATTTGCAGGACTTGTTCCTACAAAGCATTAATTCGAATGCTCCACTCATCCTTGGGCGGAAATTAGCCAAAGTCAAGCCTCATTTACCTGCTCTGGAAACGTTTGTCACAAGTGTCAAGTCAAGAATTGCTGATGGAACATTCATGCCTGAAAAATATACAGATAAACGTGGCTACCGGTTTTTCACTCTATTACCGATCTATTCATTTGAAATAAAGTCGATCCAAATAATAGATGCCACAGCTTTTTGGCGACTAGTGAAGAAATCTAATATTGAAAATTACCCAAAAAATACTAAAACGGAATCGGATCTATCAGATTTCTACTAAAAATTTCCGTAGAAAAACAACCAGCCGACTTTCTTAAAGATATTGAAAACAGCTGTACTGTCTGGGGAGTAGACTCCGGTGTCAATACATTTTCACCGCCGTAGATACATCTGAGAGGCAAAGGACAACCAGCTTAGACGAATATTACCATTTATGTGGTTATAATGATGCAACATTTATACGAAATCAGCATCAGAAGCAAAACATGGCTTAATACTCGAAAATATCAAACCTGAACTCATTGAAGACATTGAATATCAATGATTTTATTAAAGCATGTAAAGAAAAATTCGCGTTATATGACGATATTAAAAAGTACTATAACGAGAATAATTGGTAAGTGTTTAGACACTATAATAGTTTGCTTGTTTACTTACAAAAGAGAAACTTTATAGGAAGTCCAGACTGGAATTCCAATGTTACGTGAAGAAACAAAAAGGTGTGCATGAGATTTGCAAGAGGTTCGTCTATAACAGCAGCAAATATCATCAGAAGTCATCTACTGGTGTAAGGTTAGTTATTAATAATGTAAGCAAATTCTATCCACTTACCCCAACCGACCATAAAGAAAGGCTAGTAAAAACGATCATTGCTTTGGGCGATGGTGTGTTTAATACTAGTTCACGAGGCAACAAGTCGTCACCGGTCAGAACTATTACAAAAACGTTGAAGAGGTATTGTGAGCAGCAGTTAGAAGTAGTAATGGTTGATGAATACCTCTTTACATTTTTAAAGGTATGAATGATTTCTTGTTGGAACTCTTCTAAAGCTAACTTTTTTTTATCTGAATTTCCTTTTTTTTTATCCAAAAAAGGTAAGTAAATCATCTATTTTTTCCTTCTCTTCTTCCTTTCCTTTACCTTTTTACCTCTTGTCCCGTAAGAGGGTTTTTAGATACTTTTTTTCACATAATTTGAACTGACCTGGGCAATCCAATATAACAAAGATATTATGTGCTCATAGGTCGTCTCATAAAAAAAAAATGTTTAATCGTATAACAGATAGACATACCCATCTGCCGCATACTGCATGATTTGATTGGTTAATAATATATTGTATTCAAAGTCAGTTTACGTAATTCCTGATCTACAGCAATGAATTGGTAGAATTTCGTTTCAGACAAATAATAAATATTTTACTTGTAAAAACTTAAGTCTTCTGGATAAATACATTCTTGTTACTGTAAGAACTATGCATGCTACTACTATGTGTAGATTATTGAATGCTTTAGATCTTTTGTCACTATTCGAAATTGATTAAAAGATAGTTTTCTCATTGTTGGCGATATTGATATCACTATACCATAATATACTACATATTTCACATACAAATAGACTTTAGTAATAGATTTTTTTTTGCTGCTCTTTAATATATCAGTATCTTATTAGCTACAGGTTTCTCATATGTTATACTCATTGATTGTTAAAACTAAAAGTTTATCAAGACACTGTCATTTCTACAGGGTATCCTATAAGATGTCGATTAATCTGTACTTATTACTATTTAGTTTGATGAAGTTTTCTCAAAATATGCTTAATTCTAAGATATTGCTAGGTACTTTACAGTCTTTGAATTCCTCCAGCTTTAATTTTCTATTAAATTGATATCAGCATTATACAATATTTACTACTTTTATCCTGTTCATTTGTAGTATTGTTTAATAGAGCTACGTTGAATTTTGTAGGATTTTATACCGATCCCACCATTAGTAGCAATAACATACTCTCTTTTTGGATCTATATATAAAAGGCTTTTATTCCTCTTCTTCTATGTTGATTGAAATCTTCTGAAACTAGACGAAAATTATCTATCTTTTTTTTTTCTTTTATAAAAGATAAATTCTTAAGAACTTATCATCTAAATCTCTGTTTCTCTCTCTCTCTTTCTCTTTTTTTTTTTTTTTTTTTTTTTTTGTATATTTAATATTCAAAGACTAATATAAAAATAAAGTTGGTAGCATTGGTGATTAAATAATATGTAGTAATATTCTTCTTAAGTTCCATATTAATTTATTTCATTTTATTATTTTTATGTAAAAGGAGCTGCAGGATTGGTGGAGGTAAATAAGCTTGATACCAGTTTTAATCGATTAGAGATAGCCCATTTCGAATATTGAAGTCTTTTAGAAAATAATAAAAAGTCTTCTTCTGCCATATTGAGAATAAACATAAAATCAATAAATTCAGATAATCCACAAACTGCGTCACCAAACATTTTTGCTAAATGTATAATACGTGCTCTTTTTTTATTTACAAAGAGCGGATACTCACTAAATGATTTTCCATCTAAGCTATGTCTAGCTATGTTATCATCGACTATATATATCATATTTTTATTTAACTTGGTTATGCAAAGTTTTTCTTTTCTTTTATCTATTTATAACTTACAAAATATTCTTTGACAAAGCTCTATTAGGACAGCATTGATTAATTCTATTGATAAAATTCGATTCTCAAGCTCAGATAGCCTTCGAGCTAAATCTAATAACACCCAATTATACCAAGAAGGATTAAGTATTCTTCTTTCAATATTATGAACCTGACTTAAAAACCATATTTCTATGATACTCCTTTTAAGATTTTTATTACTCATGCCGCATATTATAATTTCCTAATGTAACATAAATTATTAATAGCTTTAGATTTAATATACAGCTTTTTTTTTTTTTTTTTTTGAATATAATACATTTTCTAACGTCGATAATTCAAAAGGTTTAATAGTTCTCTTTTGGATATCAAAAATATTATTGTATAATGAACACATCTCCATGGGAATAGGGAATATACTATCTTTTAATAAATTATTTGAAAGCTTATTGTTTGCTAAACATGTTGTATAAAGAATAACGTTAAAATTACGTTTGTATAAAAATGCATCTCTACCTTCAATGTCCGTTGAGCAGACAGAAAATCTATCCCCTTCAAGTTTACTGAACTCATAAATAATATTATTAAGAGTAGACGTTAATGATGTAGTCTCATCATCATCAATTGTTGATACACCATGAACAACACTACATATCGAGCATTTTTCATTATCATCATCAATTGTTGATACACCATGAACAACACTACATATCGAGCATTTTTCATTATCATCATCAATACTAATAAGGTCATTATCCATAGAAAACTCTATTTCTGAACAATCCATGGTGGCATTAGTTTTGTCAAAGAAATAAAAAATCAGAAACTATAGAATTTATTATACAAAATTAATATAATACTGATAAATTAAATTTATTCATCATAATCTAGAGTACATTTAAATTCACATTGTTACATTCGCATGTTTTGCAGCTATTTATTTTTAAGTATTGAATAAAGCTTTCAACTGTCAAGTAATATTTTCAAACCATATGTTTTTTTTTAACTACTTTAAAAAAAACACTCCATTTTATTACCTATATTCTGATATGTTAATGTTATGAATGATACACACTTTTCGGTAGTTCAAAAGAATTAACGACAAGTGTTCTGCTAGTTTATGATTCTATTTTGATGCTATAATTCCCTACAACATTAATACGACAGTTAAATATGTTATTTCTAGCCTATTGAAATCTGATCTAATAAACCATTCTATTAAATTCATGTTTTTTATTATTCCTTACTGTGATAAAATAGCTATTCTGCTTAATGCTTCTAAACCAAATATGTATTTATTAACTTTATTACATATTTAAAAATAATATTATAAACTACTTAAAGTAGTAGCTATCTATTAAACCTCTTTTATAAAATCATATTTATACTTGGTACATATACTGATACTAATCATTTTGTAAGAATAGATCAAAAGAAGAAAGAAATACTACAGTTAAGAAACAGAATTGCACATCTTTATTCAATACCTATTCATAAAAATACTATAAGAATAACCATAATAACAGATATCGTGTATATTATAGTGTTGATAATTCCTAAGCATTATTTTGATTGAGAAATGATGCAAAAGGAATATTGTCAATTATTAGAAATGATATAGATATATACCTTAAAACCGCTTCATTATTGTACTTTACTTTTATTTTTTTTAAATATTTTACATGCAAGTATCAAGAAATACATCTTCTCCTGTCTTTTTATTTATTTTATATTTCGTTTTTCGACCTTATAATGACATACTTGTAATATAATTTCTAATACTAAAACTCTTCTTTCATTTCTTTAGCTCAAAACTCACTCAAAAGACCCATATAATATTGCTTAGTGCCATATTTTATGTTTAAACTGAGTTAAAAAAAAAAGGAATAAACTTAACAATTCAACTTCAGCATCGTAATGTTATTGGTTGGATCACGTGACTGCATTCAAAAATAAACTATATATTAATTAAAATTATTAAGTCACAAATAAGTCGCTTTGGCGGAGTGGTTAACGCGGTAGCCTGCTAAGCTATTGCTCTTTGAGCGCGCAGGTTCGAATCCTGCAGGCGACGCTTTTTGATTTTTTAATATATTTGATGTTTTTCAATTTTTTGCATAATTTTTATTCTATTTTTTCAAAAAAAAAAAAAAAATCAAGTACATCATATGTATGTATTGTTTTGCCTGGGTCACATCAGACAATGGGGAAGAATGCTAAAAAAAAACTTTTGTTTGTCAGAAGGATAAAAAGACCAAGAAGTGAATATGGGAAGGGGAATGTATCATTAAATACTAGACTAGGAATTACACATCCAGGCTATCAACTTGGTACCAAGAGGATGAGTTTCAGGATGAAGTTTGCCATGATGGAGGGAATCTAGTTCAAACAGAAGGTTACAAATGGAGAGCCATCGGAGTGTCCAGGCAAAGAGTGTTGGTTGATTAGTCTGAACCAACCGGGATTTATGTTTCTCACGTAGATTCGGCAACTTGTTTAAGAGGAAAACAACAGATCAGGGGCATTTCCAAACGTTGGTGCATATAAAACATTAAATAGCATGAGAATGAGTGAACATTTCATAAGGGTAGTATATGCATGGTTTCGGAATGCCGATCGGTAGCCAACCAAGACTGTTTCAAGTGCAAAAAGAAATAAGAAAAAGACAAGCCTGTGAAAACTCTCTATAGTTTGATTGAAGAAAGATAATACAAAAATTGCACAAAGAAAAAAAATGATATGAAAGAATTTCAGGGGCTATTTATATGTTTCTGCAAGGTAAGTGATATTAATCAAAGTAAGTAAGCATTGGTATTATAAAGCATTATGCATAAATATTGTCTCTGAATAATTATACATTCAATAGGATATATTTTTATTCTTTTTCCTCATTGAGCTGTCGCTATTACTAGAAAATATGATAAATTATTATTTTTAGAATAAATGATGTGTCAATATTAATTCATAGTAAAGATTCCAGCTATAACAATACTTATTATTTATATGTCACTATTATTATCATCATATGAGATATTATTACATAACAATATTTAACATTATAGATACATATATAATATGTATGGCTTATAGATAATCATGTAATTGTATATAACAGTCATAATACTATTGAAGATGTATTTCTGTTAACTTGGCTATAAAGATAACTACAACCATAACAGTAGTAACATTAGAAGCAACAGGGAATTATATAAAAAGTTCCCCTCTGTATGCCTATGTTGATATTGTCGTCATTTCCGGCAGCGATGATGTCCTATATCGTAGGTGTCTTGGTTTGATCGAAAATGGAGGACGATTGCGTCGGCTTACGGTCTGCAGTGAGAGAGTTAAATGTAAATTTGGAGATCCATTGTTTATTGAGGAAGAATCTGGCAATAGCAAAATTTAACTGGTGGTCGAATTTGTTAAAGTGCACGTTCAATACGAGTTTTTTGAACTTGAGAGGCAATAGTGTCACGTTCATCAGCAATAAGAAAGAAGTATTTAATAACTGCAAGGATTTTATTACTAGAAGGATTAAAATCTGCTTTAATTGAGATGTTATGATGGCAGAGGAAGTCAGTCAGTTTTACTTCATAATCATTATGAATTAGAATAGCCACAGTGTTGCGAGCAGGACAATGAATGTCAAGAAGATGGGCATTATTAACTCTAAGTTTTTGAAACGTGATACGTAAAGTGCCAACTGAAATACAGGCTTTTATGAGAATGTATAAGTATTTAAAACCTTGGTTTGTTGAGGGAGGCAGGAAGAAACGAGCAGCTGCGGCTACTTGTTAGAGAAGACGCTACTCACGCTTTTGTATCGAAGGTTGTTTGAGTGCTTGAATTATAGTAGTATTGTTTCATAGTGTATTTATAAATTCGGTAGTACGATTATGGATTTCCTGAAGAGTGAGGAAATCCGATGATGATGTAAGGAAGATTGACGGAGGAGATATACTTTTGAGATGAACTTGCGAGTTTTGAATTTTAGGTCATGCACACAAAAGTTCAGAAGTGAAGTGTTCAACAGTTTGAAATAACTGCTGGGTCTTATGTAATATATAAACAACTATAAATATAATAATTACTAATATAAAAAATAAAAGCATTATCCAATATTTTTATATATCATCTTATTAATACTAAGTAATACTCTAATATCAAACTTTTAACGCAACAGTAATTGTAGTACTTCCTAATAATATTAATATATTGAATGTATCAAAGGTCTAATGATAAAATGGCAATATTATTAAAGTGATTATATATAACCATGAAGAAATTAATAAGAGATTGAAGTGTACTGGTTTTTATTTTTTATTTTTATGGAAGAAAGAACGATCTAATCTAATAATTATACAATAAAACAATATATAGATGACCGACTGTTGTACCTATTTAATTTTCATAAAACATTTCTTACAGAGGAGGAACAGAATACTAAATAAAAACACCTTCTTCTCTTCCTCAACAATAAATCACTACTACGTTTACATATATAGTGGTGTAAATGTAATAAGCTATCATAAATAATCCTGGAAATATCATTTAATAATAGCTTATGTATCTGATCACAAAAATACTAATATTTCAAAATATATATTCTTATTTTCTAGCGAATCTAAAATAAAATAAAATAAATAAACATGTTAACAGCAAGAATTAAAGATGCCTGAAAGATATATCATATAATGATTCTCAATATACATATTCAGCATCTGACTTTAAGGATAGCTTTAGATATGAAACTCATTTATTTATGACATGTAATCATTGTATTTGTCGTATAAACTTTTTTCTATAAAAACCAAAATAAAAACAATTTTAGGTATCATATTATCTCAAAATATTTTTAACATAAAGGTAAATAACATCTATAATATTCCTCTAAGGAAAAAGGAAAATAAGTGAGATTACAACAAAAATAAATAACGATACAAGCAGTATTTTGATTTCATTGTAAGCAAATTGGAATATCTAAAACAAAGTATATACATAAAAAAATAATTATATTGTAATAGATGATACTTTAATTCATATAATAAAAAAGCACCGCAGAAGTTACAGTAAACTATAGCAATGTGTAATATTTAGTTTCATCTTATTCGTCTGGACTTTAGCCTCTTTAGATAATATTAGTTTATTGTTCGGAAACAAATCAAAGGTTAAAGAACTAAAAGCTTTTAGAAGAATGAAATATTAACTACTACTAAAATTCCTTAAAGTTCAGTAACAAAGATTTTATCACATCTATTCTATTATATATATAAAGCTAGACTCAACTTTTTTTTTTATGTTGCACCATGATTTAATTACCTTTCCTTGTGGCTATAAAATTTACTAATTATAAAATTTTTAAGCTATAATATTCGTCATTTCAAGTTCTAAAATAATGCGATATTTCTAGATTTTATGCTTTTATTATTATTATTTTTTTTCTTTAGAAAAAAAGTATTGATAATATTCCAAAGAGGTAAACAAGCCACACCAGATGATCCTTTTTTATTTTGCTTTATCGTCTTTCGGTTATTTTTTTGTTCTCTTTTATCCTATTTTTTTTTAAACAAACAAAATTTAAAGTCTATTTCTTTTTCTTTTCCTTTCCTTTCCTTTCCTTTTTTTTTTAATTATTTTATTTTAGCTTTGTCAATAATATAAGATGAATAAGGATACTGAATATACTCCTTCTCAAAACAATGAACAAAGCAATTATCCTTCATTAGAATTATCAAGCCCGGTACCTGAGCCACATCACATCACTTTTGCTGCAAAATCACCCTCTATTATACCTACTCCTATGTATGATGATACTTCCTCCTTTTATATGTCACCACAAACATCAAAACTTCCTTCTTCTTCTCTTACTAGTCAAAGCCAAGATCAGCCACCTATGGTGTTAATGGAGACTAAGACAAATACTTATGAAGATAAGCTGCAAACTGAAGAGGACAAAAATATATATGGACCAACATTCCGTGAAGAAGAAGCGCAAAGGTACAATAGCCCTCCATCTACTTCATTGCTTACTCAGGGCTTTACACCATCTGCAAATATAAATGATGAGGAAATACAGTTATATGAAACAAGTAGTAGAGTACCATTAAATCATAACATACCACCTCCAGAGCAAAACCGTGTTGACATATTTATGAACAAGTTAAAAGGGAGATATCAAAAACCAGCAGATTCTAACGATTTTGAAAACCAACAGATACAAGGCGAAGAAATGAATAGAAATAGAGAACTAAACCAATATAGAACACCAAAGCAAAGGGGATTGTTATTTAGACAGTTATTTGGGAATGCCCAATACCCTATCTTTACTTGGGCGTCTGCAGCAATTATGGTAGGTGTATTCATCTACGAGATCATCAGAAATCATCAGTTATCTGGTAGTTGGATTCAAACGAATCCTTTTAATCCAATGATTGGGCCAAATTATATGGTATGTATTAATGCTAACAATAAAAAGCTTTGCTAATAAATTGATATGTAGGCCCTTGTAACTATGGGAAGTAAATTCGTGCCTTGTATGAGAGCAATAACACAATACTCCCCAACAACTTTACTAGGAAACTGTTATTCATCTTTAGAAGCTACTTGCACAATAGAACAAGTATGTGGATTTGGTGAATTTCATGGAGAAGAACCTCATCAAAGCTTTAGGTTTTTTACACCAATATTTCTACATGCAGGCGTTATCCATATTTTGATGAATTTAATCACTCACTTTCAAATAGGTAGTGATGCTGAAAGGGATTTGGGTTTAATAAGATATATGATTTTATATCTTTCATCAGGTATATGGGGATTCATCCTGAGTGGTGTATTGGCTGGCACAACTATTTGTAAGTGTATATTTATAAATATATGTATATAGTCTTATGATATAGATAATTATGAAGCTAATAATTATTTCAAATAATTAGCATCAATGGGATGTTCAGGTGCTTTATTTGGGCTCGTAGGATATACTGTAGTTGACTTGATTATGAGTTGGAAGCAAGTTACAAAACCTGGACGTGAACTTGTAAAGTTATTGCTCGTTATAATAATATCATTAGTATTAGGACTATTACCAGGCCTTGACAATTTTGCTCATATCGGTGGGCTTATAATGGGTCTATTAGTCTCTACCTTACTTAAGAGCAAACATCAATATGCTTCTCGTTATTCTATGATTATTACATGGATTGTCAGAATCGTATCTTTCATATTAATTATTGTATTATTCGTCGTATTTTTACGTATATTTTACACTGCTACTGATTTATCTACTGTTTGTCCTGGTTGTAAATATCTTTCATGTCTTCCCGTTAATGGTTGGTGTGATATATAAAATTATTATTTATTCTTTTTGTTTTGGTATACATATAAAAAAGATACTTTAATTTGTTTCCAATTTCTTTAAATGATTATATTTTGGTAAAACTTCTCGTAAATAGTCTAAATGTCTTGTGTGAAGTATTGCTTGTTCCTACACGTTATAATATATTAACTATAAATTTTATATCATCAAACTATTTCACATTACCGGTAATGGCTGACTTTGTGTTCTTCTTTTTGATTCAGCCCCATATATAACAGTTAAATCAGGTATTGTTTCATTACTTTCCGTTGAGCAACCTGCACCAAAGACACAATAGTTTCCAACTGCTGTACTACCTAAAATACGAGATCTTGCTTCCATAATATTATTGTTACCGATACGTGTACCTTCTACATCTAAAAAAAAAAAAAAAAAGATTAGTTATAAGATTAAATTTCATTAATGAGTCTTTACAGCATCCAACTTCAAATTCATTTTCATCACCAATGACAAGTGGCGTGGATTGTCTAAGTTCATTAAAATTATTTAATCAACATTCAAGTTGTAATTATAGTCTAATTTTACTTATTAAAAATAATAACGTTCTCTTCTATAATATTATTTTTTCCAATATAAATTGGACCATTTTCAGCAATAATGCGGCACTGGGGATGAAGAACAGTGCCTATAAAATAATATTTAATTATTAACATTTTATATTTCATCCTTTGTAATTATGCTTCTACCTGAACCTATACATATAAAAAAAAAATATTAGAAAATACTTCAAAGATACAACGAAAACTTACCAATAGAAATCTCGCCTCTAAGTTCTGTTTCTTGACAAATAATTGACTTAGGTCCTACTGTTATACGATTCCTTTTTTATTTTATATATATTTAATATATTAGCTTCTTATTTAACATGTTGAAATACCTTGACATATTTAATTTGTGAAATGAAAATCTAAAGCTAATTTTTTTTCCCTCTACTCCTCTCCTCTCATTTAACGAACAATTTTAAACTCAGCAATAGTATTTTGTTAGGCTTTAAAGTAATAAGGGGGGTCATTATTTTTTTTTCGCAGTAGTGTAATAGCCCAGTTATTTATTGTACACATAAATGATGCTTAGATCAATACCAAGAAGTCTACATAATGCACCTAAAATACACAGATTAGCACATAAAAGGTTTTTTAAAACTTTTGGAGTTAATTATCAACCCCGTAATTTTACCGCATCACCAACAGTAAATACGACTAGTTCAAAATCAATAGTACAAAAGCTACCATCAACACCTACATTTGGATGGAAAAATGATCCCACTTCACTTCAGGTACGCTATGCTGGACCTATCACTTTCGGCTTCTTACTTTCAGCAGGCACCTTTCTTACAGCAGGTGTCATTTTTGATCATAATCAGCAAACACTTTGGAATCGACTTAGACATCGTGCTCGCCAGTGGCCATTCTTTGGATCAGTTACAGAAGAATCTGCTTTAGCAGAAATTTGGCGACAAAAGCGAGAACTCCTTACTGAAAGACGCTACCAGTTATTAGAAAGACTTGCAAACCGACTCGATCGATACAGTTTTTTACCCCAAGATATAAAGCGTGCCATTTGGATGGTAGGGAAAAAATTGGCTTCATTATCAGAAGCAGAAAAAACAATAGCCGGTCTTATAGCTATAAATACAGTAGTATTTGGATGTTGGCAAATACCTCGGTTGATACCATTTATGAGCAAATGGTTTTTGCATTTGCCTGGTAGTCGACATAATATTACATTATTAACAAGCTGCTTTTCACATCAACAATTTCTTCATTTTGCTTTGAATATGGTGGGTTTATGGTCGTTTGGTAGAGTTGTGCATGATTCATTTGGAAGGGAGCAGTTTATTGCCATGTACTTAGGAATGGGTATAGGAGCTAATATATTTAGCCACTGCCTTAGCTTAGTTATGCGTAATTCAAGACCATTGTTACCAAGCTTAGGTGCAAGTGGGGCTATTTACGGATTAGTAGCCGCAACTGCTGTTATGCACCCTAATTCGAGCATCAGTCTTGTCTTTTTACCCATGATCCCGATTAAATTAGGGTAAAAATTTTTATATAATGCTAAAAATGATTATTTTTATTTAATTAAATATGTATATATACAATTAGATTTGCTCTTCCTGCTTTGATGGCTTTCGATGCTGCTGGTATTTTATTTAAATGGAGAATATTTGATCATATTGTAAGAACAGCTTAACATGTTATAGCTATTTATATTAATACTATTTATAATAATTTAGGCGCATTTGGCTGGGGCAGGGTTAGGATTAAGTTACATGCAATGTGGTGAACGTTATATCTGGGAACCCTTAATTCGCAAAATACATGAAATTCGTACAAATAATAACAAAGGAGGAAAAGGAGGGGGAAATAATGGAACATTTATGTGGCTGGAACCTAGACAGCCAGAAAAAATTCAGCATAATAAGTGGTTAGGATGGTTTAACAAATAGTAAAAAAAAGGAAATAATCTTTATAACCCATCTGCATTTGCAACTATTTTTTCATTTTTTTTTTTTAATTAATGATGTTCATATATATAAAAAACAAAAAAGCTATAGATTGCGAAATAGTACCAGTGCTTCCTAGAAAGTGTATTATACAAGATAATACCAGAAGCCACAGTGTGGAAAGCAAACTTAAATATTCTCTTTGGTGGCCGTGTTGTGTAACATGTAATTAGGCCGACAGAGTCAGTTCCGCACATATCCACAAGCTTAAAAACCCCATTAAGGAAATTGTTTATATTGCATGTGATCATTTCAAAAATCATAAAAATATTATTATAGTACCGAATTGTGGGATATAAAAAAAACTAATAATTGTCTATGAAGTAAATCAGTACTTTTCAAAGAATATAGCTATATGTATTATATATATATCTATATATATATCTATATATATTTTTTAAATATGAAACGATATTATCTCTACTTTTGTTTTTCTTGTACTTTCTAAACTAACAATTAGTACACATTTGAATAAGAATAGACTGTTTTTTTTAATACATTATTCTTTCACTATTTGAAACCCAGCAGCCCCTTTTTTTGTTAATTTCGTTATGTTCATTTTTTTGCTTTATTTTTTATATCATAAACCAAGCAGATGGCAACATTAAACAATCCTTTTTGTGACCTTAGCCCTGAAATTAAAGGTCTATTAACTATTGAGAACTTCCGAGTAAATAAGATGGCATTAAATGTATTGAATGATGAACGAACTAAACGCATTTGTTTTCCAGGAAAATGTCTCTACAACTGATTTTATAGAGAAGATTTCGGCTGAAGTTTTAGAACAAATAAATTTCAAAAACGAAAATAGTAAAGCTATCCTAAATGGATAAACAAACAAAGAAAAAAAAAGTTATAATAACTAGGAATTGTATATAGCAAATGTACTAGATCCAAAGCCTTTTATACGTACTTTTGAAGTTGTATTAGAAGAGCTTCAACAACTAAAATTACGTGTACAACAGCAATGCGTAGAACTGGAATCTAGTACGCAAACTGCAGAGCTTGAGTACAAACAAAATATTAGTAATTTACATGGCGCATTCGAAGTAAGTCATGAAAACATTTCCTTTCTTTCTTAGTTATTCTTACACACAAAAAAAAGGATGTATATCGCTCTTATGATAACTTAGAGAGTAGAATTGGTGATGTTGGTAAAACGGCTATACGTATTGGTGAACAATTGGAATCAATGGATAAAGAAAGATCTAAAGCAGCTGAAAGTCGAGATATAATTGAGTATTTTATGGAATTTCAGGATGGAAATACTGAAAGATTAGACACTTTACGTCAGAGTGGGGAAGAGGGGCAACTAAAGGTAGAATTCAAAACATTTAAACATATTTATATTAAATATATACATGCATAGACAGCTATTATTGGTAGAAGGTTGAATGCTGTAGCTAAAGAGGTCAATAATGACACAGAAACTAGAGTAGCAATTGAGAAGTTTTGTGAAAGTTTTGAAAAGGAAATGTTAGAAGAATTTGGTAAAGCTTACGAAGAAGGTGATCCACGTATTATGGCAGTAAGCGTTTTTAAATTCTTTCATTTTTTTTTCAAGTATCTAACAAACTTATTTTGACAAGCATTGTGCAAAGGTTTTGTTTGAATTTAATGGTGGTACTTCCTGTGTACAGACATACGTTAACCAACATGAATTCTTTATGTCCAATATTAAAATAGAAGAAATCGATTATGTAAGAAATTCAGAAGAGTAAGTAGTTATCAATTATTAAACAATATTGTATTTATAATTATTGCAATCTCTAGTAATGAAGATCTATCAAATCCTAATGTACTACCACCTGAAGTTGATACAAGTCTTGTAAAATTATATGATGATATTCGTATTACTGTACGTCGTGAAGCTGGTATCATTTCCAATGTATTTCCTCAGCCTGCAACAGTAATGCAAGTCTTATTGCAAAGAATTTTTGCTCAATCAGTAAGAAAAAAAAAAACTATAACTATATCACATTGATTAATAAGCAACCTTGTTTTTTTTTCCTTTTAAATAAATAAATTAGATACAAGATCATATCGAATTACTATTATCCAGGTCAAAGGGATATTCACATTTAGCGTATCTTCGTACATTAGCTTCAACTCATTCAGAAACTAAAAGATTAATAGAAAATCTGAAATTTTACTGTGATAAAGAGGTTTCATTAAAGGATGCTGCGGATATAAATGGATTCGTTACATCAGCTTCACCAGAAGAAACTTTAGATAGATGTATGGATGATCTTTTTGTGCCTTATACAGAGGGTGATCGATATTTAAGAAAGGAAATTGAATCCCTTAAAGAACTGTTTGGTAAAATAGTTTCAGAATTCTTAAGTGCTATGGTAAATGTATATGTATATATTTATATTTAAAACAAATATGTCTGATTTTTTATTATTATTATAATTTAGCAACGACGAAAAATGACATCTACTCGTAATCAGTCTGTATTAACGCGTACATTAAATCAAATCTCGGCTTCAACCTCTAGTGGAATTTTATCATCACCTGACTTGAATTATTCACCTACTACTGGATCTAATCCTTTTGAAAAAGCATCTAGTGAAAAGAGCCCCAATATAGTTATTGTAAATGAAAGTGATTTCGTATTACTTTCACAAGATGCAATTATGCATATTCTTAATATTCATGCGGAAGCTATTATTCGATGTGTAGAGCTTGAAGATTCACAAGAATTGTAAGAATTTTTAATGGTTTATCTCTTCACCTTGTTTGATTCATATACAATATTTTATAGGGGATCATCTCTTAAGCAAATCTATAACGTTTTAATAGACTTTATAGGCCATAAATATGAGAATATTGTGTTAGATGAGTGAGTAATAATACGATATTCAATGAATAAGTAAGTCTAATCCATTTTTTAATAGAATCTTAGATGACTTGAGTACATTTAAAGAACCAGAATTAGCATGCTTCTCTGTTATCAAATCATCTATCAATATTATTCAACTTATGCAAAAACATTTTGAAGCTGCTATGGTAAATATATTCTATCAATCATGTTTACTATGATTAACTTTCTATTTTCCTCTCTCTCTCTCTCTTTAAATAGTTACCACTCATAATAAATAACCCATCCGTACACAGAGATATACTGTCTTCCAAAAACAACTTTATGTCAAGCTTAGAGAAGAAGATTAATATTGTACTTCAAAAAAGTATTGACTGTATAACATATTGGTTAAGCGAATTATTAAATCGTCAAAAGAAAAATGATTTCAAACCAAGGGATGAGGAAATCGCTATGATGAGTATGGGCACTCAGCCATGTATGCAATCAGTAGACTTTATTATGCGAGTTTATCGTTCTGTATCAAGTTCACTTCAAGGAAAGAATCTAGAGGCCTTTTTGAGACGAGTAGGAAATGCATTTCATTCGTAAGTTTTTTTTTTTTTTTTTTTTTTTTTTTTTTTTTTTTTTTTTTTTTCACCCTTATCTTGTTTTCCTTATATATTTTACACAGCATGCTGTTGGAGCATTTCAAAAAGTTTTATGTTACGCCGACAGGAGGTTTATTAGTTACAAAGTAAGTGTACACTTATATTTATATTAATACCATTATTAAGCATTTTTGTTTGTTTATATTTTGTCAGAGATATTGCAAAATATCAAGAAGTTATCAAAATGTTTAAATTATCTGGACTTGATGAAAGATTTGAAATGCTTAGACAACTGGGTAACATATTTGTAGTTAAGCCTGAAATTTTAAAATCAATCCTATCGGAAGGATATTTAGCAAGACTGGACCCAGCCATGCTTTACTCATATCTTGAAAAAAGAATTGATTTTAAGGTCGCAAAATTAGATAGATTACTGGGTATTTCAATAGATGAAAATAATAATAGGCCAATGAATAGTAATGATGACTCTACTTATAACAAAATGAAAAGTCAACGAAGATCATTATTCGTTAATGATAATGAAGTTTTGAAGGATATCATGAAAAATTATACAAATAATCGCGATTTTTTGTCTGCTTTTAATATGTCTTGAAAGTAATTATTTATACCATTTATTAAAGGCTATTATGTAACGTTCAAAATTTGTGAGTAATATGTATTTATGAAAAGCAGCAATTTACAATAAAACAAAGAAAAAAAAAAGGTGTGATATTACAAGTGATAAATATTGATCTCTTTCTTTTTGTTTATCTATTATATGAGTAACCATTTGTTTTTTCTTTAGAATCTTTAACTGCATATCAATCCTGTGTTTATTAATCAGTTTAATAAGCAACTTTCTTACCTTCTGAAAGTATACAAAATACGTCTTTTTTTTTTTTTTTTTTTTTTTTTTTTTTTTTTTTTTTTTTCCTTATATTTATTGATAATGTAATATGGGACTTCATTCTGCATGGTGTTTTCAAATTGTATATTATATTCATATTACATTATTACTTGTTATTATACTTATATTATTTGCTTAGTCTTGGTTGAATATGCAGATTATCCTTCTACAATCAAACCCTTCTCGTTTATGTTTTACTTTTCTGGCCGTGGAGTGATGTAAGATGTGATAATATGACATATTTACTTGTTTTTCTTTTTTATCTGATTTATATTATATATGTAGTTTATATCATGTAAGCGTCATTTACATTACATAATATTATATAGTTCACTACAACATAGTTTATTATATAGACTTAGGCTTACTATAATGGCGTGTAGATCTTCTTTTTATAATAGGTAACTTTACTGTAAGTATATATGTATTACTCTTTATTTTTTATTCAAGAAAAAAAAAAGCTCGACTATATACCAAGAATGGTTACAATTGGAATAATTTATATTGTACTTTATTCGACTAAATCAAACGAAGAGCTTAAATTCATGTCTTTTATGAAATATCAAAGACTCATTCATAGTATTTCTCATGAATTACCTACTACTATTACAACATCTCCTCGATATGCTCAGCAAAATGATGCTACGCAAGCATCTTCTGATAATCATAATGATAAGACTGAAGTTTAATGACTAATAATAAACTTGTATATGATATAATCACTTTACTACAGTATACTATTATTATTATTTTTTTTTTTTGTTAAATGGTAGTATTTATTTCAAATTCAAAATGATCTGCGGACATTTATTTTAATTTTTTATTATTTTCTCTCTATCTTTTTTTTTTTTTTTTTTTTTTTTACATTTAATAGATCTTGATTTATTGTATTTCATAATGCAGCCAGAATCATTTGGCTTTCCTTTTGAGCCTTATGATATTCAAAGAGACTTTATGAAAGAGCTCTATAAGGTTTTCTCAGAAGGGAAACTAGGTATTTTTGAAAGCCCTACTGGAACAGTAAAGTACAATTGAATTATTTTTTTATTTTATTCTGAATTATTACTAATAATATATACATATACATATATAAAAGGGTAAATCTCTTAGCTTAATATGTGGATCATTAAAATGGTTAAAAGACAATGACGAAAAAGAAGCAGAAGAAGATATTTCAACGTTTAAACCGAAAGGTAATCAATTTGATCATTTATATTCCATTCAAAAGATCTAACATCATTTACTTTTATTTTTTTTATTTTTTTTATTTTTTTTTTAAAAAAAAAGCTAATCAACCTGATTGGATCACTGCATTGTCAAGTCAATCAGCTAGTAAAAAAAAGAAAATGGAATTAGAACGAAAAAAGCTTGAATTAAAAAAACGCATAGATCGTGTACGAGAAATTGAAGAAAAACAAATGATGTTTGAGCTGGCTACAAAAGATAGGAATAAAAAAAGAATAAAAGGAAACGCAGACAGTAAAGAAGTTAACGATGATGAGTTTTTACTTGACGATTATGAAAGCGAAGAAGAGGGAGCGATTGTAGACAAAAGCTATAATAAGATAAAAAAAAGTATAAATCCAAATTCCAACTTATCAAAGGAAGTACAAGAATTATTAGCAAAGTAAGTGTGCTTTGTTTTATCTTTATTTATTTAATCATTTATTATAGATTAGAGTCAAAGAGCAAGTCTGTGTCATATGACGATGCTGAGGACAGTGAAGACGAAGAATCTGAGTTGGAACAGGAAACAAAAATTTATTATGCATCCAGAACTCATTCTCAACTGTCACAATTTGTACACGAAATTAATAAAACAGTCTATGCTAAAGATATCTATGAAGTCTCGCTTGCATCAAGAAAACAGTTATGTATAAATGAAGATGTTATAAAACTAAAAGATGTTAATAAGATAAATGAAGTCTGTCTTGAATTACAAAAGAAAGGTGAAAAGAGAGAGAGAGAAAGGAAAAGGAATTATTATTCAAAATAAACTTACTTATTATTATAGGATCTAAAAAGGGACCTTGTAAATATTTACCAGCTTGGGATAACAAGGCAAAATGGAACGAGTTTCGAGATCATTCTTTAGTAAATTATTTGATATAATTTTAAATGAAACGATTTATTTTCTTTTTAACAGAACATATGTACATAGGCTAAAGTAAGAGACATAGAAGATTTAGTAAATATAGGCAAAAATCTTAAAACTTGTCCGTATTATGGATCAAGATATACTGTCAAATCTGCTAGAGTAAGTGGTTTAAAATAAAATAAAATAAAAGAAATATAAACTCTTATACTTTCTAATATTCTAGCTTATTGTTTTGCCCTATCAACATCTTTTACACACTAGTACAAGAGAATCATTAAATATATCATTAAAGAACAATATTGTTATTATTGATGAAGCGCACAACTTAATGGAAACCATCACTTCGTTATATACTGTATCTCTATCTTTGTACCAAATCCAGCTGGCCTGGAATCAGCTTAATTTATATATTCAAAAATACAAATCCAGGCTAGCTGGTAAAAATGTAGTTTACATAAAACAGATCCTACATATTATAAAGATTTTAATTCAACACCTAAATCCAAAAGATGAATCTAAACGAAAAGATAGTGTAATGGGAGTCAATGAGTTTCTTCATACTTCCTCAATTGATCATATCAATATGTTTAAGATCAAGCATTATTTGGAAGTAAGCAGTCTTTCACGAAAGTTAAATGGTTTTATTGATAAAGCAAGAGAAAAGGAAGAAGAAGAAAGACAAAAGGAACGTTTAAAGAACCCTAAAGCACCTTTACTTCCTCCTTCATCATCACTCATCTCATCTACTTCAACACTTACTCAAATTGAATCTTTTTTTATGGCATTAACAAACCCTGATAAGAATGGTCGAATAATTACAAGTTTTGGTAACGCAGAAAATCCTGGCGTCTCGATCAAATATATGTTATTGAATCCAGCGGACGCATTCAAACCAATTGTAGAAGAAGCCAAAAGTATTGTTTTGGCAGGTGGCACGATGGAACCTGTTAGTATATAAGTGTGTGTGTGTGTGTGTGTGTGTATGCATGTTAAAGAAAGAAAAAATTAAACATTTTGTTTGAATAGATTTCGGATTTTCTAAATCATCTTTTCCCGTCAGTTCCAAAAGATAGAATTGTACATTTCTCTTGTGGCCACATCATACCACCTTCGAATTTATCTACTATGACTTTAGAACAAGGTCCTGGAGGAAGAGAACTACTATTTAACTTTGACTCTCGACAAGACGTTAAATTAGTATGTAAATATTTAGCAAATGAAAGTAGTTTAATTAAACATATCCTTAAAATAGATGGATGAAGTAGGACAGGCTATTGCAAATCTATGTAATGTTATTCCTGATGGTGTAGTCTGCTTTTTCCCAAGTTTTACTTATTTAGAACAAGTGTACAATCGATGGGCAACAAAGGAAAGTGGTAATATATTAGAGCGAATAGAAAGAAGAAAAAAGATTTTCAAGGAACCTAAAGAAAGTAATAGAGTGGAATCAACATTGCGTGATTATGCTTTACAAATCGATTCAACTGATAATAGTATGGGTGCGCTGTTATTATGTGTTGTTAATGGTAAAATGTCAGAAGGTATTAACTTTTCTGACAGACTGGGAAGGTATATAATTGATAAAAGTATAGCATATTGTATAGAACTAAAAAGGAGCCCTATACATATATTAGAGGTGTTATCATGATAGGTTTACCCTTTGCAAACAGAGGATCCATAGAATTGATTGAAAAGATAAAATATGCTCAAGAGCATTCAGTATGTCTATTTCTTTTCTTTTCTTTTTTTTAATTTTATTAATTTATAACATCTATTGTATAGTCTAATGTTATGCCAAATGCTGGAAAAGAATATTATGAAAATTTATGTATGCGTGGCGTGAATCAATCTATAGGTCGAGCAATTCGTCATAGAAATGACTATTCTGTCATTATTTTGTTAGATAAAAGATACGCTACACATCGTATCCTTAAGAAGCTACCAAAGTGGATCGGTCAAGATGTTGAGCGTGTCGAAAAATTTGGCTTAATTATGAGCAAAACTTCAAAGTTTTTTAGAGAGAAACAAAACAAAACAAAATGATTATCATAAACTACAAGCATTATATAAATATGTATATCATTAAAATAAAAAAACTTCTATTTACTAATACAAGAAAATTAGTCTAGTACACTATGATGTAAACGTAAAAGACATTCAATAATAAACTTGTTACAAGTTGCGCATCCACATGCGTACATGAGGAGTGCCAGAATCATCAAAGATATCATCATCACCTTCCTCCACTCTAAATCCTATCTTTTCATAAAATCCACGTCTACCAATCTGTGAATTTAAAACAATTGTATGAAAACCGTTGTTTTTGCAGTATTCAATAAAAGTTTCGCACAGTTTTCGTCCAATAGATAACCCACGAGCAGAGGACAAAACAGCTATACGACCTAATTTTGCTACACCTCCTTCTTTTGGCCATAAGCGAACTGTGCCTACATCTACATTATGCTCGACTGTTCCATCATCATTCTCTTTATCACATGTAGCTATCCAAAGATGACATTTTTCGTCATTACTAAATATACATTTCAATTTAGTGTCCGTTTTAAATTTACAAAAAAAAAAAAAAGAGCTTTACTTGTCTCTATCAATTTCTACAGTATATCCTTGTTCAAGTACAAACACTTGATAACGAACCGCATGTGCTCTACTAATTTCATCTGGAACCTTTAATTTAGTGATTGTCGTATTGAAATACTTTACCATGATTGAAAAGTACAAAAAAAAAAAAAAAGCTTTTTATTGTACCTTCAAACTTATATAGTAGATGACTCACTGAGATATAAGAATGTCTTAGTTTACAGCCAATAATTTGGACTTCTTTAATATCAGTTAAAGTAGTAACAGATGAGTTTCCAAAACCAGTAACAAAAAGTGATGTGACTTGCTTATTCCAGACAGATCAGTTTTCTTAAATAATTAATAAAGTTTTATGAACTAGCCTGTTCCCCTATCTGAAAACATAACCCAAATGATTTTTATAGAGAGCTGTCTATACATTCAATAGCAGTAAAAAGAGATGAAGTATATTATTGCAAAGACAAAGAAGAAGATAAAAATTGTTATGGAATTTTAGGCTTCTCTGATATAATTCTTGAAAGAAAAAAGTATAGGAAATATTCTCTATTAACTATTACCTGAGCCAATACATAAACATATATATTTATATGTATATATAAGCAGGTATATCAGGGACAGGATCAAAACTAATAGGAGAATTATTACCAAACATGATGAACTAGAAGGAAACAGACCATTTTCAAAAATTATAGTTTAAAAAACAGCTTTTCTAAATGATTATTCAAATTATAAGGAATATCCGTTGTTCCTGATTCAAGGCGTTGTAGCAGGGAATTAAAGACAAATGTTTATTGTTAGTTTTGTTGTAATGTTGAAAGTATGATGATGACGTGGTTTAATTGAGTCTTGTAGAAAGTGCACTAATGTGTCATGTATAAACAATTACGATAAATCAATACTATTTAACCAATATCGTAGGTTACTCCAACCAAGAGAGAATGTACATCTTTGTTAAATATATCAAAACTTAGCATAATACTGTTATTACTAACAAAAGCATCTTTTTATATCAAAATAAAGAATTGCATAAACAAGTATTATTGTGTGAAGCAATACAAAAAATATTACTGTCTTAGTTCTTCTGCCAATGAATTTCCTTTCTTCATTTTGATTTGTTTATTTTAATTTTTTAATTTTTTATTTTTTATTTTTTTTTGTTTTTTAGATCTGCATGTTTTCTCCTAATGTCAAACAATGATTATCCAGACAAAATTGATGAATCAAAAGTTAAAACATCTGAATTTAATATAAATCAACTTCCAACTTCCTTTCAAAAATTTCTTCAAGATAATTCAATCGATCCTCAAATTTATACAGTTACCAACCTACCACGTTATGTACGAATCAATACTCATCTACCTCTTGATAAGCGCCCTACAATAGACGATTTAAAAGAACAGCTACAAACTAATGAGGTTAATGCTGTTGATGGTTTGGATAATTTTTTTAGTATTCAATTATCAAATATAAACAAGCGTATTTCAGACTTGCCAGCGTAAGTTTTTTCTTTCTTTCTTTCTTTCATCGACTTTGGTGGAAAGAATTTAATCTTTTTTTTTTTTATATATAAAAGTTATAAAGATCATGCTATCTTTGGAATTGATCTTAGTTCTGCTATTGCTGTCCAGGCATTAGATATCTCAGAGGATGATCAAGTGCTTGATTTATGTTGTGCACCTGGTGCTAAATTATGTATGATTGCCAATTTGCTTGGTCGAGATGGCCTCGGTACAGCCACAGGTGTTGATATTGCTCAACATCGATTAGCAACTTGTAGATCCCTTTTGAAAAAATATAAAGTAGGTGAAAAAGTGCGTTTATTTGAAGCAGATGGAACAACATTTTCTGTGCCGCCCCCTTCCCGATTAGGTAGTAGAGTAATTACTACAGTCAATGAGACAGCAAAACGACAAAAAATGGACTTAGTACAAAAGCCTTTTTGGGCATCTAAATTACTTCGATTTGATAGTCAAACTAATACTGATGCACTTTATGATAAAGTTTTAGTGGATGCTGAATGTACTCATGATGGGAGTATATTGCACATTTTAAAGGTAATAAAGAATAAATAAATGAAATTTATCTTTTTTTTTTTTTGTTTTTTTAATATAAAGAAGTAGTATCAAAATTGGGGTTGGGATGCCTTTGAAAAGAATTTTATGGATCCAACAAGGCTAGCAACAGTCGCTAATTTACAGGTAAAATAAATAGGCAATCATCTTTTATAGGACAGCTACTTATGCATCTTACTACAATATTAGCGCAATTTAATGCAACAAGGATGGAATATGTTAAAAAAAGGTGGCATTATGATTTATAGTACGTGTTCGCTCTCTATTCAACAAAACGAGGAAAATGTAGCCTGGTTTTTAAATAAGTTTAAAACTGCAAAACTGGAAAAGATTCCAAAGTTTAATATAAAACCAGCAAAAATCAAACAGCAAATTATACATCATGAATTACAAAAGGAAATAGAAACATTTTGTATAAGATTTGATCCTATTCAAAGCAATACAAGTGGCTTTTTCGTTGCACGTTTTAAAAAAGAATAATATATGTGTTTTTATATATGTATTTTTTTTTTAATCTTTAATTATCTCCCATTCTTTATCAAGTAATTTTGACTCTGTCATATGATCATTTAATAAAGGTGCTGTAACAGACGATTGAATCATGCTTTCGTCAGGTCTTTCCTCATATTCATCTTCTTCTTGAATTGTCTCTACTTCTTGGTTTTTTCTTTCTTCTTCCTCTAACTTGTCAAGGATTCCCAAGTCGACTTCTTTTGTTAAATCCTTAAGAAAACGATCAATTCGACGATGATAGCCAAAGAATAATCGATGAGAAACTCGAACCATAGGCTTTTTAATCACGCCTTGTTCTGTAATCTTCAATATAACTGCTCTCTCCCCTTCAACAGGTTCAAGTGTAAATGTCCAAGAGCCAGTAAAAGTAGAATTCTTTTGAGGTACTTGTTCTCCTGGAGCAATATACGGCCTTTCTTCCAAAACCCGTAACAATTTTTTTGCATATGTCTGTTCAATATGCATTACTACTGTACGGCGATCTTTTTTGGTATATTCCACAAACGTCAGTCGATGGCTATCATCATATTTGTTAAGTTCATCTTCAAATTCATCTCTACGAACAGTTACTCGATCAATATTTGAACGCCAAGCAGGATAATCTTCAACACTTGTTAAAATAGCCCAAAGGATCTCAGCTGTAGTATTATATTTTGCTGAACGACTAATGGTATGGCTTGAGGGTAATAAAAGTCCAATAGCATATAATAAAAGTGGTATTGTTGGTATTAAAATCAAGCTAATTATAATTATTGTAAATGTGCTAATCATTATTAATTTACCAAGAAAGAAAGAAAACAAAAAAAAAAAAAAAAGTGAAATAAAGTGAAATTAAAATTAAAATTTTTTTTTTTTAAAAAAAAAATGAATAAATACATAAATGGTATTTTACTGCCGATTTTTGCGCATTTTTTTCTTTTTCTTTTTTTTATTATTAATTATTATAAAGATGGCGGGTAAAGAATTATTACAGCTATTTTACCATTTATAATACTTATCTATTCTTTTTTTTTCCCCTATCTTATATGTAATGTACAGAACCATATACAGTTGGCATAATAACAGGTAAGTAATTCTCATTCTGCTTTTGCCATTAAAATGAATTAAATTCCATTCTTTTCATATAGTTAGTGATACTGCTTCGAAAGATAACTCTCACGATAAAAGCGGTCCTTTATTAAAGGAAATGATGACAGAAGCCAAGTATATCGTTAAAAAACAAGCCATTGTACCAGACGAAATTCATGACATTCGTAAAATAGTTGAATCTTGGTCGGACCAAGAATCACTTAATGTCATTATTTTGACAGGTGGTACCGGCTTTTCAGAAAGAGACGTTACTCCTGAAGCAATTAAACCTCTTTTGACAAAGGAAACAAATGGTATTACACATCTTCTGCTACAAGCCTCTTTAACGGTGACACCTTTTGCGGCTCTTTCGCGTCCTGTTTCAGGTATTCGTGGCAAATCTTTTATTATTACCTTACCAGGAAGCCCGAAGGCATGTAAAGAGAATATGGACGCAGTTTTAAAGGTTTTACCTCATGCTCTTGATTTGTTATTGGGTCGCTCTGTGAAAAAGATGCATAATAAGATACAAAACCAGCAAACAGATGATAGTTCAAAGGAATCAGCTACTAGTAACTTCCATCATCATCATACTTGTATTCATCGACACGATAGAGAGGGTCATCCAAGTCAAACTGGATCCTCTGCTTCATTAAATACGCCTGGTAAATTTTTAAACAATTTAATGACATTTATAACAATTATAATAAATATCTATATATATTTTGTTTTCTTATCCTCATTTAGTCTCAGGACGTGCTCGTTCTTCACCTTATCCTTTGATTTCTGTAGAAAAAGCACATGAAATTATTGCTAAGCATTCAACACCACTTAACGTAATCACAACTCCTGTATCTCAGTTTTTAATTGGTTATGTACTTGCTGAAGACGTACAAGCTCTTGAGCCTGTACCAGGATATCGTGCTTCTACTGTAGATGGTTATGCTGTGCATGGTAACTATCTTATATTCATATTAAATAATTCAAATTTGCTAAATATCGTTTGTCTGTTTGGTTTTTCTTGTAGTGGAAGATGGACCAGGTGTTTATCCAATTGAATCCGTTTCACTTGCTCAAACCAATGATGAGCCTACCAAGGTATTGAGTAAAGGAAAAATCGCTCGTGTTGCTACAGGTGGTATGGTCCCTGAAGGAGCTAATGCTGTTATTATGGTAGAGGATACTACTCTCGTCAAGACAACTCCTTCAGGTGATGAAGAACTCGAAGTTCAGATTCTTACTAAAGCCCATCCTGGTGAAAATATCCGTGAAATAGGCTTCGACTGTCCTCTTGGACAGATAGTTGCTAAGCGTGGTCAACGTATTGGCTGCAACGAATTAGGTCTTTTGGCCTCTGTTGGCGTTCGACATGTTAAAGTCTACCGAAAGCCTCGCATTGGTATTTTATCCTCTGGTAATGAAGTTATGGATCATCTTCAAACGAATACACTAAAGCCAGGTCAAATTCGGGATACAAATCGTATGACACTTTTAGCAGCTGTACAATCCGCTGGTTTTGAAGCTGTTGATTTAGGTATTATGAACGACAAAGTGGATGAGATTATTGAACATCTTCAAGATGCAGTTGAAAAGGTAGACGTCTTGATCACTACAGGAGGTGTTTCGATGGGTGAGGCAGATTTTATAAAACCCATTTTGGAACAAAAGTTGAATGCTACAATTCATTTTGGCCGCGTTATGATGAAGCCCGGAAAACCCACTACATTTGCTACTATTCCTCATTCTCGTTCCTCCAAGTTAATATTTGCATTACCCGGTAATCCTGTCTCTTCAACTGTGAGCTTTTATCTGTTCGTCTTGCCTGCATTACGACGCATGGCAGGCTGGAATAAGCCAGAGAATTTGGTTATACCTATTGAAGTCAATTATTCAATTCAACTCGATCCCCGTCCTGAATTCCAGCGTGTACATATCTCTATGAATGCTGAAGGTCAATTAGTAGCTGAGTCTACAGGAAAACAACAAAGTAGTCGTATGATGAGTATGGCCGAGGCAAATGGTCTGTTGCAATTACCCATGGCAACTCCTGACATGAATAAAATTGTTGAAGGAACCAAAGTACCATGTATTTTGATTGGAAACCTTAATTAAATAAAATCTTGGAATTTTGTAATCTTACTTTCAAGGGGCTTTTTATATGTATATATACATAAATATATGAGAAAGAAGTATTGATTAAAAGTAAGGGATTTATAGAAAGATGTGGAAAGAAAAAAAAAAAAAAGAGAGTTCAAATATAAGGGGAAGAGAAACTATTATTAATAGGAGCAAGATTACATTAAGAATATATATATATATATATATATAATAGTTATATCTATGCTGAATATATGTCAATGATTAACATTAATATAAAAATTAGCATTCTCATGTTTATCATACATTCTTTTTTTTTTAACAAAGGAAAAAAAAAGAAGGTAAAGCTAAAAGGAATTAATGATAATAGAATGATCGACGATATATTCATTTTCTTGTCAATTATTATTTGCCACTTGAACAGGTTTTTATATCTCCTAATTAGCATTGTTGTTTTCTTTTAACAGGCCGTGTATACATAAGATGTTATGGGTTCAATCATGAAAAAAGGAGGTGGGGTTCATAAACAATGATGATTCAATTCTGTTCTGTTTACTCCCTTTTCTGCAGAAGTATACCCTCGCATTTAATTTTTTTTTTTTTTTTTTTTTTTTTTTTTTTTTTTTTTTTGGCAGCTACATATATTCATGGCTATAAAAGAAGCCTATATAAAGTGCTGATCAACTTATTAATTCTTTCTATTCTATTTATTTTCAATAATGGTAATAAAACTCACTTTAATTCAAGTTCTAAGTCAACCTGTAGTTCCCTTCGCATTCTTTATTAGTTTTAGTACTCTGGTTGGGTTTTTCTTTTACTGCATTAAAAGTGGTTTTGCAAAAACTGAAAAGCAGATTAGCTGGATCTTAACCCTCGCCAGTAGCTTTGTTTGTACTTTCGTCTCAATTCCGTACTTTATCATGTTTTGGAAATCTGGATGGGATATGAGTCGATTAAGTACTGATTCCTTTATACATACCACTATTACTTGTTTCTTCATTAGCTATTTAGCCTTAGACTTATTACTGGGATCCGTTTATTATCGAAACCGTATCACGATATTAACAGGGTGGATTCATCATCCGCTTTATATTTGTATTCTATTCTGGCTCTTAAGATGGCGTTCAGCTTCATTTTTTACAGCCAACTGTTTACTAGAATTACCAACCTTAATTTTGGCCCTAGGCTCAATGCGAGGAAATTTGCGTTGTGATATTCTATTTGCTTTTACCTTTTTCATATTACGATTAGTGTTTCATGCATCCATGATTGTTGCCTTGAAGAAGAGTCATCGATTAGAGATATTATGGCTTGTTGCTATTGTTGTATTTCCTTTACATCTTTATTGGTTTTATGGTATATATATATTTTTTTGTATGAAATAGTAAATAGAAGCCTAACTAATTATATATATACATATTTAGGAATCATTACACAGCTTATCAAAAAATATACTACTCATATTCATCTACTCAGATCCTCTACTTCTTCTAGCACATCAAGACAGACTATTAAGAAATCAAAATATGCTTTTTTGGATAAAATTTATACAATCTAGATCTTTTTTTTCCTTTTATTTAAATCACAAAATTAACAAGTTCACCTTTCTTGGCAATAATTAACTTCTTAATAGGTTTATCAGAAAGCCATTTCTGACCAACCTCTGAACCCCTTACAAGCCTTTCAATTTCACTAGCATTGTTTGCTAATTCCTTCGAAATAGTCATATTTAATCTTGTTTTACCATTTACCTGCATAATACAATATTTAAATAAAAATAAAAAAAAATAATTTATAAATATAAATATATCTGCTTACTTGAATAACACACTTTAATTCTTGTTTCTCCAACGCATTAGGATCAAATTCAGGCCAAGAATGTTCAAAAATACTCTTCTCTTGTCCAAGAGCTTCCCAACACTCTTCACTTATTGATGGAGCCATAGGTGCCATCATTTTCACTAATGACGTGACAGCATGCTGATACACTCCTGAATTTGCTTGAAGATCCTTTGTTGAACTAATATAATTTGATAACTTGATAAGGTCGGAGATCACAGTGTTAAAAGAATATGTAGTCATCATAGCATCTGTAATTTGCTTAATAGTTTGGTTTGTGAATCGATACATCTCTCTTTCTACAGAAGTCATAGAATTTAATTGAGGTAAAGGTGTTTGACTTGCAGTTTTTAATGTCTGGGAAAGTTTCAATACTTTTACAAGCCAACGCTGCATGCCGACAATACTGGAATCTTCCCATTCAAGTACTTCAGAGGGCGGAGCTTTGTAGAGTATATGAAGACGTGTAGGATCCACACCATTTTCCTTGATAACAGACTATATTCATATTATATATTAGCTATATAATATATATATATACATATACATGTATGTATGTATATTTTATATATCCTTACCACAGGATCTACACCATTATATTTACTTTTTGACATTTTTTCAAACGAAATTAAAGGTGATTCACCAGTCGCAATAATTTTTGGATTTGCATAATCTAGCATATATACCACTCGTTAGATTTTTTTTTATTTTATTCTTTATGTTGTTTATATACATTTATTTACCGGATGTATCAACTTCTTCAGGCTTTAAAAATCTTTGAGTATTTGGATCTTTAAATGTGCGACCATGAACCATACCCTATGAATATATTTATATTTACATGTGAATTAAAGAAAAAAAAAAAACTAATTAATTTACCTGTGTAAGTAGAATGTTGAAAGGCTCACCGTGACCAGGTTTTATCCCTGGTACTTCAAAAAAAGCTCTTTGTTTATACAAAGCCTTGGATATAAATCTTGCATACAAAAGATGAAGAATTGCATGCTCTACACCACCAATGTAAATATCGACAGGTAATAAGGCAGATGCTTTGGCAGAATTAAATGGCCTAACAAAAAAAAAAAAAAAAAAAAAAAAAAGAATTAGATGTCGATAGCCTTTTTTTTTTTTAGTTCTTTCAACACTTACAGTTCTTTATTATTAGGGTCTGTATATCTCAGAAAATACCATGATGAATCAACAAAAGTATCCATTGTATCTGTCTCTCGCTTAGCAGGACTGTGACATCTTTAAAGAAAAAAAGAGAATGATGTTAAATGTTTAAATTATTCATTAATATACATATCTAAAGCTTACTTTGGGCATTGACAATTCACCCAGTCTTCTTTACGAGCTAAAGGTGATTGGCCTTTTCCTGAAAATTCAACATTTAAAGGAAGAAGAACGGGAAGATCCTCTTTAGGCACAGGAACAACCTAAAATTAACACATGTATTAAAATATATAACTCCCCTCTATTTTTTTTTTAGAAGAATCAATAATACTTTACATTACAGGATGGACAGTGAATGATAGGAATTGGTGCACCCCAGTATCTTTGTCTTGATAAAAGCCAATCCTTCAATCGAAACTAAGATAATTATAATGTTCAGCCCAAAGAGAATATGATAGTACTGTGATATATATATATATATATATATATGTATATTTGTATATATATCTATTTATATATTACTTGTATTGCAGGCTTCCCCACACCCATCCTTTGCGCTTCTTTCAAAATTTCTTTTCTTGCTATTTCAGATTTCATACCCTTAAATGAACCCGATAATTCTGTCAAAATTCCATCTGCTGTAAAGGGAACATTTAAATTTACTTCTTTGCCAACTTCACTAATAACTGGTTCCACAACATATCGTATGTTATCCACAACCTGATTAACCTTACAAAATTCAAAATCACGTTTATCGTGTGCAGGAACACCCATGACAGCACCAGTTCCATAATCAGATAGTACATAAGGTGCTACATAAACTGGAATATCTTCCTTTGTAAATGGATTATATGCATATAGACCAGTAAAAACACCTTTTTTACTCTCCTCAGCTGCATCCATATTTTGTTTTTTCTTTAAATCTTCTACAAATCTTAAAACAGAATCCGCTTGCTCACTAGGAAGATTTCTATACACATATAGTGGTTAGTTTCTATGTAAATACATACATATATATATATACAATCCAAGGTATTAAGCAGCCACATTTACTCTTTTGTTACTAAAGGATGATCAGGTGCAAGTACCAAGTATTGAACACCAAAGATAGTATCAGGTCTACTTGTGAATACTTTGATAGAGTCTTCTAATTTTTTTGATTTCTGAATAGTAAATAAGTCCTCTTTTTTTCTTTTTCTTTTATCTATGTTTAAAAATTACTAAGCTTACAATTTTAAAATCAAATTCTGCTCCTTCAGATTTTCCAATCCAGTTCCTCTGCATTTGCTTTACACGGTCAGGCCAGTTTTCCAACCTGTCAATATCTTTCAACAGATCCTATTGTAACACGATAAATTAACCTTCTAATTGAATATACATATGAATTTCTACTGCCATTTTTCTTACTTCTGCAAATTCCGTCACTTTAAAAAACCATTGCTTTAATTTCTTTCTTTCTACTAAAGCACCTGAACGCCATGATCTACCTTCAGGATCTACTTGTTCATTAGCTAAAACAGTTTTATCAACAGGATCCCAATTTACTATTGCTTCTTTCTGATATGCTAATCCTGCTTTATATAATTCTAAAAAAATGTATTGCGTCCATTTATAATATTCTGGGCTGCATGTAGCTATTTCCTATGACAATATAAAGAATTCATATTTATCCATATTCGAAATGCATTATATATATATTTACTTTTGACCAATCAAAATCAATACATAATTTTGACATCTGTTCCTTCATAGCAGTAATGTTCTTCGTTGTCCATTCAGCAGGATGAATGCCTCGTTCGATTGCAGCATTTTCAGCAGGTAATCCAAATGCATCCCAACCCATTGGATGCAGCACATCATATCCTTTCATTTTTCGAAAGCGTTGAATAGTATCACTAATAGTATATACACGGACATGACCCATATGAAGCATGCCACTTGGATAAGGAAACATAGAGAGTACATAGTAACTGGATTTAATAGGATTCACAGTAGCTTTTAGGGATTTATTTGATTTCCATCGTTGCTGCCATTTCTCTTCGATGCTTGTAAAGTTAATAGGTAATTTACGTTGTGGTTGTGATGTAGTTGCATAATAATATTTCGAGGAACCGACAATAATAGTGGCTGGAGTATGAGTTGTACCACTACCTTTCCTGAGGACGTTTAGGGTTACTGATTGTGTCTTTAAGAATGACATGGTTTCAATAAAGTGCAAAACAATCGAATTCTTTGTTTCAACCCTGTCTCTATCTGCCCCTTCTTAGCGGAGATTTTTTTTTTTTTTTTTTTTTTTTTTTTTTTTTTTTTGGAAAGGGAAATAGTATTATAGCACATAACATTATCTAATTGTACAATCATTTATGATAATAGTAGCCAGTAAATACTTTTTTAAAAGGAAAAAGAAAAAAAAAACACGATAATAACCAATTGCAAAAACAAAATCATATATTATTTAATAGGACAAGAGACAATTTAACGTAATACATAGCCAAAGGAAAAACACACACACAAAATAGACGCCTGAATGGTCTAGTTTATATTCCGGTAAATCATGTTGAGCTTGACCTATCCTATAGATATCATGCATACGTAAAACGGTGATTACAAGTGAAAAATAAATAATAATAATAAGGGGAAGAGGATATACACCAGTATTTCATTGATGCTGTAGAGACAAAAAGTCTTATTTTCAATGATAAACATTTGATTAGAATTGTAGAGATAATAGAAAAAATTTACTAATGAATAAATCAGGATGCAAACATTTGTTCTTGTTGGAAACAAGCACTTTAGGCATTTAATTAACACATTCTCTTTGTACAATTTTAAAGATATTTTTTTTTAAAGATTTTAGGGAAAAATTATTATGTAATAAGATAGCTTAGCTTTTGCATGTCCTTTAATATATAAATCGTAGAAGAGTAAAGCTTATAAAGTCTACATGTATAAATGCTAAGCTACTTACTCAATGTAAATAGTCTCAAATAAATAGTTAAAATAAAGAAGGGGGTATATAAAATGACTATAGTCTAGCCAAGTGATAGTTAAAATGACTTTAGTCATGGTTTAAAATATTTTTACCTTGGATTAATTAAACCAAAGCTAGAGTGATGATTGTCAGGTCTTAAATATAACCAAAAATTTCATTATAATATAACAATCTAAGGTGTGAATTAAAAGACCTACAATACAGTTTTTTTCCTAATATCTTGGCACAAGGATACAATTTTGTACTTGTGATACTCTTGTACCTGTAATGCTTTTTTTTTTCATTATTTAAACTAATAATAAGTGTCCCTTTTTTTTAAGTTTAATTAATTTAACAAAATAAAAAAAAAAATGTCTAGTGATAACGGAAGAGGAATTATACGTTTACCGATAGAACAAGATGATCAGCATTCACTATTCTCGAGATCAACTTTAAGATGGTCAATACCATGTTGTAGTTCAGTTCAATTATTGAATACAAGGAGCAGAGCAATTCAGTTGTCTGAAGATTCCGATGTGGAATGTGAAGATCACTATCCTGAAGAGTTCATCATTCCAACTGAGATTACAACTTATTCGGAGAATAAGGCTAGAGCTAGGCAAATCTTTTTACAACATCAAAATAGAAACTATTTGCCCATTCATCTTTTTGTCGAAGCAGATGCTAGTCATATTCAAAATAGATATGAAGGAAATGCTCACCTAGAAGAGGAACATCAGCATGATTTTGTAAAAAATGTTCACCAGCAGGTAAGAAAAATAAATAAATAAATTGTATATTTATTTTATTTTTTTTTTTTTTATTACTTTACAAGACTTTACATTTAGGCGAGGAAGAACTTGTGGGTCTAAACCAAACTGCATTGAGAAAATACAATCTTGAATCTGATGATACGGAATCAGGAGATAGTTTTAAATTTAAATTATGCAGTGACAAAGACGATAGTTCTCTTACTAATTTACAATCGCTATCCTATGTTAAAACTACACCACCGTTAGAAATGATAATACCAAATGATAATAAAAGTCAAAGAAGATCTATAATAGACAGCAAAGCTCCGCAAATAGAAGAAACTGTGCTACATCATCTTCCTTTACCAAGACTTTCTCAAGAGATACCCCAGAACATGATTCACCAAAAGCTTTTGTTCGATAACTCAATAAACGATAGTGACCTTTTAACATCCACCACTCAAGTCATAGGCGATAAAAGTTCTAAACTATTTCCTAAAACAGAAGAAAGAATTTTAGCTTGTAATAGTAAAGACGATAAAGAAGAACAGCAGATTGTCATTGAAGATAAAATTAAAATAGGTAGTAAAGTTGCAATAGTTGAGCAAGTGCAAGATTTAGGAACCAGTACTTCAATATCATTGGAATCATCAAAGAAAGAAGAACTATTATCTAGTAATCAAAGAATATTAGTTGCGTCAAAACCAACAATGAATGACAATGAAAAATCCAGTAATGTTGAGAAAAAAGAAAGAAAGCTCTCTATAGTAGCTACAGCAGCACAATCCATTTTGGGTGACAAATTAGAAGATTTTACAGAAAAATTAGCTTTTATCAAAAAAACTATTATAATGAATATAGATTCATCTGATGATGAAGATGAGCTTATGAGTCCTGAAAACCAAAAGAAAAAAATAAATAATAATAATTTAGTAAAAAATACAAACAGGTTTCGTATATATAGACTCATATATGTATAGCTTATCATATTTGATTTACTTTTTTTCTTTTTAGTTGTAACAGTGAAAGCAATCTAGAGCAACATCTGTCTGTAGTAACGGCTCGTAAAAGGACAGGCTCCATTATAGATGTAGCACCTACCATTACAAAGCTAATCAATCAGATTGGTAATAGTTTGAATATTAGCGAGGACAGATCTCCAGCTCGTATTCTCCCTTCATCTCACTCCTCTGAATTATCCTCTTTTTCGCCTTCTTCTTTATTTACAGCATTTGCAGGCTCCCCGACATCGGCTATATCAAAGAAGACACAAGAGGAAAAGAAAAAGGATATTATAAAAGAAGAAGAAGAAGAAGAGGATAAAGAACTATTTGATTTTACAAAAGTTATTGAGATTGGTAAAAATGTTCGACATTTTAGTGAAGGTTTTGTTGAAAATGGGTTTCGTATTTTTTCTGATGTTGCTACTCGAGTGAAGACTTCAGTTGACATAAAAGAGCCAGATTATATTTTAAAGCAAGAAAATAGTAGCACTTCTACTATTTCATCAATGAATAATGATGAAGCATGGATGCATAATTATCTATAATATAAATTGTTTATTCAATATGACTTTAATAATTAATTATCACGCTTTTAATTTTTTTTTATTTCTTTTTTTTTTTTTTTTTGGAAATGTTGAAAAATATATTCATTTTATTAGATTATAAGTAGAGAACTCCCATTTTAATTATAAATACATATATTAGAGATGGGAAGGAGGAGGAAAGAAAGAGTGGGTATAAAATTATTTCTATTCTAACTGGAAAAAAAAATCAATTAATGATTACTAGAAATATTACTATTTATGTCGGATAGCACCTCAGTATCATTAGGCTCCTCCAAAGAATGACGAATGCTTAAAGAGGATAATGCAGAGCGAACAGCTTTATCAGCACTCCAATGGAAGAATGGATAACGATCCTTGGGAATAGGAATACCATCTGTTGAAAGACGATGAAATGAAATTGGAGGAGTGTTAGAGCACTCTGTACAGGATTTTTCAATATCCTCTATTTCATCTAATGTATTAGGACTCTCCTCATCTGATTTACGATGAAATTGCTCTCTTTCAGGACCATCACGCGAGGTAGGAACAATAGGCAAAATTTCTTTACGATTATCTCCAGGTCTAGGTTGTGTACCAAATTGAGCAACTACAAGACAGCGCCGAATAGTGGGATTTAAGATATTAACAAAATGGAATTCAACATGATGACCACTATAACGATTTAAAGCATTTTGAGCATCTACAATAGCTTGAAGACCGCTTGAATCTAGACGATTTACACTAGCAAAATCAAGGATCAAAGCATGTAAGATCGGTAAGCTTTCACGGGCTGCAATGATATCAGGAGTAGAATCATCGTTCCAAGGACGCTCTCCTTTGTCCAGTGTCTTGCCTCCTGACCGAGTGCGAGACTTGCAGTAGTTGATAATCTTGTCAGATATGTATCCAGAATTAGGGTATGTTAGCGACTCATCTATACGACACATTAAGATACCTTTAGGTAAGGACTCAACAAGCTTTTCTAATGATGGATGATTTTCAGGAACATATAAATAAGTGTGTAGCTCAGTTATATCTGGCCTCTGCGGTTCTGATTTCTTTTCATTGTCATAGACAATAGTACTAACAGTTGTTGTGCTTAAAGGGATACGTCCAAGCCCCCAAAAACGAGGGCGAGCAATACGGAAGAGAAGGATGACAATTGACATACCTACTGAAGCATATATACCATACTCTACTGTAGTAAAGAATGTGACAATGACGGTGGCCACAAAGACTAACAACTCCCAAAGACTAATAGCAGCAAGCCGTTTTACATAATTTGGTCCTGATACAAGATCAGCAACGGCATGGATAACGATGGCTGCTAAAACAGCATCCGGAATATAATAAAAGGCAGGTGTTAGGGCATAAAGGGCTAATAAAACAACAAGAGCAGATATGATACCAGCAATAGGGGTCTTGACACCAGATCTAGCTTTAATAGCTGTACGTGAAAATGATCCTGTAGAAGGATAAGCACCAAAAAAGCTGGCCCAGATATTGGTGAAACCAATAGCAATAATTTCTTGATCAGCAACAATGGAATAGTCATTAATTCGTCCAAATGATTTTGCAATTGCAACATGCTCCAATATCAAGATAATCACACCAGAGGGAAGAGAACTAACAATACCTGATAGAACATTTGTACGAATAACAGGAACCCCCATTGCTTTGAATCCAGGTGGAACTGTCTTTAAAATACTAATAGGACTTGTACTTTTACCAATATTAATCAAAAATGCAACTAAGGTGCCAACAATCACAAGAATACCGTTTCTCATGATACTAAAGAAAAAGAAATGCATAGAGTATTTGGGGTAGCGTTTACCAAGTACTTGACAGATATATCGAACACAGTAAAGCCAGATTAAACTAATAAGTCCAAATACAACATCAACCTTTGTGTTGGGTAAATACTTAAAAAAATTTCCAAAGATCAAATAAGAAGAATCTTGAGTATTTATTCCTTTGATACCAAAAAGCTTGGGTAATTGACCAATTGTAATTGTAATAGCAGAACCGCTCATAAAACCTGCAATAGCTGGTGCTACAATTATATTTGTAAATGTACTAATATGAGCATATGACAAAAAAAAAGATAACTAAAACTGTATCACTTTAGATATATTTTACCTGGAATAAAATCTACTAATATACCAAGACGCACAAGACCAATAAACATAGCAACTATACCAGTAAATAAAGACATTGATACTGCAATTTCAGGTCCTGTGATTGTAGAATCATTAGCAGTAACACGTGTTACTGTTTGTCCAACAAGCAAGGACATGACAGCTACAAAAAATAAAAAAATAAACGAAAAGTATGAATTCTCTATTTATTTTTAAAATCATATACTTCTTGGAATTTACCAGTAGGGCCAATACTAATATCTTTAGATGTAGCAAATAAACAATATACGCATAAACCTACAAATGCAGTACTAAAAAGAAAGAATAAATACATGTATATATTTATTTATATATTTTTTGAATTAAGAGGCTTTACTATAAACCATATTGAGGTGGTAATTCAGCAATTTTGGCATAACCCATACTCTGAGGAACAATTACAATCCCTACCGTAACACCAGCAATCAGATCTCTAATTAGCCACTAAAGAGATAAATTGTTAATAATTTAACAGGAAAGGATAGATTACTATACCATTAAATTATATCTATGAATCCAAGTTATAATTGGAAATAAACTAATAGCATAATTTTTACTATATGCAGGTAAATGCTTGAAAAATTCTTTTGTTTGATGCTGATATGAAACATTTTCATAATCAATGATAATTTCTTCTTTATGATTAAATTGGCATTCTGAACTATTGTTCGGTTGTGATATATTACTATCCATTATGTATATTTAAAATAAAAAAAAAAGAAAAAAAAAAACACAAGCATATGCATTTATACAAAAAAAAAAAAAAAATAAAAAACTCAAACTGTTATATTATTAGACTGGGAAATTAAAACCATCTATAATGTTAAATAGAGTAATCACATAAATCGATGGCGCAATACCTCTTATTTGGTAAGAACGTTACGTAAATTTTTAAATCACAGACAAAGGTAGAAGATTTGCAATGTTTCAAGGCTTCTCCATGTACATTTTTATATATAAAAAAACAAATTAAAATAATCTATCTTCAATATTTAAGGTTGTACATGTTACTTTATTTTCTTGATGATGACCTATCTTGACGCTTACTACTATTATGTGATTTTGACACAGGAGAACGTGATCGACTGTCACTCCTATGACGATGACGATGGCTTCTTGAAGAATTACTGCTACTTCTATGACGTTCTGTACTTCGACTACGACTGCGTCGTCTTCTATTTTGATAACGGTCATCATCATATCTTCTACTACTCCTACTACTACTTCTAGACGAAGAATGACTATGATGTCTACTGTTACTATAACTGTCACTTTCATCTGATATATCTTCTAATTTCCTTTTTGCTATCTTTTTGAATAGGCTGGTATCTTTATATTCATATGCTGAGCGTCTATGTTTCACCCTTTCATAATCACTCTTAAAACTTAATTGCTCTGGTTTAGCTCCTAAACCTAATAGTGCTTCTCTTTGTTTTACAGGTGCTGGTGATGGAGTTCTAAACACGAAAGAAAAAAAAAATGCTTAATTTAAAAGCGAGATCAAAGCATAAAAAAAAAAAACTTACTGTGTATTTTTTCTATTGCGACCAATGCCCTCACCTTCTTTCCAACCAAGGCCTCTTAGTAATGCTGCGCCAAATTCATCAACAGGAATCCTTTCATAATCCTCCATCGTGGTTTCATCTGGTCTATTCTTAACATCATCTCTAAATACAAGTGTTTCATCAACATGGATTACTTTTTGTGGACCATTCTCTTCGTCCAAGTCCTCACCTTTAGATTCTATAAACAATATATCAGTTATTATTTCTTAGCAAATTCTTTTTTTTCCCACTCCTTGCCTCTAATAATTGCTTCAACAGCACGCTCCTCTAATGTCTTTTCGGGTTCTTCTTTATTTAATACTGTTGTGTTTTCTTCTTTTTCGATAATTGTCGTTATTTGTATATTGTCATTATTACTTTCATTTATTGTCTCTACTTTTTCTTTCTTTTGAATCTGTAAACCAAAGGAATTGGCATTTTGAATTAACACCTCTGGTTGTGAATCTATAGAAACATCAACTCGTTGTTGCGCTCTCTCAGGTACAAATAATTCTTTCTTATGCTTAGCACTAGTTCTCCAATCAACATTAGGTGTAGATGGTATGATCAATGGCGCATCCTTTTTCTTTGGCTGAGCCCTAGAGCATTTCGGAATTAGTTTGACAAAACAAAATGTTTTTTATTTACTTTTTTTTTTTTTTTTTTTTTTTTGATGATGATGATAATGTACTTTACTCTTTTATTTTATTGTCTTCGAATCCAACAACTAGTTCATCACGAACAACATCTTCATCTTCATCTTCATCACCAAAAATAGTTCTTTTGTTTTCAAACTTAGGCCTGATTGCCTTTGATTGAAGAGGTAATCGTGCTGACATGAGGAATTTTAAATCTATCTATTTTTAATTCTAAAATTAATACAGTGAAAAAAAAAAAAAAAGGATCCAAGTTTGTTAAAAAATTACTTTTTCCAGTTCGCTCAGTAAATTTTTCGACTTGGCTTTCTATAAGACGCAAGTGACAAGTGGTGTAAAAGGATAAAATTTGCACAGTGATAAACCAGTCACGTGCTTCACCAGAATTGTCCGACGATTCATGTACTTCCTTTTTATTGAAAGGACTACAATAGATATTTATGGATAGTTGTAATAATAGTTACAAGTTGTATAATCGACAACGTTACTTGGACTTGTTTATATCATGACTTTCAGCTACTATTTTTATTGGTTGATTAACTGACATCTATATGTATTTATTTTCTTTTATTCATTTTCATCATAAACAATGAAAATCGTTTTTAAAGAATCTCAAGGAGACTCATTTTTTTATTGTCAAATATCACAGAAATGAGTTACCCAATTCTGTCTAAAACTTGTACTACCTGCAAGATAACTCTATTTTTTTTTCATGAACAATAACCTGCTTTTATTCGTTATTGAAGGAAAATACTGACATGCAAACAGAGATGTTGCGATTAAAGAGTATAAAGACTGTGTAGGTCTTGCTGCACGCTCTAAAAAAAAAGATGCCACTCTCTTCCTGATAGATCATTACGATCGTTAAAAGCAATGTCAATAAAAGTCATATTTACATTTTTCCATACTTTTAATCTAATAAAATATATTTCTTTAGGTTTTAAACAATATTGAGATATAGTCAAATCTTTTGGAATGGAATATTAGATTATAAAAGACATAATGAACAAGTAAGCAATTATAACAAACTAGTCTTCATTAATCAAATGAGTGAAATTTATAAAGACGACAAATACCAGAGTATTCTGTCTAAAGCTGACTATCTGGTCAGAGCATGGAGAAAGGAGGGGAAAGAGATCCATTATGGAAGCGGGATAATATCGTGGTTCTGGTGTATTATTATACTGGAGGTGATAACATTTCAGTTAATATAAAGTAGCTGAAGAAAGTCTTACGAGTACTACCAAAAATAATAATAAAAAAGTATGATGCAGATGTTTGTACAGCCATTACGATGAATATTGTCGCCAAGTAGCAAATATTTGACGGCAGTTGAGAAGCAATTGTCGCAAAAGAAATTTCAATTTGTCGTTTTAGGAAAAGCGTATTGTCACAAAGGTTTGAAATTTTATTAAAATTTTTTTAGAGAGGTTCTTTATATAGACATTTGATAATTTTGTTATGGAATAAGCTCTGGAGATAAGCACAAGTAATATTATAACAGATGAATTACATAATACAGGACAAACTATAAGCCTGAATATGAAATAAAAGATATCATATCTTTTTTTTTTTTTTTTTTTTTTTTCATCGTATTATCTTTTGTACACTCTTTGAAACTCTATCTCTTTCTTCTCTTTAAAGTCATTATTCCTTTCAAACTGATCAAAACCTAAAGAGCCTTGTTATTATGATCATCATAAAAAAGAGTTCAATTGCCATAATACAGTAGTAAGAAAGATTACAGCCTAACTCTTTAAAATGCATAAGCTACTAAGAGTGTCTTGTTCAATTAAAAAAAAGCGTCTACATTGTGTGTATGTGTGTGTGTCTAAAAATAAAAATAAAACTGTTGTATAAAATACCATTTTTTATATTATTGATAGCTTATCTATGAACATCATGCTCTGTCGTGTAACCGCGTTTGACTAGTTTTGGCTTAATTACTTTGCAAGAATGCTCAGCATATTCACATGAATACAAATACATATAAAAAAAGTAAACAAACGTCTTCTTTTTTTTTTCTTACTTTCTTATTTTCTTGCTTACTTTCAAAGAAGATAGTAATGCTTTACTACATTCAAATAAAAGCCAAAACTTATCTCTAAAGTATTAAAAAGAAAAGAGAAAAAAAAAAGACAAGGAGAAAGGCAGGAGAGAAGATTTAACGCAAAGTAAATTAAAAACAAAAAAAAAAAATACGCTAAGATTAAACTTTAATAACTTCTCCTTTTTCTCCTGAATTTTACTATAAAAAAAAAGTACATTTTTTCGTTTTTTTTCCTTTTTTTTCTTCTTCTTTTTTCTTTAGCTTTTTTTTTATTTTTCCTATTCTTCTTTAGTTTTACTTGAAACTATGGGTAGACACTGTCAGGGTTATGAAGTGTGCTCAAGTCACATAGCTTGGCTTACTTGAGTTTGTAGAACTGTCCGTTTATAACATGGCTAAAGGGGAGGGCCTAGACTCTCTTTTGGTTACTACATGCATATCCGCCTTCACCTTGGGTTATTGCAACCTTAGATAATTGATGGGACCTTATCGAATTTTGACTGCTCAAGTTTGATTTATTTCCAAAGGAGGAGGGGAATAAAAAGGATACTTGGGGTTGGAAATTGTAAACCTGTTCCTTTTTTAGGGAGATTAGCGTACTCTTTGTCTGCACCATTGAAAGGGCTTATCTCAAGGTTTAGTTTTTCTGTTTTTCTTTTTGGAGGTTTTTCCTTCTTTTTATTTTTATCTAGTTGCTGTTTATAAAATAAAAATAGATAAGGATGCACAGCTTACGTTTCTGACCGTGGTTTTTTCATCTATTTATTTAGTTGAAGAATCCCAACTTGTATTTACTGTTAAGTCAAAAGTAGATGCTAGGGGTCAAAGAAGGGACATTCTCAGGTAAACAATAGTCAGGTCGTGCACTTCATGTATCTGGATTCCTTCCACTTCGCCACGCTACAGGTCAGAATGTTTAGCCCGGCTTCCAATGAAACTTACATCCAACTGTATTTTTTATTGGGGTAGGAAGTGAGGAATCCTATCTTTTTCTTCTAGCAAGGCTTGGGCCAGGTTGGACTTTGCCAAGTGTCTACTAGTTGAAATTGGACGTTTATCTTTCAAGTAGAAATTTAGAGGGAGAAGAAAAAATTACAGCCCGTATCAATTTGTGTATGGGTTGTAATATTATTTTTGGGATTAGATATGCTTTCACCTTCTCGTGGTTAATCCTGTTAGTATCAAGTCTCTTTTAAAGAGATTTGAGAACTAAGAAAAGCATCTTTTTTTTTTTTTTTTTTATAATATTAACAAAAATGAAAAAAAAAACAATTTAATAAAAATCGTTTTATAATAAAGCTGCTCCTCTAATAATATTTAAAAAATAAGCGTATATAAAAAAGTGGTGAAAGACTATAACAGCACAGTGTATAAATATTAAAAAAGATTATTGTATATTTTCCCTAAGATTTCTTTCCTCTCAAGGTAAGTTCTGTACGGTTAAATAAATTCAGCATCACTAGAATGTCAATTGACAGAATAAGAATAAGACTAGCCATCATTCATAATGAGCATTCATGATCTGATTGCTGTACAAAAGACTGTTCATCTTTAGGGTATAACTTAAAGTTGTTTCAAGCCTTGCCATCATTATTTTATCTGGAAACAAACTAACTTTGGTTTTCCAACTAGTAGTTTTTTTTTTCAACATAATTTTTTTCAACGCAATTTTATCCAAGGAAAATTTTCTTTGGGTATTGATTATTGAGTAGTTATATATGTAAAGACTGAAGGTGATTATTGAGTTGAGATTTTGAGATGCTAAATTTTTCGAATTGTTCAGCTAACCTCCCCCACTACATCACCCACAGGAAGCTGGGGGGGGGATCATCGTACACTAGATTCCTCAAAAAGTCGTTGTGATCGTCGGTGAAAGAAGACTGAGGACCAGAACTTATAGAAGACTTTTTGTAAGGCACTTCTTCTGTTTCTCTATACATTTTCCACCATCTTTGAGCCATACATGGTTCGATCCCTAGTTCTCTTGCGAACCGGGTAGCTAGACCTCTTTCCTAAGCACTTTCAATCAATCATTCTGTCAATAAATTCCTTTCGTTGCCTGTCACGGTACTTTCTGTATTCTTTCTTTGCCGACTTAATTAGTATTACTTTAGCTATCTTTTCTACAGCAATCTTCTCAGGCGGTTTTAGTTTTCTCCAAGTGCTTTGATGGGTTAGTCTTTCAAGAACCACATTAGGATTGGTTATCTCAGTTAGAACACCCTCCATTGGATCATAAACTTTCGTTCCCTTCTCATCGTACAGGTTATCGCGCCCATCTTCGTAATAAAAAAGATCTCTCCATGACTCAAATCAAAAACCAAAAAAAAAAAAGTATTAAACAGAAAAGAAGAACTCAGAAAGAGGAAAACATTATGACAATTTAAGCTAATCTGATGCGACAATACGCGTTTCCTAAAACGACAATCAACAAAAATAAAAAACGAAAAATTGAAATTTCTTATGCGACAATTATTTCTCAACTGCCGACACATATTTGTTAATTAGCGACAATATCCATCGTACTGGCTGTACTATTGGTGAACTTCAAAAAATAAAATAATAAGTCGACTATAAAGACGGTGCTAACCAGCAAAGCAGATTTTAAAAATGATCGTTGCAAAAAATTTCACTGATGTTCAACTTATCAATCTCTAAAACACTTAATAGTATCATTTATGATAGGCCTTGAAGCTGTCTACTTGGGTGCGAATGGACTTTATGTCTTGAATGAAGTAGTATCTATTGAAATACCAAAAAGCGTGAATGGAATCAAGGAACATGGCATATCAAAAAATTTTATCTAGATTATTAATTGCCAAACAAACGGTATTAAAGCATCTTGACAAAAAAAGACCAATGGATTCAAAAGGAAGAACTATTAAGAAATTGACGTGAAATAGATAAAATAAAAATATATTATATGAAGAATGAACAAGAGATAAATAAGAGTCTGATAAGATTTAAACTTATGAATGACTTATCATATTGTGCTTAAAATATTCGTAATTTTGCAAAAGCAATCCAGCGTTTTTTTTTTCTTTTATATTATTATTGAAGAGAATATATTTCAATATCTTTTATGATATAGCTTGTTTTTCCTTCATAAAAGATAAACTATATAACTCATCTTATCCAATTTATCTAATAATATATCACACATTAAAAAAGAAAAAAGAAACAAAGTCAGAGATAATATCAATATTGAATAGATATCAACTATTAAAAACTTGTATATTATTAAAAGAAAAAGGAAAACTCCTCACTATTTTGCTTTATCTTAAACCTTGACTTTCTTATTAGAAATTGAAGAGCTAAATCGAGACCTCTATTGAAGAAAATGATGGTTAAAATGAATTCCTTCCCCTCTTCTTTAACATCTATTAAATACCTTTTCTCCTGGCTTATGCTTTTGCTCTTCCTCATATAGTTCTAAGAATTCTTTTGGTAGATAATTCTTCTTAATGGTCTAAAAATGAATAAATTAGTAATTATTTAATAAATAGATCAAATATTATACCTCTGCTTGAACAGCTCCAGGTGGTAAAGTACGATATAATTTAGATTGAAGTGAAACATAGCCTTCATAAGCATTTAAAGGCCATGAAACTTCTTTACATTTAGTTTTAATTAATAGTGCTGCTAAATCACTTAATACATAGGAATTCTTTTTTTTTTTTTTTTTTTTTTTTTAAATTTGTTAGCGTACAGAAATAAATGATTTCAATAAAAGTGTACATATACCTTGCTTAACTCCTCTGCTACCATATCCTTTGATAATTTAATTTTTTGAACAATATGATACAAAAATGATACATTATCAGCTGTTGCAACACAACTAAGATAAAACTTCAGATATTGAGCAAACACAATCAAATCTTCCACAGCCTCAGTAAAATCAGGATGATGAGCTAAAAGATGAATCAAACGTACAAGTGAAGAATCCAAAACAGAGGATTCACCTGATCTAATAACCATAGAAGAGAGACGCTTTTGAATAAAACTCTTAACTTGTTTCAATAAAGACGCTTCAGGTTCATGAGCACAAATGAAGAGTAGTGAATAATAACGAGAGTGAATTTCTTCAGTTTGAAGGCCCTTCATCAAAGTTTCCGCAAATTCTTGACGAACGTAGAAACAGGTATCTTGTAAAGTGTAGCTTAATTTCTCAAATTTAGGTACACTCAATTCATTCAAATATTTAGCATATTGAGTAAGCTTAACAATAGCTTGTGATCCACCCAATCTAAGCTGTGAAACTTCCGCAGCACTTGAACGAAAAAAAAAAAATAAATTTAATTATTAAATTAGTTTCCTTTTTTTTTTTTTTTTTTTTTTTTTTTTTTTTTTTTTTTTTTACTTTGTTTTATCTGCAATTGCACTATCACATGTCTTGTCTAATAATGACCAAAGGATTGAAAATATTCTATCCACTATATGCTCTTCAGGTTCCACATCATCTTTACAAGCTGTTAAATAATTAACTAATAAACTAATGCCAACAAGTTTTTGTTGTGATAATTTTGGCAACTCATCATAAGAACACCATTCAGGGTTACCGCTAAAAAACTAACCAAAAATAAATATAAAAATACTGAATTATTTAATACTGCGTTCATGCCACTTACTTCTTTTGTTTTAGCATTCAAAAGATCTTTTTCAATAAATCGGATAATAGAGTCTATTGAAGAATGAAGAAGATCACATGCATATAATGCAAACTGAGAAAGAGTAATAAGATTGGTAAGTAAATTAGGCGCTCCTAAGATTAATTCATCGCTCAAAGTAGATGCTAGATTAGCAAGAATCAACTTCGAACCTTTCATATTTGCAAGTGCAATTGAAGCATGCTTAGCTTGATGTTCATTTCCATTGGTGATATAATTTGTCAAACGTTCAATTACATTACTATGTTCAATAAGTACTTTCATATAAATATAAAACTTATTATAATAACTTACTCTGCATATGTCATTTCATCTTTATTTGATTTACTAATTTCTGATAGAATTTCAAGGCTCTCATCGGCTAAACATATGTATATATTAAAAAAGGTATTTTCAATAATTCAACTATTAATCTATATTACCTGTATTATCATTATCACGCATAATTTCATTCATGATATCGTTTATATTACTAGTATACATGGATGGATAAGTAATTGACATTTCCTTTAAAATACTTTGGGCTACAACAGCTCTTTGACTTGATGCTGTATGTCTTCTTCCTCTAGCTGATTTAGCTAATTTTAATAAATGTGGAACATTACTCTTATTTAAAATAAGTGGACATGCTCGATTTAATAGAGCCTCAAAGATATCAACAATAGCTGTTTGATCCTCATTTAAGTTGTCTAACAATTTTTTCTAAAATTTACCAAAGTTGTATACAGTAAGATAATGTGTCTCTCTTTCTTTCTTTTTCTTTTCTTACCTTTGCATCAAGAACTTGTTTATAATTACAATTAAGATCAATTGAAGTCTTTAAAATCTTGAGATCTTTTTCATTTTCTCTATTAAGGAATGAACGAAGTGCATTTAAAGTTCTAGCTTTATCAGCAAATCGCACTGGAAAAGAAACAAAACATTTTAGTTTTTTTTTTTTTTTTTTTTTTTTTTTTTTTTTGTAAATCTTCTTCACTTACTGGTCATATATTTCATAAATTCATCAGATGTTGCAGCTTCATGCTCACTTACACTTGTATTATTCAACTAAAAAATCAAAGATTAAAATTGAAATTCATTTTATATAATTCTATATATTTACAGCATTTTCACATCTTCTCACATAATCATGCATATTTTCATTGAATAGTTTTTGTCGTCTAATTAAAGCAGTAAAAGCAAGTCTTTGCTTAGACTGCAAAGAATCATAAATTGTAACAAGTCTTTCTGTTCTGTCAACATCATTTTCATTTTCTGGTAACATATACTTCAAGAGAGTACTTTCCAAGCCCATACTAAACGAAAATAGTGTTTAAAATTTAGGCGAAAATCCTCTTTTTTTTTTCTTTTTTTTTTTTAATACTTACGTTACAGATTCATCACCAAGATAGAGGAAACTAAAGAGATAATCAGGAATCCATCCAATCTTAGTCATAATTGCTTTATCATTAGCTTGAATACGATCATAGGATCCATCATAGATTAAGCCAATTGTGTTCATGGCTTCAGCTCTCACAGAACTCTTTTTATCTTTAGCTCTCTCTGCAATTAATTCCAAGAAAGATTTCTCAAAACTTTTAATATCTCTTTCCTTTATAATTTCTCCAAGAATTTTGCAAGTTGTTGCACGAACTTTGTCATCAGGATCAGCCAATTTATCCTTAAAACAGTCTATGTAATAATACAAGTTACATGAATGAGCATAAAATATTTTGAATAAAATTATAATTTCATTTTTACCTGTTAATTCAGGGATGGACTCGGGATGGTTTTTATAAATATTAACGCACATTTCTAACCACTTGATACGTAAAGCGGAAGATTTATCATTGCGTCTAAAAAAAAAAAGTGCTATTAGTAACTTTATATTTATTTTCCCCCCTTTTTTTTTCTTATACCTTCCAAGCCATGTCTTCCAAATAGCCGGATATTTTTCGGCAATACTTGAAGACTGTTCTGCAAACATTTCACCTGTAGTTTCAGTTGCCAATTGACGAATGTTTAAATGATCGAATTTCATTTCTTCTTGTAAAAGAGGCAAAACATTAAGCAATAAATCAGGAGAGGTTGCATTGATTTTACGAATTAAATTATGCGCCTTTTTAACATCCTCTAAACCTTCAACGGATTCCTCGCTAGTATTACTAACTGAAAGTAAAATATCGGAAAAGTACTAATAATTATTGTCCTTAGTAAATATAAATGATAGATATACTATATCTTAACTTACTTGGCATACTCGTCTTTGAAGTGCATTAGGACAAGCATAACAAATATCTAAAGCCATTAAATAAGCAGGATTATTAGATCCCTATCGAAAGAAAGAAAAATAAAATAAGTTCAAATGTCTACTACTATTATTATTATCTGATTTTCATCTTACCTTTTCATATTTCTCAAATTGCTCTAAAATAAGTTCTGTTAATTCTGGGCCTAAAACACCAACATCATCAATTAACTGAATTAACACATCCGTCATACAAAGTTCAACATTTCTAGCCAACGAAGCTCTAAAAATAAAAAATAATAGTAAGTAATCAATGACACGAGTAATTATTATAAAATGTAAAAGAAAAAAAAAAACCCAAGAATTAAGAGGAACGACGATTACTTTTCTGCAGCTTTAAAAAAGTCTTCAATCATTGGAAGAACAAGTTCATCAGCATTTTCAATTTCATTTAAAAGAAGGAATGTCTTGACAGATTGTAAATTTTCTAAAAGATAAAAGTGATATTGGAAATCGGGTGATTCAGTTCCAAAATATGAAAGTTGATTAACAAAAAACATGAAAACAGTCTAAAAAAAGAATATAAAGTTAATATCAAAATACTGAAGCATATATTCATATACAAATATATATAAATATTTATACTTTGAGAGTATCAATAGAGTATGGACAAGTTGGTGCATGTAAACGAATAATATCAGCAAGACAACAGGCAGCTAGAGCTTTAATAGTTTTGTTGGAATTTTTTAAAATTTGTTTATGAACAAGCTCTTTTGTGACAACCTCAAGAGATTGTTTATCAACATTTTGATCTAATTCTTTTAATTGAGAATGAAGGATCTAATTTATACAATAGATTAGTATGTATGCGTACATTTATATACATTATAAAGTTAATCTTGTACCTGTAACAATGTTGTAAGTTCACCAACTTTGAGTGATTTTGATGTGCCTAGTAGTGATTCAGGGAACACTAAAATAGGTGTCTCCTCTTCTAATTGTGAATCGAATAATCCACTTGCTTGGGAATCCATTGGTTCATCAATATCCATTGTAATATATTTCTTTCTTTTTTTTAATACTCTTTTTCTTTTTTTTATTAAAAAAAAAAGGGATTCAGATTTTTTCGCGTTATTAATTTATGCCCCCCCAAATCTATACGCGTTTTTTTTTTTTAAAGAAGGAACAGTAAAAGTAAGAAAAAAGTCACACGAAGCATAATTATTGCAGTATTTTTTTTTTTTTTTTTTTTTTTTTTTTTTTCATTTGAAACTACTTTTACAATTGACACAAAACTGTTTACCCCACTTAATAATTAATGAATACTTTTTTACTTTTTGGTAAATCTAATGCTTTACTTGTTTATTTTTAAATACATCCTCAATGTTATGAGTAGCCAATAATGTGCAAATTGAATATATATTTCAAGCTTGTATAAAATTGCTTTAATTCATTAAATAATAAGGCAAAAAGGACTGTTCACAGACTTAGCTGTTGATATTGCCTGACACTTTTTTTTTTATTATAAATTGGAAGATTGAACTTTTCTATTCATTATTGTTGTATCTTTATTTAGCAGGTACACATGTCTGGCCTTTTTCTGTGTTTTACTGTGTATGTATTCATTATTGGTTCTTTACTACTTTAGTATTTCTGTTTAGATCATTTAGCATATAGATATATATATGTTTACTATACTTCTCTATTAGTCATGTTATTACAGACACCATTTGTTTGCAACCTGGTACAAAACTGTGTTTTTTATTTTTATTATGAAAATATGTAAAGTAAACTTTCATTATCGCATATTCCCTGGGATAATAGGATAGCAGCACGACCGTTAATCTGTTTAACTGTTGTTGTCGTTGTCGTCGTCGGCCGTTCAAAAGGGAAAATTACAAAGAGAGGGAAGGGGGGGAGAGAGAAATAATAAAGCTGGATTCAACTTCAGTCCCACAACAGAATGAAGCTTTTACACCAAATTTCTTCCCCCGCACTCATTCAAACAGCTTTTCCAGGGTTTCTAAAACATACAATGTCATTTTCTAGACTTACCAAATTATGTCATCATCATCATCATTATACTCATGCTATAGCACCAAGAGTATCCCGCATCTTATTCAATTTCAACAAGAATCGAAGCATCTCCCTTATCTCACGTCTTAAATCAGATACTCATCATGTCTTACAGAGATCAGAACAACAAAAGAGACCGAGTTTTACAACAAGCCCATACAATGAAGCCTTAAAACGAATAAAATCACAAGCAAAATTAGTAGGTAAGATAAGCGGTTATACCGTCTTGTCCGTTACTGCAGCAGTAGCCTTCATTTGGCAACTCTCACATTGGTACATTGAATACTTTTTGGAGTCAACACCTCCAGAGTTAGGATATCAGGCACGCAATCTACTTCATGGCGCCCATGTCAGAGAAAAGATGGTGCCTGATTATGAAATAGCTGCCTTTTATGTCAAAGAGGCCCTTCGAATCGCTCTAGAAGAGAAACAGTTGGATGAACATTCAATGACTGTCATACAGCTTCGTCTTCGACTTGCCTTTGATGAAGCTCATGCCGGCAATTTACTGGATGCCATCACTCAATATACACGTGCATGGAAATTAATGCTAGATAAAAAGGAAGATTCCATTCTGTTGGTTGAAACGGCAAAGTCTATCGGTGATCTTTATTTACGAATTCAAGATGAGGAGCACGCTGAAGAATTTCTAGCATGGGCTCTCTATCGATCCAACGAGTTACAATCAAAGGAAGGGTCCATATTGCATTCTAAAATTTTGTTAACCTTAGCTAGTCTATATGCTATCCAGCATCAATTTGAGCTTGCGTTACCTTTATTAACAGAGTCATTAAAGATTTTGCCAGAAGAAGCTGTCTGTTTGAAAGCTATTGTGCAAAATCAACTTTCAGAGGTTATGTACGGGTTAGGTAAAGTGGATGCATCCATGGGTTGGGCTCAAGCCTCCTTGAATTCAAGTGCCAAGGATACAAAGAATCGTGATTGTTTAGAATGTGGTGGTGTGGCTGCAAATAATTTGGGAAAGCTTTTAGAATTGAAAGGTGATTTTAAGCAAGCGATAGAATATTATAATCAAGCTGTCATTTATGCTTCTTCCATACATGACAGTACAAGTTATAATAGTTATTTATTAAATTTAGAACGAGTACAAGAAGTGAGTGTACATGAAAAGATATAATAAAGGCTGTGTTTTTTTTTATTCAGATATAAAGAAGACTGTGTATATATATAGTCAGAAGAGGAGGGAGAATACATGTGTGTAAATATTTGATTTTTAAAACTATTATACAATTGAAAAAAAAAAAGAGTGGAGAGGAGAGGAGGTGGACGGCTATTATATGCAAATAAGTAAAGTTGCTTTAGATGTTATAGAATAGATGAATGGTATAAAACACAACTAATATGCTTAATGAAGTTAATATTGACGTTATTGACTATGATGACTTGTATTATTCATAAAAGCATCAATTTTGGAATTAATATGCTATATAATAAAGGGTTAATAAATTAATAATAAAAAAAAAGAAAAAAAAAGTCCACATCAATTACTTACAGATCTTAAATCACATATACTTTCACAAGCGGTGTCATAATAATGCTTTCTATCTTGAGCATTCAGTTGTTGCTGTTGCGATCGAATTAAATGATCTATTAAATGATCAAAATCAGTTTTCAATAGTTCAATATTCATTGCTATTGAATTTTCGTTTGGATTAAAAGAACGAGGTCGCTGAGTAGTAGAATTGACAGGTGCTTGAGGTTGAGTGTAAAAGGAAGGATGAAGAGATGCTCTTCGACTGCTAGATCTCCTTGAGCCATCGATAATACTCATAAGTTTCTCTTCATATAAACTACTATTAGTACTCTTGATTGAGCCATGTCTATCACGTGGATCAAAGCTATAGTCACTGTTTTGATCATCAAAGTAGCTTCGAAGACTACTGTTATAGCTACTGACTGAACTATAAGGGTGATAACTAGATGAATCTCCTGAAATTGAATTACGTGAAAGATAATAAGGAGCAGAGTCTAGAGGGATCGAGTCATTAGAAGACGATGCACTACTACTATCACTAGAGGGACGAAAGAGAGTTTCAGGTGACTGGCTATCTGGATTATGAAGAAAGTGTCGACGTGTATAAGGATATGGACGATGATAAGAATTATCTTGGTCGCCATTAGTACCAGAATAAAGCAAACTCTCTTGTTGTCTCTGTTGAGGTACTGTTTCACTAAAACAGTCAATAAAGTTAATATCATTATTTTTTTGTGTAAATACATCAGAGGTAGCAAAACGGTTCATTTTGGTATTCTGCCAATGATGAGACTTTGTATCTATTTTAGATGGCTTTGAATTACGTAAGATATGTGAACTATCATGAATGGGATTTGATGTATAAGATGGATCATGAGTTGGTTGAAATGGATTCTCAGTATATTTATGAACGGATGCTACTTTGAATATAGGATCAGATACATGAGTGGCCACTGCTTGATCAATGATATCTGGTTGCTCTTTTGATAAAGTATGTTGTTTAGAAGGTGATGATGATCGAGATCTAGCAAAAAGCTTGCCAATACTTATATGACTTGCGGCTCGAGTAAGTGACTTTGATCTTGAACGAGATCTACCTCGAGTTCTCAATAATCCATCATGAATACAAGAGAAAGCTTCTGTGGCTCTTAATCTTCTTTCGTAAAAAAATACTAAAATAGGATATTAGTAACAAGGATAGTCTAAATATTTATATATATTATATATGTAACTTACTGTTATTCCATAAAGTATCAATAAAATTAAGTGGGGCATTTTTGTCATGCTTATGTTGATCATCATTATTAACCATGAATTCATATTCAATTTCTCTACTCATTTCACGAATAGGGATCAAATTAGTTCTTGAACGTATGATAGGTTTATATCCTCCTGATTTATGACGAGTAATAAGAATAACAATCCAAACATCGTTATTAATGAGAGTATTTAAATCTATATGCTGTACAGGATGATTATCTTCGGTATAAATGATCAAGATATGATTCTAAGTATATAAGACTTTTAGTATATCTATATCAGCATTCTACTATATAATTTAGTTCTTACTTTATACTCAGCTTGATGATATGTTTGTTCGTCATAAATATGTGTATATGTGGGTCGTTTAAATTTACTCTCATAGTATAGCTCATTTGTCGTATCTAATTAAAAAGAAATGACATGAGGATGATGCAAAAAAAATAAAAGAAAAAAAGAAAAAAAAAGAAAAAAAAAAGCTATACATTGTCAAGTCATTTTACCTTTTAGTTTTGATACTGCAAATTGTTTCTGACATAGAGTAATCAATTCTTGTTTCTTTTCTAGATAAGCATTTAAACCATTACTACGATTATCATTCGGTAGAATAGAATAAAGACGATCACTTCTTCTAAAGTAATTTTCACATTCCTTTTCAGTAGCATTTGAACTTTGTTTAGGTAAACAACTCCTTAAAAAGAAAGTTATAGGTCGATCTAAATAAATAAATAAATAATATGCGTCAGTTTCGGACCGATATTACTTTTTTTTTTTTTCTGTGTGACAGGTAAAATATGTACACCATCTTACCATCAAGGCCGTCAAAGATCTCCACCGCTCTTATATCTACCCAGCCTTTAAACTCAAAGGGTAAACCATGATAGGCCTCTTTGGCTTTTTGTAGCATTGTACTTGTGGCTGTATTTTTAATTTGTTCTTCTATATTTTCCAAGTAATCCTTTCCTTGAATATTATAATTCTTTCGTTTAACTACCATTAGCTTATCTGTAAATACAAGAATTGTCACCGGTCTACTTGGTTTTCCTGATAAAAGAGAAAGTTCAGTTACATCAAAATAGCCGAGTAATTGGCGTGTTTGAATTAATGATGCCTAAAAAGAAAAAAAAAAGAGTTGGCTTGTGCATGTTGCATGGTTTCATTTTACAACTTTACAGGTGCATCACGTATGAGGTGATACAAATTAAGCAACGACGAATCACCATAGTTCATGTCATTAATATTAGAAATCTTTGTATTAGCTTCTTGAAGGTTTTCAATATCAACATCATTAGGGCTCATAGCATTAAGAATAACTAGGAATAAAAGAAGTTTATAAGAACTATATATGTATATACATATATATATATATATATATATTTTACCTTGAATTAATAAAGTATATCTTGTCATGCGTTGAATAGGTGAGATCAAAACATCACTTATACCGAGATTTCCTTTAAATTCTTTATTCAGTAAAAATTTCGAATAAATTTTATTTTGTTTAATATTTTGTGTATGACAGTCTAAAGAATTGGATTTGCCTAAAAAGAATATTTTATAACAGTCGAACTTTGAAAACTATTAAAATGAGAAGCTAGGTGAGTCTTGTTCTTTTTTTTTATTTTTTTTTTTAATAAGCAAAACAAGAGGGGGACCTACATGCTTTAATAATATGTGTCCAAATGATTCTGTAATAGATCCTTGTTGATATTCTTTTAAGGAAGATAGAAATGATTTATTTACGTTCAAAATATCTTCCATATTAATAAATATTCTGTTAAATGAATATTGATCTAATATAGCAGTTTTATTAGGATCTACAATTGATTCCCTAATTGGTTTCATAATCTTGTAAACTATTTCTTCTAATTGATTGACATAGGATTGTTCTGTTTCAATAAACTCTTTGATAGGTTTCGAGACGGAAGATTCGAAAATGCATGCATTTTGTGTACGATGTTGATACATGGACTATATATATCAAATAGAGTTATTAAAATGTGATTGACAATACTTTTACAAGAATCAAATTTACTTTTTGTTTATTTTCCTTTTGAGGTGTTTGCTCTTGATGTGATCGATATCTTTTGCCGAAAAAAGTTTTAAAATATTCCAATTGAGATTGTTCATCTAAAAGAGACATATAATTAAGTAAATTGGTTCATATACACGTTAGTGCGTCTATTACTGTGATTGCGGTCATATTTTGGTATAACAACGTCTACATGCGCTGACTATAATATAAAATTTAAATATTTATACATGTATCGATTTCTTTCTTTTTTTACCAATGGATTTTTTGTCCTATTTAGTATATTTTTGACATTTTCTTTACATTGATCAGATACATAATGATCTTTCAAAATAGGTATTGTGTTTTCTTTATAAATATTACAGGGATACACGAAGGGTGTATTTTCTAAAAGACTCTAATACATAAATGTTTGTTACTTGGAGTTGCTCTTATAACATTCCACACACACACACACTTTTTTTTTCTTCTAATGTATTATTTTAACCGAACCTTTGTTGACATGGTAATAAAATGCTAATAGAATGTGTGTATGTACAAATGAAAAGCAAGACTAAAAAAAAAAAAATAAGAAAAAAAAAGGACTTAAATAAAATTAAAAGCCCTTATATATATTCATATATATGACTTAACGATGAATTGGTGGGCAATAATCAGGAGTAGCATCATCATTATTTATTATTGTTATTTCATATATAAAGTAACACAGTCTATATTTCGGAAACCAGGAATTTTTTTTTCTTTTTTTTTTTTTTTCTGCATTAATTCTTCGGCAATAATAGTAGTAATAGAAGCTTTGTATAGTATTAAATCATCCTATTTATATATGTATATAGTATTGTATTGCATTATAAAAGATGTTTTCTCTTTTTAATTCAATTTGACAATTAACTTGCATAGTGTTTTATGATCCTCCTTGAATATACGTTAAGGGGAGTTAAATAATGTCAGTTAAAGTTAACATACAACAAGCACAAAGTAATACAAGAATGTCTATTATTTTCTTCCTTATAACAGATCCCTCCCCCTTTTTTTTTTCTTATGATTGATCATGTAGTCTATTATTTTAAGAAAAGAATAGAATCATTAAATGAAAGAAAAAAAAAGTCTATTATTTTAAACAGTTTTGCCAATCAATACAAGAAAGGTCAAGACAAATCATTATACATACACAAAAAAAAGTTTAATTTTTCCCATGATTCATTTTCAATCAGAAGTTGTTGCCCAAAGCTCACTACTATGTATATTGCTAGAATATAAATTGCTATAAAGTAAATTGTACAAAACTTTAATATTCCCCCCCTTTTTTTTTGAAATGGCTATGCTATTTTTAATATGTACATGTTTATATTTGTATATTTAGATATACATACACATACACATGTATAATAATAACAATAACATAACAAAGTATCCGAGAAATCCGATAGACAAGTTAACTCAATGACTTCTTTTAAAAGTAGAATAAATTACATATCATTTAGTAAAAGAACGTCATAGAAATACTTTCTGAAAGCTAGCAGCTATTATCATATAATTATTCACGATATGACGTAAGAATAAACGCATTATATAAAATGAGGATGGTCAATACAATCTAGAGGAGGGGAGGGAAGGAAGAGAGAGGATGGAGGCTTTTTTTGTGTATAGTTAGTTAGTATACATGTTTCGGATTGTACGGAGACAATCCCGTTTGCTATGTATATAAATATGTGTATATGTATAAAGAATAAGCATTAAAATATATGAGTATATCATCATGTGCTGATGGTATGTATGTATGTATGTATGTATGTATGTATATAATATATGTATCGGGAATCTAATGTAGGTTGTAAAATGGATTCTATCATGCATTCTTTGTTTCTTTATCTATAGAAAAAGAAGGTTAAATTAAACTAGTACGATAATTCAACTGATGAACTACGGTATGCTTTAGCATTTCCCTTATGATCAGAAAGGGATGGATTACGTAATATGTGATAACGTTTGTTCTCTTCATCGTTTTCTGTTACTTCGTTATATAGTACATCACTTCCAGATAGATTAGTTGAATAGACTTGCAATAATAAATCATGTCCATTTATAAGTGAAGCACGTTTGATACTTTCTGAAGGAGACAGTGAGGCTACTCTCTTCTTATATGATACATTTGAATTAGAATGATTTTCTGGATAAATTGCGTCTATAGATGAATTTCGTTTATAGAGTGTGTTGGGTAAACCTAATACTTTAGGCTTCCTTCCAATTCCTTTACTCATAAAGCTGGATTCACCTTGTACAATGTTTATAAACTCTATTTCGTCAAAGCCTTTTAACGCAGCCCAAGTTGGACTTAAGAATGCAAAAAACTTTTTCAAAGGATTCAATTGAGCTAGAAATAATATGGATGTATAAAATAAAAAAGAAAGTTTATACCATATAATTATAAATTCATTTTTACCCTTTCCTATCCCACCTTGTGAATGAATTCCATGAATGGGTTTTGAAGGAGCTGGTAATGTGCCCTTTGAACCTTGTATTATAGGAGATTTCCCTTTTTCTATTCTACAAATATTTCTTGCAATACAGACACCAGCCAAGGTGGCAGAATAAGCTGTCTTTTCTTCTACTATATTAGTCACATCACCACCAACAAAGATATGTTTGTATTTCCAATGATCCAGTTGTAAAGTAGGTTTAACCCGGATTCGACCCCAATGGTCAATACAAGATTCAAATCCAACATCGCCGTCCCCTTGCAATAAATCACTACAAGGAGTTGTACCAGTAGCAAAAAAGACTTTATCATAGCCAGAATAGCAGGTACCACTGGATCCTAAAAATGAATTTGTCCCTCCCGAATCAAAATCAACTATCTTTTCATTCAAAATAATTTGTACTCCTAAACCTGATAGATAATTGAAGGCCCTTGCTTGTTGTTTAGCATGAGTTCGTCGTACAAGAGAATCACATGACTCAATTAACGTTATCTGTTTCTTTTCATCATATGGAGGTAAATAAGTATGAGAACCAATTTCACTAGCTAATTCACAGCCTACTAGTCCTCCACCTATACATTAAAAAAAAAAGGTATTCTATAAACAACCTGTTCATCATTCTACTCATTATAATAAATTACCTATAATTAGTACTGTTTTAGCCTTTTTCAATTCGTTATGTTCTAAACTAAGTTCAGATAATCGATAAAGTGAAGAAGTATCAAAGGATTTTAATTTTGATGTATAAGAACTTCCAGTAGCAATTACCAAATAGTCAAATGGAATCTATATATCGATAAATAAGTATAAAAATATATTTCCAAATATAAAATAATGTAAAATACTTTACATATTCATTGTTTACTTTAACTGCCTTTGCATCATTCACAATTTTTTCGGCGTAACCAATCACCACTCGACCATTTTTAATATATGCATTATGTCTTACTCTTAAAGAAGATGTTTCCTCCGGTCTAACTAAAAGCTAAGAATAATAAAAGAATTCAAAAAAAGACAGATATATAAGTACACCCACATACGCACACCCACATATATACATATATGTTTGTATAAGAAATATGTATATATTTGTATACCTTAACCATTCCAGGAGTATATTCAAATGAATCTAATAAAGAAAAAAGTTAATTATTTTATCCTCTTTCATTTAATATGTCATTTGTATAAACCTTTTGCATCAATCAAAGTAACATGAAACCGTGGCATTGGATCTAAAGTTGAAGCAACAGTGAAACCCTAATTATTTTGCACAAAAAGTAAGAAAAAAAAAAAGAGCTTAAAGTGATTTTTAATATTTTACCGTAAATCCACCTCCAATGACAACCACCTTCTTTTGATATTTATTATTATAATTGGAAGAGGGAAACGTCGTTCTACAATAAAAAAAAAAAAAGATGAAGAGCATTTAAAGAATGTTCATGTATTTTACCATTTACTATTTGTTTTTTACAGTTTTTCTGAATTATAAATTTTATCAAATTCTACGATTTTCTCATTCTATTACACACATAATTATTAAATGAACTACATCTTTTTTCTTTTCTTTCTTTATATATATTGACATACTAGAAACATTTTAACTTCCATTTCAACATCTTTAAATATGTAAAGTGCTTCTTTATTTGTCATAATTCCCCATTTATGAGCTTGAATGCAATCACCTACAGATTCCTTATTTTTAACTTTGAGTTCAAATGGAGCACCTGCTATTAAGAATGCGTTCCAAATTCTATAATAAGAATAAGAATAATAATAATAATGCCAATATTAATATTAATAAAATATATAAATGTCTATTATCTTTCTTCTTATTCAACCTATTCACAATAGTTTCAATTTGACTTAAATTCTTTTCATGTCTTAATTCAGAAAGTGCTTCAATAAATAGTAAATTTTCATGAGCACGGATATTTTGTAAATAAGTTTGAAAGAAAGCTAATTGTTCAGAGGAAGAAAGTATTTCGTTTAAACGTTTAAATTCTTCGCCTTCAAATGAAGCATTTAATGACAAATAATAACTCGATTTAGCTGTAATCGTCTTTGAATTTTCATTTATATTTTTCATGACTAAGATTTATGTTAAAAAAAAAAAAAATAGAACGAAAAACGAATAAATGAATAATCTAGTTTTTAATTAAAAAAAAAACAGTAAACTATTCCCTTATTTATTGTTTTGTTTCAGTTTATCCTTTTTTTTTTTCGATGTAAATCCCTGGGCCATGACTGCTTTAAATTGGTTTCATTTACTAGTGTTTTTAATTTAAATCAAGCTGCTTTGTTTTAAACAGGAAAAAAACAGGAAAAAAAAAACGCAGATTTTGCTACTTTATAAAGTTACTAACCAAAATAGGTATTAAATGATGATATTCATTTTATTTTTGTTTACTTGTTTAGCCAACCATAAATGGTTCTTTTCTGATAATATAACAAAGCTTGCATGCATGAAAAAAGAATTCTATCATTTTCAATTGGGGTGTATATATTGATTTTATTCATATTATTTCAGACTGTGCTTAGTATAGACCCCTTTTTTTTTTTGTACTTTTAAATGTTAAAGTGTGTATGAGCCGTATTTTTCTTTGTGTTGATAATCTGACTTTGTTTTATTTTTATTTTTATTTCTTAAATTAAAAAAAAACACATTAACATTTAAAAGCACGACGTAATTTTGAAGGTTATAGAACAGCATTCAAGTTGAACTTCAAGAGAATGGGGCTTATTGGTTCATTATTTATGCTGTATTTGTATAACCTACTTCCTTTCCTGTATTACATGAAAGGCATATGCTTCTATTGTTTGTGCTTCAAGTATGTCAATGTCTATTCTTTATTGATTTGAGACAATCATTACTATTTAGTTTTTTCATTGAATAATAAATTGATCTAATATATAATTATTATGATTTGCAGCTAACAGAATGCAATATAACTAATTATAGTAATACATATCACGGGAATCAAACGTAGTAGAAGCTCAGTAATGAATAAAACTTTAGAGTAGAAAGAAATGCTATCTCTTCCTTATTAAGCCTTTCTTTCTGCACTCTTTATATCTTATAGTTCTCTTTTGTAATCATTTGTATATTTGGCTTTTGATCTTATTCTAAGAAGAGTGTTTAAGTGTATTGTCTCTATTTCTTTTTATTTATTATCAGAAAATAGAGTCTTTAACAATTCAAAGATGACAAGAATTGAATCCATTTTATCTATACATAATAACCATAAAAAAAAATTCATATATTTATAAACAATCAAAAGAAAAGGAGAAAAGGTTTATAACTTATTTCTTAGGGTACAATGAAAAGGCACCATCTCCAAAATATTTCTCTGTTCTTTTTTCCTTTGCTTGCTCTATTGCTGCTGTAGGATCAATTAATTCCATACTTTGTGCAGGAGTAAAAGCCAATGATGAAGCTAAACCAGAAGTAGCAGTGCCAGAAATACGACTAGTAAAGCTCTTCAATTTAGGTGCTTTAACTAGAAATAAAAAAAAAATACAAGATTAAAAAAAAAAAAATTCTTGACTTGATAAAATAATAATATACATACTTTTATTTCTTTGATCTGCAACAGAAGCTCTAATTTTACCAATTTGCTTAGCCGCCATACCGAGACCTTCTGTTTCATCACCATAACCTACTTCTTCTTCTGGTTCACCAAATGCTAATCTATTACGTGCAGCACGTAATTCTGTCATCGCATAGGCTTCCTTCTGTCTTCGCACTCTCTTACCCGCTCTTCTCTTTTTAGGCCCTTCATCAGGTACAGGTAAAGCTTTTACGACTTTTAATGAAGGTGCCTCTTGCATCTTTTCAATTTTAGCATCAATTTCTTCTCTCATCTTTCTACCATCCTCACCGTGAGGAGATCGATGACTAGCATCAATACGAGCTGCTAATACAGCCTTGGCTGAGACAATTTTAACGACTTTTTTCTTTAAATCACTAGGTGCTGATATCACAGGCTCAGAGTAAAATACATATCCTGCATGTCTATCCATATGTGCAGTTGAAAATCCAGTATTTGTCTTTTATTATTGCCAATCACTTGTACATTACAAGCTGGGATTTTACAGAACGCGGTTAATCCACCAGCGGCCGTTAATAATTTTGCCGCAGTTGAGGTACCTACGATATGCGATAAATTAGGTGCAATAACAGTCATACGTGATTCAACATAATTCATAATCTTTCGACGAACATTATCTAATTCAAGAAGCATATCACAAGCTTCTTCTGTTAATTTCCATTCTTCAGGTGTTAATTCTTTACCAGCTGTAGTTGTACCAGTAACAGTAATGACCATAATGGTAGCTGAAGGTAAAATGGGTCGAAGATCAACTTTTGTAATATCTAATTCATTTCCGATTGCCTTTACTGTACGAGCATATTCTATTGGATTATAAACAAGCGTTTCTAGTTCAGGAAATTTGGCGGCATAATGATCACGAATGAACTATCAAAATATAGACAAGCAATTTAATAAAAATTTTATCCAATGTAAATAAATAAATAAATAAATAAAAAGCATTACTTTATGAACAGTTTGAATTTCACCATCAACATCTGCAGTCATACTATTAGATTGAACAATCAATTTATATTCTTCATCTTCTTCAGTTGGACCAACTACATCAGAAGCATTACGATTTTGTGCAATGTACTTGTCAATTTTCTGTTTAAATGAAAATTAATATAAATAATTCTTAAAAAAAAAAAAATGTATACATAAACGATAATCTCATTTATATACATGTAAACAAACTTATTTATTCTTTACCTGAAGGACTTCTTGTGTTTGTTTACTATATAATAATTTGGCAATTTTCCTGACACTTTTTGAATTATCTTCTGTATTGATTTTTCTTTCCTCCATATCCATTGTCTCAGACTCTTGATCATCTTCTTGCATTCTATCTAGAGCTTCTTGCTCCTCATCAATATCTGAACTGTGTTGTTCTTCCTCATCAGAAGTAAAATCGAGATCAGCTGCAAGTTCGTCTGCAAGAGTTGCCATTTTGTATTAGAAAAAAAAAAAAAAAGAAAAGAAAAAAAAATACTTGTATACCTCTTCATACATTTGATGTTTATATTGGATCTCAGCAAAGAAAAAAAAATTACTACGTGTGATTCTATTCTATAATGTTCAGAAAATAATCTATCTTCTAATAATAAACAAGAAAGGATATCGTTCTTTATTAAAAGAAACTATCTATTGTATCAAGTTGGAATAGTTTAAACAAAAGACGCTTATACATAGTACTTTTTCTTTTAAAAAAAATAATAAAGAAGAAATGACTGAAGCGTACAGAGAGTGAAGTATCGTTTGTGTGATGATTTATTAAATAATAATAAATAATTCACAGTGTATCATAATTTATGTATTATCATCACGTGATAAACGATAATATCTTTGTTGGTCTTCTTGCATTTATTGATTTTGTTGAAGTGAAGTTATAAATTCAGTCATTGTATCTACTTGCTTCTGATAATTTATTTCTGTAGTTGTAAGCATATCCTTTACATTTTTAACTTCTTTATTTAACCTTTCAATTTCAGAAGTCATTCTTTCTTTTTCTTTATCTTCTTTTACAAGTCTTTCCTTTAATGATTTATACATTTCAGCAAATCTAACGGCTTTACTATCAGTCATTTGTATTTTATCTGTCAAGTTTTTCAATTTCTGTTCATAGTATAATTTTAACTTTTCTTCTCTAATGGATATATCATCTTCATTATTTTCTACAATAACTGCATCTCTTCCTCGATAAACAAATACGTCTTCTTCCTCTTCTTCTTCCTCCTCCTTTCTATCTACTTTTTTGTCGGTATTTTCTATTCTAATCGACTTTTCTTCTATTGGGTATACAAATGTCGTATCTTCTTCCTCATCTTTTACATCAAGACCAACTTGAGTTTCTTTGTCAAACATTTTTCTTTTGTTATAAGTTTCTTTGGTATCTTTTAATTCTTGTAAAGCTTGTTCTGTATTCAGTTTCTTCAAAAAATAGCTTAATAAATTAATATAAAAAATACATGTCTATTTCAATTACCTGTTGTTCAAGTTCTTTTTGTAATTTTATATTTCTTTCTCAAGTTTATCATTAATAAGCTGTAATTCAGTTATCGTCTTTTCTTTATTTCTTTCGTTTGTTTCAATAGTTTTTACTAAATCGTTTATCTTTTTTGTTTGTTCCTGAATCTTTTCTTCATATTCCTGATTCTTTGCTTCTTCTTTTACTAATTGCTCGTCTTTTTCTACTAACAAACTGTTTAATTCTGTTTTGGTATCTTCCAGTTGTTTCAAAAGATTCAATAATTCTTTTGAATATGTCTCTGTAGAAATGGATAATTTTTTTGCGATTTCAGAGGGTAACTCCTTTAGATCGTTTGTGTTTCCATCAAGTGATTGCATATATTGTCTTGCTTGATCCTCGAGTTCTTTTAGAGCCTTAGATGTAGGCTCAATAACTGAATATAAACTGGTTTCTTCTTTATTCTTTAAATTGCCTACTTTTGCTAATAAAATAGCTCGCAAACTCTGAATTTCAGATAATAATTGAAGATCGTTCTTTTCTATCATTTTCTCCTTTTCTTCTAGTATACTCGTTTTTCTAATAAAAACATCAATAACTTCTCCCTTCTTTTTTTTTTCACTTACTTTTTTAATTCCAGTTTAGATAATTCTAATTCCTTTAACAGTTTATCATATTCCTCTTCATGAATAATCGTATCCATAGGCTCAGAGGTAATTAAGGTTTTTGATTCTGCCTTTAATGAGGAATTTTCTTCTTGTAATTCTTTAATTCTTTTTTCAAGTTCCTGAATTTGTTTCAAAAGATTATTAATGTTATCTGTAAACTCAAACTGTCTTTCGCTAAGCTCTTCATGCAGTTTTTCATTTTCTATAATCTTTCTTTCTAAATCTAAATTGGCTTCTTCTAATGCACGAGCGTTCTTTTCTAATTCTTTTTTAACTGAACTACCCAATAAAGAAAAATGACTTCCTTTCTAATAGAGGGGGGGGGAAAGAAAGTTAAAAAAGAAAGAAAAAAAAAGTATATATGTATATTTATATATATATATTTTTTTTTTACCTGTTCATTCTCTTGTACAGCCTGTATACGCTTAGTCAGTCTTTCGTTATGAAATGCTAATAAATCTAATTGCTCTTGCAGCTATATAATAAAAAGTATTAGAGCAGACTATTTTTAAAAGACGAAGTAAAACTGCAAACCTTTCTTAACTCCTTTTCTTTTTCTTTGACATTTCCCTGTAATGTTACATTGGAAGCTTGTTCCTATAAACCAGTTTAATACGTTGAGTTTATTTTTATTTTATTTTATTTTATTTTTTTACTTCAAGAACAGCCTTTTTCAGAATGGCGTGCTTGGCCTTTAATCTATATTATAAATAAAAATACAATAGTTTTTTTTTCTTTTCTATGAGTTTAATTTAAATACAAACATTAGTTTTTATTAACAAACCGAGAATATTGCTGAAATAATTTTAAATATCTTTGAGATAGTTCTTCTGGTGATGCAGGAATAATTCCTATAATGAAATATTATTTATGCAATTGTTAATCAACTTGAATATAATGATACAATTGTTTTGTACGTTAACTTTGAGCTTACCTGCATTAAGAGCTGATTGTTTAGAAAACACTCCATCATTCATTTTAATAACCAGTGAAAATAAAATAAAAGTAAAAGAATTGCCCCTCTTTTTTAGTGGTACTAGCCTTTTTTTTTTTCAGAAAAATAAAATAAAATAAAATTTTCGGAGTAAAGAACAACAATTTATCAAAATTGTATATTATTCTTGACTTTTTGCGATAATTAAAAAAAAAAAAAAGGCAGCTTTAGAGTGTTTTAATTTGAAACAGAACTGACAAAACGTGGACCTTGTTTAGCAAATTGTGTCTAATAAAAAGGACAAACTCAGCCCAGCCTTCTTGCTATGATTTCTTCTTTTTCCAGTTATGAATAGCGTCCCAGAAATTGAAGGACGATCATGTTTATGCGACTAACTGAAGAGATAAACAAGCAAACAAACAAACTATTTACCCGTCCCTCCTTTCAGAAAAAAATACTCTTTAAAAAAAAAAAGGTAACTTTACTAGAATTTATTTGTGTATTCATACAAGATCATGGCTTTTATATTCCATTTCACTTGATAAGTTTAATATCCTTATTTTTGTTATACATGCAACTTACTTTAATCTTGTTAAGATACATTTGTTAATTGTATACTGCTTATCTCTTATCTATTTGGCTATATGCCGTTCATATGCATATGCACTAGATAAGTATATCTATCTGATCCATGTTAGTAAGCGATGAGACTATGTTTACATCTTTAAATGCAATATATGCTCATGATACAAAAAAAAAGGAGATTAGATCATATAACCAAAATTGATTTGTTTATATTATTTTTAGATAATTGTTTATCGTTAATATTCTTCTGCATTTAATAAAAACGTTTTCATTTTTTTTTTTTTTTTATAAATAAATATAAATACGTATATAAACTACTTTTTATTTTATTCTATTTTATTATTTTAAATCGTTATAAAAGTTATGACGGGTACTTTTCTTTCTCCTATTTCACCTGAAGAATCTTTTACAAAGTTACATACAGTGACTGACTTTGGTTACAATGCAAATGTATTTTCTGGTAAAGAAGAACAAATGATTCAAGTAGCTGAATATCTTGAAAATTCTGGATTTTTACCCAAAAATTTTGTCAAGAGCGAAGTAAATTGGTTTTATGAGTAAGGATCTATATACTCTTGAAAATAATAATAATAATAATAATAATAATAATATTAATAATATGATTTTTTTTCTCTGTATATCTTTTATAGACATCTTGGTATAGATGATTTTTATTTTGCCCTAGAATCTGTTGAAACAATTGCTAATCATATTATGGCTCTTTATGGCGCAAAAATTTTAGCCTTTACAAAGAATGAAAACGTTTTTGATATCGATCTGGTAAAAGAATCAGATGATTCTTCTGTCTATATTCATTCTTCTCCTCCTGGCGTCTCCATCGTAAATGGGAATCAATGCGAAAAACTGTATGTAAATCCATTTTTTAATTTTTTTTTTTTTTGAAATAGGCATAAATTAGATTTATAATGTATATATGTATATAGAATTGATGAAAAGTACTTGGATACTTCGGATACAGATGCATATCGTGTTGAGTCTTATCGATCTCAATCGAGTCGAACAGAAACGGTATCTCATCTTCGATCGTATTTTGTCACTAAATGCCAATTCAACAGTCCTCATCCTACACAGGAGCAAGCAAAGGATATTTATGAAGTAGCTGATCAGAATTTTTTAAAAAAGGCTACGGAACATACCCGTAACGTCTATGAACATGTTATGCGTCATGTCCTTCAAAGAACTGGACCTGTGATTAAAATGTATGATGTTGAAGGGACTCGTGAGCATCGATTAATTATTGGTTATCGTCAGAGAAGTACTCTGGGATTCTTTTCTGCAATGTCAGACCTTTATCATTATTATGATCTTTATTCTAGCCGCAAATATGTTGGTAAGTGATATTGAAGGAATGGGAGAGGGTTTTTTTTTTCTTTTTTTTCTTTTTTCTCTTTTTCTAACATCTTATTTTATCAAACTACTAGAACAATTTTCAAATGGTGTTACAATTATGGGATTGTACTTGAATCCTTTACCTAATACAAAATCAATTCCTATTGAGGTTTCTATCTACCAGGTGATGAAGGAAACTTCACTTTTATATTGTTTACCTAGAAATCCTCTTCAACAGTTTTTCATGACAAATAAACTTTCTGTACAAGAAACAGCCTATGGTTATGTCTGTTGGATCTTTTCACAACATTTCCTTAATCGTCTTGGTAAAGAATACCTCAGTTTAACAGAGACCTTAGATATCACAAATCCATTACATGAAGAGGTACTGGCAAAGATTAAAAAACGTCTAAGACAAGAGACATTCACTCGTGAATATATCCTTGATATCATTAAACAGTTCCCCGATCTGATTCGATTGCTTTATACTCATTTTGCTAAAATTCATTACGTCAATCAACTTGAAGCTACACTCAAGCCAACTCTATCCTATCAGCGCTTGAAGAGAATGGAAGACCTGAGTGAAGATGAATTGTTAAAGAAAATTAAACAAATGACCTCAAATCATCATGAACGACTCGTCTTTGAGGCCTTTCTCACATTTAATAAACATGTCCTGAAGACTAACTTTTATCAATCTACTAAAGTCGCTCTCTCCTTCCGTATAGATCCTAGCTTTTTACCTCAAATTGAATATCCTAACTCGCTTTATGGCATGTTTCTCGTCGTCGGTTCAGAGTTTCGTGGCTTTCATTTACGATTCCAAGATGTCGCTCGTGGTGGGATTCGGATCATCCATTCTCGTAACCGCGAGGCTTATTCGATTAATTTACGTACCTTATTTGATGAAAATTATGCATTAGCAGCTACACAGGAAAGAAAGAATAAGGATATCCCTGAGGGGGGATCAAAGGGTACCATCTTGCTCGATATAAATCAGCAAGATAAAGCTCTAGCCGCATTTGAAAAATATGTGGATTCTATATTAGATCTATTGATCACGGGTCGTACCTTGGGAATTAAGGAACCATTAGTAGATTTGATGAATAAACCTGAAATTTTATTTTTCGGTCCTGATGAAGGAACAGCTGAATTTATGGATTGGGCTTCGAATCATGCTCGACGTCGTAATGCAAGTTTTTGGAAAGCATTTACAACTGGTAAAAGTACTTCTCTTGGTGGTATTCCTCATGATAGGTATATATATATATATATACTTGCAAAACGAACGAACGAACGAACAAACGAACGAAAATAATCCTTTTTTTTCCTTTTTCTTTTGAATAGATATGGTATGACTACTCGCTCTGTACATCAATACGTATTAGGGATTTACCGTGAGTTTGGGTTGAATGAAGAAGAATGCACTAAACTCCAAACGGGTGGACCCGATGGTGATTTAGGCTCAAATGAAATAAAGATTTCAAAGGATAAAACGATTGCTATAGTAGATGGATCAGGTGTTTTATATGATATCGCAGGTATTGATCGTATAGAATTAAATAGATTAGCTACTGCACGTGTTATGATCAACCAATTCAATGTAACCAAGCTTTCATCCCAAGGGTTTCGGGTTCTTGTTGATGATGAGAATATAAGATTACCTAATGGTGAAATGGTTGAAAATGGATTTCAATTTCGCAACGTATTTCATACACATCCATTAGCACAAGCTACTGTCTTTGTTCCGTGTGGTGGTCGCCCTGAATCGGTTGGATTAGATAATGTACATACACTTCTTGAAGGAGAAAATGGTCCTCTTTTCAAGTATATCGTTGAAGGTGCAAATCTCTTCTTTACACAAGAAGCTCGTCTTCGTCTTGAAAAAGCGGGAGTTGTGATGTTTAAGGACGCTTCAGCCAACAAAGGCGGTGTTACTTCCTCCTCACTTGAAGTACTAGCAGCCCTTGCCTTTAACGATGCTGAATTTGAAGAACATATGTGCGTTAAAGAGGGGAAAGCAGCACCCGTGTTTTATGATGCCTATGTTAAAGAAGTTCAAGATATTATTGAACGCAATGCAAGACTTGAATTTGAAGCACTCTGGAGGGAACAGAAAAAGACTGGTACAGCCATCTCTATTCTTTCGGATGAATTATCAAATGCGATTGTGCAACTCAATGAGCAACTTCAAAATACCAGTCTTTGGGATAATCAGCATCTCCGTAACGCAGTTTTAAAGCAAGCTTTCCCTAAATTATTATTAGAGAAGCTAGGAATGGAAACTTTGTTAGACCGTGTACCTGAGAATTATGTCAAGGCTATCTTTGGTGCTACATTGGCTTCTCAATTTGTTTATAAATACGGTCCACATCCTGATAATTTTGCTTTCTTTGAATTTATGCGTGAAAACTATGAGTAACTTATATTTTATTTTTATTTTATTTTTATTTTATTTTATTATTGAGGAAAACTGAAAGTAGCATTTTTTTTTCGTATCTATGCTTTATGTATCTTTATTCATATTATTAAAAAGAAACAAAGAAATTGAAGATCAAATAAACTTTACGTTTGTATAATTGATGAATATAAAAATTAAATATCCGATAAATTTATCTTGATTGAAAAAAAAAAAAAAAAAAAAAAAAAAAAAAAAAAAAAAAAAAAAAAATCGCGTTAAAAAACATTATAATTGAGAGAAAAGGCGTTCCTTTTTTTTTCCCATTTTATTTTATTTTATTTAGCAAGTTCATTATGGTTGCTGTCAAGTTACAAAAGGAAGAAAATAGACAAGCCTTCCTTAAGGTTTTCCCTACTCTTGCTGATGAAGTACTTGCTGAACTTCGTAAATACAACATGCCTGAAGATGCCTATGAATGGACTAAAAAGGTTTTTTTTTTAAAAAAAAAATAAATAAAATAAAAATAAAATGAACTGCTGTTTCATCATCATCATCAAGTCAATTCTAATTTATTTGTATATTTTTGATTCTAATTTAGATGTTGTATTACAATGTTCCCGGTGGTATGTGCAGATCCTTAAAAAATAAAATAAACTGTGTAGTAACATAGTCTATAGGTAAATTAAATCGTGGTATCTCTGTTGTTGATACCATCCGTATTTTAAAGGGCGAATCTGTTACTGAAGATGAAATTTTCAAAGCTACTGTTTTGGGTTGGTTAATTGAATTTGTAAGTCTCTGTCAGTTTATTTATAAACATACCTTTTGTGCATTAATATATACATGTATATGTATAGCTTCAAGCTTTCTTTTTAGTATCTGATGATATTATGGATGCTTCTATCACTCGCCGTGGACAGCCTTGTTGGTATAAGTGTGATAATGTTGGAATGGTTGCTATTAACGATGCTTTTATTCTCGAGTCTTGCATTTATATCTTTTTGAAGAAATACTTTAAGAAAACTAATTATTATATTGAACTTGTTGAATTATTCCATGAAGTAAGATGAATTTCTGCTCTTAAGATGGCATTTATTGATGTTTTTTTTTCTTTTTTTTTTAAAAAAAAAGGTTACTTTCCAAACTGAACTTGGTCAACTCTGTGATCTTATTACTGCTCCTGAGGATCATGTTGACTTGGATAAATTCTCTATCAAAAAGTAAATTAGTCATTCAATAGCATATATATTTATATTTACTTTTTTCTTTTTTTTTTTCTTAGGCATCAATTCATTGTCATCTATAAAACTGCTTATTACTCTTTCTACCTTCCTGTTGCATTAGCCATGCACATGGTAAAATTTTGGTCGATAGTGTATGAATAAGCAAATTTTAACTTTTTATTATTATTGTTTCAAATAGGCTGGTATTAAGAATGAAGATGCTTTTAAACAAGCTCATGATATTTTGATTCCTTTGGGCGAATACTTCCAAGTTCAAGATGATTATCTTGACTGTTATGGTGCCCCTGAAGTTATTGGTAAGATTGGTACTGATATTATGGATAATAAGTGTTCTTGGTTAATCAACCAAGCTTTGGCTAAAGTAAATCCTGAACAACGTAAGATTCTCGATGAAAATTATGGTAAGAAGGATTCTGAAGCTGAAGCCAAGGTTAAACAACTTTATCGTGATCTTGATATTGAGGGAGTCTATAAGGCATATGAAGAAAAATCTTTCAATGATTTGACTGCCCTTATTAGTAAATTGGATGAATCTACAGGTATTAAAAAGGAAATCTTTACTGAGTTCATGGATAAGATTTACAAGCGTACAAAATAAATGGCACAAGTAGAAATGTTATAATAATAATAATAAAAGTATTTATTCTTGGAAAAAAAATATAAGTTGCTCTTACATAGTGTTCATGTTTTCAAGCATATATGAAGACAAACATATTAAAGTATTATTATTAGAATCAAAATAATAGCCAATAAACATCATTTTCGAGGATGCTCTTGATAATTTACGTAGTCGTTCAAGCACTCTACACGACCACGAATAAATAAGGAAACAAAATAATAAAGAATAGGTAGCTTATTTTCTTGAGAGCTAATTTCCATTAAAAGAGACGAATAAATTGGTTAGAAAGTAGCAATAGACTGTTATTCTATCTGCTTATATGATACTATATTATTGTTAGTGCATCTTCTTTAGTAAAACACTCTTTTCTCCAATAGTAATAAAAGAGTATTTATTATTTTATTTATCTACTTGTATTTAATATTTGGTTTATAATAATTGTTATACGCATCAATTCAATTCAAATGAACCAGTATATTTTATATCTCTACTACTAGATCCAATATGTAACGTAAATTCACCTTCTGGTACAATCCATTGATGAGAGCTGGCATCATAATAACTAAGTTCAATCTTCGTAAGCTCAAAGTGGATTGACTGAGATGATTCTCTTTGGATGAAAACCTTTTCAAAGCCACGAAGTACTTGAGGCGGTTCATTGGCTATTTTAGGGAAGGAGAGGTAAAGCTGAGGTATTTCAGCTCCATCAAGATGTCCCACATTTGTAATTGTAATACTGACTGATACTTTCACATTAGAATCTCGTGAGTTGCCATTAATAATATTAACTCTTCCTTCAGAATATTTAAATTTAGTATATGAAAGCCCATATCCAAATTCAAAAAGAGGTTCAATTTTATGCTCATCAAACCAACGATAGCCAATGTAAAGACCCTCCGAATATCTACACTATACAATATATATTTATATCAAAATAAGTATCTTTATCTCTAATTATTGTTTTTACAGTCATTTCAGATGCAATGTTAGTAGGATAATCCGCTTCATTTTTAGCAATAGTATATGGTAATCTTCCAGATGGATTAACATCACCAAATAAAACATCAGCTAGAGAATTACCAGTTTCTTGACCAGGTAGTCCTGGCCAAACAATAGCTTTAATATTAGGATGATTTATCCAAGGCATAAGAACAGGTCCAACTGAATGAATTACAACAATGGTGTTTTTATTAGCGTCTGCAACTGCATTGACCTATTACAATTAATTAAAAAAAAATAATAGTATGCATTAAGTATTTTTTTTTCTTTCATAAATTAATTATCATTATTACTAATTTGTCACCATCATGCCAGAGGTGGAGGTGATTTCGATCACCTTTATGTCCTTCTACTGTAATAAATTCTTCGCCAGAATCAGCATTGACAAAGACAAGAGCGACATCAGCATTTGATGCATATCTAGCTGCGTTTTCAAGATCATCATCTCTTAAATGTGCAGTAATGATCATATCAGTACCAGCTCTTTTACGAATACCATCTAAAGGCTATATTATATATATATGTTAACTGGTTTTTAATATTTATATATATATATAACTTACAGTAATTAAGTAAGGGAAAAGTGCGGTGCCAGAGCCCCATCCTTGTGCTAAAGTTCCAATATTGCATCCTTGATCTGCACAACTATTAAGCCCCCTTTTTTTTAAAAAAAATATATATTTATAAACATAGATAAAAAGACATGATTAATTTCGTCCAAAATGAATAGTTTGGTAATTATTTGTATTACTACATACATAGGATTAGGTCCTGCGTCTGATCCAATGATGGCTAACTTTTTTGCATCTGTTAGTGGAAGAATGTTATCAGCGTTCTTTAATAAAACAATAGAAGCGGCTCCCATTTGTCTAATTAAATGTTTATGATTTTCTTGAACATCAACATGTTGACTTCTCTCGGGCCTAAAACTATCAAAATTAACTTCAGGGAATCCCTAATAAATAATAATATTAATGATGACAATACTATTTTGAGCTAATTAAGTATACCTTATCTTGCCCTAACTAATTATGTTAAAAAAAAAAAAAAAAAAAAAAAAAAAAAAAAAAAAAAAAAAAGAGAGAGAGAGAGAGAGAGAGAATTAATTATACTAATTACGACTGATTTGCTAAATAAACATTACTTTATACCAAGAGGCAACAATCCTCATTGCCATATCAGTTACTCTATCCTCCGTAACTTTACCAGTATGAACGGCTTTTGTCAAATTGGCTCCAAAATAAGAATCGCCTGAGTTAAAGAAAATATCACCTTTGATTTTTTTTTTTAAAAAAAAAAAATTAGTAATTAATTTTGTTTTATTCCATATGTATATATTATACCAGGCATAGTCATATCTAGACCGTTGTTAGCACTATCTTCGGTTGAATGTGTTGCACTCCAATCACTTTGAACAAATCCTTTAAAACCCAATTCACCTTTCAACAAATGGTTAAGGATATAGTTATTTTCACATGCATATGTGTTTTCAAATTTATTATAAGCACACATAACAGAGACAACACCAACTTCAACTGATCTTGCAAATGGCCACAAGTATACTTCATGAAGGGTACGTTCATCAATATGAATTGAATGCTTTTTTTTTAAAAGAAAAAAGAAATAAAGAAAAGAAAGCATATAAATAAATGATTAAGCTTAATCTTTAGTCTATATATATATATATATATATATATATATGCATATAATACCTCTAAACGATTTGTTTCTTGTTCATTTCCAATTAAATGTTTAGCTACTGCCATCTGAATATGTAAGATAAAAAAGAATTATTACTTGTTTTTATTTTTATTGATGAATACCTACCACTCCTTTGCTTTGGATACCCTGAATAGTTTCTGCAGAGGCAACGCCTACCAAATAAGGGTCTTCACCAAATGCCTCCCAATTTCTACCAGCATAAGGCGATCTCATCATATTCATGGAGGGACCTAATTGAGTATGAATCCCCTTTGCACGAAACTCAGCCCCCATGTATTCTCCTCGTTGACGAATAGCCAATTTGTCAAAACTAGCAGCAGCATTGATACCAGCAACACCGGAACTAACGCCATCCGTCATTCTAATTCCTAAAGGAGAATCTTGTAAGCATAACTCTGGGAAATCAGGGTCTCTTGTACGACCACTGTTTCCAATACATGGTCCAACCATCCAGCCTAAGCCAGTTGTAATATTGACTTTTTGCTCTAAAGTCATCGCTTCAACAAGTACCCTAGCTTTGCTGTAGGCTTCATTCCAGCTAAGAATCTCTGGAAGTGACTCCTGAACTGATGGTGACGCCTTAAAGATAATACCATCCAAAGGATTATTCATCATATTATGTTGATGTATACTTGAATAATTATTGGCTTCCTGATGATAATCTACTACATTACGGTCTAATAAAGCATAGACATTATTGGTTAATTGACATATGCTAGTTAGCGTTAAAAATAAATTCGGCTTCATTTTTATTTATATAAAAGATAAGAAAGAAAAAGAAAACTGAATAAAAGAAAAAATATTTCTTATATATAAAAATATAAAGAATATTAGAAGAATTCTTGTATTAACTACATATCTACATTCGTGTTTTAAAGTATCGTATATTTACTTTTCAGCTACTATTTAATAATCTTAAAAAAAGAAAAATAAATAAATGTTGAGAATTATGTCTTAGTTTCAGTTTATAATTCGGCAGATCAATAACGTTCTTATATTTTTTTTTCTGTTTTGTTTACTTTGAGAATTCTTCTCTATTTTATACATGACTGTTAATTAACCAATAGAGAATACATCTATTATCCCAAAGGTATTGTGTAGATATTTTTTTATATCACCTTATAGGGCATTATTGGCGTCTGCAGTGCCCTAGACTGTTGTAACATTGAACACATTTCAAATTTATCGATAATTATCCTTCTTTAGTAGCATAAAGTTTAACTAACTTGTGAACTAATTCAGTTATTTGTTAAAGATCAAAATGTAAAAGAAGAAGAAAAAAACTTTCTTCTGTATACTTTGATTCCTTGTAAATGATAAAAGGAACTATTCTCTCAGATGCGTAGATTAATTGAGTGTGTGCCATTTAAAAAAGTCATGATTTCAAAAGTGAATTTGCATCAACATGGACTAGATGAGTAAGTTTAAACTTGACTAGTTTGTATTGAACAAGAAAGATATTTTTCTTTTTCTTTCTTTTTTACATGTAAAGATAGAAACCAGTAACATGAACAAAAGTGTATTAATACTTTATTTAAATATTTTTTTCCACTTACAAGCTATTCATCATTGGTAATAAAGAAGTGTATATTTGATTCATAATGAATTTAGTGATCCATACACATTTTTTCCATGTGTATACATATACATTAATAAAGAAGAAGCTGTCTATCCAGCTATACACTACACATCTTAATTATTATTATTATGTTGAGCACATATTCAAGAAATACATTAAAGAAAATTCACACTTTTAAATAATATTTAGAAAATAATAGATTTTATTACAATTATACAGTTTATAAGCAATAATACATATTTTATATATAAAAAAGAGCTAAAAAGTAAAAGTTAGTTAGTAAGAACATTATTTTATAAAAAATAAAATAAAAAGTCAATAAAAAGCCAATTGAACATTCAGGTCTAAAATATGGGGTGGAGGGTCTAAAATATAACATTATGGAGAGATAATACTAGAATGACGATTGTTGAGACCAAGTTGCTGAAGAGACCCATTTGTTGCACCCAGCCCGGTGGGGATATAGAGACGCCTACCCTCTACCTATTACCCATCAGTAAAGGGTAGAATGATATACTAGTTGCCCACCTTCACATCTACCTGTCAATGTGTCCCGCATAGATAGAGATATATTTATATGTATATCGTCATCATTATGTTCAAGTCTATGGTTTTTAAAGAAGAAGAAGAAAGATAATAAGATAAGAGAATAAATAACAAGAAGAAGAAGAATAATAAGAGAATAAATAGAGAAGAAGAAGGATAATAGTAAGAAAAGATAATAAAGAAGAAGAAGGATAATAGGGAAGAAAGAGGAATTTTGTTTGAAAAATAAGACGTGTTTATATCCTTTTTTTTTTATTTTTCCTTTTTTTTTTTTTTTTTTATTTTTTTTTTTTTAGCTTAGCTTACTTTTTTTAAGGAGAGAAAATGTAGAGTAAGTGTATTAAAATATACGTGTGATTAATTATGAAAAATCATGCATTGTATAATTTTTTTTTAAAATAAAAAGCTAAAATTATTATGTGTACTACTGCAGTCTAAAGAAGGAATATGTTTCATCAAAAAAAAAGTAAATAAATATTAATAATAATTTGTATTCTATACAATTAACTAACTACTCTTCTGTAATAAAACAAAGCATTGAACATTTTATATCTTTTTTATCTTCTTGTTCATGTATATATTATTATAAGCAAAGCATAAAATATACCTTTTCAAAAAAGGAGAAGATAAGGAAAAAAATGTAGTAATTAAAAAAGATAAACAAAGGAGAAAGTAGGAATTCAAAAGAGGAAACATGTATACAATATGTAAATAAAGAAAGGAGCCTAGGCCGTTTTTTTTTTTGTTTCTTAATCAAGAAGAAGGATCAGCACTAATATATTCTCATATCATATCATGCATATTGTTCTATTAATATATTATTTTAGGTTAACCATATGGCGTATAATATTACTATACTATATAGAAAGTAGCGTGTAACAAACAACAATAAGCAAAATCTAGAGCGTACATAAGCTAATGTTATCTTTATTACTACATAGTACAGCATAGTATAGTACAGTGCAGTATAGTACAGTATAGTATGTATATAATGACTGTATCGTAATATTATCACTTTATATACAAGGAAATCAATTTAAACATTTTCATAGACACTAATTTAGTAAGAAGAAACAAGATAAAGACGTATGTAAACAATCTAAACATATAGGCCTCATTATATATTTAATTTATGATGCGTATAGGTCATACAGTAAATTAGTATGATTTACTATATGCACATTTTTTTTTCCTTTTGCTAATTTCTTGTGTTTCCTTACGCAGATTAAAAAAAATAAGGGGGGAGGAGGAGGAGGAGGAAACACAAGAAATTAGCAAAAAAAAAAAAAAAAAAGTAATAATAATTAATGACAAAACAATGGCTACAACTGCAAAAGCAGATACAACAACTGAGTTTTTCTTTTTGAATTATTTGGCCAACATAATAGATTTTTTTGACAAGAATAAGCTGAAAGGATATTATATTATAATGGGCAATGATCTTTTTCACAGATATATTGCTATGAGAGAGTTTATTAACAAAAGAGATTACAAATGTGCTTATTATGTGATATTACTTGCAAAATATCAAATAAAAAAATATTATAAAATAAAAATAATAAAAAGACAAAAGAAGTCAACGAGAGCGAACAATCGTTCTGAAGTCAATGATTTTATTTATAAATTTAAATTGATGGGGTATTTATAAGAACTGTTAAAGAGGCCCGACATAAGATGCGAATCATAAAACATATTAGTTATGACTGAATAAGATATGGTATAGATAATGAAGCGTTAGAAGTTTTAATATTATTTGATAAAGTGGATCAAGAGAGTTTCAAGAGAATCTAGATAGAGTTCCTTGAATAAATTTATGATCCGCATGTTTAATCAAGAAACATGACATTATAAGCAAGCTCATGACATATTATTTTCCCTATCCATCCTTTTCTTAATCCCATCGGGAAGTTTTGATCAAAGGTAAAGTATGGTGTTAAAAGGAGACCTTTCGATGGCAGCAACACGTTAGCATCTCGGATTGTAGAAACTTGTTCTCAATTTACTCTAATAGACTGTTAGGGATGGATAAGGCACCCTATTTCATTTTTTGAGCGTTGCCTCTCTATGGAAAAGAACACTAAAGCTTTTGATCCTCAAAAATTCTCAAAATTCTCGAAATTCATTTTTTGTATAAACAAATCTTTAATGCCGCTGGTTGCAATATATTTTAGTGCTTCATTTAACGTTATTAAACCAATTTTAACTCTCAATAAAAGCATTAGGTTGTTTAAAGAAGAAAGAGACTATAACTAAACAATGACTGTTGTTATTAAAACTGAATGTAGAATGAATACTATGCCGTGAAGTATAATACACTAGTTTTATTTGAATAGCCCCTTTACTATTTAATAAATGATGGTTTATTTCAATTAACTTAGTTGTAAAGGCGTCTACAATTATAGCAATATCGTCCAGAAAGATGCAATAAAGGACTTCATTGATGCATGGATGCGTCTAAGACGATATGTTATTATTATTAAAAGGATTTATTTTTTGAAAGTGACTCTGTAACAACTCATGTATTTTTTTCTCTGAATACTTCTCCTGTTGATTGACTCTCATCACCGTCACTGAGCGCGAAATTCTTGTCTGAGGCTACAGCAAACAATAACTTACTGGATATTCATACAGTTCATATTCTAACCCAGATGTAAATATCAACAAAAGTTTAACACTGACCTGGTCTGATATTTCGAGATGTTATCAATATGATCGTTAATATCTTTATTTGGATTGACCAATTGTTCAATAGAAGGTTCCTGTGTGCACCACTACTTATCACCGATGTTACAATCCGTTTTTAGTTCTGATAGTCGTTTCCCAATCCAATGGTAATATAGTAGTATAAATATCTACGATTGTTATGAATGGATAGCTAACGGTTTTTTTTAATGGTTATATAGGGCCAACGGTGAGTAGAAAAGCAACAAGACTAAAGTATACAATTCAGATTTCATGGTTTACAGTATATTTATCAATATCAAGTGTGTTATTGTCACATCTGACTTCAAGCCTCAAAAAAAAAAAAAAAAAAAAAAAAAAAAAAAAAAAGAAAACTCAGTAATGGAAACAAATCTGGTGAAACTTGGCAGACAGATGCGCGTTACATACGATGATCTAGTGATGGGTATCGTATGTTAACATTTGGAATGGATTTAATTTCACCAAAATTGTACTGACTGATCAAGTTCTTTCAGGTGAATATATTTCGTAATTTTGTCCAGCTATACTTTTTGCCAAGCCTTTCATCGAGATTAGTACAATTACGAGTAAGAAGGGAGTCTTTAATTGAACCGTAAAGTATTTATTAACTTCAAATTTTTTTATAATAAATAATAACAGAGCATTGCATTGGAAACAATTACAAAAGCGGAATCAATAATTATTATTGTCTCTGAAAATATGTAACGTCAGCCATCAATATCCTTATTATCCTAGCTATCATTTGATGGCTATCTATTGTAAAAACAATCAAAAAAATTCGCCTAGTGAACCATCAGCAAATTCTTAAATACTTTTTACTTTCCTTCTTTTTCGATAATGACGATAATTTATAAATAAAAAAAGACAGCACGATCAATCCAACGATCTACCAAAGACATCTTGCTCCGAAAATGAACTTGTCTTTATTGATAGTATTAAGAGTATCGAGAGTTTGGAATTATAATATATAGGCTGTTTATGTTAGATCTTACGTGTTAAGTTCTAAAAATATGCGATAAACAATTTTTCTTAAAGCGACTGTGATGGTATGATTTAAATAAGAAAGAGAAAGAAGAAAAAGGAGAAAGAAAACAAAAGGAAGTATAGTTTGAGATTGTTTATTCAATGTAAAAAGAAAAAAAAAGACTATTTCGTGTCTAAACAACTACTTGTATTCATACTAATGAATTCTGAATCAAAGAAATAAAAATAGCTATAAAAAAGATAAGCCATGAAACAGAGTTAGTATTCAGATAAACATCTCGTTGATTCAAGAGACTGATCTATGGATCATCTACTCGGTATTATAATGATTTGATTAAAGTTTTAAATAAAAAATTTATTGTTTGATCTGAGCATAGGTCCCTGATATCTTTTATATTTTCATTTTATTGGATCAAAGACAACTTGAATCCTTTGTCAAGTTTATAAAAATAAATATGTAGAAATGATACGATATCTTATTTAGTTGATGCATTTAGATGATTGGGTATCATTAAGTTCTTTATTATTTACAAGATGTTATATACAGAGTTTTGTTTCATATTCAGGCTTATAGTTTATCCTTTATTATGTAATTCATCCACTATAATATTACTTATGCTTTTATCCAGAGCTTGTTCTATAATAAATATCATAAAAAGGTTCATATATACTATAGCCCAAACAATATAACAAAGTATATTATTTGATGCTTTAATATAAATTATTTATAATAATAATAGTAAATATTAATATTAAAAGTAGTTTTTTTTTTTTTTTTTTTTTTTTTTTTTTTTTTTTTTCCTGATATATATAATATTAATCCTTTTCTTTTAATACTTCTTTTTTTTTTCCACAGCCAAATCACTAAAGCTTTTTTATTTGAAATGCATAAATCTTACATACACAAGTTGTAAGAAAGAAGCGTTCAGACTGATTTTAAAAGTAGTTCATCAGATAAGACAGTCTATTGCTATCATGATCATGGTAATAAAAGAAAAATAAGGCACAAAGACTATAGTATAGATAGATAGGATATATTGCACAAGAAGCTTGACTAAAAGTGCAAAATAGATAAATGATAGTATGATCGTATGCTGGTAGTTTCTTGTATATATACTTGGAATTATGACACAGACTACCCTTTATTATGTAATACATTTATTCTATTCTATTAGTACGTAACGTCTGCTTCTTTTGCCTCTTTTTTTTTGCTAATTTCTTGTGTTTCCTCCTCCTCCTCCTCCCCCCTTATTTTTTTTAATCTGCGTAAGGAAACACAAGAAATTAGCAAAAGGAAAAAAAAATGTGCATATAGTAAATCATACTAATTTACTGTATGACCTATACGCATCATAAATTAAATATATAATGAGGCCTATATGTTTAGATTGTTTACATACGTCTTTATCTTGTTTCTTCTTACTAAATTAGTGTCTATGAAAATGTTTAAATTGATTTCCTTGTATATAAAGTGATAATATTACGATACAGTCATTATATACATACTATACTGTACTATACTGCACTGTACTATACTATGCTGTACTATGTAGTAATAAAGATAACATTAGCTTATGTACGCTCTAGATTTTGCTTATTGTTGTTTGTTACACGCTACTTTCTATATAGTATAGTAATATTATACGCCATATGGTTAACCTAAAATAATATATTAATAGAACAATATGCATGATATGATATGAGAATATATTAGTGCTGATCCTTCTTCTTGATTAAGAAACAAAAAAAAAAACGGCCTAGGCTCCTTTCTTTATTTACATATTGTATACATGTTTCCTCTTTTGAATTCCTACTTTCTCCTTTGTTTATCTTTTTAATTACTACATTTTTTTCCTTATCTTCTCCTTTTTTGAAAAGGTATATTTTATGCTTTGCTTATAATAATATATACATGAACAAGAAGATAAAAAAGATATAAAATGTTCAATGCTTTGTTTTATTACAGAAGAGTAGTTAGTTAATTGTATAGAATACAAATTATTATTAATATTTATTTACTTTTTTTTTGATGAAACATATTCCTTCTTTAGACTGCAGTAGTACACATAATAATTTTAGCTTTTTATTTTAAAAAAAATTATACAATGCATGATTTTTCATAATTAATCACACGTATATTTTAATACACTTACTCTACATTTTCTCTCCTTAAAAAAAGTAAGCTAAGCTAAAAAAAAAAAATAAAAAAAAAAAAAAAAAAGGAAAAATAAAAAAAAAAAGGATATAAACACGTCTTATTTTTCAAACAAAATTCCTCTTTCTTCCCTATTATCCTTCTTCTTCTTTATTATCTTTTCTTACTATTATCCTTCTTCTTCTCTATTTATTCTCTTATTATTCTTCTTCTTCTTGTTATTTATTCTCTTATCTTATTATCTTTCTTCTTCTTCTTTAAAAACCATAGACTTGAACATAATGATGACGATATACATATAAATATATCTCTATCTATGCGGGACACATTGACAGGTAGATGTGAAGGTGGGCAACTAGTATATCATTCTACCCTTTACTGATGGGTAATAGGTAGAGGGTAGGCGTCTCTATATCCCCACCGGGCTGGGTGCAACAAATGGGTCTCTTCAGCAACTTGGTCTCAACAATCGTCATTCTAGTATTATCTCTCCATAATGTTATATTTTAGACCCTCCACCCCATATTTTAGACCTGAATGTTCAATTGGCTTTTTATTGACTTTTTATTTTATTTTTTATAAAATAATGTTCTTACTAACTAACTTTTACTTTTTAGCTCTTTTTTATATATAAAATATGTATTATTGCTTATAAACTGTATAATTGTAATAAAATCTATTATTTCCTAAATATTATTTAAAAGTGTGAATTTTCTTTAATGTATTTCTTGAATATGTACTCAACATAATAATAATAATAATAAAGATGTGTAGTGTATAGCTGGATAGATAACTTCTTCTTTATTAATGTATACATATACACATGGAAAAAATGTGTATGGATCACTAAATTCATTATGAATCAAATATACACTTCTTTATTATCAATGACGAATAGCTTGTAAGTGGAAAAAAATATTTAAATAAAGTATTAATACACTTTTGTTCATGTTATTGGTTTCTGTCTTTACGTGTAAAGAAAAAGAAAAATAAATTTGAAATGTGTTCAATGTTACAAAGGCAAAGCCACATACTATCACGGCAACCATGTCAGCCTCCAGTGTAATAAACGTACAGTTAAAGGTTCCAAAAGGCCATATCACCATCGAAAAAAAGGAGAGAATTTAAGAGGGGTTGTCAAGAAGCCAGAGATAGGAAAAGGTGGGCACGGTAACTGGCAATTACTTCAATTTTTATCGCTAGCACGATAAAAATTATGAAGAGTTTAAGGGACATTATCTGATAATGAACAACTGCCCTATTCATAAACACGCTGATATTCGAAAGTATATTGAAGCCCATGGTTACAGTTGTGTTTATCTTCCCCCTCTTACTTACCCACCTGAACTAAATCCAATTGAACAGTTTTGGCCTGTTTGTAAGAGTAAAGTCAAGACAGAAATACTACTTGAAGAAGAAACGTTGTCTGAGAATATCAGAGAAGCTTGCAACAATGTGCTCGCAAGCGATCTCCAAGGATTTTACAGGCATTCAGTGTCAAGATTTGAAGACTATTTAAATAAAAAACCGATTTAATAAAGATATGTCAATACATCGATTTTTATTTTATTTATTTTTTTAATAATGCTTGAAATTTATTTTGCTAAGAACTTTTTTTTTTGGAATTTCTTCTGGTTAGTGCGTGAAATTATTTTTATCACACTACGTCCGTATATTACGTAATAATAAGCTGACAAATATTTTTTTTTCATTTAAATTTGATCAAAGGATCGTACAGGGGGGAAGGGTAAGCAAGAGAAAAAGATAATGAAACATAGCTAGTAAGCGCTAATAACTATGAATGCATGTATATAAAACACATGCATTTTGGTTATTTCATATTAAAGCATGCAATGTATGTGTATGATTTCTAATTACAAAATAAATGAATTTAATTGGCTTATTTTATAAGAAGCTTGATTATTAATAATACCTGTGACAACACAAACCCATTTCCCTTTTTCCTTTGATATATTATTACATTAAAAATATAACTATGGCTCCCTTAAAAGCTGAAAATTTCCCAAAGCTTCAAAATGATCTTATTCTTCGTGCTGCTCGTGGTAATTAGCTTTATTTTATTTTATTTTATTTTATTTTATTTTATTTTATTTTATTTTATTTTATTTTATTTTATTTTATTTTATTTTATTTTTTATTCTTAAATGAAATGTTCACATGTATTTGAAAAAAAAAGGCGAAAAGATCGAACGTGCTCCAGTTTGGATCATGAGACAAGCTGGTCGTTATTTACCTGGTAATAACTAATAAATATACACGATTGAAACATTGAAGAGTAAATAGTTATAACTAATGCAAAACTATAATAATTCTTTAGAATTTCAAAAACTTCGAAAAAACCATAGCTTTTTTGAAATCTGTCGTACTCCTGAACTTGCTTGCGAATTAACACTCCAACCTATTGATCGTTATGGTAAATTATTAGATGCTTCCATCATCTTTTCTGACATTCTTGTCATTCCACAGGCTATGGGACTTGAAGTGCTCATGGTAGCAGGCAGGGGCCCTGTTTTCACTGCACCTCTTGAAACACCTGAGGATTTTTCTCGATTGACTGAAAATGTCAATGTAACAAAGGAATTGGGTTATGTATATGAAGCTATTACTTTAACTCGTCATAAACTTGAAGGCCGCGTACCTTTATTAGGTTTTATTGGTGCCCCCTGGACATTAATGGCTTATATGATCGAAGGCGGTGGAAGTAAAACTTTGGCAAAAGCAAAGAGTTGGTTATGGAAATATCCAAAGGAATCTCATGCTTTACTACAACGTATTACTGATATTGCTATTGAATTCTTAGTAGGTCAAGTAAGAGCTGGTGCACAGGTAAATGCAATATATAATTAAGAACTAAAAAAATCCTATCATGCTTCCATATATCATTCTCTCTCTCTCTCCTGTACGCTAATTAAATCCTATTTATATTAGATGCTACAAGTATTTGAATCATGGGGTGGTGAGCTTTCTCCTTACGATTTTAATGAGTACTCTCTTCCTTATCTTCGACAAATTTCCACTAAAGTGAAAGAACGTTTAGTTAATGAAGGATTAGATCTTGTTCCTATGACTATCTTTGCAAAGGGCTCCTGGTACGCACTTAAAGAATTATCGGAATCCAACTATGAAGTGGTCTCTCTTGATTGGACTGTTGACCCTGTCTATGCACTTGAAGTGACGAATAATAAAGTAGCCTTACAAGGCAATATGGATCCTACTGCTTTATATGGTGGATTTGATGCTATTCGTGAAATTGCTACCCGTATGGTTCATGCCTTTGGTAAAGATTCGAGACATATTGCTAATCTAGGTCATGGTATTCTACCTACTGTTGATCCTGAAGCTTTAAGAGTCTACCTAGAAACCGTTCAAAAAGTTTCTGCTGAAATTAGAAAGTAAATTTTATTTTTAGATTCAAAAACCAACAACAACAACAACAAAAAAAAATAGTTTTATTTCTTGTAATATAGAATATGTATACTTTATTTTTTATTGTATTAACAAAAAATATATATATATAAATATATAATAAGTAAAAGTAATTTAGGACAAAAATAGATAAATGTATTGTAAATATGTAGTCTATGTAAAGGAATAATATCTAACATGAAACAAAAAAAAAGTTATTAATGTATATAATTAAGGGAGAGAAGGGAGAGGGGTGGGGCATATTGTGTATTATTTTTGTTTAACTAGAGCAATCAAAACCACTCCATCTTCGAAGTGCTTCACCTTTCCATTTAAGTATTACAAGACATATATTACCGACGTAGGCTAATGCAGCTAAAAGGACACATGTATAACCAGGACCAATAGCCCCCACCAAAGGGTTAACGACTAACGTCAAGACACAGGCCATAAGCATACGTACGAAATTAGCAGCCGCTGTAGCAGAGGCGCCATTACTAGGCATGGCATCCACAAGATAAGCAGAGGTAGCTGTCATGATTTGATTCATACCAAACGTCTGAATACCAAAACCAATAATAGCCCCCCACACACTAAGATTACGTGAAACACACCATCCGAAAAGTAAAATCCCAAGTGGTATACAAATTAAACCAGCAGGCCAAAGGTTCTCACTTAAGCGATCCTCACATTTCTTTTGACCACCACGAAGACGACGTGCACGAAGTAAAAGTCGATCAGAAAGCATACTATTTACTATGGAGCCTATAAGATTGCCAATACCTGCCCCAAGATAACTCAGACCTAAAGAAGAAGAATAAAAAAAAAACCAGTAATCAATATGTAAGGTGCTTTTTTTTTCTTTTTTCAAAAAAAAATAAAAATAAAATAATAAAAAAATTAATTAACCTGTTTGCCATGCATTAAATCCATAATGCTGCTCGAATAAATCAGGAAGCATAGTTTCTACAGCAAACATACAACCAAAAGCAATACCTGAAATAAAAGACGCCAAAAAAATGAAAGGATGTCGTAATAATAAAAAGGGAGCAATAGGATTCATACGCTTGTTAGTAGGTGGTGCAATTGTTGTCTTTTCATTAATTGTATTCTTTGATCTATTAAGTTCTTCTTGTGTCATTATTTTATCTTGTTGTGTAGTGACTTGATTTAATGTAGAGCTACTGCTTCGAGAAGGAGAATTGTCGTTATTGTACGTGATAGTTAAATTAGGATCACTACTGTTGTTATTAACAACTGGTAATTGTAAATCAAACTTGTCATTGACTCGATATGTTTCAGGAAAGAAAAAAAATAAATAGCCAAAAATGGCTAGAGCAAAAGCAAAGCAAAACCAGAAGGTAGCACGCCATGAAAGAGGGCTCATAATTAAGAACCCACCTATGATTGGGCCTAATAAAGGGCCAATAAATACGCCAAAAAAGTATTTACCAAATGCTGTACCTCTTTGTTCAATCGGATAACAATCCTATATATATAAATATATATATGTATAAAAGAAGAAATATTATTGATAAACATATGCTATACTAGGTACGATTATTGTAATACTTACTGCAATGGAACCTACAAAAATAAACAAATAAACACATGAAAATATGAAAATATACAGTAATAAAACTATCCATTTTACCTGCTCCTACAGATTGGCCACAGGATGAGCCTACAGACTGAACACATCTAAGAACAATTAAAGCCCAAATATTATTAACAAAAGCGCAGCCAATTGAAGAAGCACCAAAAATGAGAATTGAAAGCATAAGAGGGAAACGTCTCATTTGAAAATGATCAGAAGCAGAGGCCCAAAAGATAGGCGTAATACCCATTGCCAAAACAAACAAAGCAGCTGTCAAAGTAGTTGCTATAGAGGGTGCATGTAAATCTACGGTTACATCGGGTAACCCTATATTTAATAAAATTAGATATTTATTACTGCTATTTATTTATTTATTTATTTATTTATTTATTTATTTATTTTACCAGGAAAATAAATTGTACTAGAGAAGCCTGAAGTACTTGCACATAAGCTAATACCGACTAACATAATCCCTTTCATAGTTCGACTAAGATTTCGAGGATCTGAATCGACAGGCGGCTTAATCAACAACCTTGATTTAATTACGCTTTTCCATTTTGCTTCTACTTTTTCTGACATCCTTCAACGTAAGAAAAAGAAAATAATAGAGAGATCAAAAAATTTCCAATTTAAAAAAAAAAAATAAATAAAAAAGATTAATGCATTTTATATTATTTTCAGTCACACACTACTACTATTTTTTTTTTTTTAATCCGGCTTCTCCGCGCCTGTAGTTTGCCCATGAATGCGCGCCTTCCTTTACAATGCTTCATTTAATGGCGTATTTTTTTTTAAAAAAAAAATAAACCTGTTTAATACTTTTTTTTGATTTTTGTTTTTTTTAAAAAAAAAGGAATTGGAATTATAAACAATTGAAAACTCTAATAAAAAGAATCAAAATAATAGATTTATATTGTGTACATTTTTTAAAACGAACAAATTAGCTCCGATATTATAATAAACTTTTTATGAGAGAATTTACTATCCAATAGAGGACGACTTATAACCCAAAAAAAAAAAAAAAAAAATTACTTTTCAAATGGCAGAGAAAGATAAAACATAACAAGAGAAGCTGTAAACTTGTATATTTGGGCTTATTTAAATATATTCTTAAAAAAAATAAATATGTTTTATTTATTTGGCTTTAGTTGTTTTATTTCATTTTATTTCATTTTATTCTAAAAATATAGTTGCTGGTTCTTCAAGTTATACAACATCATTTTTTGATGTTTAACAAATACGTCTGGTGATATTTCTCGATGAACTGGAAATTTTGGCTTATCAAAGACAGCATTATTAGCTTCATTAATCCAATTACATTTACGTGTATAATCCTTGTAAAGGCTTTGGCAGATAAATTTTATAGAAATCCTGAAATCCCAGCTCAAATTGGCACTAATACATTCTTGTAAATCATTATATCGGATGTCTTGATAGTCAAGTACAACAGGTTTGTTACAAAAGCATAAAGGCCAATTAGGAGGTTCTTTACGATAATCATTATTGACCCCAAATAAGGCACAGAATGTAAAATTGAACATAGGGCACGTTCTAAGTTCAATGTATTCTGAACAAATATAATGGCCACTGTTTAACTGCTGAGATAATTTGATCCAAGGACCTTCATGGACATGGAAGCCACAAACTCTCTGCTTTCTCTTTTGTTGTTCATTAAAATAATAGTTATTATTGTTACTATTTGTACTCTTTTCTTTTTCAATAAAATCAATATTTCTAGAATAATTTGCACATTGTAAAATGGCTCCATATTCATGAGTAAAAATACGATCTGCTGGCTTTTTACAAAAACAAATAGGACTCAATGTACAATATTTTAGTTCTTCTTCTGTAGGGAACAAGTGACATCCAGGACATTCTTTTATATGTCTTTCATTTCTAATAGAGGCTATATCAGAAGAATTTATTGATTTATTATTAATACTCATATATATACATGTATATATATATAAAGAAAGTAAAAAAAAAAAAAAAGAAGAAAATAAAAAGAAAGAAGAAAATAAAAAGAAAGAAAAAAATACAAAGAAAGAAAGAAAAAGAGAGAAAAAGAAAGAAAAAAAAGGATATAAATATAAAGTTGTATTAAACTTGATTTATTATTATTATTATTTATCTTCGTTCAGTTCTTTGTCTTCTTTTTTATAAGATGACTGGTAATAATTTTGCATCAATTCTTTATACTTTATGGTTTTCATAAATTTTGGTACAGAATCTTGAGCCATAGTACGACATACATTTTCATTTACTTGATCATACAAATGAATTATTTTTAATAAACAGGTTTGAGGACTCTCTTTTACACCTTCCCTAATAGACATATATACAGGTCCATCATAGTTACCATTTTTCTTCTTTTTTCTAGAGATATCCGTCTTTCTTTGAAATGACAACGGAATATCACCGGATGATAAAAGTCCTTGAGAAGAGACTGAAATAGAGCCAAATGGTACATTCGACGCGTTAGCGATAGTTGTCTTTTTCTTTAAACGTGTTGTCTTACGTACATTTGAGCTATGGTAATGGCCATCATCACTACTAATACTACTATTACTATTACTTCTTCTTCTATTACTACTACTACTTCTACTACTTCTTCTTCTCCTTCTCCTACTGCTACTACTACTGCTACTACTATCATCGTCATCAGTTGAATTCATGGTGCTTGTAAAAGTGGACTGCATGTATTTTATTATTTCGTAACGAATACCATGAACGATGTTAAGTTCATTAGGTGCATTTTCAGGGCAAAAATAGGTATTGTAAATGGCACAGCAACGTACAAGAAGAGAGTTGCATAGGTTGGGCGTAATGGTTTGTATCAATTCAGGGGACATTCGTTGTTCTGTGTCATCATCCTTTCCACCTACAACAACAAAGCTCATCTTTTTGATGAGGGCATTATAGTCAACCCAAAAATTAATATTTTCTTCACAGAAGCAACTTTTAAGGAATTGACGGAAATACATACGAATTAAAGGGTCTTCTAAAATGTGTTGAAGACGTGCATGTTGAGAACTAGGGGGCTGTTGGTTTGTCTGATCATGAGACCCCTGAGAGTTTAAATCAGAACTACGTCGATGTTTAGTCAGTTTGAGTTGTTCTAATGTCTGTCGTAAACTTGGTACATCTTTTTCTGTTTCTTCTTCTTCTTTTTCTTCCTTTGTTATAGATAACTGGTTTCTAGCTGAGCATACCGTCGTCCCCATAGAAGATGTGGTCGATAGAGTAGAAGAAAAGCCAAAATCACATGTATTCTCAACCTGAAGAACTGATTCAGAGGTAACTATTTTATTATCTTCCACTTGCTCTTCTATCTCTGTGGTAGGGTTCATATTTGATGGCTCCATCGTTTTCGTTATAATCGCCTTTGGTGCTGTATTAAGGTCAGGGGATATAGCTGTAGTAGGTAAAAGACGACTGGCATGCTCTTCCTTTTTAGATCTAGTACTCAAGATAGCAGACGCAGGAGTGATTATGGTATTGTTGCTATCTATGCATATTATACTACTATTACTACTACTATTAGTAATGCCTTCGCTACCTGCAGTATGGGTTGTAGTTGAACTTTGTGTTCTTGATCTAGGGGTAGTACGTGCAATGGATGGACCCCCTGTCAAGAAATGATGTATGCCTTGATTAGAGTTAGATTCAATTACCTGACGTCCCTTATCAGTTAAATAGTATTGTGTCTTACGACCTGCTTTAAAAAGAATGGTTTTATCTTTTTTACTTAAATCACGATCTGATTTATCATAGATTTGAAGTATCCAGCCATATTGTATAAACTCAGCGGCAACCATTTCAGCTTCTTCTTTTGTGACGACACTTGTATATTCACTAATCCATTCAAAGCATTGATAACCATAAAATGTATCTTTATATTCTTTTATAGTATTCGTATCTATACCTAATATATATATATATGTGTGTGTGTGTATTTGTTTTTAATATACATGTATATATTCCAGTATTATGTTTATTTATTTATTTATTTATTTATTTATTTATTTTTTTATACCTCCAACGTCATCTATCATGATAGTATCTGTTGGTAACCACTCCATCATTATTTTAAAAATTTCCATCAAATTAGATCTAGAAAGGGAAAGTTGATCATCATCTAATAATCTCTCTAGTCTAACAATGGGAAAACTATAAACCCGAGCTAAACTAGATTGCATATGTTTAATTGAAACGCGGGCCCGATGACCAAAGTCCTGTATCATATATTTCCCCTTTGGGGTAGGAATCCAAATACCACGGTCTTTCATTGTCCTATTTTGAGGATCAGTAGCGTTCTCAACAAGTCGTGCATTAATGAAATGTTGACCTAGTGTCTTGGCCATCGTTCTGGACATATTAAAAGTCGTTGTTGTTCTACTTAAAATTGGGTTACTAGGGTCCAGTGGATTAGATGTAGACACAAGCTGAGTAAACTCTAAATGACTCAAAATTTCAACTGCTTCATCCGTTGTAAACGTGGAAGGATAAGTTCGAAACAAAGAACGATGATCTGTTAGTTGTAATTGAATCAAAAGGGCTGCCCATAGATCAAATAAATCCTATATAGATAGATATAAAAAAAATAATCCTTAGTTTATTCTATATACCTTTCTCACTTTTTTTTTTTTTTTTTTTTTTTTTTTTTTAATTTCATGCTAGTTTTAATATACCTTTGTATAGGGTCGGTCTTTTGAAGTACTGCGCATCATAGTAGTATAAGTTGATGTAGAAGCAGAATTAGGCATATTATCAAATATGAAACTATCAAAATCACAAAATAATAATAAAAAGAAAAAGAAAAGAAAATAAAGAATATATTTTTATATTTATATATGTGTAGAATATATAGAATTTTGTTATTGTCAAACAAGCTTTTTTTTTTTTTTTTTTTTTTTTTTTTCACCTTAATTCGAGATTTGAAATCGAAGAATAGAGATTTACACAAAAAAATAAATAAATTAAACTTTAAAGAAGAGTTAATCCATATACTACTACTATCTTTTATAAATCAAATCATTTAAACTGGTTTATGAGATAATTATTAAGCTTAGTTTAACTTTACTTGAACTTTGAATTAGAGTGACTTTATTATACGTGTTTTGTGTTAAGGTACATACAGTTCAACTTTTTATTTTAGATTATAGACAACTGACAGATATTTTGTTGAGAGAAATGCATGTCTTACCAATAAAGAAGAATCTTGCTGGATGCTTCCGAATGTCACTTTAACCTGTATATATATTATTTTATTACATTTTTTTTTCTTTTTTGAAAAGTAAAATAAAATAAAAGATTGCTTAAATTCACACTTTACGATGCTTTCGGCTATTATTTTAATATGAAGAATCTGTATTAAGGATATATATATATATGTGTGTGTGTATATTTTAAATAATAATAACAACATGCAAAGCCGTTTGTGTAGCCATGTTAGAATAATACAAAAATAAGGGGGGAAGAGAAAAGAGAAGAGAAGAGAAGAGAAGGAAAGCGAGACGAGAATACAAACGATAGTAAGACTTGAGAAGAAAATTATTATGTCTATAATAGATATACAGAATAATTAGTTTCTTCTTTCACAGTATTTACACTTACACTTGGACGTACTTCAATAAACTTTGATAATATTTTATCCATCATTGATTTTTTTAATGGTCCCCATGTAACAGACCATATTTCACCATCTTCAAATTCTTCCAAATCTTCCCAATTCCTAAAAACAGGTGATTTATTCAAGGGAATATTTCGACCTGAAGCTGTTGTAACAGATATTATCTTTCTTGTACTGAATGTCGCAATTGTATGAACCTTTTCAGCTAATGATTCCCCAGTTTCCTTTGGCTCAACTGAAATCCAAACAAGGTAGTCATTATTGATTGACTTTACTCTAATCTGTCGTATACTTTTATCTTTATATATATTGAAGCAAACCAATTCATAAATAAACAGCATAAAGCTCTTATATATATATATGTATACCTGATTTTTTAATAGTTGCTGATGAATCCATTTCTTGTGAAACAGGTTGTTCTTCTATTACGCTATGATCAAGATCAATTGTATCATTCGGAAACATAGTAGGTGTAGTAGTAGTAGTAGTATAATCAAGAGGTTGAGGTTCTACTACTGCATTATTGTTGACAATTAAGGGCTGACAAAAGCTATAATGGGAATTTTGTAAAATAGGATCCGGCATAGTATAGTAGTTATTATCGATATTCTGTGGTTGAAATAAAGAAACAGCAGTAGGTACTGCAGGTAATGGTTTCCTTTTCTGTATTCTACTTATTGTTGATGATGGTGTGTTATTTTGTGATACTTTCCACTCTTCTGTATTCTGTCGAGTTAAAAATGAATACGATCTTTGACATGTAACAGGATTTATATTAGCATTAAAATTCATTTAAAATTAATGTTTATAGGGTAAAAGAAAAAAAAAGATGTATAGATAGATATGTGTAGTAAATGTTTATAAGAAAGCAAAGGTGAAAGAAAAAAAAAAAAAAAAAAAAAAAAAAAAAAAAAAAAAAAAAAAAAAAAAAAAAAAAAAAAAAAAGAGAGAGAATAAATAATTACTATTCTTCTGCATGTCAAACAAACTTTAAAATTTGATGGATTAATATTTAATCTCCGAACCCTCTATATTAAATCTTTTTTTTTTTTTTTTTGGCCAAGTCAATAAGCTGACAAGTTGGTTAAGTCTTGCGAACAACATTTATAATAATAAAAAGATACTTGTACAAAATGATTTTTAACTCTCTCATAAATCCAATAATAGAACCCACTTCAGCCTTAGACATTCCTAAAGCTAATCTCGTATTCTAGTCTTTCTTAAATAAGTGCAATTTCTTGACGTTTACATTTTGCCTTATTTGGAGATTAATTTTGTTAATAAGGAAAGTAACAACAAACTATTTACTCTTCTTTGGAAATAATTTATATTATATAAAAAGAGTAATGTTTATTCATCGCCTTTTCTTCTTGTTTAAAATAAAGTCTTTTATATAGAAACAAGCAGCGATTATATAAGAGCTTTTTTTTTTTCTTTTTTTGACAGTCAAACTTGCAAATATTTGATACTTGATCAATAAATCCTTTTTACCCATTGGATAATAATCTTTACACTGTGCAACTATTCTGTCAATATGGACATGTTTAAGGAATAACGCTTGCTGCAAAGAATAGTTACTTATATAAAAGTAAATGCTATTGTAGTAGGTCGACAACACACTGTTATATAATGAATTTTGTTCTTAATTAACGAATCATTAGTGTACTTTTTTGTTTTTTTATTTTGTTTATCATGATGCTATTAATTATATTATAAAGCAAAAGAAGAAAAAAAAAATTCCTTCATTTAAAGACAGCAAATTCAAATTTTTATTAGTAGTAGTAGTAGTAGTAGTAGTAGTAGTAGTAAATACTACTTACTAGGCTATATTAAATATCCAATAACGTATCCACGGAACATAATTGGGCCGAACAATTCTATTGTTCTCTTCCGACAGATTAAAACAATAAGAACCCAGCAGCCATCTTTTTTTTTTTTTTAACTTTTTTTTTTTCTTTTTAAAAAAAAAAAACTGATAAATATATACTTTTATCTATTTTCTTCTTCTTCTTCTTCCAAGTACAGTAATTATGGATACAAAATTAGTTAAAAGTCTATCGTTTAATAAAAAAGTAGACAAGTCTAATGCAAAGAATATCTTTACAAGGTTAGGCAGTCCTTTTAGTACAAGATCAACACCTGTCACACCAGTAGAAGAATCACCTCAACAACATGAACATAATGATTATTTACCACCAGATTCATCAACAAAAACAGCTTCTTCTGAGGAGAAACAATTATTAAATGATCTTAAACATATTCGTACTGCATTGGACTATTTCTTAAATTCAAATATCAATGAAGCAGAAACTATTTTGAAACCACATTATAAAGAATCCATGTATTATTCATTAGGATATTCATTCATTTTATATCTCAAATGTGTCATGACTTTCCAACAAGATGATATTGATACTGCATTAGATGTATTAAAACATACAATCCAACTTGCTAACAATCAACGTAAAAAGGAAGGCGGTTGGTTAAATAGTGTTACAAGTTGGGTAAAAGGGACTACTTTAGAAGATATCAAAAATATGAACATTGTAGAAAGACATGCTGTAAGTCTATGACAGCTAATAATAATAACTAACTAACTAACTAACTAACTAACTAACTTATATATCTATATATCATATTTGTCAGGAATTGGTCTATGCAGAAGCTTATCTTTTAAAAGCTTTACTTAGTATTCTTCGTGATGAAAGTGTCATGTCGTTTCTTCGAGAAAGTTTAAATATTCGTAGTAGCTATAGCACCTATATTGCACTTCAAAGATATGTGGAATATACTAAAAATAATAATAGTACAGTCGTATTAGATAGCGACTTTACTTCGGGGGTTGCCTTAGGTATTGGTTGCTTCAGTATCATCCTTTCAATGCTACCTACTTCCGTTGTCAAAGTAGCGGAGTTTATCGGGTTTACTTCTAACCGGGTAGAGGGACTTCAGATCCTTGAATCTGTTGGTGGATGGGGGGCTGCTGATGACGATGATACTACTATGGATAATAAAGGTTTACGTCGTCAGTTATGTGATATGGTACTTATGGCCTATCATATCCTTTTATCCAAATTAATTCCTCTTTCTGATGTCGATATTCCATTCGCAGAAAGAATTTTAAAAAACAGTTTAAAACTTTATCCCCATGGTGTCTTCTTCTTATACTTTAATGGTCGTCTGATGGTCGGCAAAAGAAAGTTAGATGAAGCTGAAGAACAATATCAATTAGCGATTGATACACAAAAGGAATGGAAACAGTTACAACACATGTGCTTTTGGGAATTAGGTCTTATTTATCTTATGAAACATGAATGGCAGAAGGCTTATGATCTCTATAGTATCCTTCAAAGAGACTCTAATTGGTCTAAAGCCGTCTACAGTTATCTAAGGGCTATCTCATTGTATATGATGGCTAATGAAATAAATGATAAAGTAAAAAAGACAAGTTGTCTGGAACAAGTGACTAAATACATGAATCAAGTCACTGGTGAGAAACAAAAGATTGCTGGTAAATCCATTCCAATAGAGGTGAGTATATCATATACACGTACGTACCTTTTTTGTCGTTGCATGTTTTTTCCTTATATCAATATCTACGTAGAAATTTGTTGCTAGGAAAGCAAGAAAATTTACAAGTCAAAATAATTATCTCTTATTACCTGACCTTGAGATATTAAACGCGTTTGCAGCCTTTGATTTTATTCCAATGGATATTCTACAAAGGAATAGAAAAAGGATTATGAATGAACTCGATCATTTAACAAATAACCAAGATAAAATCATGAATTATTATGATGATCTTTGTTTAGCTCAGTATTTACATGCTATAACTTGTCGACAACTCTATGAACTAAAAGAGAGTGATATGAATACAATCCATACACTTCATGAATCCTCTCTTCAATCTGTATTTGATCATGCAGATAAAATAACACTTGATCATTATATTTATTATTTCAGTCGTTATGAACATGCTTGTATGTTTATGTTGGATAAAGATTATACTAAAGCTGAATCTGAAATCCAAGTGATACTAAAGGCAAATGATCGTGGACAATACAGCGTTGGCTCTGGCCCTCATGCGAAGAATAAATACAGTCTTGCAAGTGCTCTAGTTCTCAAATGCCATAATCTAATGACTAAAATTAAATATGAGTCTAAAAATTAATTTATTTATTATGATAGGTTAGTCATCTTTATTATATACCAAGCATTTACTTTTTTTTAAAAAAAAAATAAAAATAAAAAAAAAAGTCGTATTAAAGTTAGAATAAACGAAAAAGAAAGTATTAAAACCTTATTGAGATGGTTAATAATAAGAATAATAAGAAAAAATTGAATATTTGTCAAGAGAATGACATCTTCTAGACTTAACAGTGACATATCCGCCTTTCTTATATTTACATTGTGCCCACAAAGTTACAAAGATTCTTCTTGGTTTCTCTGAAAACCATTCCAAATTAAAAAATCGTTTTATGACCCTTCTCCTTTGATAGATAACTGGATTGTCCAAGTGTCTAGATTAACAAAGACAAGGCTGGAGGCTTTATTGGTATAAGATTTTACTATGGGTCGCAACGTAACATGTAGCCTATGTTTAATTCAATGAATAAGACTAGCATATTCCACTTGGAAAACTTACAAACACATCGAGTGAGTCTATGGAGAAACAAAACATAGCTTCCTGTTAAATATATAAATATTACTTGAATTGCATTATATAAGTCTCGTGTATCTTGTTTATTAATAATAATAAATAAAGTTACACTATTTTACTAATAATTTTGTATATTTGAAAATCTTTCGTCGGGGCTACATTTTTTTTTTTGATGCGCAGTGTAACATTGGTTCATTTACTCCAATAACAACCTGTACTCTTTTCAAGCCCTTTTTTTTTTCACTGCTCAGAAGAGGGAGTTCTTAGACTACTTGAGTATATTTTGAATTGATCCGGGCAAAACTGAGTGTTTAATATACTCGGGTTCAATTGCACAACCAAAATCTATAGTTACTCACAAAAAAAAAAAAAAAAAAAAAAAAAACCAATACGTAGATCCTTTCCCTTTTTTAATAAGTTTTCCTCCTTTATTCTTATTTTGTTCTCTTAGTTTAAAATGAAAAAGATCAGCTTGATAATGTTAAAAAAATTATCTATATACCTTATAATAGTCATGGTTGTCATTATAACATGGACTCAATTCGATTTAATCATTAATCTGAAAAAAGACAATTCTAGTAATAACACACTATTTGCAGAGACTAGTTTTGTCAAGTTTTCACAACAATCAAGCGAAGTTGACCCAGCTACTTGGCTTATCCAAACAATAGAAAATGAGTCAGTTTTGAAACAACCCAGTATTTTCCCTCCTTATATGGTCTTTTCCGCCGATAGTTATCCACCTGTTACAGCCATTGTTAATCGAATAGATGACAGTGATGAAGGCATCATTCAGAGTATACAACATTTATTAAAATATCCATTTTTTAAAGAAATTTTTATTTATAACCAAGTGAAAACAAGGCGACTATCATTAAAAGTAATTTGATATATAATAGGATATATGTATATTATTTAATATGATCTGTGTAGCTATTATATTCAAATATTACAAAATCTAGTCATTCTGATTATAAAGATATTCCAATTCATATTATTGAAGATACAAATACAAAGGTATCTAATAGCAGTATGATGGGGAAGTTTAGAGCATGCGAAATTGGAAGCTATGATAAATGCTATTTTCAAGATGATCTATGGTTAAATCCTTATCTTGATAGTTTATACACGCATTCATACAGATATCCTGAACATCTTATAGTGAATACAAGACCGGTTAATTATATTGATTATATAAAGTGGAGATTTGAGAATAAAAGTATATCATATGTTTAGATTATTTGCTAATAATAAATGACTTGTATAATAGATATTTCGTTACATACGGGCTATACAAATTTACGTTATGGAGGATTTATTCCTCGACATAAAGTACAACGGTTTTCAAGTCACCTCCTACGTAATCAAAAGAGATTTGAATCCTTGAATGCAGACTTTGTTGAAATTTATTTTTCAATTTGGTTGAATCAACATCCTTATCTGATCTTTAACCCATTATTATCTTCAGGACGCGATAGTTTCAAGGACATTGATACGATTAATAATAGGGCATCTATTGAATATTTCATGGTGCGTCTATCGATATATATGTGTCATTTGTTTATATTGTATACTTATTATCATTTTACTATAGTATGATGCCCTTTCAATGTTAGAAACATTCTTAAAAAATGACAGTTTATTATTTGAAAAGAAAGAATTATTACCATCTGTAGAAGAAAGAGATGTGAGGTATAAGACATAAAATAGTCATTATGTATATATATACATCTTACTTATATATATGTACACATCTTATTTATATATATACATATATACATATATACATACACACACACACTCACACTCACACATAAATACCATAAGATCAAGCTGTGCAAATGATAAATGCTTATTTATTACAAACATTGACCCTATGCCGCCGAATAGAATGAATGAAAATTATCTTCAATTTAATTCAGAATTTATAAAAAATTTGAGTCAATATGAAACTCTTTATCAAGATCAATTTAATCGTTCTATTCCAAGTAAATCATCCTATTTACATTCATCTTATCATAAAGCAGTAGATCAAGATACAGAAACATGCTGGAGTTCAGTTCATTGTAAACACATAAATATAGAGTAGACTATGATACACTAAATTCTTATATTTTATTTAGATCCTAAAAAAGGAGATTATTTTGGTTTATATATGACAGGAAATATTATAGCCAAAAGAGTGATGTTATATACGAATACTTTTGAAGAGGATGAACGACTGGATGAATTGTTTAAAATATCAGTTCAATTTGTACCTTTTGGCCCTTGGATAGACTGTGACATTAAATTGACTCCATTGACTCAATTAAGTTATCGTATTGGTTTTGATTTTGACTGTTTGTCTTTTCAAGAACCTTTTAAATCTATTCGAATCTATTTTAAAAAGGATTTAAACAAGGCCATCGATTTATGTGGTATAGGCTTAGATAATTTTGTTGTGTAAAATAATAATAATAATAATATGTGAATAGCCAATCAAATTTAGTTTATGAGAAAATCAGTTTTTATAAAAAGTTACACGAATTGGATGAAGCACTTTTTATTTTATTTTATTTTATTTTCAGTTCCACCTTAATTTTTTTTTTTTTTATTATTATTATAATTCTTGTTTCTTTTCATTTATTATAGACCAAAAAAAGAAAAGAAAAAAAAAACGAAAAGTTAATAGAAATAACAATATAGAATAATGCAGTCTATTAAATGTGTTGTAGTTGGTGATGGGTAAGCCATTGAATAAAAAGATGATGAATGTGATATTGATATGATGATGATGTGTTGTTTGATGATGTGTTGTTTGATGATGATGTAATGATGTACAAAGTTATACTAATGTATTTTATTTTTTAGTGCCGTTGGTAAAACATGTTTATTAATTTCTTATACAACAAATGCTTTTCCAGGAGAATATATTCCTACAGTGTAAAATAATTTAATGTTTTTATGATAGTATATATTTCCTATTAACTTTATTGCAACCTTTTTTTTTATTATTTATTTATTTATTTTTTTAGTTTTGATAATTACTCTGCTAATGTCATGGTAGATGGTAAACCAATTAACCTTGGCTTATGGGATACTGCAGGCCAAGAAGATTATGACCGTCTTCGTCCTTTATCATATCCTCAAACGGATGTATTTCTTAGTTGTTTTTCTCTTGTTAGTCCTCCTTCCTTTGAAAATGTTCGCACAAAGGTAAAACTAAAAGAAGAGAATGTAAAAAAAAGTGAAAACTTATCTTTGTCTTTAAAATAGTGGTATCCTGAAATAAGCCATCATGCACCTAATATTCCTATCATTTTGGTAGGCACTAAATTGGATTTACGTGAGGACCGTGATACAGTTGAAAGATTGAAACAAAAACGTATGTCTCCCATCACTTATCCTCAAGGTTTACAAATGGCAAAAGATATTGGAGCTTATAAATATCTTGAATGCTCTGCACTTACTCAAAAAGGTCTTAAAAACGTGTTTGATGAAGCTATCAGAGCTGTTTTGTCGCCTCCTGTAAGACCAAGTAAGAAGAAGGGTTGTTTGATTTTGTAATAATAATTTATTTTTATTTTTTATTTTTTTTTTCATTTTATATGAATATATCTCTTTATATATGTGATATACACATATTTTTTTTTTTTTTTAATATTTTATATATTTCCTTTCTTCTTCCCTCCATACACACTCACACATATATAATTATGTAATATTTAAGGAGAAACGATAATAGCAATAATAATAATAATAATAAAAGACTCTTTTATATTATTCTATACTCTTTAATATTTCAATAACTGGATCCATGTTAGCGTCACCTTCAATTATTATGTCAAAAGCATTGACATAAGCTGATTCTAATGCTTTAATGTCATGGTTTAAGAAGCCAATGTTTAAACATAAATCATGACTAACGCCTTGACTCATTTGAAGATCTCCAAGACTATCTCCCATCAAGATAACATTTTTTCTTTGTTCAATCAATTTAAAATAAGGTGTGGTCTCTAATTGAAATTCTGATTTGTTAAAGACGTGAATGAGAGGTTCTTTAAAGTCTATACAGATGCCATCTTCGTTAAAGACCATCATATTGGATACAATATGCATATTATCATAAAATAAATTTGCTTGTTTTAAAAGCTCTTCAATAATGTTACTAATACCCGCTGAGAATACTAAAAATGGAACCTCACTATCTTTACACTGAGACAATACTTGATCAAGACCAGCTCTAAATTCAAGATTCACTTGTTGAACCATAGCTTGTAAGTCTAAAGAAGAATAACAACAACAACAAAAATCATTTAGTAATGGGTCATTGACTGGCTTATCTCTTATTTTTGTTTGAAATGGCACTTACCATGTTTAGATAGTTTTTGTTTAACTAAATTTTCGTGAGCTTCTTGCCACCATTTCATCATGTAAGGCACTTTTTCTTCGTACTTCATGTTTTGATCAATCTCAATTGGATAATAAGTATTATAAAGACGATCTGTTTCTTTTTTATACTATTATACAACATAAATAAAAAAAAATAATAATAATGCATACATGTCTCTATTTTTGGCTAAATATATAATTACCTCAATAGACAATATGTTTGATTTTGCAGGAATGCCATGAGATGAAGAGTTACGTTCTAAAGCATCTGTCTTTTTATTACGAACCCAGTGACGGGACATTGTCATGTCAAAATCTAATCAAATCAAAATTATATTAATCTTTGTTCTCATCAAATATAAAACAACCCTTTTTATTTTCTTTTTCTTACCACTAATAATATGAAGGTTACTTTGACCATCTTGAATGATTTTTCGTAGTTTATCAGTTGTATTTGCGAGATTATTGATACGAACAGTGGAGATTCTCAAAAATGAGTCAACTTTATATAAACAATGAATGTTAAAGTGACAGGAATACATGAATAGAAAAAAAAAAAAAGGAGGAAGACATTTACCTAGCGCTTTTGCTTGTGATAATGCTGACATACTTTCTTTTTAAAATTTAAAGAATAAAGATGTTTATTATTACTATGCTAGTGCTTTTATATCACAATTAATTTTTTTTTTTTTTTTTATTATTCAGGGACTCCACTACAACAAAATTTCAAGTATAAATTCTATTGGGTAATATTTATTATGTAGTATGTAAGGATTGGTAAAATGTGTACATAGACAAGCATGTATCATAAAAGAATAATAAGGGAAAGGAAGAGGATTTATAAAGATGCATATAATTTATTCCGGTACTAATTCTGCAACGGCACTAATGACTTTAGGAGGGAAATCACGCTTCACCATGAGATCAAAAATTTCTTTTGCTTTATCTACTTTATTATTTTCAACATAAGCACGAATCATAGCTTCATAAGTGCTTGGTTCTCGAATGACAAATAAATGCTGTTGTGTTTTATCATCTGACATTGCCTCAAAGAGAGCCTCTACCTTCTCGAGCTGGCCTCTTTCACCATAGCCACGAATAAAGAGGTTTTCAATATAAGGTGATCCACCACCACCACTACCCCTCTTTTGAAGTCTTGTATCCTTTTTCATCTCTTCATAATAGAGGTGCTCTGCCTTTTCTAAATCATTATTACTAATAAACGTATCGATCATAGCTTGGTAGACACCCTCATCAGGATGAATACCTGCTTTTATCATTTCAGCATAGACACGTTCTGCGCTCTGTACATCACGTTGAAGGATACCATAGGAGTAAATGAGGGTTGCATAATGTGTAGCCTGAGGACGAAGATGGTCACGTCGTCTCATATCACTTAATAACTTGTGGGCCGTGAGCATGTCATAAGGGGGGATATGGGTATAAGCCTCCATCAATAACTTATAGCTATGAGGGGAAGGTTTGATATGACGGCGACGCATCTCTGCAAAGTACTCTAAGACTCGCTCTCGATTTGGATGTTGACGTACATAAAGTTGCATCATATTATTGAACGGTCCCACACGAGGTTGATAGGAAGGTGAGGAGAGCATTTCTTCAAAGAGACGATGGGATTGCTTCCTGGATCCTGAACGGACACTAGCAGAGATGATGGCACCATAAGTGATGGAATTAGCAGGGACCTTAAGGTGTCGCATTTCCTCAAAGAGGGTAAGAGCTGTATCTAACCTTCGAGCCTTGGCCAATTTGGAAATAATGACATTATAAAAGAAGGTGGTGGGCTTTACATGATGACGTTTAGCTTCATCATAGATGGCAAGAGCATCTGTGGCTTCATCTGTAGCACTTTTCGCACTGCCTAGTAAGAGACTCGCATATCCATCACTATCGGGATGGTACCCCATCACCTTGATACGGTCATAGTAGACTTTAGCTTTCTCCATATCACCCATTTGTGCATAGACAATCAAAAGACTGTTTGTTGCCATGTAAATCGCCTTCTCCCTCGTTTGCGTATCTCGGATATCCTTAAAGGCATATATCGAGTTGTGGTACAGGGTGAGAGAGGTCTGAGGGTGACCCTGTTTGCCAGCGAGTGTGATCACATCACGCATGATTTCTGGTGTAGGTATTAAACCTTGGCAGATAATACAATCTTCAAAGATATGGATAGCTTCTGCATAATGCCGATTCATAACGGCCTTAAGAATTCTTTGAGAGACGACTTCAGCAGTATTATCAGTAGAAGACAAAGCCATTGTTGTTGTTGTTATGTTACTACAATAATCGTTTTCTTTATTATCTATTTTGAGAATAATATCAATATCATTGTCATCATCAATATCATCCTCCTCCTCATCATCATCATCATCATCATCATCTTGCTCACTTGTTTTAGTAGATAACGAATAGCGTCTTTCAACAACAACAGCAACAGCAACACTCTTATCCATGGCTGATGTTGAAGATGATACCTCCATATTAGAAAAGGCAGAGATCCATTTCGCTTCAGCTTCTAAATCACCACGAGCTCGTATTTGATCAAGTACATGATTAAATAGCTCATTAGAAACATTCAGACCCAAGGTATGCATGTCTTGTAAAAGTTGTAAGAGAACATGACTTAAAGTAGTAGACGGGTTCATTTCGTTATGGACACAAACTATAAATGCAGCATCAAAGATTAACTGAAAATCGGCTGTTGTGAATGTATACTGTATATCCCTAGGGGAGTCCATGTCAAAGTAAGAGTCTAGTAAAGTCTTGCACATGATGTCATATGGAGTAGGAAAAGAGTGAGAGATGTGATTGTTAAGGATATCTTGATTGTTTTTAATTAAAGTAGGCAAGATAGTATGTAGAACTTGTAATACTTGACGTACGCAAGCACAATGAAGTACAATAGAAAGCGAAGCCTCCATGAGATGATGAAAGCCCTTCGTGAGTGCACGAGGAGACATAGCCTGTTGTAAAATGGAAAGAGCTTCAATTGCTTCATTTATTTCTTCTGCTTGAGAAAAGGCGGTAATGATACGACAGGCAAGAATAGGATCTGGCTCTAAATGAGCGCCTCTCATATCAGAGATAATAGAGAGTGCCCTTTGTCGATCGTGATGGGAGAGACAGAGAAGAGCATAATTAGCCAGGTTACCATATGCCTTGGATATATCCGTTTTTATAAGGGCATCATAAACACGTGTTGCTTCCTCCCATTGATTGACTTGGCAATACACTGCAAGTAAAGGCCCATAGCTACTAGCATCAGGGTAAGGATACTTTGCGGGATCCCTTTGATGTTCTTGAATTAAGCGATCAATAAGGGCCTCCGCTTCTTCCATTTGATTATGAGTACAGTAATGACGGATAATTGAGTTATAAGGGATGCATGTTATTTTAATATTCTTTTCAATCATTTCATGCTCAATAATATGAAGTGCGCCCTCTAGTAGTCCACATTTCAAATGACAATCAACAAGAGCATTATAGATATAAGAAGAATCATGGGAACCTAATGAGTCTTTCACTTGAGTGTAAACGTTATAATAATAAAGAGATGTATCAATGTCGCCTGCACGACCAAAGAGATTGATAAGGGCTGCATAGGTTGCTGAATTAGGTTTCGCTTTAACGGTAGGCTGTTGTAACTGATGGTAGACAAAAGTGGCGTCTACAGTATTACCATAATGAGACAAGACACGAAGCAATTGGTTAAAGGTTTCAATTTCAAATGTATTGATAGAGATACCATCCGCAATCGCGTAACGAAAGATAGCAAGCGCCCTTTCTAGATTACGTTCGGATTCCAATATGCGAATGTCTTCATTTTCTTCGCCGATTCGCATTGATTGACGTTTTAGCATGGCCACAGTCTTTTGAACTTCCACATCTCGTTTACATAATGTACGAATCATGATAATATAGGTATAAGTATTTGGTTGAATGTTTGCACGAATCATTTCATTATAAACTATTATATATATTAAGAGTGTTAAATCAAAGTAATAATGCATGTGGTTTATATATAGAGAGTAATTTAATTTACCTTTTAGCATAGTCGTTAAAGGCGTTCCTTCTCGACGTAGAATGGCATGAGCCTCTAAAACTAAATTATATGTGTGCTGAGTAAGTTTAACTTTATTTTTCTTCATCGATGAGAACTCATTCATAACAATACGAATATGGCCGTTCCTTTTAGCTTGTAAAATACGATTGTTGTATTCGAATGTGCTGTTCACTTTTTTTTTATAGTGAAAATGGTAAGATTCAGGAATACAAGAGGCTGTATCTGGTGAACTTGGTGGAGTAAGTAAAAGCTTGTCTTCTTTTTTCTCTTTATCTGATATAGTCATAGAACTCATCTTATTATTGCGACCATTATCATGATCCTGACAGTTAGAAAGATAAGGGTTCGTTGTAGATATTAGAGTCTTTTTATTTCGGTGAAGATATTGATTTATTATCAATTTTGAAGGTTCTTTATATTTGTTTTCATTATTATTTTGCTTCATATTCATATTATTAGGTTTTGAGGTATTAGTAACAATACGTTTATTTAATAATGTGTGATTATTAGTCATATTTAGTTTATTTATTTTTTTTAAAAAAAAGAAGGATAAATAAAAATTATTTGTTGAAAAAAAAAAAAAAAAAAAAAAAAAAAAAAAAAAAGAATTGTTAAACAGGGTAGACATACAGCTTATTTATATGTTTTTATCTTCGGACAAATCAAGGGTTACAATTAGACAAAAAAGGGTTTGGAATTTCATCTTATCAGATTGATTTCTCCGCTAGGGAAAAAAAAGATTTTGTTTTACTTAACTTCTAAACTACTATAGACAGCAATACGTAATTATTAGATATTTTAGATCAGATAAGTAATTATATATAACAGGAAAGGATTATATACTACTTTTGTTTTTCCTTTGTAAAATTTACAACAGTTACTGAAAAATTCATTATCAGATCTTTTTTTTTTTTTTTTTGTATAATCGTATCTAAGAAAATAATCCGTAGTTAATAAACTTATTATTGATGTATGCACATGATAAAAATCATATACCGAAGAAAAAAAAACATCAATTCTCATTACAGATTAGAAGTCTTTATTATTTAGTGTTGTAAGCTCTTTTTAGATATTTATTTTTCATCTGTATTTATATATTCATTGAATAAAAAATGAATAATTATAACCTAGTTATAATATGTTTCTGAATAAATGCGATAAACAAATTAAAAAGATTACCTCACTGTATAATAACACAGACAACTATTTAAAAATATCGGAATATACTTTAAAATAGGTTTATTCATATTCAGAAAAAAAAAAGACAGAGAAAGCACATATCAAATTTAATATTGATCTTCAAAAAAGATCTGATAAAGGTCTTTATACTATATGGGTAAGGGGCCACAAATGAAATGAAGAGGACATGTGCAAAAAAAAATTATGTTTATCCTTTTTCCGTACTTCTCCTTCTCTTCCACATGTATACCCTACCCTAGTTTTTTTTTTTATTTATTTTAGTTAAACTGCATTTGGAATAGGACGGGAATAACACGAAAATTCTTGTATATATCTATATTTTTTGAAATAAACTTTTATTGTCATAAGGTTGTTTGACTTGATTATATATATTATATTTTAGATAAATCTTACTTTATCTTTAAATAACTGGTTTTTATGAAGTAAACTACAGAAGTATGATTTATTAGTAGCTTTGAAAGATTATTTTATATCTAATATTTGACGATTTTTTTTTTTTTTTGTGTAAAATGTTTTCTTCTGAATGGCCAATAGAAATAAAATAAATTATCAGATCTTTTATTTTCTTATTGCTAACTTTAAGTTTAAATAATCAGTTAATAACATTTTAGAACAAATAGAATTCAATAAAATAAGCATTTTGACACATAGTAAATATTTTGTTTAATATTTTTTTTTCAACTCTATTCTTTCAAGATGTTTTTTTTTAAAAAAACGATCACATGCAATTGCAACTCCATTTATTATTGTGTTCACCTGAGTTACATTGATCTGTATAATAGCAATATTACATTTGTGTATATAAAGATCCGATTATTTCTATCTAAAATAACTTCAAATAATATATTGAACCTGAATTATTAATTCAAAGCATAATATAGTTTATCTATTTTATACAATAACAAAAGATTGTTGGAGGAAAAAAAAAAAGAGAGAGAGAGTAGTATAAATTATTATTTACAAAAGCAAATAAAAATGTAAGTAAAAAAAAAAAAAAAAAAAAAAAAAATTAAGTCGGCACAACCAAACTCATGGTTTTACTGATCGACTATCAATAAAATCAGGGAATTGAAAAAAAAAAAAAAAAAAAAAAAAAAAGAATTATATAAAATGTGTGTATTCTATATAGTATTATTACCACTTCATGCTGCTAATAAATTTATCAGCTATTAACTAATAACTTTTTTTTTTTTTTGCCTATAGAATCACTTTATTTGGCTATGTACATCATATAATGTTATAAATGTTTAGTAGTATCTTTAAATAAGATGTAAATAATATATAAATAGATCAACTACTAGATACTAATAAATTGTATTACATCGTATTAGATGAGTTCTATTTGTAGATAAATTATAGCCAGTCGAACTTCATTATTCATCAAGTATAGGAAGGGATATGATTTGAGAATCATGATATTGAACATCGAATATTCCGAACTTGTATACTATCACCACTGAAAGGAAAGAGGCAATATCTAAACGATAGAATATACTGGAAATACAGAGCGAATGATACTCCGAGATAAAAAAATAACTCTATTTTTATACATTCATCTTATCTCCTCTTCTTGTCAAAAGTAAATCTTTTTCTAAATGATGATGTAGACCTTAGAGATAAGAGGACACCATTTTAACCGTATTTTTTTTTAACTTCTTAATATGATAAAAAAAGTTCTTTTTACATATAATTCTCGTTAATATTATAATGAAATTAATTTTATCGAAAAAAAAAACAAATCAATTTCAAATTGTATTTAGTATACTACTAACTATCAATATAAATTTCCCCCCAATATCTTACTAAACCAGTTAAATTATTCAAGAATCTATTTTTTTTTTCAATAATTTATAATAATAATATATGCTGAGAAAATATATTGTCTTGAGAGAATTGATAATAATAAAGGCTTATGATTAAAAGCCTATTCAATAGACCTAATTATACTTAATACAATAATGCGATATCTTGTATAAAAAATTGAAAAGAAAAAAAGGGAACAAAGGAAGAATCAGTACATGTTTAATAAATAAAAATATTTTTCTTTTTAGTGACATCACTAATTACATGTTATAAATGAAGTCCTTGTGTTCTACAGCGAAGCTGGGAAATATTGGTTAATTTAGAAATTTGTATGGTGATAATAACAAAATAATTTAGGCGAAAAACCAAAAAATGATTGACTCACCAATATTTTTAAGTAAGCTCAGAGCAACATACCTGCATTAAATAACCAAAGCGATAAATTTGGCAGAGATTTGCTATTTTTTCCTTCATTCTGGTTTTCTGCTAAAAACATCAGGGCGTTTACCTGTCTCTCTTAAGCTGATCAAGATCTTTCGAAAGTTTAAAACAGCTGCCATATCTCGATTCCACAGCTTTCGTGGAATTTCTTTGACTTGTTCAAGGTTGGCCAACAGGCAGTTATGATTTTTACATCTAATAGTTCAGTAATTATTATCATTCTCTGTTGTATTGATACAATTCATACTGTTACTTTACCTTAATAAGCCATGACATTTTACAGTTGGCATTTTGGCTCTCTCTCTTATGGGGGTGAGGGTTGGCGACTGTTTTAAACTTTTTTAATGAACTTTCACAGGTTGGGCAGCATGAAGAAGTCTTATATTCGTCAATCTTGAATACTTGGAAGCCGTTTTTCTTCAGCATTCGAATGAGACCTTTGTTCCTGGTTGGCTCATGATATTTTGTGTTTGAAGCGGACCAATTACCAATAACAAGAATCGCATCATGACCAAAATTCTTTTTCAATCTCTTCACTAACATCTGGTTATTTTGATCATAGAAAATTTTGGATGAAAACTTCAGCTTTCGGAATGGCAAAACTTGAAGTTTCTCCAACAATTTACTGATATGTTGTTTCAGGTTGACTTCTTCATCCGCGATTCATCTTCTCTGCAAGTTCAAGCACCGTATTTTTGACTCCATCGTCCAATCTCTCTGAGATATGTCGTTGCTGCAACATTAGATGCAAGTGCGTATGGTACAGTTGAGATTGCGTTCGAGTGTCAGGAGAAGAAACGATGCCTCGAATATTTAAGACGAGTAAATGACCAAAATACAAGTTGCTTTTCTCACCCACATGAAAGCCAAACAAGGAGCTGGGGAAGTAAAGATCTTTGGATGATTTTGTTTCATTTCCATAGTATCGGTTTAGTACGTTTTCCACCGATGATCTTGTCTTAATGTAATCTACAAATTTGACTACATCTACAGTGGATGACGGGGTTTTGGAAAGAAGAGCTTCAGCGGATTCAACCATGGATGGTTTAATTGACTTTCGTAAAGTTCTAAAGTGTCTTGATCTTTTTGATCTGTCATTTTTTGTAAAAACAAGAACTTCTTCGTGCTTAACCACACTGGTTTCTTTCATACAGTATAAAATATCACGTCTTCCGAGATCAATCAAAACGCATCTTCCATTCATGCTTGCCAGCTCTGCTTGTGTTAATGTTTTAATATACTGGGCATCATTGTCACTTCTTCGTCCATCTTCCTTTTTTAAAGTTTCAGGGCTATCTTCTGTTAGCTTTTTCTTCCTAGTTGTAGCAGTATTTTGCTTCAGAATAGAAACACCAATTCCATCAATCTCCAAAGTTCCCTCAAAATGAAGAGACTTATTTAATCTTTGTTCTTTAAAAGCCTTTTTTTTCCAAATCAGTTACTTGAGCTCAGGTTTTAATTTTATCCTTCGCAGGCTTCTTGTTTTTGAGAATATGGAAGTTAACGATCTTACTATCCACTGTCATATATTGGGGAATAAACATGGTTCGTATAGGAAAACAAATGAATTCTTTCAACTTCTCTGATTCAGCAAGTTGTGCAAGTCTATAAAAAAGCCTTGAAGTGATTTACTGGTCAAGCCAGTACATCATAGAATATTGAATCTTTATGGAATCTGTAGTCTGTAGGATACATGAAGAATAGAGTTTCTATTTCTGATATCGACTTTTCATTCAAGATGTCAGAATTGGGCATTTCTTTTTTTTTCGCTACAGTAAGTTTTACTTGGGTGCAGGGAGTAAAGACCTCTTTACGGACAGCTGCTTGTATGGATTTTGTGCTATATTCTTCTGTCGTCATTCTTTCTTGAAGAGCATTTGATTTTTCTTTCTTTTTTTTTTTTTTTGCAAAGTTTGTTTAGCATTTCGCGGAGCCTATCTCCAAAATGGGCTTTGATATTATTGTAATAAGCGATTTCAATTTTCGTACATTCGTACAAAGCAATTTGCTGGGCATTCTAGTTTAGGTGGAATATAGCCGGCATTTTCGCAATATAAGCCTTTGTGTTTGGCAATCAATTGTCTATATAATTTCGTTGTTTCTTTGAGGCGTGTTTTTCGAGATTTGGTACCATCATACACTCGTCTCAGGGTAAGACTCAAGAATACCTCAACAAAAAAAAAAAAAAAAAAAAAAAAAAAAAAAAAACTCTTGTTAACATAGCTTTTCAAGTCAAACTCGATATTTTTCATCAACTCACTTACAAAGATATACTTGATAAAGGCAAAAGTGTGAGTGACAATTGTATTAGTAATATTTACTAGATCTTGTAATGGCTCGATATATGCCGGCTTCCAAATGTTCTTTACAGTCGTCTTTACCGCTATGACGCGTTTGTCGGCTACTTCGATATTTATTTCTGTAGCAGCAACCGAACTTGCTTCAGAAACGGGGGATGTCTTGGTAGTACCCGTAGTAGTAGCTTTGATAGAAGCAGCAGCAGATGTAACAGTAGAAGCAGCGGATTTAGCAACAACAGCAGTATATATTGCAAGAGTAGAAGTTGAAGAACCTTTGGATTCCTTACGGGGAGCAAACTTGCTGGATTCACCAGATGTAGTTTGTCTTACGATAGTTTCGCAAAAATCATCGTCAGAATCAAGATTGTAATCGTCCAAAGTCACTACGCTTGTATCAAATACTTCATTTGTTGTAGAAGGATCGATGTTGCTTGAACTTCCTACATTATATTGGACGTCAGGTAGGATTGCATCTCTAGCTCTTTCTTTGCCTTTGGCCTTTTTTCTTTGAGACTCATCATTTTGAGTACTTTCTCTGCCTTATGTGGTTTTTATGTTAGTTTTAGAGTGCATTAAAAGGCTATCATAAAAGTACATACTTTTTCTCTTCCTGATAACAACAGTGGGTTGAAAATCATCATCAGAGTTTTCTTGGATAGTTTCGTAATATATGTTAGAAGGACCAGGCGCTGTTTTTGGAACGGTCATCGTGGCGTCTGCATGCCAATCTTGTGGTCAGTATTAGAAAGGTAGATAATCTCTATATATTTTACTCTTTATTTTAGCGGATTCTTTTTGAGAGGGTGTTATTGCGGTATCATTTTTTTTTTCGCATTTGCAAAGCGTTCGCTTTCAGGATTTTTGGATGAAGTATTAAAAAAGAGAATTACTTTGCTAGTTTATTGTATAATCGAGGAACGAATGCAAAGGAATAAGAAAGAGAAGAGAGAGAGGTAAACACTGATTTATAAAGTCATATACAAACTACTTTTTTTTTGACATATCCCGACACATACATAAACACATAATTTATGAGTTATTTATCATTACTATTATGTTTTTCTTTATCTTTATCAATAACTATCTATTAATTAACCGAAGCCAAGTAAATAAACTTTAACATAAACTCTTATGGATATCTTATTAACAATTGAATAAAGCTGGTTCTATAATAAAACCCTTGATCTGCATGTTCCAGTTATATAAGCCCATTATCGATAAACATAGTTTATAAGAACATGTGCGAAATTTTTTGTTTACACGTATATATACATCTCAAAGATATAATTGGATTGTGAAGACAGACCAGACTCTAAACACCATTAATCAGGGCTTTAATAAAACTGTTGATATATTTTCTTATACATACCTCTCTCCATACTTGTCCAAATTAACTATGCGTATCAGTCTATAATAATAATTTTTAAAACGATGAGTTTAATCAAGGGCGCAAGGTCAGAGGCTATAGACTCACGTATTTAACTCTATAATTTCCAAAACTGAATTTAATTAAAAATTTTTGGGTTTTCGCAAAGAGGAATAATCTGATGGCTAAAGGTTCTTTATTCTTAAGAATCGCTGATTCTTGAACAATAAATTTCAAGTGCTCAAAACAACTTTTAAAACGGCCAATCATTTTTCAGCTTTTCGGAAACAATTTTTTTAACAAGTGCCAAATTATTTTTTTACAATCACCATTTAAATTTCTAAATTAACCAATATTTTCCAGCTTCATTGTACAACCATATATGATATATTAAAAAATATGTGAATATATTTTTTATATGTTGAACTACTTTTAAATCATTAGAAAATGTATAACTGTATGTATTTGTTATTCACTATAAACCCTTCCATAGTTAAGAATTATTGAGATTATAACGATTTCATTATATATAACCGTATAAATGATAAATAGTAACTTTCCTGATACATACACACACATAAATATATATTGTACTCAGATTTAACGTGGCGTTTTTAGTTCCACCGTATATACATATTTGTATATAGATGTATACGTATATTTTGTATGCACAACAAAATATATTCACCTAATGCAAAAGGGTTTGTACTGCCAAATAGAAAAGTCACGAGGGCCTTTTTTTTTTCCTTCTTCCAAGAACAGTATAATTATTCTAATATCTTTTGTATGCAGAAAAAATAAAAAGTTTACACTTGTAAATAAACATTTATTTCTTCTTCTTCTTTTTTTTAATAAATACATATTGTCCTTGTATAATAATAAACCTAGCAAGATAGATGCATAATTGTATACATTGTCGTACATGTCGATTTAGGTACAACTATATAAAAAGAGGACTGTGATGAATGCATGCGTGAAGTATTTTAATGATTATAAAGGGTTACCCAAAAATTGTTATTGCTTTTTACCCCATCAATTTTTAATTAAAACTAAAAACTAACCTACATAATTAGAACTTTCCTACTATAAATAAATAAAAAAAATTAAACAATAGCTTTAAATAATATTAAAAGTTCTTATTCTATATAAAATATGTAATCATATATAAATATGTATATATAGAAAAAGAATAAATGACTACTAAGACCTTGTTACCAATTCATATGATTTTATGTATTCAATAATATATTACAGTACATAGTAGTTTATTTGGGGTTATGCTGTTGTTGCTGCCGTTGCCTGCTGCTTCTGCTTCTGCTACATCATCTGAAGTGTGTATAAATAAACACACAAAATAAAATCGACTTATAGGTTCATTATGTATGTGACAAAATAAATAATAAATTATACATCTATCTAAATATATATTTTCTCTTTTTTTCTCACCCCTCAACTCTTTTGCCCTTTTTTATTTTTTATTTTTTTCATCCTTATTCTTTTTTTTTTTTTTTTTTTTTTTTTTTTTTTTTTTTGCTGAAATCATCTATTATAAAATGACAGTAACAGAAGGAGGGATTGGAATAGTAGAACAACTTTCAGCAACATCATTAAGTAGTAGTATACATGACATAAATCATGCAATAGATGGTACTCTATTACCTGAAAATATCGCAAACATGGTTACAACTGTTTCTCTTGCTACTCGAATTTCACTTAGATGTTCTTCTTTATTTTTTGATGCTATGTTTGAAGCAGCAAAGTATGGTACTTCTTTATCACTTGGGTTATCAAGAACAGCTTTAATTAATGCGATTTCTACAGCAAAGCATTTACATTCCAGCTTGAATAATAATAATAACAATCATGATGCTTGTATCATTGCCACAAATTCACTTGATGATCAAGAACAAAGGTATATTTACAAATGAATAAATCACTATAACTTTTATTGATCTACATGTAAACTTAAAATAGGTTTAATAGTAATGACGAAAGTTTATTTGTGAAAGCACTTCAGAAATATACAGACTTTGGGCTCTATATTGTCAATTACACCTTCTCTTTAACTGAGTTATTTGCATTGTCGGGTTTACAGTTTACTTCAAAAACTATTCAATCAAGCCTTAAAGTAAATGAAGCCTGTTTTTCATTTTTATTTTATTTTTTTCGTTCTAAATAATCCTTTTTTTTTCTTTTTTTTTTTTTGTTTTGTTATTAAAGGCAGCCGAAGAATCAGTAAGACTCATTGATGGTATTTTCGGTTCAAATGATACTTCTCGTGCGATCGCATCTATTATAACCTTAGTTCATCGTGAGCTTATTCAAGACCCAGAATTTGGGTTGGCAAAAGCAGGCAACCTTGCCATTTTAGCTGGTTTAACCAAAGCCTTAACTGCTTTTGCGGTACTACAAAATGTAACACATAAACGTATGATGAAACAAATTCCCATGACAGTCTTATGGGAAGGGATAGTGACTGATGAAAAAGAAGAAGGTGAAGAAGCTAAGGCACATGGTCTTATTCAATTCAAAAGAAACAGTAATGATAGTAACAACCTCCAAGGCACTGAAATGAAAAATTATAATACAGCATTAGATTCTCAGCAACAAGATTTAATTATACAGGAACTCAATAACTTATTAAACAATAGAAAACATGTTGATCAAAAGAATGATGATTATGTGACACCATTAAATAATACATATAAAATCACTACTAAAACTGCTTGTTTAACGACTAAAACAACAACCATCTTACCTCTCCTTGATTCAATTTACAATAATAATAATAACAAGGATAATACAAAAAAAATTGTGCTTCGAATGAGTGAAGAAGAGAATGAATCTTATTTAGCACTGCTTGATAACAATCATAAAAATGAGCCTAAATTTATTCTATCTAATTTGTCTGATAAAAGGCGAAAACGTAAAGTAGAAAGGCAAGAAGATGCTGATTTCTTTTGTCAGGTAAAGAATAACAATACTCAACAGCAAAAGTATAATCATAGACGTAGATTTTCTTCACCTGATTATAACAATAATTTAAGTAATAAGACCAAATTTTGCATATCTACATTACTATTAGATAATCAAGATCAACAGGCAGGTTCATACCTATTACAAAGGACAAAAAAATATAACTATTCAACACCAGATCTTTCAAAATTAGTTTCACCTGTAACTATCAGACAACGGCTTGCCTCTTCTCTTTCCTCATGTCTAATTACAAATAAAGACAATAGTATGAAAAGATATAAACAAAAACGGGCAAGCTCAATTTCAAGTTTTTGTAGCCATAATGTCGGATCAAAGGCTACTTCTACCACTACCACTACTTCTACCACTACCACTACCTCTACTACTACTTCAACCACTGCAAGTTTAGCAATGACCCGCAATAACAACAATATACCAGTCACTCATGATAACGATAAAGACAATACTATCAACCATTCTAGAAGTCATTCTCTACAAAGCCAAGTTATAAATAATATTGCGCATTTTATGAAATATGCAAGTGCAGCCTATGGTGAATCTTTTATGCGGATCTTAGGAATTGGCGATATTCCAACTGTCTTACCTCATTCTCGTCACCATCATCCAAATCATCATGCATTTGCTCACCATACAGGGAATTCAGTTGAAGATATTCTACTATCTAGTTATACAGATAGGTCTCCACTTCACTTACATAATCCATCTATTCATGCTCTTGTTCATTATGTAACCGTAGACCACACAGCTAAAGCAATTGTACTCACGTGTCGTGGTACATTGGGCCTAAGTGATATCCTTACTGATTTAAGTTTTCATTATACGGAATTTACTTTACCTACGGATCCCTCAAGGGTCTTTAAGGCTCATAGTGGTATGCTGGATGCTGCACAATTATTAGCTAAAGAAAAGGGGAAAGTATATCAAAAGGTGCGTCAGGGATTATTTAGCTATCCAGATTATAGTTTAGTCTTATGCGGTCATTCTTTAGGTGGTGGTGTAGCTAGTCTATTGTGTGTCTTATGGAGCCAACAAATTACACCAAGGGATGATGAAGAAAGATGGTCACTTATTAATAATAACCAGCTACTACCACAACATTCTCTTTCTTTCGTAACATCTAAACAATCTGGTTTACCTCCAGGTCGACCTATCCACTGTTATGCGTATGGTCCACCCGGTGTAATGTCGCTCGAACTAAGTAATTATTGTGCAGGACTCGTTACAAGTGTTGTACATGGATATGATATCGTTAGTAGTTTAAGCTTAGGGCTCTTAAAAGACTTTAAAAACATCGCGACTAGTTTACATGCAGAAGGTGATGTAGCTGAAGAAATCATTTCTCGTGTCATTGGACGATTCCAAAAAAAAACACCAGAAAAAAATAAAAATAAAGATGAGTTTAACGAAGATGACCAATGGTTTTGGGCCGTGATTAAAACAATGCGTGCAGACATGACATCAGAAAAAATGTATCCACCAAATACAGTTTATTGGATAGAAACTGTTCCTCATGTTAAAGAACAACACAAAATTATTCTTTGTCGATGTGAAGATGTAGAAGCCAGATTTTCAGAAATTGTCTTTACTCGAACTATGTTCATGGACCATTCTCCTTTAATGTATGAAAGAGCAATTAGAAAGTTATGCAAAGGCTTTACTAAAGACTATTTATCTACTTCTTCTACTTCTTCCTCTTATTTTTTGTAAATGAATATTAAATAAAGAAATTATATTTTTTTTTTCTTTTCGATGTGTATATATAAAAACGATAGCTTTTTTTTTTTAAATGCGTTTTATTCGAAATGTTAAGAAGGATTTGTATTTTATTTTTTGTTCATAATAATAATACCGCAAGTCTGAAGTTCGCTTCTATTACGCTAGTATTTTCTCCTCCCCTCCCTTCCTTTTATTCATTTTATATAAATAAAATAAGCGAAATTTCATTGGATGAATATAATTAGAACTCAGAAAAAAGGCGAATATAAAAGAAGCTAAATACCAAGTTTTGAATTAATACTATTCTTTTTCCGGCTTTATAATTAAAAATTAGGAACTTCTACTAAAAAACAAAGTTCAAAATTTTTTTTTTTTTTTATTTTTTACATTCTATTAAACCCCGCAAACTCAGCCTATTGTAATCCCTACACGCATCCCTAAGTACATCCCCTTATACTAAAACTTCAAAAATGGATTTATCGAGTATGCTGAATGATTCTGTGCCGAAGGCTACAGTTCATTCTTCTAACCCTGTTACAGCAACTTCAATTAGTAATACTTCTAACACAAATTATGATATGCCATATAACAAAGGCCGTTTATCTATTTCTCAGATATCATCTAATAATAGCGATCAACGTACTTTTTTATCAGCGTATAACCCCTCTACTTCCCCTCCCCCTCCTCCTCCTCCTACTACTATTTCTACTACAAATCCTCAAGCTAAAGAAAAAACTGTAAGTTTGTATTACTTAAAAAGTTATCTGTAAAAAGTCACAAATTAATTTTTTTTTTTTTTTTTTTTTAGATGGTATACCAATTAAGTACATCTTTACATTATCTTATAGCCAAAGACGGTACTGCTACCAATTCTTTAAAGCAACAACAAACTATACCAAATAATCATAACCCTAACGTACCACCTCCACATCCTCCATTGCCTTTGAATAATTATATCCCACCTCAGACTAATTCTAATTTATTATCTTCTCCTTTTCGAAATAAAGCTGAGGAAATTAATGGTAAGTTTTTTTTTTTTTGTATGTATTTTTGATAAAATAATTTTGCATACTAATTTTTTTTTTATTTTAGTTCCTACCACGTCTATTACCGATAATTCATCTTGTCTTCGACTAGGAACTGCTGTAAGTCATAACCCTAAACTTTGGAATCCTAGACTATCTCTTCGCTTGGTAATGAAAGATCAACCTATGACTTTACGTCCTACTAAAAGAACTAAATTGGATAAAGATTCAAAAGATGGCAATAGTAATTTAGAAGTATCCTTAATACCCCATGAGGTTATTATTCGTGGTGATGAGCCGAAAGTTTTATTAGAAGATATATATGAAATCCAGGGTGCTTATCCACGTGGATTCTTTGTAATGATAGCAAAAAGAAATATATTACACAGCTTTGTATTTAATTATCCCGATCATCCTTGGTTTGAAGATCTCTATGGATTGAGAAAAAGTGCTTATATCGGAATGCGTACAGAAGAAGGCGAACTCTATGAATTACACTTGAAACCATCTAGAGATAAAATGTAAATAAAAATTATATATATTATTATTATTATTAAACTAACATTCTAATTATTTTTAGGTTCTTGTTTGGTTATATGATTAAACATGTAGATATGATTCGTATTGTAAAAGAATCAATGAACGAATTGATATATCATCGTAAATTACCTCTTGTGCTTGATTTAGATGACACCTTAGTTCGTTTAGTTGGTGAAGGGAATGAGCGATATGTAAAAGAAGCAGATATACCCAAATGTAGAGAACGAGTGGCTGTATTGAAAGATAATCGAAGGGTTGTTTTAACTGAAAGAGTACATGAATTTCTTGATTGGGCACAAAATTTTTATGTAATTTCTGTCTGTTCATTAGGGTAACATATAAAAAATCTTTCTTTCTTTTTTTCTTCTTCTCATTTTACCAATATATTATTCTTTTTATTTTATAGCGATCAAAATTATGTTGAAAACGTTGTTAAAGTTTTAGATCCTCAAGGTACACGTATTCGAGGAATCCTATACTCTGCCCGTAATGAACATGATTACATTAAAAAATCTCCCGATCCAAGTCGACCACCGAAAGATTTATTAGCTTTATATAGTTTTTGCGCCTTAAAAGATCGTTCAATAGGGTCTGCTTTTACTTTACCTTTAATCCTTGACGACGAAACTCGAATGTGGCCACAAGAACAACACGATAATATCATTGAAGTCACTTATGATAGAAGTGCACCTTGCTGGTCTGTTTCTTTATTTCCTGTTGTGAAAGATACATTAGAATGGGTTCATCAAGAGTTTTTTCGACAATTTGACGTTTGGTATGCTCGGTGTCAAGAAGCAGAGCAATATGGTACTGTTTATACAAAATTGCCTCCTAGTGCAGTTGATATCTATAAAACTTATCTTCGACATATTTTAAGAGATATGATTGCAAGGGGTCGTCCACCACCAGTTAATTCTGCTGCATTTAATCATAGGCCTTATTAAAGAATTTTATCGTATACATTTATTTATTTGTTCTTTTCTTTTTTTCTTTTTTTTTTTTTTTTTTTTTTTTTTTTTTTTTGTTGCGAAATCAACATGTGATACGTCTTGTTGTACTATCATCATTGTATATATGTATTAAAGTTTTATATAAGAAGCTCATACAATGTGTTTCTATTTTTTCTCGTTTTCTTTAATATTTATTATCTGATAATAGCGATCACTTATAACTCGACTAAATATATATATATATGTATACATATTCATATATAATATAGATGTTATATCATTACTATATCTTATCAAGTAAACTAAAATTGTTATATTTTTATCTTCTGGGACCAATTTATGAGTAATAATTAGGCTTCATTTTTTATTTTTTTTATTTTTATTCTCACATATTTAAAAGATTCAATCCAATCAAGGGCCTGAATTTCAGTTAACGACTGCTTTTCATGGCTTTGCAGTCACACTTCACAGTTATATTTTTTTATTCATAAAAAAAAAAAAAAATAGACTCTTTTAATCTTTGTACGCAAGAGAGCCATGGCCCGTCCACAAAAAAATAATGGTGTGAAGAAAAACACTAAAGTGAATAAAAAAAATAAGGGAAAAAAGCAATTTAACTATCCCGAAAAAATGATCAACAAAACATTAGCTCAAGACGTGTTTGAAGCTGAAGATGAAGAAGATGATCATCGTAAGAATCACAACATGGATGAAGTAGATAATCTAGAATATGATGTTGGAGAAATCAACGAAGAAGATGATTCTGAAATTGATTCTGATGAAGCATTTGATGAATCTGATGAAGAACGATTTGCCGATTATAAATTTGCTGGATCTACAAAGGTATTCGGCAATGTAATTCATTTTATAATACAATTATTAAAACAAAAGTTTGCATATATATATATACATAATAGGCTTCTCAGAAAAAACATTTAAAAAAAAACAAAGCCAATGTTGAAATTGATTTAAATGAAAATTCTGATCAAGATGATTCAGAGATTGAAGACTTTGAAGATGAAGATGGCGAGGGCTATGTTGATCTCTCTCAAATGCTTGATACCAATGAAGAAGAAGAAGAAGAAGAGATTCAACCAAAGAAAGCCGTTCAACAAGACGAAGAGGATAGTGATGAAGAAACATTCCGTGGTTTCGATGCTCTTGAAGATGATGAAGATGATGAAGATGACATTATGGATCTTGACGACGAAGATAATAGCAAGAAAATTGCTGACTTTATTAGCCAAATGGATACAAAGAAACGTAGACGTACAGGGGATGAAGAAGGCAATATAAAGAAACGTCAACTGAAAGAAAAGAGCGAGGCATACAAAGAAAACGAATTTAATTTACCTACACATGAAGAAGATGATGCCTCAAAGAAATTAAGTCTTTCTGACTTGATGAGTACGATTGAAGATGATGGAACCTTTGGTTCCTTAAAGACAGGTTTAGAAAGTCTAGCTGGTAAAGGCAAAAATGTTACACGTCGGGCTTTAAGCGCACCATTAGCTAAACGTGCTCAAGATCGTTTGGAACGTCAAGCTGCTTTGGAAAAGGCTACCGAAGAAATTACAAAATGGGAGCCTACTGTTCAAAAGCTTCGTGCTGCTGAGCATCTTTCCTTCCCTATGCAAGATCCAACAGAATCACATAGAGCAACGCGTACAAGTGCTGCAATGGCTAATAAATTCAAGCCTGAGACAGATCTTGAAAAGCAAATTTCAGCTGCACTTGCAGAGGCTGGTATGAAGGATGAAGAATTAGAGGAGTTTGAAGCCCTCAAGTTAAACAAGTTATCAGTTGCGGAGATTGAAGAAAGACGTAAAGAGCTTCGTATGATGCGTGAATTGATGTTCCGTCATGAAATAAAGAACAAACGTCTCAAAAAAATTAAGAGCAAGAGTTACAGAAAGTTGAAGCGTAAAGAAAAAGAAAGATTAGGACTTCAAGCTAAGAATAGTGGTTTGGATGAAATTGATCATGAATTAGACGATCACGAGAAGATGCAAGCCGCTATTAGTAGAGCTGAAGAACGTATGACCTTAAAGCACAAGAATACTAGTAAATGGGCCAGACGTGCTTTGGCACGTGGCACAAAAGATGAAGGTACTCGTGAAGCTATTATGGAGCAACTTCGCCGTGGTGATGAGCTTCGCCGTAAAATTGATGGCCAAGAATCAGATGAAGATAGTGACGAAGATGAGGCCGAGAATGATGAGGAGTATGTTAATGCTGCATTAACCAAATTACATGAAGAAATTGATCAAGATACCCAGCCTAAGAAGGGCATATTTTCTATGAAGTTTATGCAAGAAGCTGCTAAGCGCCAGTTAGATGCTACTAAAGAGGATCTTGCTGCTTTTGAAAAAGAATGGCTTGCTGCTGATAGTGATGATGATAATAATAAAGAAAATGAAGGAAATAAAGAAGATAATCATACATTTATAGCTAATAATCCAGGTCGTATGGCATTTGGTGCTAAGGCTAAACAACTTAAAAAGCCAGCTCAAGTGAAAAAGACAGAAGATGACGATAGAGAAGGAAAGGAGATAATTGATGAAGAAAATGAAACCGGTATGGTTACCATTAGTGAAGCAGGGCAGATAAAAAAGGTGTCGCATTCAGCTGCACATAACACACGTACATCAACACACATTAGTCTTAATAATAATAATGATAGTAAAAAGACTAGTCCTCTTGCTAATTTGGAAGACGAGACTGAATCTAATCCTTGGCTCCAAGCAGATACATCACGTCTTACTAAAAAGGCTTCAAAGAATAATGTCATTTCTAGTCAAACAGAAAGTCGTGCAGAGCACAGTATATCCAAAATGAATAAAACAAAAAAGGAAAAGGAAAAGGCTAATGATACAACAGATAATGTTGAGCTTGATTTAACCAAGGTATTGACAATTAAATCCACTCAACAAACTAGCAAATCCAAAAAATCAAAGGAAGATTCAACTTCATCTGACATTGCTAAAGTAACACATATGAAGGATGATTCTGATGAATCTGAAGGAGAAGATGATTTAGATGATAATAATGCTACATCACAAATAATTCATAAGGATAAAATTTCATTTAGTCAACGAGAGCTTGTAGCTAGAGCCTTTGCTAATGATGATGTTGTTGCTGAGTTTGAAGACGAAAAGAAGGCAGAGATTGAAGAAGATGCTGATAAAGTAGAGGATTTAACATTACCTGGTTGGGGCTCTTGGGCTGGTGCTGGTGTTAAGGAAAATAAGAAGAAAAAGAGAATTGTTAAAGTGACAAAGGGTATTGATGCTGATAAGCGTAAAGATGCTAAACTTTCTCATGTTATCATCAACGAGAAAATTAATAAGAAGGTGAGAAAAAGGAATTACTATATATTTATTTATGTACGTATTACTGATTTTTTATTATTTTAGGTTGAGAAATACACAGCTACAGCTGTACCATTCCCTTATAAGACTATGGAGCAATATGAAAGATCAATCAGTACTCCTCTTGGTAGTGAATGGAATACTCGTCAAACATTCCATAGATTAACCAAACCTAGAGTTCTTACTAAGCTTGGTAAAGTTATTGATCCTCTCAAGGCACCCTTTTCATAATTAAGCTATATATGTATACATATAAATATATATATATATACATGTATCTTTTTTTATCGTATAATTAAATAAATAGACTAGACTCTACTATTATATAACCCACCCCCATAATTTTATAGATACATTTATTTATGCATTAAGGGAAAGGAAAACTTATCATATAGAAATCTAAGCCACTATTTTCGCTGAGACATTTAATATGACGTTGCCTTCATGGTAATTTGCTAGACCTTTTTTTTTATACTTTTATTTTTACATTTTTAAAATGGCAGAATCAATTTCAATTGAAGAGACCAAGTAAGTTACTTTATATAAGCTATTTTATTTTTATTTTTTTGTTATTATAACTATATATTTTATTTCATTTGTATATTAAACGTTATTGCATTTAGTGCCATTCGTAAAAAATTGGGTCTTCCACTATTAGCAGTTGAAGGCAGCGATGATGAAACAGTTGATCCTGAAAGAGAGGCCTATGAAAACTATCAAAAACAAAAACAAGAAAAAGAACGGGAAGCAAAAGAGGAGAAAATTAGAGAGAGCATTGAAAAGTATGATTTGATGATGCATTTATCAAATTTGATATTCAACTTTTATTCTTTTCTTTAATTAGGTCTAAAAATCGTAAAAGAAAACTAGAAAAACTTCAAGGTAAAGGCCTTGCCGAAGCTAGTGATGATGAAGATGAAAGCGCACTAGCATGGATTAAAAAAAGTCGAAAGCGAGAAAGGGAATTAGCAGCACGCCGAGCTAAAGAATTAGAGGAGATGGATAATGCATATCAAACTTACGATGCAGAACAATTAGCAGGTCTTAAAGTAAGCCATTCTCTCTCGGAATTTCAAGAAGGAGAAGAAACCATTTTAACATTAAAGGATCGAGGCATTCTTGATGAAGAAGATGTAGAAGAACTAACTAATGTCAATCTTGAAGATCGAGAGCGATTGAAAAAGAATCTTGAAGCTAAGAAGCAAAAACCAGGTTATAATCCATACGATGATGATCAATTTAGTGGTAAAAAGCAGAGTATTCTTCCTCAATACGAAGAAGAAGAAGAAGAAAATGGTTTTGTAATTGGAAATGCTGGAGTAGTTCAAGTTGAAAAAGAGAAAGAGAATGAAAAAACAGTTTCTCAAAAATTAAAAGAACAGACTTTATCTTATGAAAAAATGCAAGAAATTAAAGATTACTATACCCAAGAAGAAGCAGAAGCTACATTTAAAAAGCCAAAATCTAAAAAGAAAAAGAAGACGAGAAGAAAGAATAAAGATGATGATGATCTTAATATTTCAACTACAGCATCTATAGTAGAAGATTCACCAGAGTCAACTTCTACTACAGCTTCTAAATCTCGTACTATAGATCCAGATGCTAATTTTGTAGATGATGATGAGCTTCAAGAAGCTCTTGCACGTTCAAGAAGAATAGCCAATAAACAGAAAAGTAAACTTATCAAGAAAATGACACCAGAAGAAATTGCCAGACAACTTAAAGAAGAACAAATAAAAGAAGAAGAAGATAATGATACAGGTGGACTTGTTTTATCCGAAACAACAGAATTTGTTAATTCTCTTGGTCGTAATATTCCTATTTTTAATCCTAGAGAAACAACTTATACTGTTAAGAGTGAGGAACCTAAGATCAAGGTAGAACCTGATACAGAACGTTATATTGTTCATGAAATTAAAGATGAACCACATTCTGAGTCTGAACAAATATTAGAATCTGAAAAAGAGGAGAACGTAGATCATACAATGGAAGATATAAAAGAAGAAGAAACAATGGTTGAAATTAAGCAAGAAATTACAGAAGCAAATAATAACGTCGAAGAGCCTTTGGTTGAAGAACCTTTAGTTAGTCGTGGCCTTGCAGCAACATTATCGTTATTAAACCAAAAAGGTATGTACACACATATATACATACTCTTGATATATTAGCTTAGATATATACTTTTATTATATAAGGTATTCTTGCCAAGCCTACTGAGGAGCAAATTAAACGAGATAAAATTGCAGCAGAGCAAATAAGATGGCAAAATGAACAACGAAAGAAAGAAAGAATCAGAGAATTGGAGGATAGAAGAGAAAAAGAAAGACGTAGAGGCGTTGATAGAAGAGATTATAACACTGAACGTATGAGAGAATTAGAGCGCGAAAGAGAACGAGAAAGAGAGAGAGAAGAGGCAAGAAGATTACGTGAATTTGAGTTAGCAATGGAAAATTATAAACCTGAAGTTAATTTAGAATATACTGATGATAGTGGTCGTGTAATGAACACACATGAAGCCTTCAGATATATGTCGCATAAATTCCATGGCAAGACATCAGGAAAGACTAAAACAGAAAAGAGAATGAAGAAGATCGAAGAAGAACGTAGATTGAATATGATGAGCAGTACTGACACACCTCATAATTTGGCTAATGCATTACTGGAAAGACAAAAACGAACTGGTAATGCTCATGTGGTATTAAGTATTGGTAATAGAGGAGTTGTTCCAACTTCTACACCTTTAGAAGGTTTATCAAAATCTAAAGATAACAGTAATAATAAAAAATAAGCCATTTCTTTTAGTGGTTATTCTTTTCAGTAAAGTTTTTGTATTATTACTTTTAATTTATACAAACTAATACAAAATATACTTATTTCTGAAGAATTAAAGATGTATCTTTCTTATCAACTTCGTCATTTGAAATGAATATCATTCTTATCAAGTGCACCAATATTAATGATAATCATGAATATTTTTTTGTTACGAGCCTTTATCAAAGTGTGCTCCTTTTTGTCAGTTCTGTTAAAAATTAATTTCGTTTATGTACATGTATAAAAATATGCGCTTCCATTTATTAGCGACTATTCATATCTCTAAAGTCAGTATTGGTGCAGAGAAATTTTCAGTATAGTCTAAAAGTATTTAATATATTAGCTTAAAAGTCAACAGTTATGATGAGACTAGTAGCAATTAAGGTAGAAACTAGACTGAATGAAGATGGTCTAACCAGCATTGATTGAGAAAAAAAAAGTTTATTCTAATATTTCTGAACCATAAGACCAAATACATATCGTTGTAGGTATCATTAAATATTTAAAAAATAATAAAGTGTATAAACTATCAAAAATACACCACTTTTGATATATTTTAGGGTCCTTTTTTCCTTGAGGTTTTATTAGTATAATACAAAAAGTAGATATACCTACTAATATTTAGAATTAAAGAGGTATGTACAATGATTGCAAAAAATTATTATTATTATTGACACATAGCTGCTTATTAGCAAAAATGAAAGAAATGTTCGTTTGACAAAAGCCATTATTGTTACTATTTTGAAGAGTTATGATTCAAATTTTAAATAGTTCACATATATATGGCGTTATAGCTTTTATATATTTAAAGATTATATGTATGTATATTTTAGACAAGAAGACAATGCCACATACATATACATGTTTATTTATATATATACATATATATCGAAGATGTAAGCATATGTAAATAGTATACACATGTAATAAGCATTTATAACTACCATTGTATACTATTTAAAGATTTTAAGGGGTATATTAAATATGATAGAATACAATAAATACGTTGTAATAAATACACTATGTTAAAGTAGATGTATCAGATTACCTTTCCAAAAAAAAAAAAGAAAAAAAAAAAGAAAAAAAAAGAAAAAGAATATTAATCGCAAGTTGATATATAGCATTTAATAGATCTTATATTACTACATGTATAACATGTTGTCTCCTTATTGATAAATTCATTGTATGTATCATTAACCTTACAGTTGGAATAATAATACCATATTTATATATATAAATATATATATAAATGGTCAGCCATTTTATATCATTCACATGGTATTCAAATATATGCATACAATTAAACAAATATATATATACATATCATGCTATCCAAAAGAAATATAGCGCTTGTATTGATTATTTCTAACTACATTCATAAGGTATTTGATTAACTGAATAGCCCTTAGATTCAAGGAGATAACATTTTAACAAAATGAGTGATGTCCTGTTCTTTATTTACGAAGGAGTTATATAAAAGGAGAGATCTGAAATATAAAATATTATTATTTTCTTTGATTTTTTTTTCGATTATCCTTTTTGTTATACGAATAATTATTACCAAAGAAGCTATTAGTATATATATATATATATTTGCTTTAAATAATATATATATAAACATATATTTATATTTATAATTAATGAAGGAAGAAGTACAATAAACTATCAATTTATATCACAGTTCACCAATCTAATATAAATGTCACAGTCAACAACAATTGCCGACTTAACACAATTATCTCGAGAACCTTCTTCAGATGAAATTGCTGAAATATTGCGACAAAGATATCTTAATGGTTTTATCTATACAAATATAGGTCCATCAGTTTTAATTGTATTAAACTCGTTCGATACAAACAATAAAGATAAACAAGCCAATGATAAAGCAAATTATATTACAGAATATAAGGATACATCAAGTGCAAAAACAAACCAATGGAGAGAACCTCATTTATATCAACTCATAAACCACGCTTATTTAATCATGAGAAGAACTAATATGAATCAGTATATATTATTTAGGTAATATCATTTTTTTTTCTATTAAATCATTTTTTTATAACCTCCTCATTGTATAATAGTGGTGAAAGTGGAAGTGGAAAATCTGAACAATTCAAGCAGTCAATAGATTATTTAATTTCACTTAGTACACATCGAAAAACGACCCGTACACAGTCAAATATAGTACATGCTCAAACAATTATTCATGCATTTAGCCATGCTAAAACAAATCAACATGACAATGCTTCACGATGTGCGCTTTTTTCAGAAATTCATTTTTCCGAAAGAGGCAGACTGATAGGTGCTAGATTTTTACCTTATGCTTTAGAGAAATCAAGAGTTACAGAGGCTGGGCAAAACGAACGTAGCTTTCATGTGTTTTACAATTTATTATCAGCAGCAACTTCTGAAGAGAAAAGTGTACTACGTTTATCTGACTGGTCAACCTTTCAGTATCTTTCTAGAACAAATACTTCAAAAGCATCATCACTGGATGATCTTTCAAGTGATATTGAGCTACGAAATGCATTAAAATCAATCTTACCTCAAAAATATAGAGTAAGTCAAATATTCCAAGTCCTAGCAGCTATTTTACATTTAGGCAATATTCATTTTATACAAGATTCTCAAAATGCTCAAGATGCTGCTACAGTTAAAAATATTGACTCTTTAACAATAACTGCTGATCTACTTGGTGTTGACCCTAATTCACTGTTAAGCACGTTGACATTTAAAAGTAAGCTAATAAAGAGAGATATCACAACTCTATTTTTAGATGCAAAACAATCCAGTAAACACAGGGATGATCTTGCACAATCTTTATATTCTTTGTTGTTCACATGGCTAGTAGAGCAGATCAACAATCGACTAGCACCTAAAAACAGCCATAGATTAATTGGTTTGCTTGATATACCTGGTTGGGTTTACTCGAAACAAAATGGGAGTGAATTTGATCAGCTTGCTTTTCATTTTATTCAAGAGACAGTCCACCAATTGATGTATGCGCATATTTTTGAACATGATCGACAAGAATATGCAGAGCAAGGAATGACTTCAAACCTCATTGAAAACACACCTGCAAGCACAGCCATCGTTGATCTTTTTATGCATCCATCTAAAGGTCTGTGGTCCATTATGAATACACAAGCCTCCGGGCAGCAGCAGCAGCAACGCTATACTGATGATGAAACCTTAATGGATAATTATGCAAGAGCTAATAAGAGTGCTATAAAAGATCAAATCCTGAGTTTTAAAAAAGCTGATAATAATTCCAAGTTATTTACAATTCAACACTTTTGGGGTTCAGCAACTTATGATCCTCAATATTTTACTGAGCGTAATCAAGACTATCTTAGTAACGACTTCATTACTTTGTTCGCGGGGAATGCATATAATCCACCTACTACAAATAGCCTTATATCCTGTTTATTTAATTCAAAAATTTTAGGTCAGGATGATAGCACTCAAAATAGGGTCTTTTCTCAGCAGCAAGGTATTCGTCCTCTGCGTTCACCCACCGTAGGGCCTTCTTCAAATTTGTCTATAGCTCGTTATCGAAAGTCAATCGATGTAAGTCAAATACTATCAACGTCATTGCAATCAGATGTTTCAAGTGTTGCTGATCTTTTAGTAACTGGTATTAATGACTTATCAAAAGCACTTTCTTCTTCACTCTTGTGGTCTGTGTTATGCATTCGTCCTAATGATTTATCCCTCCCTAGGTCGTGTGATATTAAAAAAATAGCTGTTCAGCAAAGACATTTTAAGTTTTCTGAATTAATCAGACATATAAAAAAAGGCTATTACATTGCTGTCTTTACATTTGAAGAGTTTTGGAACAGATATTATGCTTCCATTCCTAATACAGTGAATACCATAGTAGATTCTAGTTTAGGGTTACGAGATAAATGTATATATGTAGCTCAATCTATGAACTGGGGTGACGATATTATGACTATTGGAAAAACAAAGGTAAAAAAAAAGGGGGGAGGAGGGTTTCTGCATGAAGAATATCACTTTAACAATTCAAAACTTATGTATCCAGGTATTTTTATCGAATCATGCATTTCGAATTCTAGAAGATGATTTGAGAAGCTTAGAAAAATCAGAAACAAAAAAAGTAAAAAATTCTTTAATGGATTCTGGCATACATGGACAAAAGTCTTTTGACCTTTGTTCTTATAATGATGATCTTATTTCCTCTGCAATATCTGAGGACGACTATACGAATGAATCTGCTATATACGATCTGAATGGCTCAAATGTATTTTCGGGCGCCGGGAATGAAAATAGACAAACTATGTTAATGTCGCCAGACAAATTTTCGTCTGATTATTATCAAACTGCAGGTTTGAATGGACCCAACTTTAAAGGTGAGAAATCGAAAGATATAGGAGATGAGGCCAATGAACCTATGTCGAATATTAGATGTAAATGGATTATATTTGTATGGCTTTTAACCTGGTGGGCTCCCTCACCTTTCTTAAATTATTGTGGTGGTATGAAACGACGTGATGTTCGCTTGGCATGGAGAGAAAAAGTAGTTCTTTGTATGCTTATTTTCTTCTTATCCTCTGTTATGGTCGTTTTCATTATCTTTTTCGGTCCCTTAATCTGTCCTCATCAAGATGTTTATTCTCTATCTGAACTTCAATCTCGGTCAACCAAAAAGAGTGCTCTTGTCACTATTCGTGGCGAGGTCTTTGATTTAACCAAGTTTGCACCTCACCACTGGGCCTCTGAAGTAATACCTGACAATGCTATTTATGATTATGCTGGTAAGGATGCGACAAACCTTTTCCCTGTTCAGGTCTCTTCTCTTTGTGATGGCGTAACGGGTAGGATCCCTGAAGAACTCGTGCTTGATTTTCAATATAACCTGACAGACAAGAATGCTGCATATCACGATTTTAGATTTTTTACTGATGATTACCGACCTGATTGGTACTTTGAGCAAATGGTCTTTCTGCGTAGGAATTACAGAATAGGTTTTATGGGCTATGAGCCCTCCGATATTATTCGTCAAGCTACAAATGTCGTAAATGTGGGAGATATCAGTACACATCGTAGTTGGGCTGTACTTCATGGTGACGTATATGATATGACTTATTATCTATTAGGAGGTCGTACTCCACGTGCACCAGTAGGTATAGCACCACCTGAAAATTTGGACTTGAACTTTATGGAAAACAGTATTGTTCAATTATTTCGTCAATTAGCTGGAACTGATATTTCAAAGCATTTTGATGCGCTACCTATATCTCCAGAATTAAGAATGAGGCAATTGGTTTGTTTACGTAACCTATTCTTTGTTGGAAAAGTAGATACAAGAAGATCACTTCAATGTTTATTCTCTGAATACTTTTTATTAATTGTAACAGGTAATATTTTGAATTACAATGGATACTTATTTATTTTTTTTAACTATATATATATATATATATATATAAATGTATAGGGTTTTTATGTGCCGTTATTCTTTTTAAATTCTTAGCTGCGTTACAGTTGGGATCATTTCGCGAACCAGAAGATTATGATAAATTTATTGTATGCCAAGTTCCATGCTATACTGAAAGTGAAGAATCCCTTCGTAAAACAATTGATTCTATTGCTGTTTTACGCTATGATGATAAACGCAAGCTACTTTTCCTTGTATGTGATGGCATGATTATTGGTAGCGGTAATGATAGGCCTACGCCTCGTATTGTACTTGATATCCTTGGAGTTGATCCCAACGTAGATCCTGAGCCTTTATCATTTTTATCACTTGGTGAAAGCATCAAGCAACATAATCAAGCCAAGATATACTCGGGTTTATATGAATGTTCTGGACATGTTGTTCCATATGTTGTCGTGGTCAAAGTAGGCGCTCCAAACGAGCGAGTAAAACCTGGAAACAGAGGGAAGCGCGACTCACAAATGGTATTGATGAGATTTTTAAATAAAGTTCATTTTGAAGCTCCCATGACGCCTATGGAACTAGAAATATATCATCAGATTAAAAATGTGATTGGCGTCAATCCTGGTTTCTATGAGTTTATACTTATGGTAGATGCTGATACTGAAGTGTTACCCGATTCTCTTAACCGTATGGTATCCTGTTTTGTACATGATTCGAAGGTAGTAGGTCTATGTGGCGAAACACGACTTGCAAATGAAAAGGATAGTTGGGTCACTATGATTCAGGTCTATGAATATTATATTTCGCATTTCTTATCAAAAGCGTTTGAATCCTTGTTTGGATCTGTCACTTGTTTACCTGGCTGCTTTTGCATGTACCGTATTCGTTCACCTGGAGTGAAGAACCAACCACTTCTAGTTAGTAATCAGGTTATTGATGATTATGCAGAGAATAGGGTTAATACCTTACATCAAAAAAACTTGCTTCATCTTGGTGAAGACCGATATTTAACTACTTTAATTCTGAAGCATTTTCCTACTTATAAAACAAAATTTACAGCAGATGCTGGGTGTTTAACGAATGCACCCGATCGATGGAGTGTATTACTCTCTCAAAGACGTCGTTGGATCAATTCAACTATTCATAATTTAGGTGAATTAGTTTTTTTACCTCAACTTTGTGGTTTCTGCTGTTTCTCTATGCGATTCGTCGTCATACTTGACCTTCTTAGTACACTTGTTATGCCTGCTGTGGTTTGCTATTTAGGATTCCTTATATATAGATTAATTACAAATGCAGATCAAGTTCCATTTATTTCTATCATTACTTTATGTGGTGTTTACGGTTTACAAGCCATTATTTTTATTGTTCGTAGAAAGGTAAGAAGGAAAAAAAAAAAAAGAAAGAAAGAAAGTTACGTTGTACAATTACTTACTATTATACATACTAGTGGGAGCATATAGGCTGGATGATTGTTTATATCTTGGCTATTCCAATATTTTCATTTTTTATACCCATTTACGCATTTTGGCACTTTGATGATTTCTCTTGGGGAAATACACGAGTTGTATTAGGAGATGATGGACAAAAGAAAGTGTTAACAGTGGAGGAAGGTAAATTTGATCCAAAGTCAATTCCCTTGAAAAAATGGAATGAGCACGAGAATGAAATTTGGGAGACAGGATCAGTCGAGACCAAAGGTACAGCAATTACAGCTTCAACAACGCATCGCACAGCTGCTGGTGTTCCAACTTTAGGCTCCTATACTTCCGTAAATAGTAATTTTCTCACTCCTCCTCCTCCTCCTCCTGCTCTCAGTTATCCTGCAAGTATGAGTCATCTTCCAATGACATCGTCTGCAAGCTTTATTGGTGGTAATAATCAATTATATAACGGTGATAATTTAAGCTTTAGATATTCTCATCAAAATTTATCAGGACCAGCATCATCCGTTATGTTAAATTCAAATCCAATGTTAAACTTGGGACCACCACAGCATATGCATATGCTTTCCTCAACTTCAGTCTATAGTGGTGAAGGTAGCGTGCATGGTGATGATATAGCCCTTCATCAGCAGGGATATAGTCCTATAATTTCAAACACTATGATGATGGATAATAATAGTAGCTTTCATCCAACAGACGAAGAAATACGTCGAGCAGTACAGTATATAACTGCTACAGCAGATTTAACAACAGTGACTAAAAAGCAAGTCAGAGAACAACTTAGTAGACATTTTGGGGTTAACATGATGTATAAAAAAGATTTCATAAACGTTTGTATTGAAGAGACACTTAACTATTAGAATATTTTGTTAATGTATACATCAGCTATAAATAGATATATTTAGATATACATAAATAGCTTATAAAATATATTTTTATATTTATAAATACTTGAAATATACGTATATAATATTTATATACATATATATATATATGTGTGTGCGTGTGTACATTATAATCAAATCCATTTGGTTCAAGTATAATAACTATAATATTAATCTATTTCATGAATACAAATATTAATAAGAAGGATCTTTTTACGTATAATATTAAGCTAATATTTTTTTCTTAAAAAAAATGGATATATAACATTTAGACAAGTCTTTATGTATTATGTAATATAGTACTCTCTGTTATACAGTAATTTTAATAATAATAAATAAATTAATAGTTAGAGATACATAATATAGAAAGGAGTATATTTATATATGTGTGTATCAATAAATACATAGAATGTGATATGAAAGGTTTTGATATAGGGGTTTTTTTTCGTCTTAATCTTTTGAATGTATATTTGTATGTAAAGTAATGATGTATAATGGATGTTTTTTTTTATCTTTTGGTATCATTCTGGAACTTACTGTTATTAGCCCAGTACCTATTATCAGTATTTTGTTGTGAAATAGATAGATTGTATGAATATAATGAAGGTTCTACTGCTGTATTATTGGTAGTAGTAGATGTTGCATTTATAGAAGGATTACCATAATATGTCATTGTTGCGTTATAATTTAAGTTTGGTGAATTATTCATAAGCATAGGTGAATTAGATGTCATATTACTAAAATCCTATATTAATGAGAGTATTAGTTTTTTTTTTCCTTATACATTTACATATTCGTATATTCACTTCCATACTATTACCTCTCTATCTTCAATATACTCATTATTCGCAGAATGATCTACTGATCTATAATAATTAGGATTATTTGTCTAAGTAAAGCAAGAATAAAATTAATCTATGAGCTCATGGATATTTTTTTTTTCAGTAAAGCATGACGTTTGTATAGGGTGCAATTGAATAGAATGTAGAAAAAAGGTAACATTCTCATTCTGTTATATATAGAAAAAAAAAGGCCTCTAACTTATGCATATATGTTATTTATGATACTAACCATAGATGAAAAAGATTTAGACAAATGATTGATACTAGAAGGTGTTATGGATTCATTAAGCTGAGTTTGTTGATCTATTACAGAAGAAGTTGACTCAATTGAATCAGGAGCATTTAAACAAGATTGAATTAAACTTTTTCCTTCAGGTTTTGTAACAAGTGGCTGTAGTTTAGATGTAGTAAAAGTGTAAACGAGACCAGTTTCAGAAACTACTAAAAGTAAAACTTGAGTACCTGTCAGTGTACTCAACTCATAAGCCTATGTAATATATAATGATTACTATACGTATTATTTTATTTTTTTTTGTTTTTTTAGGTGTATATTAAATATACTTTTTTCATTATTCCAGCCTTTCGTTTAGAAAAAGTGATATGTCTTCTTGATTTGTCACTAATGTATTCAATCTTGATCTTTCTTCTACCTGATCTTTTATCTGGTATTGTATCATTTCCATCTGATTCTTCTTCAATAATGATATTTGAGTCAATAATAGTAGAAGATGGAATCATACATTGAGGCTGGTAATAATAATTTGATGACTGCATGATAACGACTTGTATTGATTTGACTATCAATAACTCGAAGAAGAAAAAAAGAGAATGAAAAGAGGAAGCAATAAAATAAATGGTTTGAAAAAAAAAATAAATAAATAAATAAATAATAATTTTGGAGTATGTGCATGTGTGAGGCTAGTCCACCTTTTTTTTTTTTTTTTTTTTTTTTTTTTTTTTTTTTTTTTTTTTTTGCATGACGCTTCTGTGTACCCAACTTTTATGATAAGAATAAATAATGTTAGTTATGTTGTATTTCTAACAGCAAGGAATATACAACAATTGTTTGTATATAAATATACACTTGAAATAACATCGTTGTAATGGAAACTTTTTTTTTTTTTAAAAAAAAAACAGATGTTTTATGCTTATAATATGCATGTAATCTTTTGTCCTACATGTATTTTTTTGTACTTAAGGCTTAAAATTACATATTATATATTGTCATACCAAAGTAAAGTTTCTTTCACATGCAGGTATGTATCATCATAATTACTTCAATAAATGAATACATATAATATAATATCAAATACAGTCTGTCATATTTGCAGAACATAATCAATTAAGTAATATGGATCATAGCACTTTATGGGCAGTAAAATTAAAGAATAAAGTAATTTCAATTTTATGTAGTCTATTTTCCTTTCTTTGCAAACCAACCCCCAATTTTATTGATTATGTACACAAATAAAACTGTCAAATAGTTCTTAACATTTAATACATATCAGATTTTTATAAGTTAAGCTTATTTTTTTTTTGAAGTTAAAATTACTCTTAAATAATGTACCACCTATAAATTACGTTGTTACTGCTATATAATTGTGGTGCATATATGTATATACATTTTTTTTTTTTTTTTTTTTTGACTTCCTATGGATTTCACGTTATATTTTCTTTCAGCTCTTTGTTAAAAAAAAATGTCTGATAAAGCACCAAAGAGAAATAAATTAGTTTTTAAAGGCGATAAAGAGCACAAGTAAGGACGCAATGATATCTATATACATTTATAACTTTAATTTAATGTTTTAGTGTCATTTTAGAAAGAAAAAAAGAAAACATCGCTCATCTGAACATGAAGATCGCGAAATTGAAGGATCAACAGATCAGGTATGGGTACGTGCAGATGCTATTGAGGATCTTGTTGGACCATTGTTCATTACACACCCAAGTGAACCACCTATTTGTGTATGTGTTGATGAAGACGATCGATTTCTAGCTTATCCTTTACCCGATACTGCAACGCCAGAGCCTATAATTATGCAACAAGTTTTTGTTGGTGCTCGTGTTATAGGATCGACTGATGCATTCACATTAAAATCAGCTAATGGTAAATACCTCAAATGTGATAAATTTGGCGTTGTAAGTTGCGATAGTGAAGCTATTGGTGGTCAAGAAGAATGGAAGCCTGTCTTAACAGATGCAGGTATTGCATTCGAGAATGTTCATGGAAAATTTTTGATGGTGGATGAAATCGCTGGAGGAGGTGTTCGTATTCGTGCTGATGCAGATGATGTTGGTTTTTGTGAGACATTTAGAGTCTATTGTCAAGCACGATTTAAATATAAACAAAAGACAAAAAAAAAGGGAGGACAAGGCGCTATTTCTGAATCAAATATGTAAGAATACTTTTTTATTTTTTAATATAGAATGCAATACACTTATTTAAATTTTTAATTTATAGTAAAAAATATCAATCATACGGAGGAAGTAAGGCTTATACAGAAGAAGATAAACGAGAATTAAAGAGAGCAAAAACAGAAGGCCGTTTAGCAGAAGCTTTATTGGATAGAAGAGAAAAATTGAAAGCTGACCGTTATTGTAAATAATAAACCACTTGATTTAAAATGAAATTTGAGTACGTTTTTGTTAAAAAAAAAAGTTATCGTTTAATATAAAATGTAGCTAATTCAGTATTCCTTACTATTAATACTCTATTGTTGTTGTAATTGTTTTTCTTAGATTTCAGTTAATACAATTAAAAGATAGCTTCAACTCACAAAATTTTTTATGCCTACTAAACATTAACGCTAATTTATGGTTATACTAACTACAAGATGCAGATAATAAACTTGTTTTAGATTAACAAAGCAAATAATAATATTTGATTGATATAACTCTTTTATATATAAATAAACATACTTTAACCTATAGAAGGTTATATATAATGAAATGCCACTCTTTAAAGATGCAGTAACATTGGGAATGATCTCAATATGTAACTACTCCCAAGAAAAGCAATATTCTTTTGTAAATACCTTCTAAAGGAAGTAAAGTAGAGTTATCATAAGTGTATATATTGTTTATAATTTTGTACATCAAGATAAGTATTATGTAAATTGTGTACAATATGACACTTGTAACTAACTTTATGATCTAGAATATATAAATATGTATACATAAATAATAATAAAAAAAGGAAAAAAAAAAAAAAGAAAAAAGAAAAAGAAAAGGAAAAAAAAAGTGGCTATTATTTTTTTTCCTTCTTTACAAATATATAATGATTTAAAACAAACAAACAAATCCTAAATGCTATTTTAGTTCACTTCAGTTGGCATTGGTGAATGTGTTACAGTATCAGTATTATTTTGTGTTGGAGACGGTTCAGAAGAAGGTGGAGGATTAGCAGTAGTTGATGATGATGATGATGTATGAGCGGGTTCAGATACTGGAGTTGATGTTGATGCTATTGTCGACGGATCTTTGAATGCTTTGATCCATCCACTTTCTACAAAGAAATCATATATACGGCTTGTTTTATTTACATCAATTTTAATCAATGCACGGGCTTGTCTTCGTTTCAGGTAACCCTGCTTTGCGTATTCCTTTAATATTGTGTCCTTAATGACAAGGTATGGTCTAGGCATAATACGCAACGTTGAGCATAAAACTTGTTCTTCTTCTGTCAATAAATGAACTCCATCTGCATCTTTGATATTTAATGGATTAGCAGGTTTCCTTCCTCCAGAAGGAGCAGCTGCTGTGATTGTTGAACTAAGAGTGCTCGTTGAACTTGTTTGTCCTCCTCTATCACGATAATAATTTGCACCATTTGATGTAGCGAGTGCTGCCATTTGTGAACGGTATGTATTACGCTGAGCCGTTCCAACTGTACCCATTCTTTCACTCGATAATGAAACAAATGTCTTTAATTGGGCTAATCGATTTTGCTTTTCACGTTCATATTGTTCTCCTTGTCTTATTGTCGTAAGACCTGCTTGTCTCCACTCTTGTAATGTTGCTATTCTATCCCGTAATTGCTGTTCTTTTATAAGTCCCTTAACAAATACCTCATAATCTGTTTCTGTCTGTAATCTACAAAATACGCGAGTCTTATTGTATATCTCGCGTTCTTCCTTTTGTCGCTTTCGTTCAACAGCTTGCATACGTTTAAAATCTAGCCATTTCCTTTCAAATATGAGCTTCTTACGCTCCATTCGACGATCCAGTCTTGAATTATAAATGTCTAAAACCATCACTTTCAAGTCAATTTCTTCAGGTGTATCGTCATCATTAAAAACCATGTCTTTCACAAACTGTTCTGCATCATTCTCATATTCCGTTTCAAATTCAAAACGACGAGGCATGTAGCCTTGAATCTCATGAAAGGCAGGTCCACTTGTAATAGGCTTAGAATTATGAGGTTGCGATGTAGATGGTTTACGTGGTATCAATCCTCGAGATTGTTGTAAACGTTGTCGTTTACGTTCACGGCATTCGTCTTCACTTGTTTCAAATTTGAGATTCATGCGTGGTAATGGCCAATTAGGGCTAGAGACATAGACATTCAAATAGTGTTGTTCGCATTCGTTTTTACTTTTCGTGCCCACATAATCAGCAATAGCTTGCCAATTACCAATACCCATTTTTTCCGCTGCTTCAATTAACAATAGTTCCTCATCTGCATCCCAATCTTCACTAAAGATGGGAAAATTGTGAGGTTTGACAATGCGATAATCATGCCATGTTTTATGTTTGACCGGTTCTGCACCTCCACAAAAACAAGTAACGCAAAGATCAAAGTCTGGACAATCTTTATCAGCACATCGAATACGTACTGTATTGGTCACATCATTAGAACATGCATCACAATGATATTTAGGTGGCTCTTTATCATCTATGCCTGAACTACCATCTGCATTTGCTGTTGTGTTTACTGAACTACTGGATGGCTTTTGTCGATGCGTTATAGTCATTATATACGTTTAATTAACTTGAAATGCTTTAACTAATATTTTTTTTTTCAATAAATTTTATTTATTAAAAAATAAAATAAAATAAAAAATAAAATAAATAAAAATGACCAATGAGCATAAAGCAATTTTTTTATGCTGTGTCGCCCTAATCAGTTAAAAAAAAAAAGAAAAAAAAAAGAAAAAAAAAAAAAAAAAAGAGTCAAGGAACAAGGGAAAACCATAATGGTCTTTCTTTATCAAGGACATTGAAAATGATGCATTCATTTGAGTTATAAATTTTAGGAAATCATGATATTCTTTACATACTTCATATTTATTCAGTCAAATTTTTTAAAAGCGACACACTAACGATACGCTATGATAGAAATACAACTAGTCATGATGTTTATTAATAATGTTGTTGTTGCCAACCTTGCTTTGACAACGTTCTAGTTGATCGAGTTATTTTATTTGGTCTATTGTTATTACTACTATTATTTGTTTCTGTCTTTTTCGTTATTCGATTATATATCCTATCACACCAGCCACCTGGCATACAGAAGGGGAACCAAGACCACCAGCAGGTGTAGCCCCACCAACAATGACATAAGCCAGAATCTAATTCAATACTCTTAAAGGAAGCTACAGAAGTCGACCATCGATTTCCTTGTTGCTCAGAATCATCCACTAAGTTTTGATGACCTGGATAATTTCTGTTATGGTTGTCATTAGACGACGATGAAATACTTGTAGTATCTTCTTCCTGCTCTACTTCATAGTCCATTCTATCATTTGATTTTCGGCTTACATTGATTTGATCTGATAATAACTTGGTGGTATCATTAGGTTTCACAACAATCATTGGTAAAGCATTCCCACCATCTGAAGATGGCAACCTATTCTTAACATATTGATTCACTAATAATCCAGTTAATACTAAAAGTGTTGTAAAAGGATCAATTCGTAAAAAATCACTATTGAAGGTTTGCTGCTGCTGTTGTTGTTGTCTGAAGGGATTGTTGGTAATGGTAGAAGAAGGATAAAATAGAGAAAATCGATTATTTTGTAAGTCAGCTATTACAGTTTCTTCCGACTCTATTTGATAACATTTTAAAGCATAGCTTGATGGTGTAGGTTGCATTTGCCAATAATAGGTTTGATTTGAGAAAGTGAATCTAAATTGTGGAGATGCCATCATTGTTAATGAGCAATAATGTTGTTGGTATTTTAGAGTTATTCTATATCGGTCTCTATGTGTTAGTTGCCATAAGGGATGTTTATGCTCATTATAGAGTAGATATATATTGATAGATGGTTGTTGATCACTTGCAGCCTCTTGTTCTTGTCGATTAGTTGCTATAGAGGGTGGTGGGTCTTGTTGATAGTAATAAAATATGTCATTTTTATATGAAAGAGTTGTATAGAAAGCTTGTGAATTATGTTTAGAAATGTCAACTGGTATATTTTCTTGAATTGTGAATTCCAATGCTGGCATTAAAGAGCTAGTATTATTAGTTATTGAAGGTAACTTTGTCGATGCTGAAGAGTAACGGTTTGTGTTTAGAATGGAAGTTGATTGACTGATGGTACTACTTTCCATTATTGATGGTATAAATGAGGAGACTTTATTAAAAGAAAATGAAAAATAGAAAAAGAAAAAGAGAAAGAGAAAGGAAAGAAAAAAGCCATATATGGTTATTATAAAAGGTTGTACATAGATTATTTTAACATGATGATAAAACAGTTACTAATAAGTCTCAAAAAAAAATGCAACATATCTTATCAGTTTGAGTTTCAGCAGCGACTTACAGATTTTTAATCATCTGTTACTTAAATAAATAATTAAGTTTCAAGTCCATTCCAGCTAGTAATGAAGAAAAGAAGATGATATACTACAATGATTGTATATTAATATTTATATAGGGCTATCTTCACGTTATAAGCTTTATTAATTCCCATTATTGAAAGCGGTAATAAGCCTCTACACTATTATTAAATACTTGAATTTATATAACAGTCTATTTATGCTCAAGGTCCAAAATTCATAGAGAATCTAAAAAAAAAAAAAAAAAAAACCACTACCACCACCATCTCAAAGCCTATAAAGTAGTCTTCTTCAAGTGTCTATAAGCGTGTCCAGAAACACCAAAAGTAGTTTTCTTGCTTGTATTCTTTTTCTTTTTTCTATCATGATATTATCAGTTATAAATCTATTATCATATTTAGATCTCGCAGAGAATGATATTAATTTTTTTTTTTTTTTATGTATACAGTGCGTCAGGATTTTAACTCAGAGTTGATAATTTCTTACATTAGATTTACAAATAATCTTTACTCTATCGCCAGGTATGTATGTTAGACATAGAAGTCCAAGTTGGCTTCTGGCAAAGAGAGAAGAAAACTATTATTTTCCATCTTTTCTTGACATTTGATTTATTGCAACTTATTCCAAGATAAGCATGATGCATAATTATTTTCAAGTATTTTATATATAGAATAAAGCTTTACAAATGTATATTCCTTTCTTTCATATATCTATATACACTTATTTATATAAATGTATATCTATACATATAAATATTTATTGTTCGTTTAAATGGAATCTATTATAAATTATACAAAGAATAAGAAAATTGAAAAGTGAGTTTGTTAATATTTATATACTTTAGAAAAAAAAAAAAAAAAAAAAAAAACTTACCAGTAATCAACTTGTTTAATTTGGCAAGCTTAGATGAAACAGTCAAATCGATACTCTTATCACCAATTTCAACCAAAATACCGCCAAGGATATCAGGCTTAACTTTGTTAGAGACAAGAAGCTTCTTACCTTCAGCAAGATTAGACTTTTGAAGGGAATCAACAATCTTATTCAAAGCATTCTTATCCAAAGCCTATAAATAACATTCAATTATTAGCTAAATCTCCTATCTCATTTTTTTTTACCACTCTCACCACATATATAATCATTTAATACCTTAGCGGAAGTAATGATAAGAGGCAATTCGTTACGATGAGCGCTCATCAATTGAGAGAAAGCTTCAATAACCTTGGAAGTTTGATCCAAACGGCCATTTTCAGCCAAAGTATCAAAGAAATTTTCAGTAATTTTATTAGGTTTACCAGTCTTCTTCATGGCGGAAGTAATACCTTGCATCTTGGTGGAACGAGTAACTGTAGGGTTTTCTAAAAATCCTCGAAGAGCTTGATCTTTTTGAATGGCTTGAGTAAGTGACTTGAGATCCTTTTCAACAGCTTCGAGAACATTTTGACGAGCAGCAGCAGTGTAAAGGGCAGTAGCGTAACGACCATCAAGACCATAAAGTGTGATGGGAGCCTAAATTAACACTAATAGTTAAATATTTATAATCTTCAACGAATCCTTTTCTCTTTTTTTTCCCTCCTTCTCTGGACTCATTTACCTTGATTATGGTAGGAGCGGCAGCATAACCACGAGTAAGCTATATAAATTTATTTAAATCAAAATAAAATGCGTATATATGAATTAGTTCATCGAAAAAATTGACATGTGAAAAGGAATAATGCAGCTTGTATATTGAATTCGAATTGTTCAAAAAGAAAGTACGGAAGCTGGCATTTTTAATAACGAAAAACAAAGATTCCAACTATTTACCTTGGGAACAGAAGTAGTTAAACGGGTGAATCGAGAAGCCATCTTTTTGCCGATTTATATTATGTATAAAAAAAAAATGGATGTTTGAAATAACCTTTTTTTTTTTTTTTTTAGGTCCACTTTTTTTTTTATCAACCCCTCCCCCACAGTATTCCTCAGGGTCAGCCAAACATCTGATGACGTACACGGATAAATATTTCGAAGTGATTGGATACCCATCAATTATGGGGATAAGTAAAGTTAAAACAACAAATGCCGATTAACTGTAGCGCTTTTTCTCAACTCAGTTTGTCTTTTTTTTTTTCCTAGAGATAATCGACATAGTGTTTATGAATAGTAAAAAAAAATAAAATAAAATAAAAAGCATTTAATATTATGGGATTTATTTGGCCACGATAAAATATCTAATCAAAAAAAGATTTTGAAACAATTGCCAACAAAAAAACAATATTTAACAGTTAAAATAATTCCAAAAAGAAGATACTGAAAAATGCACTAAAGTCAACTAAAGAAGATCAAACTGTTATATTTATTTATGACTTGTATAACAATAAGTTAGATAATAACCTTTACTAATAATATGATCAATTTGTCTATAAATTTGGGATCCAATTGAGAATTACCTGCAAATGATGGAATCATTATTTTAATTCCAAAAAAAAAAGCAAGTTGAATAAAGGAAAAAGTATCGGGACACATTAGATATAAAGCTACTGATAACTACTGAACTATGATGAATAAGAATTTTGAAAAAAAAAACATGTTTAAATTTAAAGAACATGTCCTTGATTGCTTAAGGAATTGTTTTTTTTTTTTTTGTATCTGAAAAGCTAGTTTAAATCGTTAGGTAATAGCTCAAGAAGAAGCTCTTTAAGCAAACTTAGTGCCACATATGATTATAGTAACCACTCTTGTTGTAGGCAGTTATGAAGTAATATTAGGATAGCATCTATCAAAGAGTGCAATAGTCATGTTCAAAAATAAACTTTTTTTGATACAACAGTTGAAGATGAAAATATGAAAAGCTATTAGCTTATTGTAGTGGAGAATTCCCTAAACCATAAGTTAAATTCCATATAAAAAAATCATTAGCTGAGATACACTTTATTGTAGAATTGACCTTGATTGAATAATTCTAAAGTAATGAAAATAAATAAAAAAAAAAAAAAAAAAAAAAAAAAAAAAGGCTTAAAGAAAGTAACACTACTAAGTATTGGAGCAATTAATATCTGCAGCCAAATTCTTACTAATAATATCAATCAACTATTCCAAGTAAAAGATCAAGTGTGTCTACATTTTCTTTTTGAAATAAAATTGCAAGGTGCTTGATAGACTTTAGTTTTCTTTTTTCTACTAACAGCCTAAAATCCATTTGTGTACTACATGCTATTTAGTTGGGGAAGTATTAAACTATGACGAAATATTTTCACAAATTGGTTTACTTTATTTATAAAAGGTAATTTTATGGGTTGTCCTTAGATATTTTTCAAAAATAATTTGGTAATTCATTTTACATACTTACTGCGGGCTTATCCAAACTGTAGTTTTATTTAGCATTTTTGTTTGGTAGTAAAATTTTTTTTTTTCCCTTAATTATACTTTTACAGAATATAATAGTTGCTTATATTCTCGTTTGATTTTATACTATTTTTATATACGCATACCTTTATATACTTTTAAATCATTTATTTTTTATTTTATACAATTGTACATTAAATTTTTAAAAGTAAAAAGTAAAAACTCTAAAGAATATATAATATATGACTTATATACCAAACTCTTAGAACTCATATATATACATATACATATACATATACACAAATATTTAAAGAAAAGCTTTTGTATCTTCACAAGTCATAATGAACGTTTCAGCACCTAGTTTTGTACCAGCATCGGTCAAAACATCTTCATCATCATCATCGTCATCAACAACAACACCAACAACAACAACAACATCTACAAATATAAATTCAAATACAAATAATAATAAACATACTGATAATAATCGAAAAATAAACTATAGAAATAATAATACGAATCAGAAGAAACGTCAAAGTAATTATATGCATAAACTGTCGTCCTGATATTAACGATTTATATAAATAGATAAAAGACGAACCCAGTCTAATCATCATCACGATTCAAATCAAATAACAAATGACATGGATATTGTTAAAGTAGCACAAAAAACAGGAGGCTCAACAGATAAAAAGGGTCGTGTATCTCTAAATCATCTTTTAAGTTTCTCATTCCCTGAAAGACAACGACATGCGCCTATACCTAACTATCGTAAAACAAAAGTAACCTCTTATCAGCCTTTCAATAAAGAAAGATTCATTAATGCAAAGTAAAGTAAAATATTAAAATCATAAAGTACAACGAAAAAAAAAAGGCTGTAATTAATCTTTTCTATTAGTTTTCGGTTCATATTAAATCCTATTGGAGATTATATTTATCAATTGGCAGATCCAGATGCTAATTTTGATTGGGATACAATTGAACAAGTTGTACGTCTCTCTTAAAGAATATATTATGTGTATACATATAAACAGGATTCATATTTAATATTAATATTATTATTATTAGCTTATTTCTTCTTCAGAAGCTCAATCTTGTCCTATATGTTTATCACCTCCAACTGCACCTAGAGTTACAAAATGTGGACATATTTATTGTTTGCCTTGTATTTTGCATTATCTGGAATTACGCGAGAATCGTAAATCGTCATGGCGTAAATGTCCTATTTGTTGGGAATCTATCTATGAAGCCGATCTTAAGCCAGTACGTATTACAAAACCTTTCGCAATATCTGAACATGTTCCTACATCAGGTCAAACTGCTTCACTCTCTTGTGGTGTTAGAGAGGGAGATCGCATTGAGATGGCATTGATACAACGTTCTAGTCATTCTACCTTGGCTTTCCCTATCTCAGATACCTGGCCATTACCAGAGAATGTAGTTTCAAATTATATTAAGCCAGATACACCACTTATTCCATGGCATTTTACACCTGGTGCTATGACATTTGCCCGTTTCATGTTAGGAAGTCCTGATTATTTTGAAGGAGAATATAGGAGAGATAGGATTGAATTAAATGAAGCTTTATCAGATGCCAATGGATGGGGGTCAACTGAGGAAATTCCTTTTATTGAAAAAAGTCTAACACTTGTTTCAAATAAGATAAAACAGTTACGCCAACAAAGGACAAAGGAATTAGAATTAGCTATACAAACTTCCGAAATGATCTTTGAAGCTGTTGCAAAATATTCAAGGAAACATGGGAAAGCTCCCTTGCATGATCAACCATTCAAAGATAAGAAAGAAGAAGAAGGAGAAGAAGAGAAGGTACCAGAAGCCTATCGACACCATCAATCACACCAAGGTGGAGTAGATTTTATTGAAGAAACGAAAACACCTACTACAACGCGTCAAAGGCAACCACTTTATCGACAGCATTCAGTCAATACTATGCATGATTCTATGCCCACTCAAGATTATTATTTTTATCAAGCAGTTGATGGACAACATGTCTATCTTCATCCACTTGATATTCGTATTCTAAAACACGAATTTGGTGATTATCATCAATTCCCTCACAGGCTACAAGCGCTAGTCACTAATGTTCAAGAATCAACTTTAACTGAGGAACTTCGTAAGAAATGCAAATATCTCAGTCATTTACCTCTTGCTTGTGATGTCACATTCTTAGAAATTGATGTGAAGGATATAGTTTCATCAAAGACAATTGAAGTTTATAACCGTAAATATGTAGATAAATATATATATATATATATAACAAGATAATAACATACACACACAATTTTTTTTTTTTTTTTTTGGGAGAATAGAAGAACTTGTAGCAAGAGTTAAAAAGAGAAAGGATAAAGAAAGAAGAGAAGAACAAAAAAGACGACAAGCAGAATCCAAACAAAAGCTTCAAGTTGAAAAAGAGCAAGAAGCTGAACGACAAATGTTAGAAAATGATCCATTCTTCAATATGTATCGACCTCCTTTGACAGCAGAAGAAAACGAAGAACATTTATCACAAGCATTAGCGGAATCCGTTGCAGCTATATCCACAGAAGAGAATCATAGTCCTCGTACTACTGTGTGGGGAACCCGACAGATTACACCTCAAAAAGACGAAATACTAACAGATTGGGCCGATCATATTATTGTTACAAAAAACCATAGAAAGAAGAAAGGAAAGAGACGTTAATGATAATAAAACTGTGTACAAAAATATTAGATTTAATCTGCATAAGAAATTTTTAAAAAAAAAAATAATGATAATGATAATGATAATGACAATAATTTAGTTGTACAAGAAGTGAGTTGTACTTTTTTTTTTATATGTATACACAAATATACACATATAATGTTTGTTATCATGACTAAATTTATGTCAAATGTATACAAATATTTTTTATTTATTTATTTATTTATTTATTTACAAAAAGAGAGAGAAAAAAAAAAGAAGGTTTTAATGAGCAACACTGACTTGACGAACAACGCATCTCGAAATGTCCACTAAAATTCTAGCCGCCTAAATTAGGTTTTAGTTTAAAGAAGGAAAAAAGAAAACGAAAAAAAAAAAAAAAAAAAAAAAATTCCCTTAGGTTACCTCTAAAACTTGATTCTCTTGTTGTTTTGATAACATGTCTGTTTCTTTATTATATTTTTTATAATGTCTCTTTTTTGGAATAGTTGTTGTTTTGTTTGAATCCAATTCATAGCTATTAGAAGCAAATGAAGCTAGGGTGGCAGCAGCGGCAGAAATGTCATCTGTCATACTAGTGGTGTTTGTTGTTGCGGTGTTAGTCTTTTTAGCTCTTTTTTTAGTTGTCGTTGTTTTTGTTGCTGCTGTTGCTGCTGTTGTTATTGTAGAATAATTTGACGTAATAACCGAGTTAGTATTATTTTTTCTTTTAATACCAGAATAATAAGAAGGAGGAGGAGGAGAAGGAGAATGCTCTGTTTGTAAGTAATAATGTTGCTGCTGCTGCTGCTGTTGTTGTTGTTGTTGTTGTGGTGGTGGTGGTGGTGGAGGGAGATGATAGCCTGGTAAGGAAGAAGGTGGGGGAAGGATATAGACCTGTCTAGGTGAATTAGGTTTATTCATTACGTTATCAAAATTTAACAAGGCTGAAGGCGGTGGTAATTTGCTTATTGATTGATCTGAAGAAGAAGTATCTGTTGAAGAAGAAGAGGTTGTATTTGATGTTATTGTACTGGACATGTTAATTGAATATAGCTCCCGAATGAATAATATAAGAAGAAAGAACAAATAAATAAATAAATAATAACAATTCAAAAAAAAAAAAAAAAAAAAAAAAAAAAAAAAAAAGATTTTTATTCTGTTATTTAAAGAAAAACTTTAATTTTATGACGACGACGGTGTTTTAAAATTACAATTGCTTATTCTTTAAGCTTCTTTTCTTGCTTTTTTAAATCAAACATTGGACTACGAAATAGTTTCAAATCTTCAGAGGAAAGCCTTTCACATCGATTTTTGCAAGAATATTGACTATTAGTTTCACTACCACAGCGATAGCAACTTTTTGTTTTGTTTTTGTTTTTTTTTTAGGCATATATATATTAAAGATAAGTTTGTTCACTCAACTTACAAAGAGATTCCACATGTACATATCATAGAAGTACATCCATTCTATTATTTTATAAACATATAAATAAGAATTATATAGTAAAAAAAAAAATGTTTAATCATTATCAATTTTACCATTTTTTCAATTAATTGTCCACATTTTGGACATCGAGTCCAGTAACTTTTTTCGGCTTTTTTTAAAGTTTTCTGTAAATCTTTTTCATCATCTATTTTCTTCATAACACCTATATGCAAATAGAACGAATAAAAAAAAAGAGAAGAGACATGTATTATGTAATAAAGAAGGGGGGAAAAAAAGAATATACCAGGATGCCAGGCAGTTTGACAGGCAATGCAGAATCCCCGATGACATTCATAGCATTCTGTGAAAGTGCATGTTTTTGTATATTGAATATCTGCATCAAATACAGCACCACACTCTTTAAAAGGACAATAAATCTGTATATGTGTATACACATATAAATATACACATTCATATATGTTTATACAGCTAAGTCAGTCATAATTATAGTAGTAGCCCATTATACGTTACACACACACACACACACATACACATATATGAATATAGATTGATTGATTGATTGATTGATACCTTATTTAATATATAACACTTTAGTATAGCCTCTTGCCACCAATTCTTAATTTCATCATTAGTAAAGCAACTATCGAGTATCTCTTCTGTATTAAAATAGTATTTACAATGTGGACTAGGACATTCAATGGTTTCATAAGATGTACATCGATTCTTCTTAAGTATACTAAATAGATAGTTTCGAATACAATCACGACAAGTGATATGATCACAATGTTGGGTGCTGTAAAGGTTGCTTGTCTTGAAGCGAACCATGCAAATGATACAATCAGAGTAAGTTTTCGTTCTATAATTCATTGAATGTTGGCCACTTAATGATTCTATAGAATTTATGGTCAAATTTTGTTCATTAGTTTGAATACTCATTCTTTTAAACAGTTTTGCAAGTGACATATATAAATGTATATATATAAAAAAAAAGGAAAAAAAAAGACATATAATACCCTTCTTATTTTATTCGTTTTTTTTTTTTTATTGATTTGGTTTAATTCACACAGGTATATATCGTTTTAATATTTTTTGCTGTTTTATCAATATTATATTATGATAATAAATCATATTTTTTTTAATCCATGATTATTCAATATGATATGATTATGTAATAATATAGAAGTAAGGGAAGGAAAGAAAATTACGTAATATAATTTAATTTTAACACCTGTGAATAGATAGATGTATATGTCTATTATAGTGTAGAGATCGGTAAACATAATTATCCTCTTATTATACGCTTTTTCTTGATTTCTAAATTTGGTTTCATTCTTATTTGACATTTTTAGAAAGTAAGCAAGTACAAAATATATTTATGCGACCACATATCAAGCTTAGGGTAACTATAGAAATAGACACATTCTAAAATGATTGGAAGAAAGGAAATCTACATGATTTTATTTCAAAAAGCGAGAAACGTTGTGCAATTAAAGTATGTAACATTTTTTTTTTGGTTTTTTGTCAAAAAGAAAGGTGATCAATAAAAAAAAAATCATAATAATGAAAGTAAATAAACGATATTAATAATAATAATAATATACAGTAGGAATATATGGCTCCTATTATTTTAAATCAATTATAACAAACGCAGTGTTAATGAAAAAGTAATAATTGTCAAGATAGGAAATATCCAAAAAAGTAAATATAGCTCATCATCGGAGCTGGTTGCTATGTGTTTCTCTCTCTCTCTTTTTTTTTCTTTTACGCCAATCGAGAAAGTGATACGCATTAATAATACATTTGCATGTGTAATCAATAATAGGGGAATCACAAGTAGAAGGAGAAAGTGAGGATACAAAAATAACTGTAAATGTCTGGTTTATTATAAATGGTGATAATAGATTTAAGGAGACCATCATTTTTCACGTTTAAATTATATGATAAATTTTTTTTTTTTGTCTGTCAAAAATAAATCGAATTAAAAGAAGGGCTTCAAAAGTGCAAATTAAAATAAAAAAAAAAAAATTGGGTCTAGACTAAAAGGAATTTTTGAAGAAAGATCGACATGTACAAAAAAAAAAATCTTTTCTATAGCATTTCGTTTATTTAGGAAAATAATAAAGATTGATAATATTTCAGTAAGCAATAAAAATAGTACCCATACTTGGAAGCTTATTATTTTATGTTTCTTCCTTTTTTTTTTAAAAAAAAAAAAAAAAAAAAAAAAAAAAAAAAAAAAGTGTAGTTAAAAACGAGGAGTAGGTCTTGAAACATAACAACGACAAGAACCCCAAATCAGTAAAAAAAGATTGGGCAAAGGAACCAATAAAATAACTAGTAGAAAGGGCCGATCAATTATTCAATAAAGGGTAGAAAATAGCCTTTTTCAAACAGAAAAGATAGATCGACGCTTGATTGGTGTGAGCAATTTTTTTTTTTTTTTTTTTTTTTGAGTCTTGTCGTGTGTCCATTTTAAAAATATATTTTTTACTTTTCTTTAGCTCTTCTCTTTCTCTTTAACTTTTTCTCTCTTTCTCTTTCTATCTTTCTCTCTCTTTCTGTCTTTCTCTCTTTCTCTCTCTCGCTCTCTCTTTTTCTCTTAATTTTTAGAACTTCAAAATAAAACATAATAATAATAATATTAATAAAATCATAAAAAAAAAAGTTTTTTTTTTTCTGTAAATGATTATGATGGCGCCTTTTACATCCACCAATAACAATACTACATCCACCACAATGAATAGTTCCACAACGACGGCTTCAAAAGGAAAGAAACCATATAAGAGCTGGTTGAAAGACGGCGTCAATGGTGGACCTTGTTCTATGGATATCTTAATTAATTGGTTATCAAAGAAAACAAATTATGCTAAATGGAAAGGTGACGATTGTGAACGAATTCCAAAGAAATCATTACTTGAGAGTATTATTGATGAAATGAGAGTAGCCGGTATTTATCATCGATTAGCAAAAGATGTTGCCTCAAAAATATCTACACTACAAAGCAATTATCGTTTAGCTCGTGAATGGAAAGAAGTAGATGGCAAAAAGTTATTAGAAACCGGTATTAGTGAAGAAAGTATTCATGGTAACCTATCTTCTAATATATATTAGAAATATCTTTATATACATGTATATATATATATATATATATTATATATTATACTAATATCGTTTCTTTAGACGAACTCTTAAAACGCTTTCCCTATTGGGATGCGTTACATGAGGTATTCGGTAGTAATAAAAATACAGCTGCTTGGCCTATGTCAATCAGTAATATAATGCATTCTAAAGAAGAAACTATACATGATTCTTTTCGTATTAAAAGAGAAAGTTATGATTTTAATGATACAGAAACTACATTTGAATCTTCAACAAAATGTAAACGACGTCGCTTAAGTGATAGTTCAGTACAGCTTAATACGCGCTGTTCTATTGATAATTCATCTGATTCAGCAAGTACCACTTATTCTACTCAATCATTACCTACAATACAGCCACCACCACCACCACCACCACTACCACCACCACCACCACCACCTATTACTGTTACAACAACGACTGAGTCATCTTCTACACCATCTCTCTTTCGATCTTTACCCCGAGTTTTACCTTCTCCTATTTTAAACTCTACTATACCACTACAACAACATCATACTACTACATCCTCTTCTATTTCAAATCAAACACCTAATTTATTAAACACAACATTAGATAGACGTGAACAAGTCCTTGCCGATTCTTTACTTCAAATGGCTCGCGAAAAGGAGGCTGGTCGAATGAAACGATCTCAAGACATGTTACAATTTTTACGAGAGAAACGAATAGAACGAGATCAGTTATTGATTGAAAAAGAAATTACCAAAAGAGTCAAAGCAAAAGCTGAACTTGTAAAAAACCTAATGGAAGCTGGCTTTGATAAAGATGCAATTGCTAAACAATTAAGTATGTTATAAAAAAAAAAAGAAAGAAAGAAAAAAAAATATTTGCAATGATGCTCGCCTACTTTTATATATATATATATATATATAATATACATGTATATGTCTGTTTATCTATATTCCCATTTACTGTCATTATTAGTTTCTTCTGTTTATTTAATATAAAGAAGATTTTTTTTTTTTTTTTTTTTTTTTACATCCATTATTTTATTGTATATGTTAATATTTTTTTTTTTATGTAATATTCTTTTTTTTTTTTAAAAAAAAACATGCAAAAAAATATATATTATTATTATTGTTTAATCACGTTACTGTTTTTATCAAGAAAGGGGCATAAAAAAGGAAAACAAGATAAGCGAGTATTAAAACCTTCAGAATAAGAATACTATTGATCTGTTAACCGAATTTTTCCATGTTTATAAAAAAAATACAAAAAAGGGAAATTCCGTTTTATGGTTAAACAATCTTTTTTTTTTTTTTTTTTTTTTTTTTTTCATTGAATAGAATCCAAATGACCTTTGTGAGTACATGAAATTTTAAATAGAATATTATGCCGAGACTATTCTTAAAAAAGTAAAATAAAATAAAATAAAAGCATGAAGCTAATTAATCAAATTGTAGATTAGTTATAGATATTCAGCATTAAGTGGCAAAAATTTATTTTCTAAAGTAGATTATGCAATCAGGTACTACAAACGATCCACCAATAATAATAGCTATAGTGAAATTATATTAGAATAGTTTGTTTAGAAGAAAAAAAAACAAGTAAGAATCTCTGGCAGTTTTGGGACATAAAATCAAATATCGAATAAGTATATTTAGAAAGGATATTACGTACCTTCTTCGGGTAAAAAAAAAAAAAAAAAAAAAAAAAAAAAAAAAAAAGAAAGAAAGAGAGAGAGAGTACTTCAAATAACATGGGGTAGAGTCGAAGCTAATCAAAATGTAACCAACCAAGTTTACAATGTAAACATTAGCTAAATCTATAAGTCTTTTCATCGGAAACAAAAAAAAAAGGCAGTAGATAGTTCAGACTAAAAATAGTTTTCTAAATGATCTCCACCTTGATTCAACGAACAAATGGGAGTTTTAGTAGCAAGTAAAATATCATTTCATTAAGAATGACTAATAGAAGAAGGTCTTAATTTAAACAATATTATCGACGAGTAGATGTAGGATAATGGGGCTTGAAATATTGAAATAAGTTTACGTATTTTACAAGTAATTTGACTAAATAATTGCGGATTTAATGACAAGCTATACGGGGAGGGACCGTTTGAGTACAAGAGGAGTGGACATATAAAAGCATATTAAAGTCAGTTTTTGTTAATACAATAATGGTTGCTATATGATTTATCTTGTTCCTAATATTTGACATATTTATTATGATTAGAAGAAATACACAAAAGTTCAATTTATAATAAAATAAACAGTTCAGCCCTACTACATCAAAGATCTAGACATTAATAAGGAGTAGATCTATTTTTTTAAAAAAAAGTTTATTTGAGGCTGTTTAGAATATACATGTATGCATATATGAATATGTATATATCTTTGATTATTGGCTAATCCTACACTAAATATCATCTCTTTAAAGACAAGCATCTCTAATAATATACAACAATAAATTGATATAAACAGTAAGTTTCTCCCTTTCCCCCCACCCAATTTATCTTATTGTTATTACCTGTGTATTTCTTACTTTTTCTTCGTTGTCGGCTATAATTACTTTACATGCAATTTTCTTCCCTTTAGTCTTTTCTCTCTTAATATCTATTTATATTCACATTCCAAATTGGTCCAAGTAGATTGATAATTATTTTATTTTTTAAGGTTCTGGAAAGGTATGACAAAGATGGCTACATCCTTTTTTTCTGGAATCCCTTATTTCCATAAATGTCACAAAGAGAGCTTTTCTTGGTTCATCCAATTAAATGATTACCTGATTCAGTCTAAATTTTAATTTTATTTTGTACAGATGGTACCTGATAAATTAAGAATAAATAAGGTGGTATTCTAAAAGAAATGCATATATCAGCCATGCATTAAATATGTGAAGGTAGTGTTGGATAAACTTTCCTTGTTATTTAAGAATCATTTAAATGATTGACCTCTTTCCATTCTTTTATACTCTTCATATATGAGCACATGTATACTTCAATTTTATATACATTGTAAGCATGATTGATATATCTATTTGTGTTCTAAATACAAGGGCAGTAAAAGATAATATAATAAGCAAAGTGATATATACAAGTTAACTTTATCAGTATATAAAAAAAAGTAAAATTAAAAGATAGTTAATTAAAATAAAAGCAATGCAGTCGTCATATTAAGTCAGATAAATATATACATTATTCGTTATGAGATCGATAGAAAATTTGGCTAAAAAAGCAAGATTGAAATCGTGATATACAAGGTATAAGGGCCTTATTGTATATACTACTGAAAGTATGAAAATATGCTTGCAAAGTAATAACTTGTGAATTCATAATTATTAAAGATGCATGTATGCTATCATTCAAAAGAGGTTAATCATTATATAATAAATACGTGAATTGTATACTATTTCTAGAATGTATTAGATCTATTTGCTTGCCAATACAAATGCTCACTTGTTGGTTGCTTTCTTTTTCTCTCTCTCTCTCTATATATATATATATAAATATATATATATCATTAACTGTAACACTCTACTCAACATAATAAAATAGAATACATATAAAAGCCATATGATCAGTTACAAAGGTCTAAAAATGTCATATATCTTTATGCATCTCTTCTTAATAGAGCGCTTATATGTAAAACTTGTTCTTTTCACAAAGTAAATATTTAATTTATTTACTGGCTCACTCTCTTCTTTGTATCCTATTAGGGTTAATTACACGTAATGATCTTCAAAGAGTTTCCTTTTTTTTTTATACACTAGATTATATTGGGTGAAAATCCTTTAAACTTTATTAATTAGATAGGAATATATTACATCCACTAGTGTTGTTGTTGCTTTGATCTGTACAATATTTTTTAGCATAAAGCATTTTGATTGGACAAGATTATATGTGACTTTTTTTTTTTTTTTTTTTTTTTTTTTTTTTTTTTAATAGCTGTTAAGAATAATTTTGTTTCAACTACCTTTTAGCTGAGTCTCCATCAAACACAAGATACCATATATAACCCTGTTATATTTTTACCCACAAGAATGGAACTCAATAAAGATACTATTGAAGCTTTAAAGAAGCGAATAATTGCAACTAATACAATACTTCAAAGCTTAAAAGTAGCTAATGAAGGTAAAGTAAAATATATGTATACAAACATATATATTTTTAAAAGTGGATCTTTTGATCTAAGCTAAATCGATTAGAATTGGAAAAACATAAAACAACGATTAACACACTAAACACCAATTTGCAACAGATTACACAACAATCACAGGCTAACGAAATTAAATATAACAACTCTCTGAAAGAAATTGACTATTGGAAACAAAAAGCAGAAACAAGTGAAACTTTACCATCAGATAAAGCCCTTATTGAACAATTAAAAGCAGACGTTGCTGCAAAAAATAAGACTTTGTATAACAAAACTGTAACTATAGTAATACAAAACTAAAATATACATGTATATAGCACCTTTATATACATGTATTACATTATGCACACTAATTATTTTTCTTTCTCTTTCTCTCTCTTTTTTTTTTTCCAGTCATATATAAATCAACTTGAAGCAAAATTAGTAAAATTTCAGAAAAATCAAGAGGGTGCTTCATCCCTTTCTGGAAAGCCAGATACAGGTTTAAAGAAAAAGAACGAAGAACTTAGTGCTCTTAATAAACGAATTGTTGCTCTTACCAATGAATTAAATGTTGTAAAATCAGAACTTAATGAAACCAAGGCAGCCAAAGAACAATTAGAAGAAGACATTATGGAGATCAACATTAATAATGACATGAACGCTCAATCACAACAAGAAGAAATCGATGAATTAAAACAGAAATTACAAAATAATAAGCTTTATGAAGACAATGAAGAATTAAAATCGAAACTTCAAGATAAAACAAATGAAATTGCTAATCTTAAAGATTCACTTCGATTATTAACAGAGAATAACAAACAAAAAGATATCTACCAGAATCAAGCAATTGATAAATATATGAAACAAATTTCAGAACTCAAGTCACGTCTTAGTTCTGAAAATACATTGTATTCTGAAAATAATAAGTTAAAGAAGCAATTACGGCAATTAGAAATTGAAAAAGAAAAAAAGAATGAAGAGTTAGATGCTCAACTACAACAAGCACGAACTGAGACAGCCAACATAAATGAAGAATTGGAGAAGGTCAAGCAAGAATGTGTACAACTTAGAGCCAAAATAATCACATCTCAAACTCGTAAATCTCCTTCTATAACAAAATCTGTAAAGTCAACTCCTCCTACTATAAACGCAGACATCGTACAGCGTCTATGCAAATTACAAGGCGAAGCCAAGTATTACAAAAAAGAAAATGCTCATCTAAGAGACGAATTGATGAAGTTACATATTGAATTAGAAGCAGCTAAAATGAATACAGCCTCTGTAGATTCTGCTTATGGTCTTGAAGGTTCACCAATGTATATTTCATCTCTTAATAATATGGATGATGATTCCATTGTCATTTCTAGCCCTTTAGAGAATGCTGCAGCACAACTTTTTCCTCCTTTATCAGAGCCAACTCATGTATTAGACACTGAAAGAGCAGAAGCCACCGCATCTACGGAATTGGCCGTACAAAGTTCTATATCAGCAAACACATCACTTGTAAGCTCCCCTAAGCAAATAGGTTCACCAGTAGCACTATCAAATGCCACCTCTTCAGAAGCGATAAAACCTATACCATCAGCAGCAAAAACAACTAGTAGTATACCAAATGTTGATACTAAAAAGACTCCTGTAAATATGTCTGTTTCACAACTTAATCCTAATATCAATACAGCATCCATAACACCACTTGATGCCATTATGCCTAAACTTTCTACTCTCAATAACACAGAATCAGGCAAACAATTTAATAAACGGGCTCAAAGAGGTAAAGCTATGACTTCCATTCCCATGTCTTTATCAAACACCTCTACTCCTCCAGTAACTGCAGTACGCTCTATAGCAACAGTAAATGCACCACTACCAGCGGCAACGACAAGCCGTAAAATGGCAGCAGCTGGTAAACGTAAAGAGAGCAGATTAATGAAATTTGTAAATTCAAGGGATCCAGCTAAATTCCTTAGTCAAAAAAGAGAAGTAGCTTCGAAAAAGACTGGACAAACCTCTAAAAAACGTGATAGTTCGCAAATTACAAATTCTGTTATTGCTGCTCAAGAAGCGATGCACAAGAGACAAAAAGCTGATTTTCCCATTATGTATGATTTTCAACACATGTGCTTTGATCAGCGAAAATTACCAGAAGCTTCATTTTTTAATGACAAAGCGGAACCTATTATGAATGAATTAGTCACCTTCCAAAAAAACTGTAGTTCTGATCCATATTTTGAAATTGTACAGTTTGAACAATTTGGCGTTGAAGATGTCTTGACTATAGAGGTCTTTACAGGAATGAATTCATATGAAAAGTTGTTTGCTCTTTTAGTTGTAAGAATGGGTCATGTAAATGTAAGTAGGATAGAAGGACTTGAAATAAAAAAAAATAATTCGGTTTTGGTTTTTATTGATTTACTTTTGTTCTAGTTTTCAGAATACATAAAATTTATGAAAATACTAACACATATGATTCTTAACTATGAAACAACCGAAGTACTTGATAGTCATTTATTGTAAGAGTTTTTATTTTTAAATAGTAACAAAGCACGTAAAAGCTCATATTTTATTAAATAATAGACGATACATTCGACTTGCAACTATTATTATCAAATCTGTTAATTGTGATGCTGAGCAACTTCGATTAATTATCACAGAGTTATTAAAGTCGAAAATTCCACAAAGTAACATACTTGGTGCTTTAGTTAACGTGGGATATGTATGGAAGGAAGTATTTTTGATACAAGAGAATGAAATGGTAACTGTTTCTTTTAAACTTTGGGAAGATGCTTTCCAAGCTTGTTTAATCACAGTCGTGCAAAAGTATTATACGAACAATCAAGTAAGCATCCATTATGTTATTTATTCAATTTATATACACGTAAAAGAAAAGTACACACGTTCACTATTTCTAATCTTTTGAGTTTTTCTATAGGTTAAAGAATTATATGAAAAAATTGTTAGCCTATTCGAATGGAAGTCTATTCCTCCTAAAGTGAATGAAATTTTGGATAGAAGTTTAGAACTTTTATCGAAAGAAGATGTAGTGAGGATGTATGAGTTAGATAAAGGTATTAATAAATAAATAAAATGCACTTTATAATAAGAAAAAAGAGAGCAATAAATTGACTAAAGGATTTCTTTTTTTTTTATTTTTTTTACTTTAGTTACTTTTGAGCACTTTAAATACAATTTAATAAAGTCTCTTGAAATAACATTTGTGACAATTGGTAGCTGGCAAGAAACATACGATATCTTTATTAGAACTAAACTCTGGCCACTCTTGCGTGTGAAGGTTGCAGATGCTATTTGTATAGAATTATTAGGTATTGTTGTTGTTGTTTTTCTCTCTTTTTCTATCCGTCTTTTTTATATACATATATATATATCTAATATGTGTATAATAAATGTATAGGTGTGTTAGGATCTTTAGGTGTCTCTAAAGAGAAAAACAAGAAAGATGAACCAGGAGTTTTAATACTTATTAACACTTTAGTTCAAATCATTGAAATGGGTGCCTCAATCGAACTAGGTAAAATAGGCTTATGTGTTTATTTTAAAATGAAGTATAAAATTTATAATTTTATTTTTTTAATAGAGGATAAACGTTTACAGTTTGCAGCATGTAAAGCATTACTATCTCTTGTAGCAAATTCAAATCAAAAGTACATAGAATATGCTAAACCTGCCATGAAATTTATAAATAGCTTGTAGAAATGTATGATGATGAAAGAGGATTTAAAAGTAATTCTTATTAGTTGTTACTGATTATGTAATAGTAACAAATGTATATACATAAATACTGAAAAAGAAAAAAAAAAAAAAAAAAAAAAAAAAAACTTTTTGTTTCAGCCATATCGATAAATTTAGATATATTATGATAGTATATCTTTTTTTTTTTTTTTCTTGAGCATTTGTGATGCTTATATTTACAACAAGTTGGAATAAGTGATGTAAATTTCTTTTCTTAAATGATAAAGCTTCCTTCTTTTCTTTAGTTAGCATGATAAATGAATGATGACGACGATGATTTCAAAATATGAAAACAACTATAACAATCATAAATATAAGAAGACACAGCTGTTTATAGCACCATCTTTCATTTGTACCTGAAAAAAAAAATTATAAAGCTCAAAAAGTTTATATTTGTATATTTATAAAAAAAGAAAAATTATTACATGTGTACTATTATTACTATTTACTAAGAAAAAAAAAAAAAAAAAAAAGAGGAAGGGAAGGAGGAAAGATAAAGGGGAAATTATTTACAAAGCGATACGAACAGATTTCTTTTTCTTTTCTGTTGTGTGAGAGGTACTATTACTATTATATATATTGCATGAGCATTCGAATGGTTCTTGCTTTTTAGAGGAGGAGGAGGAGGAGGAAGGTATCGTGTCTTTGTCTAATTGGCATGCACATATTTCACGCTCATTGGCGTTTATTAATTCATCTATAGAACTCTCGGGAAAGCTATTTAAATGTAAATCAACATCAGATCCATCATCTTCAATTTGTTGGGTTTCTTCCGAGAAAGGGGATTCAGCAAAACTAAACTCGATTTCATCATCATCATCATCATCATCGTAACCAAAATTAATATCATTGTCATTGTCATTATCACTCTCTTCTTCATTACTTTCATAGCTGTCATCACTGTTTACATCACTTTCATCGTCTGCTTGAACCCATTCAATAAATCGAGATGTTATTTTTCGAATCTTTCTCGAGATATCCGTATTAAAAGGATGTTCCCACCATTCAAGGACAGCATCATCATCTACCACATGATACTTGTACAACATCACAATTAAACGATCAAAGTGATCCACGATAGCCGTTCCCGGCGATGAAACAAGTTCAAGGGCCGTTTCTATATAATTCAGTAGATGATGCTGATTCTCATCTTCGGTTGTATAGTATTGAAGAATAGATTGCCAGAATTCTATAATACCAGACTGGATCTTGGATGTAAAGACTTTAGTCGCTGTTGTAGGATGAGAGGAAGAAGAAGATTTATCGATCCATTTTGTGAGTAGACTACAGATCCATTTCACAAAGGAGTCCGCTAAAACGTGTACCACATTCTCTGCACTAGGTTCATACTTCAGAATGAGGTCATCTAATTCCAGACGAACGCGTGCACTTGATAATTTTGAAAGAATGGCTTGATGGATATAAGAGGTTGCAACATGTTCAAATGTAAGTTGTTCATCTTCATCCTCTTCTTCTTCATCTTCTTCTTCATCTTCATTCTCTTCTCTTTCATCATTGCCTTCTAAAAATCGTCTTCGTAAATAATCTTTACAAGCGTCATCTTCATTCAATTTTATATTAAAATCGGGTAAAGTAGATTCATGAGCCAGAGGTTGGCATGTTAAAAGATGATCATCATCATGATCCCTTTCTTCTTCATAACAACTGAAAATACTATTTGAAACAGAATTTTTCAATTCTCTAGTTGAATTAGAAAAGGATGACTTTTTACTCTTTTCTTCTTGAGAATCAAAGAGAGCGAGTTTGAGTTCCTCTATTTGTTCTTTGAGTAACCGAATTTCATCGTCACGATCCATAAGGTCAATTTCAAGTTGAGTATTTTTATCCACATATTCATCATAAAATTTTTTATGAGAGGCGTCAGAATCCTGTCGAGATAAAGTAATATCACGAAGATCATTCTTCAGTAAAGCCACATTGCAACGTAAAGCATTATTTTCACCACGTAAACGTTTAATTTCTCGTAAAAGTAAATGATAAGATCGTTTTTTAGAGTGACGATGATACGATGAGGATGAAAGCTTAGGGTCAGGAGAAATGGCACGTGAAGAACAAGAGGAATTTAAAGCCGAACAAGTGCTACCATTTATACTTTCATTGCTGCTGCTGCTGCTACTACTACTACTGCTATTACTACTAGTACTACTACTACTCATTATATGATTATTATTTAGGTCTTCCGTCATTTTTTGACGATGTCGAATTGTCTCCCAGGGAGATTCACTTCTTTGATCTTGATTAACTGGAAAAAAAAAAAGAAAAAAAATCATTTGTAAATATAAAATAATTGATGATATATTAAATAAAATATATAAATACCTGACATACTGTTCCCAGCAGACATTCGATAAACAGAAGCTGCTATACAAACGGGGAATTTTCGTAAAGGTGTTAAATTTCTAATATTCAAGTAATATTCTATACCCTTCGGTACAACAAAATCAATCATATTTTGATTCATATTTGTAAATTCTGGATAATCTTGAATCGAAGAGAAAGGATCCATTTTCTCTATTTCGTTCTTCTTGTAATACTTTAATAATAAAAATAAAAATAAAAATAATAAAAGAAGAAGAAGAAGAAGAAAAAAAGTATACAAAAAAAAATATATATGTATATCGTATAAATAACTTTTATATAATTAAAATCAATTGAAAAAACATAATAAGTGTAAAGTATAAACTTTTTCCTTTTAAAAGGGATATGTGTATCGAGACAAGGAGGTCTTTTTTTTTTTTGTTTATGAAGGAAATAGATATAAAAAAAAAAAAAAGAATTACTAATAAAAAGGAAGAAAAAAAAAAAAAAAAAAAAAAACGATGTATTTATGACAAATCCAATTTTCTGTCTCCTCTTTCCTTTTTGATTAATAAAGGAAAAAAAGAAGAAAAAAAAAAAAAAAAAAAGAGTTAAAAAAAATTATCATATTAAATCGGCCTTTCTTCATCCACACTAGTAAGTTTATTGTTTCAAATAAGGTGTGTGAGTCATTATTTCCTTAAAAAAAAGTCCGGTTTTTTTTTTTTTTTAAATTTTGCTGATTATGTTATTGGTAGTAAAAAGGGCTTTTATAACTAACTATTTTATATTTGGTAATATTATTTCCATCTTACATAGTAGAATTGTACCCTCAGTTATTTATAAAAACATACCATCATTAAACAAAATCATAGTCTGCTTATCGAATAAGTTTACATTCATAAATGCCTTTATTACTACTATTATGAAAATAACAAGAAATAATGATGTATAAATGTATTTTTAGTAAAGAATACAGCATATGATATTAAATGCATAATAAATCAACTTTATTTAATTTTTTTTTTTTTTTTTTTTTTTGTAAGAAAATACAGGAAAAAAAAAAGATAATAAATGATGCAACCGAATAATCAATGGTCATTAATAACCAATAATCTAATTCAAGAACAGTTGTCTGCTTCAAAAGAAGAATGCCATTTAAAGACAGAAAATGCATTTGATGATTGGAAACAAACGTTGAAAGCAGTATCCTTTCAAAGTCATAAAGAAACACGAAAGACTGCTAAACTATTTACTCAAGTAGATTCTTTATCTAAGAATACAAGGAATTCAATAGAAAAGACAAGCCAGATATTAGACGAATTATTAGAAAAGTATGAGCTTTTTTTTTTTTAGTGATAACTAAGTTTTGTTTTAACCATTTAAATAGAAAATTAACTATTTTAGCTGCAATAAAGGATTTAAATGATATTCAAGATTCATTAGATATCAATTCAATAGTTAAAAATCACTGGTGCCACTCTTCTTCATCAGTAAACGAAGAAGAAGAACTGAATGATCACTTTTCCAATATGGAAACAGTTTAAAATATTCGTCATCATGATCTTTCTCCCTGAGATCTACAGATTACGCGAGGGGGAGAAGGATTTTCTTTCCAAGATAAAATAGTATCATCGAGCAAACAAAGTTGATTATCTATTTTCTAGAAAATCCAACCTTATATACAAGTTTATTTATACTATATATGATATCATCATTCAATGAAACATTAAAGAAGCTTATTTAGACTTGATAATAAATCATTGTCCTATTTTTATTAAACACAAACCAGAGCATTTTTTTTTTTTTGCTTGCTTATACTCTGGTTTTCTTTATATTACTGACTGGTTCCGAGTCCTTGTTTTCTATTGTCTCCCTTGACCTTTTCTGATTTGGTCGAGTTCGTTTAAAGAATCGTTCCAATGTCGACAGTTTTTGCGTGGAAGGTGTTGTGTTGATATTAGAATTATCCTTGAAAGCAACAATGGTGGACGATGATCCTTTCTGATCGACCTGTTGATTCTTTAAACAATTCTTTTTATCAATAGGCTATATCCATAGTGAATAAAACAAAAAACAGTGAGTACAGGATGTTTACATATATTTTTATACTATCATATACATACAGGAATATTTTCTTTGATGGATTCCATAAAAGAAAAAAACTCTGTTTGGACACAGACAGGTTTTGTAGTAGTAGTAGTATTGGTAACTGCAATAGTCTTGGTATGACTAGTAGTTGTAGTAGTTGGGGTATCTTTTGTAGCACTAGCAGTAGCAGTAGTGGTAGTGGTAGTGGTAGTGGTAAGGGTATCTTGGGTGGTAGTAATCTCTTCATTTGTAATGCTATCTTGAGTAGAAGGTGGAGTAAGTAAACAAGTCTTCTTTTTAGGAATAATCTTATTCACCCTCAATAGACTAAGATCAAGAGGAGTGGGTTTCTTTCCAAGACTACTAATTTCCTCTTGACTACAATCAAAAGGAAGAGGTGAAAAACGAACATAATCTTTTTCGTCTATATCATAAACCCATTGATGAAGAAAAGCCAAGTTTGCTTTTTTGAATTGTTCACCATATCCTTTTGGTAATAAATGTGGTTTTCTATGCTGAAGGCGACGATAGACCTGAAACCAAAAAAAAAAATTGTAAGTAAATGTATTGTATTCTATTCTATTCTATTTATGAAATCTACTTACAGCGTCGAAAGTCTTTAATTCATAAAACCATTCAAAGGAAGTTTTTATACCCACCCCTTTAACAGAAGGTAAATAATCACAGCCAGATAAAATACACATATGCCTCATTCTTTCTTGCGTAAAATTTTGCATGTGTAATTTGGGGCTTTTAAATATGTCTTCATAATTTATTTCAAGACCTGAACCAGCACGATCAATTTTATAAATTACTTTAGAGCAACCATACGCTAAAAGATCAGAATCCTCGGATACAATAGCATTCACTTTCTTGGTTTTAAGAAGATAGGCGAGTTGAGCATCAGCTTCATAAGGTGCCACAATACATTCCACTTTATTCTCCTTTAATTTCTAAATAAATAAATAAAAATAAGATACATTTGCATATATGTAAAATGGGTTCAAAAGCAATATGTTACTTACCAAGATGACATTTCTGATAATGTCAGGTGTAATCGTGACAGATTGCTGAAAGTGTTTTTTAGCTTCATTATACATTCCTTGTGAAAAATAAGAAAGACCTTTTGCGTAGGCAGATTGACGTTTCCTAAATACCATTTTAATATTAGCATTTACATACACATCTAAAAAAAAAATACTCACTGAGATCTATCATCTGTTGTAATTTTTTTAAGAGGTAAGGGTAAGCCATCAAAGACGACAAGGGGAATGACACCATGATGTTTAAATAAACCAATATAATGCATAAAATGTTTAATGTATCTAAACAATACATGAATATGAAATTAGAGAAAAAAATAAATAAATAAATAAAAAACCATCTCATATAGATATTAGAGTTACTTACGTATCAGTAGAATCGTTAAGGGCAAGAGCAGTTGCAGCACCAAAACATCCACGATGAAGAATACAATGACCATCAATGGCAATTGTTTTTCCTTTATATTTTGAAATATTTACAGGTTTTTGAATAGACTCGAAAAAAGGTAATAATCCATTAATTCCCATTCTTGATCTTCAAGTTGAATATATAATTCACATACAAAGGGAAAAAATAATAATAATAATAAAGAGTTGTTTTAAATAAAGAAGTAAATGATCTTTTTTTTTTTTTTTTTTTTTTTTTTTTGCTTGTTTGTTTGTGTTATTTAAAGATCTGTTTTAGTGTAAAATAAAAAGATGCTATGATGGAGAATAGTTAATAAATAACTTGGATATATATTAAAGCGCTGCTGCTATTAGAAACAATATATTTATATGGAAATAGGATGGTGAAAAGAAAAAGGCTAACAACTTTTCTTCAGTTTGAGAATGTTTGAAAAAAAAAAAATTTTTTTTTATTTTATTTCTTTTGGTAAATTATTAAAAATGAATAATTTTATAAATGGGCCTCTCATTTGAATCAATCTTCAAAATTACGAATAAAATAAAATTATTTCTTGAAAGAGAAGGAAAGACTATTATTAACGGAAAGCTATATTAAATTATGAGGTCTCTTTTTTTATGTTATAATCCATCAAAAAATAAAAAGGATAGTTTTGCTATTATTAGATATAAAAGCTATAAAATTAGGTCTTTTATACCTTAAATTATGCATCATCATAATAATTTGAACCCATTTTTTTTTTAGATGAGACGAGGCGAGGGAAAGGGTATTATGTTATATTCTATCAAGTATTTTACATTTCCTCCCTGAGCACTTTTACATATATTTGCATAGAATATGCACATATTTTACTTGATATTACATAATAATTTTTTTATAGAGTAGCAGCAATGAATAAAGTTAGAATAGCCGAAAGGGAAAACAAATAAGTAGTTTATATGCATATATTATATTTAAGTTGAATAGTGTGTAGTTGTAGTGGCAAGTATGGATACGAATACAAATATTGAATGGCCACTATTTGGGGCGCAGTCATCATACCACCACGCATAATTTCCGTGTATTAGACACAATAATTATTTGCTTGTTTCCAAATGAATGACTATAAAAGGAGACAACAGGGTCATTATTATGCGTATAATTTAATTAAAATAAATCTGTATGCGTAGTAAATAGAATAAGAATATGTATACATTTATTTATTTATTTTTTAAATAAAAAGGTGCATGTCCCTAACAGAATATTTAAAGTCTTTTCTAACGTTTCCTTCTCCCTTTTTTTCTTTTCTTTTTTTTCTTTTTTCTTTTTTCTTTTTTTTTTTTTTTTACTCCTTTACTTTATATTACTTTATTTTTGTTTTCTTGTATATTAAAATAAAAAGAGAAATAGTGGCAAATCAACAAACAAGATAAAGCATACAAGAACCGGACATACGGACCGCGTCTACAAATGGTAATCAATAAAGCTACTTAAAATAGTATGTTACACTTTAGAGACAGCAGCAGTTGTTTATTATATAAAGAATACTGCTAAGCTATTTAATATGTACAATGGACCCCAAAAAAGAATGGATCATCATTTTAGGAGTTTTTTTTTTTTTTTTTTTTTTTTTTTTTTTTTTTTTTTTTAAATAGATCGATGAAAGTATTTCACTAAAAATCAATTACATTAAGGTATAAATCAAATACGCTTTCAAACAAGATAAAGAAGAATAACCGACACATTCTTAGTTTTGTAGGCTTAGCGCCACGTTCATAATGATTGAACACAAGTGCAACAAACATAAAAGACTTCCGCAGCATTTCCCTGATTTTAAGTTTCATTCATTTTAAAACGCATATATTATACATATAATAATGGGTTCATTTTTTAATATAAGAAAACTCCCCCTCTTTTCTTTTCTTTTTCTTTCTTTTTCTTTCTTTTTCTTTCTTTTTCTTTTTACTTCATTATCAAATCAAGAGAACAATGGCAGAATCCATTTTATATCAACAGTATGATAATAGCTTAAATATTGAACATTTTGCTTTTCATAATTTGGTAATTGAACAAAAGCCATCAAGAAGACTCTCCTTTTCTGCATTATTACTACAAAAGAAAAGGTCAAGAATGGGTCGTAGTCAGAGCAAGTTAAGACAGCTTTTGGATGGACTTTATGGTAAAGAACAAAAGGCAGTCTATGGTGGTCATAAAGCTGAACTTAAGGTTTTAATTCCTTTTAATGTACGAAAGAGATCTTCTACAACAGTCGTTGTGGGACTAGAAAAGAGTTATTCATTCATGACATGTTCATCTACAGACGAAGAAGATAATCTCAAGACGCCTACAATAATGAGTAGTCATAGTCATGATGACGATGATAATGAAAGTGATATATCAGAAGAATCATTACGTTCGGTCAATCTTGAAACGGCTGTTACAATACCGCCTCCTCTTACTTTTAATACGTTATCAAAAACAACTTTAACAGATTATTCTCATGATAAAGGATATTCCAATTTCTATATCAAGTTACCTAATGGGAACTGGATGGTTCGTATTCGTGATACAAATAGAAAAATTGTCGGTACATATGAAATCGATGGCTCTATGATTTAACAAAGCTGGTGTGTATATTATCAAAGCACTACGTATACCCCTCCCTTCTATCCTTTTAAATACATATTATATTATAATACTACTATTACTCCCTCAATATATACATATATACTATACTATATTATATATATGACTCCCTCATTTTGCGTATTATTACTTGTATATAATTTTATGCATATATTTATTTTATATGCAGTGAAAATAAAGCTGGATTATTACATAATATATGAATATGGAAACAAGAGGGAAAATAGAATGAAAAAAAAAAAAAAAGGTGGTGTATCAAGTCGTTAAAATTGCATTAAAAATTTGATTGGTTAACTTTTCTTTTTTTTTTTTCTACGGGCTGTAGCAAAGTCTTTTAAATTTTTTTTGTTTTTTTTTTAATTTTTTTCTTTTCAATTTCAACATTATGAGTTTCTTGGACAGTTTTATTAAAGAAGAAGTTTCTAAAAAACGTAAAATATTGGAGACAGTAGAAAAAGAAAAGGGAGTTGATAAAAAGTTGAAATACATTAGTCGAGCTGAATTAGAACGAATTCGTGAAGAAGAATATAGACGGAAAGAACAGGAAAGAGAAGAAAAAGAAAGACAAGTAAGAATGGGAATCAAAACAAATTTAACAAAAACACGCACACACACTAAAGTATATATTTATATATTTTAGAGAAAAGCTCGTTTAGAAGAAGAAGAGGTACATTGACCCATTCATAAACTATAAAGTATATAATAATAATAATAATGATTTGTTCCTTTAATCATCATTATAGGCAAAACGCAAAGCAATTGAAAAACAAAAGTTGGACATTGAAGAAAAATCAAAAGATGACCAAACTGTATTATTAAATGAAAAAAAAAAAGTAAATTACATTTAGATTTATGATATTAATGGATAGATAATAGGAAGAAGAGATTGCAGCCTTCAATATTTCAAGAGAAGAAGTGATTCGTCGTTTAAGAGCGATGGGACAGCCTATTCGATTATTCGGAGAATCAGATAAACAATGTAAAGTTCGTCTTCGTGCTTTAGAGATCATGAATGAAGAATCAGGAGTAAGTTGAATATAGATTAAAAGTTTATGTTTGTTTCAATCCACTCATGTTGTATAAAGAATCAAGGTCGAAATGAATTTATGAAAACATTAGAAGAAATGGAAGCCAATATGCGTTTAGAAGAACTAAAACAGAAAGGTGGTGTAGTGAATGATGATAAGAAAAAGACAAAAAAAACAACCTATGTAGTAGAGCCTATTCAATTGGAATTGATCAGCAAAGATATAGACCGACTTTATTATCAAATTTACACTTATTTTGCTGTATAGTATAAATAGAGATATCAGTAGATATATATTAATAGATTATCTATTTTAGCATACATTAGAAGAATGGGAAGAATTCATGCAGGCACGACCAGAAGAAGAAAAGAGAAGTGGACCTGGTAAAAGAGCAGCAGTTTTACAGAGACAAGCAACAGAATACATTAAACCATTAATGCGTCAATTAAAGAAAAAGACACTAGAACCTGACGTCCTTGCTCGTGTATCTGAAATTGCTCAAAGAATGCAAAATAGACTTTATAGGGATGCTCAAGATGCTTATCTTCAATTATCAATTGGTAATGCACCTTGGCCTATTGGTGTTACTATGGTTGGGTAAGTCATCTGTACATTACATAATAGAACTCCACTAGTAGAATATAAATATAAACATTTATGTTATATAGTATTCATGAACGTTCTGCGCGTGAAAAGATTTCATCTTCCCAAGTAGCTCATGTTCTTAATGATGAAACTTCAAGAAAATGGATTCAATCTGTAAAACGTTTAATGACCTTTGCACAAACCAAATATCCACCTTATACTTTAAGCCAAATGTCTTAATCTCTGAGATTATTATTTATTATCATCGTTTTTTTTTTTTTTAAATCTCAGCTTTGAACCCTGATATGATGAAGAATCTATAAAAAGGCAACAATTTATTTAGTCTATACAAATATTTTTTTTTTTTTTTTTGTTGTAAATAATTTTCTTTTCTTTTTAAAATAAATTATCATGACTATTGAAGAGACTACTATGAATAGAGACGATGACAAGCAACTTCCATTTGAAATTCGTATGCATATAATAAAATAATCATAATAGTAATAATAATAGACTAATAATAACTATAAAAGATATTCCTGATGTTATAGCACATCGTGGATTTTCTGCCAAAAATCCTGAGAATACGCTTATTTCATATAAAAATGCTATTGAAGCAGGTACAAGTGCATTAGAAGGAGGTAAGAGATAAGATGACTGCACTACAACACATTCTCCTTCAAGTATTATTTACATAATATATGATTTACACTTAGATATTCGCCTAAGTAAAGATAAGGAAATTGTCATGATGCATGATTTGACTTTGAATAGAACGACTACAGGAACTGGAGCAGTGCATGATCAAGACTGGTATGGATACATAGACAAGTTAACAACTAAAACAAACCCACCACAGCCTATTCCAAGATTAAACGATGTACTAGATCTGTTATTGACAACTACAAATGATAAACTCTACATGATTGTGGATATTAAAGTAAGTAATAATAAAGCCATAAAAATATGTAAAGTACTTACTTAGTCATTCTATAGTACGATAATCCTATTGAAATATTAAATGTGCTTTCAAATCTATTAAATGAGGACTATGTTAAGGAATATCCTCAATTAACACATCAATTGATTATTGGTATTTGGAGTCTTGAATTCTTGGAAAGAGCAAAGATCTTGTTTCCTCAATTTAAACTCTGTTTCATCGGTCTCTCTATCTCTGCTGCTCGTACTCATTTTATCGAATCAGTCGACTGTCTTAGTTTACCTTTTGCTGCTCTAGCAAATGAGGATGGTCAATTATTCATAAAGGAAGCTCATACACGAAAAAAGAAGGTCTTCAGTTGGACAATCAATGACCCTGATCAGATGAAAACTTGTGTTCTCTGGAAGATTGACGGTATCATTGGTGATAACGTGACTACCCTCATAGAGAACGTACAGAGGATACCAAAGTCAATTGTCAGTCTCGATGATTACCAAGTCTTTATCAATACAGACCACTTTCTTATTTCAAAGAGAAGAAGGTTATATTACTATATTCTTGCTAAAATTATGCAATTTGTCAGCTGGAAAATAATTGGTGTCTAAATGAATGAATAAAATTATTTCGTCTGTTATAGACAACACTACTTGGTTGAAACAGTAGAATGTATGTACGTGTGTATGTGTATGTGTATGTGTATGTGTATGTGTATGTGTATGTGTATGTGTATGTGTATGCGTGTGTGTATACGTATGTATGTACATGTATATATGTGTTTAATTCAAGCAAGACAAATATCACGACTATAGAGTATTCTCTTTGCTGTTATCATTTCATGTCCAGTAGTAACAATTGAAAACATAATATTAGATTGAATGATGACGTTAAGTAAGAGTAATCGGTTAAACCATATCTATTTAAACTAAAATTACTATTACTATGTTGTTAATACAAAAAGAGTATTTTATTATTATAGTAGACATCGTCTTCTTTACAAAGATGCATTATCATAACTTAATCCAATCCTTTTAAGCTTTTCATAATCTTCAATATGTTCTTCTCGGTCATTATTAATAATGGATAAATGTGCATTATCCAACAAGTCTTGTATATCTTTTGGAAGTAATGATCTTATCTTGTTTAAAATAACAGGAACAAATTTACCAGATACATAAAGAGGAATTTTAAATAATTTTTGAAAGATAAGGAGGGAGACGATATGTAATAGATGTGGTACAGTTGAAGTAGATACAGGCAATTGTTCTAACTGACTGTGTAATTGCTGTTGAATGATTTTATTGGCTTGATCATAATTCAATGCTTGACCCTTAAATAAGCCTTGTTTATCATTTATTAAGATATTTGTAACAAACTTGTCAAGTTGCTAATAACACATTATTAATATAGTTCACTCCTTCTATTATTATTATTATTACCTTTTTCTTTAATAAATCTTCAATTTCAATGACAGAGGTGTTATCGTACTTGTGATCATTTTCCCTAATAAAATAAGAAACAACATACTTTTGTTGTTTTGAATCTATAATACGTTCATTCTCAATATCTTCAAGTGATATACAAAGTGAAGTAGATTGGCTAACTTCAGATTTGTTATATGATTGATCCAAGACCAAGTAAATTACAAAATGGAAAGCGTACTCTACACACTGATTTTTTAAGATGTATTTTTCTAGACTCTTTTGCGTAACAGGATCTTTTTATAACCAAACAAAAATTAAGTACCCTTTTCTCTACTCTCATTTTAACTTACTTTAATTTACCTTCAAAGAGTTGCATGGCCTTATAGTTGAAATAAATTGTTTGACGAAGATTACAAAGTTTCTTAAGTTCGCGTGTTTTATGTTCTATAATCCATTTATCACCAGAAACAATTGCATCTGTCTCAAGATATGGAGTTTGTAAAAAGTCCGTAAATTGATTCATCATAGAATGTCTTGTCAATCGTAATACTTTCTCAGCAATAACATGAGGACATCCAATACTTTCAAACGCTTTAATAATCTAATAATAACAATAATAACGTAAGTAATGTAGTCTATTGTTATAGGAGACACTTAAATATATCATGTACGTCTTTATCAGAAAGGTGAATATGAAGTGACTGGTTTTTGTTCATCTTTTGTTTCCAGGTACGTGAAAGATTTCTTAAATAATGATGAGATTCTGCTACTAGTGTATGAATATAATCCATTGTTGCTATATATCCTCCATCCAATGAAACAAAGTTCTTATTATTTATCTCTGACATAATACTATCAATGACTTTATTGACATCCTCAAAAGTTAAGCCTGCTGGTAATAAATCCTATCATAATACACGCAGCGTGTAAAGAAAGTGGCTATACATAAAAGGGAATTCCCCCTCATACACTTACATTGACGTCACAGTAATCTTTGATACATTCAACTGTTGCTTTCGCTTTATCTTTTACGGTTGTCTTGATGATACAAGAGTTTAGTTTTATATATGAATTCTTGTCATAATTATTTTCAATTAAATCAATAGGATTACAAAACGGATATTGGTTTTCAATTGTGTTAAAGCCTATTTATAAAAAAGTCAGTAAATTCCTTAGGTATTGATTTGCTCAGGGCTTCAACTTTACTAATACATTCATTAGAATCAAAGATAGATTTAATTAATATCAACTGTCTTTCTTTATAGCTTTTTGGTTCAAACGTTGCTCTACTTCTTTTTCCTCTTAAAATACCTAAATCAAAATCCTTCTCTTTTACGATTTGTTCTAATAACACTATGTATTCAAGAGAAATATTAAAGGACGGTTAAGAAATAATATATATAAATATATACAATAAAATAAATCTTCTGGAATATGTGTTGATTTTTGGAGCTTAAATATGGGTGAATATCTAATTCAAATAGTGTTATTTATCATTCAATAAAATCATTCAGATGATATTTTACTCATCCAACGATTTTAATTCATCCATTATTGTGGATTTACAGTTATTGATGTAGTTTGTTGTTGAAATAACATCAGGTATTTCCATATAATAAATATATTCATCCTTCTCAGCTAAAGAGATTATAATCTATAATACAAAGAATTTAATAAATAAACATGTATATTTGAATATAATAAATAGATTACAGATTTCAATAAACTGTAAGGCAGTTTCATATGTTGTGCTTGAGTCACTATTGATATATATTCAGATCTATTAATTTCATCTTCAACTTCCTTTGAGATTTGATTTATGTAATCCCTATGCATAATAATAACATGGTGTTTTTTTTTTAAAAAAAAAAAAAAAAAAAAAAAAAAAAAAAAAAAAAAAAAAAAAAAAAAAAAAAAAAAAAAAAAAACGTATAAATTGAAGGCAATTTGCAATAATAATATTAGTTATCTCTTTACAATGTCAATACTAAATCATCAATAATGGTCCAATGACTTGTTGTTGTAGTTGTTAAAGTTTTTAACGCGTTCTCAACACTGGTTTGCTCAATACAAAGATTTTCTGCTAAATGTTCTACGGTTATTCTTCCTATCATATTCCCCAACACACACATACAAATACATATACATATATATACAATAGGGTTATATATTCATTTATAAAAATGAGTTTTAGATTTGACTATTGGAATAAGTTGTATATACCATTTTTTTCAATCAATTCTGAAATGGTTTCTTGTATATAACGTTCATCAAGATAATGTTCGCCATCTAATGTTTTTGTAATTTGATGAATGAACCCTTTGTTAATTCCTTGTTGAATGAATTGAATGAATAAATTGGCTGGTATTGTTGTCATGCTTATCTTATAAATAAATGTATACGTATAAAGAAAGAAATGAATAAAATACAGTAAAATCTATTGTTACGCTATTTGAAACTTTGTCAAGAAAATATGTATTTAAATCAAAATCCCCCCCCCTTTTTTTTTTTTCTCTTTTAACGTAGAAATAGTTTAATTAATTATAAAGTCATGTAAAATAAAACCGTATCTTTTTTTTTTTTTAAATAAATCGAGTAATACTTGGTTGCCCTCTTGCATTATTCTTTATATTAATATAATCTATTGCATCATCATCAAGTTCAGAATCTATGCATATAAGATGTAATAAACTTAAGCCTGTTTTAGGATCTATTATATTCATATCAGCTCCATTCTGTAATAAAAGCTCTGCAATTGGAAAGATAAGTTTTCTTTTGATGGTAGTTGCTTTGTTAGTAGGACACAGTGATAGCATATTACTAATGGTGACTGGTGATAATGGTGATGTTAAATAAGAAGAAGAAGAAGAGGGGGAGGAGGAGGAGGAGGAGGAAGTAGAGGAAGAAGAGGTTACAGAAGTGATAACTAAATCTTCATCTTTATTTCCATTTCCATCTCCATTTCCAGTTCCATTTCCAGTTCCATTTCCAGTTCCAGTTCCAGTTCCATTATCAGCATTTGATAATAATAATCGACTTTTGTTTTTATTATGAAGTTCTGTTGACTTTTTTTGATTTAATTGGCGACCATTAAGTAATGCATAATGTAAAGCATAGAGTGTGACTAGAGAAGAAACATTTTCTTTTTTAACATTATTATTCTTGTACTTATCATTCATAGGTAAAAAGGGTATACATGGAGAGGGTTGTATAACTGATACTGCATTGTCGTTGGTCTTGCTCTTGTTATTGTTGTTATTGTTGCTATCGTCGTCGCTAGTCTCTGTAAAACTAGTTTGAATAGAGGGTAAATCCTTTGCCTTTTTTAAAGATGTCTGCCTTATGTTGGCGACTTTAAATGCAGCATTGACATTTGCTCCTACAACTATTGCATAAAGTGCTTTAACAATATCATTATTTCGAATGGCCTCGAATAGGATCAAGTTAGGGTCATGGGATGTTATGTATTCTCTATTTATATATCTACGGTTTACATATTTGGCTTGAATGTAAGATAACTTTGTAGCTCGGGTATCAGTTGGACCTGGTTTATTTGTTTGTAGAGGATCCCATATCGTGTTTGATTTTGCATTACCAATCAACTTTAATACTTCAATGATCTCAGGTGTATATACAGTACTATCTAATGTCAAAGAACGGATTTTAGAGATATGAGTTCCTAAACCACGATGAATACCAGAACATTCTATGCAAACTAAAACACCCAAATTTAATGAACACCATTCTGGATTTTCAGTTCCACAATCAGCACAATAATGATTAGAAGGGTCTTGTCTTAAGATAGATAGAAGCTGTAAATGGGTTACGGATTTCGCCAGGTCTAAAAAGACAAAATTTTCATCCGGTATAACGTCATCTTCAGGTAGTGGAGTAATTCTAATGCTGGGTGTACTTTTAGATTGATATTTAAAGTTAAATCCAGATAATCTAAATCTATCATTTTTTGTATGTGTAGAAGACATGGATGCAGATACTAATAATTCACCTGCTTCAGATGGCTTAAAGGCAGAATTTGATGTTGCTGTACTTGCATTGAAAATGGATTTGTTAGTACTAGATATCATCATAGGTGGGTTATTCATAGATTGTCTTTTACGATCTTTAAGACTAGAAGCTGAAAGACTTGAAGTCATTAAAGTTTCAGAATCTGTTGTCGTTGCTGTGGTACTTGGCTTGAGGGCATCACTTAATGATCTAGTATGTTGTTGTTTTTGTTGCCCTTTTTTATTACCATTATTTTTTCTACTATTAGATGATAGTATTGTCATAGAATCCTCTTCTTCTATATCAAGTAAATAAACAGAACTGCTTGTACCTTTTAATACACTTTGAATTGAATTTTGTATAGTTTCTATCCAAATTTGTGCTTCTTCTTGTGAAGTTGCCTGATAAACGCGTCTTATTGAAGGTGTAATGACTTCAAAACAGAATCGACGTTCACTATTACGTGCCTCACGAACAGTGGCAAACCTTAAATGGATAGGTTCAAGATGAGGTTCTAAATGACGTTTCCAATTTGAATACTCATGTAATTGTCCATTACTTAATACGCACCAATATCTATAAAAATAGATGAATAATGAATTTTTCATTCTGTGTGTGTGACAGAAAAAAAAAACTCTTTTTTTTTTTTTTTTTTTTTTTCTTCTTTCTTACTTGTGCCATGTTGCAGTAGTTGATGAAGAACTAATAACATCGAATCCACCCGTGCTTTTAGACGGTTTAGAAGTTGAATATAAAAAGCCTTCCTTTTTACGACTAACCAAAGGAAAAAGTCGATGTTGCTCTTGTAAATCATGAATATCACTTTGTTCTTCATAGTTGAGGTTTACAGCAGAAGCCGTCTTTTCTTTTGACAATTGATCCAACAGGACGTTACTATTGTTACACAACTCAACTAATTCATTGCGTTTATTTAATCTGTTATGATCGTTTATTTCTTGTTCCTTTGAATTCTCGGTTATTAAAGCAACTAATTCATTTAAAGCCGGTCTTTCACTTTCAATCTTGGTAGCCACTGATTCAAAATAACTAACATCTCTAATAATATGATCCACAATACAGAACAGGAGTTCGTTTTCCTTTTTACCACCATCATGCATATCCAATAAGAAAGAAAGATAGTCAAATCTAGCCAAGTCAAATTTTGATTTCTTTTGAGTAATCTGAATCTCTTTCTTTTTCCATTCTTCTTCTTCTTCTCGTCTACTCGTTTTCAAGTATTTTGCAAGGGAAGTATAATAATCTTTACTCTCTTCTTCAAACTGTTTTCGTTTCAATTCAGCTATTTTGATACTATCTTCATATAAACGTTTAACGGGTTCTAACATTTGATTGGAAAGAGACTGATCCAATTTTTGACGTTCCTTTTGAATGATACCCCAAGTTGTATTTAAATAAGAATTCATTAACGGTTCAATGCAGGGTGTATTCCTTAAAGCTTTTACATAATTTTCATCTGCTTGATACACTTGACGACGCAATTGAAGAGCTACTGTGGCTGCTTTAATAATTCCTTTTAATGAAACTTTTAAATGGCTAGTACGATCCTCAAGTTGCTTTAAAGTAGCTCGAAACAAAGGACCATCTTGTATTAAAAAAATATCTTTTAAAAGTGGAGATTTCGGAATAGATGCAGAAGTACTGATATTATCTACCAACATCTTACAAAAAAAAAAAAAATAGTAAATTAAACAATAATGATAATAGAAAGAAGAGAGAGAGAGAGAGAAAGGGAGAGAAAAGAAAAATAAAGTAAAAAAAAAAAAAAAAAAAAAAAAAAAAAAAAAAAAAAAAAAAAAAAAAAAAAAGAATCAAAAATTATTTAAAGAACGAGTTTTTTTTTTGATGTATTCTTAATATTGTGACACATTTTAAGCAAGACTAGAATATAATTAAAGTATTCCTCTTATTTAATTCTAAAATACACTATTTTATGTTCTTTTTGGGGTGAAATGGGTTAAAATGATTCGTTATATAACAACTATGAAACAGGTTATATAAATTCATTTATATATCTATATGCATATAATTGATTATTATAAACTAACTATTTGACAGGAATTAAAGCTATATAACCGAAACTGGAATATTTTGTATAATATACGTTATCACGTCATGGCTCCATAATATATGTATACATATTTGGTGGTGAAAGAGAGAGACGAAAGGAAGGAGAAAGCAGTACGATCATATGTTTATTGCAGTAGTATGAAGGATTACGTAATAGAGCGACATGTAACTAGTAGTTGAAATAGAATGATATTTTTATTTGTAGTAAATGCTTAGCATATGCTTTTTATTTTATTGGCTGAAGCTTAATTTTAATTTTTTTTTTGGGTTCTGTTCCTCTTTAACCTGGCGCCCTTCCTTTTTTTACTGCTTGCAGAATTTCTACTTCAAATTCAGAAAATATTAGTATTTTTTTGGACAAATCAAAATTAATTTTCAGAAGAATAAGAAATGAAATTGAGACAAAAAAGAATTAGTTTTCAGACGAATTGAGATTTATGTTTGAACTTTTTTACCTGTAATGATCTTAATCCTTTGAGAAAAGGAAACCGTTTTTAATACGGCGATACGAGGGGGGGGTTTAGGCACAAACGTCTTTCAGATAAATTGGTAGTATTCTTCTTTGGCTTAAAAATGTCTGGTCTTCCTTGGCCTGACCAAACTGCCTTCGAGATTGTCTTCATGTTTAAAGCAGCATTTACATCCCGTTGCCATACTTTTCCGCATTCTGGACAACTGAGAACACCACAGCCCTTGAAACCGGAAATGTTTATGACTTCTTGCTTATCGAAAAAACAATGACTGCATGTAATAGAGGTTTTAAATTCATTGATCGTTGTGACGATCAGTTGACCTTCAGTCTCTCGCTTTTTCAACGTCTTGAATAGCTTGCCTACCGCCCCGCACCAGTTCCCTTTTAGCTTGACAAGATCTTTTCCGAACATACCGTTATCGAGGACGACTAGCGGAACTTTTGTTTTGTCTTCTTTATAAACATGGGGTCTCCATTTGTTCAATCTTTTCAAAAAAAAAAAAAAAAAAAAAAAAAAACGGTTTTCAGAATTTTTCTATTTTCTTAGAATATAATCAATTTCTATTTCAGACAGATCAAAACTTCTTTTGCCCAAGTAAGTATTAGTCTGCTTGACAGTCTTCCAGAGTATTATCTACAATCCAGCTATCAAATAATAGACTTGTGAAGGGTCATACATAGTTAGTATATATTGATTTCTAGACTAGGAAATGGTTAAAAGAATACTACCATATGACTGGTTCCATAAGATATACAAAGCAATTGAATAACAAGAAAGCACTCTCTGGCATTAGTTTAATTAAAAGCAATATTCCTTCACCAAAGACTTCTCTATTTACCACATACCAAAATCATGTAGAATATATGTTTGAAAATCTAGATGCTTTGCTTTGCTCAACTTTTATAGTGTAGGTGATGCCAGAGATCGCTTTTCTTTATATCAAGATCTACAGAGGACCCCTCAACAAATGGCGAATATGCTGACACATGGTACTGCCAAATATAATCGCTCAAAAAGAGATAAAAAGAAAAAGAAGGCGAAAATAAGAATAAAGCAAAGAAGAAGGAAAGACAAGACAGTAAGCAAACCAGAAAGGACAAAGTAAGGAAACATTTCATTTTAGTCTGTACTATTTGCTTAAACACATGTAATAGAACTAAAAAATGGAGAGCAGCTTCGTTCGATGAAAACAAAAAGAAGGTGCCACTGGTTGTCTTCGGAGCTGGAATGTTTGGCAAAGACCTTGCAAAGATGAAAGGTTTGAGATGTGGTGTTGTCGGTAAATTATATCAAATATTGAAAAGACGTGAGTCTGAAGGTCAGTTAATTGTTGTAGCAATTGACGAATTCAATATCTCCAAAACTTGCAGCCTCTGTCTTTCTCTTAGTTTGAAAACTGTTAGCACGTCCAATTTCAAGGGGGATGGTGTAGTGTCTTGCCAAAGCTGCCACAAACTTTGGCAGAGAGATGTCAACGCTGCCCGGAATATGATGGTTATTTCTAAATCAATCTGGTCAGGAAAAGGAAGACTACCGATTTTCAAACCTCAAACAAGAAACAAAATCACCGTAGTAAACACAGGTACTCTTAGGGTTTAAGATTTTTACATGTAAGATGCCTAAGCATAAGCTTCAATCTGTTTAAATTTTGTATTTACTTCATCCAAAAAAGGTAAACAAATTGTCTGAATTTAAATTTTGATTCGTCCAAAAAAAAAAACTAACATCGTCTGAATTTGAAGTAAAAATACTGCTTATTATTTCATTGTTGATATTCACATTCTTAAACAGTTGTATTATTCAATTCTATTTCATGAATAATGAAGGCCTGTTTATGATGTCTTCATTTCAATATGATTGGCTATAGTATATTTAGTCATAGAATCGATAATAATGTTTGTATACCATAATATAAGTCACTTGACAACCGTAGTATAATAAATATGAAAAAATACTGCATGTTTGTATCTATAGTGACACAATAGCTTATACTTATTTCTCTGCCTCTATCCTCTTTCTTTATCTTTCTCCTCACACATACACACACACACACTATAATACAAAAATTACTAAATTTATATCGTTCTTTCCTTTTTAAGATTTTTAAGATTTTTTAGTGACTTGTGAGATTCATTTGACTTTCTCTGAGTATAATATTAGCTTATTTTATTTTAATTTAATTTATGCATATTTATTCTCTTTATTTATTTATTTATCTATTTATTTATTTATTTATTATAAAGAAGTAAGAACTTTTTATTGTTCTGCCATCACCTATTCTCTGTCTATTTATATCTTTTTTTTTATAAAGTTCTCCTTTTGTTATCATTAATATTTAAAGAAGAAGGCTACAGTAAACGTAGTCCTAGAAACAATAAAAAAATGATGGCTTCATTAATGAGGACAAAACATTCCAATATTGACTTTAATATTATGTTTTATCCTCAATATCAAAATGAAGAAGGCCGAGTCATTTGTCATCCTGGTTCAGTATTTGAAGGAGTTGTTCAAATGAAAGTATTAGCCCCTATGTCGGTTCATCATATTAAGCTTGTATTTAAAGCAACTGGTAAATTAAGATGATGTACGTTTAATAGGAAGATAATAATAATAATGATAATAATAATGATAATAATAAATAAAAAATAAATAAAAATAAAAATAAAAATAAAAAAAACAGAAAGAGTCAATTATGACGCTATGGGATGGGAAAAATCAAATTTACATGATGATCGATTATTTGCAGTACGTACTATCCTTTGGGGATTACCCTCTGGTCTTCAAATTCCAATAGAGGACTGGCCTATCTTGGAACCAGGAGACTATCATTTCCCATTTATTTGTCAAATGCCTGTCATTAATTTTCCTCCTACCTTTCATCATCATCTTATTGCTATTAACTTTCAACTGATTGTCTCAGTTAATAAAGCGGGTGAAACATCCCCTATCCTCTCAAAACCAGCTCCTGTTTACTTTCAACCCATTATTGAAACACTTCCTGTAAAGAATCAACAAGCCTTTATTGAAGAAAATCGACTCACAAATCATATCATAGCCCAAGTCTCTGTTCCTCGTTTAGCTTATAATGTCTTGGATAAAAATCAATCTATTCCGATTACTATACAATTTTATCATTCAGATTCATTCATAGATCAACAGCAACAGCAACAGTATTTTTCTATATCTCAACTTCGAGCTTATATAAAAAGATATTATAACATTAACTATAAAACGTTTTCAAGAAGTGAAACAGCTATCATTGCAGATTATGATTATCCTAAATTACCTACTATGTGTCCTAGTACTGTGACGATCAATTTAGATTTATCTAATCTACATCCTCGTGAACTTCCTGCAACCTTAATTTATTCTCCACATTTAAAAATTGAATATAAACTTGTCATCACTGTTAAGGTACGTCATGGGCCTATTCATGTAAAGAAAAAACTTTTCGATATGTCTCTTGTCTTTGGTACTTTACCAGCTGGTACAAGAGCGCCTCGACAATTAGAATCTTATTCCGCTATTGTTGAAAATCTTGCCTCTATCCATTCGAAACCTCAATTTCTTCGTCCCATACCTAATCAAGAAGAAGAAGAACAAGAAGAGTTTTTACCTGCTTATAATAGTGAAGTTTTACCACCCGATTATCATGAAGGAGCCACTTCTAATAACCATGTACAGATTGTTGAAATATCAAGTTAAAAAAAAATAATTATAATATCATTCCCTTTTTTTTTTTTTTTTTTTTTGTATCCATTGATCATTCTACATTTTGTCATTTATTTATTTATTCTCTCGTTCTTATTTCATATATGAATTAATAAAATTTTATATTAACATTTACGTTTTAAGTTATGTACGCTTAATTTAACGCTATATGGTTATATATGTAGATATTTGTTCGATAAACTTACTTTCTCTTTTTTTTTCTCTCTCTCTCCACACACACACATACACACGCGCGCGCACGCATATATACTTCTCCTTTTTTTTCCTCTCTTACCCCTCTCTTTTTTTTTCGTAATAACTTCCGTGCGCATACATATTTATACATGAACAATGCATCTCTTTAAAGAAGAAGATGTTAGACAACGACGAAAATATATATCTGTATACAAGATGAAAGTAAGAAAGAAAGAAAGAAAGGTAACTTTTTTCATTTATTACATTTATGTTCAAATACTCGTATGTGTTTTGACTTTTTTTTTTTGTTTTTTGTTTATTTAAGTTTCCCGTAAGTTAAAGAATGATTTTACCCCCCCCCTCCGTATTTTTTAATGTTTATATAAATTCCAATTAACCAAAATAAAAAGCTTATCTACGTATAAAAAAAGAAGAAGATCTTTTATTCCTCTTTTCTTTTTTTTTTTTTTTTATTCTTCTTCTTATTTATACATATTTATATAATAAAAAAAAATGACAAAATTTTCATTTAGGAAATTGAGAGAAAAACCAGTTTTATTAATTACAAGTACATTAGCAGTGGTAATAATAATTATAATGATTTTTGTGCGTGACATTTATTTATTTATTTTCTTAGTGTGGTTGCTGTATATCATTTGGAGGAGCGATTGCTTTAAAAGTCTTAAATGGAGCTTGGTGGGTAGTCGCCTATCAATTTTTAATTACATTTGGACATCTCTTCATTTTTGTATCGGGCACTGCACGAAAATATAAAATGGCGGTAAAAAATAAAAATAAAAATAAAAGAAGAAAAAGGGGATAATACAAATAAAGTTAAAATCAAAATAATTTTAAAAATAGATGTTGGCATTTTTAGCTACAAGTATTCCATTATTAACGGTACAAATAGATGCAGTTATGCAATTTAGTAGACAAAGTTTACCCAAGATACCAGCTAATACATATGTCAGTGGTTATATCATTTTATTAATAGTTCAATATGTTTGGATTCTTATCTTTGGAAGTGATGCCTCCACCTTCTTTGGTCAACTTGGATATCATTCTTCCACAGATCAAAATGTATGTTTATCCATATCCTCTAATGATCATGACGCATTTTATTCAGAAGAAAAATTAAACGAATCAAGACAGCAACTTTCTAATAATAATAATAATAAAACAATGCATTCTGAAGGAAATAAATTAATCTGTAAGTGTATGTGTGCGTGTGTGTAGAAAGAAAAGAGAAGAACTCTAAACAATTCTTTTTTATTTATTTATTTATCGATCTATGAATAGATGGTGCTAATCAGTCTAATGCCTCTGTTTCATTTATGTCGAATATAACAGATCAAAAATTATCTACTTGTGTACTTGAATTTAAAGAAAAAGCTCGAGCCATTCATAAATGTAAAGTGATAATTTCTCTACTCATTTATTTTTATTTATTTATTTATTAATTAATTGATTGACTGATAGATAAAGCAAATCCAGAAGATCCAAAAGAATTAAGCTTTGAAAAAGGAGAAATATTAGATATTGTAGATAGAAGAGGAAATTGGTGGCATGCACGTAAGACAAATGGTGACATTGGTATCGTCCCTAGTAATTATGTAAGTCCTATTTTATCTCTCCTTTTTATATATATTTATATATTAAAATTATTTTATATTTAGTTCTCTTGATAAATCTAATATTGTCTTTTTTTTTTTCGGTCTCTCTTTTTATTTTTTATTTTATTTTATTTTATTTATAAATAACTATAATAAAATATAAGTGGAATCCAGTCTCATTAATTTATTATTTACACAAAAGAAATTTCTTCTTTTTTTTTTACAATTTGTTCATTGTCAATTGATATATTTTGCTGCCTCTCTTTTTTCTTTTAATTATTATGGTTGATTTATACTAATAAGCTCTATTCCAGATAGGCTCGAAATGAGGTGTATTACAAAATAAGGGTGTGGCAGTAATGGTAACGACTTCAGGCATAGTAAACAAAACTCTATTTGATATAGTAGTAGTTGTAGTAGATGCCGATGAGGGAATAAATTCTGGGAATGAAACATAAGATTTTTCAAAGATAGAAGAACTGTTATCATCTTGAGTTGAAAGTGTCTCTGTTGTTGTAGTAACAGAATCAAATGTTTCTGTTGAATAAATAGAGGATGGCGCATATCGAAAAAAAGAGTCATTATCGTCGTCGTCGTCATCGTCGTCGTCGTCGTCGTCGTTATCATTATAGTTATTGTCTTTATCATTGTTGTATTCCTTGTCGTCGTCTGTAAAGTTGTTTGTAATATGTTGAATAACATGACGAATGAAAGGTATTTGTTGTAGAAACATTTTTTTTTCTTTTTGAAGGGTGTAAAAAGAAGGAGTGTAGTAAAGGATATAGAATGAATGGGTGGTATAAAGTGGAAGAAAAGAGAGAAAAAAAAATCGTATTAATATACATGTCAAATTTCTTTATATATATATATGTATATTTTGAGTAAATAGACAGATGGTGTTTATTAGTACGTTTAATTATTATTATGTAGTTTCATGTGCTGCCAGTAAAATGTAGTGTTACAAAACTGTGTGTAATTGTTTATTTTTTTCTTAAAAAAGGGTGCAGTAGAAATGAACATCGGGAATTCAAAATTTTTGTTTATGTTCTTAATTTAGATATCACCATCACTACCATTACTATGACTACTTCGTCATTTTATTAAAAAACTCACTGCTCGGTAAATAATGTATTAAACTTGTTGTTGTTGGTGGCTAATTTCATGAATAATGACTTCAACCAAAACTTATGTTTTTATTATTATTATTATTATTATTATTGTTGTTGTTATAAACGAATGGATATTAAATAAAGACTCGAACTCCCCTCCTTTAGAAAGCCTTCTTACTTAGTTGTAAGGAAAGATTTGATGTGACATCCAAAGCTTTTAATACCTCTAATGTTCCTTTGAAAAAGCTGGTATCATGATAATGGATATTGTATTGTTGACAAAGTGACTTCACCATTGGTTTTACTTTAGGAAGGTTATGACGTGGCATATTAGGGAAAACCTATTATTATAAATAATTAAGTATATAATGAAGGAAACAAAGAAAAAAAAAACTAAGAAAAAAGAAAAGGGGGAGAGGGGGGCGGAAAGAAGTGCTTACATGATGCTCAATTTGATAATTTAATCCACCCATAAACCAATCGCCTAAAGGTGACATGGATACATCACGACCAGTTACAACTTGAATTTCAAAAAATTCCATCTTTTCTGCTTTCTCTTCTGTAATGATAGGCATACCATTATGATTTAATGCAAATACAAGTGCCAAAGTATAACCAGTTGTAGCTTGACTAATTAAAAAGAAAAGAACCATATTATAAAGACTACTATTCCATGCAATTGTACAATAAGTAAATAAAATCCAATGACAAATAAGACAACCACGTTCATATAAATTCATTTGAGCAGACTTATTAATGGCACCTTGATTAAACGAATAAAGCAAAGATTGAAGAGCCCATGAAATACGAGCAAAACCCAGAACAAAGAAATAATAGCGTGTTTGATAGGGTAAAACACTTTGAGCAAGGAAACGTGAAATCATATTAGGTTCTTCATCTAATGATCCATAATAAGCTGCAGAGGCATACTCATCCCATAATAAAACAGGCGCAGTATCAATATCAGGGTCTTGACCATGAACATTTGTACTTGCATGATGTGTATTATGCTTATTTTTCCACCTAGTATATTTATATATAAGAATATGAATATGAATATAATAGGTCTTCTTCTATTTAATATATTTACCATGATAATGAAAAGCCTTGACAAAAGTTACCAAGAAAAACAAGTAATATATCATTCATAGAACGATCTTCAAAACATTGATGATGACCAAAATCGTGTGCCAACCAACCACATTGTTGCCAAAATATACCAATAATAAAGCCAGAAGCTACCACAGCCAATGTAGATGTACGTCCATAAGCATACAAAAGACCTAAACCAACACCACAAATAGCCAAAGTAGACAAAACCTTGTAAACATAGAAAAGTTTACTGGCATGGAAATAACCTTCATTTTTAAGCTTATCACGTAACTCACGCATTTCAGCGGCAAACTTGATAGAATTATTATTTTCATCTATATTCAACTTTCTGTCATCCTCTACCTCCTCAGGCAGTAAGTCACCAGCATAATAATTTGCTAATATTTCATAAGCTGTATCTGGATGCATAGCATGAAAGACATCTATACATATATATATATATTAAATAACGTGAGTACATACTTTCTTCTTACTCTTTTTTTTTCCTAGTTAAAAAGAAAGAAGAAATATTTGCTTACCTGATGCATCTTTTCCTATATGAGTCATTAAAACGGCTTCACCACCAGGATGATCTTCAATGAATTCAGTCACATCATATAATTTATTATCAATGATAATACATTTCCTTGCATCTTTATCACCATCCTTTACAGCTTGATTCATCTTCTCCAATTGTTTCCGAGTGAATTGTTGGGGTTCTAATGTGAAGTGGCACAATAAAAAGGAGATATTAATAAAAAAAATTTTTTTTCCCAAAAACTGGCATCTATTTTACCTCTTGAAAATGTCATTGTATATTACTATTATATATTGTGACTCTGTTTGTTGTGTTGTAATAGAAACAAAAAAGTAGAAATAAAATATAATTCTATATTACTTTTCTTGCTTTTTAAATATAAATATTTAAATAAATATAATTTTATATTTTCCAATCAAAAAAAAAAAATGGAAAAAGAGAAATAAAGGAGAAAAAAAAGGCTTACAATTTATTTGGAATAGTATAAAATGCGGGGTTCATAAAAAAAAATGGATTTTCTTATTCAGGTACACACTTTCAAATGTTGATTGGATTCGTATTTCCAGTTTAATTTTTATCCAATCATTTATTAGTAATACGTATCCATAACAACAACATTTTATTATTGTTATATCATATTTGATTTGAAGAGTATAATTTTGATTGAGTCTATTTTATTTATTTCAATCTTTTACTTGCTACATTATCTGCATATAATTTTTTCGTATGTACTAAAATGAAATATTTCCTAAATTAGTTTCCTTTTTTTTTTATTCAATATGGATAACACTACTACTAATATAATAGATCACGATGAAATCCATTTAAGGCAAATGTCTGATGGTTTAGTCATGGAATACCTGTTTCATGAACAATATCGAAATACAGCAAATGCCTTTCTGAAAAGTATTAGCAAATTTGAACATAAATATGGTAACACATTTAGTAGAAAGGTTATTATCACTCGTATTTTTTCTGTAATTGACTCATGTTTTTTTTATTTTTTCTTTATTAAAGTAAAGACGGATTATCATGAAGGTGAGAATATCGTTTTGATTCTATTATAGAGTAATTATATGCTTATATGTCTGTATGTATCTATTTTTAAGGGCCTATTTATTGGAATTGGGTGGAACAAAGACAACGTAAAGAAATATAGAATAATACTATTATTAGTCATATGCTCACATTATGACCTGCTATTACCTAGATGTAAGCAATGCTATTAAACAGGGCAATATTGAAATGGCCTTACACATAATTAGAAATCATTTTCCATTGTTAGCTATGCATGAATCCATTTCACCTAGTCATCCATCATTTATTCCCCACTTGCGAAGTGTTTTATTTCAGCTAAAATGCCAACATTTTATAGAGATCATTAGATGTGTAACACCTTCTTCTTTTGCAGAAGCTCTTAGTTACGCACAAGCACATTTAAGGCCAGCATCAGATGAAGACAGAATATATTTGGACCAAGTAACACCTTTAATAGCCTATGAAGATCCTTATCAATCTCCATCTAGTCACTTATTAACTCAAGATGCTCGTGATCAATTGGCTATTTATGTTAATCATGTTTTAATGGTTTTACGCAACATGCCCTTAACTTCAGGTGTTGAGAGAATTTTAATGCAAATTGATGTTGTTAAAGATCAACTTAGAATGGAAGCTACTAATGACATGTTATCATTTTCAGAAGAATATGAATTAAGCGAATGAACAATTAAAGTAAATAATAAAATGATTTATTCTTTTTTTTTTTTTGGAAAAATATGCAGTCAAATACAAATGTTTTTTATTGTGTCTGGTTTACAAGTGCACAAAAAAAATTTATACTGAAACGAACATATTGTTAACCCATTTAGATCTCATTGACAACGAGAGCTAAATTAAAATAATTAATATTAGTAATCTTTCTCATTTGTAACATTCAATCAACACTTACAGGGAGGGAGAGATTGTCTAAGCTTGTTAGCCTTGGACTTATCCTTAACAACAAGAGTGTAAAGGTAGCGAGAACATCTAACCTTGAACTTGACAGAGTCAGCGTTCTTCTTAACACGAGCAGCTATTATAAAAAAAAAAATCAGAATCACTCAACAAATAGATTTGTTTCCTTCAACAAAAAAAATAAAAATAAACTTACACTTGGCGTCCTTTCTACGGGCAATTTCGAGGAATTCCTTAATATCCTTGATTTGTTTAGGCTATTTCATTTAAAAAATATAAATTAATGAACTGAATTGTATATTTTGACAATGATGAATGCTATACGAATAGAAATAATCAATAATGCCTATCCATAATATCGAACAGTAGTGTTAATGTCGAGGCAGAGAGAGAGGGGAAAATAAGAACGAAGAAAGAAAAAAAGAAAAAAAAAAGTCAATGACAGGTGCGAATTGTAAAAAATTAATATGAATATATTTATCCATGGTCATATTCTTTTCGTTATTCATTTATCCCTTTTCTTTTTCTTATTCTATCTATTTCTAACTCGTATAACATCCATCTATTATCTTTCATTGTAATGGATGAATGATCATCTTACCATCTCGCTACGTTTTGTTCGGAAAGAGAAAGATTCTAATTGAAGTTGCTTTCTTGTTTAGTCTTTACTCAGTCAAATTTGGCGTCCATGACTCCTCTCGTCCCTCTCCCCCCCCCAACTTTTTCATTCCCTCCCCCAAAAAAAGAATATTGTCCGGATATCATTAATCCGATGAAAAGTGTCCGCACAGTATTTCTACTTCAAATTCAGACGATGTTAGTATTTTTTTTTTTTGGACAAATTAGAATTAATTTTCATATAGTTTGTTTATGAATAAAAAAAAGGAAATTCAGAAACAGATGCAAAATGGGACAAAGGAGGGACAGAACGTTAGATGAGATTCAGAAAAAAAAATTGCTATTTTTTTTTCGTAAAGACTTCTTACCTGTAAAATCTTTAAGCCAGCACCTCACCGGAGTGAGACGTGGCAACCACATTGTAGGTGGCGCTTTGTCGTGTGAAGATAGTAGGGCGATCGTTCCCATTCCAAATTGAGGAAGCAATCAGAAACATATTCTTGAATGTCATCACATCACGATTCCAAAAAATATTGCAAGTGTTGCACTTCAATGCTTGATGGATTCGTTTGACATCGTCACCTTCCCCACATTTCAGATCTTTGAGGTCTTGTTTTAAGCAAGAGTTACAGATCTATAAGGATGCTGTTTAGGACATGTGATATATGAACATCGTTGTACTAACCTTGGAGGTTTTATACTCATTAATATCTAAAAGTAACAACTCTCCAAATCTCTCTCTATGCTTTAATTGCCCATACATCTTGCTTGAAACGCCGCGTCGAAGACCTTTGAATTTGATGTGATCCTTGTTTTGAAGGCCATCACCAAAGATTACAAGAGGCATTTTCTTGTGATCGCCTTCTTCGAAACAGCTCTTGTTCTTCTTACACCTTTTCAATTGTGAATTAGCAGCTGCTTGTTCCTCTTGATTGTCTTCAGCCCTTCTGGCTTTTCTTCTTTTTCTTCTGTTTCTCTTCGTATTCTTTCTTCTATTCTTATTATTCTTATTACCTCCATTTAACAAAATATTGACGCTTGTTTCTATAGCGATTTGAGAGCCAACATAGTTTTTTCCATCGTTATCTTGCAGTGTTAAACCCATAAAATTCAAATAAGCGGCTCATATGCTCCATCATGTATGTCACATATTGAAGGTAATCTTCTGTTGATACTGTTTTTGGTGTTGGGATATCAGTTTCAATTTTAGTTAAACCTAATTCTTGCTTTCTTTTGTGTTCTTTTTTAAGTCTATTCATATTTCCCATCATATTGTAATACTATGCACTAGAAAGACTTCGTATATCATTGTTTCCATGATAAGATACAAATACATTTTTTACGGCCGGGGTCTACAGTGCACGGTCTGAAATATTTATTAATCTCTTCTTGATTGAAATTATCTAACTGAAGAGAAGCACTTTCAGAAGGTTCACTTGTCTTTCGACAAAATGAGACTCTGCAAGTGTATTCATCTGTGTATATAGAGTTCAAAAATAGCCTGTTCTTTTGCAGTAAATTTTCCAAAGCTTCAAACTGCTTTCTTGTTTTGCAAGCTTTTTTGCTGCAATGAGTGTTTCGACTTCAGGATATATGGGTGTACATGTCATTAATAAAAGAAAGATAAAAAAATAGCAAAAATTTTGTACATAATTATCGACCTGGCATCCAATACAATAGGATTAAGATATGATATATTGAAGATTACATCACAAGATTATCACTAAAGATGTCTTGCTTATTAGTTATATAATTCAAGCGCAGACTATCTACTTATTTGTGTTTCTCTTAGACTGGCTGAATACAGAAATGAACTTGTCAGTTTAAAGAGACAAAGAGATCTCAAATCCTTTTTTTTTCTTTGGCTCCTAAGGTTTGATATAGGTATGATTAGAAAATGAGTTTTGAGCCCCACTCTTACATCGTGTAGTGCTATAATGGTACGAATGCTCGAGAAGCTGACTGTTTTTAAGAATCCACCCCTAAATCGAAGAAAAAAAATCCTTAAATTTGCTCAGTACAGTCATAAATTGGTTTCCCATTGTACGATTAAATGATTTATTTATTAAAGGAAAAAAAAGTGGTCATAATGAGCACAATAGTTTAAATAACTGCACTGTCTGAATAAGTTCGCGAAGTTAAGAGTTAATAAAAAAAAACCTCCTAAGAGTCAAAAGGGAAAATGAAAAAAAGTATTGAAGAATAAAGAAAAAATAATGAGGAAAGTAAAACGAAAGAAAGATAGATAAAAAGGAAAAAAAAATTAGAAACAAGACAGAAACACTAGCATTTTTATCATTGCAACCATTTCACCAAACTAGCACCGATATCAGTTGGAGTGGGAGAAAGATCTTCACCATGGAAAATATGATCCAATTTATGTAGGATCCGGCAAATTTCAGGCCATTGTACAGACCAGGAAGAGATAGATGAAACATTTATTAGTAAGAAAGAAAGAGGATCTTTGATGGACCTGGGCATTTGTAAACGACGGTATATGTGCAGACATTCGGTAGCATGGGCACGAGAAAGGTTAACTGCAGGATGGAAAAGATAGGGACAAGGTTTTCCACCAGGGAGCCAACCAAGACGCCAGCGGAGTACCTGACTACGCTCCATACGTGTCATTGGGAGCCAGTTTCCCATTGTACAATTAAATCAACACCAAAAGATGGATTTTTCTTATAATGCGTTAGCTAAACCTTCTTAAGGTTGTTTGCAAGTAGCATCCATGTAAGAGATAAAAAAAAAATAGCTGACCTGTTAGCCTACAGTTGCATTTTAGTTCGACTAACATTTTGTCTCTCGAATTCCTTTGTCTGATTTCCATTTTCGCCTCTTCCAAAAAAGGTAATCAAAGTTTCTGAAAATAAATTTTGATTCGCCCAAAAAAAATAATAACGTCTTCTGAATTTGAATTAGAAATACTGTAATAAAAATTATTCACTTATACATACACTTCAACATTTTCAAAAAGATTTTTCTTTCCTTTTTTTCCATAGTGATCTGACCAGGACATATATAAATGCTGTGTGCTGATTGGTCATTTTTTAATTTTTTAAATAAAATTCTTCTTTAATCGCAATAAAAATTATTATTATTTTAAAATACCGCCAGATGCAGTTTTTTAATATTACTGGGCCAGTTGCAACAAATTAAAATATAATATTTAGAGGATGAATCACATATCTAAATCATCCAAAATAACACAGAAGAAGCTGTTATATTAATTGATACAACCAGTCATTTATATTAATTATATACTTGGGCCCGAGAGAGGATGGGAGGGAGTCAACATTATAGGATTTGAACTAGTTTTTTTTACTATTGTTCAAAAGATAACATAAGTGACACTCGCTTTATTTATTATAAAGTGATGGTGATAATTCCTTCCTTTGTAATGACATACATATTTATCAGCAAGTATATACATATGTATATACATATGTATCTATTTTTAAGACTCTCTCTCTCTCAAGTTAGAAGTACATAGACAACTTACATATTAAAGAGGCTTATAAGTTGGCCAAGTTCATGTATTAAAAAAAAAAAAAAAAAAAAAAAAAAAAAAAAAAAAGAGAGAGAGAAAGAATCAATTAGGCCTAGCTTTGGTCAAAAAGATGAAATTATACATGTATTTTTTAAAAGAGGACACCATACGAACCATATTCTATCCACTATAATAAATTGAAGATCCACATCATTCAATCTTCTTCTTAATTCTACTTATACGAATAGATATGAAATGCCTTATCTCATGTGCATGCTTAATACACTTTTCAGATCTATTTGCAAACAAATATTATGAGTTAACCTTATAACTCTATTATTATCCAAGATAGATATGGGCATATACACTATAGTAACAGTCTTTATGTTCTTCCAACATCAGTGACATATTTCTATTTTAACTTATTTGATTATAGCTTCTCTCCTTGTAATCCCTTTCTTATTTACACATTTTCTCTCGTATCCAAAAAGAGAGAGAGGGGAAGATTATTGTATTCCATTTAGTATGAGCTAGTTTGGAAAAATTTAAAGATGAAAAAATCGGCGCTTCATTAAAATGCAATACTAAAACAATTCCACAAACTTGATAAAGGAGAAAAAAACAAACCAATAACAAAAGGAAAATAGTATTTGCTTATTTTTTTTTTCTAGAAGGCAGGCTACATTTGACTTTATTTGATTTTCTTTTTATTTTATTTTTTAAGAAAAGAAATAAAAACCCAGTATTTTTTTTTTATACATATAAAGAAACCTTGCAAGAAAAAGATAAAATAACACTTATACCACAATTTGATGACTAATATTATTTATTTGACTCAGAAATTCGGTTTTATTTTTCTTATTTTGTATCGGCAATGGTAGCATGGAACTTTTTTTTTCTTTTTTTTTCTTCTAAGGGATGTTTACATCTTTAAGATATAAGAAAAAAAGATTTAGTTCTAGTCACCAAAGACAGACGTAAAATGAGAAGATTCGCTAACGCTACTGTGGCTCTTTAAGGTCAATTAGTAGTGTTTGATGGTAGCTTCTCAACATTTATATGTGTATAATAAAAATGAAAAAGAAAAAAAAAAAGAAATATGTATTTATTATTTTATGAAGATCAAATTTTCTTGTATCGTTTCTTTTTGTGACATATAAACATTCATTCCATTATATAATAAAAATGAAGGAATTCATGATTTACTATTAGTGTGTGAGATACAATATATTTATTATATATAACAATATATGTTCTTATATATATGTATATATACATATATGAAGGTATTATTATATTATCTTGTTAAATTTTTTAGGTATAATATTTGTCTGTCAAACTCTGGTGTTTTTTGTTTTTGTATAAAATATGTATTCAAAAGAGGATTAAAAGAAGGAACATTATTGCGTAAAAAGGTGTAAAGAGAGGAGCTATGTTTAAGCAACGTTGTTGGAACGAATGGACCATTTAAGGATAGCCTGTAACATGAGCATAATCATCTCTTCGTTACCATCCAAGATATCTATATGAATATATATGTATATAAATATAAAAAGTCAATCTCCTTATATTATATTCGTATATACAATATCATTTTTTTTTCTTTTTACCTTTTATTGTAAATTGGTCCTCTGTATCAATGTTCTCCATGCTCATAAATTTGAAAACAGCCACCATGTTATCCAACATCAACATACTATTAGTACCAGTAGATGATGGAGGTAATTGTTTGAGTTGTTTACCACTCAATTCTTCTAATAAATTGATCAAAATATCCCCTTGTTTTAAATCCTTCAATTGGGAAATTTTATTAGGGTTACTAATGGTATTCACCCATTGAATATATTCTGCTGCAGTCCATGAAGTAAATGAGGTACGTAGTGTCGATTTTTCTTCTTGTCTTTGTTTTTTAATTATATGTCCGTTTAAATTTGCTTCCCCGTTATTCTCTTGTTCATTTATCACTCTATTTAAATGCGCTTGTTCTATTGTACTATTACGATCGTGAAAGCCCGAATCCTGATTATTTGGTTTGTCTCTATAATCTGGTGACACAGTTCTCATATCTGAAACAGCTGCATTTGATGGTTTGACAATAGAATTTGAGTAACTCTTATCAGAAGCTTGGAAACTTTGTTCATAGTTATGCTCTACGACTGACATATAGGAAGATGCTGTGTCGGAGGAAGGAAGATCACTATTGTCACTATTTCGAGTAGTAGTATCGTTATAAAGTAAAATAGAAGGAGGTCTTGGTCGCATACGACGAGCAACGTCTAATGAAACAGTAGGAACTAAACTAGAACTTAATACAGGTATATTGAAATCTCTTGAAATTGTTGCTTTCATAAGACACTTGACCCATGTTTTCATAATGGTATCAATTTCGGTATAAAAATAAAATGTTCGCTCCTTTTCATGTTGAGCTTTAAAAGAATATTTGCCAGGCTGGATTGTTTCATCTGCTATAATTTTATAGCCCCTTAAATTGATGATTCCTTTCATACGGACATCCTAATATATTGTTAATGCATAAAAAAAAAAAAAATATGTATGAGATAATATTCAACTTATATGTGTATAATATAACTTAATTTACCGTTGGACTTTTAAAATAAAATAAATTGGTACCTTTTAGCACAAACCAACGCTTATTCCAGTTTTTATATTTACATCCTTGTTTATAAAGCCAACCTTCCATGTCAGGGGCCACATCTGTGTTTTTTTGATGATTATTAAAATAGAATTCCAGTGAACTATCCCTAATCATGGGTACATCTGTTGGATGGTTATGCAATTGATGAGTTAAGTCTATATGTCTATAAATATATAATCATATGATTATTAAGGGAGTCGTATAAAGGGAAAGAAGGGTACAATATCATGTAATTTAAAATTTAAATTGATCTTTATATTGACATTTATACTTACATTTTATTTGATAATGCTGGTAAGTTATGATGCTATAAGAAATTTAATATTAATTTCATTTGTTATCTCTCTCTCTCTCTCTCTCTGTTTATTCTTCTTCCTTACGTGTTGGTTATTTATTGATATACAGTCATAATTTGAAATAGGAGACATACAAGAGTTTATTCTATTAAAAGATTCGTCTGTGCCCATAAAGATAATGCATGTAAAAATAAATTGAATATGATTATTAAAATAATATGTAATTTATTATATAATATACCATTATACATATTCCTCCTGAATTTACTATGATGACGATTTTGATTCCTTTTACTTTGTCTTTCAGAAAATTTTGTTGGCGATGAGTTGTAATAGTAATTAGATAGAGAAACGTCTAAGGGATGATAATGATGATTTAATAACATATTTCTAGAAGGAGAAGGATTAGTTGAAATAGTAGATGCTGAAAGGATATCTTTCTTCTGATAAATTCGTCGAGGATTATTTATAAAGTAGCTATCTGACATTCGTTGTGCAGGTCGATAACCATATTCTTCTCGAAGTGTTTTAATAGCAGTAAAAAGTTTAAATCTCTTTCCATAAGTAGGCACATCTAGTTCTTTAAGTGAATTCATATTTAATTCTAATAAAACATCTCCTGTAATTTCTTGTACTATAGGTATATGGATACATATTGTATTAATATGAATAAGGAACCAAGAAATATAACCCTTCATTTTTTTTTCTTCTTCTTCTTCTTCTTCTTCCTCCCCCACTCTCCCCCCCTTTCTCTTTTTTATGTCACCCTAACATTACATTTAAAATTGGTCGCTATACTATCAAAATGAATTGCTTTCAACCATACTTCAACTTGATTCACACCCCAATCTTCTGGTGATGTTGAGCTTAATTCAGGTAGAAAAGATGCATCTATTATCAACCTTCTTAGTGTATTGCAATTATTATTTACAGTGTTATCAAAAGAAACAGCACTGCTACTTGATGATGTCGAACAACTTGAAGAATCGGTTAGATAAGATGTAACAGGATCATCAATAGAAAATTGCGTAGAAATAAGTGAATCATGTTTCTGTTGCTGTTGCTGTTGCTGTTGCTGTTTATGATCCTCTGTAATTGAATGTACATCCTGTTTTAATATATCACCAGAAGCTGATACAGGTGTATAAGGTTGTTGTTGTTGTTGTTCTGATACTTGTTGAGTATTAACTGGTTTCTGAAACGTAATGAAATTGACTGGAAATAAACCTATTTCACCTTTTGTGTTTTGACCCTATAATCATTCAAATTTAGTTTTTTTTTATTTTTTTATTTTTTTTTTTTTTGCTATGTTTATTCTATATTACCTTCCACCAACCATCATCGAAACCACTATCGTTCTGAAGAACAATAACTGCTTCACCATTTTGAAAATTTAATTCATCCTCGTTTTCTGCCTTGAAATCATGGATTGCATAAACTGTCTTTAAAGTTTCTGTCATATGAGTTTGTTTAATGAAATATCAAGAGTGAATTACACAAGAAAGAAAGAAAGAATAATTATGTTTTATAATAATTAGAAAGAATAACAATAATAACAATAAAAAGGGGTATAGAATAGAATAAAAAAAAAAAAAAGGAGATTGACTAAAATAAATAAATAAAACTTTATTTTTTTTTTTTTTTTTTTTTTTTTGTACATTCCATAAAAAATCATATTCAATGTGAAGCTTTGTTTATAAAAGCAATAAAACATGGTAAGATAAATGACGCAGAGTTAAATCATGGCCATAAATGTATTATGAGCGGTTGCATATGTACTATATAAAATAATATTAATTTTTAGACACCATCATTCTGAAACATATCGTATATAATTAGGAAATAAATTTATTTATATTTGTATTTTACATTTTCCTCCCCTCATTATTATTCAAATATGTTAAATAAAGTTTCTCTCATAAAAAAAATATATATATATTTGCATGTATATTATAAATATACACATATAAAGTATATACATATTATATATAAATATATATTTCTAATATATTTACTTATTTGACATGGCATATATGTATATAAATATATAAAAAAAATATATATATAGATTGACCCGTAAATAAAAATAGTAAAAAAAAAAAAAAAAAAAAAAAAAAAAATGTATCTGTATATTTATACACATATACATATTTGTATGTATATGACAGCTGTCTCATGACTACCATTTTTATAATTTATCGTTAAACAAATATCACTTGGCTTTAAATCTGTTTTTTAAAATAAAAAAAAAAAAATTAAGGTACAATGTTATTTGATCCCACCAAAAATAAAAAATAAAAAATAAAAAATCTTTTAATTTGTAATGTTTAGAAATGATTGTCGCTCCTACTCCCCCCCCATTATTAGCTTTATACTTGGCAAGTATGATCTTTGTAGCATGTTTATAGATAAAACAATAAGACATATCCTATCATCTTTGTCGGGAATCAATAAAATTGTTCCAGGTACATACAAAATACATGATACACGCACACACACATAATTTCTTTACGTGTATAAACAAATATAGATGAAAAACTTAGCAAACCAATTTTATCCAAACGCCTTTAAGAAAATTTTTTTTCTTAAAGTCCAGAATCCACAAGTAAAAAGTATAAAAGTCAATGTTTCAGAAGATAAATATATAAAGAGGTATACTTATTCACCTTTCAAAAAAAAAAATACATTCATAGACTTTTCTTTTTATATAAATATATTATATTATATTCGTATATATTGATTATATACGAACTTTTTATCTATAGACTTACAATTTAAACATATTTATAATGGTGAAATTCGTTACTCTTGTTGCTGCTCTTGCTGGCATGAGCACTGCTGCTATGGCTGCACCCACTTCAAGTGTCACAATCACAGTGAAGAATAATTGTGAATATCCAATTCAAGTAAATCAATTGACAAATAATCAAGGACCAAATGCAAACTCTGTTAGTTTAGCTGCAGGCAGCTCAACTCCAATTCATGTTCCCTCTAACTGGGGTGGCCGTATTTGGGCTAGAAAAAATTGTACTGGTCAAACCGATTGCCAACCAGGTGCTCCTGCATCCCTTGCTGAACTCCTCTTGAATGGCGCCAATAACCAAGATTATTATGATGTCTCCTTTGTAGATGGTTTTAACTTACCTATCTCCATTACTCCTAATGGTGTCTCTAGTAATGGTCATAACTGTGGCGCACCTACTTGTTCTTCTTTACCCAGTTGCCCTGCCGAACTTCAAGCTAAGGATGCTGAAGGTAATGTCATTGCTTGTAAGTCCGCCTGTACTGCCTTTGGTACCCCTGAATATTGTTGTACTGGTGAGTACGGCACTCCTGATGTCTGTAAGGCTAATAAATATTCTATTCCTGTCAAGAATGCCTGTCCTGATGTTTACACTTATGCCTATGATGATAGCACTTCCATGTATGCTTGTAGCAATAGCAAAGGTTATACTGTAACTTTCTGTCCTGCTTAAATTGGCTACCTTTTTTTTTCCCCTTTTTCTACCCCCCCTACCTTATAGATAATTGGGTGGAAAAAAAAAAAAGATCAGCCTTTTTTTTTTCTGTTTTATTTATATTTGTTTAACACAAATAAATAAATTGAATTGTAGAAAAAAAAACATCCTTTAGCGACTGTTGTATATGATAAAATGACTTATTTTTAATAACTTTATTAGTGTAATTAACCCTTCAAATATTATATAAAAGATGAAAACTAATAATAAGGTTTATTTTATGTGAAATTGGATGAGTCAGTTCTTTAATTAAGAGATATTACCCTTTTTTTTTTCTGATTTTCCAACCGAGAAAACATTAGGAGATATAAGTATATTTATGCTTAGTTTCAATATAAACTTGAAAGAGCTAGAGATATAAAGTAGGGACAAAAAAAAAAGAGTTTATTGGTTTATTTATTAAACTATATATTATTATGAGTCCCTTTTCAGAAACAAAAAAAAAAGGTGTATCCAAGTTGTTATTAGAATATATTATTCGTTACAGTGATTCATGTATTGGAACAAAATGAGAATGATTCTTTTTTTTTCTAAAGATATAAAAAAAAGAGAAAGAGAGAAATAGCAGGTGAAAAAATATTTGTATTATGTTTTAAAACAAAAAGAATGTAATATATAAACAATTTTAATGTTGAATAAAGAAAAGAAGGGAAGGAGAAAAGGGTACCTATATATATTGATATAAGAGAATAGTAGTATATATAGTTTTTCTATAAGATGGCTAAACATACAAGATAATCTATTTAAATTTATAATACTTTTTTTTTTCTATAAGCTCACAATATATGTGTATGTGTGTGTCTATCTATGTGTGTGCGGCAAACTCTTTCTGTGTAATTCTTTTAAATCTTACAGATTTTTAGGTAACTGAGCATTTGTTGGATCTGTTGTATTATTATTATTCATTTTTTCCAAATTTTTATTTCGAATATAATTTGGTAAAAAAGCAACGATGAGAACAATACCAATAATCATAAAGAGTCCGATAATTTTGAATGCAAGCGAACAATGTTTAAATCGCTTAGCCTTTTTGCTTGTTGAACCAGTAGAACTAAGACTAATGCTAGTTATTAAAGATGGCTCAGATTTATCAGCTATTATTGTTTCTTCATTACTATGTTCTCCTATTTGATAAATAACTTTTCTGGAATTGTTCATGTATAGAAAAAAATTAAAAAGTATATGTATAAATATGAAAAGGAAGAAAAAAAAAGGAACAAAAAAAAAAAAAAAGATGAAATAAAAGGCCCAATCTACTTGTAAAATTTACTATTCCCCCCCCTTTTTTTTTCCAGAATCATTGATATACATCTATATTTATATAAAGCTAATAATATGTGTTTATATATCACATTTTGTAGTATAGGAATGTATTCTATATATTAAAAACACAATCGACCGTTACAATTATAATGAGCTTTTTATGCAAAAAAAAAAAAAAAAAAAAAAAGCTTTATTAATTTAAGTCAAAAAATTGATATATGATCACAGCTTCCTTTCATCCCTCCTTAATCAGACCTTTGTTTTTTAAATTGTAAAATACTATCATAGTATTATATATGTTGTTATATCGTGATGCTTATCTGATATAAAAAACATACATATTATCTTTATATATTTATTTATATTTAAAAATAAAAGTATTGTGCATATAATATACTATTCTGAAGTAGATCGTATATGCAGGCTCACGTACATTTTTTTTTTGGGATAATCATAATAAAAAGTAGTTTTAGATAATTATTAACTTATGCTTTACTTTCCTCTAGTCAAATAATAATACTGAAAGAAATATACTAGCTATACGCTCTGAAAAAAAAATATATTAAGCACCAAATTTTGATTATTTATAATGTAAATAGATATATGTCTAGTATGGCTTTTTTTTCTTTATCTTTTACTTTCCGCTTCCCATTATTCGACTACCTACTCAAAATTCCTCTACTACTTGCGAACAGATTAAGTTTATTTTAGTCCATCATTTTCCAGGTTTAAAGATATCGTAGTCCTATAGGTTATAAATCTTTGTTGTATTAATGCAAGTTTATCTTTATATTTTCTACATTTTATCTCGTTTGTTTACATAAAATTTTTAATAAGAATCCTTTATTTTTAACTTGTTTTTCGAACTGATTTCACTAATTATAAGAAGAAGAAGAAAACACCCCTAGCACTTTATTGATTATATTAGTAGTTGTATCTTTTTTAAAAATTCCCCTTCACAAGTACAATATTCTTAACCGTCCATTGTCATCAGCTCCCCTCTTTTTTTTTTAAGATTACTCCAGCATTCCATGTGGCTTTCTCACTGTTTCTATTTTTATCTATTTTTCAAAGAGTGAGGCAGAGTTTGTGAAGAATGCTAAATGAAGAATAACAGTGTTATGATGGTAAATAAATCTTTCAAAATGATATGGGTATGGTACTGAGTGAGATATTGTTTTAGTACTGTTATTCATTCTCAAAAATATATAAAAGATTCGATTTTAATCTAATCAAATATTAAAATCAGTTTATGATTCTAAAAAAAAAAAAAAGATGTGTTCAAATATAAAATAAGACTTCAGATCATACATCGTATAAAACAGTATAAATCTCAGTCATCATAACAATGTACATTCACATATTATAAATTTACTTAAACACACACACGCCTATAATAAAGCATGTATGTTAATTCATACTTATTACTTCATCTATATATAAATATATATATATAAAAGAAGAAAAATGTATAGTTAAATATAAACATTCTTGTTTCATGATTTGTATCCTTTTAATATACATGTATATATGTATTTATTTTATTTTTATCACATCTTTCAGATATTATATATTACATCAATTACTGCAAGATAAAAGAAGCTAATCAGAGATAATAGTCGTTATAAGTAAATGTAAATAGGTCTCTGACCTATGGGAATATTGAGGGAGGCTAGAATTGGAAATCGAACGTGATATAGAAAAAGTGCTATGATGTATCACACTTTGAAAAAATAACATCAAGAAGGTTAATTAGAGCTTTTGATTGTTACCACTATACAAGACTCGTTATAAATCCTAATAAGGAATCATTTTTCTTTTTTGAAAAAAAAAAAGATATATTTTTGATTCTAATCTTCATCAATATTAACAAACTTGATTTAGTTATCTGATCATTTTAAAGTCTATGTTGTTTTAATATACAATTCAGAATGTAAATGAAAAAAAAGAAGAAAAGATCAGCTCCTTTACTACTACTAAGTTCATATAATTTGATCATAAAAGAAGGCTCCATTTCATCCTACTGAATAAAATAGGAAGAACTCCACAATGTATCAATTAAATCAAAAAAGTCTCGGACTGATACAAGTTTTACTACTGATAGGTCACAGCATTTGATATAAACTAAACATGAGACCATCTAATTCTTGGAATTCTAACTAAAATTATCAACGAATGTAGTTTTGTATTTTGTGCTTGCGCATATCTTCTATAGTTATTATTTGTTGTATGGAGTCTCTTTTTTAATAAGAAAAAAAAAAAAAAAAAAAAAAAAAAAAGGGAAATTGAATACCGCTCCTTAAAGTACTATTTACCAGCAGAATAGCCTATATGAAGTTCTCAGAATTAAAATGAATTTGCATTATTATAGATAATACATCTATTTAAGTTTTTTTTCTTTTAAAAAAAAAGAATATATATTTGTATATAAAACCATGATTGAAGGCTAAGAATATGTTTCTAGTTTATTATCGAGAATTGAATCCCGTAAAATGAGGCTTTCTATCAAATATAATCATTTTGGTTACAATGGGAGATTTAAGGATAATACAGACTCATTTCTAAATTTAGTCGAAATTGTATTAAGCTTTTAACTAATATATTTAAGAATGCTTTAGGAGGTGATGTATATTTGTATGTGTGTATATGCATGTATTCTTTTTTTTTTTTTTTTTTTTTTTTTTTTTTTTTTTTTTGATTGAAAAGCAACAACGAATCCGCTAATAAATTGAATTTCATCTTTCACTCTTCATTTTAAAATGCCGATGATTGACGCTGGAATATGTACAAAATTACACTTTTTTCTTTTTTAAGTCTTACAGATATTTATATACACCGTCTTTCTTTCTTTCTTTCTTTCTTGTTCTTCTTTTTCTTAGAATTGAATAAAGATAAGGATTGAAGAATGAAATTTTCTCATCAAATACAATTTAATGCTGTCCCAGATTGGGCCGACTATTATCTTCCGTAAGTAGATAATAGAATATCCTATTGATAGAAACATTACATAACATAACATAATAATAAAAAAAAACATTCGTATTTGCATTCTATAGTTATTCAAACCTCAAAAAGTTAATCTATTTACTTGAAAAAGAAAGAATCGCTAATAAAAATGCTTCAGTGGATGACATTGAAGGTCATCCATCAGAACATACTGCCCTCATCACAGAGAGCCCCATTGAAGTAGACAATCAGAAATTTCTTGATGCACTTAACAAGGCACTTGAGAGGATCATCAAATTTTATGCAAAAAAGGAAACTGAACTATATGATGAAATGAGTCAACTCATTGGTGACTTTGAAAACCTTGATAATTTCGATGCTTACATTGCTTCTCAATTACGTCGATCAAGCATAAATCATGACAATCCCTTGATTGAAGGAGAACATGAGGCAGAAGTAGTAGGGCAAAGAGTAAGAAGTAATACAAACCAATTGCCAAGACGAGAATCGAATGTAGATGGTGATTCTTTCTTGCCTCCTAATATTATTTCTCAGAATGTGATAGATACAGACCCAATGATGACAGACGAGACACCCTTATTGTCTACATCTGAAAGACCCGGTCTAGTGTGGCCTAGAGAGGCTATGTATGATGTAGTTGAATTAAGGAAGCGCACTGTCGATCTGTTTGTGTTATTATCCGAATTGAAATCTTTTGTGGCACTTAATCTGACCGCATTTGCAAAAATTTTAAAAAAATATGATAAAATTACAAATGGTAATTTGAAACGCTATTATATGGCCACTTATGTCACAAAGGCCTATCCATTCAAGACAGAGACAAAGACAAGGTTAAATGAAAAGATACAGCAGACAGAAAGAGCTTATGCTATTTTGGCTACAGGTAATAATTTGGATTTAGCTGTAGAGGAATTAAAGACACATTTGCGGGAGCATATTGTCTGGGAAAGAAATACGGTTTGGAGAGATCTGATAAGTCAAGAAAGAAAGACACAGACGGTTGGATTAAGTGACACAAAGCCCTCTTTTATACATACTCCTTTCGGTACTCTTCATGTCACTCGTGGACAAATTATGAATTATCTGTATATGATTGTTAGTATCATTGTGTTTGCTGTATTGCTACGAGCACATATATTTGAAAATATTGAACAAAACCGTTGTTTGGCAATTCTTGTTTTTTCTAGTATGTTATGGGCTGGAGAAGTAAGATGAATAAATAAATAAATAAATAAAAAAGGGGGGAAGAGAGAGAGAGAGAGGGGGGAGAATGCTTTTTATGATATTTACCTTTATTTATTAGGTGATGCCTTTATTTGTAACTGCTCTTCTTGTACCATTTTTGATTATTATATTACGTGTAATGCGTTCTGATGATGGACATTATAGTCGACTTGATGCTCCTGATGCCACTAAACGTGTATTTTCAGCTATGTTTTCTCCAGTTATTATGTTATTATTAGGTGGGTTTTCTATTGCAGGTGCTTTGAGTAAATTTGGCATTGCAAAATCAATGGCTACTTTTGTTTTATCAAAGGCAGGAACTCGTCCTAATTATGTTTTATTTGTAAATATGATGGTGGCTACTATTGCAAGTATGTGGATCAGTAATGTAGCTGCCCCCGTACTCTGTTTTTCCTTAATTCAGGTAAATTTTATTATATATAAAAAGGGAGAAAAGAGCAATGGGATATACTGAATTCATGTTATATAGCCAATTCTTCGTACTTTACCAGTAGATTCAAAATTTGGCCCTTGTCTTATTATGGGTATTGCACTTGCATCTAACCTTGGAGGTATGGCATCCCCTATTTCATCACCACAAAATATTATTGCTATTCAAAATATGACACCTGCACCCTCTTGGATAGAATGGTTTGTTATTTCTATTCCTTTATGTATCATTGGTAATTTGATTATATGGCTTTGGTTATTATATAACTATAATCCAGAAAAGCAGACACCACAAATACATACGATTCGTGCCAATACAGATCCTATTACAGGCACACAAATCTATGTTATCATGGTGACCCTGATTACGATCATTTTATGGTGTTTAGCCCACTCTTATGAACATATCTTTGGTGATATGGGTGTTATTGCCATCATTCCTCTTATTGCCTTCTTTGGTACAGGCTTATTGACTAAAGATGATTTTAATAACTTTTTATGGAATGTCATTATGCTTGCTATGGGTGGAATTGCTCTTGGTAAAGCAGTTGAAAGTTCAGGTTTATTAAAGACAATTGCTTCTCAGATTGAAAATATGGTTCAAGGGCTTTCTGCTTTTGAAGTTCTGTTTGTATTTAGTTGTTTAGTTCTTTTTATTGCCACTTTTATTAGTCATACTGTAGCAGCTTTAATCGTGTTACCTATCGTTGCTGAAGTAGGCTCTCAATTAGCAGATCCTCAACCGAGAATGCTAGTTATGGTAATTACACAAAGATACATTTTTTTTTAGTTTGTGTATTTATAATTATTATAGGGTACTGCTTTCGTTTGTTCCGCAGCTATGGGACTCCCTGTATCTGGTTTCCCCAATATGAATGCCATATCACAAGAAGATGAACTAGGAAAACCTTACTTGACTACAAAAGATTTCTTAGTCAATGGTGTACCTTCTAGCATATTTGCAATGCTATGTATAACTACAATTGGATATGGTTTAATGGCCTTGATTGGTTTTTAAATTTCCAAATCATATTACAACTATTTAGAATTTTTTTTTTCTTTTTTTCATTTATTCATTCATTTGTTGTTATTTATTATATATATTTATATATAAAAAAAAAAGAGTGGCTTGATAGGCAATTGTGATTGAAACACGTTTTTGATAAAATGATGGATACTATTTAATCATCACGAGTTTTATGTGGAATGTTTTAATATAAGAGAACAACACAAGTATGACATAATAATAAAGCTTGTAAATAATTGAATTATTAACATGTCTCTTGTTCATAAATAACATGATACATATTAAACTTTATATAATAAACACATGAGCATTTTTATTATTATTTACCAATCATAAGGACATAATTTACATCTATAGGAAGAGTAATAAGAAATGAGGCATTATACATATCTAAAAGGAAGATAGTTTATTTTTTATTTATTTACAAATTTATAGATGTGTATATAAAAAGAAGAAGAACAAGAAAAAGGATAAGAGAGAAAGAGAGCCAAAATAATAGTGAGTGACATGTAGGTCTTCTTTCCTCTCCTCTCTTTCTCTAGTCGAGTTTTTTTTTTATGATGGTGAAAATGACATATAATTGGTGTTATTATTTAAATTAAATATATCATTTGTATTTGCTTCTACTATCATCGTTGTCTTATTTGACGTATCTTCTTCATCAGAACAATAACAAGAAGAGGAAGAAGAAGGTAATAAACCTGTATAAGGATCATTTCCTAAAAGAAAATTGCCAGGATGTACAAGACAACCAGGACAAATACATTGCTGTCCACAATAACATGTAACAATACGAGTAGTAGTAGTAGTAGTAGTAGTACTAGTAGTTGTATTTGTTTGTTGTTTAGATGGATCAGTAAGTAGAGGAGTGATGGTGATGACAACAGACTCACCTCCATTTACACCAAGATCTTGACAGCAATTTGAAAGAGGTACAAAACTACCACAATGAGACCTTATAGGTTGTTGTTGTTGTGATAGTAGTGGTGGTGGTGGTGGTGGTGTAGTAGGAGTAGGAGTAGGAGTAGGATGAGAGACTTGAGGAAGAAGTATGTTGCTCAAGATAGTTGTAAATTCTTCTACATCATTCAATGATGAAGTGTCTGGATGATGGCTAGACAATGTTTCAAGTTGTTGAGTAAGATAATCAAATTGCAAGTCCATATTTGGATTATTAAAAGAGGGTACTTCAGGAGATAGAGTGGATGAAGGAGGTGTTGTTAAACTAGCACTACTACTACTAGTACTACTACTATTCGTATCAATCGTTAAATTAGCCATCGTCATCGGTATACCACAAGCAGCCATCATAAGAGTAGACATGGATTGTTGATGACGTTTACTATTCGATGTAGATCGACGTTTTAACCTAGGTTTACCCTCTAGAAACCTTTGAGTGGAAGAGGGTGGCTTATGAAAAGTGAACCCGAGCTGAAGGTAATCATGATGATTGAAGGTCATATCAGTCGTGTTACCAGTAAATGGGGATGATTGTGAAAATGGTACAGGATTATTAGTAGTAGATAAATTCACATCCTGATTGGCGGAAGAAGGAGGAGGAGGAGTAGACGTAGTGATCAACGCCCATGAATAAGGTCTATTTTCCTCATTTGTTGTAGGACAGAGTGGCGCTTGTTGTAATAAAGTATCTTGTGGCATTTCTAGTTGAGTACTCGTAGTAGGAGGAACAGAGCCAGACGATGATGACCTTATCATGGGAATAGCTTCCATTTCTTTAGTTGTATGAATATTTGCAGGACAAGTACATTTTGTATTATCTTGTTGAGATACGTCATTTACAAGAGTCGAAGAAGAACATGCTTGTGATAAATTATTTTTGATTAATAAAGGATATTGTGAAGAAAGACTATTTTCAATATTGCTACCTTTATATGTATAAATATACACATACACATACACATACACACACATATATTGTTATTTTATATTTACCTTTTTTATCATTGCATGCACATTTAATATGTATTTGTTTTGTTTTTCGAAGATCTCTACAGTATGCGCATTGAGTAACAGGACGACCTTTTTTACGAATTTCAAATAAAGGACGTTCGGTATGATTACAATGGGAAGAACGATGACCCTAAAAAAATATATTCATTTAGATTTAAATAATGTACTACAAGCTTTTCTTTTTCTTTTTCTTTTTCTTTACCTTAATGCAAGTGGAGCAAGCATATTTTAAGCCGTTAATGTACATTTATATATTTATAGTGAATAAGTGTGATCAATGATATAAATGAAAAAATAAATAAATAAATACTTAAATAAGATAGAGGGGAAAGATATTATATGAAAAAAAGATACAGTATAATAATAAAAAAAAAGTATCAAGCACTGCTCCGATAATTACACTTTTGGAGATGCAAAGAAATCATAACCAATATAAAAGAGAAACCTAAATGTATTTTATTTTAAAATAATTACGTATAAAATGTATTGTTTGTGTGTAATAAAATGAAATAAAATAAAATAAAAGAAGGAAAAGAAAATAATTTTTATATTTTCAATCTTGAAAAAAAAAAAAAAAAAGGAGATCAATAAACTTTGATCTCCCCTTTATTCTTTTAATATTTCCTTTAAGACTTTACAATATATAAAATAATAAAAGATTATATTTTAAACGGAGTTAACGTATCATTCTTAATCTATTAACACACTCAACAAGGAGAAGAAGGGGACTTGCTTTTATGAGGTAACAATTTTTTTTTATGTGTGGGATCGTCATCAGCTGGTTGGAATACTTTTTCTCTCATCAATCGCATTATTAGCTCAAAAAAAATTTTTTTTTCTTTCCTTCTTCCAAAGTCAAATAACTTGATCGATGATACCGCTGGACATAATAGACAAATATATTTGATAGTATTTTTATGTCAATATGCATATTCATCAATTTACTCAAATAATAATAATAAAAAAAGGACCCTTTTTTATATTTCCATAAATATTGGTGATCAGTATAAATATTACGTAATAATCTATATACATATATATACATGTATATAACAATAATGACAGTATCAAATGATATTTGCTACAAAAAATGAATATTAAATGAGTAGTAGACTTTAGCTTTTTATGGATGAAAAAAAAAAAAAAGACTATAGTTGTTGGTGGGCATTTGCAACTAAAACCGGGATAATATTGTTAATTTACGTGATTGTAATACTCGGAAAAAAAAAATACATCTAGTAGATTATTTATTATTATTATTATTATTGTTATATTTTTATATTTTTTTTTCCCGTAATTAAATATACAATATGGGTCGACTCCAGGGAAAGACAGTTTTCATGTAATTATATATACACATATATGTATAGAATAGCTTTTTGATATTATTATTTATATTCATTGAATAGTACGGGTGCTTCAGCAGGTATTGGTGAAGCAAGTGCACGTCAGTTTGCTGACGAAGGTTGCAATTTGGTAAATGACAATATATACGTAAACCATGTCTAGTGTAATAAAAGAAACTAAGATTCAATCCTTATAATAGATTATCACTGCTCGACGTGTAGAAAGACTTGAGAAACTCAAGTCAGAATTAAACAAAACTCATCCAGGAATTTATATTCATGCTGTTCAACTTGATGTTCGTAATGTACAACAAATTAATAAAGTTGTTGCTGAATTACCCGAGCAAGTAAAAAATGTCGATGTTTTATTGAATAATGCAGGTATGGTCATTGGTACCGATCCCTTAATTGATGCTGATGAAGACGTGGTCGATCAAATGCTACAAACAAATATCAAGGGTCTTGTCTTCTTGACAAAGGCCATTGTTCCTGGTATGAAAGAACGTGGTAGAGGTCATGTAATTAACATTGGTTCTATTGCTGGTAAACAAGCTTATGGAGGCGGAAGTATTTATTGCGGTAAAGTTCTCTTCTCTTTGAATGTATATATATATATACAAATATAAAAGAAGTGTATCTCTAATCCTTTTATAACTACTTAGCTACTAAATTTGCTGTAGATGCTATTACAAAGGCATTGGCTATTGAATTAGTAGATACACCTATTCGTGTTAGTCAAATTTGCCCTGGTTTAGTAAATACTGAGTTTTCTACAGTCCGTTTCCGTGGTGATAAAGAAAAAGCAGACAATGTTTATAAAGGAATACAGCCTCTTGTTGCTGATGATATTGGTAACATAAACATGATTTATATTATTATTCTTGGTATTTATGTGCCTTTTTTTTTAAACAAAAAAAAATGATATAGCTGAACTTATTGTCTTTACTGCTGGTCGTCCTGATCATGTTAATATTGCTGATATGCTTGGTAAGTTTTTTTTTTTTTTTTTTTTTTTTTTTTTTTTTTTTTTTTTTTTATCATAAATATGCAAATGTACTTAAATATTTTACATACTTTAGTTTTCCCTGTCAATCAAGCTGATTCAAAGACCGTTTATCGTCGCCCAGAATAATTAGAAAGAATAATAAATAAATAAATAAATAAATAAAAGTTAACTATTTTTATTATATTTTGGCAAAGGTATTATCTTTTTTATAAAGAAGAGCATAGCCATTTGTAAGCACAAAAACATTTCTTTCTTTAACACGAGCTTGAAAAATAATGGTATCCAAGTTAGTAGCAGAGTTATGACGGATGGTAGTAGGTACTTTCCACATCAAAATCTCTATTGTTTCACCAGGGAAAACAGGCTGAGCGAATCTAGCTTCCATAGATTTAAATCGAGTACGATCATTGTCACCAAAATACTTGATAATAGAGTGTGCACATTTACCATAGGAGCATAAACCATGTAAAATGGGTTTATGAAACCCTACAGCAGAAGCTAAATGAATATCTGCATGTAATGGATTAAAGTCACTAGTAGACGATAAAAGTGAATAGAGTAATAAAATATGTATATATGTATGTATAAGTATATATATTACCCAGATAAACGATATAAAAGAGCTTGATTAGGGGCAGTTTTAAAACTGTCAATTACATCGGGATCACGAAGAGGAGGATCATAAATAACAGGTTTAGGGCCTTTTGGTCCCTGATATATATATATATATATGTGTGTGTGTGTGTATGTGTGTAAGGTACTATTACAAGTTATTCTACTATGTTATACATACGAATCACTTACATTCCATCCACCATACCCTCTAATAAACATTTTTGAACTCATACGACAGTAATGAACATCATCTTCTTCACCATACAAATCAACTCTAGAATCAATCACCATACCTGATCCTTTATCATAGACACCAACACATTTTTTTATTAGTTTAAATCGTCCACCTTCTGTTGGAAAAGGTTGAATAACTTCAAATGATTGTTCACCATGCACAATTTTATTAAAATCATAAGGGGGTACACCAGGTAACGGGCCACCTGAGGACCATCTTTCGATAAAGGAATTAACATCCCAATCATCCGCTTTTAAGAGCAAACAGAGCGGATATGTAGGTAATGGTCCAAAGTTAATATCTATTTTTTTTTATTTTGGTATATATAATATTAGAGCCTTTCTTGTGATATATATATATATGTATATAGTTATAGTTATGGGTTATACCAAGTTCATATAACCATTGAAGGTCATTTTCAGGTACACCAACAGATAAGGCATATAATAAATAATCACGACGAGTGCAAGCCACCTAAAGAATGTTATGCATTTTTTTTTTTTTGAATTATAAACAAATATACATATATGTCTTCTTACAATATCTGGTGGGTAAGTATGTCCTACAGCTTTTGAAATATCTACTTTATATCCTTCAGGCATTTATGTAAATATAAGAAAGTAAGAGAGAGAGTGTGTGTGTGAGTGAGAAAGCAAAATTAAAGAGTAGCAAATATATACTCACATGTAAAAAGGTAAAATTACACACAACTTAAAATAGGACTATTCATTTGAAAATCCCCTCATGTTGATATGATATGGAAAGACTCATTATTTCCCACACTACATTGTGTATACATGTATAAATAAATAAATAAATAAATAGTTTTTATTATTAATATTATAGTAAGTATATTATTTGCAAACGATAGATAAATAGTAGATGATAACTTATTGAGTAAGAATAGGGATAGATCGATGGTTTAAACCAAGATGAGATATACTATGTCTCTTATTATTATTGACATTTTTACGTTTGAGTGGTGGTTTAATTAGTGGTATTGGATTTAATATAGGAGAGGAAGGTGGGGCTGCTGGAATAGTGGATGTAAGCCATTCTTCAAAATCATCATTATCGTCGCTTGATATCCCAGATTCCTTTGGTTCACATTTACTATTGTCGGCAAGTGAGGTTTGAGTAATGAATTGGAATTGATCTGTTGGTGTACTTTTTGTTGTTTCATCTTCAATCAATTCATATAATAACATGAAGGGATTTTCTTTTAAAACTTCTTCAGCATCACATAAACGAACTCGATCATCAGAAATTCTAAACCATTCAGAATCATGTGATCTCAAAAGCATCTCACCACCTTCTTCTTTTCCACATCTTTCACAATTACATTTTTCTGCAATTAGACGACGTTTATAAGCGATATAATGCCCCGAATAATGGTCTCCATAATGTATCACAGTACTCATGAGTCTATATTTCATTATTGTATTTTTTTCATCAGGGGTCGAGATAGATAAACGAGGCTGAATGTCTAAAGCATTATCTGTACAATAGCGTGATAGATCTAATATCAAAGGGAATTTAACTTGACACGTATTCTTGACCATTTCACCTGTAGGTAAAAAGACAGATCGAACAAAGTGAAGACAAAGAATTTTAGGTGGTTTAGCAAACAAAGATTGTTTACTTTTAATTCCAATCGATTTTTTGATATTCATGTTTATGCACCCCTTAAAATCATCCTCTATATTTCCGACCTTAAGTCTGTGCTCTATCTCCTTTTTTAATTGACACATCCTTTCGACTTTCTTAGGGTGATTATGTAACGAATGAATCTGTGTATTTAGTTCATGTAATGTATTGATTAAAAAACATTTACTACATTCAACATCTGTAAGATATTCCGTACTTGTTAATTGTTGAAGACAGTCATCCAATGTTGTGTTATCCTGGAAAGAAAGAAAGAAAGAAAAAAAAAAGAATTAATAAGGAGAAGAAATGATTTTAAAACAAAGAAAATATTTACAGCATTAGGGAGTGTAAGTTGAACATTATTAAATGATTGAAGTGGAATACCAGACTAAATAAACAAGTTAGTTAGTTAGTTAGTTAGTCAGTCAGTCAGTCAGTCATAGACGTGTATAAATTACCGAATATCCACATTGCATACAAGAAATTCTATAAGCTAATAAACCAGTTAACGGGTTTTCTAATAAACTTTTGTTCTGTTTAGAATTAAAAGTTAAAATATCTTTAAAGCCTTGTTGTTTAAACTTTAATTTATGATTAATTTCATTTTCTAATTCAGTGACTATCAATTGATATAATTCTTGAGCGTCTTGTTGTTCTTGATTAATAACTTGCTTATTATTTACTGATAATGCAGAAATAATCTCTGTGGGTCGAAAGACAGTATCAGAAGGTGTAGATAAAAGTCGTAACGTTTTTAGTAATGAACGTGATACAGGTAAATTATGACTTGACAAATCATTGCTTATTTGATCTAAATAAGCATGTAATTTCGGTAGAGAAGATAAAGACTATTCAATAAAGTTAAGATAATATAGATGTAATCAGCATATACATTCTCTTACCTGTAAGACAGAATTTAAAAAGCATGAATTTCCAGTATTAGTTAGACCTGCTATCATTGAACTAGAAATTTCTGGTAATAAGCATACTTGAGTATCTATAGGTTTAAGCTCGGAAGTCACAATGTCAGCGGATGGTAATGCAGATCTATTGATCGATAATGGTGTTGTTGTTGATGATGATATTAATGATGATTTCAAATATACATTCTTGATATAGGGTATTATTCTACTTGGACTGCTTTTTGATATTCCGGATGATATTAATTTATTTATATTCAGTGTTTGGTAAATAGGTATTAAAACTAGCAATGAGCCCATAAGCAATAATAGAGATTGTATAATGCTGGATATATTGATTAATAAAAACTGTGATCCTTGTAATAATAGTAATGTCATTATTAAACAAATAGATTAATGTAATGTTTGTAATTGCAAAAAAAAAACAAAACAAAAAAAACAAAAAAAAATAAAATAAAATAAAATAAAATAAAAATATTTATAAAAATATTTACAAAAATATTTACAAAAATATTTATTTTTCTTTTTAAGGACACAAGAGCAAAGCAGCAGCCGTAAAAAAAAAAAAAAAAAAATAGGCTGCGGCATTTTTTTTTTCTTTTTTTTTCTGTCTTAGCATATTTATATAATAACGTAAGTTGATTTTTAATTAATATATATCAATAGTGAATAGAATGACTGTGTGATATACAGCAGATATTTATTGAGGAAAAAACAAAACAAAGAAATACCAACTCATGCAAGAAAAGGAGAATTATAAAAAAAAAAGGACTCGCATACACTATTCGAGTGTCTTCTACATCTTCCATTATAATGGCCCCCTCCTTTTTTTATTTATTTATATGATGTATAAATATACAAAATTAATATATTTGCAGGTAAAAGCATATATACAAGTTTTCATATCTCTTAAGCTTGTTTTTATCAAGAATAAAATAGAAGCTTATTAACTTTGAATATACAAATTTAATAAGAGATAAATTCTATGCAAATGTCACATAGATTTGTCTACAAAAGAAAAGCCTTTTCCTTGTCAAGTTATGATCATCTTGGAATATCAATCCAATCACTTGTAGCACAAACGATGAAAATAAAAGCACACTACGCCTTTTTTATAATTACCCTTGCTCAACTGTATACATTTACGATGCTGAAATATTTTATTATTCTCATAATTTGTCTAGAAGATTCATGCGTTTACGACGTTAGAAGGATCTTTAAATACTAGCTTACTTTCATGTAACAGTCTATCTATTTTATTTATTCCTCTAAAATATGGTATTCATAGAATTTATATCCTTCTATTTTATGATATTGAAGCTTGATGGGCAAGGGAAGCTTAATGTTACCTTACCCTATTTGTCACAACTATCATATTGTATCTATTCTGATATTGTGACAAAATAATAGGGGATAGTTTTTAATGCATTTTATTACAAGTATTTTCACATGAAAAAGGACCTTACTGCATTAGTGACTTTAATCGAATGGAATGGGCGTGATGATGATGATGGATACCTCACATATGAAAACAGGTTTATATAGATGGATAAACTTTGTATTATTCAATCCTATTTTGTTCGTCAGTAGTCTATTTAATGCCTAAAATAATGATTGTCTTTTAAAGCCACTGTCTGTGTCATTTAGAGACATAACATGAATAAGCCTTGTGTTTATTCCCTTTCTCTGTATGGCATGTCTATTAAAGTGAAACAATAATAATCCTTTTCCTAAATTTAAATAAATATACACGTATAAAAAAAAATTAATTAAACAGTGTTGCATAAAGTCTATGTCGAATGGGGACAGCGCTGACAAAGATTGTGTAACGATAACACACACACACACTCGTTGTTAAACATGCTGCAGTAATTGAAACATATTTATGAAAAATATATTATTTCACATCAATCTGGCTTGATGGATTTAGTAAAAGAATGACAATGTAAAGAAATCTATTAAAAATAGTAATAGGCTTGATTACATAACTCTCTTTTTAATAATAATAATAAGAATTTGCTGACAGACAGAGAAAAAAAATCTTGTTTTAGACAAATAAAAAACGTTATTTTATTAATGAAAAGATTATTATAAAAGTAAGTAAGGAGAAAGGGGTATCGTTGCAAAAAAGAAAAGGAATGGTTAAATGCTTATAAATAAAAAGATAGAGGTTATTCATCATCATAAGTCCCTTAACTTTTGAATGTAATTTTTATACAAATTAGGTAACGTTTCAGAGACTTGAGAAGATATAGAAAGTGGATCTGTTTTATGTAAAATAATGTCCATATAATATTGAACAAGACTTGAGTGATATGTGTACAAATTTAAGGGCGTTCTGTCTTTTTTGTTGGTTTCTTTGCTGACTTCTTGTGGTTTAATAGTGACGCATTCATTAAGCATCAATTCTTCATTTAATTCATCATAGTTATCAAATTCATTCAATGGAATAATAGAGAAATCTTCTCCTTCTTCTTCCTTTTTAGTAGTCCTATTAGGTTGTGTTTGTGTAGTTGTCAAATAGTCATAATCTTCTTCTTCTTCAATCATAGAAGGTGTCGTTGATGGAGTCGCTAAATTAATTTCAATGGTAGGGTAATCATTGAAATAAATTTGCTTATCTTGATCTTCATCATCAGGTGTTATATCTTCTTTAAAGCATATTGTATTTAAACTATCATCATTACTCATCTCTTTTTTTTCCTTATCAGCTCCTGAAACCTGTTGAGTTAAAATAATGTCAACAACTTATGTAATCGTTCCTTTTTTTTTATTTATTCTTTCATTTCTGTACCTCTTTGGTCGTTTGTTGGTTATGATTCATAGTTAAATTTTGAAATAAAACGTCTAATTTAGGTCCTTTTGCTTCAGAGTAATAATAGTCAAAGTCATCATCCCAACGTTCATCTACCAAATCATTGTGTGACAATGTGTTTACTAAATTATTATAATTCATGTTGTGTAATGAAAGAATCAAAAAAAATAAATAAATAAAGATTAAAGTAGTTGTGTCCTTTTAAAATAATAAATCACAAAAGAAAAAGGAAAAAGTGTAATTGTAATATTAGAAAACTTGGTTTATACCATTTTATATTTATATTTATATATTTTTTTTTTTTATTTTTCATTTTTTTTTTTTTATTTTATTTTATTTTTTTTTTTTTTTGCTGAGTAAACACTGAATTAAATCACCGCTATGGCTGCATGTGCTAGATATCATTGGATAATAAATTTACTTTATGCAAACAAAAAAAGAAAAGAATTTCTATTACACTATTTCCGGAAATTATTCGTTCATAAAAAAATAAAAATTTCGTTCACAAAAGAAAAAAAAATGCATTAAAAAAAAAATAAAAAATCGTTCACAAAAAAATTAAAAAATAGTTCACAAAAAGATTTTAAAGTTGATTACTCGCAGGAAATAATCTCGTTCATTTTTTGAAAATAATTTTTTTTTAACAATGGACCAATTTATACATGAAGATGGTAAAGGAAACCTTCGCAATGAAGAAGGCGAACCAGTTGCAGTTCTTGAGATGGAAGTTGATGAATTAGAATATCCTCTTGAGGATGTTACTAATTACGACACGTACTTGGACTTGAAGCCACCTGAAAAACCTGCCAAGATTGAACAAGTGGTTACGAAGGACGAAGAAAAAAAAGATAACAATGAAAATAAAAGAACATATCGAACTTATAAGCCTGAAGTCAAAAACTACTTTTTTTACCTTATTTATGAGAAAGGGATGAGTGTACGTGCCGCTGCTGAGGAAATAAAAGTGCCTCAAAGTACGGCACAAACTTGGAAAAAGAAAGCAGAGCTTGCTGGGGATGAAGAAATGAGTCTGAGACAAACTGGAAGTGGTAGAAAAGCTGGTAGACCTCCTATTCTTACAGAGAAACATAAACAGTTTCTGATCAATTTCATTGACGAAAAGTCATCTTCTACATTGGAAGAAATGATAGAAGGTCTCACTAGTCAATTCCCCGGTATTGAAATAAAAAAATCAGCAGTTCATAACTTTGTAACCAAGAAATGCAATATCACCCTTAAACGAGCTCATTTCCACTCAATAGAAAGAAATAGTCCTGAAAAAATTGAGGAGCGGTGCCACTGGGTGAAAAAGATACTTGAAACTGATATGGATTATTTCAGCAATTGCGTTTTCATAGATGAAGCTGCGTTTCATATTAACATGAAGAGATCAGTAGCTTGGTCTAGAAAAGGAAAAAGGGCTGTAGTTGTTGTACCTAAAACTAGGGCAAAAACAACAACTATACTAGGAGCCATATGTGCACATGGCGTAATTAATATTAGAGTAAGACGACCAAAAATTCAGGCTCCAAATAAAAAAAGAAAAGCAGAGGGAAGTAAACCTGTTCCTAAACAAGCAACGAAAGGGGGCACAGTTACTGGTCATTATTTTAACTTCATTGCTAGCTGTTTGGATGTCATGGATTTACATCCAAAATTTAAGGACTATTATCTGGTAATGGATAACGCCCCCATTCATAAACACGAAGATATACAGAAGTATATTGAAGGTCGTGGATATCGTTGCATATATCTTCCTTCTTACTCACCTGAATTGAACCCTATTGAACAATTTTGGTCAGTAGTCAAAAGTAAACTTAAGCGAGAAAGGTTATTGGAGGAAGAGACAATGACATCAAGAATCCGAGATTCATGCAACAATATTTTGCTCAGTGACCTTCAAGGTTTCTGCCGCTACTCTGTTGATAAGTTTAATGATTGCTTGAATCGAAAGCCAGTTTAATATTTCGCTTATTTCGTTCATTAAAAACGAATGAATTTTAAAATCTTTTTGTGAACTATTTTTTAATTTTTTTGTGAACGAAATTTTTATTTTTTATGAACGAATAATTTCCGGAAATAGTGTATTAATTTAGCTTTGGCATGTTTTTTTAAAAAAAAAAAAAAAAAAAAAAAAAATTCTGTATCATTCTAGAAATCAAAGTTCCGCCAATTTCCTTTTTTTTTTTTTTACCCTTTTCACCCATCATTTTTGATCATTTAATTGGGCATAAAATGCTGATTAAATTAAAATTGCCCCAGTCAGATCAAAGAAATGAAATGTAAAATAAAACCTCTCTTTTTATTTTATTTTATTTTATTCAAACATGTGAACGAAGAAGAGTATATTATTTATATTATTCGTGGAAGAAAGAAAAAAAAAAGTCAAGCAAAAGTAAATCTTTATCAAGGCCGTAATGATAGTAAGGGTAAATCGTAATAGTGGAAAAAAAATAATAATCACGTGTACGAAGGATTGTCCAAGAAAGAGATAAAGTAAGAAAGAAGAGAGAAATGTTAATAATGTATCTAGAGACAGTAGGATAGTGAATAGGAGAAAACCCTTAGAATAAGTAGATTGAATGACTACTACTATTAATTGTTAGTAGATAACATACTAGATTGCGTTCAATAAATGCTGTAATGATTCAATTAGTATAGTATTAGGGTTCTTATTTTGAAATTTTTGAACTTTATTTCTATGACATACTAGATAGGACGCTCTCTAGAGAATAGATATGCTGGCTGCTATTTAATCATTTATCTAGACTACTTTTATGAATAACATATGTTGCTTCTTCCTATTCTCATTTTTTTTTATTCTAAATGTACAGGTATGTTTATTACTTACTATAATCTAATCGAGTATAATAAATTACTACTTGAACATAGTTCTTAAAAAATAAATAAATGTAGTATTAAGAGCTGTGTAATCTAATAACCAAAACCTTCCCCCCCTTCCTCATAGAACAGAACAGGTAATTTTATCCAAGGAAGATTGAATAAGAATGATTGAAACCGAGCCATCTTTCTTGAAGGATAAGACTGATAGTTTCAGCGAATATGTTATTAGTTATTTGTAAACCTTACCTTTGAAATCAAAGCTTCAATTGAAACACGCAAGGGTAAATGTAGCAAATACGAAATAATAGTAAGACACATTATATTTAAGTTATATGACCTATAAATCAATATTATCAAGTGTTATCAGCATTATAAAAAAAAATTTAAATATCTTAAGCAATTGAATATATACTAGTACCATCTCAGTTCCTAAAACTAGTCTTGATGCCGAAAGAAGAAAAGAAATAAAAAATAAAAAAAAATAAAAAAACATTCGATATATAAAATATTATTTGGAATTCCAATAGTCAAATCTATTTATTGTCAATCAGGAAATATCTTTTTATATATACAGATAGCAACAATTAATATAATACCATTTTTAAGGCTTTTATAAGCTAAATATAATAAGAATGTGTCATAATAATTTTATCTTGGAATGTCTCAAAATAATTTCACTACATCATCTAGATTTCAACCAAAAAAAAAAAAAAAAATCGTTGGTAGAAACCTATAATTGATAAACAAACTGACGATTAGGTCTTATTCTTTTGTTTAAAGAATATACTGCTAATATAATATAATCCCATGTTATATACAACTCGTAAAACATTTAACATTCAAAACCAAGTGAATGTTAAAATATTTTATATATAAATATCAATACTTTTTATTAAAATGAAAAAGAAAAATATTCATCTTTTTTTTTATTGTTATTATCTAATATATAGGCAACAGAGTTTATTCTTAAAAAATGCATTTACTTGTACAATTGAGTATTATCTCAACTGTTATTTCTTTAGTATTTGGACAATCAGTGGATGAGGGGAATGAGCCTACTCACATTATTCGGTTTAAATCGACTATATCAAAGACATCAGGTATATTTGTAATCCTTATATATATATATATATATGTGTGTGTGTGTGTGTGTATGTATTTAAAAGGAAACTAAATATACATGTTAAACTTAGTCAATAATATGATCATGGCTCATCATAGAGAATTTTTAACTTCTGTTCGAAAGATAGGAACAGAAGGCCTATTTGCTGCCACTTCTAAAAATGATATGTCTTTAAATCAAATAAATATTGGTAAAGGGTTTGTTGCTGTAGCTGGCGTCTTCTCTGATAGTGATTTCTTGGAATACTTGCATAAAAATTCAGCTATTGATTATGTTGAACAAAATCAAATTTACAAGTCCACCGCTGTACCTAATCAAGAAACTATTATTCATAGTCATCCTAATATTACTATGTTAACAAAAAGAACTATGAATCGTAGAGATTCCACTACTATTAAGTCAACCAAGTCTGCTAACTGGGGTCTTGCTCGTATTAACCAGCACTCTAAAGGTGATTTAACAAAATACACTTTTGATTCTTTAGGAGGGTAAATAAAATTTTGAAAGGAAAAAAAAAAGTTTACATTCGATTCATATTCAATTGTTATTTATTTATTTTAGTATTGGCATTGATGTTTTTATATTAGACACTGGTGTCTATCCTCAACATGAAGACTTTGAAGGCAGAGCATATCAATCTATCAATCTCGTAATGAATGAAGCTATAGATGATATTGGTGGACATGGTAAGGAATTCCTCTTTGATGAATTAACCCAAGTAATTTACTCACTCACTCACACTCTCTCTCTCTCTCTCTTTCTTTTTTTTTTTTTTTTCTAGGTACACATGTTGCAGGTAAAGTCATTGGCCGAGATTATGGCGTAGCCAAGAATGCTCAAATAAAAGCAGTCAAAATTTTAAATAAAATGGGAGATGGTTCTACTTCAGGCTTACTTAGAGGTATTGAATATGTCATTCAGAATGCTAGACCTGGAAAGAGTGTAGTCAATCTGTCTTTGAGTGGGCCCAAATCAAAGATGATTGATGATGCCTTAAACTCATTAGTACTTGAATATAATATTCCTATTTTCGTTTCTGCAGGCAATTCGGGTACAGACGCTTGTTTCTATTCTCCTTCGTCAAATCCTAATGTTTTCACAGTAGGCGCTACAGACATAAACGATATTGTCCCTCCTTTCTCTAATGTAGGTCAATGTGTCGATATCTATGCTCCTGGTGTTAACATTACTAGTAGCTATATTACCGATCGTATGGCTTTCATATCCATGGATGGTACGAGTATGGCTAGTCCTCATGTTGCGGGTGTTGCTGCCAACTTGATGAGCAAGAAGGACTACCAAAGTGCTCACGAAGTTTATTCTGATATAAAAGAATTAGCTACAAGGAATGCGCTTAGTTTTGACTATGTTAGAAGCACTAGTCCTAATAATAACTTGTTAGCTTTTAATCAAGTAACTAATTAGTTACCTTTATCTTTTTTATTATTTCTGAAATATATATATATATATATATATTTATACGTATATGAATATAAAATAAAGTATCTTACAATGCAAAATCCCTCTTCCACCATCGATTTATATATTTATTTATTTTTATTAGTAGTAATGGTTTTTAATGAATCATATACAATAATCTTTAAATTCTGTGTACAATGAGAAATTCCCAAAATAATAATAATAAAAAAGGAGCTCTACATTTCCTTCAACAAGTTTAGCAAGAAAAAAAAAAAAAGAAAAAAAAAGATAAAATATCCGAAATTAGCATGGTAAACAAGACTAAATAACCAATAAGACAGGTCTGATGACAAATGCTGCTCATTTGTAGATCTCACGGTCTTTCTATGTTTTGTAGTAATATGCCTTTTTTTTTTAATAATGAGAGAGATCCATTTCTATCTTGTATATAATGATATCTCCTATCAATTATATAAATTTCCAAATATAGGAAATTTGCTTTGAATAGTTGTAATATTTAAATTAAAATCTCGTATACATGCATAATATTCTCTCTCTCTCTTTTTTTTCTTTTCTTTTCTTTTCTTTCTTGTTTTATATAACAATCTATCTTGCTCAGTTTCGAACAATTTATAGATGGCAATAGAAGCAGAAAAAATTGCCTCTGCAAAAGAAATTGAACATGGCACTATTGATCGAAAATTAAATGCTGATGAACTTTTATTAGAGTCTCTTGGTTATAAACAAGTAAATCTTCTCTTCTCGCCCCTCCCTCACACAAAAAATATATATCAAATAATAATATTCATGAATAGGACTTGAATCGTTCAATATCGAAATTTTCAAATTTTGCTATTGCATTTTCATGCTGTTCTGTACTTTCAGGCTTAACACCTATGTGGGGTGATGCGATGACTGATGCTGGATCATTAGGAGTTATTTGGGGTTGGATCATTACCGGACTTTTTACAATGATAGTGGCTTTATCTCTTGCAGAGATTTGTAGTGCATATCCAACGACAGGTGGTCTTTATTTTTGGGTTTCACGTCTTGCCACTGCTGACTGGATGCCTTTAGCTTGTTGGGTTACTGGTTGGTGTAACTGGATTGGTCTATGTTGTATGTTGTATCTAAAGCAACACTTATTACTAAACAAATATATTATTATTATCATTATTCATCTTTCTTTTTATCCTAGTTGGTATTTCTTCTATTGACCTTGGTCTTTCACAATTTATTGCAGGTGTTGTTACAATTTGGTATGTAATACAGGTTTTATATATCTTGTGTTATTTATGATATATACACATATATATATTTTTATGTATATCTTTATGTATTAGGAATCCTGAGACACATGTGTCTGTTTATGCTCAATATGGTATCTTTGTAGGTATTCTTATTATTCATGGTATTATTAATTCTGTGGCTGTTAGTTGGAATGGTGCTATGAATCAAGGAGCTTGTAAGGATTTTTTTTTTTAAAAAAAATGTTATTTATAAATTAAATAAACATATCCCTTATTATAGTTTTTACAAATATACTTGGTATTGCATTCATTGTAATCGTTGGTCTTGCTCTTACAAAGCCTTTAGCTAGTGGTGAATTTGTTGTATGTAGTAATAATTATTATTATAATAATAATAATAAAAAGGAGGAGGGAGGAGGAGGAACTCTCGCCCACCCCACCCTTTATTTATTTATTTTTCAAGGATATAAATTTATTAAATTCATCTTATATAGTTTACACAATTCTATAATGGCTCTGGATTTAGTAGCAATGGATTCTCTTTTTTACTTGTTATACTTCAATCTCAATATACACTTTCAGGTTATGATAGTGCTGCACATATGGCAGAAGAAACTAAGGATTCACAGAGTGGCTCACCCTTTGGTATCCTCGTGTCTGTTGCTGCAAATGTTATTTCGGGTCTTGTCTTTTTGATTACGATTAGTTTGATGGTAAAAGACTTTGAAATACAAATTTTAAATGAAGATGCGATTCAACCACAAATGATTCAAGTCTTTTATGATGGTGTAGGGCCTACCTGGACCATGGTCTTCTTGATCTTAATCATGCTTAGTATTTTCTTTTGTGGATCTTCATTATTATTAGGTAGTTCACGTATGGTGTATGCCTTTGCACGTGATGGTGCGATGCCATTCTCTAGACAACTTTATAGACTCAATACGAAAACGAAGAATCCAGTGAATGCAGTTTGGTTTAATGTTCTTGTAGCGGGTATTGTAGGTATCCTCTATATGATCAACAGTACAGCCTATGAAGCCATTGTATCTGTCAATACGATTGGATCTCAAATGTCTTATCTAGTTCCCATCTTATTACGTGTTACTGCCTCACGTACCAAATTTACCCCTGGACCCTTTCAGTTGGGTCCTCGACTTGGCATTCTATTCGGTTGGATCTCCTCTGGTTGGCTTATCTTTACCTGTGCTTTATTCATCTGTCCTACAGAGGCGCCGATTAGTGCAGATAACATGAATTATGCAATCGTTCCATTTGCTGCCATCATGATTACTTCTATGACTTATTTTTATTTCTGGGGACGTAAATGGTTTACAGGGCCTGTTCGTATGATTCATGGTAAAGAAGAAATCATATTAGATGAAAATGATGAAGATTCTATTGTAGTTGAAGAAAGAAGGAGATAATGATGATATATTATTGCATACAGTAGCATAATAATAACACACCTATTATTTCTTGTTATCAAGTTGTTGTCATTTTTGTTAATGCACGAAAAAAAAAAATGACGTTAACATGATGAGATTATGGGCGAATTTTATTCTATTTTATTTTATTTTTTGCATAAATTATTTATTTTGACAATATACGGGTTCTCTTTTTTCTTTTCCTTTTCTTCTAATTACTTTATACAAGGATGTTAAGAAAGTTGCTTTATATATTCTTGTTATTTATATCATTCTTTATTACGTTCAGTCATGGTGCTGATATATTTGGTCAAATAAAGAAACATGATTCCGTTTGGGATATCCTTACAACTGATAAAAGGTTTTCACTCTTTATTAATCAGATTGAAGAAAACAAGTTGGTGGATGTCTTCAAGGATATAAATGCGAATACTTTATTTGCTCCAACTGATAAAGCCATTGAAGAAGGATTAAATGAAGGTATCTTAAAGCGCAGTAAAAAGATGACAGTTGAACAAATCTTGTATCATCTTATTCCTGTTTCAATCAAGTCCAATGAATTATGGGATGGCCGACTTTTGGAAACAAAAGCAAAAGTAGATGAAGTTCAACAGCGTTTAAGAGTGACTAAAACCAAGGATTCATTATTCGTTGGTGTAGGTGGTGATGAAGAGCAAAGTAAAATTAGTCAAGCAGACATCGAGACATCAAACGGTGTCATTCATGTGATTGACAAAGTTTTATCACTGCCTAATTATTTAGGTAAAAAAAAAAAAAAAAAAAAAAAAAAAAAAAAAAAAAAAAAAAAAAAAAAAAAAAAGATAAATTGATTACTAAATAGTGTATTTTATATCTTTTTTTTTTCCTTTTAGATGAAGTTTTGTTTCTTAATCAAGATACTAAAGATTTTTATGATAAATGTGAAAAGGTTCATCTTACAAAAGAATTAAGACACGCTGTTGGTAACACTATTTTCGTTGCAAAAGGAGACATCTTTGGTGATGAATTGAATCCATTTGAAAAGAAATATCTTTTGGATCATCCAGAAGGAAAAGAAGATTTAACTCGCTTATTAAATCATCAAATTGCTACACAAGTCTTTTTTAGTGATACGTTTAAAGAAGGAAAATCAAAGATTAAAACTGTTGAAGGCTCCGAAGACCTTGATATTCTAGTTGAGAATAAAAAAGGGGCTCCTTCAGAGATTACAGTGAATGGAGTTAAAGTAATTCAAAAAGATATCTTGGCATCTAATGGTAAAGAAACACACACACATATATAAAGGAAATAATGACTATAATTAACTCTTTTTTTCTTCTTCTTCTTTTGCTTGCTTTTAAACAGGTGTTATTCATGTCTTGGAAAAGCCTTTATTACCAAAGCATAAAGATAACTTCCTTCATTTAAGTACTCGTAAAGTATTAATTGGCATGAATTCAACTCGATTTATCAAATTATTTGATGATCAAGGTTTGGGACATTATTTGGATGATGACGACGTTGATGATGATGCAAAAATTACAATTTTAGCTCCGCCCAATGAATCTTTGGATAACAATAATGAAATGATATTAGCTACAAAATCCTGGCTTAAATATCATCTTATTCATGGTTGTTATGAGCCTTCTGATCTACAAGATGGACAATTACTGGAAACAGAATCTCATGATGATTTAGGAGATAGTCTCTATCAACGATTAGATGTTCATATTATCAAGTCAGAGCCAGGAGGAGGACAAGAATCGATTCTATTTGGTAAATCAGGTGTATTAGGCAACCCAGGTAAAATAAATAAACAAGTATATAAAAGTATAAGCATATATAAGTATAAGTATATGTATAAGAATATGTATATGTATATGTATATGTATATGTATATGTATATGTATATGTATATGTATATGTATATGTATATGTATATGTATATGAATATGTATATGAATATGTATATATATCTATATATGTCTACATATAAGTATATCTATATATATCTACATATATACATCTATACATATCTATATATCTTTATATCTTTATATCTATATACATATTCATATTCATATTCATATATATTTATACTTGTTAATACTTTATTTGTATATATTCTTATAATAATCTCTTTCTAGTTTCTGTAAATGATAAAAGATTAATTTATCCTATTGCAAGACCTCTTACATTACCTCGAGATCCACTTAGTCGTCTTCCTGTCAATTTAGAATTAACTACTTTTGTGGCTAGTTTGTATGCATCTGGTTCCGATAAGAATATTACTAAAGCCCGCGGTGTCACTTTATTCGCACCCAGCAATGATGCATTTAGTCGTTTAGGTCTTTTATCAAAGTTCCTTTTACAACCAGAATCTAAAGATAAACTTGCTCAAGTCGTTACTTATCATGCTGTTCAAGGTCTCTTTTATGAAAACTCTACAACAGAAGGTGAACATCATGAAAGGACCTTGTCCTCCGATAAAATTACTTTAAATAAAACTCAGGATGGATTCTTTGTTCGTGGTTATGGTGCGTTAGATGGCAGTGATCGTGATGTGATTGCTAAAGTCATTGATCGAGATATTCTGATATCAAATGGTGTCCTTCATACTATTGATCGTGTTCAAATCCCAAGTTCACTTGAAGTAACCAATCGTAATTTGTTGACAGCAGATAACACAAATAGTTTCCTTTCTCTCTTGGAACGTACTGAATTTGCTAAGGATGTCTTGGATGATTTGAATTCAGATAGACCCTATACTATCTTGGCACCTAGTGATCGAGCATTTGCTAAGCTTAATTTAAGTAACTTGAAGGATAAACCTGACCAGTTAGAAATGATTGCAAAATTACATATCTTACCTGTTCCTTTACCTCGTCTTGCTAATGAAGAAGAATCAAAGAAACCTTGGATGATGATGAAAGACGAAAAGAAGGGTAGATGGCAAGATGATGAACCTAAAGATATTTCTTATATTGGTACTGATTTCCCTACTTTACTTTCACATGATGATTATGTTGTGATTACGAAGAATATAGGAGGTGGTTTTACGGTTAGAGTCAAAGGTACAGCAGAAGAAAGTGCAGATGTGATTCAAGTAGGTCGATCAAGTGCACGCGGTGGTGTCATTGAAATTGATCGTGTCTTGATTCCTAAGAATGCTGACCTTCCTTATCATCTCTCTTGGTGGGCTATTGCTTTAATTGTTCTTGGTGTCTTATTAGGTATTGCTCTTTTAGCTGTTGCCGCTTATCTCGGTTGGAGATGGTATCAAACACGTCGCCAAGGCCGTATTGCATTGGATCAAGAAGAAGAACATTAAATATATATATATATATATATGTGTATATATATGTATATGCATATAAAAATATGAATATGTATATGAATAAATAAATAAAAAAAATTAAGCATTCTATGGATTCAACCCATATTTAGTATCAAGTTTATTATATATAAATATATGTAGTATCATAATGAAAAACATAAAGGCTATTATTATTATTGATTATGCATTATATACGTGTTAAAGAAAAAATTATTATTATTTGATCCTAATTCTATTTTTTATTTTTTTATTATGAAATAGAATGGATAAATAAATAAAAAATAAATCTTTACAAGTTGATAGTATTTAACATAAAGAAGAAATAATTTGAAGTAGTGAATCATAACTTGATTTGATGAATAATAAGGAAAAGCTTCTTCTTTTTCTTTTTCTTTTTTGTTTTTGTTTTGTATAAAAGAAGTTTCAGTTCAAACGTCTTATATTAAAATTCAGCAGACAATAAAAATTATTATAAAACAAGATATTTCTTTCATTTATTCTATTTTGTTTTATTTTCTTTTAATTCTCGGTATTATTACTATAAAATGGGTCTCTCTGATGAAGTTAAATCAATGAATTTTTCACTTTATGGTCAATGGTAAAAAAAAAAGCAGATAAATATGGACCTAGATTTGGAAAACTAATCATAATGATATAAATAATATTTATTAAGGCTTGGTGTCGTTTCCATTATTTGTAAAACCTTTTTTTTTTCTCATTCTATATAAAAGAAAAAAAAACTGATTTTATATATTTGTATTTTAGTACTAATTATACTTGGTATTGTTGGATTTTTGGGACATGTTGTATTTAGTATTATTGGATGGTAAATCATAAAATACATTGGTATTATACCTAATTGTATATACATAGATTAAGTTTTTTACATTTATTAGGATTATCGCTGTCATTTTAATATTTATTGAAATACCACTTTTGACAAGATGCTGTCCTACTGGTCCTAAATTGTAAAATTCATCATGTTTGTTATCATTAATAGACATTGATATTTAATGTTATTTATAATAATAATAGTGATTCATTCATTGCATACTTTGAAAATGCTTGGTTCCGTGCCATCTTATACCTTATGTAAGTCATATCATCCTGTTACTGCTAATATAAATGTATCGTGCTTCTTAACAATTATTCTAGTTTTGCTATTGTCATGTTCCTTTCAAGACTTATTCATACTAGTAGCTTAATTGCTTGTGGTGTCTTACTTCTTCTCGCTGCTCTTTCTTATGGTAAAACTTTATTATTATTATTATTATAACTTAACATAGAATGTGGTGTTATATATATGTATATATTTTACTCTTCTTGTTTATAATATAGCTGGTGCTGCAATTAAGGGTCAACCATTTGCTAGTTCAAGGTAAACTTTTATTCATTCCCCACCTTTTTTTTTTTTTAATTGTACGACATCATGTGTTAATATATATTTCATATTTATTATTAGTGTATTTGGTGGTACTGGTGTAGATAATGTAGTTTGAATAATAAGAATATAAATGTCCTACTAGATTTATAATCAAACATTAATAAAAAAAAAAAAAAAAAAGTCCCGCAGAAAAAGCTTATTACGGCTGATGATGTCAGCAATGACAAAAAAAATCAATAAATAGTTCATAATAGCAGTCCCCATTTTTTTTTTTTTTAATTGTACGACATCATGTGTTAATATATATTTCATATTTATTATTAGTGTATTTGGTGGTACTGGTGTAGATAATGTAGTTTGAATAATAAGAATATAAATGTCCTACTAGATTTATAATCAAACATTAATAAAAAAAAAAAAAAAAAAGTCCCGCAGAAAAAGCTTATTACGGCTGATGATGTCAGCAATGACAAAAAAAATCAATAAATAGTTCATAATAGCAGTCCCCATTTTTTTTTTTTTTTAATTGTACGACATCATGTGTTAATATATATTTCATATTTATTATTAGTGTATTTGGTGGTACTGGTGTAGATAATGTAGTTTGAATAATAAGAATATAAATGTCCTACTAGATTTATAATCAAACATTAATAAAAAAAAAAAAAAAAAGTCCCGCAGAAAAAGCTTATTACGGCTGATGATGTCAGCAATGACAAAAAAAATCAATAAATAGTTCATAATAGCAGTCCCCATTTTTTTTTTTTTTTAATTGTACGACATCATGTGTTAATATATATTTCATATTTATTATTAGTGTATTTGGTGGTACTGGTGTAGATAATGTAGTTTGAATAATAAGAATATAAATGTCCTACTAGATTTATAATCAAACATTAATAAAAAAAAAAAAAAAAAGTCCCGCAGAAAAAGCTTATTACGGCTGATGATGTCAGCAATGACAAAAAAAATCAATAAATAGTTCATAATAGCAGTCCCCATTTTTTTTTTTTTTAATTGTACGACATCATGTGTTAATATATATTTCATATTTATTATTAGTGTATTTGGTGGTACTGGTGTAGATAATGTAGTTTGAATAATAAGAATATAAATGTCCTACTAGATTTATAATCAAACATTAATAAAAAAAAAAAAAAAAAGTCCCGCAGAAAAAGCTTATTACGGCTGATGATGTCAGCAATGACAAAAAAAATCAATAAATAGTTCATAATAGCAGTCCCCATTTTTTTTTTTTTTAATTGTACGACATCATGTGTTAATATATATTTCATATTTATTATTAGTGTATTTGGTGGTACTGGTGTAGATAATGTAGTTTGAATAATAAGAATATAAATGTCCTACTAGATTTATAATCAAACATTAATAAAAAAAAAAAAAAAAGTCCCGCAGAAAAAGCTTATTACGGCTGATGATGTCAGCAATGACAAAAAAAATCAATAAATAGTTCATAATAGCAGTCCCCATTTTTTTTTTTTTTTAAAGCAGCAGCATAAATAAGTTTAATTCTTTTTATTTATTTATCATCATCTTTATGCTCTTTTTGTTATCAAAAGGATTTTTATATCGAAAACTTCATCTTCATTTTTTAATACATTATCAACAACAAAGACTTTTATATTTAAACAAACTATGTCTATTGCTACTACTACTACTGACAAGTCTTCTAATGAACAACCTGCTATTCTCAAGTGGGCTTCTAAAGATGGTGAATTTAGACGTCAGCAATCTATTTTCCGTGATATAATTGAAGATAATCCAAATGCAAAGTTTGCTGCTGAACGGTAAGTGATATTATATATTATACATAAGGGTCGTGTATTTATATATATATATATATATATATATATATTGATGAATTAGTGATCGTTATCATCTTTACATTTCATGGGCTTGTCCTTGGGTAAAATAAAATATGGACCCTACATCTTTTGTTTAATTTTAAATTTTAATTAAACTTATGATATAGGCTCATCGTACAGCTATTGTTCGTAACTTGAAAGGTCTAGACAGCTTCATTGGTCTCTCTGTCGTTGATTTCTTAATGTTAGATCAAGGATGGAAGTTTTCAACAGCTGAAGAATGTCCTGGTGCTATCCCAGATACGATCAACAATGCTTCTTATCTTCGAGATCTCTATTTGATGGTTAATCCCAACTATCAAGGTCGATTCACTGTCCCCGTCTTGTGGGATAAAAAGCTTAAAACAATCGTTAATAACGAAAGTTCGGAAATTATTCGTATCTTTAATACTGCCTTTAATCGCTTTTTAAGTAAAGAAAAGGCAGAATTGAATTATTATCCCGAACATCTTCAAAAAGAAATTGATGAAAATAATGAATGGATTTACGATACCATTAATAATGGTGTTTATAAGTCTGGGTTTGCTACTACTCAAGATGCTTGTAAGAAAGAAAGAAAGGGGGAGGGCGATGTTATGTAATCATTTAACTTGTTTCTCATAGATGAAAATCATGTATATCCTTTATTTAAATCTTTGGATCGTGTTGAGAAAATGCTCGAGGGAAAGAAATATTTAGTTCAGGATACATTTACTGAAGCAGATATTCGTTTATTTACAACTATTGTCAGGTATTTATTTTTATTTTTATTTTACCTCGTGTCTATTTATTTATTTGTTTAATAGATTTGATCCTGTTTATTTTGGACACTTCAAGTGTAATTTGGGCTCAATTGAACATAATTATCCCAATATTTTGAAATGGACACGTCGAATCTATCAAAAGCCAGGAGGTAAGCGAAGACTTCGTTTTCTTTCTTTTTATCTGGTTTTATTACATACTCACTTTTTTATTTTTATTATAGTCAAAGAAACTGTTCATATGGATCACATCAAGAAACATTATTATATGTCACATAGACATATTAATCCTACTCAAGTTGTTCCTGTAAATAATGGTCCTGACCTTGATATTCCCGTTGAACCATAATTTTTTTTTTTATTTTTTTTATTTTTTTTTTCTGTTACAAAACTCCTTATTTGATAAATGTATAAAAATAAATAAATAAATAATAGTTTTTTTTTCTGTGCTACTTGTTTATATGTAAAATTGACCGTTTTAAAATAAAATAAACAAGTTCATGTAAATGGGTTTATTTATTTACACGCCTTCCATTTGACCCTCTAATTCATCCATTTCAGCCTTAGCAGCTTGATATTTGGCTTCCAATTCAGCATTTTTCTTATTCCAGACAGCAATTTCTTGTTCTAATTTGATAGCCTTCTTACTTAATTGTTCAGCACGTAAATCTGCTTCACGATAGCTATATAATACCAAAATAGTGTTATTTTCTTCTTCCCCATATACATTTTTTTTTTCGTAACTTACTCAGAAGTAGCTTGTTTCAAATTGGCTTCAGCAGTTTCAAGCGAATCCTCTAAATCTTTAGCACGATTTTGAAGGTTATTCAACTTGCTATCTTTTTGTTCATGCTCAGCTTCGAGTTGCTTTGCCTTTTGTTCCATTTCTTCAGCACGTCTAGTGGCAGTATCAACTTCGGCACGAAGAGTAGCGAGTTTCTATATTCATTATTATAATTAATTTTTAGAATTCCATAAAATATCTCTCTCTCTTCTTTTTTTTTTTTTTCCTTACCTCCTTAAACTTTTCCATAATACTTTTTGATAAAGAAAGGGGAAATAAATAAATAAATAAATAAATAAATAAAAAGAAAAAAAAAGGCTATTAAATAAATAAATAATAAAAAAAAAAGTGGGGCCTGAAAATGTAATGTGATTATTTTTCCTTAATTTTTATTTTGTTTAATTGGTTGATAATAAATTTTAATAAATGAGATACATTTATTAGCCATCAGAATAATCATGTATTGCTGCACTTTTATGATAAGTTTTTTTGCAGTCTTTCCGTTTATTACATAAGCAATTATTTATTTATTTACAAGGTGATTACTTTCTTCTTCTCCCCCTGAATGTTAGCACATATCATCTGTCAAATAATGTTATTTATCCAAGGGATATATGTGATTCAATTAATATTGTAGATATACAAAGGAGCTTATGAATGTCATCAAGTGCTTCTTTGATCTACTTTATTTAATATGTATAAATAAAGAGATATTAATTTACTGTTGTCTATTTTATATGTACATCTTCTCCTTTTTAAGTATGCTTTCTTTATTATATATAGGCTGCTTATATATTTACTTCTTTATCCTAATCATGGCTGTTATTCAACTTGGTACAACGACAAAGACATCCACCTTTATCATCTTAATTAGTTTGCTTTCTGTCACTCTTCTTTTAACGTTCCTTATCGTTTATAAAAAACGTCATTTGTTTGGATTACAACGAGATAATCAGCTTTGGAACTTTATCATCATTGACAGTCCAGAACATATGTCTCGATTAAAAGAAAAGACTTCCAGCTTTCTATCATTTACCACTCGTCAACGTCAGAAGAATTCACTTTGCAGTATGACATCTACTTTAAATCATGATGAGGTTATCATGAAATACAGCTCTTTAATATCATTATCTTCTTCTTCTTCTGTGATCTCTTTACCACCGCCTACCTATCATCATCACTATTATTATTCAACAAGCAATCTAAATCGCTCATTTTCTTCTTTATCTTCCTTTTAAATCTAATTATTGTAAGACTAAAATAAAATAAAGAAAATACCAGGTAATCACTTATTATCGTAGTTATCTTTATCCTCCTAGAGAATGTTATGCTGCTTGTAGTCAATCATTTTTTGTTTTTGACAACAATTGTTGTAAATTGATATTTATAATCCATTTTCATTTTGTTTACTTGCTTATTTTTTTTTTTTTTGATCATCATCATCATCATCATCATCATTATTATTATTATGGATCAATTCAATAAAGAAGAAGAGGTAAACTTGATACAACTTGATGATGAAGCTGTTGTCATTCAAAAGCCTGTTACAACTATTTATGTCACTTTAAAGCAATTAATAAGTGGTGATCTAGACTCTTTACAATCATCCCCAAGAACATTAACAGATGTCATGCAATATATTGACAAATGTAACGAAAGACATAATTTACTCATGTCACAAATAACTGCTACAAGAATCAATTGTCATCGTATATTTTACTCTTAATAATAATAAACTCCCATTTTTTTTCCTTTTATTTTATAATTCATTGCCAATTGTAACCCAATAATCTCGTAAATTGTTCTTTCTACCAAAGATTTCCAAATATTTTCCATTAGGTACTAATTCTTCGATTAATTCATATAATTCTTCTGGTTTCTGACTTTGTCCTCGTCTTTCTGAAAAGATGACATCGGATCCAACAGAGTGACGACAATTAGGTGGGTCATCACCTTTTTTACCTACAAGACATGTTTCTTTTGCATGTTGAAGATAATATCCATGTCCCTTTGCCATACGACGATTCACTGTTTGTTTAACCCAAGTAATATCGTCCACATAGGTGTATCCCCATTTCTCCATTAATTCAAAAGCCTTTGCATATTTGTTGTTAATGACCCAGATGAAGAGGAAGCCATTCTTTTGGAGTTTGGGTATAGGAATATCTTCAATACAAATATCAGGTAATTGTTGATATGCAATAGCAACCTATGTATCAGAATCATTTAGTATGTATGTATACATAAATATTTATTTTATCAAACAAGAACTATAAAAAAAAATAAACTTTACACCTCGAGTAGGTGCATGAGTTGCAAGTTGCCATGGTGGATCAGTTACAATGACATCAAATTGTACTTCTTTTGCTAAAGACTATAATAGAATAATAAGATTAATAAATAATATTATTCAAACGTCATTTACTTTACATCCCAATCAAATGTCATGACATTAGCTTTAATAGGTATACACCATTCAGGTGCTTCAAATTCTTCCAAATCTATATTTTTTTTTTAAAATAAATGAGTCTCATTTTATATATCTAAAAAAAATATATATATATTTTGGTTTGATTACCTTGCTCTTCTACTTCCTCTTCAACTTTAGTACCCAAACGCTCTTCTAATTGTTGAATTTCAGCTTGAATAGCATCGATTTGAAGTTGTAGATCGATCTCTCTTCTTAGTAGAGCTCGAAGATCTTTATCAGTGACAGTGTCTTCATGAAGTTCATCTACACCTGAGCTACTCAAAGGTGTTGATTCTCTTGAAGACATTGTTTATACTGTTCAAGAATGGGGGAAAAAAAATTTTTTTTTTAATATTGTTTTGTTCACAAAAAAAAAAAAAGGCGCGTTTCTAATGATACGCGTTCATAGAACCCGTTTAAAAAAAAAACAAAAAAAAAAAAATAAAAAATAAATTCCCCGACATAAAGATATATTTATATGCTTATATGCATATAATTGGACCATAAATTAGCCCAATCAATCTGTCTAAAGTTATACACGAGGAAGAAGAAATATTCGAAAATATTACCCTGTTCATGTTATTCCATTTTTTCTATTTAATGAATTTAATTGCAGCAGCATTATTTCTTCTTCTTTTCTATTATTCATGTTATGTCCTTTAATAATAAAGAAGAAGAAGAAGAAGACGAACGACGACAACAAGAGATGGTGATGAATATTGCACAGTTTCCTATTCAAGCATTAATAAGAATAGTTGCTAGTTTAGTTGAGTCGATGATAGAAGCTAATCAAGATATAAAAGATACCCAAATCACCTATTTTCATTCAAGAACGATACCCACTATTTCAATTTTATCCTATCTTGATCGAATCTACAAATTTACACCTTTCACAAATGAAGTGTTATTATCTACACTTATTTATTTTGACCGTATATCCAATGGGATTACGATTAACTCATATAATATACATCGATTACTTGTTACAAGGTAGTTACTAAATTGAATGATAATAATAATAATAATAAGACTTATCAAATTTCTATGCTAGTATTACTGTTGCTTCTAAATGTACTTCGGATATTTACTATACAAATAGTAGATATGCTAAAGTAGGGGGACTGTCTCTTTATGAGTTAAATCAATTAGAATTAGAATTGCTCTTTTTAATTGATTTTCAATTACATATCAACCTGGAAACTCTTCAACTCTATGCAAATCAATTATTATCACATGCAACTAGTGTGATGTCTATTGATCCTATTGTTAATCATTCTAAACATAACATTCTATATCAACATGCAACGAATACGCTTATATCCTCGGCCAATCACAATCATGTTGATTTACCATTAACGCCTCCTTATCATCCATCTATTACAGAAAAGGGTAAAACAACAACAACATCATCATTACTTTTCTGTAATAATAAACATTTGATGGTAAAGAAGAAGAACAAGAATCAAGTCTATTCAATTCATCAAAGGACTACGACTACTGCAAAGAAGAAAAGGCAATTATTGCTATTACAACAATCAGGCTTAATTTCTCCTAAAGAACTGTAACTGTAACTGTAACTGTAACTGTAACTGTAACTGTAAATGTAAATGTAAATGTAAATGTAAATACAAATATAAATGTAAATATAAATAAATTTTGTCTTTTCTTTTCTCTCCTTTATTTATTATTGTGCTCCTAAGATCTTCTAATGATGTTAATTGAATGTCTCCTTTTCTTTAATATATATATTTATATATATATGTGTGTATATGTATATGTGTATATGTATATGTATATGTATATGTATATGTATATGTATATGTATATGTATATGTATATGTATATGTATATGTATATGTATATGTATATGTATATGTATATGTATATGTATATGTATATGTATATGTATATGTATATGTATATGTATATGTATATGTATATGTATATGTATATGTATATGTATATGTATATGTATATGTATATGTATATGTATATGTATATGTATATGTATATGTATATGTATATGTATATGTATATGTATATGTATATGTATATACATACATACATACATACATACACACACATACATACATACACACACATACACATACACATACACACACATGCATGTATTGTATCGTATTGTGTTGTATTTAATAATAATGCTTTTCATTTGAGTGGTTATTAATAATAGTATTAGGTTTGTTAGTAAACATAGGAGTTGTATAGTGTTGAGTTGGTAAGCCTTCATGTGTAGAGTAAAGTTGTGGTAGTGTAGGCTGTGGGTGGTGGTAGTGATGATGATTAAGTGAGAATTGCTGCTGTCGATGTAATCGATAAGGCTGATGATAGTGTGTCAAATCAAATGGGTCATAATCATAGTGTTGATATCCTTCTTTTCTTTCCTTTTGAGGTCTTGATGATATGGGATGTATACGAGGAGAAGATTTTGATGATTTATTAGAATAGATTCGAAGAATGATTACATAACATGTAGCTGCAAATAACCAAGTAAAGACAGAAGCAATTGTAAGCCAAATAGCATTTCCTGCATAACCATTCCAATAGATACTTGCTCTTGTCATTGCTTTTGCACTCGAAATGACGATGATGAGGGATAAAATCAAGACGATGAGCATGATGATAACGTTCAGTACACTCATGATAGTCAGAAAGACGATAATAGAATAATAATAATAACTTTTACAACAATGCAATAATGTTGTTAACCAAAGTAAGAAACTTGAAATAAAACTAATAGCACAAAGAATAAAGAATGCTAAAAATAGTTGATTGACATGCTTACTAGATGCATAAGTGGGTAACATTTGATTAAAACCTGGTGTTCTTGCCCAGTTATAAGCTGCAATTGGAGCACTACAATTTTGAATGGGGGCATCAAAATGGCCTTGACAGTATGACCTTGTGCATAATAAAATAGTGAGCTTAATGACCTATTTCTCTCTCTCTCTTTTCTTTTTCTTTTCCTTTTTTTTTACCATAAGCTAAAGCTATAGGATAAATCATATCGAGGATTATTTGCTTTGAGAAAATAAATCAAATTTATAAATGGTTTATTTGATAATTGACCTATTATCACGAACAATTCAAGTATAAAAGATGAAAATATAAAAAAAGATCCTGCTATTTTCAGTTTTGTTCGCTGTTTTATCATTAAAAAAAAATAAGATAAAGAAAAAAAAAAAGGCTGCTATTTCTTTTTTTTTTTCTCTCTACAAATAATACATATATGAAACAGCAAGCTTCTTTTTCATTGCTTACATTTCACTTGTAAAAGGCGACGCGCTTTCAGATGAATTATATAATATTTATCTATAAGGATTCGAAGCTGGTAGCAAAATAATATTACAATTAGGAACTTACTTTTTTTCTATTTCTTTTCTTCAAATGTAAACCATTTTCCAACATATTTATTAATGTTAAAATGCTCTTTTTTTTGTTTGTGACATAGCTGATTTTTGTTGGAAATTAAAAAAATAAAAAAAAAAAAGTTCAACTCGAAAACTATATTCAGTTGCAACCTGGGTGCTCTCTATTGTTTACAAAAAAAAAGCTAACAACATCATTAAAGTGGAACTAGAATGATATGTTACTAACGTTGAATCATTCTATTTTCATGATTTGACAAGAAATAAGAAGAATAGCTTTGTTAGAATTCAGCCTTTTATGGTTATAAAACACACTTGAGAAATATGAAAAAAAAAATGGAAGAAGTGTGAGTACAAAAATTTCATGTGCTCTTGCAAAGTTCTGTCAAATAGAGTTATTTTTAAAGGTAACATTAGGATAAAGGCAATTTTTATTGCACGTTACTATTACTTTACGTGGGATTTTTTTTTCCTTTTAACCAATTAAAAAAAATAACCTTTGAAATACGACTCTTGTTAATAGCTAGTAACAGTATTTCTTGAGTACAAGCTATTTTTCTCGCATGAAGAGAAAAAAAAAATGAGCATTAGAAAACACGTTCAAACCTAAGCGTGTTTTAGTGTCACGATCTGATATTAAATAAATTTTTTTTTTTTTTTTTTTACATTGAATACAATTTTTGAAACTCATTTGTCTGGGTTAGATCAAAAAAAGGAAAAAACTCCTTTTTGATAGTTAAAAGGAAAAAAAAAATACAGATGTTGCCAAGATAAGGGGGAAAGGTAAAAGGCTTTAGAAAGAATGTTACTATGATGAAAATTGTTATGATTGTAGTTGTTGTCTTTATAATCAAGTTAGTAAAAATAAATCAGTGCTTATTACATAATAAAGAAATTATTCAAATAAAACTAGTATATTGTAATATTCATTTTACATTTAGTCATTGTTAAAGTATTAATAATAGTAAAGATTCAATCATATCATGATGATGAATAGTATTATAGAACAATATATCATGTGAATAATTAGTAGTGTTATTATTCTTTTGATATTATAAAGAAACCACCTTTTTTTTTCTGGAATAGTTGCTTTAAATAAACCCAAGACTGTTATTAACAGACTAATTAAAAAAAAAATTATCTTCAAAATTATGTATGAGAATATGTAAAATTCTTGCATAATTCTATTAGATCAGTACATAGTTGCCAGCATATACGGCACAGTTCAATGATTAGCATGACACAAGGTTGTCGATTGATTACATACATAATTTAAGCATATTACATTAATTAATTAAATAATCTTTACCAAAAAGTTGTGCTTTCATAGCCCTACTAGTAATTTAATCTGCAGTCTGGGCTGACATGATCTAAACAAATCTGAATGTTTATAATTTCAATGAAAAAAAAAAAGTAATAAGGATCATGATCTGCGACTTCTATTTCATGTTGACTACTAATATAACACACAGCCTGTCATGAAGGTAATATACATAAATGTAAAGTATTATGAAGTCATTTTTATAATATCCAAGTGTACACATAGTAGCTCATTTATTGGGTCTTAGTCATCATATTCATGTATACAATACAAATTTCCTTATTTTATGGAGACAAGTTATTCATTTCAAGCACCATTTACTTCCTATTCGGACTTTAGAATTATGAAATCAAGGGGTTCTAAATTCTATTTTTTTTTTTTATTTATTTCTGTTTTTTATTTTTAAGAGTCTGCGTTGCATTGCAGCTGATTGCTCCATTATTGTTAAGAGCACCAAGTTATATAACTTTTCATGCCTGTCATAAGACATATAACAAAATAAATGATAGTATGATGTATAGCAATACATTTCCTTTTATCTTATACAAATAAGCACTTTTGTTTCGCTAAAGACTTGAGGAATGAATAGCAGTGACCAATCAGCTTTGTTTTTATAATGAATATGCCCTATGCCTCGATCGAGAAGAATTTTGCCATATAAATATATATAAAAGTTAAATTTAATAATGAATTTCCTACACTTAGTAGAGACAGTAAAAAAAAAAATGAATGAAAAGGTATAGTATCATTACCTCATCAAAGAATTAGGATGCATCTATTTATTGACCGAGACCCATTCAGATTTGAAGACTTTGAATATAGGTTACTCAAATAATTAAGGTAGGTATAAATAGAAGATAGGTTTAAACACATCTATTTTCAATCCTCTTGATAACATTCACTTTCATCCTTTTTTTTTTCCTCCATAAGAAGAAAAATAGTCTGCACTGATTGAACACTGTTAGAGCTATCTTTGTTCATAACTGCAAGCTTTGAAGGTCAAAGAAGAACAATAATTGTATTTCAAAGGCCGCAAATGATACAGCTAATAATAATAAAGCCGTAAGATGAAAGGTAGAAAACCAGTAGAGTTGATAATAATAATAATAAAATAGAACCCTTTTTTATTTTATTTTATTTTTCCCTTTCTTTTCTTCCTTCATATTTATCATGAATTATCAATTTATACCCTCTTCACCCTCTTCTTCGGTATCAAGTCAGGATGCAAATCAATCACCTCGCACTTCCTTTTCTTCTTCTTGTAGCCATTATAAAAGATATTCTGAACCTCAAGTTGCTGTAACAACAATAAGACGTTGGGATGATTCTCAGTTAGAAATGGAACTAGCGGAAGATAATATTATCATCAACAAGACATCACATCAACGTACTACTTCACTTTGCTTTAATAAAAAGAAGAAAACATTCTATTCTCAACAAAATATTCCATTATTTAAAAAGATACGCAACTGGTTATTTTAAGGAAAAAAAAAAAAAAAAAAACTAATGTCTTTCTTTTTGTAAATTGCATGCAATATTTTTTTTATTATTTTATTTTTGTACACAAATAAATATTATAAACTATTTTTGGAATAAATTTGGGACAGAAAAGAGTGAGATAAGTTTGAGAAAAAAAAAAGATTCTACCACCAAAATATCATCAAGGATGATTTTTAACTTGTTGCTTTTCCTTGAACTAATCTAGTATAGACACATCATAAAAGAAGCAAAAATGCTTTATTATTGATCATGACTCAAAATAATAAGTTTAAACAACAGGTAAAATCGTCCTTTATTAAAATGGCTTGTCGATTCAAATGATTTTTAATGTATCATTGCTAACGAATAATAATAATAAAATAGCATGCTTGAAAGGTCTTTTTTTCTTTTTTTTTTTTTAAGTGTACCTTATTTCTTTTTTCTATTAATTATCAACAGTCTACCATGTTTAAACAAATATGTCAAACTTTTTATAATAATTCACAAAATAGATCATGTTCGTTATTAAGGAATGTATTATCTTTGACACTGTTGTTTGGCAATAACGATCAATACACTGTTTGCAGTACAAACCTGTATATACAAAGGAAAAAGGATGTAGTCTAGTTCTATATCTGTTATCAAACTATGTTATATTTGTCATTTTTATTTCTCTTTTTGATGCTTATAACAAAAAAGATATTTCTGTGTCTCTCTTCTAAGAGAAAAGGGGGTAGTGACCAACAACAACACAAGGCCGCCTAGTTGACGCAAAAGGGCAAACTGGTACATTCACGGTAAATTATAATCTTTTGTATTTTCAATTCTCTCATTATATGCAAGTATATTACACATGCATATATCTTATTATTGTTCTTGTATGAATGAATTCTTTTATGCATGCTCTTCTTTGCCCTGCTTGCAATTTATACATGTGTATTTATAAAAAAAAAAAAGCAAGTTTATTTATGATTATGACATTATTTGCGGTCTTCCTATTATTTAAATCCATATTAATAATTATTCATGTATATACACTATTATCATTCATACTACTTTACCACCATAATAATATGATATCCGAATTGTGTCTTTACTGGAGGATCAGTGATGATTGGCTTATCACAAGTACTAGGTTGTAAAGCAAAAGCTATGTAATATAATATAAATAGACTTGTGATTGGAGGGGAGGGGCTTTTTCATTATAAGATAGTATTTTACCTGCATCTTGAAATGCACCAACCATACTTCCACGGTTCATCCAACCAAGAGAGCCTATCCAATATACGTCAATATGCATGTAATATTCATTTTACTCGACATGTAAATCTACCTCCTGCTTTAGCTTTATCCTCGCTATAAACTTCTGCGACCTATCAATAATAGAATGAATACTACTATTCTATATTTGCATTCATTTTTTACTTTTATATACCTTATCAAATCTCATATTTTCTTCTTTAATCTTAGCCAAAGCTTCCATAACCTATATACATACATATATTATTATTAACAAAAAAAAAAAAATTATGCAGTTTATATAATATATATACTTTGCTATGCTTTTCACAAAGAATATGTCTAACCTATTCAACAAGGAAAGTTTAATAACGCTTTATTATTATTATTATTATTATTACATACTTTGATGCTTTGAGCAGGTTTCAACTTTCCATCGCTCTTTTTTTCTTTATCAAGTTTAAATGTGTGTTAATCGTATTAATTCTTGGTCATTTTACTACTAATCTAAGCTACCTCCTGAGCCTTTGCCTTTATTTCCAGCTGCTTGTTTTCCTTTAGCCATTATTAAACAATATAAAATAAAAGAATAGGCGTGTATAAATATGTATATATTTGTGTAAACTTCCCAAATAGTGTGGGTAGTGGTTATGATGGTGTCAATAACCAAAAAAAAAAAAATAATTCAGTTTGTGGTGGCGGTATATTATATGTGACTATTTTTACTTTTTTTTTAAATATGAAAATACAATCTTATAACTACTAATTCTATCAATTGACACTTTTCTACATTGCAAAAAAAAAAAAAAAAGAAAAGAATGAAATATTTTACTGGTGATGAAAGCGGGTTAATCAAATGTAAGCTGAATAACTTTATTTATATATAAATATTTATTTTATTTTTTTCATAAATTAAACACACCTTTATTTAGGGATTGCTTTTCCTCCCAAAATTAAAGAAGAGAAAAGACGTACTAAGAGGGTCAAAACAGATGATGATGAAAAAGAAGACAAAAAACCGGAAGCTCTTCAACCATTAATGGGCGTTTTTGGAAAAGTAGATAAAACACAAGCAATTCAAAAATTAGAATGGGCTATACTAGACAATGAAAAAGTCGTAAGTCAAAAAAAAAAAATGAGTATTTCCAGTTTTATCTTATCTCTTTTCTGTAGCTACTTGTGGGTCGTAAAAATGGATTAATTCAATTTATATCTCCAGAATCAGGAAAAGTTCTTAAAGAGTTTCAAAATAAACATGTTGGTACAGAAGAAAAGCAAGGTTATTTTGTGGGTCTTTTTGTTCATGATCAGTAAGTGTAGATCTGGTTTATTTTAACCTAATCTTATATTTTTCTTTTCTTCTTCCCCCTTGTTTATAGACATCTTTGTGTATGTACATCAACTGGCGATCTTTCATATACACCTTTAGATGCAACAAATAGAGAGACAACAACTATTATGAATCTTGGACCTGATCTCGAAATTATGCGTCATCATCCAATTTTAACTCATATCTTTGCTATTGGTGGCAAGGAACGTGATTTATGTATTTATGACCTTACCAGTATCTTACAAAATAAAACAAAAGAAGCAATAGGACCCAACAAAAATACTTCTTCTCACAAGAAAAATCAAAATAACCCTGCTCTTGGTCTTGTATTTCAAGCCAAGAATGTTAAGAATGACTTTTTAGACCTTCGACAACCTATTTGGATCCATGATTTACAATTTGTGAATAAGGAAGCTACTCAAGTGGCTCTTGTAACTCACTATCATCAGGTAAGATGAGCTAATTCGTGAATTCAAACACACAAGTAAGTATATAACCCCGTTTATGATTAGTTTCGTTTGTATGATACAAAGGCAGCACGTCGACCTATTAAGAATATCGAGATTGGAAAACAACCATTTAAGAGATTATCAGTTGGCATTGATTATAATCATGTCATCTTCAGTGATACCATGAGTAATGTCATTATGCTTAATATCCAAACAGGGAAAAAGACAGCTCAATTTAAGGGATTTACGGGTGCTGTATCTGATATCACCACTGTACCTCATCCTACTATGACAGATGATGAAAAGAAAGAACGCTTTGTAGCTACTGTATCTTTAGACAGATTCTTAAGAGTACATGAGACATCGACTGTCTATCGTCATTTAACAGATAAAGCTTATTTGAAACAAAGATTAACGTGTCTATTAGTGGATGAAAGTTATGAATATCCTTTACCAAAGAAGAATGATGAGGAAGAAGAAGAAGAAAATGCAATGTGGGAATCTATGGAAATGGCTACAGATCGCAAACGAAAGCATTAATTATTACTTTTTTTTTTTTTTTCAATTCAACTTGTAATATAATAATTATTTTATTGTGGACGCATTGACAGCAGCTCTAATATTCATAAGTAATCGATTCTTTTCTTGGAAAAATGAATCGACAGCTTGTAATGTTTCTGCATTACGAGTTGCTAGATTACGAGTATTTTGTACGTTTGTTTGTCCTGATATACTTAATAAACCACAACTTTTAGCATGTGTTTCAAGTGTTTCTAAAGAGTTAATTAAATTGTCATAATCAGCTATTATATACATACATGTATGTATATATATATAGATATTTTTTTTTAAAAAAAACATGTTAATTGCGACATATTTAAGAGAGTGCATGAACATATTTAACCTTGTGCAGCTGCTGGATCATAAGGTATAAAAACTGATTTCTCTCTATCAATTAAACAAGATTTAAAAACATGTCTATTGATGAATGGATTATCTTTATTTATTTTTTTTTTTTTTACATTTTATCAAAAAATTCTTGTCCTTTTTGTTCTATTTCTGATAATTGTGATATAAGTGTAATAAAGGAAGATCTATATTCCTGGGTTGCTTTTGATGCCATTATAAATATTAATGAAAAAAAAAAAAAAGGGTAGAACAACAGTTTTTATGTTTGAAAAATTTAACTCCATAATAATAATAATAATAAAAAAATTTTTTTTTTCCTAATTCATTTTTTTATTTATCGTTTTACAGCAGAAATAAAAAAAAATGACTGATAACAAACGATGCTATATTATTGAACATATGGAAGATGCTATTCATGAATGGTGTTCTCTTGAATACAAGCACATGTTACAGAATATTGGACCCGATCATCTTTATTTTACTTCCTTAACCGATAAATGTTTAAATGAAGGCATGCCAGAAGAATTAAAAGCAGCTCATTGTTATCAAGTCGATGTCTTGAATATACCTGGTATTAAACGTGAAGAAGTTTGTTTGTTGGATCCTTCTGGTACTTCAGAATTATCTCCTGAAGATGGTGATAAATTCAAGTACTTTTTATTTGGAGGAATCTTGGGTGATCATCCACCAAGAGGTAATACATGTATATATATATATATATATACACGCACTTAGTAATGTTGACTTGTATCTTTTATAGATCGTACGGGTGAATTACGTAAGTTAGGATTTGAAGGAAGACGTCTTGGACCCGTTCAGATGACAACTGATACAGCAGTTAATGTTACAAAGAGAGTTGTAGAAGATAAAAGTAAAATAATAATAATAATATTAAATCCATAAAATACACTAATCATATTATTATAGTTCCTTTAGATAAAATTCCTTACATTGATCATCCAGAAATTTTCTTTTCTCGACATGAATCAGTCACAATGCCATTTAGATATATTGCAGAAACCAAGACCATTACAACAAAGGAAGGAAAAGAAAAAACCATCAAGAAGCCTTTAATGCCTCCTGGTATGTTAGAATTACTCAAAAAAGATAACGAGATGACACTTGACTTTTAAAAGAAAATACATCTATCTAATATAAACAGAGTAAAATAATAATAATAATAATAATACCCTACTCTTTTTCTTTTTTTTTTTCTTTTTTTTATGCTATAAAATCAAATATGTCCTAATATTATAGCTTATGTTGTCAATTTTTTTAAGTATTTTCTTTATCACTTAAGTCTTGAAAGTACCTTTTTGAATTTATTTTATTGTGTCAACAGTTAATACTAAGAAGAAGCTACGGCACCATTTATTAATAACTAAACTGGTTTCTTTACTTGGGATAATAACACTTAATTTATCATGACATTATTATACTGCTAGATCATATATGTATGCTTAATAGTATAAGAGTTCTAACTCGTATCCAAAAATAACGTGAGATTTTAGAGACTGTCTTTTTACATAAGAATGTTTCACAAAAGACTTGATGTGATTTATTGGGCCATAGTTGCAAATGAAAAAGGGGAGGAAGTTTTTATATTAACCAATCATAACCACTATAAGTTTTCTAGGATACTTGAACTCACACTTACTCCTAGATTTTACGAGTCTTTTCATTTTCCTCTTCTCAGAGATGACTCATCTATTACAATAATATATATTAATTTATCCCCTATTAAATACAAAAAGTGGCCTATATTCTCAGCCTATAGTATGTTATAAAGAAAAGAATGATAGACTCCAACTCATGTTGCCAGTTGGTTAATATAGTGTAACAAAAAAAAAATGATACAAGTATAGCATCATTATATGTTACGCAGCATATTATAACACGTATTAAAATATAATAGGAGCATGTGGCTTGATTCTATTATTGTTATTTGAAGAAGAAGAAGAAGAAAGGAGGAAAGATTTAATTTAATTAATAAATTCAGTAACGTCATTCGAAATATCTCGTTAATATTGTTCTAGAATAATACTAAATAAATAAGGGAAAAAACAATATGCATAGTGTAAAACATACTATAATGTATTCTATTATTAGAGAAGAAGAAAGCATTAATAGTATTATTATTATTGATGATGTTAGTTATATCATTTCTTTCTAGTAAATTCTAGAATAACAATAATGCATAGTCTATAAATAAAATAAAATAAAATGAAATAAAATAAAATAAAATAAATAAAATAAATAAAATAAAATACATATTTTGTTATCAGATCTTGAAAATAAGTCATGGGAGACAATCATTTGTAGATAACGCCACCACATCTCTGTTTATATTATTACCGAAAAGAAAGTTTTTATTTTTTTAAGTTATTACTGCTTAATAAATCAAATTCAGCACTAAATTATTATTATTATTATGCTGTTATTTTTTAAATGGAAAATGATAATTTCTTTTTTATTTTTATTTTTTTCTTTTTTTTTTCTTTTTTTTTTGGGGGGAGGAAGGGGGGAAGGAGGAGAAAAAAAAAATAATAAAAATAAAGTTTAAAGTGCCGATAATAGCAATTTTAGCAAAAAATTCGCCATATTTATTATATATAATGTGGTAGTTTGACTCATAATATTCTTATTATGGCTCAACATTTGTCCACCAATGAAAATTAAAAATTTTAATTCTTAATAAATAATCGCAACAACAACAACAGCCCATATTATTATTAATGATGTATTATATATGCACATTTATATTTATTCCTCTCTCTCTTTCTCCTTTTCTTTTATTATATGGCTTGTAAGAAATAAAGTAGTAATAATTATTATAGAATAGTAGTGGTAGTGGTAGTAGTTTATAGTAGTTTATTAAGAATGATTAAGGTAAAATGCCTTTATTTTACCCGTAATAAAAATAATTTAACCCAGCTAAAACCTTCAGCTTTGTTATGATCAAAATTCGTCATATCATTTTATTAACCAATCAAATAAAAAGGAAAGCACGAGAATTATTTGTTAACTATAAATAATCTTCCTCCCCCACTCTCTTTTCTTTTCTTTTTTCTTTTTATTTATTTTCTTTTTAAACCTTTTCAAACAAAATCCCTTTTATTATTATTAACAGAAGTTATTTAACATGATCTCTCAGTAATTTATTATTCCATTTATCAGCAAAATAACAGTATCATTTACTATTACACGCATTTATAAAGTGTAAAGAAAGAAAAAAAAAATTAAAAAAGAAAGAAAATATTATTAGCATACTATGTTCATTCAGTCTCATAATTCGATATAGCCCTATTCTTCTTTGGCATTTATATTTACATTTATTGTTAAATCTGTCACATACACATACACACACACACACTCTCTCTCTCTTTCACGTACTCTTTTTCTGCTATTCACTCAAGTTTATTTTATCTAACAAAACAAAAAAGAAATAGAATATAAAGCAATTATGGTTCAAGACAATAATACATATTGGTCTCAACTTTCTACATCAATGATAGACAAGATTATCGGTGAAGAGTTTCAACTCCTCGAAGTCCTTGGACATGGTGCTTATGGTTGTCTTTTCCTTGGTCAATCATTAAAAGATAATTCATATGTAGCTGTTAAAGTACTCTCAAAATTAGGTCTTGATTTTCAACAACTCCAATTACAACAATTGGAAATGGATATTCAATCTTCTCTTAAGCATCCTTATCTTTTAGCTCTTCATCGTACAATTCAAGATAAGGATTATATTTATATGGTAATGGAACTTTGTGACCAAGGTGATCTCTTTGACTTTGTTATTCGTGATCAAGATATAAATCCAGTACGAGAACAAACTCTTGTTAAAAAACTCTTTAGTCAAATTCTAGAGGGTGTCGAAAATATGCATGCAAATGGTGTCTATCATCGTGATCTCAAACTTGAAAATATCCTTCTTAAATGTGAAGATGATGAGAACGAAGATGATATTACTTGCAAAGTAGCTGACTTTGGTTTAGCTACTCGTGAACGATACTCTATGGAATTTGGTTGTGGCTCTACTTCTTACTTGGCTCCTGAACATTTTAATGATTCCATTGTTAATAATAATAATCCGGTAACTACTACTACTACTACTGCTACTGCTGCTACTACGACCGAACTTGTACCTTATGATGCTTCTGCTTCAGATGTTTGGTCTCTCGGTATCTTATTATTGGCTCTTATGTTTGGACGTAACCCTTGGCAAGAGGCTTCCTCTGCTGACCCTGCTTTTGCTGAATATAAGAAATGTCCTCGTATGTTGAAGAATCAACTCTTTCCAGAACTTTCAACCGCTACTTATCGACTTTTAAGTTCCGTTTTGTCTATCAATGGCTCCGATCGACCTTCAGTTTCAGAATTCAAGGAGCAATTCTTGGCCATCAAACAACTTTATGTAGATGAATCTGAGGATGCTTACTTTTCTGATGAACCACAACGTGTTGATTCTCCTGTCTCTATCCCTACTACTACTACCTCTGTTAAACATCGTGGTGATATTACTTCATATGATTCTGCATTCTTTAGTGGTGGTATTACAGGTTCTTCATGGTCTGATATGGTTGAAGAAGATGAACAACTTCAAAGAGAAGCTGCTAGAAAATCATTTGATTTCGATTATAATTGTCATGATGAAGAAGAAGAAGATACTGATATGTTTGTTCATCATGAAGAAAAAGAGTCATGGTGGCTTTAAACATGTTTATTTATACTCCAATACAACATATAAATATATTTGCGTGTATACAAAATAATTCACATTATACATATTTTCATTTATTCCCCCCCTTCTCTCTTTTTATTATTATTATTATTATAATTGTTATTTTTTTTTTTTTTTTTTTTTTTTTTACTTGTTATGTAATAAAGCATGACTATTCTGTAAATATTATTAAATATTTGTTTACAAGTGTAAACCAATTAAAAAATGTAGAGTATTTTTTCCCACCGCACTATTTTACTTCCATTCCCTTCTCTTCCTTTCCCTCTCCCCCCCAAAAAAAAAGAAACCTGTTATTTTATTTGTATTATTTACAGGTAAATCTTTTATTATTATTTATGCATCTAGAAACTAATTACTAAATTTGGAAATCCCACTATGTTGACAATGGTACTATGAATAATATGAACCAAGAATCGCACGACAGGAACAATTAGATGATGGATGATGAGTCTTTGAGATAGCCTTTTATAATAAGATAGTCCTCCCCTTTTCTTTTTTTTTAAGGGATGGAGTAATCGTGTTTTATTCATTTCTTCTTCTTTTCCATCAAGATCAATCGAGTAATAAAATAATAGATTGTTATTGCATGTTGTTTCATTCATTTGTATTCAATTCCTTTTTTTTTTAATAAAAAAAAAAAGAAAAGAAAAAAAAAAGTAAAGAAAGCAACAACAAAGCTCTTTTACGTATTAGATAATGATTAATCAATATACACACGTACACACATACACACATACATATACATATTTATTTATATATGATAGACTACAACACGTTATGATTGATTTATAAGCTTATTATTGTGACTACTACTACTTGCATGTAAATACAATACAAGATAATATTATAAAAAATACATGGTATATTTTTATTCGAGATAACATGATAGATCCTTTTCCCTTTCTTTAATGACGTGCCAATCAATGAATACGGGTTTCAAGTGAAGATAACCATTGGAGTCACAGTTTCCCGTATCAAAGAACCTAGCATGTTTTCATCCTTTAAATAATTAGTAGGAAACTGTACAAGATGTCCTCGAATCTTTGCTAATTTTTGTTGAATGTCACGTCCATGTAAGTCAAGATCCGCAATATGTCCATGAGGAACTTTGGTAGGATCGGGTAAAAATTTTCGATGTTGTTCAAAGGTATGTACGGTATCATCAGGTACACAACGAAATAGTTCACGGTAGATGAGTGTATTTCTTTCTGCTGTAGCATTCCAAAGATCGCGATAACAATGTTCAGCTAAGGGGTCAAGCGCTTTTGCATCTAATCGAACTGCCATATGTCCAAACTCACTTGAATCTAACATCTTGACTCCTGATCGCTTTTCGTGTTCCAGCACTTTATCAGGTTTAGCAAATTTAAAGTATTGAATTTCTTCTTCTGTCAAATGTTGATTTGTATGATGTGTTTCTATTGGATGTTCGATATTTACATTGGATGCACCTTCCGCTGTTCCCTCCATCAATTTTTCCCATTGTGTAAAATCAAGCAAGCCAAGATGTTCTTTAAAGAGTTGCATACGAAGGGTATGAGCAAATTTGGCTGCTTTGTATTCTTTCCCATTCATAAAGGAAGGAACTGTATGTGTATCTTCTATCAACATGGCTATTTCTGAATCTCGATTTCCCAATTGAGATCGATCATTGATATTAGCTAGTAAAATAGGTGAGTATGCAGCATATATATATATATTCATGTCTTTTTCTTTCTTTCTTTCTTTACCTGAACCAATCAAGACAATACGATCATCTACAATCATTATTTTGTCATGAATGTAAACTAATTCACTTACGTAATAGTGTCGATCATCATCATCCCAAATTGACTTTTTTGAAGACTCTTCAGACTCATCAAGTGAAGATGAATTGAAGGGATCCATGGAAGATAGATTTGGATTTGTATCTACAGGTGGCACAGATGTTTGTTTAGCTGAGGTGTTTGCTGATGGTGACATTGTTGTATAACGAGATGATGATGATGACAACTTATTTTTAGGAGAAGATGGGGGTACTAATTTATCCCAGTTACGTAAACTGTACCAGCCAATATACTCTGAGGGTTCAATACCAGCTTCTTTTAGCTTTTCCATAATTGAATTACCACCACGAGATATAGTCATGTATTGAAAATGCATTACATTACGTGCTGCAGCTGCGTCCTTTGTAGCTAAATCACCTTCAAATGCAGGAATCAATGGCATAATGATGAATACTTTAAATCGTTCCCCCTTTTCATGGGCTCGTTTAATTCGTTCAACAAGAGCTTGCGCAATCTTGTTTCTTAATAATTTATCTTGTGTCGTTGTACTAACTAGAAATGAATTCATATTAGTCTTAAATGAAAACTTATAGTACGGGGGACTTACTAAAGAATTGATTTTCAATATAAATAAAATGCTTTGCTTTAGTGATACATTCCATATATGCATTATAAATAGAATGCTCACGTTCAATACCTGAACTCCATTGAGCTGAACTACGTAATAACTGAACACGACATGATCCTTTAAAGGAAGATTCATCTCGAGCTGCTACATATTCACCTTTAGGCATTAAAAAGGGAACTGTAGGACGATGCATGCCTTTACTTGCTTTTAAGAAATTCCAACGTTGAATAAAATGGCGTGCCACATCACGTGCAATAGGTCCAACCATACCTACTGTCATATCATGCCATGGCATACGTGGTGTAATGTGTCTGTCTACTAAAGTTAAATCATATTGTGCAACTAACCAAAAAAGGAAATCTGTTATTTTTCCAATCTTACATGCAAGTATTTTATACTATTTTACCATTTAAGAAGTCTTTTACACGAGGATTTGAATAATCTTGACCAGGGAATACTTCATCCGTATGACCTTTTGTAGGATAATCTGTTAATCTGTGTTTATGAGAATCATAGCGACTAGTAAAAGTAGTAGTATTTTTTTTTTTATATATATATTAATAAAGGTCCCAGTATGTGTATATGAATATAGTTTTTTTTTTTTTTTTTTTTTTTTTTTTTTTTTTTTATTACCCCCAACACAAATCAAGCCCACCAATAAAAGCTAAACGATTGTCTACTATCACCATTTTCTATTTAAAAAAAAAAAATAAAATAAAATAAAGGCAATGATTAGAAAAACAAGCAAGCAAAACACATAGTTTATTACCTCATGATGTGACCAGAATAAGACATTATTATCAATGGATCGATGATCAGGATGTCGAACAACTACAGCAACAGTATATATACATAGTCGTATTAATTGCAGTAATAAAAATGTACTAGAATGAGGAACTTACCAATGATGTTTTTATGTAATCCTTGTAACCATAATTTTGTATGTGCAGAATTGATAGTTAAGGCCACTGCCATTTCTTTATAAACAATAATATAAATCTTAACACCTTCTTCTGCTTTACGTTTCAATAATCGATCTAAACGAAATTCTCTATTCTTTTCTGGAGGTCTTCTTAAATATAATTCGGGTGATAACCACCAATCTGCAATATAAATTTCAGATTTAGCAGATAGGATAGCTTCCCCTACTGCATTAAAATGATCTTCACCATCTACAAACCATCTTAATTTGGCGTTATGTCGAATAGGGGCAAATGAACCAAATCGATGGTTCTTTACCCAAGGACTGTCGTTTAAAACACGTTCAATACTCTCCATCCATTCAACTACCTCACGTCGACTCCCCTTAATTTCAATACGTCGAAAAAGATTTGCAATTGTGATATGATGATGATATCTTCCTAATAATCCAGGTTTCCTGTTTTGAACAGTTAATGATTTGTCAAACAAAAAGACATCATCTACTTGTGTTGAAGAAACATCCTCAATAAATGCCATATAAGAATCTCTTAATAAAACCCATTGCTTGTTCCAAAAATGAGGTTTCAAGACATGACAGAGACGAGGAATGACAAAATTAACCTTGTTTTCCAGGAATCCTTCTTTCCCTTTCCAACCCATATCTTCCACAATACTGGCAGCAGAGATTTCAAAGAATTCACAGATATCATAATTGGCCATCATATGAGCTCGGATCAAGAGTTGACGAAGGTATTTTGTCAATGCCTTCCGTCTCTTTAAAGCGATTTTATACTTTTCACCCTCTATTTCATGATGGTGTTCATCATGTCGAATAGATTCTTTAGCTGAATTAAGCCAAGATTCGAGTTGATTTGGAAAACTAGGTGGACTTGGAACAGCATCTTTGATACTTGATTTTAATTTAAGAGTATAATGAAGACTAACAAAGTCAGATGTTGTTTTCTTGACGACCCATTTGATATCACCATATTGTAATTCGATACGAAAAACCCATTGATTTATACCTTGTGTCTGTAATTCTGAATCCGTTATATTGACCTAGTATATAATGAGAAAAGGGAAAAAAAAATCGTTATTATACAGACGTGTAACTTACTTTTAAAAATGGCAGTAAAATAGGTGGCTATGAGTGATTAAAAGAAAAAAAAATCATTAATAATCAAATCTATATTTATAATTAGTTTGCATTACCCAAGGACGTCCACGTTGATCTTTTGATAAGGAAATAAAAATAGGATCAAAGAGAGGAGGATAATAAGGCGCTAAACTTGAAGTTGAAGTGATGTCTAGTTTTCTTTTATGAGGTAATGTATGCAAGTTGGCAATTAAACGTACTTTATCTAACGTTTTATCCCATTGTTTTCTTGCCTTTTCTATTCCACTTTCTACTTTATTTGGAGCACTCGTATTTTCAACGTCATCTTGTATTGTCGCCTTTTGTTCTTTCTTTCTTTTATTTTTTCTTTTCTTTTCATTATCTTCTTCCGTCATAGCCTCCTCCACTGTGCCTTCATTTCTATGATTATCAGAGATTTGAAATGGATTTTCAAAATAATTTTGATTCTCTCCTTCTTCTTCTTCTTCCTTTCCTTCTTCAATTTGAGGATATTCTTCTTCTTCTTCTTCATTATTATTACTCACTTTTGTATGCAAATCATTTGTATCTGGTAACATATCATCTTGAGCATTATATTGATGATATTGACGTGCTTCTTCCTTCTTTTGTCTACGTATATGTTTTCTTCGTTCCTTTTCAAGACGATGTCCTAATTGACTAAATCGATTTGATTTTTCTACTTTATTGTGATCATCAAGACTATCTACTCCCTGACCATCACTGTCTTCGTTATCACTACAACTACTACCACTACTACTACTACTGCTACTACTACTACTACTACTGGTATCAGTTCTTGTTGTATGGTGTGAATGTTTTGTCTCTTCACGTACAAGATTGGGAATACGTTTTAATACTTTTTGCCATTGTAATTTTGGATCAAAGTCAGATAAAGCATGATGTAATGTTTGTGGTCGACGACTCTCAGGAGATTCTGGTGAAGTTAATTGAACAACATCATCATCAACGTTTAAATTAGAATGAGTAGAAGGATGAATAGACAATTGGTGACATCTCTCTTCTTTATCTGCAAAATAAATTGCTGTATCAGCAATAGGATTCGACATGAAAGTGGAGGAAAAAAAAAGAAGATAGCAAGAAAAAGAAGAAGAAGAAAAAAAGAAAGATTTATATATTAAAGAAGAGAAAATTTCTTCTTTTTTTTTTTTTTTTTTTTTAAAAAAAAAATGACTATATATATTTATGAGCGGGAAGAACAGGTAATACATATAAATATACAGATTTATAAAGGAAATAAAATTTCACTTTTTTACTATATTTGGTAATAGCAGTAAAACAAAAATCTTCTCCACCAGTTTCATATTTTAATTTCCCAACAACAGGGTTTTTTATTATAATTGACAACAAAATGGGGGAGGTGATGATATAGATCATGCTGCTGTAGTAAGAAGGAGAACACTGTTGTGTAACTCATATATATGAAAAAGGATCATTATTATCTTTTCTTTCCCTTTATGTATCAAATCTGATGATGACCGTTAATCTCTCAACAAGTAAGTATATATATCATGGAGAGGAATACTTTCCCATTCTATTTATGATATCTTTTGTCCTGTTCGACCTTGCATACTATCCTGTTCATCTTTTTGCTGATAGAAGGAAAATTTTGTTACATAATAAAAATAACTTTTATTGATTACATAATGTTAAAGAAAAATAAAGCAAAAAAAAACATGTGAATAGTATATTATTATTATGAGAAAAAAAAAAGATTGTATTACGTTTTTTATATTTCAGGGCAAAATGAAAGTTTCTCTTTTCTTTTCTTTTCTTTTCTTTTCGTTCACTCATGTCTGATAATCAATTACCGCCACTTTCTGATATTGTTGTATTTGAAATGGCAGGTTTAGCACCTGCACCATTTGCAGGACTTGTCTTATCTGATTTTGGAGCGAATGTCATTCGTATTGATCGACCGAGAATCATGAATACTGATGTTTTAAATAGGTATCTCATTTCCTCCCCCTTTATATATATATAAAAAAAGGTCATATCATTTGTACATACTAAATTTTTTGGTAGAAATAAACGATCCATAGCTTTAGATTTAAAGAACCCTTTAGCTATTCATACTTTATTATACCTATTAAAACAAGCAGATGTTCTTTTAGATCCTTTTCGCCCTGGTGTAATGGAAAAATTAGGATTAGGTCCTCAAGTTCTTTTAACTTTAAATCCTCGATTAATTTATGCTCGTCTAAGTGGATATGGTCAATCAGGACCTATGTCTCAAATAGCAGGCCATGATATCAATTATTTAGCTATCTCTGGTGCACTCAGTGTAAATATTTTATTTTGAATCTTTGATAGACGGAAAACACACACACACACACACATATATATATATATATATATACATACACAACCACCAATACTAATGAGTTATTCAATATTGTAGTTACTAGGCCGTCAAGGTGAAAAACCTTTTTTTCCAGTCAATATTTTAGGTATTTTTTTTTAATCATCATCATCATCATTTTGATATGTAAAGGAAAAAAAAAAAAGAAACTAATATTTACGTGAAGCTGATTTTGCTGGTGGCGGTCTAATGTGCGTCATGGGGATTTTGATGGCATTAATCGAACGTTCAAAGTCTGGTAAAGGTCAAGTTATAGATGCAAATCTTGTAAGTTATTTATTTATAAAAGAGAATAGGAATAGTAAATCTGATACAAAAAAAAAAAAAAAAAAAAGACGTTAGGAACTTCATATTTAACGACATTTCCATATTTAATGCAAAAACACGGTTTAATGTGGGAAGGAGAACGTGGCACAAATCTATTGGATGGTGGTGCTCACTTTTATGAAGTTTATAAAACAAAAGATAATCAACACATGGCAGTGTAAGGAAAAAAAATTAGTTGAATAACATGTTATTTATCAATTTACTTGCCAGTGGTGCAATTGAACCTCAGTTTTATGCTTGTTTACTGGAAAAGTTAAATTTAAAGACCGATGAACTACCAAATCAAATGGATAGAATCTCCTGGCCTGAAATGAAAATTAAATTTCAACATATCTTTTCTACAAAAACACAACAAGAATGGATTTCAATCTTTGAAGGCTCAGATGCATGTGTAACGCCTGTTTTATCGTTCAATCATAAAGAAAAGGAAAAGATAGCAGTAACAGCTACAATACCTCAGCCTGCTCCTATTTTGTCAAGAACACCTGCTAAAAGATTATTAACTACAACAACAACAACAACAACAAACGAATTTCCTTTCCTTGAAAGTGGTAAACATTCTATCGATATCTTGACTGAATTTGGTATAAATTCAAATCAAATTACTAAGCTTTTAGCATCGAATGCTGTGGTAGATAATAATTCAAAATTATAAAATCTGCCCCCCCACATAGTACAACATTAATCTGAGTTTTAGAATAAAAAAAAAATTAGGACGTTGAATGAAGTAATGTGAGTCATATATCATATTAAGAGTTTTGCTACTCAGTAAATTAGCATTTTTGCTTGTTAAGGGTTAAAAATAAGCTCGACATTTTTCTTTTCTTTCTTTCTTTCTCTCTTTCTTTCTCTCTCTCTCTTCTTTTTTCATTATTCTTCTTTTCTTTTTTTTATCTATTTTCTTTTATTTCCTTCTTCTTTTTTTATAATCATGACTGACGCACCAAAGAAATTATGGGGAGGACGATTTTCGGGTACTGTAGACCCTCTTATGGATGCCTTTAATGCCTCTATTCATTTTGATAAACGTATGTATGCAGCTGATTGTATGGGCTCTATGGCTTATGCTAAGGCCCTGGCCAAGAACAAGATTATTTCAGAATCAGAACGTGACCAACTCCTTGAAGGTTTAGCAACTGTCATGGAAGAGTGGGAAACAGGCAAATTTGTCATCAAGCCTGGAGATGAAGATATTCATACTGCGAATGAACGTCGTCTTGGTGAATTGATAGGTTCTGTTGCTGGAAAGCTGCATACAGGTAGATCACGTAATGATCAAGTAGCGACAGATATGCGTCTTTGGTTGCGTGATGAATGTATCAAGATCTTGGCTCATGTAAAGGAACTTATCGCTATTACAGTTGCACGTGCTGAAAAGGAAATAGACGTGATCATGCCTGGTTATACGCATCTTCAACGAGCTCAACCTATACGTTGGTCTCATTTCTTATTGTCTTATGCCTGGTTATGGCAATCAGATGCAGATCGATTAGAGCAACTGATAGATCGTTTTAATGTCTTACCTTTAGGAAGTGGTGCCCTGGCTGGACATGCGTTCAAGATTGATCGTGCATTTTTAGCCAAGGAATTAGGGTTCCGTGATATAATCTATAATTCATTATATGCTGTTAGTGATCGTGATTTTGTTGCTGAATTTTTATTTTGGTCTAACCTAATGATGACTCATATCTCACGTATTGCAGAAGATTTAATTATTTATTCCTCTGGTGAATTTGGTTTTGTTCGTTTAGCTGATGCCTATAGTACAGGCTCTAGTTTAATGCCTCAAAAGAAGAATCCTGATAGTTTAGAATTATTACGTGGTAAATGTGGACGTGTATTTGGCAATGTAAAGTCTTTGATCATCATATTATTATATTATATAAAAAAAAATTCTTTTTCTAAACAGTAGTAAATTTTCATAGATGTCTGGATTCATGATGACATATAAAGGTATTCCTAGTACATATAATAAAGATCTTCAAGAAGATAAAGAACCTATGTTTGATGCTGCTGATACATTGTCTGGTTCCCTTCAGATTACAGCAGGTGTGCTGAGTACGATGGATATCTCCCCTAACAAGATGCGTGCAAGCTTAAGTGCTGATATGCTGGCGACTGATTTAGCGGAATATCTTGTTCGTAAGGGCGTCCCATTCCGTGAGACACATCATATCTCTGGTGCAGCAGTTAAAATGGCAGAGGATCGTTCATGCTCTCTGAGTGATTTATCTGTAAATGATCTCAAGTCATTGCATCCTTCCTTTGATAGCGATGTTTCTTCTGTTTGGAATTTTGAGACCTCTATTGAAAACCGTAATGCTCCTGGAGGAACTGCTAAATCTTCCGTATTAGAACAAATCAATCTTCTCAAGTCTTGGTTAGCCAACAAAAAAAGCAATAAATCTTATAAATGCATAACTATTTGATATATGTATAAATATATACATATATTTATATATAAATATATATTTTCTTTCCATCTTGTATATATGAATTATAATAAAAAAACATAAAAATAGATATATAAACAGTACATAGATGTGTTTATAGAATTGCTTTATTTACAATTTTGTGTATAAAGTATATGCTATTCGTTTGTTTGTTTTTTCTAACGACGATAAGGTGAAGCACTTCTTCTCCTCCTACTACTACTACTTTTGTGATATGAATCATCATTCCGACTATCACTTCTCCTTTCTCTTCTTTCATCGCTTCTTCTATAATAATCACTTTTACTAGATCTTTCTCTTTCTTTATCTCTATGACTGCTATGATCACGACTTGATCGTTCCTCTCGATGACTACTACTATTACTACTATGATGATGATGACGATGCTTATGATCTGAACTACTGCTTCTTTTCTTCTTTTCCTTCTTTTCTTTTTTCTTTAATTCTTTCATTTTTAATGGATTTTCTATAATAGCCTTTAACGCCATTTGTTCACGTTTTTTAATCATCAATAAAGGATCTTCACGAATCTTGGCTTGAATATCTCTTTCTGTATTCGCATTCGAGTTGGAAAGTGTAAATCGACTTTGTTCCGCAACTGTAGCAGCTTCCTATAAGTATTAGAAAAAAAGACCAACACAAACACACACACACACACACACATACACATTAGAAATAAATATATCAAGTTAATAATTAAAAAAAAAAATATTACCAATTCTTGTTTTTGTTTTGCGCGAAGTAAATCGTCAACATTTTTTTTACCTAATAGATAATCTTCCATTGCATTATTTGCATTTCCATTTAAATTAGCATTAGGAGAAGCATACATCCAATCTAATTTATTGGATCGTTTTCTAGTAAATACGTATATAACATTAGTATGCTTATTTATGTTCTGTTTATGATGAACAACTTACTTTGTTCCTGCTTCTTCTTGCATTCGTTGAAGTTCTTGAAGCTGTCTTTCTTCTGCCAATTCTTTTCTCATCTGTTCAATCTTGGCTTGTTCTTCTTTGTGTTTCTGCTCTTCCTTCCATACTCTTTCTTGATTTTTAAATGTGGCGGGATGCCAGGATTTTTTCAAGTTAAGATCAGATGAACCCATTTTAGATTAATAGATTTATATGTGTATTAAAAAAAAAAAAAAAAAAAAAAAAAAAAAAAAAAAAAAAAAGAAAGAGAGAAAGAAGAAAAAAAAATAATTTTAAAAAAAAAGGACTGTTCTTTAAAATGGACACTACTAAATATAGATTTCACATGTGTACATATAAACTACATATGTAAGGTAGTATACCCTTTTTTCTTTCTTTCTTTCTTTTACCTTTTCTTTTCTTTTTCTCCCCTTCTTTGTAGTTATTATTATTCTTCACATTCCATCATTTTAGATTCCCTATAGATACTTTGTATATTTATTGAATTTGTAATAGTTATTTACTTTTGCTCTTTCCTACACTAATTTTTTTTAAAAAAAAAAAATAAAAATGGTAGACAATGAAAAAAAGAGAACACAAAATTTAAATTATGTGATTAGATCAGGTCTAGCAGGTGGGATCGCTGGTTGTATGGTATAGCCCATTTATTGTACTGAAGACAAAAAAAAAAGAAGGAAAAACAGAATAAATAAAATCGAGATCATTTAACACTTTTTTTTTGGATAGGCAAAAACAGCAATTGCACCATTAGATAGAATCAAGATTCTTTTTCAGTCAAGAAATCCAATATTTGAAAAATATGCTGGTATAAAGTTTAATATATAGCGTAATAATGACATATGCATGTTAAAAGTAAAATATATATTTGTATACATGTATATTTTTTTAGGCACATTTACAGGCGCATTTAGAGCTGGTCGTGATATTTATAAAAATGCGGGGTTCATGGGATTGTTTCAAGGACATTCTGTCACTTTAATTCGAATTTTCCCATACGCCGCCATTAAATTTGTAGCTTATGAACAATATAGAGCAGTAAAGTGAAACAGCCAATACGTATAAATAGTTGATATTAAATAGATGTAATATAGATTTTAATGCCTACACGAGCACAAGAAACTCCAACGTTACAGTTTATAGCTGGTTCTTTAGCTGGTATTTTATTTTATTTTATTTTATTTTATTTATTTTTTTTTTTCGAAAAAAATTAAAAAAAAATTGAATACAGGGTTCTAAATTCTTATTCTAATTAGGTGTGACATCTGTCTTTTTCACTTATCCATTAGACCTTATTCGAGTTCGACTTGCATATGATGTTAAAGAAGCAGGACACAAAAGACCTACTCTACTGGGAACATTACGACAAATTCTAAAAGAACCCGCTGCATTACATCGAAAACATGGAAAATTTGAGGTTTTCAACTTTTATCGTGGGTTCTTTCCCACTGTAGCAGGTATAGTACCTTATGCAGGTGTCTCTTTCTGGACCTATCATACTGTCACTGAACTTTTTCGTTTCAATCCTTATGTTGCACCTTATACACGTGCACCTTTATCATTTGATGCTGAACATCCAGAAGACTTGACAGCCGTTCAAAAGAGGATCATGGAGAAACCACCTTTAAGGACATGGGCTGAATTAGTGTGTGGTGGGTTAGCTGGATTAGTAGCACAAACAAGTAGTTATCCTCTAGAAGTCATTCGAAGACGTATGCAAGTGAGTGGTTTATTGGATCCAAATCAATTCGTAGGATTTGTAGAGACAATCAAAGATATATATCGTGTCAAAGGAATGAAGGGATTTTATGTTGGCCTAACTATAGGTTATGTTAAAGTTGTGCCCATGGTAGCTGTCAGCTTTGCTGTCTATGAACGTATGAAACGATTATTGAATATATAAAATGATATGTAAATTGCATTACATACAACCTATGTTTATTTTTATTAAAGAAGAAGAACAAAAAGAAAAAGAGAGAAAGATAAAATCTAAATATAATAATCTATATATATTGTACATGAATTGACTTTAACTGCTATTGTATTGTATTAACACGTTTATATTTAAAGCTGAGAGGTCGTTTCTCGGTATTTTTTATACATAGTTTTAACAAACTATTTTTGGCATCTTCATCTTCCAGTTGAATACATTTATTATAAGTCGGAGCAAGGTTATTGAATTTAGGAGGATTAACGTTAGAACGACGTAATTCACTTGATAATATACTAATTGCATTCCTTAAATCATTAGATCTTTTTTTTTTAAAAAAAACCAAAAAAAAAAACAAAAGGGATTGTAAATATCGAATCATTTGGACTATTTAATTTATCTATTTACCTTGCTAATGTGTTTGTCATTAAAACAGCAATTTGTAGCTGTTGTTTATCAGTCCAGCCTTCTTTAAGAGCCATCGCATATTTCTCTGCTTCTATTGCTTTCTTTTCGCTAATAGATTCATCTTCAACTAGGAATAATTTATTCCTAGACTCTAAAAAGTCTTGATAATCTTCCCATATCTTCCAAGCTAATTGTTTATCCTTTCTCTTGTAACATAACTCAAGCATCTGTTTAAATGTAAATGCATCTTTTTTTACTTGATATTGATCAAACAAATTATTATAAATGTGCATACAACTTGAAATGGGCTGATTATGAGAAATATGAATAGCCAAATAAGACAATAAAAGAACAGATGTGACGGGTATGTTTGAGGCTACCATGTAGTTAAATAATTGATGAGCTTCTTTTACAACCTCAGACTGATTACGTGGAGGTGGAGATGATAGAATTGACTGCTGCACAACAGGTAATGTCGTTAAATAATGTTGCGGTTTTTGCTCCTGAGTGTCATGTAGTTCTGGATTACAACTAGCATAAGCCCAAAATAGATTTGTATATGTGCAACTATCTGGCGTCAGCAGCGAATCAGTTTTTTTTTCTTCATTGTCATTCCACATTATTTGAAAGAGTTCACGTGCTTTAGGTAAATCTTTATTTCTTGCACATGCCATTATTAAAGTGTTATAAGTGATTCTATCCGGTTGAAAACCATAATGAGTTTTCATTTGATCCAAAAGATTAAATGCCTCATTAAAGTAATCAGTTCGTCTTGCACAAGCATTAATAAGGACATTAAATGTAACATCAGTAGGATAAAGTTGTTGTTGAATCATATCTTCAAATAAGTTCAATGCCTTTTCAACCTCTCCTCGCTTATATAGTTTTATACAATAAATTAGCATTTATAAATAATAATAATAATAATCTCTCACCTTTGTACATGCGTGAAGCATTAGCGTGAAACTCACTTCATCAGGTTGATGATATGATAATCTCATTGAATCAAAAATTTCCCAAGCTTTTTCTATTTTATTTGCCTTTATACAGCCACTAATTAAAGTAGAAAATGCAGGCTATATAGACAACATCAAAGATTAGCTAAAATAGAATAAACATGCAAATAACCTACCTGGCTGAGAATAATGCCATTTTCCTTCAAATATTCAAAAACAATAAATGCATCATCTAATCGCTTATTCTCAACAAATGCTTTAAGAATAATTGCATACGTATAAACATCAGGTTCTAAATTGAGTGATTCTATTCTTTTAAAAGTGGATAAAACATTATCCAGATCGTTGACATTAGCATAAGCATCCATAAGGTGATTGACCGATCTTATACTTGGACTGCAATTAAATACCTTGTAAACAATAATGTTAATCTTTTTTTTTTTCCACAAGTCAAATGCTATTCACTTTTATTTTACCTCTATAAAATCGAAAACTTTCTCTGCTTCTTTTGGCTTTCTTGCTAAGGCATTCATGTATATCAATTGTTCAAGATCTTGTATGTTTACATCCGCCAACCCTGTAATCTTGGTTGTTTTTGTCATTGCTTGTTGAATCTCTTGAAGAGCTTTGTCAGGTGTTGGAAGCAAAGATCCTGCTGCATTTGTCTCACTTTCTGCTAGTTGACGAGTATCTAGAAATTTAATTCTTAACTTTTCTAAAAAATCAGAACTGATTTTAGGTTTAGGTTTAACAGGTATTGGTGCTGAGATTTCTTTGTACACTGTGGCAATGTCTTGCTCATCGATCTTTTCAATTCCTGTTGCTTCCTATTTTTTGTTAAAAAAAAGTAGTAATAAACTTAATAATTCATGTATGTATGTATATAACTGTTTCTAGTTTTTATTATTGATGTATTTACTTTTAGTTTTAAGCTAGATTCAATTTCGTATTTTAATCGCTTGATTTCTTCCGTTATTTTTTTAATCCTTTCTTCCTGAAGACCTGATCTTATTTTAGTAGATGACATTAATTAGTTATTTGTCTTTTCCCTCCCTCCCCCCCCTTTTTTTTTTTTTTTTTGTACTTTGCAACATAGGATCTTGATATAGATCTTTGGTGATGATAAACAACATTTAATGATCGGTTTAACAAACGTATTCTTTGTAACATGATCAGTTAAATGTTTAAAGAAAAAAAAATAAGTCTCAAGTAATAACCCTAGCAAAAAAAAAAATAAAAAATAAAAAATAAAAAGCCTCTTCTCCACTAATATAAAAATGCGGGAAAATAAAATTAAAAAAAAAAAGGTACAAGGATACATGAATAAATATACACATATTCATATTTTTTTCTTTTTTGAAAATAAAATAAAATAAATTGATATAAAGTATATACAAAGACAGCTATTGTTTACGTAAAATAAATATTATATGCTTCTGATGTTTATATGCAAATCAAGTATAATTCTATAGTGATGTGCCATTGCCATTTTGTATATTATTTTCATATTCTTTTTTCTTCTCTAATAATAAAGCTAATCTCTTCTCCTATATATACGTATAAATATATGAAAATAAATAAGAACAAATAAATAAAAAAAAACAATAACATCTCAAGTACTAACTTTTGACTTAATTTTATACATTTCTAAAAAATAAAAGCCAGCAGCACCACCTGCTAATGCGCCAAATGAAACACCTATTGCTTTGCTAATCTTTGACATCTTTTACAAGCAAATTATATAAGTTTATAAAAAAATAAAAAATAAAAAAAAATAAGAGAGAAAAAAAAACCTTGTATCAGGGCATAATACAATCAATTAATGACTATTTTATTATAATACTACTTGATATAAAATGCTCGATATATTAGATTCTCCCCCACCCCGGAACTACAAAAAAAAAAAAAAAAAGGCTTTATTTTATAAATAAGTCACAGATAAGGATTTTGCTGTTACTTTGAATTATAGGTAAAGAACTTTAAGAGTATTCGTGTTTTTAGTTTAGTAGAGAATAATAAAGACAATGAGTTAATAAGCAATCATTAAAAATAGGTAGCCTAAAGCATAAACAACTTACAGAGATAAATTTAACTAATAAACAAAAGTTAAGTTATTCAAGATAGGCACAGCTTATGAATACATTACGAAATATAAAGATCTTCTCCTCTATCTTATTTATGTCTACGTTACTATTGTGAAGATTAATAAACGCCACGATTGAATATTAACTACAATCTATATTATGTAAATATAAAGGCAATAGTCAGACAATTTATCTCTGACATTTTGTATTTATTAACAGATATTGCTTTGTCTTTATTTTATTTGTAAGAGATTGATAAACCTTATTACTTGATTTTTTTTGACTTGATAGCTCCCTCAGTAAAATAAATAATGTGTAATATCATTTTCCTCATTTACCAGTTTTTTCCCGCAATTCACTGTATTTTATGGCTAATAAGATGAAATCTTTGTTTTGTTATTTCATGACCTATCAATATTATGGTTATATTGATAACATATATGACAACAGGTGTATTAACTGATTTAATATAGTTTAGTTATTGTTATTGTAGGCAGTAACTGATATGTTTCTATAGTGTATGCTAATCATTTATGATTGTATTTCTTTTTTCTTTTTTTTTTTTAGTTAGTTAGTAGAGTTATCCTTCATAGTTGAATAGATATACTTTATAATCCAGCATGATTTTCTGTTTTTAGACTATACCGGGAATAAGCTATTCATCGAGTTTGTCACTGTTTGCAGGTTCCACCTTTAGTGGTTCATGTTGTAGGATAGTATCCACCCTATCATTCTTTCTCTGTATTATTGTTTTTTAACACTTCTGTCTGTAAATATTTTTCAGATATTTCTAAAAGCTTTTGAATGGAATGTATCTAAAGCTAAGAGTATTATTATGAACTACTATCTAGTGTGTAACTAGAATTATATAAGACTGTTTATTAAATGTTAATGCTACTATTTTTAAAAAAATAAAATAAAATAAAAAAAAAAACTGCATATATTATATGATTGCAATAGAAAATACATTACTTCTATTACTCTTGCTATGACTGTATATTAAATAACATGTTAATAAAGGAAAATAAAGTGTAATTTGAATAAGTATCTATCACATCTTCTACAGCCTTTGTTTCGTTTCATTAACTAAAAAGTAGAAAAAATGTCATCCGGATTTTGTATAATTTTAATTGAGATACTATTATTTGGGATTTAGAAGTTTGCATTGCATAGTGAACCTCAATTCCGCCCAGCAAACATAGTATCTGAATTTCAATTTTGATTTATCCACATTCAGAGCAGAGCAGAGCAGAGCAGAACAGAACAGAGTAGAGCAAAGTAGAGTTTAATTTTCCCATCTTTTTAATAAGCTGGGAAGGTGATAAAAATAAACTAGTTTTTTTAGTTTCCCTTTTTCTCTTTCTTAATATATAAAAACGTTATATGTGTGTGCGTGTGCGTGTGTGTAGGACGATTTTATATACAATAAATCATATTTTTGATTTGTTTAGTTTTTTTCTACTTATCTTTTGTGGGAGAAAAGTTTTTTTTTTCCTTCAAGGCACATTTTAAAAAGTCATACGACGACGACACCCATGTCTTCTTTTCCAATTAAAATTAATGGATGATAATTACTAAATATGGTATGTTCGGATACTTGCTGTATTAGTAGAGTTTGCATAAATTATTCTCATTATAAATAAATAGGATCCCTTTTCCCTCTATTTCTTTTGCTTTTTTTTTTCTCTATTATTATTAACAAAAAAAAACAAAACAAAACAAAAATGCCAATGGTAAAGAAACTCGAATCTGTTCATCAAGAATTGATGGATATTGCAAAGGAATCAAATCGTTTATCACATACAAAATATTCAGAAGATGATATTGAAAAGTTACAAGAAAGGTTACGTGCCATTGACTCCCAGTATAGAGAAGGTGCCTTTGGTGAAAAAGCGAGCTCTGATGTTGATCGTTATGAAGAAGAAGGTTTAGCCCAAGTATCAGATGAATTGGAAAAAGTACATACTATACTTCATCGTATGCTTGCTCGTCTTGAATAATTTGACATCATTTTACCCTTTTCTTTCTTTTATTAGCATTTTGTCAAATTCCTATTGTATTTTGCTTTTTATTGAAATAATAAAAAAAAAAAAATTATATGCAAACAATATAATCCAACAGATCATTATCAAAGCATAAATTAGTGACTGCCTTTTATTTTACTTTATTTTATTTATTTATAAATTGGATATATTTTAAATTTTTGGTCGTTCTTTAATTATTATTATTCGAGAATGAGTAACTGGGACTGGAATAATACGAATAACGAAAATACCCTTATTACAAATATTGGTAAATAAACAAATAGTTATAAGCACTCGTTTCTATTTTTTTTTAAAAAAAAACAAATATTTTTTTTTATTAGAAAATCTTGACATCAATGTAGATTCACAAGGACGAACAAAACAGTCTCATAATCAGAATAATGACAACTCTGGGTAAAAACTATTATTATACACGCACACACACACACACACATATATATATATATGTATGTATGTATCTGTATTAACTATTTATTACAGATGGACTACGGTAAATAAATGGTCTAATTCTCAAGGACCTCACTCACTCAATAAAAATCAAAGATCGTTGAATGATGCAAATCCACGATGGAGAAAGTATAATCAACAAGGTAAAGGAAGAGGTGGTTATAATGGAGGAAATAATCATAATCATCAACATTATCAACAAAGTGATAATAGAGGATGGTGTGATAATAGAAAAAGTAGAGGAGGAGGGGAAAGAGAAGGAGGAGGAGATAATAACCATGATTATTGGCACAGGGCGTCTAGGGCCACATCAACTTGGAAAAAATCAGAAAATAGTGTACCCCAAGATACAGATTGGGGCCAGAATAAATTGGATAATTCCTCTATTCAGAGTGAATGGAATACACCAGCTACGCAGCATATCACAGAGAATGTAGATTCGAATAATACTACTGCAAAGCTGTCTGGATCATCATCAGATTGGAATAAACAAGTTTCTACTACTTCTGTGCCTATAGTAAATGACTGGAATCCTTCTTCAGAATTATACCACCAAAAGAAAGATACTACTACTTGCATGCAAACATCTACAAACATGGCTATTGATACATGGAGCACTCAAAAAAATAAGAATCAAGCAAAACAAGAGACAACAGACGGCTGGAGTGATGTTCCTAAATCAAGCTCATCAACAGAATGGGGGTCCATGACTATGGATAATTTAGGGTGGAATGATTCCGGTAAGAATAAGACCATCAAAGAGCCTGGTCGCGGTACTTGGGAAAATGGTATTCATAAACTTGCAGAAGAGGATGAAGAATTAAGAATCAAATTGTTTGGTACGGATAATGATGATGAACATGTTCATACTGGTATCAATTTTAATAAATATGACACTATTCCTGTTGAAATCAAAGGCAATGATGTTCCTGAAGGAATTAACGAGGTACTATTATTTGTATTTTAATTCAAAAAAAAAATGTGTATATATGCAAAGTTTTTTTAATGTTTTTTTTTTGATTAACTAGTTTTCTACCTCGGACCTTGATCATCATTTACTGAATAATATTACTTTAGCAAGATATATCATTCCTACACCTATTCAAAAATATTCAATTCCTATTGTCAACCAGGGTTATGATTTAATGGCCTGTGCTCAAACTGGTTCTGGAAAAACGGCTGGTTTTCTATTTCCTATTTTATCTGCCATGTTTAAAAATGGTCCACTTCAAAACCCAAAAGAACCTCCTATTAAACGAGGCTTTCATTTTTATTCAAAGGCTTATCCTCAGGCACTCATTTTATCCCCTACAAGAGAATTAGCCCTTCAAATTTATAAGGAAGCTAAAAAATTCTGTTATCGTTCTTATGTACGTCCTTGCGTTGCTTATGGTGGTGCTGATATTCAACAACAGTTGCGTCTTATGGATCGTGGATGTCATCTTTTGGTCGCAACGCCGGGTCGTCTTGTAGATATACTTGAACGTCGTCGATTATCATTCCAAAATATCCAATATCTTGTATTAGATGAAGCGGATCGTATGTTGGATATGGGATTTGAACCTCAAGTGAGACGTATTGTAGAAAATGAAGATATGCCTTCTTCATCAAAGAGACAAACACTTTTATTTTCAGCTACCTTCCCTGACAGTATTCAGAAACTGGCCTGTGATTTCCTTAAGGAACAACATATCTTTATCTCTGTCGGTCGTGTAGGTGCTACTTCAGAAAACATCACACAAGAAATTGAACTTGTTCGTGAGGAAGAAAAACGAGCACGACTTTTAGAAGTTTTAGCCAAACACAAAAATGAAAATGGATTAACTCTTATATTTACTGAAACAAAACGCATGGCTGATATCGTTTGTGAGTTCTTGAATGAGAATGGATTGTCATCTACAGCTATCCATGGTGATCGTATTCAGAGTGAACGTGAGGCAGCCCTAGCGTCTTTTCGAAAGGGTATCACACCTATCATGGTCGCTACTGCAGTTGCTGCTCGTGGCTTAGATATTCCTAATGTAACACATGTCATCTCCTTTGATCTTCCAAGTGACATTGATGATTATGTGCACCGTATTGGACGTACAGGACGTGCAGGTAATACAGGATTAGCGACGACATTTTTCACGAATGAAAATCGATTCCTTTCAAGTAGTCTTGTCAAGTTGTTAAAGGATGCTAATCAAAAAGTGCCTGATTGGTTGATTCATATGAGTGAAAGTCCTACTATCCGTTCTGCTTCTATTCCGATTTCTTCTAACTTTGATAGAAGCAAGAATAGAGGTAGCAGACGCTATAATAAATGGTGATCACTTTTATTTATTGCTACATCATGTTTATTTTACTCTAGTTGTATGTGTGTATGTATGTATTCTTTGTATGTATACAGTTATTATAATCTTATTTAATAAATAGCAAAAAAAAAAAAAAAAAAAAAAAAAAATGCATAAAAGGTTCTCTACGTAATATTGTATCGACTTTTTTTAATGTATTACTCTTAAATAAAAGTCGGCAGAAACATAATAATATTACGTACATGTATGGAATGATATTAAAATATATTTATTCTAATTTTAAGATTATTATTCGATAATGGCTGCTGCACTCAAGAATGTAATTATATAAAAAACTGCTTTTTTTTATATTTTTTTCTTCTTATCTTCTTTTTATTAATTAAAAAAAAAATAACTATTCTTGTAATGAAATACTTTCAAAGGATAGGTAAAAAAAAAAAAAAATCAATCAAAGAATGAATACTTAGTAATGAAATGAAATGAATTAATTGATATAATTTTTTTTTATTTTTATTTTGGCGGTAGCAGCGATTATTATTATTTTTTTATCCAGTTTTGTGCTTTATGCTCTTGCAGCTAAAGAAAGCGAAGCGGTTGATGGTCTTGCTTCCCCAACCATCATGATAGAGGATATTATCAAGGTCATTAGAGTAGATGAAAAGGGCGAGTTAGTTGAAACTCATGATGAAATTGCTAAATCCAATGATGAATTTGGAGAAAATGGTAGTCCAGCCTTGCCTTCCTCTCAAGGTTATGAATTCTTGGATAAAAATAAGGAACACGATGCTACTATTCCTCTCCCCACTTTTACTGCTACTTCGACCCTGAATGAGGATACCTCTTTCATTTCTAGCTCAACTACTTATGAAAAAGGTATCGTAAAGAATTTAAAAAAAAAAGAAAGAGAAAGAATCTGTTTGCATAAGATTATTAACTTGTATTTTATTTTATTTTATTTTATTTTATTTTATTTTATTTTATTTTTTTTATTTTTTTTTAAGAAAAAGCTGATCTATCTACACATATAGATCATGAAAGTACCTCAACAACAATAAATGCTCCTATAGCTATAGCTACCAATTGTAAAACTCAAGGGCAAGTTGCTGTAACCTATGTAAGTTATTCTAATAAAATCAATGCATTCCTTATACTAATAATAATAATAATTTAGGGTGAAGGACCTAGCGACGCTACGGCAAAAATCGTTCGTCAATTGAACCAGGCAGATGCACGTGCCAATTTTTTTGTTAACGCAACATGGTTATCTATGCAGCAATATGCACTCGTTGTCCAAAATACATATAATGCAGGCCACTTTATTGGCATGATGTATCGCGTTCCTGGCGACGATTCGAATCAATTAACAGATGAAGAACTCCGACAGGACATTCTTAATAACGCTTATGCAATCGAGACCGTCATCCAGGTTGCCCCTAAATACGTTCGTCTTCATTATACTGAGAAAAGAGATAGTCGTACAGAAGATATATTAAACAAACTTGGATTTGTTCTTGTGGGTTATAATTTAGATAGCCAAGATTATAATAAGAAAGATGTCAAGACAGGTGCTGGCTCTATACAAGATGTTTATTCACAGACATTTAAAAAATACAAGGATACGTATGATTCGAAAGGTTCATTTATTGCTGTACAATATGATTTGCCCTATACTGGTTCCTTGGATGCTGTACCTTATATCGTGAATACAATTGCTGAGGAAGGCTATACGATGGTTCGCTTGGATGGATGTCTTAAAGATCCCATTCCTTATAAAAAATGTAAGCAAAATAGATATATGAATATAAACAAACGAAGAAAGAAAGAAAAAAAAAGGGTGGGGATACTCACTATTAATTATTATTATTATAGCTGCTAATAGTACTATGGAATATGTCTCTGATAAATTTTCTTTTAAACAAGCTGGATACCATCAAGGTCAAAAGCCAATTGTTCTCAGTACAACTATTAATATTCCTAAAGATGATGATGTTAAGATGATTGCACAAAATATAGAAAATAGAGCATATACTTCTACAATCTCTCTATTACATGTTACACTTATTGCTGCTACTATTGGTATCCTATTTACACTATTTTTGTAAATTTATTTGGTAGTGTAGTGCAGCTTGATTTAAATCATATTCCACTTTTAGAAGAATTAAATTATTTTACTACTAATCCATTTTGATTATGAACCATGTAATGGAAATATACATAATTTACTTTTTTAATAATAATAATAAAAATAAAAAATTCAACAAATTATAGCTAAACTATAGAATAAGGAAAAAAAAAAAAGTAATAAATTCAAGTGTATCGATTCTATTTTCTTTTCTTTTTGACCATTTGATTAGAGAACACAACTCTGTGACTACTATGCTTGAATACTATCTGAACGAATATTGGTACAAACAATGTATATTATATCAACATCAAGTAGAAATTATTAAAGTAACTACGGGGACTACTTAGTTATGTAGCTAGAATAGTCATTTTAAATAATCTCTCTCTCTCTCTCTCTCTCTAAATATATACATATATAGAACAGTGATATCGAGACTAGCTATAAAACTCGATACTATTGTTTTGTTTTATTCCTTTTGTTAAGAGGAAATAAATGTTCATGTTTATGATATTGTGTATAATCCGTTTATACTACAGTAGTAGCAAAAAACATTATTTGTTTATATAAAGAAATTAACATCATAGTTGTAACCCATATTACATAGTTTTATGCGCTAAATGTTACTACTGTAGATAACAATCATCATAAAATTGGAGGGAAAAAAAAACGGTTACACAATAAATACATCACAACTATAATAGAGACTAACAAAATAAAAATAAAACAAACTCTATATTTTGTCTCGTCACTTTTAACCTTCTTTTTTTTCTTCTTCTTCTTCTTCTTTTCTTCTTTTCTTCTTTTCTCCCTCTTTTTTTTTTTCCTTTTTTCCTTTTCTTTTTCTTTTATATAAATATATAATAGATATGAATAAAGAAAGAAAAGAAAGTATATTTTCAAGATATAATGCAACTCGTCGAAATAGGACTTTACCTGTTCTAAAGACAGACAAAGACCTTGAAGCAGAAGAATTGGCACGATTTTCATTAGATTTACCTTCTTTTCAAGTAACTGAAGAACCAGAAAATACGATAATGAGTAGTGATGTTACTACTAATGAATGCAATACCGATGATGACCAACCCATATTACATCAATCAATTAAACCACCTATCAGGAAAAAAAGATTAGAAGAATCAACTATTGTTGCAAGACATAGTATTGGATTTGATGTTCCTGGTGCTGTTCATACTATAATCACACCAAGTAATGTACTATTTTATCACGCATTTACGTAAACAATGACCCTAAGAAGAAATCTAAACTCCTCTCTTTATCTGTCTCCTCACACTTTTTTTTTTTTATTTTTTCATTTCCTTAATTAGAACTAAGAACTGAACGTCAAATAGATAGTAAATTAGTAGTTATAATGGGTAAAAATTTTCCTTTCTTTTTAAACTATAGAAACAAATCTTTATATATTCTTATTTTATTTTTTAGTTGGGTTACCAGCAAGAGGGAAAAGTTATATTGTCAAAAAATTAAGACGTTATCTAAACTGGTTACAATATAATACAAAAGTAAAAATGATAAATACAATATGAATAATTAGGCTTAATATGAAATATACATTAGGTTTTCAATGTGGGTAACTTGCGTCGTGAAAATGAAGCCTTACATCAATATGATCAATCAGCGGATTTTTTTGATCCAAATAATAAAGATGGAAATAAAATACGAGATGAATTGGCCATAAAGGTACTTGAACGATTGATTGAATGGTTACGTTCTGGTGGACGTGTTGCTATTCATGATGCTACAAACTCTACAATTCAAAGAAGGTTAGTGTGATCTATATCTATTTTATAGTAAAAGAAAAGGAAAGGAAAGGAAAGGAAATAAGCTTAAATATATATATATCCATGTATGTATAGACAGTTGTTAATTGATCGTTTATCAAAAGAACCTGATATTAAAGTTTTAATATTAGAGTCTGTTTGTACTGATAAAATGGTAAATATAAACACACACACACACACAAATAATTAACATTGAATATCGCAATTGATTTTATTCATGTATGTATAGGTTTTGGAACGTAATTTTCGATTGAAACTCTCTGGACCAGATTACAAAGACATGAATCCAGCTAAAGCTTTATCCGATTTTAGACATCGTGTTGCTAATTATGAAAAGGCATATGACTCAGTAGGAGATTGGGAAGAGGAACATGATATTCAGTATTGTAAGCTGGTGAATGTAGGCAAAAAAGTAATCGCTTATAACATTTCAGGATACCTCTCTGGTCAATGTGTCTTTTATCTAATGAATTTCAATCTGGCAGGTTAGTTTGAAAGCAAATTGAATCATACCATCATCCTAATTTCGTTTATTCTTTTAGAACGTCAAATATTCGTTACACGTCATGGTGAAAGTGAAGATAATCTATTGGGTAGAATTGGTGGTGATGCTCCGGTACTCTATTCTTCGATTTATTGATTTTATTTATTCATTCTATTAATACACATATACATTCTATAGTTATCTGGAAAGGGTAGAAGATTTTCTAGAGCTTTGTCAAGATTCGTTAGACAACGACGGATTGCATTTGCTTTAGACCTAGCAAAGAGAAAAATCCAAGAAGAGAGTGAGGCAAAGGATCCGTTGAAAGATTCAGATGATGAATCACAAGAAGAGGAACATAAAGATGCAAAAGTGAGAGCAACAGCAGAAGCAATTAATAATTCTCAGTTCACGATATGGACCAGTATGCTGAAAAGATCAATGCAAACAGCAGAGGCATTTGATCCAGATGAATATGATATTAAGGTAAAACTTAATTACAAAATATAAATAGAGCATACATTCAAAGACTGACTTGTTGAATATACGATAAGCATATTAGATTTTTAAATGAAATCAATTCAGGAGTAAGGATAACACACATAGCCCATATTATGATGATTGCTTATTTTTTTGTTCTTTTTAGAGTAGAGAAGGAATGACTTATGAGGAAATTAAGGCGCAGTATCCTACTGAGTTCAAGGCAAGACAAGAAAACAAATTATTTTATAGATACCCTGGTATAGGAGGAGAGTCGTATATAGATGTTATTCATAGATTACAATCTATGATTATAGAACTAGAAAGAATGAGTCAATCCTGCTTAATTATAACTCATAGAGTAGTTTTACGTATTTTACTTGGTTATTTATTAGAATGGTCACAAACTCAAATGCCGCATATGCTAGTTCCTATTCATACGTAAGTGATTACTTTATATGGCATATACCCTAATTCTTACTATTTTATATTAAATAGAGTATATGAATTAAGACCTAAACCTTATGGGGTTGAACTCACAAGTTGGTATTACGATGAAGATGATGATGATTTCAAGGAACTCAAAGGTGATTCACCACAATCATAAACATGGCTACTTTTTCTTTTTATCATTATTATCAAATCAATAATACATCATCTCAAAGAAAGTATATAAACATGTGTAGTACATACATTGACTAGCTTTTTATTATATAAAGATAAGAGAAAGTGTATTCATATTAACTAATAGATATCTCGTATAGTACAATTTCTTTTATTTATTTTATTTTATTTTATTTTATTTTGGTTTCTTTATATACGTATTATTATATATAATACAGCCCTTTTTGCTATCTTGAGTCAGTTTATAGTAATGGTTTGGTATGAAAGCACTTGAGTGTTTTCTAAAAAAAAAAAAAAAAGAAAAGAAAAAAAAATGCTGGAATATTATCTCAAGTTTTTCGGTTATTTTATTTTTACATCAAAAAAAGAAAAAAAAAATTATATTTTCCTTTTTTTTTTTTTTTCTTTTCTTGTTCAAAAAAAAAAAAAAAATGGCTGATCAGGCACCTCAACGTACACGTTTAACAAAGTCAAAGGCTACTGCTTCAACTACTGCCCTTCAGACACTTGAAATAATTACTACTGCAGTAGTGACAGGTAGTGCAGCATCTGACAATTCTCACCTAGATCTAAATCCACCAATAACCATAAATGAAGATGACTCAGTTAACAATGATTTACAACGAAAACAATCACATCATCATCATCATCATCATCACATTAGATCACCTGCATTTGAAGCACATTCTAATATTTCTTCCCCAATGTCCTCTCCCCAATTATTAGATGTCTATAATAATAAAAACAATACAGCCATGTTGACTGAACTTCATTTGCCCATTCCGTTAACAAAAGGGCCCTCAGAGGCCATTGTAGCACTACAAGATGCAGTTAAAGGTAACCTAAAACTAATGCGTTGTATTTGTATTTATATACATTTATTTAATTCCGTCTTTTTATTTATATAAACAGAAACAAAAAATAATAATAATAAGAAAATATATAAAAAAAGTTCAACAACATCAAATGCGTCTGAATTGCAACTCTTTGAGTCATCTTTCTTTTCTGCTATATTATTAATTCAGTGGTCAAACCTTGTTGGACCTAAAGTAGAAAAAGTATGGTCAACTGAGCCCCTTGAAGAAGAATATCAAATGTTAATCGGTAGACAAGTGTTGAATGGTGAAATAGGACGTATATTAAATGGAGTTGAGCCTAAATGGATTGTTCTTCATAAACAAGCAATTATCTGTACTGGTTTTTTATTCAATGATCCTACTTTAGAATATTTATGCGCACTTGTATTAGTCGTACCTGTACGTTATTTACGAAATTTTTCTCAGTATTTTCATATTTTGTGCGATCGTATACCAACAGAACTGGTCGAGCCACTTTTAAAGTTACGCAAAATCTATAAACGTCATTCCTCTATTGTAAGATGATTTCTAACTTATCTTATCTGATGATGTTTAATCTTTTTTTTTTTTTTTATCTATAGTCATGGTCAGTTGCTTTGAATTTTTTTACTACTGAAAAGTTATTTCCCTTTGTAAAATCAATTATGGATTTAGAGTCAGTTTCATTGCCAATTGAATGCGCCAAGGTATATTCATACATTCTACTTTATTATGATATATTGAACTTATTTTATAATAGACAAGCCATACCCTTCTAGATTGTGAATCAAAGCAAATGCTAGAATCACCATTTATTGCCAAGTTTGTAAAATATAAATGTTTCAAATATAGTGTACAAACTGTATTTACCTGATACTATTCTGATTAGAGTTATTACATCTCATTTACAAACATTTGGCTCCACGCTCTTAGTTGGTAATACATTAACAAATATGAACAGGGTTTGTATATGCATCTATAATAAAACAAGAGAGAGAGAGAGAAAAAAAATTATATTTATATCTCATTCATTATTATTAGTTAATAAACACATTGGCATTATTTCTATCAGTAGAAGAACGTAGTAGATCAAGCCATGCTAGAAAACACCATCATTATATGCCTGACTTATATTTACAAGGCTTATTAATACAGGTACATGTTTCATTCTTTTTTTTTTCTTTTTTTTTTAAAAAAAACTCTTTTTAATATATTAAATGAAGGATGTCGAAGAAATGGATACAAAGATCGAGTTGGCTATTCTAAAATCAGCTATTCCGACTACGTATGTTGATATGACACGATTCATTGTTAAGAGGACTCCATTATATAATAATTATGATCAGCTTAGATCACAATATCAAACCCTTATTTCTTCCAAATTAGAAGAAAATTTAGTCAATTTTGTTAGTGAAAATAATACAACAAACTTCAATTTAAACGATTGGAAGTAAGTCAAGTTTTTTGTTAAAATAGTCCTTAATCGTTATCTGACCTGCTTTTATTTATTTATTAGTAAACGGCATTATATATTGGAAAAGACAGAATCTATCGCGCCCATGGTCCAAACACTATTAGATGAAGCTCATAGATTACCTGTTAGATTAAGGGAATCTTATATTCGGCAGTGGAGAAGAGTATTAGTTAGGAGAGCACTTGCAATGATCAAATTTGTCCAGGATGAAACGTAAGGCGAAAAATAATATGAATAATGATAGTCATCTGTTTTAATTTCTCTTTTTATATAAAGACCTATCATTCTCTGTCAGCCTATTGATAATGATCTGATCACTAGGATGATGAATGCACTAGCTTTATATCATATGGCAGATTTCATAATTGTTTTAACTCAAGCAGAGAAAATCAAGCCCGGTATAGTTGAATTTATTGCAACATATTCAAAGAAACTTGCACAAGTTTAGACATGTATTATGGATACCCTTATAGTATATATAATTTTTATTCTATACTACTATATACTAGTTATTATTACTGTTTATATATATTGTTGTTGTTTTTTTCACTCTTTTTTTTTTTTTTCTTTTCTTTTTCTTTTTCTTTTTTTTTTTTTCCTTTTTTTTGGATTTTTCCCTTTTTTTTTTGTTTTTACAAATAAATATATATTTTATTATATCTACTGTAGTTGTATATAGGGCTTATTAAGTTGATACTAGTCCAGATTTAATTTGCTTTATGGTCATTCATCTACATAGATGTTAATAGCTATATAAATAAGTAGTAGTTTTCGAATTTGTCATTCATATTAGAAAACAAACAAACAAAAAAAAAAGTTATTTATTAAGCTTCAATTTGAAGCAACATTTGTTTATAAGTTTGACACCATTCAAGTATTAGTTTCAAAGAACTTTTTAACTCGGTTAAAGTGGGTGATTGAGTTTGACTTTTTATCTCGCCCAGGATCATAACTGGCTTATCTTTATAAGTTCTATAGAAAAAAAAAGGATAGATATATAAATGTTCCTTTGTGTATTATTTAACTTACACAAATGAGCGCTGATTATCAGGCATTACTTTTGTTCCATGTTTCAAAAAATTGTAATCAAGAGCATATATATTGCAAGCAATAAAGATATCCTGTATACAAAATTCGATAATAAGGTCTTGTTTTAGAGGAGGATTAAAAAACTATGAAAAGATGTATATCTGTCAGAGATTGACATAAAGGGGATATTATTATTATTTTTTTTTTTGTTTCGCCTCACAAGTATCCTATATTACTTTTGGATGACAAACTTTATAAGGAAATAAGGATGCTTCATTTGGATAATTGAATGCGTGCAATGCATACTCTATACTTTGATACATGTCTTCTAAAAACTATATATGCTACGTATTAAGTCTTTTATATTTCGAAGAATAAAGATAATTCAGTTGCATACTTCAATAGTCTCTTGTTTATAGGAAGATACTGTAAACGTTTTAATTCGATCAAGAGCTAAAAGAATATAATTTGTTGCTTGTTGTGTCTATAATTATAGAGTTGTTTAGTCTACTATTTCAATCATCCTAGTCATATACAGCTTCTTAAACATTACTTGTTCCAAAAAATAAGGAGCTTCATTTGTGATGGTTGCTTTAATAGGTGAATCTGGATGATAATTAGTCAACTTTATTTGTAGTTCCTAGTCAAATTTTTTTTTATGTTAATACTTGGTGCTCTATTAAACAGTTCTTTCTTACAGCTTTAGTTATATAAAATCCTGCAAATGTTATAAATCCTTTAAGTGTATCATTCCTATAAACATTCTTTAGAATAATGCCGATTTACTTGTGTTAGTTTCTTACTGTGTTAAAGGTAAAGAATCTGTTTTAGCTTTGAAGAGGGAGAGAGAGAGAAAAAAAAAAAAAAAGAGAGAGAACAATGAATAAAAATGAAAGGCTATCCAACGATATATATTTTTTATATACTTTGACTTGTTAAAAGAGTGTGACTTTTCTATAATTCATCCATTATTATACTTTGTGCATACGTTTTATTTTAAGCTAAATACCTCTAGTTGAGCTTTGAGCTTTTCTAGCATGTGTGGAATGATGTCATGAAGAAGCCAATCTCTTTGTTTAACCTAGAAAAAAATATAAATAAAAAGTAAATGTTCTCGTGGACATTGATCAACAATAAGTTTTTTTTTTTTTCTTTGAATAATGTAAATTACTGCTGTTTCTTCTTCTTCTTCTTCTTCTTCTTTTCTGTGCATTTATGTCGAGATTACTATTAAAATAAAAAAATAAAAAAAAGTATTATTTAGTTGCATAAATATCACAATACAATTTACTTTAGAGCAATGATGATTGTGACTTGAAGCATAGACAAAAATAATTAGCCAATAAAATAAACCAGATTTATTAGCTTTATTATTATTATTGTAGAGCAGCAGCTGCGATATAGATATGAATACATATAACTCAGTATAATAGACTGTTTAGCTTTAAAGAGCTGATCACTGATCTGCACAAGCTATCGAAGGAAACAGATGAAAAAAAAAACACACTGGAACAGACAAAGAAATGAATAATAATAAAATTAAATCTTGCAAAGGTTTATAATAAATTTTATAATTTTAAATGAATTTTTTCATCATTGTGGAGAAAGAGCATTTGTATCATTTTGAATATTTTCAAAATGAAAGCAAATACAACAATTATCTCAGAGGGTGTCCCTCTTTATAATATCAATCAAATCGACATGATATTTTTGTTTAAAGAAAAAAAAAATCTCCCTTCGACTTACTGTGATTACATCCGTCAACAAACTAAATGGCTCCTTTGTCTGTTAAACGATAGTATTAATACCATCATCATAGCAGAATAAGTTTGATATTTCCAAAGCTTCTGCTTATAGCTTCAAACAAACAACGATTAATAGATGATAATATTACCTGAAGGAAAAAGGGGGAGGCATTGTATGTCCTCTTTAAAACAGGGTCAAATTAATTTTAGGATCAGTTACATTAACATATCCGCTATTTAACTATCCAATATATATAAAAAAAAAAGAATTGCATTCAAAAAAAAAATATGTTGAGAGTTTAGTGTTGATTAAGTCAGTCTTTACACAAAAATAAAAATAAAGAATTCCTGTATCTTATTCATAAAAAGATCAAGGAAAAAAAATATCTACAAAGCGTAATACAGAAGAGATAATTTAAGGATGATAAAAAGAATCGTGTGGAGCAGGTTTTTCTCTTTTTTTTTTTCTTCTTTTTGCAAATAAAGATACAGATTTTGAACGTAATTATGTCTTCTTAGGCAAATCAGGATCCCAAACTGCATATTGTGTGTAGTAGAGAATGGTCTACTAAAGATAAGTTTACTAAAACTATTGCTTCTATCGATAGGAGCATGACTCTTACTTTTTTTAGGCGTGTTATCGTCATATCTTTAAGAAAGCCTACTTCAGACTCTGCAATAACAACAACAGCAGTAACAAAAGGAAGTTAGATAGAAAGAATGTCAAAGTTATAAAAAAAAAATACTAATGGCAACTTTTAGTTGGTTAATATTTCAAATATCAGTTATATCTTAGACAGAAACAACTTTAAGGTATTTTATCTGATTATAGATAATACGGCTATACATACAGACAAAATGATCGACTAGTGCCGCTACAAGTATATTTAATTATTCTCCAAAGCCCAATTGAACAATATTGGTCTAGCTGTTGAGAGTGATGTGAAAAGAGAGCTTATACTTATTCAACATACTAAATGCAGCTGCTGTTAACTGTGTTTCACGGATAATTTTTTTTTTTTTGAAGGCTTTGCCCGCTATTCTGTTAAGCGTTTTAATTATTACTGTACAATTATTATCAACGATATTATATAATACACTTTTGAAAAGTACAACACTATTTTTTTTTTCGATGTGACACTCTTTTCTAAAAGCATACAACACTGCTTTTTTTTTAAAAAAAAAGTGCAACATTTTATTTTTATTTTGGTTACTGGTATTTGTAAAACCTTATTAACTCCGCACATAATGACTACCTATTGTTATATGTTTGACAGCAAAAAATAGAACTAAGTCTTGGCAGACTTTTGAAAAAAAAAAAAGTACGGGATTTAAAAATAAAATATAACCAAAGTAATAAATTAAACCAACCTTTCTTTATTTTATTTATTTATTCATTTTTTTTTCTTTCTTTCTTTCATATAAACATTTATTGATTAATTCAACTTTTCTTCTTCATGTCTTTGCTATGCTATTATATAGTATATTATTTATTATTTATTAATTTATTTGTTCAGGCTTCAGAATTATATTGTATTAAACATCAACATAGAGCTCATGATACGTTGCAAAAATGTCAAATATCGAAGGAACGACCTATTTCAGTAATAGCATTGTCAAATGATGATGTTGCTATGAAAATAAAACATAATAAACTTCATTTTGATTTGAACTGTTTAGCAAGCGATTCTGAATGTGAAAGTGTTCATGCTACGATAAAGATGGCAACAGAAATGATTTCAAGAGTATTTCGGTTCGAAACACGTCTAATTATAAGCGCATCTTACTTTAGCTTTTGCACAAAGTTTAATGATTGTACTGAAAAGAGCGATTATGCATCCATTGGAGAAGCATATCCTTCTATATCTTATATTATGGTTGATAATACCGATAATTTAATAAGAATGTATCCTCAACCTTTATTGAAACAATTCACAGATTTAGATATAAAGCCAAATTGGATACATTATGATATCAATGCACAATTTAATAGCGATGTTAATTGGTATTTTGTGGTAATATATATTTTTATATATTGTATAATGTACATGTTTTATATACTCACACCTTTGTCCCTTTTTTTTTTCTTTTTTTTTTTTCTTTCCTTTCCTTTCCCGTCCTTTAATTATTATAGGATAATCCTAATGAAATCAATCAAGGTCAAACAGATTTCTTAAGAAATGTTATACACGAGATCATTCATGGACTTGGATTTGTTACTTCTTGGTCAGATAGCTTTTATTCTGACTTGGCACCTTTATTTCCGATGAATATAAATAAATTTATTACACCTTTCCTTCTTGCTTCAGCTGAAAACAAAGGCAGTCTTACGAACTATCAAGCTTCTCAGCCATTTTGGGGTTTTGTCGAATTTCCATTCGATAAGTTCATATCCTATACAACATCCTCTGGTGAATTAGAATCCTTTACAAACATCACACAACAGCTAAATAAATTCGGCAATTCGAATATTATGTTTAAAAATACAGTTGATTTAGCCAATGCCTGGTATAACTCGGATGCATATCATCAAGCCTCTCAAATTTATATAAAGGCAAATACATCTCTTGATGTAATGGCAGTCGTTGATAATGAATTGAATATTTGGCTTGAAACGGCTATTCCATTTTTATCAGGATCGTCTCTATGTCATGTCTCTGAGGCCATCTATTTAAATACCTCAGACTATCTCATGGTCTATTTTGCTAATAAGGGTGTTGATCTAAGTCAACTAGACTCTTTATATCCTGATGGTCCTATTGGCCCTAAATTACGTACCTTAATGGGTGCCCTTGGATATCGAATGCACAATACATCCATCAAAACAATTCGACCCAACTTATCATACTGGTCTCCAGCTCAAGATTTAGTGGGGACAAAGTCAAACCCACAACCTTCTCTTAGTGTCTATACAAATGGACCTGCTCGTATTCCTGTAGCAAATAAAACACCAATCTCTGAACACGTTAGTTCTTCTGCTACTAGGAATCCAACTTATCATCATGTATCGATTTTAATTGTTTTTATTGCCTTACTTTTAATTTAATATATACCATTATCATTTTTAACTGTTTATATATACATAACTCTACCCTATTTTCTTAATTTTGTACATTATAATAAATATTTATATACATTATTTAATTAAAAGAAAAAAGAAAAAGGCAGAATATGATGTGTATATACATGTATGGTCGTTTTATTTTTATATATAGACAGAAAACTATCATGTAGGGTTGATTATCCTGATGTAAAAATGCCTAACAATAAATAAATAATGGATCCTACAAAACGAAAGATACCCAAACCACAATTGATCCAGAGCATAATAGACATATATGTTGTGCCAACAGATTCATTAAATATGGACTCGTATTCAGACGCAGTAATGAATACAACAAGTAATGCATTACATGCAATCCATACAAGAACAAGATGTGTTCTAAAAGATCTATAATAATCATCTTTAGTTAAAGATCCACCCTCCTAAAAGAAGAAAAAAAAAGTCAGCTGAATGAATATTTCCCATTTTATTTTATTTTTTAATTGTTGGTTCATACTTGGTGCTTGAGAGGTTTTTCATCAAGTGCTAATAATACTTCATCATATTGACAATTAATATCGTATTTATCGGCAGGTAATTCAATTTCTACAGTTTTTACTCCTTTATTTTGTTCTTCTACTTTAACTACACCAAGATCCTTTGCAGTAGTATTATCTCCTTTAGTCCCCCAGCTAATTATACATTATTAATTATTATTAAAAAAAAAGAAAGAAAGAAAGAAAGAAAGAAAGAGAGAGAGAGATCGTTTACCTTACGTCATGTGTATTGCAAAATGCATAGATATTTAAAATGTTAATGTAACCAGGTAAAAGTAATAAATAAGGCAAGAAGCTAGTAAACATATGAAAAGGCTGACAATGTAAACAACTTGCAACAAAATAAATACCATAAGTTGATCCTAAAGAAATGATCATATTTCGTAATCCTGAATCATTCATTGCAATATTAAAATTAGTTGTTGTATCATAAGTCCAATTATATTTTTTAGCCGCTAACTGGATTCCTTTATAGATGAGCCATGACGAACAAAACAGCATATAGCACATAATACATGCAAATCCAATCAAGCATGTCATAAACAAAAATTTTGAACTATATTATATATTAAAACAAGTTAGGATTTTTTTGATGTCTATGTTTATATTGATTGTTTGCTTTATTTTTATTTTTATTTTTTATTATTATTACCTTTGAGGTCGATTGCCCATAGAACAAATGAAAATGATAAATAGCAAAAAAGCATAAGTGTATTTACACAAGTCAAATATTCTACCTCCCCATCCATTCCCAAATGGATCTACATTTGATGCTGATAAACTTTTTGTTATAAAATAGAATGCAATATAAAAGTTGCCCTATAATAATAATAAAGCCCTCATTAAGGATGTTTATATATACGTATTTATTAAGATTCTTACCACAGCAAACCAACTAAAGATTAAACTAATCATATTATAAATCCCTTCAATTATAAGTAACAAAGTTCGATTAACACCATGTCCACTATTCCAAAACTTTCTAAAATGAATAAGTCCATAGATGCCTGCAAAAAATGATCCATTAAGCCATCGTCTTCGTTGTGAAATAAATTCCGGTAGCTGATTAGGTACGTCAGTCTCTGCAAAGGCACTGTCAACGTACTGCAATAACCATCTCTCATTCTTTTTGGCTACTAATTCAAAACATAGGATTCGGTCCTCAGCAAGATACATGTTTGCTTCAAATAGATTCGACTTTGCTGAATTGGTTGCGTGTAAGTCCTCGCCCATAAAATATTTTTCCAGTGGTCCATGTCCGTTTACATCATTCTTTAGGGCTGCATAACGATAAGCTGAAAACGCGCCAGGTAGGACACTGATGTATCCAAAGACACTCTCAAGTGGCTTATCAAGGATATTAGACATTTTATATTCAAAATTTTGAGCTGCTACAAGTGGATTAATAAAGAGTTGATATCCTGCTGTCCCTGTCATTGCACGTATCTCTCCACACGCACCTCCTATTAGGGGGTTACGATGAAATACTTTCCAAAGTTGATAGATACTACTGTTACCAGGACGTGTTCCTACATCTAATAGAACACATATGTTCGGTTGAATGATAGGTCCAAATGCATTAAAGAACCAACGATGCGAATTAATTTTTTTTGCGTTTTTTTCTTTTAAGCAAAACATAACCTGAACTGGAACGATTCCCTATAGTATGAATTAGAGCAAAATAATAATAATAATAATAATAATGTACCTTATCTGATCCTTTAATGTTCATATCCGAGTCAATTGAAATTTGTGTAGTGTACTAGCCAACAATATAAATATATATACATATATATATTTAGAATGGATACAGTTGATATTTGTATTATAATATATATACATGTATATGTATATATTTTACTTCATAAATATGTGCTTTGACAGGCTTATCGTCTATAATATTTTTAGCTATTCCTGATTGATATATTCCCATCGAAGCAAGTACGTTCAAGACTCTTTTGTTCACTACTTGTCTACCATCTGCTACAATACAAACAACAATTTTTTTCCATCCTTCTGGTCCCCAAACAGGATTCTTTTTTAGACTGCAGATATGAGCAATATTTTTCATTACACCATGTAATGTTCTAGTTAATAAGATTTCATCTTCCTATTTATAACATTAAGAAAAGAAAAAAAAAACCTTTTTTTTTTCTTCTTTACATTATACATAGTCATCACAATAAATAATTCTGTTTCTCTTTTGTAAATTTTTGGTCTCAAGGTAAAGCCTTTTGCTTCAAATTCATCAGGCTCACAAGTAACTGCCGTATATCGAAGCTTAGAGAATTCCTCATGTTCATTAAAGGTCAGTGCACTCAAGAGCCTGTCCGGTATAGGACAATCCACCACAAGATTGTTATTTGTCAACTCAAGTCGCCTACGAGTCATCTTTCTACCTAACCCAGTTTGAGGAGACATTTTAGGTGCATCTAAATAGGATTTAGTGCCTACAGGACTCTCTCGTCGCTTCTGTGATCTTAATGATGATAATGTTTGCTGGTTTCTTTGATAGTTCGACTCTTGTTGGTTACTTATCAGTTCTGTTTCTTCACTTTTGGATGTGAAAAACCAATTTGTAAACCAATTTCCAATATTTCCTTCTTCTTCTTGTTCGTTGGTAGCCTTTGAAGTCATAGATAATAAAAAGAGGTATGAAAGTAATATAAATGAATAAATGAATAATAATAATAATAAAAGATTTGGTATATAGGCAACAGTGCTGAGTTTAATAAACCCATTGATTGCCTAAAGCGTTGATTTGTTTTGATGTTCATATCCATTTTAGCAATTTTTTTTTTCCATTTAAAAGAGTTTATTTAAAATAAAAAATAACCAATAAACACATAACAATTTCATTATACTAGTATATTGCCCTAGCCAGCCCACTTCCCTAAATAAAATAAAAAAAAAATTGATAAAAACCTCTTCGGAATCATGGGGACAAAAGAGCAGAAGAAATCAGAAATAATATATTACAAGAATATCATCCATTTGACACTAACAAGTTTGACAGAAGGAGAAAGTATTTTGTGAAATAGATAATTTCATTTTATGCAGAATGGTACAGATCACTGGCGAACAAATTAACCAAAGGGAAGTTAATTACAGAGACTTTGATTTCTTCAGGGGGGTAGTTTTAGTTGAGAAAAAAAAGAAAAAACCTCTCCTTCATCTTTCAATGTAAATCTCACTCTCAACTATTACCTTGATATATATATTTTTTTTTATCAACGTAATGATCATATATTCTCAATTATTTAATAGCCTATTTCTCTTTTTATCAAAACTTTTTCTTTTCTCATTTATTTAGAAAATACATTATTCCTTTACATACTTTATTGCTGCAGTGACTTCATTAAAGTACTTGTATACTTGTACAATTCTGGATCACTATTTAACTTTTCTATTCTATCTAAGGATAACGCACGAATAGTTGTAATGATATCACTAAAGTCTTGACTCACTTATAACAGTGTTAATACTCTATACATATATTTATATAATTTTATGTTACCTGATCTCCTCTTAGCTGCTTCAACTATTTTACAAAGTAATACACAAGCATTACATTTAATTTGAATAGGAATTTCATTGTTTTCTGAACATATATCATCTATAAGCACTTCAAAAAATGAACGTTGTTCGACTTTCTCCTTCTGATCCACTTCATCTTCCTCATGATGATGAATAACGAATAAAGGTAAAGCTTTATTGTTATTATTAGTATTATGATTACATTCAGTTAATAATGCACATCATTTACCTTTATCTAATTCAGACTCTAAAGTTAGATCCGAAAAAATCAATGTCAAAGCCATGATTCCATCGTTTTTTAAAATAGAAAATGTGGATATTCGAACAAGTTCTATAATAGGTTCCATAATATTGAATTCCATTAATTTCATCTTTAAATCAGCATTATCCTTTTCGATCCAAACCGTTTTTACAAGATTTGTTAATATACGTGTTGCTTCACTTTTAGCTGCTACATCATCTACTCTTTTAATAAAAGATATGACATGTGATAATGTATTATTTTCTTGAATGACTTGTTTAGCATTTTTGTCTACAATTAAAATAATAATTGATTAGCGCCTATAAAGTATAAATCATATTCTTTTTTTTCTTCTTCTTCTTTCTTTACAGTTTCCCATAACAAGTAATTTTAAAATGCCAATTGTAAGGAATTGATTTCTTTTAAGCATATCTTTATCAAGTACTGGAGTTATAATTGCAATACAATCACTGTTACCAATCATTTCCTTATTTACAGTTGGAAGACATAAATGTTTTAAGCAGCCCAGAATTGCATATTGAAATGTTGCATTTTCAGTTGTTTGATATAGATTTAATAAAAGTTGAGATAAATGATGTTTTTCGACCAACTCAATACAATGTTCATCTAATAATATAAAGTATTAATAAATGCAGCTCTCAGCAAGGAAGACCTTGTATATGTATTATTTACCAGATCTTGCAAGATTTCCAAGAATATAAACAGCACATTGATGTACAACTTCAGATTCATTATTTTTTGCCATATTTAAAAATCGTTCAAGTTGAGTATCGTATAATTCATTCATTTTTGAGTCTGTGGATGAAGCATAGATGGCGATTTTACTAGCTGTTTTTTGTATATCTTCTAGTCTCTCTTTGTCATCCTTCTCGACCTTTGAATATTCAAGAAAGTCTAATAATGTAGGTAAACCATTCATATCTATAATTTCATTCTGAAGATCATCTATAAAGATATATATATATATATATACAAGATTCCTCGTTATGAACTAGGCTAGAATGAGTGTCTTTTATATAAAGTATGATTACCATCGTCCATTATAAGTTGTAGTAAAGTGTCTACCAAATTTTCCATATTGTCTAACTCATCCATATATTCTCCAGATTTAAAATAATATTCAATCATATTCATATAAGTCTTTACAGTTGAAGGTGTTGAAATAGTTTTTCGTGCCTTATCTAATTTTATATTATAAACATGTATTTAATTTTATACGAACTATTTTATATTACCTTCTGCAACTAAATTGTCTAGAGTCTTTAATGCCAATGTAATAGAACCATCATCTACCTTTTCAGGCTCTATTAGAGCTATCAATTTTTCAGCTATTCCTGTCTCTGCTATTTCAATTTGAATAGGTGCTTAAAAGAAGTAAAAAAAGGGGGGGGTGAATATTATTTATCCTATTTTTTATTTTATTTTTTATTGATAATGACTTACCATAGTCCATGCTACTATTTAAACAGAATCCACAAGCAGTACGAATTAAATCAGGCAAATCCCTATTATCAAAATAAGGTGCTATAATAGGAAAAATACCAGCATCTTTCACTCTTTTACGATTATCCACTAAAGAAAAAAAGAAAAGAAAAAACAAATATGAATACCTTTTTTTTTTTTTTTTTTTTTTGTTTCACTTTAATTTACTATGATCAAAGCATAAATTGCCTAATACCCGGAGTGCCTGAATTTGAAAATCTGTTTGTTTTCCAGAAGCCATTTTTAATAGTTTTGATAATGTCTCAATAAGACCTGATTCTCCTAAGGGTGAACGGAATGATGCTATATAAAACAGTCCATCAGTATTTATGTTTAATTTGAAATCAATGTGTCTTTCTTTCTTTACGTTCACGTAGGTTGTCAGCTAATGTCTTGCAAATGTTAATAGATGATGTCCAATCATTTGTTTCTAGGTTTTGACTCAAAGTAGTTACTAAACTCAAGATGGAATCATCTTCAAATTAAAAAACAAATCGGTTAAAAATGAAAAGAAAAAAGAACAAATCTGGAAAAAGGTGCTTCTTTTTTTTTAGCTTTTTACCTTTAAGTTCAGTCTTGGAATCTTTGAAAACAGGATTCATTGTTAAGTATATAAACAATTAGATACTCGCGTCTTTTTTTTTTTTTTTTTTTCTTAGGACAGAATTATTCATCATATAATTTTAAAGTCCTTCGTCATAAGATATATTTTCTTTATTATGTGACTGTAAAAAAAAAAGAAGGAAAATAACATATAACAATATGACGATCACTGGTATAATAACTTTAAAGTTATATAGCAAGCTCATTTTTATTTTATGTTTGTCAGCAAGTAAATAGCATAACATGTTAAGCTCTTTATAAGCCTATGTCTTTTTATTTTATTTTATTTTAATAGATAATGTATGATTATTAAATAAAAGGTTATTATTGTATATACGTTTATTATGTATATAAATAGTAGTTAGTATGCATAGGTTAGCCATTTTATTCGTTGTATATACAAATGCTATATGCATTTAAAGAATGAAAATATTTAAATCAAGACGAGCATTAATCATAATATAAGAAATCTTTAAGACTTGACTGAAGTGAACAATAATAAACAACAAAAAAAAAAAAGGTCTTGAATCATTTATAAAGAGACGAAAAAAGGGGAAAAAAAAACTCCTCCCATCTTGCTTTTATTTAGTGCTTGAATTTATAATGCGTTCTATTATTTTTACTGCTATTGCTCTCTTTACTGCTTCAGCATGGGCTACAAAGAATACAGACTTTTATCCTGTCAATTTTGCTGCTGATGATGCCTTTGCTGATAATACTGTGGATAATGCTGTTGGACTTAATAATACATTTGTTACTTTCCGTTGGAGAGGTGATAATGTCTTTGCTGTTGAATCCTTTGACTTTAATCTTGAGGATAATGCACGTATTCAAATTACTGATTATAAGAATCGTGGTGATATGTTCGAAGTCTTTGACAATGGTGCCTCCTTGGGCCTTACATCACAAGTAGATAACATAAAGGATGATCAAGTCTTTATGGCCACCCCTCAAGAGGCACTTGATGATGAACGTTTCAGTAGAGGTGTCTTTGATTTGGCTAAAGGACAACACAAGATTACCATTAAGGCTGTTGGTCCTTATAATGCTGGTACAGCTGCTATTCGTATCATGGATCATGCAGATGTTTCTTTCCATAAGAAGGAGAACAATAATAATAATAAGAAGAAGGGTACTCGTGGAAGATATCGCCAACAAGGATATGAATCTAAAGAGGAGACAAGTGAAGATGATAAAGACTCATATAAAGATGATATGGACTTTTATGGACACGGTATTGAAAGTAACAAAAATGGAATGAGTGGCAGTGGTAGTGGCAGTGGTAGTGGCAGTGGTAGTGGTAGTGGTAGTGGCAGTCGTAGTGGTAGTGGTAGTGGTAGTGGTAGTGGCAGTGGCAGTGGCAGTGACAGTGGATTTGAATACAATATGCAAGCAGATAAAGATTGTGGTATCCATAATCATAGAGGACTATCAAATCAAGAATATGATCTCTCTCATACTATTACTTTTACCAAGACCAAGTGGGTTGTTCAATTGCCTAGCCACATCTCTCATAATGATCACAGTGATCAATCATATCTTTATCTTACTGAATTTGACGAAGACTATTAAGCAAAAAAAAAAAAAAAAAAATAACATTTAGAACATCTTTATTACCCTCTTTATAATTTATTCTTTTAATAAATAAATAAATAAAAAAGACAATAGTTATTTATTCGTTTTGTAAAATATATGCGTATTTTAGAATTAAATTATTTATAATACAAAAGATTTTATTTTTTATACTCTTGACATGAATGTAACAAGAAGCTGACATAAAAATAAAAATTTTGTGTGTGTCTGCATTTTTTTTTTTTTTTTTTTTTTTTTTTTGTCACTGTTGTTGTTGTTGCGGTTATTTTTTTTTTTTTTTTTTTTTTTTTTTTTTTTTCAAATAGATATATTGTTTTAAATACATGTATTCATTTTATATGAATCTTGTATAAATAAATTAATACAAAATGGTAAATCATAAACAAGTTTCTTATATCAAAGACAAAACTAACATTGACCAATAGACTACATCTACATCTTCCCCTACACCAACAACAAGAACAACAAACACTACTACTTCTACTATATCTCCAACAGTCGACAATGATAAACACATAGGACAGCAAGTAAGTGCATGTTGTTTTTTATACACATGTAGATAACGCTTTATTAATAATGATTAATCCTTTTTTTATTTTTTTTTTTTAAAAAAAAAAATGAAGATTAGCCCACAAGATGCAGTGACAGCAGCTATAGCACAAGTTATGCATTCACTTCATAATAATCATACACAACAACAACAACAACTAACACCTTCATTACATGTTCCACAACAACAATCTCATTCTATTGTAGGGAATACAACCACTACTACTGAAGAAGAACCCGTTTATGTAAATGCAAAACAGTATCATCGTATTTTAAAACGTAGAATGGCGCGTTTTAAATTAGAAGAACAATATAAAATTGCAAGAAATAGAAAACCTTATCTTCATGAAAGTCGTCACAGACATGCCATGTCGAGACCTCGAGGACCTGATGGACGTTTTTTAAGTATGTCATATGTAAAATGAATGTTTTCAATTTGTATTAACAATTTTTTTTTTTTTAAGCTGCTGCTGAGATTGCAGCATTAAAGAATAACCAAGAGCAACAACAACAACAACAACAACAAATAAATAACAATAATAATAATAATACTAATAATAAAGACAACACACATATTTAAACATCTTTATGCTCTATGAACAAAAAAAAAAAAAAAAAAAGTTTATATGTTTATTTTAATGCTTTCTTCTCTATTTTTGTATATGTAATAATGTAATTTAACAGAACTTCCAATGATTACCGCAACCAACACAAGTAACAAAGGTAGTCATAGGTTCATCTGCACTTCGAGTTTGCATTTGGAAATAGGTACATTTTCTACCGCCACATTTACCACATTTGAACATATCAGTCTCTGCTTGAGCAGATCCAGCACCTCTTGCCTTAAAGAGGGCTTCTTCAGCTAATTTACGATCACGTGCTTGTGCCTCTTCAGATGCCATTTCTTCTACCCCCATCTTGCATAGTTTACTAACTGATAATTCACCACTCACAACACTTTCACGTAATCCTGGATTATTCTTATTCTTAAGATTAAGAGCAAGTGATCGTACCTTGTTCTTATAGTTTTGATTGACATCATTGTATTCTAAATAGAGTGTCTTTTCGATAGCTAATGCTCGCTTTATTAATAAATCTGAATCTAAAGAAAAAAAAAAGAAGAAGAAGATGATGAGTTCCCAACCTTTACTGATTTCTATTCTATTCTATTCTATTTACTTACCTGCTCCACATCCAAAGGCAATAGAGTTATAGATAAGCTCAATTGTTTTATCACGAGGACCATTTCCTGTTGAATGAAAAGTGACTTCATCTGATTTCATAGTACGAGGTGGACCTTCGATTGAAGGTGTCTTTGGTGAAGAAGCTTGAGATGAAGAAGGTGAAATCTTTTTAGAAGTAGGTGGTGTTATAGTTGGTGTATTAATAGCAGAACTAGTGGTATTATTATTAGTTGAATTACGAAGCACGTCTTCTTTCCATTTCTTAACAACTGATTTTGCTTTAATAGATAGCTTTGTATCTTTATGTGATCTTAATTTGCCAACAATTTTGCCAATATCCGTTTTCTATTAATGTGAATTTTGTGTAAATTTATACATTCTAAACTAAATAAATAAACATAGATATTTGTATATATTTATTTATTTATTTTTTTATTTTTTTACTTTTAACACTTCGCCTGTCACTTTAATTTTTTGTAAAGATTCCAAAATATCTAAGCAAGTCTATATAGAATGAACATGAATACATAAAACAAAAGAATTTTTTAAAAAAAAAAAATAAAATAAAAATAAAAAAAAAAACTGTTCAGTATTTACTTGAACATTATCTTTTTCTAAAGCTGATTGGATTGAGCTTTTGGCTTTAAGAAGTTCTTGTTCTGTACTCATAATATATATAGTAAAAGAGAGAGAGAGAGAGAAAAGAATTAAATGTTTTTTAAAAAAAAAAAAAAATTATAAGCTTTTGAACAAAAAAAAAAAAAAAAAAAAAAAAAAAAAAATTCAATCTCAGTAAGAATCTGGCAGAGAAGAAAATCAAACGTTGTTTAAAAGACGACTGCTGTAATAAATTCAATGAATTCCCTTAGATCTAGATGTTATTTCTAGGAATAATAGTAATTCTATTACCTGTAGTTATCTTGACACCCTTTCACTAGATGAAAAGGGGGCTATAATGTGTTATTCATGACACTATTATTTCAACTCTTTATTTTAAAAGGTTGTATTAATAACTAGAAAGGTCAACTCTTCTTATTACAGCTCATAAACATTTCTTTGAATTGAATTATGTCAAAGTATCATAATATCTTTATTCCCATCAAGACCTTTTGTAGTATTAATATAACAAGTAGTGAATTAGACTTTTAAAATGACGTAATGAAATGCTATATTTAATACGCAATCATAAATAAGAATTGATAATAGAATGATGTGTCTTTTTTGATTATAGTTTTCTATCATTATTATTGTTGTTGTCTACTACCACTACATTATATGTGTACTTTTTTTTTCCTGAAAAAAAAAAAAAAAAAAAAAAGTCCGAGAAATAACTAAAATTATCCGGACCGGAAAAATGTTTCCTGATTCAAAATGATGAATTTACGTGTGCGTTTGAGAGTTTGGCCAGACAGAGAAGACAGAGGCGTGGGGGTGCTTAGGTTTGAACAATATCAAAGCAATCCTTTAAGATCTTCCCTTTTTATTTTCCATCCTACGTTATACAAGAAAGATGAAGTTCTCTGCTGGTAAGATGGATTCATCAATCAATAGATTTATGTTTGTTTTAAAAATGAGATGGATATTAAAAGAAGATTCAACGAACAGTCAACACAATTGAATTATTATATATGTGTGCATATAAAATACACTGCATGTCAATTGAACAATGTCAAGCATTATGTCAATACAGTTTTGACCCTTTAGAGTCTATATATATATGTGTATACGCAGACATACACACACACACATACACACATACACACACATACATACATACATACATACATACATACATACATATATACACACACGTACACATGTACACACGCACTCGCACTCGCACGCACACATATACAGAAAGACATATACATATACACATTATCTATAACAATATGCCATCTCATTTTTTTTTAAAAAAAACAAACTTTTTTTTTCCTTAAAGCTACTTGGATGTTAACCTTAATTTCTGCTTAGATGTTAGCTCCTCCCGTAGAAAGAGCAGAAAGGCTCATTTCACTGCTCCCTCTGATGTTCGTCGTAAGATCATGAGTGCTCCTTTGTCCAAGGAACTTCGCGAAAAGTACAACGTTCGTTCCATCCCTGTTCGTAAGGATGATGAAGTTATGGTTGTCCGTGGTACCTACAAGGGCCGTGAGGGTAAGATCACTCAAGTCTACCGTAAGAAGTGGGTCATTCACATTGATCGTGTTGCCCGTGAAAAGGTTAACGGTGCCACTGCTCCCATTGGTATCTCTGCCTCCAAGGTTGTTGTTACCAAGCTCAAGTTGGATAAGTCTCGTCTTGCCATTCTTGAACGTAAGGGAAAGAAGGAAGCTATGAAGCAGGTAAAATAAGATTGAATTCAAAAAAAAAGAAAATGTATACAGTTTAATTAAACTAATTTATCCTCTTTCTGTTTAATGACTATAGTAAATTAACTTGTAAAAAAATAAAGTAAAGAAAATAAAGGAATACGACAACTATTCTAGCTATTTTTCTTTTTATTATCATATTTTTGTATAGTTTATATTATATCATTGGAATCAATGAAAAAAATATACTTGTCTTGGTTTTTGTAATGGGTATATTCTACTAATTTTCAATGGGAGAGAAAGGGGGGGAATGAGTAATGTTGAGAGAATCTATTTATTCTACTGTTAATTTAATAAAAAAAAAAATAGATTTACACTCTTTCTACATATTTAACAGGAAAGTAAATGAAAGTGTGTCATGTACGTCACGTTTTTTTTTTTTTTTTTTTTTTTTTTTTTTTTTTTTTTGAATTATTCTTATTATCATTATTATTTTAGAAAAGAAACTATAATTGGTCAAAATATACAAATTTATAATTTTTTTTTTCTCTTTTTATTCTTTATTTTATTCTATAATAAACTTATAATAATCATGTCTAGCATCTATAACACTTCACGTTTGGATAAAGGGAAAGCACGAACCCCTGTTCCTCGTCGTGTAGGTGCTCCCTTACGTCCAGGCGTTGTTCCACAGCGTGTGCTTCAACAGCGACAATTTCAACAACAACAGCAACAACAACAACAGCAACAAGCAGCTGATATTACATTTAATGAGTTTCATCTCATGTCAGTTGCAAAACGAGGACAACATCACTTGATGGATTTCAAAACCAATAAAGCAATCGATCCAAAAAACTTTGCACGACCCGTCAAATTACATCGTAAAGAAACTAATTTTGTTCCCTATCGTCAATACATTCAAAATTTGAATGCACAAAACGCTGCTAAAGCTGCTAAAGCTGCTGCTGCTGCTGCTAATGCTGCTGCTATTATGGCTGGTAATTTGCCAACTCAAACAGAAGAATTAAATGAAGTTCCAACACCTACTCATCATGGCCCCAAGACGGGTGCAGATACTTCTTTAATTGCTCCCTTGGGGGGTGCTACTCGAAACAAGCAAATGTTATTTAAAAAGAGAACTAAACAAATTTATCTGGCAAAGGAGGATACAAGAGAGATTAAAGAACAAGAACATAGACCTTGGATACTAGAGGATTATGACGGTCAAAATAGTTTTACTGGAACCTATGAAGGTGGCCAACGTTCAGCTTACGTATTCTTTGTCTTGACTGTAAATATTATCTTTAAATGCTTATTAGAAATTATTTAAAAAAAAATACACATACTGGATACAATTTATAGGAAAGTGGTTTCAAAGTAGTCCCTGTTGATAAATGGTATAAGTTTCAACCAAAACGTAACTTTAAGACCTTATCACTAGAAGAGGCTGAAGAGCAGGTTTGTTTATTTATTTATACTAGTGTATAACTTTTGAATTATTTAATCATCGTTTTGTATACAGTTAAAGAAGCAACAAAAACGTGAAAATGGTAGATGGATGATGTTAAAGCGTGAAAGTGAGAATTCTAATTCTGAAGCTGATGCCAATCCTTCAAGGAAGTTCAAAATTGTTGATACGGGTGATAATAAGTAAGAGAATATATACATACATACATATAATATACTTACGTATTATTATAGTAGAGGCGGTTCAGACGATGAAGGTGGTAGACAAGATTCTGATATGGACGATCTTGACTTTGATGATGTATTCCAAGATGATGAAGAGGGTACTGGAGAGCATGAATTAGAAGATGAAGATGTTAGAGATAGCAAGGTAAAGTAAATCCACCTTTTCTTATTATTCGCTCGTGTATTTATTTTATGTATGCTTGGTATATAGGATCGTATCAAGAAAGAAATTAAGGACTATTCAATTACAGGTGGACAACAGGATGATGTTGATGAATTTGAAGACAATAATAAGTTAACATCTGAAGGCAAGGTATGAACCTGTCTAATTACGTTTATAAATTATAGATGACTAACATTTAAGAATTATTTAGCAATTACGTAAATTAGTTCGTGATCTTGAAAAGAATCGTGCTTATGAAAGTGATGATGATGAAGATCCATATGCTTCTAGTGTAAGTTATTTTTATTTATATATTCATATTTTACTTTGATTATACTTAATCTACGTACATAGGCCGATGAAGTTGAATCAGATCAAAACGATGAGGAGCAAAATGAAGAGAATGAAAAAGAAAAAAAAAATAATATGATGCCACCAAAGAAGAAGGCTACAGCAACAGTTAAACCCAACATACCAAAAAAGATGACTAAAATTAAAAAGGAAGAATTATCAAAGCCTATTAGTCGCCCAGGATCGCCATCATTCCAAATCAAAAAGGAAGGATCTATTTCTCCTAACAGACCTTCTTCGCCTGTCAATACAACTTCACAGATGCGTCCTAGATCTCCTTCTTTAGCTAGTCCCTCATCACCTCATAAAGATATTAATAAGAAACGTAAAATGGAAGAAATATCAGGTGGATCTATGACAGATAGTAACAAGCATAAAAAGACCACGACATCAACAACTTCATCAGATGAGGCTGGGCTTATTACTGAACAAGAAGTGATTAATACTTTACGTGGTAAGATTATGACGACTAAAGAATTCCTTATGAGCTTTAGAAAACGTATCAAGAAAGATCCCCGTAATCGTGATATTATTACTACCTTATTAAGAAAGGTAGCCAAGAGTAATAGATCCTCGGATCCTAATACACGTACACTTGAATTAAAGCCAGAATTTCAATAATTTAGTGTATAATAATGGTAGAGAGAAAGAGAGAAAGTGTCCTTATTATATTTTTATGTATATATTTATATTTAAAGGATTATAATAAAGTCATAAATTATATGCCTAATTAATGCTGGTTTTTTTTTTCATTAAAAGCACACATTTTGCAGATTAGTTCGCCGTGTTCATCGCCTTGCCACATGCCTAATAAAGACAATTAAATAAAATAAAATGCTAAATTGTGTATATATTCTTGTAATTACCTGGAACTCGAGAAGACAACAGTCTATTACATCGAGAACATTGAAAGTGATGAATATGATAGTCTTGGCCAAGCGCACTAGCAGATGCCTCTTTAATGATATCATGACAATAATGACAGATTTTCACATTTCTCTTAACGTCATTATTCAGCCTTGTTTCATTAGTGGTAGTGCTTTTCTTTTGTTGAATAATAGGCTTTGGTTTAAGAATAGGTGGAGGTATTTTCTTTTGTTGTTGTTGTTGTTGTTGTTGTTGCTGCTGCTGCTGTTGTTGTTGATGATGATGGTAATGTTCTTCACAATAAGGCCTATTTTTATGTACTAAAAATGTACCATTTCTAAATGGTTTTTTACAATCCTAATAAATCCGTATTAGACCATGGCTTGAGACAAAATAGTATGGATACGTTACTGCACAAGTAAAACAATGCTTGTGCCAACTTTGATCTAAGGCATTCACATATTCACCTAAAATATATTCTCCACATCCTCCACATTTCTTACCGCATACTTTCAAATAATCCTCCTGACAATAAGGCTTTTCTTCATGTAATAAGAACGAATTATTATTACCAAATGGCTTTTTACATAATGTACAACAAAAATGTCCTTCATGATAATGCTTGCCTAGGGCGCTAATTGATTTCTAGTAGACTATTTGCTTAGTTTTCTATGTATTTATGTATATATGTATATATATATATATATATATATTTAAGGAAAATAATATGCTATACCTGAATAATAGGCTCATGGCAATAGTCACAACGTAAACTAAATGAATCTCGATAATCTCTACTACAATAAGGCTTCCCATCTTTTTCAAAATATTGTTCATTTTCTAAAGTTTTCTGGCAGGTATGACATTTAAAGCAACCCGCATGCCAAATTGCGTTCATGGCAGATACAACAGATCCTTCAATCGGTTTATGACAAGCAGGACAATCTAATCCTGCATAAATAGGATTTAATGTGCGTACTTTATCTTGCTCGAGTTTTGGTGGGTGAGAATCGGTAGGTATAGCAGAAGATGTAGACGACAATGGAGTAGGAGTTATGGGTGATGACTGCTTTTGTGATGAGGAAGGCATTGGATAAGCCTGTTTCTGATGAGAAAAAGATGGTCTTGAATATAAAGTAGCTTCAAAAGGATCTATATGCTTGGATTGCTTTGAGTCGGAATGAGGCTTTGGCGTTTGGGGAAGTGTATCTATGAGAGTCCCTGAAGCAGATTGAAGACGCTTTATTTTATCTTGGATTGTTTGACCTTCTTCAATGGATAAGTCTTTCATGGGAAGAATGAGATCATTTTTAGCTTGGCTGTATTCGGTTGTTAATTTCGGTCTTGTTTTGCTTGAAGGTAAACCTTTAAGATAGCTCTCTATCATTTAGGATTGTTAATTTACAAAATAAAGATTACCCAACATAATTTACCAAGTTGATCTTTTGTCATGTATGACATAATATTATTAATTTTTTTGTTTTTTTTAAAAAAAAAAAAAGAAGCAAATCTGCATATTATTTTTAACCTAAATCCAAGACAAAAAAAAAAAAAAAAAAAAAAAAAAAAAAAAAAAAAAAAAAAAAAAAAAAAAAGCAACCAATAAAAAATGATTTTGACATTTTATTTATAGCGAGCATCTTTGATCATTACAGCTTTTACAAACGAGGATAAATGCTAATGCTAACCTCGCTTCTAATAAATAAGAATTACGAAGCTTTTTTATTTTTTATTTTTTCAGTACATACACATATATTTAAATATAACTTCTTTTAACCTCTATTCATCTTTGGGCATTTCACACCGTGTATTAATGTAATTATAATGTTAGCATTATTACTATCCATCTCTATATCCGAGCTTTTATATATGTATAAATGTATATATTTTTTATTTTTTGGTCTTTTAATATGCTTTTACCTTCAGAGCCTGTAATGCTGTTATATAAAATAATGAAACTAAAAGATTCTAGATGGTCGTTTCAATAATTAAAAAGATAAGGAATACATGTTAAATGCTTGCTAACTTGAGATACTTTAGTGGAAGGAGATTTAAGAATAGCATTAATTTCACACTCTCTCCTTTTTTTTTATTTGCTATAAAGTCTTTCGTCTATAAATGACCATAAAGAGTTTTATATTTATCATGTATGAGTCTCTTTATTTATTTATGTGAACAAATGCTAACAATTATAGTAATCAAATATTCAATGTTAAGCTATTAATAGAATCTACAAACATTGAACAGTTGAATATTTTTTTTCTTTAATCGAATCTTCTTATTAATTACATGATATAAACATGATTAAATAAGGCAATTGATTTTCAAAATATTATGTAAGATTCATTAAAATTATAAGATTTACAAAAGAAAAAAGAAATAGAAATATGTAGATTAGATAATTCATTCTTAGGTTTTCCCCAAATTAAATAGTATTAAAATTGAGAGACTTTGACACGTTGTAGATTATAGTTTATTTAACCATTAAAAAAAAAGGGAAAAAGCCGGTAGTAATCATTTGGTTACTAACAGCAATTAATAAGTGTGATCATCTTTTATCGGTTGCTATACCAACGAACACATGGTCGTCAAAGACGGAAGATTTTTATCAGCAAAATATCTATTTAAAGATTTCTATCTCTTCGAAGAGGTCAAATATTGCATAGTAGTGATTTTAAAAGAATGTTCTTCTCTTCATAACAACTATAATCACGTATATTATTGTATTCGGTTTTTTTTTTTTCAGTGGTCTAAATGTTACTATTATTATTATTTTTCTTTTTTGTTGTCTCGGTTAACTTTAATATGGAAAAAAAAACCCTCACTCCCTACTACTTCTTTAACTCGGTTTCTCAAATGACCAATAATCGACATCATACTACATGAACTGGACTATTTACAACATATTAAAGACTTAGCTTTACCTATACTATGTTCTAGAGAAATCAATTCCTTAAATTGCCCTGCTGATATTTCAAATATCTACTCCTTAATATTCTTCTCTCATTTTTTTTTTCTTTTTTTATCCTTATTATTTAAAAGGGGCTTTTTTTTTTCTCTTTCCTGTCTACTATTTTCTTGATCTGACCCAGATAGAAACAATATAATAATAAATTCATTCAATATTCAGAAACGAATAGTTCTTACATAAGGTAATTTATATATAAATTGGCTACACTACAAATTTTATAATATTGACAAAAAAAAAAAAAAAAAAAAAAAAGTCTTTATTTGTATTTTCAAAATAAGATTCGTACAAGCTTTTTATTTATTTAATACATACATACATGTATATATACAAATATATACTTACAAAGTGCTCATAACTCTTCTCTTCCCAAAATATAAATAAATAAATACATGCGTATATACATACACAAATTTCCGTTTACAGAAACAAGTGTATCTTATGCTCTTCAGGAACGTTCTAGCCTTTAAATTATCTTCTCATACAGCATTAATGGGACATTACTGTTTTTTAATACTATAATGTGTATCAAGATATGCAAAATTTTGCTTAATGAGATATACAAATCTTAGCAATCAAGACATAACTTATTAATTCAAATAAATCTTATAATTAGATAGATTTCCTTTATTATTATTATTATTATTATGTGAATTCCTTCTCTTCTTCCTTCCCATATATGTACACATATATTCTTCTTATTTTATTCATGTATATGTATGCATGCTTATATTAACAATGTAAAAATTTCTCTTATTCCATCGGATTTGTCCTGCCATCTTGAGGTCGTTTTTCTCTTTTACTCTCTCTTCTGCTTTGTAAAATAGTTTGCAAATTGACTTTAAAATATTTGTAAAAAGACTTTGAACGATCAGTGAATTTGGAGAAAAGTTCATTATATTTTGTCGGTGCTGGTGACGATAGATCTGTATTATTGTTTTGTTTGTATAACCTTGTTATCAGTACATCTTCCTCGGAAAATAGAGTACTTGTTGTAGATAGACCATCATCATTTATTAGTAATAAAGACTTCTTTTCTTGTAATAAGGTATAGTCGTTATAATAGTTCTGAAGCATTTTAGGTATAAGAAGAAGAAAAAAGAAAAAGAAAAAGAAAAAAGGGTATTATAATAGGATCAGTCATTATTCATAGTCTTTTTATACAGATGCTGATTTATTAAGGCGGAGCCATGTATAAAATAAATAAACTATTAAAAAGAAAAAAAAAAAAAAAGAGTAGCTTATTTCCATAGTTAGTCAATGTTTGACGTAATTGATAACGCTTAAGCTTCTCTGTTTAATTTTCTATTATAATGAAACATGAGTAGTTGTATTAAGGCACACTCACATACATACACTTTTTTTTTTTTTTTTTTTTTTTTTTTTTTTTTTTTTACCTTTTTTTATTTGTTGTGATTGGTATATTACTGTCTTCATACTCATCAATAGAATCAGCTAAAGATTCATCTAATGATTCGCCTAGATCAATATCATCTAAAGAAGTTACAACACCTGTTATACTATCCTTTTCAAATAAGAACCCAGTCAAGTCTTCTTCATCTGATTCATCTTCTGTTTGTGACATTGTGTTTGATGATAAGAAAGTATCAGTAGGGACTATGGGATCAAAGGTTATTGCTTCATTATCAGAAGGCAATTCAAATTCCTAATTTAATTTGATGAGTAAACAAAAAAAAAAAAAGCAAGCACATATATAATATAATATATTTACTAATTCTTTGTTTTCTTTCTGTTGAGTTTTAGAGGATTCAGGTATGGATAAGGTTGGTATAGTATTAGCATCATCATATTCAAAAGACCATGTATTGTCGAAGACCTTTTTTAATCGTTTATGACTTTCTTGCATAAGCTATTATATTATATACAGATTAGAATATGTATTATTATACAATAAATATTTACTTTTAATTTATGCTTTAATTTTCCATTTTCTTCTTTTAGTTTACTCAATGTAGTACGTATTTCTTGTTCTTGATTTGCATGATTTGTATTCAATACAATCATCTTATCTTCTCGTTTCTGTGATGATAAAATAGATAGTTTTATATAATAATTTAACAATTTTTTAGAACGTTGATGAATTTTATATGGATCACTTTTAAATTCCTTTTCTACAATTAGTTTCATTAATTTGCCCATACTTGTCTCCTATCAATACATGTATATATTATTATTAGTATTATCATCTTTATCTACCTATATCTACTATATATGCGAATAAGTAGTAAAAAAAATGTTTACCTTGACAAGTTCAAACGTAACATTTTCAAATTGCTCTATTTCTGTCATAAGTACATCTGCATCATGTGAGTACTATCAAAGATAATTAATATCTTATATAAATTTGAAGAAGAAAATAATAACCAATATACCTCTTCATTACGAAATATACTTCTTCTTAACTTTCTTCTTAAATTAAGGAACTTTGTATAAATGAATGAATTCTTATCCAATGGTTCTATATTTGTTTCTTCAATAGAATTTAGATTTTCAATTATTGCATCTTTTTCTTTTATTTGTGCTGCTAGTCGATTTAATTGCTCTTGTTGCTTTTGTTTATCTTTTTCAAGCTCGGAAATCTAGGAAAAAAATAACAAGTTATTTCATATATATAAGAAAAGGTGAGTGTTATTAATTTTACCTTTTCAAGTAAACTATGCTTTGTTGCTTCATGTTCATTTAAATGTACACACAATTTATCCATTTCTGTAGACATTGAATTTTGTTTGTCTTGTAGCTGTAAAAAAAAAACATAGAATAAATAGATTAGACTTATTTCAAATTCATATACACAAAAATACTTGTCTTTACTTGTAATAAATCTATATATAAATGTTAATATTATACTGTAAAGTCTGTGTTAAATTTGAATATATACCTTTGTAAATATCTTCATGATCTATTGAATGTAATCTTTCTCTAATCTCTGCTTTAGCAATATCATTCTATATATATAGAAAAGCGATTACTTTATGTTTTTATATTTAAAATATAGGTATGCATCTATTACCTCTCTTTTTAACGAAGACATATAAATCTCTTCCATTCTCTTTAATTCAATCTCCGTTTCCTTAGTGACCTGTTGTCTAATCTCTGTTTCCATGGTAGCACATCTTGTTTCTGCCTCCAACCACTAAATGATATCTAAGTCGACTTTTTTTTTTTCAACAAATTTTAATAATCTATATACCTTATTACGTAAATCTTCTATTTGTGCTATTAAATTATCAACAAAGGGATCTTCCGAGGACTCATCATCATCATCATCGTCGTCGTCGTCGTCGTCGTCTTCATCATCATTCATTAAAGACTCAATACCATAATACACTTTCTTTTGCTTAGGTGTTACTCGAAGTCGCTTATTCACTATATAAATCATTAAAAAAATGTTTTTTTTAAAAAAAAAGTCTTTTTCTTTACCATATTTGGATATATCCTTTAACTCTAATCTTGGATGAACACGTTTCCATGTAGCTACATCTTTGGCAACTGCTGAAAATTTCATAACGTGGCTATTTTCATCAAATCCTGTATTAAACGGGTTTACATTAACAACCATCACTGCCTTCCCATCACCTTCAAATGAGCTCTTGAATAATTCTGTTAATTTACTATGACGATAAGGAACTAGGGCAATTTTCTAAACATAATTTTTTTTTTAATACGTGTACATTTCATAATGGAACTGTATTTACCTTTCCAATTGCAGATTTTAACTGATTTAATCTTAATGTTTCCATGCACTGCCCAAGAACCATTAAGGATTTATTAATATTTCCTGCCTCCTTTAATCTTTGGCCTGAATTTAAGGTATTCCTATATCTTTCTGAGCCAGCCAAGTCAACGATTGAGAATTTAGATACAGTTGCATAAGTAGGGTCCTCAATGACATAATTATGACTGTCAATAGGTGCTCTCACAATACGAATTGTAAAGATACTATGACTTCGACTACTCGTCTGATTTATAATAGTCGAGTATTCAGCTCGATTCTTTTGCCCCTCGTATAAAATGGCGTAAGCCTCTTCAATAGATTTTACTTTCACTTCTTTTAGTCCAGCAATATATTTGTGTCCGCTCTTGTATTCGTATTTTAATGAGAGTGCTTTGCGTTTTTGAAACATGTTGTCTGGAGAGATAAGTAAATCATAAATCTTTTCAGTATAGATCTCTGCGAATGAAACCCAGATACCATATTCAAAGTTTGTATCGATCGCAATTGTTGTATGGTCTCTATTGATAGGCTGCTCTCCTGGAGCCCATAGATCAGGTAATTCATTCTCTGACATTGATCTATTCTGAATACGATTTAAAATATCCCTATTTTCACTTGCTTCTTCGTCATAAAGTTGAACAAGACTGTGCATAAAGGGCTTTAATTTTGCGTCACTCTTATATTCATTAATACTATTAAAGATAACATCTAACGTGCGAGGTAATAATCCAGGTTGTTGTTTGGTCCCCATAATTGAAAACGTCTTTCCGGAATTAGTAACGCCGTAAGCAAATATCAATGCATTCTCTCCTCTCAATACATCGTGAATTAAAGGCAATGTTGTTTGATTGAAAAAGTCTTCTTGTGTTGCTGATTCTGTAAATATTTTTGTAAATTTGTATCTTTCTGGTGTTCGATTCCTTGCGCGAAAAGCATTTGAATCCTACATATATATGTATGTATGTATGTATGTATGTATGCTAGTTAGTGAACGTATATTCCATCTCAATAGTTGTTATATGTTTATATATTACTTCAGGAGGTGTCATGCAAACTTCTAAATCATCAACAATTTGAAGATAAGGCTCTGGTATTAAAGGCTCGTTATATGATTGAGGACGGATACGTAAATAAGCCTGTTATTATAATTAGATGATCTATTTTTTTTTCTCTCATATATAGTGATTTATATAATACAAACCTTAATTGGTTCCTTTTCAGGATTATAGGCAAAAAAGTCAATGTGAGGATTTGGAGATGATGATGAAGAATGATGTGCTACTTTTGTCTCTTGTGCCATTGCAACAAAATCAGGTGTTCTAGGTGGCTTAAATGTCGGTCTTGAATAAGCAGATATATGACGAGTAGGCGTTCTATTAAGAGGTGTACGAGTATCTCCTCTTGTTGGTGTCCGTGGTGAATTATAAGGATAATTATATTCTTGACTCATGATGAGATAAAGAATGAATAATAGTATGCATAGTAGATAATCTTAAAAAAAAAAAAAAAAGAAAAAATACAATTTTTGTGGAAAGTCACATTAAAACTATACATCACTATTTTTTGAAAAGCGTGTAGTGGTTTTTTTTTTCTGTTTTTTTTTTCCTCTTTTCTTGAATCACCATGCCTCCACAACACCCACCTCAACGTAATGAGATAGTTGAATGGTACAAGTCTATTCCTCCTATAACAAAAGCAATATTTACACTCTCTATTGTCACTACAACAGTCGCTACTTTTGGACTTGTTTCACCTTCATCACTCATTCTTTATTGGCCAAATGTTAGGAATAAACTACAAGTATGACAAATTGTTAAACTTTGTTTTATTATTACTATTATTAATATTAAATGTTAGTTGTGGAGACTTGTATCATGTTTCTTTTTCAATAAACTTAGTTTAGGATTCGCATTTAATTTGTATTTCTTATACCGTAATTCAATACAATTAGAAAACGAAGTTTTTCAAGGACAGCCAGCAGATTATGTCTTTTTCCATCTTGTTACTTCAGGTCTACAGCTAGTTGTATCAAGTATTTTTGGTATTTATGTATTAAGTGATGGACTTTTACTTTCCATTGCTTATCTTTGGGCACAACATAATCGTGAGACACCTGTCTCATTTATGTTTGGTATACGATTTAAAGTAATTTTCCAATATAGCGAACTATAATGCAGTGTTTATTTTATTTATTTATATAATCATCTTTTTTTTTTCTTTTTTCTATTTAGGCTGCTTATCTCCCTTGGGCAATGATTATTACAGACTTTTTAATGACAGGTCATATTCCCAAAGCATCGATTGCTGGTATGCTTTCATCTCATATCTATTATTATTTGACAAATATTTATCCTAATCAAAATGGAGGTCGTCGTTATCTTCAGACACCTGAATTCTTGAAAAGATTCTTTCCTTCTACAACTTCAAGAGGTTTTAGAGGAGGATTTTCAGGAAATTATCAACAAACAACAAATAGTGGCAATAACAGTAGCAGTTCAACAAATATGTTCGGAAGACATAATTGGGGTCGTGGTCAACGTTTAGGTTCTTAATAAAACGAATTTACAGTGTATGTATATTGCGTTGACTTTTTTTTTTTTGTCAAATATATAATAATAATGTTGATTCTATTTAATGTATAAAGCTTATAAAGAAATCTATAAATACATATATATATATATCACTATCTTGAAAGAAAGAAGTTTGAAGCATAATTAATACTTTTATGATTAACAAAGTCTTTAAAATGAACATATTTTTTAGGGTTTTGCATTGATGATAAAAAGAAAAGATTACATTTTGAACCCAGTTTAATGCCTTCAAAAAAAAAAAAAAAAAAAAAAAAAAAAAAAAAAAAAAAAAAAAAAAAAAAAAAAAAAAAAAAAAAAAAACTACGTCATCCATTTCGCTGAATACATATATATTTTTTTGAAGAGAGAAAAGGGGGGTGTCAAAGCAACCAAAGCAGGGTCAAATTATATTGTTCGACTCCACTTTTTTTTATTTTTTTTATTTTATTGTTTTATAAGTCCTTTTTTTTTTGTTTTACTTTACTTATTAAATAACACTTATCCCCCCCTACTCTAATGTTTTCTCGGGTCGCCTCAAGTGCAGCAAAGCGCTCAGTACGCTCATTTCCTAAATTTTCTACTCAGGTATTGAATTACCCCACACGGCATGATTGTTTTTTTTTTTTTTTTTTTAGACATGTTGACCTTTAATAAATCTCAACTTTAGGCTAGATTCGCTTCTACTAAGCCCACTATTGCTCAAGTATGTTTATTACAGAATGAGAGAAAGATTGAAAAATAAAGGGGGAGACAGTTATATTAATGTGTTTTATTTTTTTTTTAAAAAAAAAAAAAGAAACCAATGCAGTTTAGTTTAGTGACAGGCGCTATTGTTAGTGCAACAGTTGGTGCTTATATGTATGCCGATGTTTCTGCCAATATGGCTGACGAAGGTCTTCATCCTCCTCATCATCCTTGGCCTCATAGTGGTCCCTTAGATACTTTTGATCACGCTGCGTAAGTTTTTTTTTTTTTTGCCTTTTCTAATACATGTAATATCATACTAATTTATTTTATGTTGTATAGTATTCGTCGTGGTTATCAAGTCTATAGAGAAGTTTGTGCAGCTTGCCATTCTCTTGATCGTATTGCTTGGAGAAATTTGATCGACGTTAGTCACACTGAAGAAGAAGTAAAGGCAATGGCTGAGGAATATGAATATCAAGATGGTCCTGATGATAATGGTGAAATGTTTATGAGACCTGGCAAGGTAAATCTATAGTAATAAATATATACAAATAGAGAATATAGAGTTGACTTGGGGAAGAACCGACACAAATTGACAGAAAATGATCAACTTACATTTTATATTGTACATGTATAAATATATATACATATAGCCTTCCGATTACATGCCTAAGCCTTATGCTAATGAGGAAGCTGCCCGTGCTGCTAATGCTGGTGCTTTGCCACCAGATCTTTCATTAATTACTAAAGCTCGTCATGGTGGTGAGGTAAAGTAAATATGATCTTGAACATATTTGGATGTACCTTAATTTTTTTTTTTTTTACTGAAAATAGGATTATGTCTTCTCTCTTCTTACAGGTTATGTTGACCCCCCTGGAGGTGTTGAAGTTCGTGAAGGTTTGAACTACAATCCTTATTTCCCTGGTGGTGCTATTGCTATGGCACGTACTCTTTTCGATGGAGTTGTCGAATATGAGGATGGTACACCTGCCACAACCTCTCAGATGGCTAAGGATGTTTGTACTTTCCTTGCTTGGGCAGCTGAACCTGAACATGATGAACGTAAAAAGATGGGTATGAAGGCTACAATTATTATAATTGGTTTGACTGCTTTGTCAATTTATCTCAAGAGATTCAAGTGGGCTCCTATTAAGTCTAGAAAGATTGTCTACAAGTAAAGTATATTAAATCCAAGTAAAAATCAAATGCATTATATTAATTTGTTCTTTCTTTTTTTTTTTTTATAGTCCTCCCAAGATTTAAATTATCCAAAAAAAAAGAAAAAGAAAAAAAAAAGAAAATCAGTTATATATTACTACCTGTAATAAAATATTTATTTTTATCTTAGTCTGTTATGCACTTTTTTTTTTTTAGTTAAAATATATTTACACAATAAAAATTATATTAGAATATAATCGTTATACAATTGAAGAAATGAAAAGTCATTCTTTGCTTTAAGATAAGATACATGTTCTTGAACAAAGTGTTTTTAATTGGTGGAAATAAATAAGGAGGGGAAGTATGATAGCTTACTTTAATATGTAAATACAAGGCTTTATGTATGTTATAAATAAAAATACATGTAAGCTTTTTTATTATTATTATGATTATTATTTATTGCTTGAAAACTTTATTGAATTCTCTGCCAATCAACATACGTCTAATTTCACTCGTTCCAGCACCAATTTCATATAATTTTGCATCACGTAAAATTCTTCCTGTTGGGTATTCATTTGTATATCCATTACCACCAAGACATTGAATAGCATCAAGTGCAACTTCTGTTGCTCTTTCAGCTGAGTAAAGGATAGCACCTGCACAGTCCTTGTTACTAATATTACCCTGATCGCAAGCTCTACCTACAGCATACACATAGGCTCGAGATGCGTTCATTTTGGTATACATATCTGCTAGTTTTCCTTGAATAAGCTATTTTGTATATGTAAATATAAATAAATATATATATATAAAGCATTTGCATATACCTGAAATTCACCAATAGGAACACCAAATTGCTTACGTTCATGAGTATAAGAAACAGCTACATCTAAAGCTGCTTGCATCAAACTAGAGAAAAAAAAACAATGTTAAATATTATGTTTTTTCCTTTTTTTTTTTTTTTTACCCTAATGGTCCACCAGATAAGACAAGACGCTCAAGGTCTAACCCACTCATTAACACGTAAACACCTTTATTGACTTCACCCAATACATTTTCAACTATGTATTTTATTCAACATAGATTTATGAATAGGTATATAATTCAGATTAGAATGACATAAACATACCTGGTACTTCACAGTCCTCAAAAATTAATTCACACGTATTTGAACCACGCATACCCAACTTGTCAAATTTAGGACCTCGAGAGAATCCTTTAAATCCCTATTATGATTTTTTTTTTTTTTTTTTTTTTGTTTAGAAAAAAAAATTCCTTTACTTGGTATTTCATATTTGTTACCTTTTCAATTAAAAAGGCTGTAATGCCCTTTGGACCTTTATCAGGCTCTGTCTTTGCATAAACAACCAAGACATCAGCATCAGGACCATTTGTGATCCAAAACTTATTTCCATTCAATACATAACGATCCCCCTTTCTTTCAGCTCTTAACTTCATACTAACTACATCAGACCCAGCACTGGGTTCAGACATAGCTAGAGCTCCCACATGCTCACCAGAGATTAACTTTGGTAAATATCTTGCCTTTTGCTCTTGGTTACCATTTCGAGTAATTTGGTTAACACAAAGATTAGAGTGAGCACCATAACTAAGAGCAACAGATCCGCTGGCTCTTGAGATCTCTTCCATCACTATCGTATGTTCAAGGTAACCAAGTCCAAGACCACCATACTCTGGAGATGCAGTAATGCCTAAAAGTCCCATATCACCGAATTTACGCCACATATCTTGTGGGAATTCGTTCTCTTTATCAATCGCTGCTGCACGAGGACTTAATTCTACATTTACCCAGTCATGAACTGCCTCTTGTAGTTCTTTTTGTGCAGGAGTAAGGTTTGCAATAGCTGCATTATAGGTTGAAAATGCTGCTGTTCGGAGAAACGTTTGTTTCTAAAATATACATATTATATACACATTTATATTTAAAAAAAAAAAAAAAAAAAAAAAGTTATGGCCTATTTACTTGGATACTATTTCTGTAAAGTCTGGCAGCAAACATTGGAAAATTGGTAAATAACAAAAAAAAAAAGGGAAAGGAAAAAAATATTCGTGAGAAAACACATAATCAATGTTTTGTAGTAGTCGTGTCAATTTACATTTCCCACGCGTTTATAATTCTGAGTGTTAAATCAATAAAGTTTTTTTTTCTCCACATCTATTATAGTTTTTACACTTTGAATTCAGACGACGAATTAAAATTACTTTTCGGATGATTTGCTTACCTTTTTTGGATGAAATAAAAAAGGAAATTCAGATAAAAAAAGTTAGCTTTAGAAGAGTTTCAACAAGAAATCATTCATACCTTTAAAAATGTAAAGAGGTATTCATCAACCATTACTACTTCTAACTGCTGTCCACAATACCTCTTCAACGCTTTTGTAATAGTTCTGACCGGTAACGACCTGTTGCCTTGTGAACTAGTATTAAACCACACCATCGCCCAAAGCAATGATCGTTTTTACTGGCCTTTCTTTATGGTCAGTCGGGGTAGATGGATAGAATTTGCTTATATTATTAATAACTGACTTTACACCAGTAGATGACTTCTGATGATATTTGCTGCTGTTATAGACGAACCTCTTGCAAATCTCATGCACACCTTTTTGTTTCTTCATGTAATATTGGAATTACAGTTTGGACTTCCTATAAAATTTCTCTTTTGTAAGTAAACAAGCAAACTATTATAGTGTCTAAACACTTACCAATTATTCTCGTTATAATACTTTTTTAATATCGTCATATAACGCGAATCTTTCTTTGCATGCTTTAATAAAATCATTGATATTCAATGTCTTCAATGAGCTCAGGTTTGATATTTTCGAGTATTAAGCCATGTGTTGCTTCTGATGCTGATTTCGTATAAATGTTGCATCATTATAACCACATAAATGGTAATATTCGTCTAAGCTGGTTGTCCCTTGCCTCCCAGATGTATCTACGGCGGCGAAGATTGTATTGACACCAGGGTCTACTTCCCCGGACAGTACAGCCGTTTTCAATATCTTCAAGAAAGTCGGCTGGCTGTTTTTCTATGGAAACTTCTAGTAGAAATCTGATAGATCCGATTCCGTTTTAGTACTTTTGGGGTAATTTTCAATATTTGATTTCTTCACTAGTCGCCAAAAAGCTGTGGCATCTATTATTTGGATCAACTTTATTTCAAATGAATAGATCGGTAATAGAATGAAAAACCAATAGCCACGTTTATCTGTATATTTTTCAGGCATGAATGTTCCGTCAGTAATTCTTGACTTGACACTTGTGACAAACGTTTCCAGAGCAGGTAAATGAGGCTTGACTTTGGATAATTTCTGCCCAAGGATGAGTGGAACATTTGAATTAATGCTTTGCAGGACTTGTTCCTGAAAAGATTCGAAACTTCGTCTATTGAGTATTGAAGTAAACGTTAGTTCTTTTAACTTCCTATAAATGTAGGACTTGGAAGCAACGGTGACTGGTTTTTCTTCCATAATGTACACCTTTTTCACTTATTTTTTGCTGAAGGTAAAAAAAGCCATTTAAAGGATTGATGTGGTTGAGAGTACAGATCTTTCGAGTTACAGCTTAATGCTTGATAGCTAGATCATAATGACTCCATCTTTTGTACAATCTCTTTAAAATGTTGATTTTTTTTTTTCGACAAATGACGGCCATACAGATTTCTGCTTCAGCTTTAGCGAATAGATATAGTTAGCTAGGGATTCTCTTTCGTTAACAGATAAGCCCTTGCAAAAAAAAAAAAGTAGAATCTTTATCGGGCAAGAATTCCATAAAGAAGCGAATTGTTCTCCTTTTGTGGTTCTCACATACGTGGTTACGTATGAGCACATCGTATTGTTTGCATACAATGGATAAAAATAGAAAAAAATCCAATACTCTTGAGGGATCGTAGGATTGTGTTATCAATTTCACATTCATTGCAAAACTCAACAAAGTATTGTTGAATATAACTGGGAGACTTTTTGCCTTTACCAGTGACGATGGTAAAGATGGAGTAGGCATCATTCTGACTCATAATCGGAACTTCTTCATCCTTCGTTAAGAGCTTCAAAAAAAGATAGTTGATAAACAACGATCCTACCCACATCACTTTTGTTGTGTGTGCCGTGACGAGAGGTATTTGATCAATGAGCTTAGCGTCTCTACAGATAATTTTCAAGGAGCATTTGATCACGAAGATCTTTTTTTTCTCGTCTAGGCCGTGCGTTGGTTCTTTTTGCTTTTTTATGGGGGCATTCATTGCTGTTTATTCTTATATGGGTGGCTGAGCCGCATTTACACTGTTTTACTTTATGTTTTACTGTATCCGTTTCTTCCACTGTATTGCTTGCTGTTTCCATTCTAAAGTTGATCAAGGCACTCTTTTTTTCTATTTTTTTTTTTTTTTTTGTATCATCTTTGAAATATGAGGTGAATCACAAGAAGAAGAACTTGTAAAAGTATGCAAAGTTGAATCAATAGAAGCAAGTGGCGTCAAAGTAGATGTATTATGATCCACATCTTAAAAAAAAAGTAAGGCACATACTCTCTCACTATCTATATTTTTGATACTTACTCGTTAAAGCCTTCTTTCCTTTTGATATCGTTAAACCGTCAATTGGATTCTTTTCACGCTTTCGCTTCATTATATACGATAGAATCTTGAAGAAAAAAGAAATGTTGTTGAAGTGTTTGAAGAAATTTTTTCATTTTATCCGAAAAAGGTAAGCAAATCATTTGAAAAGTAATTTAAATTCACCTAAAAAGAAAACTAACGTCGTTTGAATTCAAAGTTTAAAAAAAAATGTATGAAAATAAAACAAGCACGTGGCTATCTTGGATATAGAATACGACTGTCAATTTATCATTCTTTGAAAATATTTACTTTAGTTTATTAAATGTTTGCTTTATAACGTATATGATAAATTAAATGCTATAAACTGATTTATATAAAATAGGCCCCCCTTTTTTATATTCACTTTAAAGCTTAGAAGCTAATAAGTCTGACTTTTCTTTTTGTGTTTTCATTTTTGCAGTAATTTCTGCAGCACGTCGAAGTTCAATTTTACCAACTTGAGCTTCATGTACCTATTTTTTTTTTTGGAATGTTAATATATAGGGTATAGTAAAAATGATAGTATTTATATATGTATATATTTATACATAAAAGTGCATTTATACATACAGGTGTAGGGCCATCAGCAAACATAAGAGTTCTTGCAGAAGCATGGAAATGAGCTAAAGGTGTGTCCTGAGAGACACCCATAGCACCATATGCCTGAATAGCACGATCTAAAACACGTAGTAACATAGAAGGAGCAGCAATTTTTGCCATACCAATCTCTTTCATAGCACCTTTAGCCTTAGCAAGATCAATTTTTCTTGCGGCACTCAGGACCAAGTAGCGAACCTGATCAATTTCAATACGAGAATTAGCAATATCTGTCACCACTGTTCCATGTTCAGCTAGTGATTTACCAAATGTTCGACGAGCAGGATCTGTAACTCGTGCCAACATCAAATCTAATCCACGCTCAGCCATACCAATACAACGCATACAATGATGAATACGACCAGGTCCTAGTCGTCCTTGAATGACTTCAAACCCACGACCTTCACCAAGAATGATGTTTTCGATAGGAACACGAACATTTTTAAAAATAATTTCGCAGTGACCCTCAGGAGCATCATCATAACCAAAGACTGTCATAGGACGAACGACTGTAATGCCTGGAGTATCAGCAGGGACAATAACAATACTTTGTTGACGATGTTTATTTTTATTATCTGCATCTGTCTTGCCCAACACAAGATAAACAGCACAACGAGGATCACCTGCACCTGAAATCCACCATTTTAAACCATCAATCACATATTCATTACCCTCACGGCGAATACTAGTTTCAATATTAGTGGCATCGGATGAAGCTACTCGAGGTTCAGTCATGGCAAAGGCAGATCGAATTTTACCGTCCAAGAGAGGTCGAAGCCATTTTTCCTTTTGTGCAGGTGTACCATATTTGGCAAGCACCTCTTTTATTTTATTTTATTTTTTAAAGAAAAAAAAAATAAGTCCTATTGGATCAATTTTTTTTTTTTTTTTTTTTTTTTTTTTTACCCATGTTTCCTGTATCTGGAGCAGAACAGTTCATAGCTTCTGGCGCAATTTTGGGACAACGACCGGTAATTTCAGCAATTAAAGCATACTCAAGGTTAGTTAAATTTGCACCTTCCTCATAGTCCTGACCTAAGAAAAGATTCCAAAGGCCCAATGATCTTGCCTTAGCTTTCAGTTCTTCTAAAATAGGAGGAATAATCTACATATGAAGTTTAATTCATAATCTGTAATTCAACAGGTCTATTTTACCTTCCATCTGTTTTCACCTTTTCCCATCTGAAGTTCATAAGTCTTTTCTGCAGGAATACAATCATTCTAGTTTTGAAATTGATGTATTAGAATTGAATTAAAATAAAATAAGCTTTTTTTTTTTCTACCTCAACAAAATCTTTAGCCTTTGCATAAAGATCTTGGAATTTAGGAGATAGAGAGTTAATGTCAATAAGTGATTGAGTAGCCATAGAAGTTATATATTTATATGATATATATGAGGAAAAAAAATCAATGAGAAAAAGAGAAAGAAAGACGAATGTGTTTGTGTATTTGTCTTAAAATAAAATAAATCAATAAGTTTACTTATTGAAATCAGGCGTTGTTCTTGCCCCACTTTTTTTTTTTTTTTTTTTTTTTTGCATTACTCATCTTTTTTTCCAAGATATTTTTTTTTTTTTTTGAATAAATTATTAAGATCACAATAATATATGATTTATTTGACATTTTGTATGAACAATTCAAAATGTGCATCTCTACTGTAATTGAACATAATTTGCAGGAAACTATAATATGAACATTAGTATATAATATAAACTTTTTTTTTTTTTTTTTTTTGCTAAATCTTATATACTTTACCACTCCTTCTTTACCATTAAGTCTTCCTGTCCACCAATCCTCTTGACTATCTGATTTCTGTATAATTGTAATAATATCGCCTTCTCTAAAACTTAAATCTCCTGGTTGTTGTCCTTCAAACGCATATAAAGCCCTTGCTGTAGGTTCCCTTTTTGTCACAATTGAAGGTTTTCTATTGGGCGGTGGCGGTGGAGGAGCTCGTTTAGCAGCTGCCTGAGCTGTGTAATTGCCATTGTAGTTGGTTTGTGGCTTTATATCTTGTCCATATATATTATTGTAATTATTCATAGTATTAGAAGGTTGGTAAGAGGGAGGAGAGAAAGTAGAAGATTGTGATATGGGCGCTCCATAGCCACCACCTTGTCGAATAGGTGGAGGCTGTCTTAATGTACCAGGAGCTGAAATATGAGTACTCTTAAAATGAGTACTATTGCTACGTCCAAATGATCTTTCTGACGATCCATCTTCTGAATAATGATTTCCATAAGTTTGTGACCCTAATGTATGAAATTTAGCATTCAAAGCTCTATATAATGCATCTGCTTCTGGAGGAGGTGGAACGGAGCCCATTAATAATTCTTTAGCAGAAACACGTCGACCATAGAACTTTTCATTAGCATCACTTCTTGATACAACTACTGAACCTTCTAGTGAGATACCCGCAAACAAGCCTCTTGTTTTACTATATGCATAAATAGCCGCAATATGTTTCACATTCGCACTTCCTGCTGCTTCTGCATTTCGACCAATAGGACCAGCAGCCACTTTATACAATATAAAAAGAAAAAATGAATATGATTCTAAAATCTATGTAATTTAAAAGGAAACCTTCATACCTGATACATTGCCACCCAGTGTTATATTACCTATCTGAGTAAATGTTTTAACAGCTTCTCTAGTGTTTAACACAAGCACAAAATCCGTTAATTCAGCGCCTATTTTTTTTTATATATGATTTAGATATCCTATACAATTAAAATCTCTCTTTCTCTCTATCTTTATTTATTTTACCAATTTGTCCTCCTGCACCGATACCACCAGTTCCAATTGCTGATGGAGCAGACCATCCTTATGTAATAAACTAAGTCAAAAAACAATGAAATCAAGCTTTTTTTTTATTTAGATTATACAAACCTCCTTCCGGTAACCTATAGATAATAAAATCAATAAATAGCTCACATGCTTACACAAGTATACATAATTCAATAGCAATTCCCCTTTCCTTCATTGTATGTTTACCTTGCAATAACAATGCCACTACCAGCACGACCTGAGAACAAGAATCCTGCTTTAATTACAGTATAAATAGCTAAGCCCTGTGCTTTATCCAAAATATTTTGTGGAATCACTTTATCTAATCCTTGTCCTGGGTCTATATGTATATACATACACACACACACACACACATGCCAGATATAAGTAATTCTGTCGTAGTCTTTATTTTTTATAAAAATTTGTTTGCATAATATTTATGACTAGTTACCTATAAAGCTATTAAGGATTTTGGCTGCTTTCTTACATTCACCTAGAGAATGGTATTCCAAGACATTGTAAGTATGAATTGCCAAGAAACACAAAAAAGCAATAAATTCAGTGGAAATCAATACCTGCTAAATTTGTTGGTATAGGTGAGTTGATAGCAGAAGAAATGCCCGAAGCAAAATTATTTATTTTTTTCATTATATAAATGTATATGATAAAGAATTAATAATAATAAAAAAGAGAAGTAGTTTTTTTTTTTTTTCATTTGTAATTAATGTAATCCAGAAAATGGTAAATTGTTTAACCCGGTAATGCACAATTTCAAATTTTAACGGATAAATGATTGGCTAAAAAAATTCCAAATCATAAAGACTTCATTTTAGATAATTTTTTCATGAATAATGCATTTATTTGAAGCATTAATCTTTCGAAAACTAAATCATGAGTATTATTAACAGCTTTCTTGGGAGATTTTCTTTTTTCTTTTTTTTTTTTTTGAGAATTAATTCTCTTTCACATTATTTCTAACCGATTAAAATTGTTCAATGGGATTAAGCTCAAATGAGTAAAGAAACATACATTCATATCGATATTCCAAGTTTATAGTTATATTATATGGTTAAAAGAATTATCTATAATGAAATAATAATCTTCTATTTCCAGAAATGTACATAATACCGATTAAGAAAATAATGCAATAGTTTTGATTTGAGTGTACTTTTGGATAATATTAACCTATTTCTTTCTTTCTTTTTGAAAGTACTAGTTTTTTAAGATGGGTTTTAGACATATTATAAACAGAAATAAACTTTTTCTTTAAAAAAGAAAAAAAAAAGTTATGTTAATGTTCACTATCAGTGGCACGAGCTTAGTAGACTGTTCTTGCCTAGCTTACAAGTTTTTTCTTGGACTAGTATGAAATCTAACTTTATCAATAAAAATGCAAGTGTTCATGTAATCTATATTGTCTATAAGTTTATAACCAACATGCTCTTTTCTTGTCAGGTTCTGATTTGACTTTCTTAAAAGTGAAAAGCCCCCTAAAGAAAAAAAAAGAAAAAAAAAAGAAAGAAAAAACCTCTTTTTCAATTTTCGTAGTATAGAGTCTATATTCATCAAATGTATTTCCTTGACTCTTCTTAAAAGTAAATACAATATATTAAAATACGGCATAAATTTTTGAAAAGGGAAAATGTATGTTTAATATGTCTTAATCAGCTTTATTTGTTTTCTTTTTAAACTTATTACATGTTGTAAGTCATTAGTTTAAGCTCAGTTATACTTATACAGCTTAATACGATGTATCCGTTTCAACTATAATAAATAAATATATGCATTAACTATATTTGTTCACATTAACTATGAATTTACTTAAAATGAGCATTTATTTATTTATTTATTTTTACCTTTTATTTCTTCCTTTCTTTCTTTTTTCTTTTTAATATTGCACTATGTCGAACGAAGCATCAGGCACTATTAAATTAGAACAAGCAATAGGTGAAGATCAGGATGATTTGTTATTTTCTTATCTTCATTCAAACTGTATTTCAAATGTACCTTATTTAAATGATGACACTAGTCTGTCTGATATCAATAGCCTATCTTCTTCTTCTTCTCCAAATGCCCTTGATTTTACAAATGTTTACAATAATCATGATATTCAACAGGATTATTTAAATATCTTTAGAGATTCTACTCATACTTTTGATAAGGCTCAGTCAACTGAGTATCAGAAGCATCAAGAATTGTCAATAGCATCTCTCTGCTCTCATTTTATGAATGATATGATGCACGTAAATAATCCCAATAGCCATCATCCGCAAAATCTCTCAATCATATCTTCTACTACTGATAATATATCAAATAATTGTTCAAATCTTAATATCTCACAACGACCTACTTCTCCAAGTTCTTTCGGTCTCTATTCTTGTCTTTCATCTAATAACAATGATAATAAGTTTAAAAAAAGACGTGGGCGAAAGAAGGCTGTTGCTGCTGCTGCTGCTGTTGCTGCTGCTGCTGCAGATGATGATAACAATCACCAAAAGAAAACGATCGGCATTTCTCCACCAGCGCTAACAAAGTTATTACCTATGATATTACCTGCCTACAAGCCCCAAAATTTACATCAGAGACAAAGCATAGTGAATGCAAAATTACTGGACCAATCCATAACAAATCATACCATTCCTTTATCAGACCATAATGAAAGAGTATCTGATTTTCAACAAGTCAATCATACTTTAATCATGACACCCACTCTAGGCAATAATAGAAATGAAAAAAGCTTGTCTGATTCTGAGAAGGTTGCAACTTCATTAGCCAAGAAACAAGAAAGACTTATCAAGAATAGAGCAGCAGCATTACTTTCACGCAAAAGAAAGCGTGAATATCTGGCTACACTTGAAAATCAATGCACTGAATTATCTAGGACAAATAGGATCCTTCAGGATAGAATTGCAGAATTGGAGCAAGATAATTTTAAATTAAAACAGTTAAGTTTTGAGTCAAATAAACATAGTAATGCCATAGAGCGATTAAATGGAAGTGACCTTATTTTAATGGTAAGCATATACAATATGTTAAAATAAACTTGATTATTAAATTCATGTTGTTTTATATTTATAGATATTTCTGTGCTATTTTATTTTTATATTTATGTTGTTTTCGTGTATTCATTTACATCAACTCTCAGCAACGATTCATTATAGTAATGTTACTACAATAATGCCTAATTTATTAGAAAGAAGGTAAAATAAATACGTACCTTTAAAAAAAAAAAAAAAAAAAAAAAAAAAAAAAAAAAAAAAAAACTCAATTTAAACAAACTTGAATTATTCTAGTCCAACCTCTCAATTGAAGACTTATCGTAATTCTCAAGGTTTTAAAGATAAGTTAAAACAGTAGCTAGTTATTCTACACAGCTTATTATTAGGATATACTACCTTATTCTATTCATATATACAAGTATATATAAAGAAAAAAAAACTCTTTATAAATTTTGTTCTCTATCACCATTATTTCAAAATAAGAACTTTTTGAATTAAAATACTATAGTATTTTCGATTGAAATCGAGATAATGTTCTTTTCTTTTAATTCAATCATTCTGTCTATTTTTTTTTTTCATTACCAATATGCATCTCTATACGAGTAAAATATTTAAAAATAATAACATCGATATGAATATTTATATAAAGCAATACCTTTTCCTTTTTCTTTAAAAAAAAAATAAATTTCGAAGATTACATTCTAGGTAATGGATTGTTAGTCTTCTATTTCCATGGTAAAGCATATGAATAAAAGAAAGAAGCATGTTGTTAACGCAGATGTTTGAGAACTGTAAGCTTCAGATAAGTGAATTATTGATTCGATTTGACTAAATGACAAAAACTTGTCAGTAAACATGATATTTCTCTTGTCCAATTTATATATCACATATATTTTCTTTTTGAGCTTCATGTACCCTGATGAATGAGTAGCAGCAAGTATTTTATAATCTAGAGCGAGTGTAATAAGATAATAAATCAAAAGTGTTTGATTGCAGCCATAAACTAGAAACCCCCTTCTCCTCCTCACTCTTATTCTACTGAAGAGACATTAGTAGACAGTATGGATCTATAATATACCGAAGCCTAATTTATTGCTTGATTGGCTCACTTCTTATTTGATAAGGTTATTTTTAATTTAATCCATTTCCTTTTTTTAAAGAAAAAAAAATTAAGGGGATATCCTATAACGCCTTATGTCATATAGACAGGGCATGAAAAGCTTATTCAAGAGAATAAAAGAATAAAATGACTGCATTATACATCATCCTTTAGTTATCGACTACTAAAAAAAAATCAAATTGTTGGAATCCTGTAATCTGAATTTCAGCTAAAAATATGTTTATAATGTAATTTCAATGAATTTGTTTAATACCAAGTCCGCTGCCGGAGGGAGAAGTTTTATGTCTAAAATTGGATTTTTCGTATATTTGTATTATTTTTTTGTTTTTTGTTTTATTTTTTTTTTTATAAACTGCTTTAACACGTCCTCCTTCTTTTATATATATACACATATATTTATCAATCTCGACTTTGTAACTTTTCTTTTATCAATTAACAGGCAATGAGTTACATGAAAAGAGACGAAGACTCAGGTAAATATACAGCCTTTTTTTTTTGTTTTGTTTTGTTTACTACTACTACTTTTCTTGGAAAAAAGGAGAGAAAAAAAAAAAAAGTTGTAAATAGCACCATCTCTAAATCTTTGTATAAAACCTATTTTATAGGAGAAGTCAATATTTTCTCGCAAATAAATAAGACAACCGTACTTCAAGAGGCTCGCGTTTTTAATGACTCGTCTATCAATGTTCGTAGATGTCGCATATTACTTACAAAGATTATTTATTTACTTTCTTTGGGTGAACCTTTCAATACTCAAGAAGCAACTGATCTTTTCTTTAATGTGATTAAACTTTTTCAATCCAAAGATGTAAGATTTCGTATAAAAGATCGAAACGTTCATCTAACTTGTTATTATTAGACTTCACTTAGACAGATGATGTATCTTGTTATTAAAGAATTATCAGGAATTGCTCAAGATGTTATTATGGTTACTCAATCATTAATTAAGGATATTCAATCTAAACAAGAAACAATCTATCGTGCTAATGCTATTCGTGCTTTATGTCTTATTACTGATGTAAAACAACATGTTTTTTTTTCTTAAAATATATATATACTAACTATGTGTTATGTAGCCATCTATGATTCAAGGTATTGAACGTATCATTAAAGCTTCAATTGTCGACAAGAATCCTTCTGTATCAGCAGCTGCACTTGTTTCAGCATATCATCTTTTTGGTTCCTCAAAGGATATCGTGCGTCGTTGGGCTACCGAAGTTCAAGAAGCTGCACATGCTAAACAATCAAGTGGTTTTGCTTCTGTTGCATCCAGTTATATTTCTAGTTTTAGTAGTTCTGCTAGTCAAAATCAAGCTGTTATTTCTACTAGTAATATTGCTCAATATCATGCTATTGGTCTTTTATATCTTATTCGTCAACAAGATCGTATGGCAGTTGCCAAGTTGGTTCAAACATTTTCTGGTACAGGTCGTGGTAGTAACAGCGGTACTTTAAAAAACCCTGCTGCAGTTTGTATACTGATTAGATATGCTTGTAAAGTAATGGAAGATGATCCTAGGTAAAGTATTTAGCTGTATTCTTTTTTTTTTTTTTGTACACTATTTTATTTATTCGTTTTTTTTTTTTTGTGTGTGTTTGTATGTGTTATTTTACAGCTCTGTTAGACGCATTTACGAGCTTTTAGAAGGATTTTTAAGACATAAGAGTGATATGGTCAATTTAGAAGCTGCTCGGGCTATTTGTGAAATGAAAGATGTTACAGCTAAAGAACTTTACCCCGCTATTTCAGGTATTTTTTTCAAAAATTGAATGGTGTTATAGATGTGTGGGTATTTAAATTATTATTTTACTAGTTTTGCAACTCTTCTTGTCTTCACCTAAACCAACATTGCGTTTTGCTGCCATTCGTATCTTGAATACACTTGCTCTTTCTAAGCCTACTGCTGTCTCACCTTGCAACTTGGATATTGAGAATTTAGTATCTGATCAAAATCGTAGTATTGCTACTTTTGCAATTACTACTCTATTAAAAACGGGTAATGAAGCTTCAGTAGATCGTCTTATGAAGCAAATTTCAAGCTTTATGGGCGAAATTTCTGATGAATTTAAGGTTATCGTTGTTGAAGCTATTCGCTCACTTTGTATGAAGTTCCCTAACAAACATGCTGTCATGCTTTCTTTCTTGAGTAGTGTTTTACGTGATGAGGGAGGCTATGAATTTAAAAAGGCTGTTGTTGAAGCCATCTTTGATATGGTCCGTCATATTCCTGAATCGAAGGACGCAGGTAAGAGAATTGAAAAAAAAAAAATAAGAATAATATATATTGATTTTATGTATTATTATTATTATTAGCTTTGTCTTGTCTTTGTGAATTTATTGAAGATTGTGAATTTACTAAACTTTCTGTCCGTGTACTTCATTTGCTTGGCAGAGAGGGCCCTAAAACACCTACACCTACCAAATATATTCGTTATATTTATAACCGTGTCATTCTTGAAAATTCCATCATTCGTGGTGCTGCTGTTAGTGCGTTGTCTAAATTTGGTATTAATTGCCCCGATGATCATGTAAAGCAAAGTGTAAAGATTTTATTGGCCCGTTGTCAAGATGATGTGGATGATGAAGTACGTGATCGTGCTACGTTAGCTTTAGAGATGTTAAAAAATGAGGATTTAGCTAAGCGTTATTCAACTAATGATTCAACTTATGCCCTTCCTACCTTGGAACGTGAATTGGTTGAATATGTCAATCTTGGAAGCAAGACTGGCCTTGCCAAGGCTTTTAACTTGAACAGCATTCCTATCATCAGTAAAACGCAAGAAGAAGAAGAAAGACGTCGTAATCGACCTCAAGATTTGAGTACTGCTACTTTAGCAGCTATCTCCTCTCCTCTATTATCTTCAAATGCATCACCTAAAGTAGAACAAAAGCCAAGCCAATTAGATCAACAAGCTGCTTATGCTGATGCCCTGAAAGCTATTCCTGAAATTGCAGCTTTTGGTCCTCTCTTTAAGAGTTCAAACAAGATTGATGTGACTGAGAGTGAGACAGAATATATTATTCAATGTATTAAGCATACCTTTGCTAAACATATTGTGTTCCAGTTCGATTGTTTAAATACCTTAAATGATCAATTATTAGAAAATGTTGAAATGATGATGCAAATGGATGATGAAGAATCTGGTTTGGTCCGCCTATTTGAGATTCCCGCACCTAAATTAGAATACAACGTTCCTGGCCACATTTATATTGCTTATGAACGACCCGAAGATGACTTCCCTATTGGTAAGTATTGCTTTTAAGTTACGTTATCCATATAAGCATCAACTCATTTATATATATATGTATATATATAGCTTCCTTTACAAATACATTAAAATTCATTATCAAGGACTGTGATCCTACTACAGGAGAACCTGATGAAGAAGGATATGAAGATGAATACCAAGTTGAAGAAATAGAATTATTGACAAGCGACTATATTCGTCCTAATTATGTATCTAACTTTGAAGAAGAATTTGAAGCCCTTGCTGAAGGAGAGGTGATTGAGACATTAGCATTGGATAAAGAAAAAGCACCCAGTCTTCAAGCTGCTTGTACAGCCATTATTGAGTTATTAGGATTGCAGCCATTAGAGGATAGCTCTTTGCCACGCAATCCTAATGTTCATACATTGATTATGTCTGGTACATTTTTGACAGGCGAAAAGATATTAGTAAGATGCCGTATGACTTTTAATTCTTCGACAGGTGTTGCATTTGAGATGGCTGTTAGAAGTGAAGATCCTGTTATTTCACAAATTGTTCTCTCTACTATTGCCTAAGAAATGCATATAATCAAAGACTATTATTCTCTATTTTTATCCCCTCTTATAAATATAAGAAAAAAGAAAAATCACATATAATAAAATTACATGTACACACAAACATACATTTACAAATATATATGTTTATATGTATAAATACTATGTATTATTTGATCCTAGACTGTACTAAAAAAGTAACAATAACTACATAACCATATAATGATTTCAAACAACAGACAATCATAGTCTCTTTTTTATATCTATCTATATATATTATTTAAGTAATATACGTTGTTCTTGATGAAGATATGTATTTGATTGTAATTTCCCTTCTCTCTTTCTGAAGAAATTATATTGTATCTGGTAGTTGCACTATTACCAAATCTTTGCTGAGTGTTCTTATAGATACGCTTTAATCAAAGAAATTGTTAGTCCAATAGATAATATAGAAAAATAAAATCTTTACTTCAAATAGAGCATAGAACTTGATTTAATCAAAAAAAAAAAAAAAAAAAAAAAAAAAAAAAAAAAAAAAAAAACACCATCACATGAAAATAAATGATTTATGAATCAAGTTCAATTAGCTAAAATGCTTATTTTCATTTAGCAATAGTAGCAGCAAAACCATTGCCTTTTATACTGATTTTCAGTTTTTTTAGAAAATGGTGTATTTGATTTTTGATCCCATAAGAGAGGTAGGCCTTCTTCTTCTTCATGATCTCTATCTACAACTGAATCTTCCTCTTCATTATCAGATAGTGACCAATGAGGTATCATCTCTATACACATATACATGTTGGATATAATTTATATTTGTAAAAGAATAAGTTTTTTTTTTTTTTTTTTTTTGTACCTGATTTTTTATTATATGTAAAGTATTTATCATCTCTTTGCTTAATTTTTATAATTTTTGACTCTTATTTAAATAAATAAATAAAAATAGGCACAAGATATTAAAAGTTTTATACATTGTGATTACCTAACTTTTGTATAAAACTTTCTTGATCTTTACTTTCTTCTGCTGTTTGTATCTTCCATTTAGGTATAACTGGTTCTAAATTAGTATTGGATTGCCATGAGAATGAATTTACTTTCTAATTATTAATTGTAATTTCAATTATTATAATTATATAAACATGTATAAAAACATAAGCTTACTTCTAAATTAGTAATTTTTTGATTAAAGGGATCATCTGGATCATGTGGAAATGAACATGAATTAGAAGTCATTATTCAAGTACAGATTAGATGTACTCTCTATTTTTTTTTGTGTATATATTGCTCTGAGCTTTTTATTCCATATATTTATATGGATAAAAATTAAATAGAAAAAAATAAAAAAATAAAAAAATAAAAAATAAAAAAAAAACAATTATTCTACTTTAAATCTCGAGATAAATTTAAAGAAAAATTAACTTTTATTATATTAATGGAAAGCAAGTAATATGACCTTTTAATAAGGACAACATAGCTAAACATTATATTCAGAAAAAAAAAAAGGACACGACATACAGTTTAAATCTTGATGTATCCAATAAATCACACAAGTCCCTGACTATTATAAATTTAGAAACGTTGTCATATTCTCTTATCACGTTTAATGGATTTAGATTCAACTCTTCTACAGACACAATAAACTTGATCAGCGAAGAAATAAGAGTTTAACTTGACTCTACTGACCATGTTATTAACTGTCAATAAACGAGTGGATCTGTTGTGGCGCAAAAAAAAAAAAAAAAAAAAAAAAAAAAAAAAAAAAAGATTTATGTAACCGCCTAATATAAATGAGGAAACTAATTATCCGAAAGAACAAATTGAGGCTGTTCAAGAAAAATAAGGACTTTAAAACAAAAAGCTCAGTCCAACATACTATTTAGTTATCACTGCAATATGTATAATAAAAAAAAAAGTAATAAATAAACACACACACATATCAGAGAATAATTGTACTTGATTTGATTCCTTTTGTTCGGGTCCCATATTTCCGTCAATACAAGCAGTGGTGGTGATACATTTGCACTACTTGTTATTTCTGATCCAGTCAAATTATGAGAAAAAGAAAACTTTAGAGGATCTTTTTTTTTTAATTGTCTAATTAACTATAAAATATGTATATTTAAAAGATTTATAAAAGATAATAAAACCTATTTGCAATTTTAAAAAGAAAAGAAAAAATAAAGCCCAAATAGATGTATGAACATCGAAATTTTTCAGGATCATAGATCTTTTTTTAATTTGTAGGCGTAAAATTAGATGAATGTTACTCATTTTGTAACGATATTCAAAAATGCATGTGAAGTTAAATAACCGACAGACACAAACTTCTTTAGAATATTTTATATATCTGCATTGTATGAGTGAAAGAGGGGATAAATCATATCATGTTTTATTATAGAATATGAGCTTATTTATACACACACAAATAAGAGATATTTGAAATCATGTTGGAGAATGAATACCACTCAAAATAATGTAGAGACATCTTTGTCATTTAAACAAGTTCTTTCTATTAATAAAGAACTCCCTTCTTTAAGACTTTCTAGATTTCTCGGATGTAAAATACGGTAAAAAACAAGGATAAAATACTACAAAATTAATCGTTACACAGCACAAGTAAGACGATGTATATTTTTATTCGTTCAATTCAAATTCCTCCAAAAATTTTATTTATTTATTTAATATTTTATATTTTAAATTTCCCCCCCCTTTTTTTTCTCTCTCTCTCTCTCTCTTTTTTTTTATTTTATCTCTTAACTTACTTAACTTGGATAATATTTCACACACCTATGGATAAAACTTTAAGTGATTATGATAAAAACCTTGAAGAGTTAGAACGTCAACGAGAAAAACTCGAGATTGTTATGCAAATGATGGGTCAAGAATGGGAAGAAAGGTACCTTATTTTATCATAATAAAGCTATAAACTAACATAACATGAATTATAGTGGTCCGGGTATCGGTTGGCTAGGTCAGTTAGATCTTCCAGTTGTAAATGCTGAACTTGAAGGATCTTCCTCAATGTCACCATCAAATTCAACTACCATTACTGAGACAACATTGAGTGAATTAACAAACGATATAATTCCTGAATCGACCATCTTGAATAGATCATCATCATCATCAGTTGCCAAGACGATAACAACAACCGAGACAACAACATCCGAGATATTAACATTAACTCATGAGCCCTTATTTGCTAATATTTTATCACAAACTGGGCCATCACCGGAATATCTTCAATCTTTATTAAATGTGAATGAAGCTCTGCTGGCTCAGAGCCTTGCAAATAACCCTAACCCATCAACACCTTTATTAACGCCAGTTGAAGATCAATTGAATGATATTTTAATTGAAACTTCCTCATCAGCCAAATTAACTTCACCACTTATAACACCTAAAGAAGACAATGAAGTATCTAATGATGATGGTATCTTGTTAAATAATCCATCTTACGACTACATGGGTAATATGAATCCTGAATCCGAGAAGATTATTTCCCCACTTACAGATACATCAAACAAATCATTCCAATCGACAAAAAAAAGCAGTAAAAATACATTCCCATTTTAGCAACATTGTTTACCCTATATATACATACATACAAGTATATATATGTATATATACTTGAACCAAAAAAAAGAACATGTTTATTTAATACTTGGCAAGATTCAAACCAAAAAAAAGAAAAAAGAAGAAGAAAAAAAGACATATTTACATATACAATTATGTTTCTATGTGTACATATATTGAATCATATACAATTCCCCCCCCTTTTTTTTTCTTGTTATTATTATTTAACTTACGCATCAGTAGTTCTTTAAAATAATAATAATAATATCTATTATACGCATTTGGCATTTAAAATATATAAATAATAATAGTATTAATAATTATCATAATAAATACCACAATAAATTGTATTCTCTACACTTTATTTAAAAAAAATTTTTTTTTTCTACACGATTATTAAACGCGTGATTTAAGGTACAAAGTTTTAAAAATGATGACTTATCATAAAGCAGCTTAATTTTTGATTGGTACTTGACTTATAGAATATTTCTATTCTTCTAACCTTTTGAGAATAGGAAGACTTTTTTTTTTTTCCTCGATTATTATCGTCGATCTTTATCAAAGAAAAAAAAATTACTCCGCTGTCATTTTCGGGAAAGAATGAAGAGTCCATAAAGGTCTGGTCTAGTCTGATTTATGGGGGTAGAGTGCTATTTTTTTTTTTTTTTTTTTAAATAGGTTGAACAAAACTAAACTATTTTTAATAATAAATTGATCTTTTTACTAAAAAAAAATTCTTTTTAATGCAGTCAATTTGTTCTATAAGATTCTTTTTTCTTTTTTTTTTTTTAAATATAGCGATAAATTGCATAGTTAGACTGTTAAATAAAAAACAAGAGTGAAGGAGGATGATGATGATCACTCATAAACATTATTAATATATCGAGAAATAGTTTACCATTACTTCTAACCTAAAATAGATGAATAGAGTAAATAATACATGCATCCTTTTAAATGACTTTACTGTCTTCATTTACTTTTATGGGGTTTTACAGTAAATAGTTGATACAACTGCTTTAATAATAAAAAGAAAAATAGACAAAAAAAAAAAAAAAAGGTCTACAAAAAAAGTATATATATTTCTATGATAGTTTTTTTTAATCATGTGTGTTGGGGGAAGGAAAAGAAAACAGGACTTTATGGAGTAAATAGAAATATACTATTATTATTCACTCGAAAATGGAAATACTCAGGGTATATTTTAGACTTTGCTTTAAAAGTATCCCCCTACCGAGGTTTTGGTTACTATCATAGATTTAGTATTATTATTATTATTTTTTTTTCCTTGTAATACATAGAAAAAATGTGTTACATGTGATTTTTTTTAAGGCGATATTTCATACATTTTCCCGATTACACAATAATAAATAACAATATGCTAAATACAACAATTTAATAATCATGTGAGTTCTAGAAAGAAAGAAAAAAAAAACTTTATTATAATAAGAACTACTAGTTTTTTCTTATGTTAAAGAAACGGGAATCTGCCTTTTTTTTTATTATTTTATTTATTTATTTATTTATTTCATCAAGTTCAATCAGAAACAGGTTATCTACAATCACACATGGATTTTAATAGGTTGGGATGATCTAACAATCGTTGGTAAGCCCTCTTAGCTGCCTGTTTTCTTGCTTCACGAGTATTAAATCCTGCTCCACTAGCAAAAGAAATAGTATGAATAAAAATGACACATTTTTGTAAAGTAGGACCGATGATAGGTGTAGTTATATTTCTATACGTGTAAACGAATAAATAAATAAATAAATAAATAGAGTCTCCTGTATCTATTATGTTATAGAATACTTTACTTTATTTCACATTTCATACAACCATATTCTTGTATGTACTCTTTGAATTGACTTAAAGGATGAACTTGAATAGTCTCTGGAGAGATGTGTTGATCTAATAAAGGTTTTAACCATCTTTCAAATAACTCTTCTACTTTTTTCAAGTCAAATCCACTATCAACATAGACAGCGCCTATTAAGCTCTCTATCACATCCGATAACACCTTGGGTGGGTTGGAATGAAGCCAGAATTCGCCACTGCCACCGTGGATGTTTTCGGTTAAAGTCATTTCAAAATTTTGAATCGCTGTAATAAGTCGAGATGAGAAGTGTCGAATATGATGTTGTAACCTTAATTGTATACAAAGTGTACTTAATATTTCATTGTTTACACACGATTTTCGAAGATTATGAAGCTTGTTGGGCGTTGCTGCCGGGTATTTCTTAAAAAGGTATCGAGTCACACATAAATCAAGCACTGCATCACCCAAGAATTCTAACCGTTGGTAACAGGGCACGCTTGAGGTGATTATGCTGGCATGTGTCAATGCTTCAACAATGAGGGATTCATCTGTAAATGAGTAACCGATAATATGAGAGACTCGTTCGATATCTACTTCTCTTAAAGATGGATTATATAAAGACTGTATATCATATTCCTTTCTTCGATCTGTATACGTTGTCAAAAAATCCTTCCAATCTACAATAGGATCTAATGGTATCAAAAGCTGACGAGCTGTATAGAGTACCTCCTGAATATCATAATTGTTGGAACTTACATAAGCAGCTCCTAAAGTGGACTCAATTACATCTGCTAGTGTCTTCTCTGAAAGCTTATGGAAATGAAGTGTCTTGACTATTTCTGGACTATCTGTAGGGCTAACAAATTGAAACGGTCTCCACATTCGATAAGCTATATTTTGACTATGGATGTAATGATATAACTTCAATTGTATGGCTAATTTAAAAAGTGTCTTATTGCTAACCATCCTTGTCCGAATTTCACTTAATTCATCTTCTCTACTTGAAGGATACTGTACAAATGTTTTTGTAGAAGCGATAAATTTAAGTACAGAGTCTATTATATTCATTGAGATAGAGTTTTTTTTTTTTTTTTTTTTGTTGTACATCTTTATACACACACACACACATTATATATATATATATATATATATTACCTCCAAGGAATTCTAACCGTTGGTAATCTTTACTAGCATGTGATGATGTGGTTGTGAAAGCTTCAAATATCAATTCTATATTAATTTTATTTGAAAGGCATAAGCTTTCTTTAGCATCATAGAAAAGTAAAGTTGCATCTAATTGTGAAATAACACTTGGTATTATTCTTGATGCTTGGTATACACTAGCACTGACAGGATAGAGTTGGCATATTTCAGGAGCCAGCCAAATAGTACCTGATTCTTCTTTCTTTAGCTGTTCCTCCTTGTGATCATCATTCATTTTTTTAACCAAGGAAAATAATTTGCTTTTTTTCGCTCTTTCAACACATAATAAAGGTTGATTCATATCCGAAATAACAGTCTTTGTGGTCATAGTAGAATGGGGCTGATTTTGATAATACTCGAGATAAGTTTCATAACTATCTTCAGAGCATTGAGTCTCATTCAGTTCAGAATCATTGGGGTTTACACAGATCTTTGATAATGGATTCATGTCAGTATGAATCCCTTTTACAAAATAATGATGCCGATTGTTAGAATCAATCACAATGGCATCATCATAGTTCGTCTCTAGATGAGTGAAAGAAAGGTACTGTCTTCCATCATGATTAATTGTCTTTTCGATTTCTTTCCAATCAATATTATCTTGTAATAAGCTTGATGATTGATTTATGTTTTTATATAGAGGTGCCAAAAAGTAGGCAATGTCTTCAGTGCAGGAAAATTCTTTGTTAGTGACGGATTTTACAAATAAAAAAAGATAGTTTTTTAAGATTTCAATGTGTTCATTAGAGTCAAAGACGAAAGACTGGGGTTGACTTTTAATAGAGACCTTAAACTGGACATTATTATTGTACAATACGATGTCTGGGATAAAAGGTAAAGGCTTTCTTGTAATCAAACACATGGGTCTAACGCTGATACCGTCTAGATCTTGTAAAGTATTAAAGTCTATTAAGGATATCCAAAATTTTTCTGAATTATGATCTGAACCCGTGTCGGTAAACCAAAAGGTTGGATGTCTTTTCTCGTAAAATGCTTCTTGATTTTGTTTTTCTAGTAATCTATCATCCGTCGTCGTCGTCGTCACCATCATCATCTCGTAATCTTCATTTCTTTCTTCTATTATCTTTCTTTTTTTAAAGGTCTTTGATTTGGGTACCAGATTGTCATCAATTTCACCAGAGAGATGAAGTGCAATACATACCTCTAAGGACACTTTTGCTTTAGCTTCATCTCGAGATATATCTATACAGCTATAATGTGTCTTAAAATTAGCATTGATAGGAAGAGTTAATACGCATTCCACCTGCGATTGATTAAGTGAGATAAACTTGTAAATAGGCTTCAAGTTACAAAAAATGTCAGACGGTAAGGAATCACAATATTGGTATATCAAGGAAATTGCATTTGATATCGTCAAGAGTGCACCTGTGCTAGGGACTCGGTAAGCATCAGCCAAATATGTTTTATTCATCTCTTCTTTGATTTTTTTTGGAAGGTCTTCATCTAAATCAAATTGGAGGGCAAGGTTTCTATTCGCTGGTAAAGATAAACAAAATTCCTTCATTTGATTTTCAGCTACTGTAGTCCTTTGAAATAAATTTATTTCTTTCGGATCAAGCTGGTTGACTAACATGATATACTTTGAATTCATCTTTCTTGCACGTCCCCTTGACTGAATATATGCAATTAAAGTCGTGAACATATCAAATCTTTCGATACCCATTTTTTTTTTTAAATTAGTATATGATAAAGTTCTAAAATATATGATTGTCATTATTATTATTATTATTACCTAATAACATAATTACATGATTGAATATCAAGACCTTCTTCTGCTATATTTGTTGCTATTAGCAGGTTTATTTCACCCCTTTTGAATTTTGCAATTATTCTGTTTTGTTCAGTGTATTTTTGTCCCAATTCCTTTATACTATCCGAGCCATGACCAATTAATATATCACTTTGAATACTATCTTTAAACTCGATAAAATGCTCGATAAGTAATTTAATAGACATCGCTGTGTAACGACGTTCAACAAATATAATGCCAAAAAACCCTTCATGATCTTGTTGAGAGACTATACGTCTTAAACATTCAATTAAAGCCTTTGCCTTTGGTGTAAAGAGACACGCATCATTGATATCAGGTTGACAAACGATATTTTGATCCTGTTGGAGGCAGATGGAATAAGCCTCCTCCAATGCATCCCTATCTTTTTTACTAAATTGGCAACCACTAGTATAACGATTAGCGCTTGTAGGAATGACAAAATCATTGCGGCGTATACAGTCATATAGTAACACTTTCCATAATCTATCAGAACACCAAGGACCTAAATAATCTGAAATATAGTCACTCATATTCAATAAATAGTTAAATCCGTGAATATACTCTATTTTATTCATAATAAGTGTAGTTAATTGTGAACGTTGTTTATAACGAAACGGAAAATAATATTGAGACATATCGTATTCTATATATTTTTGTTTCGAGTATAGCCTATATGAAGAAGATGCGTCACGAATAGGCATCATGGAATAATAAACAATAGATTCCAATGGTTTGTTGGCAGCAAGTTGTAGACTAGGTGTATTTATTGCAGTATAGACCTTACAATTAAGATTTGTTTCCAGGATACTATATATACAATGAATGAAAAAAATAAATAAACACATACATAAGCCATAACACACTATTTATCTATTTACATGATGCTATTAAAAATTTTCTTTGATGAGGAGCATATAGGTGAAGCTGTCATACTAAAAATTTTAGGTTTTAAACGCCATTGGTGATAAAATTCATACATAATAAGATTGAATGGATGGCCTTTCACTGCATGATGACATTCATCAAATATCATCAAGTTAACCTAGATATATGAAAAAAAATATGAATATATTTTATGTATAATAATAATAATAATAATAATAATAATGAAAAAAAAAGTATACTTCATCTAATGTAAGAAAACTTCTACGCAAGACATCCAAATAAATCTGAGCAGTTAAAATACAAATATCATTATTCTCGAAAATTTCTCTCCACATTTCTTTATCCCAAGAGTCTACATTCATTTCACCACACAGCTCTTTTATATTAGCATCGCAATTTGCTTTAATCACACCACCTTGTTGGAAAACTAATGGAACACGATCAACAATGAAAAATGTAATTTTTTTCTACAAAAAAAAAGAAAAGAAAAAGAAAAAGAAAAAAAAAGGTGTAAGCATCTATGTTTGCGTTTGCGTTTGCTCTTTTTACTTTATAATCCTTGTTTTCACACTGTTTTTCATTTTCAATGGATAACATGTGCTTAATGAGCATAACAGAAATCAAAGTTTTTCCCGCTCCTGTATCTAAAACAGCAATAACATTTTCGACGATAGCTTTTTTGAATATTTCATATTGATAATCTCGAGGATTATTCAAGTTGGATTGTTGAGAAGCCTCAGTCTTTGTGGCAGCAGTCAAATACTTTTCTCTTGTTTTACTATTTTCGAGATTTAAAAGAGCTACCTGTTCTAGTTTTAAATCTTTGAATTCAGGATCAAGATAAATATCAGCCATTTTTAACAACGAAAAAAAAAAAGAAAGGAAGAAAGAACAAACAGGCAACTTTTTTTTTCTTTTTATATATACATGTATATATATATATATATTAAGTCCTTCTTCTGACGTACAATTAGTCTAACAAAGAACATTTAATCAATTGTGTGTATGATGATAAATTATTATATTTCTCGATTGAGAGTTGCTAAAAAAGAAAGGAAAAAAAATAGGCCAATAAAATCTATAGGATAACAGCTTAAAATTAAAAAATTAAATAAAATAAGCTCCTTTTAGCAAAAGCACTTTATAATGTCTGATAATGGATTCAATATCACATATATAAAAACGAATATCTAATTCGGTAAATTGAAGTTACTGAACATGCTATAATATCTATATCATGTCAAAAGTAAATAAGTCTATTTCAACTTTTTTATTATTCTATTTAACAGTTTTAGTAGAGGGGGGAGGGCAGTAATAGGCATATTTTGAGAAATTAATAATTAAATCTTTTCGACAATATCCGTTTCAATGTTACGTGTATGAATACAAATATATATATTTTTTGGGGGGAAGAGTTAGTTATTCAGTTTAAATACAGCCAACAAAAGCGTCAGATTATTTTCTCCCCCACATCAATCTGTTTTACATTCTTGACTCATTGGTGGGACTTTTTTTATGACAGATTTAGCGGAAATGGAAAAAAAATCAGTGATTAAGATGCAGAACTTCTTTCTTTTTTTTTTTTTTTTTTTCTTTATATTATTTCTATTTTTTTTTTAATATTATTATTACATTCTATTTTTATTTTTTATTTTTATTTTTTTATTGAACAGTAAAACTCATTTTATAAATTATGTTGGTACTTCCTGGCACTTCTGCTCTTTCACCTTCCAAGAGCACTAGTGTTTTGAAAGCTATTCAAAAGACGATCCCTTTAGCTATTTCTATTTCCGCTATATATGTTCATTTTGTACAAGCTCGTCCAGGACAACAGGATAGTTTAGATGTTTCATCTGAACGAGGACAGATTTTACGTAACTTATTGACATATGGTTATTATCCTTTAGATAATAAAGAAAGAGATGCAATTATTTCCTTCTTGGATACAAATATGGCGACACATAGTTCAGTTGTGCTTGTTTTGCCTCGTGCTGGTACTATCTCCCCTTGGTCATCAAAGGCAACTAATATAGCTCATCTCTGTAACCTTTATGATCATGTTGAACGTATTGAACGAGGAATTGCTTATCGTATCACTAAACAAGACGGTACACTTCTTTCTTCTGAAGAATTATCTTCTATCATGGATTTGATTCATGATCGTATGACACAAACCATCTCCTTATCTATACCTGAATCCGAAAGCATCTTCCATCATGGTACTCCCGCTCCATTAACTGTTGTCGATTTGATGTCTCAAACGAATGATGCTCGACAAACACTTGTTCATGCCAATAAGGAATTGGGCTTGGCCTTAGCTGAAGATGAAATTGATTATTTGATTGATGCCTTTGTAGGTAAGGACGGTAAATCGGGACTTCAACGTAATCCTACAGACGTCGAGCTCTTTATGTTTGCTCAAGTCAACTCAGAACATTGTCGTCATAAGATCTTTGGTGCTGATTGGACCATTGATGGTGAATTGAAACCACATTCACTTTTCGCCATGATTAAAAATACACACAAGGTTCATCCAGATGCTACTTTGTCTGCTTATTCTGATAATGCGGCAGTTCTCAAGGGCTTTAGAGCTACTCGTTTTGCACCTAATGGTTCTCATGTATATGAGCCATTACAAGAAGATGTTCATTATCTTGCAAAGGTATATATATATATTTATATTTATAGAGAGAGAGAGGGAGGGAGAGAGAGGGAGGGAGAGAGAGGGAGGGAGGGAGGAGGGAGGGAAAGATAAGAAAGGAAAAAAAAAATAAAAGAAGCTTGTATCAAATATAATTAATAATTTTTTTTTTAATGGTAGGTTGAAACTCATAATCATCCTACTGCTGTATCACCATTTCCTGGTGCATCTACTGGTTCAGGTGGTGAAATTCGTGATGAAGGTGCAGTAGGTCAAGGATCAAAACCTAAAGCTGGTCTCGTTGGCTTTACTGTTTCCAATTTATTAATCCCTGATAACATTCAACCTTGGGAAACAGATTTTGGTAAACCTAGTCACGTTGCTTCTGCTTATGATATCATGATGGAAGCTCCTCTTGGTGGTGCTGCGTTTAATAATGAATTTGGTCGTCCTGCATTAACAGGTTATTTCCGTACATTTGCTGAAACCGTACCCGTTACAGAGACTACCTCTGAAGTACGTGGCTATCATAAACCTATCATGATTGCAGGTGGTGTTGGTACTATTCGTCCTACACATGTTCATAAGAGGCCTATTGCTCCTGGATCTCATCTCGTCGTCTTAGGTGGTCCCGGTATGTTGATCGGTTTAGGAGGTGGAGCAGCCTCCTCTATGGCATCCGGTCAATCAAGTGCTGATTTAGACTTTGCTTCTGTACAACGTGAGAATCCTGAAATGCAACGCCGAGCACAAGAGGTCATTGATGCCTGTAATGCTCTAGGTGAAGATACCCCTATTGAATCTATTCATGATGTAGGTGCCGGTGGCCTCTCAAATGCTTTACCTGAAATTGTTCATGACAGTGATTTAGGTGCTGAAATTGATTTGCGTAAGATTCCCTGTGATGATGCCTCGATGTCCCCCATGGCTATCTGGTGTAATGAATCGCAAGAACGTTATGTATTGGCCATTGCTCCCAACAAGTTGAGCCAATTTGAAGCATTCTGCGCTCGTGAACGATGTCCCTATGCCGTTGTAGGCACAGCCACTGTTGAGAAACGCCTTATTGTACGAGATAGTCTGTTGAATAACGTACCTATTGATTTACCTATGCCAGTTCTTTTTGGTAAACCCCCAAAGATGTCTCGTAAGACAACCTCTGAACGTCCCTTCCGTAGACCCTTCGATACAACTCTCAGGACTTACCTCCCTGGTCAACATAATGTCCTTGCTGAAGCTGCTTCACGTATCCTTCATTTACCTTCTGTTGCCTCCAAGTCCTTTTTGGTGACAATCGGGGATCGTTCAATTACAGCCATGGTAGCCCGAGACCAGTTTGTAGGCCCCTGGCAGGTCCCTGTTGCAGACGTGGCTGTAACTACGACATCATTAGGCTTTGATATTGTAACAGGTGAGGCCATGGCAATGGGTGAACGCACACCTATCGCTCTCGTTTCTCACGCTGCTTCAGCACGTATGGCTGTTGGTGAAGCTCTCACTAATCTTGCAGCTGCTTATGTGAGTGATATCAAGGATGTGATTATGTCTGCTAATTGGATGTCAGCCGCTGATCATACAGGTGAAGGTGCTGGTCTTTATGAAGCCGTGCAAGCTATTGGTCTTGACCTTTGTCCCAAATTAGGAATTGCTATCCCTGTTGGTAAAGATTCAATGTCGATGAAGATGAAATGGCAAGAGGCAGGTGAATTCAAGGAGGTCACAGCCCCACTTTCCTTGATTATCACTGCTTATGGTCCTGTTGTTAATACCCATCATACCTGGACCCCTCAGTTGTTGAATAAGCCTAAAACTGAACTTATCTTTATTGATTTGGCTCATGGCAAACAACGTATGGGTGGTTCCGCTCTTGCTCAAGTCTTTAAGGAAATTGGTAACGAAGCACCTGATGTAGAAGATGCTGATCTACTAAAGAACTTCTTCAATGGTATGCAAAAGTTAAAGGAAACAACAAGTAATGATGTTGAACCTCTTGTGTTGGCCTATCATGATCGATCAGACGGTGGGTTGTTTACTACTGTGGTTGAAATGTGTTTTGCTGGTCACGTAGGTGTAGATATTGAATTGGACAACATTGTGAATGATGATGATGATGATAGAGATGTTGTTCGTGCACTTTTTAATGAAGAATTAGGTGCGGTTGTTCAAATCAAATCAAATCGCTATGAAGAATTTGTAAATGTGATGAAGGAAGCAGGTGTCCCTGTAAAGGCTTTGCACAAGATAGGTACTGTTACAGAACATACCGATAAAGATAATATCAATATTCTACTTGGTGAAGAAACAATTTACAGTGCCTCTCGCATTGATCTCTACCGAGCCTGGTCCAAGACTTCTTATTTGATGCAAGCTGCTCGTGATAATGCTTCCTGTGCTCAACAAGAATATGATGCTGTTCTTGATCCTCATGATCCTGGTCTCCAATATCAATTAACATTTGATCCTGCTGAAGAATTAGCTCTCACCTCTTGCAACAACACTAGAGGTCGCCCTCGTGTAGCTATCTTACGTGATCAAGGTGTAAACGGGCAGATTGAAATGGCCTTTGCCTTCCATTTAGCTGGATTTGAAGCAGTAGATGTCCACATGACTGACATTATCTCTGGTAAAGTGAGTTTGAAGGGCTTTGTGGGTATTGCAGCTTGTGGTGGTTTCTCGTATGGTGATGTCCTTGGCGCAGGATCTGGTTGGGCTCGTACCATTTTATTGAATGAACATGCACGTGCTGAATTTGCTGAATTCTTTAGTCGAGAGAATACCTTTTCATTAGGCGTCTGTAATGGATGTCAATTCTTGAGTCAATTGGCTGAACTTATTCCTGGAGCAGGAAACTGGCCTCGTTTCGCTCGTAACGAATCTGAACAATTTGAGGGTCGTACATCGCTCTTGAAGATTCAAAAGGAAACCAACTGTTTATTCTTTAAAGGGATGGAGGGTTCTATTTTACCTATCGCTGTTGCACATGGTGAAGGTAAAGCTACTTTCAAGTCTGACGCTCAATTCAAACAATTTGAGTCACAAGGTCTTATTGCTGCATCTTATGTGGACCACTATGGTAATGTTACTCAAAAATATCCTTTCAATCCAAATGGATCTCCACAAGGTATTGCTGGTGCCACCTCCCCTGATGGTCGTGTCTTGATCATGATGCCTCACCCTGAACGTGTTGTATTAAAAGAAAGTAATTCATGGTATCCATCAAATCAGAACTGGGGTCAAGCAGGTCCTTGGTTAAGAATGTTCTGTAATGCACGCCAATGGGTTGGTGATAACTATTAAATAGTATGTACATTTTCGCTTTTATATATATCGATAGATAGATAGATAGATAGATAAACAGATGGCATTTTATTCATTTTATATATTTATAAATATTTATATATCTATTCTTATTATTCATCCTTCTATTAATAAATTATGTAATATAAATATCTTATTCATTGTTGTCTATAATAGCTTTATTATACATTATACCACCCCCCAGCATTAAGTTTGAAAATTTACTGCTACTATAATTTTTTTTTTCTCTTTTTGTTGTGTGTGTGTGTTTGTGTTTTTTTTTTTTTTCAATAATGTTTAAATTACGAACGACAGGGATTGTATTAAGTAGACAATTTGCACTTCACCAACAAAGATTAGTAAGCAAACGATTCTTTACAAACACACAAGGCTATGATGCACTTGTCTTGGGCGCATATACAAGTAAAGATGGAATTGCTCGTTTGACAGCTACACAAGACATTTCTCAACAAACCAAGCATCTCATTGAAGACCAACTTAAACTCTCTAATTTTAAAAAAGCGGGCGATGTTCGAACACTTTACAATGTTGGTGGTATTAAACAAGTAGCAGTTGTTTCTGTCGGATCTCAGACAAATACTAGAGATGAAAAAGAAGCTGCTCGTCGTGCTGTAAGCTCAAATTGTTATTCAATATTTATCTTAAAAAAAAAATAATGTATATGTATATTTATATTGGGGGAATAATAGACTGCACTCGGTTTACATGCTTTAAAGCCTCAGGGTGCCAAACATATTGGTGTTGATATTTCCCTAAGTGCGCATGGAGCAGGAGAAGGCTCTGTATTAGGACAGTTCTCATTCAATAAATTAAAATCTAAAAAAGAAGATCAAGTGGACATGATAGTAGGCCCCTTTTCGAAACAGACTCAGTCTTCCGAGGACCACTTGAGTTGGGAAACTGGCCGAATCTATGGTGCTTCTCAAAATGTAGCTCGTATGTTAATGACAACACCTGCTAATTTAATGACACCAAAATTATTTTCAGAAGAAGTTGCTTATTTATTGGCAGGTTTGGAAAATGTTGAAGTACTTGTGAGAGATGAAGAATGGGTTGCTAGACAAAAGATGAACGCATTCTTATCTGTTGCTAAAGGAAGGTAAAAAAAAAAATAAGATAGGGATAATATAAAATTTGTTTTGCTAATAATATATAGTCTTGAGCCTTTGAGATTTTTAGAAATTCATTATAAGGGAGGCAAAAAAGATGAAAAACCTCATGGTTTTGTAGGCAAGGGTATTACTTTTGATGCGTAAGTATACCTCTGGTCTATACATGATAAGTATCATTAATGCTGGTATTATAGTGGTGGTATTTCATTAAAGCCTTCTAACAATATGGCCTTAATGAAAGGAGACATGGGAGGTGCTGCTACTGTAGTAGGAGCTCTTTATGGTATTTGCAAGCTACAATTACCAATTAATATAGTTGCTGCTATTCCATTATGTGAAAATTTACCTTCAGGTACAGCTACTAAGCCAGGTGATGTTATAAAAGCCATGAATGGAAAATCGATTGAAATTATTGATACAGATGCTGAAGGAAGATTAGTTTTGGTAACGAATACACACACATATATATTTATATATATTAATTTGTTATTTTTAGGCCGATGCATTATATTATCTTAGTTCTAAATATTCACCTAAATCTCTGATTGATCTTGCTACTTTAACAGGCGCTATTGATGTTGCCCTGGGTGATGTTTATGCTGGTGTATTTACTAATTCAGATAAACTTTGGCACAGTCTAGAGAAAGCAGGAAGAGCAACTGCAGATCCTTTTTGGAGAATGCCCCTTAGTGACGGTTATTTGAAAGAAATGCAAGAATCAACTGTGGCAGACCTGAATAACCTTGGTAAAGGTAGATCAGGTGGTGCATGTTCTGCTGCTGCCTTTTTAAAGGAATTTGTTAGTGAAGAAAATAATTCAACTCCATGGGCACATATTGATATTGCTGGTGTTATGGATAGTCAAAGCACTGATGGATATCATATTAAGGGAATGAGTGGTAAGGTGTATTATCTTACGTAATCAATGTTCATTCTATTAATCTCACGATATATAGGTCGCCCCACAAGATCTTTAATTGAATATATTCATAATTTATCCTGACTAAAATAACTTAGATTTTAAGTCACGTGTTGTATGACCTTTGTATATAAATATATATATAAGGAAGGGGGATGAACACTATAATAATAAATAATTCTGCAAAACTTTAAAGGAGAAAATAAATATTACTTTTTTTTTCTCTTCTTTATATCATAAAGAAAAAGAAATAGTATTTCATTTAAGAATGCTGTCTATTACATTTGATTTAGCTAAATATCCGACGATTGATACAATAAAATTACTCGCATCTTTACTTGAACGAATGACTATAGCTAATGATATTTTAAATAAACAGCAATGTCGCTCCTTACAGCCTATTTATACCCGTTTTCACGCTAGATTAGTACCTTCTATTGATATTCATTCTTATTTAAGTAGAATACTAAAATATTGTCCATGTGCAAATGAATGTTTTTTAAGCCTATTGGTTTATTTTGATCGCATGTCAAAGAATTCCCTGGCCATTACTGGGAAACCATTTATGATTGATTCCTTTAATATTCATCGACTGATTATTGCTGGAGTTATGGTTGCCTCGAAATTCTTTAGTGACGTGTTTTATACCAATACAAGATATGCTAAAGTATGTATAAAATCAGAATAATGATGATGACAACTCATTTTTTTTTTTCTTATTGTTTCTTGCTGTTTACAGGTGGGCGGATTGTCAGTAGCAGAATTAAATAATCTTGAATTAGAATTTCTTAAATTAAATAGCTACAACTTAACTGTACCTGTTAGTGAATTACAAAAATATGGTGACCAGTTGCTTAAAGTTGGTTATATGACACAAAAGATGAGAAAGCCTGCTTCATTTCGACATCAGCGATCAAGTTCATTTGATCAAGCAAGGATTGATGTAGATAAAATATGTGATTCTACTCAGCGCATGTCTCTTGATCAGCCCTACCAGCAGCAATATTACTATCAACAACAAAAAAGCAATGATCATCAGCAGCAAGTACGACGTATGACGAGTACAAATAGTTTAAAAGAATATCAACAGTATTATGGGCAACCAAAGCATTCTCGTTCAAGCATAAATTTACACCAAGGATATTGGAAACCAAACTATAACAGCTCAATTCAGAAGCAATCAAGACAACATACAGAAGATAAAGAGGACTACGGACTATCGTCTTCTATTTATGCACCACCTTTTATACCTAGTAATAGTAGCAATAATATGTATTATTATTCAGCTTCTTTAGGTGGTATACCAACTCCTCCTCCATCTTCTTCTCCTATATATTATCAAGCATCTACTCTTCCTTCCTCCACATACATGAACTTATAATGCAAAAAGGAACAAAAAAAAATTATTGTTATTATTATATACTTATACATACATACTACAGCTGACAAATTACATACTCACATACAATATGTATGAAATTTATTATATTTATTCATATTTACCACATATATATATACTATAGCATCCTAATCATATATTAAATAATTTATATTTACTGTATATTAAATTTTGTGATACCTGTTAAATATAAGAGTGATAAAAACGAAAAATATACTATTATCACGATCTGATATACATGTAATATATATGTAATATGCGTATATGTATTATTTTAGAGAATAAGAAGATGATTTTATAACAAATACATCATACTATATAAGCAAACAGAGAGAAAAGAAAGAGGCTTTGTGTAAAATTAATAAGTAATATTTAATGCTACACAAAAAGTAAAAATCCAGTTTTCTTGTTATAATTACCTTGTTAAAAGTATAGACTCATTTTTTTTTCTTTCTTTCTTTCTTTTCCTTTTTCTCCTCTTCCTTATATGTGTATAGACCATTTATAATTTTAAGGATGTCACCTCGACCTCGAAAGAATCAAATAACATATTTTAACATTATGGTAGTAGGCTTTTCTGGTGTAGGGAAAACATCATTTATACGAACTTTACTCGAAACTCTTTCACTTGAACAACAACTAGAAGACGAGATAGTATCGACAAAAAATATGAAACGTCGTGATTCATTTATGAGCGAAAATTCCTCTATTATCTTTCATGAACAGCCACAGGGACCAATTGAAAAGACTTTACAGCCTTATACTATTTCTAAAGAAATTATAAACATAGATGCTATTCATCATAAAAAAGAACGTATCATGTTAACTCTTATCGATACACCTGGTTTTAGTGCCGAATATTTAGTAGATAAACAACTTCATGATATCATTAAATATATTGAACATCAGTTTGATTTGACTTTGGCAGAGGTACATGTTAATTTTTTTTTTTTTTTTTTTTTGTCAAACATTATTTATTACTTATATTTTTGTCACACTATAGGAGTCTAAAGTAAAACGTAATCCAAAGGCAGTAGATACTCAAGTTCACTGCTGTCTTTATTTTATCGATCCAAAAAAGACAGAATTAAATGAATATGACATTCGTATTCTAAGAAAACTTTCAAAGCGTGTGAACATAATTCCTGTTATTGGTAAAGCGGATAATTTAACTCTAGCGCAACGAAATCGATTAAAGCCTTCGATAATGAGAGATATCTATACAACTCATAAAATCCCTATTTATGGTATGCCTGAAGAAGAAGAAGATGACGACTACGACAACGACAACGACAACGAACTAAACAAAAAAGTAAAGACAAATGAACGAGAAACATCTCTAGATCAATTTCTTTCTGGATTCAATTATGAAAAAGAGGATAACGAGACAAAATCAATATTGGATTATCTTCGTATTGTTCCGTTTACATTTATTGCCTATGAAGATGATCCAGAGACAGGCAACCCTATCGATACCCATAATCCTCAGATTAAACTAGGTCGTGATTTTGGATGGGGCATTATTGATTGTTTAAATGATAAATTTAGTGACTTTATTAAGCTTAAACATATTTTACTATCATCACATAGGCAATATTTACAGTTAGATACTGTAGAAAGATACTATGAACAATATCGTACCGAAAGGCTAATGTATAAAAGAGCCACAAGAATTGGCTTAGCCTCTGCTGCTACTTCTCCTCATTAAAATAAAGCATATAATACATACTGATAGAATAGCATTTATATCCCTTTTTTTTTTATTCTTCTATACATATATATATATATAAAAATGCATCTACATCAGTATTTTTAAAACTAATATCATCTGTTTTATTTTATCATATCCCCATCTATAAAATTAGTATCATATACAGCTGTTCGTGTTTTGAGTTTGCAATTCTTTGTTTTCTTAAGACACTCCTAAGCGTTTTCTACCTTTTTTTTGTCATATCTTATTTATGTAAAGAGCATAATCTTCAAGCAAAAGTAAATAAAATGTTTTTATCTACAAAACATACATCCATTTACATCTATTATGTTTATTTTGTATTTTCATTACAAAAAAAAAAAGTATGTAGAAGCAAATAAAGAACGCTTATGAATACTTAGATGCATCACATATTTAAAATTAATTTACTTGTTAGGGTGTTTAGACAATAACTAAATAAATAAATAAAGCTTTATAATAGCTTAAGCATTATTAATGCTAACGACTAGTGTCAAAGTACTATATCATGTGTATCAACTATTAATATTATTTTTATTATTAGACTTTAGTTTCGGTTGCTTTTTTTTAATCGATCCTTTGCTATTAGCATCATATCAATTATAGCTGTATATAATTCCCTTTCGCGATTACTATCTTTTATACGTTCTTTGATGATAGGAATAATTTGTTGACGAGAACGCCCATTAACAAAGATAATAAACTTAAACCCATATTGTTTCTCATACTGTTGATTTAGTTTGGCCAGTTCTATATTTATTGTTTTGTCTTCTTTAGTTTGTAAAGTGTCAGTATAACCTTGTTCTCTAAGTGAACAGGCAGATAGATTAGCTTTAGAGGCACCAATACGAGGATGGGCATTTATGACTTCTAGTCTTTCTTCTAGATCAAGCTCATTACTAAGGCATATCTTTTCAGTAGAATTAATAAGTTCAGTATAGGACGTGAAAGGACGAATAGCCAAAAGGCGCTTTGTTAAAGGAGGAGCAGCCTCAAAGAGAATGTTAACAACCTTTATAAACTCTTCAGGAGTTTCTTTGTTCAATTGATTAATAGAAGGAAGAAAATTCATTTTACATTAGAGAGATAAAACTAGAAGATAACAAGAAAATAAAAAATAAAAAATAAAATAAAAATAAAAATAAAAAACTAGTTGTATAGAACTTAAATAGTTCATTTCTATTTTAAAAAAAAAACAAGATGGATAGTATATTTAATGAATGATTATTAAATATTGATGAATAAATATATAATGCATAAATAAACACTTACTTTTTAGTAATACATTTTATTTTATTTTATTATTTTTATTTTATACATTTATTTTACTTTATTTTATTTTATTTGGCACCGAACATTTTCATTAAATGCTCACTGCTGAAACTCTTTGGTCTTTCAATAGGTAACAGTAAAGCACGATCCCAAATCAATTGGGCAGTAACACCAAGTGCACGCGATACACCAAATAGAACTGTATAATAATCTTGCTCCGTTAAGCCATAATATTGAAGAAGAACACCAGAATGAGCATCAACATTAGGCCATGGGTTCTTGGTCTTACCGTGCTCTGTCAAAACACCAGGCTATATTTAAATAACAAATATTAATAAATATTGTTTTATGTAAGGAAATAATTATACTTAACAATAATATGATATAGCTTGGATACCAAGCCAAAGAGAGGATCATCAGGTAGATGCTTCAATGCAAATTCACGTTGGGCCATATAACGAGGATCTGTCTTTCTCAAAACTGCATGACCATAACCGGGAATAACTTGTCCTCCATTTAAAGTATCCCAAAGATATTTCTTTATTTGTTCCTCACTAGCATCAATACCAATAGTGTCTTTCAATTTCAAAGTCCAACGAAGCACTTCCTGATTAGCTAATCCATGGAGAGGACCTGCTAATCCATTCAAGCCAGCAGCTAAGGAAAGATAAGGATCCGATAATGCAGAACCCACTAAGTGCGTTCTATTTTTTTTTTTTTTTTTTTTTTTGAAAAAAAAATTGGTAAACAAATATAACAATAAAGACTCTAAATAAATATTAAATAACAGAATAATAAACTTACGTATGAGCAGAGACATTACCACCCTCATGGTCAGAATGAATAGTTAAATATAAACGTAATAATTCAACAAAATCCTTATTATCCTCATAACCCAATAACTTTGCAAAATTATAAGAATAATCCTTATTATTGTCAATAGCTGGTAATTTACCATCCTTATAGACGTTACGATAAATACGAGCAGCAACATTAGGTAATTTAGCAATCAAGTCCATAGTATCCTCAAAGGTAAATTCCCAATATTGCGACTTATGAATACCCTTAGAATAAGCTTTTGCAAATTGAGAATCGTGTTGTAAAGCGTTGACAGCGATAGAAAATTGTGACATGGGATGAAGTGTCTTGGGACAATGATCAATAATTTCTTCAACAAATTCAGGAATGGCGGAGCGTGCAGCCCATTCAGCGGAGAGTTGGTCTACTTGTTCCTTTGTAGGTATTTCTCCCGTAACCAATAACCAAAACAAACCCTCAGGAAGAGGTTCTCCTCCATCCTGAGCTTTGGGTAGAGTCTTTTGACATTCAGGAATAGTTAAACCACGAAAACGGATACCTTCCTCGGCATCAAGAACAGATCCTTCCCAAACAAGGCCCTTGATACCACGCATACCGCCATAAACTTGATCGAGTGTGACGTCACCGAGTGTTTTTGAACCATATTCCTTTTTAAAAGCCTTGACTTCAGCTTGTTTTTCAGGAATAATTTCAGCTAAACGTTCTTTCAAACTCTATCTCAGAATAAATTATTTGTTGATGTATTTACTTAACTATATTAAAATCTATACATACCTTAACTTTAGTTGAATATGCTCGAGTGGCACTTACTGTCAACGTAGGGATAATAAGGCGAGACGTTTGACATGTAGTTAACTAGCGTTACACGGATATATGATTATTTTTGACCTTTCTGCTGCATATAAAATTTCAGTATACCTTTGTTAATGAACGAATCATTGATATATTATTATAAAACAAATAAAAAAGAAATGAAATGAAATAAATAAAAAAAAAAAAAAAAAAAAAAAAAACCTTTTATATTTAATTTATGTGGATCCTAGAATTATTTTTTTTTTTTATTTTTTTTTGACTTTTAGGTTTCACTTCATGTCATTTCACCCCGCACCTTTTTTTTTATTTTTAATGGTTTGTAATCATTTAAGTTAGAAACACGTTTCAAAAACATTCTTATTTTTTATTGGTTCCTTTTAAGTGATTTCAGCTGTCAAAAATGATAATTGTTTAACATTATACAGCATGCTATAAAAATGCTCTTTTAACTCTCTGCTTTATTTGATTTGCCTTTTTTTTTGTACATTATTACTATTTTTTATCTTGTGTACTTTCTCCTTAAGTTTCCAAAAATAAATAAAAATGTGTAATCAAGATATACCTTCTGAATATGTGTACTGTTTCAACATTATTGATAAAACTCTTAAATGCAATTCAAAGGAGATAGAAGAGCAACGTCGGGAAGAATTTTTTTTACAAAACTATTACTTTAGAATGACATGAGTAGCAACTAAATGCAAAGAAATATATATATATATAAGCTGAATCAGACTTAAAGAGACTCATGAATTTGAACTGTATATTTTAAAGATCTTTGTAAAACTTTGTAATAAATAACCATAATTACATAGCATGAGTCAATAACAATAATAATTCAACAAATAAAGAGTAAGTCGACGTCGATCGTTAAAACTTCGCCTACTAAAAAAGGCTAGGAGTACGTATTATACTACTGTTCTTTTATATAGATAAAAAAAATTAGTTAACCCTATTATAGAGCAAGGGATATCTACAAGATCAGCGAGATTAACAGTAAGTATTATTGTGAGAACAGCTCAGGATAGTGTCAAATTAAACAAGGATGATGTATAGAAAAGTATTTATGATGCACTACAATTTTGTCACATTTGAGAGATACCAATAAGTAAGATTCAAGAAGAACACATAGCATAGACTTTCTTCTTTATAACTATTTTAATACAGCAGCTTCTACTGAGTTATAAGAGATAAGGGACATATCATGTTCAGCCTTCCTAGATATAAAACCCAAGAGTTTCTGTAAGTATCTCTTTCAGTATACATGTATTACCCTTAAGAAGTTAAACAAAGCTATAATACAAGAATATTTGAAGATACTTTGACTTAACAAAGAGAGCAGATTGACGATAAAGGAATCAATTGTAATAGTAATTGAATTTATATTCAATGAGGCAGAACTTAATATGCATATTAGACAAAATTTTAAGAAATTTAAACAGGAGATAACTGCTGGAATAACGTTTTTCTTGAATAGAGGTGCTACTACTACCACTGTCAAAACAGTATGCAAAAGGGGAGTTATTGATTGGCTTTACGTAAACCAAAAACTGTTTCCGTCAAAAAAAAAAAAAAAAAAAAAAAAAAAAAGCTAATCATTTATATGTATGTACTGTCACGGGACATTTATGCTATTACTTTAAAAAAAAAATTCCCTTAGCTTTCTTTTTTTTTCCTTGAAAATTATTAGAGATGGATCCCGAAAAGGACATTTACCATGTAGTTATTAGACTTCCTTTTAAACGTCCTGATCAGTTTATAGAGCCTCCTTCAGTAAGTATTCGATTTCCCTTGTAATTTTATTAGTTTTGTTAATCCTTTTATATGTAAACATGTGTAGATTGTTTGGACCGAAGAGATGGAGCATAAATTATGGCAATACATGAGTCAAAAAAACACAGATTGTAATAGCATGTAAATGCCATGTAACAAAAATATTAATATATATATATATATATTTATGAATAGGGAATGTTATTGCAGAACAATTAGGAGTGCCGACTTCCTTTATTGTTCGTCATGCAGCATTTATTTATGAAACTCAACTTCGTGGTATTCACCAACAACTTCGACAAAAGGGAGCAAGCGCTAGTGTCAATAGAACGAATACAAAGAGCCCCATTCCTTCAAAATCTAGACCAAGTAAATTAAATGAAAACAATATGTATATACATGTTTATTAATACTTTATATGTATAGCTTCTATAAGATATTCAAACTCATTACAGCAGCAATCTGAGCAAATAAGTAGTAATAATATATCACAAGAAACAATAACACAAAAGACTTTATTAGATAATCGATCCAATAATTCTTCTCGTATAGCTTTAAACGACGAAAAGTTAGATAGATCGTCTCTTAATAATAGCTTATATAAAAGCAACTCATCGAGCCAGCCTCATCCTACTGCTTATCTAAATGACAATAGTACTGAGGAAGAGAGTGACAGTATAACGAATAATGAAACATCAACACCTTCTTCACCACTTGAAGAAGAAGTATTTAGTAATCATTTTCAAAGAATGAGATTACAAGTAGAAGAACCTGCATTCCTTCCGCATAATAGTTATATTTCCAATAATAGTAGCTTGATAAGCAGTCGTCAACAATTATCCTTATCTATACAAAATTTGAAGAAATATAATACTTTGGATGATAATCTATCATCATCTTCAATACACTCTAAAAAAGGTAACTATACTGCCCCAAACACACAACCTCAGTCACCTGTTATAGCTATTACTACTAGCCATCATCGTACTACTACTGCTCCCAGTAGTTCAAGTAATGAGAGTGCATTGAATTCAATAGGCTCTTCATTTAGTGATTTATCAGGTAAATACGCTTCTTTTTCTTTTTCTTTTTTTTTTCTAGAATTTAAAAAGTGTATACACATATAATAATATTACGAACTAGATTCATCAGTTACACAATCAGCATTAGAAGAAGCATTTTTATCTAAATTTAACCATGGTTCAAAGATGTAAGCAGCTAAAATGTATACAAGCTTTATGCATTGCCTATTAACTTCTATATATGGTTTTAGGTCTTTATTGAACTTTTCACATAAATATAAAGAATAACTAAACTATATACCATCTGCATATTATAATAATATATTCGTATACATATAAAAAAAACAAAAAACAAATTGTTTTCTTTTTTATTGAAGATTAATCTACTACAAACAAAGAAGGGGAGAGGAAGGGAAATACTATTTATAAATGATTTATTTCTTGGCTTTCTTAACAGGTTCATAAGAAGTAGCAAGAAGTTGAACAATTTCTTCATCCTTAACAGACTTATCAGTTTGGACTTCAACAGCATCAAAACGAGGATGAGTAAGCAAAGTGTTACCCTTCTTGGTGACCATGACAGTAGCCAAGTATTGAGCAACGACAGCTTCATCACGTTCATACATAACATCGTAGGGCAAAACAGTTTGATGCTTGGCAGCTTCAACAATACCCATACGAGCCTTACGTTCATCTTCGAGACTACGAAGATTGAAAGGGAAGGCACCAGCCTTATTTTGGATTTCAGAGAGGACAGCACGAGAGGTGGCCATCTTCAATTGGTAACGAACACCAGTCTTCTTGTAGACAGTAGTACGAGTCTTCAAGGGACGAACCTTACCTTCACCAGTAGAAACAAGGATATCAATAGCATAAACTTCATTGACACCAAATTCAACGCGCTTAAAGTCACGAAGATGAGCTTCAGTGGGGTTCAAGATAATTTGCTTTTCACCATCGGTCTTGTCCTTAAGTTGGTTGTGAGACAACATACCTTCGACAGGCTTGACGTTATAAGCTTCAGCAATCTTATCAACAGTCTTGGTAACATCCATGTTCTATTCAAAGTAATACAATTAAATATCATTTAAATAAAAAAAAAAAAAAAAACTCCTATCTTCAAGTAATTACCTTATTACCAGGACGGAGCATACGAATAGTAGCTTCCAAAGCAGTTTGAGCAGCCTTAATAGCATCAGCCTTAGTACCAGTAACGGGACCCTTAGCACCAACAACAATAGTAGTGGCAACAGTAGAACAGAATCCATCAAATTGAACACCCAATTGACTAAAATAAATACACAAAAAAAAAGTTAATATCTCTGATCTCATATCTATTCACACAAAATAATTACATTTTAGCAACATCGCCTTCCTTCAAAGTAACAACAGCCTCGGGATCAGAAGGAAGAGGAGAAAAATGAGCAACACAATTGTTGACAGAGATAGAAGTAGGGAAACCAATACCTATTAAATCATGTTAGCATTATTTTTTTCCTACTCAGCCACATTTTTTTTTTTTTTTTTTTACCCTTGGAGATCTTGTTCTTTCCTTGCTTGGTATAGATTTTGCTGGTAGCTTCGGTAATAAGTCTATCACCTTCGATACAAATGTCAATAATCTTGGCATCAACAACACAAAGCTTAATGACCTTGTCGAGAACATCTATTCATTTGAGTTAATAAATGAAACTAAAACGCGTATCAAAATAAAAAAAAGGGGGGAAGAGAAGACTTTGTGCCTTATTTTAATTTATAAATCAAGATCATTACCATCGGCAATTCTACCAGCATCCTTGTACTTCATTTGAACATCGCTGTTGGAAACATCGTTGACTGGCTCAGTAGCCTTTGGAGTTTCAGCAGGATTGGCACTCATTTTTTATTTGTTGAAAAAAAAAAATAAATAAATAAATAAAATAAAACAAAAGAGAAAAAATTATTTTATAGTGATTATTGAAGAAATTGAGAAAATTTTAGAATAAATTCGTACTCAGATAATAAGAATTAAGCTGATCACCTAAACAGTTGAAAGGTATATAGAAATTATTTTTTTTTTCTTATTAACAAAATAGGATTATTTGTATGAACACAATAATAAGTGTTAATATGTAAACATTGAAAAAAAAAAGTAGAGGTGAAAGAGGAGAAGGCATAAGAATGCTTTCGAAGATTGTTATAATATACCTGCTGCTATAAGAAGCCACTATGCTGAATAAGTCACATTACTTGTATCGTTCTAGTATTTATGCAAGCGTCAAATTATTAAATGCTTGTAAATAGATGAAACACTCTATTATTTATATAAAGATTAGAAATGGAATCTTTTTTGGTTAACTGATAATAAATTTCACTTAGTCAAGGTATTAGACTGCAGCAATAAAAGTAATGTCTCTTTCATTAAGTATTGAGATAAAGTATATAAGATGTATACAATGATCAAAGACAATTCTACTTTATGACAAATATCTTTCATTTTCTATAAAATAGTATTTGATCTACTATCAAATTATTAATAGTACTATTTAAAATCACTAATAGGTGGAGATACTATGACTAGAAAATTTAAACTATGATCTGGATACCTGCTGTAATACGCAAGTAATGAAGTACTCCTCCAAATTTCCTCATATATCCAGCAGATAAGGCTACAATATGTAGTTTACATAATGAATACCAATTACAACTAATATATTAAATTATATCATCATAATAATCCTATACGCATGTGAGCCTAATTGGATATTACTAGCTCAGGAGAGTCTAGAGGTATGCACCAGTTGATATCAAAAAAAAAAACTCTTGGAAAATGTTTATTCTCGATAGCTAATTTTAACTCAACATTAAGAAAATGAATCCATAATAATGAGATTGTTAAGAAAAGGTACTGTTACTTAAAGAACGGATTGAATGCATAGCTCTAGAAAAGGGGATATTTTAATGTTCCTCCATTAACTTACTAAAGGAATACTGTAGTATCTTTTTTTTTCCTTGACTCTGTTTAATTCCTTTTTTTTTTTCAATCTGTCCAGGCCAATAGCTTTTGTATTTAAGGCATTAAGTATCCAAATGAAATTGTTCGCAAATGCTTTTTTTTTCGGAATATAAAGCAAGTCACATTGTAAAGTAAAAGCTTATCATGTATGAAGAAGAATTTATTATGTGTATTTTCTGTGAATCTAGTCGTTTATGTAGGTGTATATATGTGATAGTATAATAGATTTAAAAATAACCAAAGTTTGATTTACTGACAATGTTGGCTGTATTGGAAGGAGGGAAGAAAGAATGATATGTTTATAGGGCTAAACGTTACTTTTTCACTTTTGTTTCCAAAAAATCTTTTGCTTCATTAATCTTTAATGCTAAGAAAGGTGAACCCCCACGATCAGGGTGATTAAGTAACATGATGCGTCTATGAGCTTCTTTAATTTTTTGCTTTGTTGCTTGTGATTCCCTTTACACATTTTAAATTGATTTAAGTTTTTCATTTATTTATTTATTTTTTTTTTTCAACAAAAAATATATATTACCTAAGACCAAGAATCAATGCAGCTTCTCTTTTGTTCATTTTTGGATCAAAACCACCTTTATAAAACTTGGAAAGTCTGGGCTTTTTTGGTAATTTTTGATATTCTTGGAATGCTTTAATACCGAGACGACCAGCAGTAGCTGCGCCAGCAACAACAAAACCCATTATAACAGCAGTAGACTATATATATATATATGTATGTAGAGGTATATATGTTAGTTAAACAATATTTAAAAAAGAAATAAAAATAAAATGTAGGTTAAAACAAGATCTTTTCTCATTACCATCTTTATATAATGTCAAATGGTTTAAATAATAAAAATTATAAAAGAAAAAAATTCGTTCCTTAAGCTTCATGGCCCCAGGATTTTATATCTCCATTCTTCAAAAAAATAATCTGATTGGATTATAGATTACCAGTGTTTTTTGAAGAAGTTTAATGCTTAGTTTGTCACTCTTTTCCTTACAGCTATTTTTTATAATCCTCGTTCTTTTTTCTTTTTTTTTTTTTTACATTTTATTTATTGTTTAAAAAAGTAAATATATTTTTTGTTTTCAACGAATAAAACTATTTTAATCAGTATCCATTGGTTCTGCTGCTTCAAGTCCAACGGCAACAGCAGGCTCATGCTGTTCCGAGTTATCATCAGTATTATTAGAGCCAGTAGCACCACCAGGACCTGCCGGTCTTCTTCTTCCTTTATCTTCACCAAGTAAATCTAAATACTTCTGTAGTGCTTCTCCTTCAATAATCTCGAATGGATGATCCTCACCTACAATACCAAGAGATGTGTTGTGAATATTGAGATCTTTATCTTGTTGCAATGTGTCACGAAGTGCTTGAAGACCATGACGAACAAGTTCATCCAATGAAGCTAATAAATAAATATAGTTAATATTGAAAGATACTATTTCAACATAATAACAAAATCATATACCATCAGTAAATTCCTCACGATATTTTTCAAGATATGTCTTGGCAGATTGAGATCTTGCACCAATGGACATGGCATAATATTCAAAACTAGTGCCAGAAGGAGAACATTCAAAGAGATGGGGTCCAGTTTCCTATTGCATATGTCAAAATATAGCTCCTTTTTTTTCTCTCTTTAAAAAAGTTAACACCTACATCATAACCAATGACAAGAAGACCAACACCATATGGTCTACGTCCATATTGTTGAGTGTTGACTTGTGCCTCTACAATAAAAAAGGGGGGTCAATATTAAGGCGACTTGTAAATTTTCCAAAATTACAAAAAAAACATACTATCTGCAATTGCATTAACAATTCTTTGTGTAGGTAATGGTCTGTCATACAACATCTTTGATTTCATGGCTTCTGAACGCATAAAGTTACTAATAATTCAAATTAATAAATATAAATTCGAACATTATCCTAATTTACCTTAAAACACGAGCATCTGAGGTCAATCCTGCAATACCAATACCCATGTGATCATCAATTTTAATTAACTTTTTTTGATATGAGGCAAGTTCTCCAGATGAACGCTATGGTTAAAAAATACATAAGTTTCTGAAAGAGCTTTACATTAATTTCAAAAAAAAATACCTTCAGGGCAAGTAAAATAGCATATTTATTACTTCTTAAACCGATAGCAGCTGATCCCTGTTTAACTGCTTCGACTGCATATTCTACTTGATGTATACGACCTTGAGGTGACCAAGTTGAAACATCGTTGTCGTATTGATTTCTAAACTATTAATGAGCAAAAAAGAAAAAAAGAAGGAGAAGAAAGCAAATAAAAAAACGCTTTTAGTTGATAAAAATTCAATAAAAGTTCGAGAAAAATGCTTTTACCATTGTACTTCAATCTTTATTTTATCTAAGAAAAAAAAAATCTCCTGCAAAAAAAAAAAAAAAAAAAAAAAAAAAAAAAAAAAAAAAAAGGTGTACTCGCGTCTCTTGATGATATATGCCTAAAAAGTGACTTTGTCAAGCTCGTACGCGCGGCCAAAGCGATATGAAGTGCAAGCAGATGACGTATTTTTCGGAGTTTTCTAAGTAGTAAAATGCTATCAAGTATCATTTTTCTGATGGTTATAAAATATACACATTTATAAATAATGTAAAATTATGATTTATTAAATACAATGTTAAATTTCTTAATGACAAGTAAAGAAGCCTTTTATAATTATATTCATTTCGATTAATATAACATCATAAGGAAGGATGATTAGAACGCAATTAACTTAAACATTATAAAAGACTAATATAAGTAACTTACGCTCTGATCTGTTACCATATAAAATTTGTTTTCAAATAGCATTCATTAAAAACTTATAATCAGTAGATATTTTTTGTCTACATAAAATGAATCATGACAAATATATTTCATTACTTGTTGAATAAAACTTTTTTAATGCATAAAAAATAATAAACATTGTTACATCTTCAGTGTGTAAAGATTGTCATAGGGCTTTTTTGAATGTTATTTTTTATTATGAGCTTTTTTTTTTTTCCTGATTTATTAACTATAATACTTTTTCATACTAAAATAACACATACAGTAAACAAACCTAGTAATTGTTATAGACAAAAAATTAACCTTTAAAGAATTCTTAACACTTACAAAGACTTGATATATTTAGTCGCAGTGCCGCCGAACAAGAAGATCAAAAGACACCTAAGTCCTGCACGGATAGTGGTTGTCCACTGCAAATAACTTGTTAAAGTAGGACTACACAGTATTGTAAAAGTAGGATTTTTACAAGATTATTTTAAAAGATGGGAATTTCTAGTAAAATCTTATATCAAATGAAAGCTACAATCCTCTTGATTTTAAATCTATTTTTTTTTTATTATTATTATTATTTTATTTGGACAAATATTCAATATTTAAAGATTCACTTTTTGATGAATTTGTATTACATAATTTTCAATGTGTTGATCGAGTTTTATTCTCTGGATAGATTTTATGCTCTATAAATAAAACACACAAGATTACGAATACATAACACCTAAAAAAGACTAATATTATTTTATTATGTAACCAAGACAAAAAGTTGTAAAGTCATTGGTAAAAATTTAACTTTGAAAAATACACTTTGTTTAAATATATATAATTTAACGAAATTAAAAAATAAATAAATAAATTGCAAAACTAATTAATTTTACCATGTTGGCAAATGACAATTAACACATTTGTCAATTGAATAGTAATTACCACAATATAATGAAACATGGCAACTATTAATGAAAATAGCTTGCACTACTTTAAATACTCTCGAGTAATATTTGTCTGTCGTTATTTATTTTAAATGCTTTTAAACTTTTAACTGTTAATTTGTACATTTAATTAATTGCAATTACGAAATGGTTAATTGACATTTATAAACCGACAAAAATGTAACAATAACAAAGCTCTGACAAGAGAATGTTATTATAAATTATTATGTATATTTTTACATAAAACATACTTTTCTTTTCTTTTTTCTATAGTGTTATTCTTTGAATTTATTTTTATGAATTATAATATATACAGGCTAAATGGTTAACATAATAATGATAGATGTAGCATTATACAGAACTTGTACTTTTGTTGATCTATTTATCAAAGTCTTTTATTTTATGATAGGTAAATAATAATAGTGTCATTCATTGCACTATAATAACCAACGTAAATAAATATATTTACATTTATTATATAAAATAACTGCAATTCTAATTACTCTTTATTCTCTACAGCCAAGTAAACAAAAAATCATTTTACTCTGAATATCATCAAATAAAAAGAACAAAAAAAAAACAAATGGAGGGCTTTTCCTTCTAAATGTAATAAGATATACTTAATGTTTAGTTTTTTTTTTTTTGAATATTAAGTTTTACTTTATTGTTTTTCAGTAAGCAAGCAATTTTACAGCAGAAGAAGACCATTCCAAGTTATTCTCTTAATACGTCTTACTGTTGTATTCCCCCCCCTTTTTTTTTTGATATGTATTTATTTATCCTTAAAAAGGAATAAATAAAGCTTAAATGGATCATTTTTTAAATAAATGATATAAATATTATAAATATGCAAATTTTAAAGAAAAATGCATTTATTATGTATCCTATTAATATATGCAAATAAAGAAATATTAAAAGTGAATGTAAAAAACCAATGAAGGGCTATAAACTATGTTTATATACCACAAATGTGAAGAAATAAGCCAGTAGAAGGTCTGTTTTATCGTTAAAAATCTGCTAAAGTAAGTTTTTATTATTTGTAGTGGCTATCTAGTCACGTAACTGTTTGTAATCATCATAAATTATATAAAATTTTTTCTGGTATAATACGTTTGTAAGTTGAAGCTTGATTTTACCTCTATTGTTCCTAATGTCACACTCAAGGCTTGAACAGCAATAAAGAAGAATATCTTATTATTAAATATATATTATATCTTAAATTGCTCCTCAATGCCTGTACCTTTCCTTTTCTTTAACCAGTTGACGTCTTCAGTCAACAATATTCAATACAAAAATTTACAAGTGATTACTTAATGTCAAGATTATAACTTGACCATTTTTTTTTATTCTTATTTTTTCAAAAGAGTATAAAATTAGAATTAAAAGACAGATACGTGATTCTATTGGATAGATCACGTGACTTATAGTTTAATATCCGGATTATAGGAAATTAAAAAAAATTGTAGCCATGATATGTTCGTGGTGCTTAACAGTAGAATCCTTTTCTTTTATTTTTTTTTCTATTTGTGAAGCTAATGTTTCTTCTAGTTACTTTTATACTGAGACAAAGGTATAAATGTAAGTTGAATATTGCTTTTGTTCTTTATGTCGTCGTTAATGTATTGATATTTCTTTCTGTTACTGTTTCTATATTTAATTGACAATCTTCTGTATTGTCGTTTCAGTTCAATTAATCAAATTACAATTAAACAACTTAATAAAAATTTAAAGCAAAGTAAAAGCTTGATTTTATTCCATTATATTAAAAAATGATACTTAAATAAAAAATGATATTATATAAAAGGAATTATTAAAGAAGGGTAAATTAAAATAAAATAAATTGAATTACCGGACAAGTCCGGTATATCACGTGACTGTTGATTAAATTTTTAGTGTGCAAATTTTATATTTTTATACCACTTGTCAGCCAAGAAAGGTTCCATGATGTAATTGGTTAGCATGTAAGACTCTGAATCTTGACATCCGAGTTCGAGTCTCGGTGGGACCTTCATTTTTTGAAATTTTTTTTATTTCTTTACATCATATATTGTATTTACCTTTCTGTAGTTATATTTATATAAGCCTATTTGATTATTACCTTTGTTCGCTTTTTACATGAATATGTTCTTATCTTTCTCATTAGAACCAAGTAACGATCTCTCTTCAAGTAATTTTAGATGTCACTTTATAGAGCTTTATGTAACTGCCATTATATCAAAGTATGATAATTAAATATTGATTTATCACTAATAACTTTCAACAATAATTATCTTTTATTTATTTATTTATTAGGAGAAGATATATTACCGCCTTAATACATCAAAACTTTTTTCTTTGAGAAAAAATTTACAGGAGTAATAATGCTTTTTTTTTTGAATTACTTTCTGAAGAGAATAGTTAATTCTATTAAACTGAGTTAGACTGAATATTAGCCTATGAAACACTATTTTATAACTTTCTTCATCAATAAAATGGAATCATTAGTACTATCAAACTTTTTTTTTTTTGTAAGCAGCAAAATACATATATGAAAAAAAGTAATATGCATTTCTTGAACATATCTAAAATCCCGCCTTTTTTATTATTATTATAAAAAGCGTCAAAAATCCAAATAGGATCTATACAATATTATTATGTATCAGTAAAATTTTTCAAAAACAGCTGAAAAGTAGTAATAAAGTACTAATTAGTTCACCTCTAATATTTAAAATAGAATAAGAACTTTTTTTTTTTTTTTTTTTTTTTTTTTTTTTTTTTTTTTTTTTTTTTGTATAAACTAAATTTATTAATATCGATGCATATATTGTTGTTGTTGCTGTTGTTGGTTCCCTGGATAATCAGGCATTTTATAAAATCCATCATTTACCACAGAGACCTTCTCCGAGAATAATTGACTAACACCAGAGGCATTTTGAGTCATTATGATATGATTCTGATTTTCTGCTGCTAATCTCTTACGCATACCACAAACACTTTTAATGATATACCATGTAAAGATGGCCAAGAATAGCAATACAAGGACGATAATAAAGACATACCTATGGTTCTTTTGAAGCCAACTTTCTTGAGGTGTATTTAGGTTATTGGATGTAGAATTAAATCCATCTGTAGATACCTCTGTAGTTGAAAGAGGTTGTTGAGCTACTGTAGCTGTTGCTGGTAATAATTGACTTTGTTGAGCGAATACAATCGAAACTAAAGTGAGTATTAAAGAAAGATGTTGAATCATTTTTAAATAATATATAATTGAGTTATAAAGAAAAAATTAAAAGAAAAAAAGAAGCGTGGTAAAGGGAGTGAATACACACACAAAAAAAAAAGTTTATTGTATATCTTAAAGGAATGGAGATAATTGAAACAATAAGGAAAAGAAAAAGTGAATAAAGAAGTTGAATAGTGTTAATAAGCCTAAAAATAAAATATATGAAAACAAAACATCAAAATTAATTTTTATACTCCGTTTTTTTTTCTTTTTTTTCTCTTTCGTGTAAATTTTATTAGGAGGATTATTGATCTAGGAATAATAATACATGTTTCCTTTACAGTATATAGTTTAGTTATTATTACAAGTAATGGGTACTTTTATTCATGTTATAATTATTAATTTGCTTGATTCATAGCTTCTTGAACTTCAGATAACATGGGTACAGAAGCCATAGAACCTTCACGTTGAACAGCAAGAGAAGAAGCAAAATTAGCCTCTTTTAATGCATTCTCAATTCTTTTAAAGTAGTCTTCTTCTTCTTTTTCTGTTCGAATAAGAGTAGCCAAAAAGTACCCCTTTATAAAGACATCATGATGTTAAGTCATTTATAAATATTTTCTATTTTCCGCCGTTTTTTTTTTTTTTTTTTTTTTTTTTTTTTTTTTTTTTTTTTTACTTACAACAAAAGTATCTCCAGCAGCAGTAGTATCCTTAACATTTACTTTTCTACTGGGAATTTTAAAATCATGAACTTTACTCTCCTCTTTAAATTTCGCAACAACACCTTCGCCACCTAAAGTAATGATAATGCCTTTCATTGAATCAAAAATAGTCAACATTTCTGCTGCTAATTCTAGTCCTTTTATATCTTTCTTTCCACCAAGCTCTTCATATAAAGCCTTTGCTTCATGTTCATTTACAACAAGAATGGTCACTTTATCAAATGGGAAATCCTTTAAAATACCCTTTGTAAGAGGTGCAGGATTAAAGAGAATATTTAGACCCTTCTCAGCAGCTAGCTTCATGATGTCACCACCATGACTAATTTCATTTTGTTGAACAAGCCAGTCACCGGGACCAAAGGAATTTAAAACTTCTGCAGCTTCTTCGGGTGTATTTGTACCATTTGTTCCCGGATAAAGTACAATACAGTTATCCCCTGTCTCTTTACTTACTTGAATAAATGCGCGCCCATTTCTCTATAAACATATATAGAATTATGTAAGCAAACCTTATTTTTTTTTTTTAATATTTACTTCTTTTTCGTTAATTCTTGCAAATGACATGTCAACTCCATTCTCACTCATGTATTCTTTAATCTATACATATTGAAAAATAAATGGTCACATTTCTTACGTATATATTAAACAATGACTATCTTACCCATGCGGCATCATGTCCAAAATTACCAGCATGATAAACGCGTCCTCCAGCCTAAAATTTGACATTATTTATTATTATTATTATTATTATTTTAAAAAAAAAGGGAAATAGTATCCAGTATTAAGATAATCTTACTTTTGCAAAAGCAATTGATTGATTTGCTCCTATATAAGTATATGCATGTTTAATACTTTATCAAAAAAGAAATACAAAAAAAAAAAAAATTTTTTTATCTCTTCATATATAAATATATACCTTTTCCACCAGCGCGAACAAAATATTCTGTTGAAGATAATGTTTCTCCAGAAATACATATATGAGGAACAGTAAAGAACTCATCAATATTCACTGAACCGTAGTTAAGAATCTTGCTCATTATTAAAATAAAAAATATGATCTTTTTTTTTATTATTGTAGAAAGTAGAAGAAAAAAAGAAGAAGATGTTATTCACAAATAATTAGACTGACTTTTATACAGGATCCATTATTAATTATGCACAACCATTTTAACGGTCTTTTGTGCGCCGACGGGAAGAGAGGAAAAAAAAAAATGTCCATTAAGAAATTTCTTATAAAAACACTGGGAACAAAAAAAAAAAAAAAAAAAAAAAAAAAAAGGGGCGGGGAAATGGCTTTAAATTTCTTGCTATTTATATGTTAGCATAATATGTCTAGGAAACAAAGAATTCCTTATTTTCCTATGTAATCAAAACTATATTTATAGAAAATTAGGAGAAGAACTATAATATAACTATTGTATATGTTTATATGTATATATTAAAACAAAGAAGAGGAGAAGAGGGTAAAATATACGAAATATGAGTTGCTTTTTTTTTTGTTAAACAGACAAGAGGGTTCTCAAATCTAAAAAAAAAAAGATATATGTATTTGATAACTTAATCATCAACAACATTAACTTTGACAGTTTCAATAGCAACCATTTGACCACGACGAAGTTGCACTAATTCTTGGAAATCAAAAGCATAAGACCCTGGTGTGGTGTTCTTAGGGACAGTCCATTTCTTTGAATAAGTAACATATTTATCTTCTTTAGCAGCAATGGGACTATACAAAAATGATAATGAGAAATAAAGATACTACACAAATAAACGAAGATAGATTTTACCATGAACTAAAAACGGTTCTAATTTTTTCTTGCTTTTTATTTCCAGATCTTTTATGAAAATTAATACTCAACTTTAAAGCTTTACCAGCAGCGACATTATCTTTAAAAAAAACGTATATATTTTAATACAATAGTAACATTTATTTCTATAGTTGTATTTACCTTTAATAAGGGGTTGCATGACATATTTAATCACAACTTTTTCACCAGCAGTAATATCTTGTCCACTCTTTGGTGATGAGATTTTAATAAATTGAAGTTGAGAAAAGACACTTGCAAAAGTAGTTTGAATAAAAACAAAAGATAAAATTGCAAGCAAAAATAAGCTTCTTGTTGAAATGATCATTTTAATAAATAAGTAAGGAATAAGAAGAAGAAAGGAAGAAGGAAAATCAAAAAAAAAAAAAAAAATAGTGAATAGTAAGTATTTTATATAAGGCTACACAAGTCAAATTAGCTGATTTATAAAAATAAAACAAGTATTCAAAATGTTGTGCACTAATTATGTATAACCCTGCTGCCTTTAATTTATCCATCTTTTCATTGTATAACATTCAAGAAGTAAGTTATAGTAGCTTGTCTTCTTATTTATTATGAAAGAGAGAAGGGAATGCTTTGAAATACAGTAGCTAAAGCCCAAATTACCCTACATCCCCCCAAAATATATATATGGTTATTAATAATAAACATATTGTATATTTGGAAATAGGGACCATTATTCACCAATAATGTACTCCCTTCCTGCTCCTACAATTAAACGAATTATAGATGTATAAGAATTTCCTTTAATAAATTGAGCCAATAGAAATTGTTGTAAAAAATCTATACAAGCTAGTAAAATCGTAACCTTTCTACTGTCTCCATCGTAAACAAACACAAATAACAAGTAATTTCTCTCAATATATTTTGGGAGGTAAAAATATAATTTTTTTTCTTCCTACATGATTCTGTTGTCCATTTACAGAAAATAGATCGGTATATAAATAGAAAGTAGCTAAACAAAGTAATAAACTTTAATATCATTCTTATTGCTCAATACCATCAAGTGCTTTATTTTCTACTTTATTATATTAAAGTAGATTAACAGAAATCGGGAGTAGAAGTAGATAAAGTTGTTTTTATACCAATAGTAATAAAAATAAATGAAGCATTGGCAAAAAAAAAGCCTTTCTTTTATAATAGAATCGAGCCTTTTAAATAAGGTAATGCTATTTTAACATGGCACAAATTCTATTAAAATAAATTCTGCGCATATCTGAGTTTTTTTTTTTTTTTTTTTTGAACAAAAGAAACGTAGCAAAAAAAAAGTGTACTAAAGCATTGACTTTTATGCTAATTATCTACCAAAAAAAAAATCTTGTACAGTGCCGCAGACTTGCTGAAAGAAGGTATTTTTTTTTTCTTTTGAATTTGACTTTATCTCCAATTGTCAATGTCGGCGCCGTAAATAAAACAGAAAAATAAGGGGTAAAAAAAAAAAGCGATAGATATAAAAAGCAATGTTGTTGTTATGACCATTTATTTATTTATTTATTTTTTTAAATAATAAAACAATTTCAGAAAAGGAAAAAAAAAAGATATGAGTAACAATTTTTTATATGCCTTTTGTGTTAAGGCCTAATACTATAAACCTCACAAGTAAGCTTGTATTGAACTATAAAATAACCATAAGCTTTATTATTCGGTAATTGTGTCTTTCTTTTAATACTGTTCATATTCACTATTCTTTCTTGAAATTTATATTTCCTTTCTACAGTTTGAGTTAGCTTAAACAAATTTAACAAACTATTTTAATAAATATACATATACAATAGATATGTAAATCTATAATATAACCACAATAAAGAAAGCCTTATTATTATTAATTAATTGTACAAGTCCAGTAGTCATATTTCATCAAAAGATATAAATTGTTTCTTTCTTTCTTTATTTTATATCATAAGCTATTACATGCTAATTAAAAGTTTACCAGTCGTTTTTCTACTTTCAATATCAGTATGTGCTTGTTTAGCATCTTTTAATTCATAAATTTTATAAATTTGTAGACGGATAATCTTCTTATGAAACAAATCAAAAACTTCATTCCACCATTTTTCTCTCTCTACAGGGTCAACAAGATAAGCAAACAACTGAGGCCTCATTAACTTTAAATTCTTTGGAGTTAAACATGTAATAGAGATAGGAGGGACTGCACCTGAGGCGTTGCCAAATGAAATCAAGGTACCCAAACGACGTGTACATGCAATGGAATCTTCAAATGTTGCCTTTCCAACTCCATCTAAAACGGCATGACAACCCAAACCGTTTGTAATCTCATTGACACGATCCACTACATTTTCACGTGTATATACAATTGTATAATCTGCTCCATTTTCTTTAGCAAGTTTGGCCTTTTGATCGTTACTCACTGTACCAATGACGGTGGCACCAAGATGATGAAGCATTTGACATAATAAAAGACCTACACCACCAGCAGCAGCATGAACTAAAATAATATCACCTTTCTTTACAGCATATCCGTCACGAACCATTGTCCAGGCAGTTAATGCTTGAATACCAACAGCGGCTGCTGCTTCATAGCTCATGTTCTCTTTTAACTTTTGAGCAGCAGCAGAAGGTACATTTGTGTATTCTGCATAAGCAGAGTCTCCCAAGTAAACTACTCTATCTCCAACCTTAAAATCTTTAACGTTTTTACCTACTTGAACGACATCACCAGCACTATTAAGCATTTGAATGAATGAGGAGCTAATATATATATATATATATATATATTACTATCTTACCCTTCACGTCCAAGTGTAAATGGGAGAGTTACAGGATAAAGACCACTTCTTTGGTAGGTATCAATGTAATTGACACCTGAAAAACGATTCTTTACAAGAATAGAATCATCTTCTACCTTAGGAATAGGAACATCACCATATATCATGTTATCAATACCTCCTTGTTCTTTAATATAAACGGCCTTCATAGTTGTATCAGTTGACATTGTTTGCATAATATTATATTACACTAAATTGTTGATGTTGCTCTTTTTGTAGTGAGAATAATAAATAAATAAATTATTAGACGTGATAATAATAATAATAATAATAATAATAATAAAAAAGAACAAAAAACAAATAGAAAAGAAAAGAAAAATAGAATATGTTTACGTATTTGCAGTAAACATTTGCATTTTTTTTTTTTTTTTTTTTTTGTAAAGGATAATGGGCCAATTAGTCATAGTATAAGTCACATATTCGGATCCTTAAATCATTTACTAGCACATTAGATAGTATTACTTTTAATTCACTGAATTTTATGTATTTATTACACAGGGTTTCTTTCCATAAAGAAAAAAGGTAATCTATCATTACTTGTTTCTGTGTTCTTTACGAATAAAAGAGTAAAAAATAAACACCGTTCCTTTTTATTTACAAAACAGACACTATTTGATATATGTATATATCTTGAAGGAAGTTTTAACTGCTGGTTTCAAATGTTAATAATTGACTGATTACGTAAAATTAGTTTTGAAATGCATAAATTTCAAACTACATAAATTCATAAAACTCAAAAAAAAAAAAAGATTTTGTTATATAGTCTTTTATTTTTACAAATTAAGATGAAATTATTAAATGATTATATATGTACATGAATATATCTATTATATAAAAGAATCTAAACGAATAAACAGTTACAAAAAGGAGAAAAAAAAATTAATCCTTCTTATAAAAAGGATAATCAGTATAACCTTTAGCATCATGTGTATAGAAAGTGCTACGATCATATTTGTTCAAAGGCCATCCATGACGAAGACGTTCAACAAGATCAGGATTAGAAATAAAGAGACGACCAAAGCCAATCATGTTACCAGTCTTTTCAGCTGTATCAAAGGCAGCTTGAGTATTATAAGTATAACCACCAGCAGAGATGAAAGGACCCTTCCATGCTTTACGGAAAGGATCAAGGGTATCACTCTTATTATCATAACTGTCAGCAGTGAAATCAGCACGAGGTTCAATAAAATCAAGGAAAGCCAAGTTACTGTGCTTTTCTTGAAGTGACTTGACAAGATAACCCCAGGTCTCATAAGGGGTAGCATCTTCCATATCTTGGAAACCAGACCAGGGAGAGAAACGAATAGCAGTACGTTCAGCACCAATAGTCTCTACAACTGCATCTACTACTTCAAGAGGTAATCTACATCTATTTTCAATACTACCACCATACATATCAGTACGCTTATTACTAGAGGTGTTGATGAATTGATCAAGAAGATAACCGTTAGCAGAATGAATTTCAACACCATCAAAACCAGCTTCCATTGCATTTAAAGCAGCTTGACGGTAATCTTGAATAAGAGATTTGATTTCGGGAATAGTAAGGGCACGAGGCTTTTCTTGAGGAAGACCTAAGAGGTTAACACCTGAGATAGGAATATCAGAAGCAGAGACAGGTTGTTCACCAATATGAGCTGACATAGCAGCACGACCAATATGCCAGAGTTGAAGGAAGATAACACCTCCTTTAGCATGAACTCTGTCTGTCACTTTCTTCCAACCAGCAATTTGTTCCTTTGTATAGATACCAGGGGCACGAGGATAAGAACCTGCCTTAAAAGTGATGAAACAAGCTTCTGTAAGCAAGAGACCACCATCAGTGGCACGTTGTTCATAATATTCAGCCATAAGATCAGTAGGAACAGCATTCTCATCAGCACGGAAACGTGTCAAAGGAACAAGAGCAATACGATGCTTAAGCTCATGCTTACCGAGCTTCATAGGAGTGAAAAGAGCAGAATTGGATGACATTACTAAATTAAATTTAAACAATGAAGTATATGTATAAAAAAAAAACTAGAGAATTAGATAGGGGTAGTAGACTCCCTTCTTCTATTTATATTAATGTCAAAATAATCTGATCTTAAAATAAATAACCAATAAAAAAACTTAACTAACTATTATGAAGTTTTCAATGTTCTAAACATATTTTTTGAAACTTATATTTTACCGATTAGTTCATTTTTCTAACAAACAAATTATATAATATAGTAGACGGTATAATAATATGCTTACAACACATAAATACGCATTATCCATCATAAGCAATAAAGCAACTATTTCTTCAATTATATAAAATAAAAGCTAAATACATGATATTATAAAATAGGACCCTTCGTTTCTTTCTTTCTTTCTTTCTTTCTTTCTCTTTCTTTTCCCTTTTTTTTTTACTTGTGCCTGAAGATAATTTGCATATCAATAAAAAAAAAAGCTTGACAAATGATTTGATATAATAAAAAAAATTTTTTTTTCTGTTGAATTCTTTTTTTCTGAAATAGCTTATTAATCAATGCAAGGGACTTTAAAAAAAAAAAAGGGCTTACAAATTATAATTAATATTAAAAACTAACTTATTTTTATTTAAGACAAATACTTATTTATATACAATATTGCTGATAAATAATATCGATTTTTTGTTGTTGTCATAGGCAGAAATAGTAACGTTTATAGATTCAAGTATTGAGCAGATTCTACTTGACTTGGCTAAGATACTACTTGAATATACTAATAAGATATATGATTGCTTTGTCTTTTTTATTTATTTATTTACAAATTAGTGAAAAATCGAGTAATAAAAGCTTTTTGACAGATATATCTACAATTGGCTAGTCAACCTAACACTAGTAAGCATTTTATTGTTTATCTAAAGACTTTCGGTTATCCGTTATTAACCAAACTACCCTCCGCTCTAAAAGCTTTTCGCAAGGTCAATACTCATTCTAAATTTCAAAACAAAAACAACTTGAGTGGACAATCTTCCTCAGCTTTTCCTTATTACTATTACTATTATTATTAGAATAGACAATAACTCGACATTATTTATTAGCCAGATTGTATATATTTATATATAAAAAACAAAAGTCTAGTTAGCTTGCTTTTCATTGGCAATCTTCTTTAGTTGAAATGTTTTTATAACTGCAGACTATTTTGATTAAATAAGAGTAAGCATTACTATTATAATAATTATTTGATAATAACTTACAGGATGTTTACTCCAACCTAGACGTGTGATTGTATCTTTTGCAGCATTTGCCTTACTATTTTTACCATCTTTTGTTATTGTAAGTTCAGGCAAACGTCTAAGCTCTTTTCCATTTTGAAATAAAATTAAAGTTGGTAAATCGAATGATGCTGGATCCTTGCTGACACCAAATTCTTCTGCCAAGTCAGGATATATATCAACGTCAATTTGACCTTTTTGCAACAGAAGCAATAAAAATTATATTAGGAAAAAAAAAAAAGCATAATAATTTTTGGATTACATAATTTTACCGAATTTTAAATGAGGTACATCATATTGGATGGATAATTTAGCTAATACAGCTTCAAAATTAAGACAAGATACAGACCAATTTGCGTATAGCATAACAATCCAATATTTAACTTCATCTTCAGTCTTTTCTTCTTCTTTTTTATCTTCTTCTTCAGTAATCTCTGTAATACGTGGACCCTTAATATCTTCTACAGGAACAGTAGATTTACTAGATGGCTTTGGACTTTTTGTAGTATTTGATTTAAGTACTTTATCTCTAAAAGCAGCTTCATTTAATTCATAAATCTTTGTGGGTCCTCTATACCATGGTTGAGGGAAAATAGTGGAAAGTACTACATATATATTTCAGTTTAATATAATCAACATTATTTTTTTTTAAGATAATAATTATATTTACTAATCCAGCCAATGATATAAAAGAAAGTAGTCCAAAAACCCATTTTCCAAAATAGACTACATAATGTAAAGAATTTAGTGTACAAGATGATAACACCTGATAATTCTTCTGCAGTGGCTGCCATGAAGCATTTCCAAGTGCAAACGCCCAATAGTAAAATATAACTCTTAGATTCGGTTTCCTAATAGACTTACTATTTTAGTTTTTTTTTTTTCATTCATCACATCATCCAAATACATTGTGTTGAGTAAATTTAACTTACTTCGAAATTGATCAATTGATTTTTAAGCAAATAGTTCAATCGTACAATAATATAAATAATGCCGTATATAAAATGAAGCACATAATGAGGATGAAATAATCGTTGCTTCAATTCACTTAAGCTTGTCATCGTTTTTCAAATCGCAAACTAGAAAATAAACAAGATAAAATACTCTTTTTTTTTTTTCAACACTTTTATGCTTAAAAAAAAAGGATTTTTTTTTTTTATTTTTATTTTTTAAAAAACAGCACTACTTGACAATAAACAACTCTCAATAAAATATTACTTTAATAAAGTAAAAAATAAAATAAAATAAGATTAGCAACTTGTATTCTATTAAAATTCTTCATTAATAAAACATGCTTTGTTAGGAAATACACATACTGCAATAGATAAAAATAAAATAAATAAAACATAGTTAACAGACTAAATTTATAGATATTTATATAAGCTTACTTTCTGCGGCAAGAAAAAAGATAAAAAGACAGACAGACAGACAGAGAGAGAGAGAGAAGAAGAAGAAGGAAAGTATTGGCGTTATATAGTTGGTTTATATTTAATATTTACACGAAGCTCACCACTTCCAATAGGGTAAAGAGGAAGCCAGTGATCAAATAATTCTCCACCAGGAACATCGACTTTAATAAGATCCCAAATATTTATCCTATTTTGTCCCAAGTCGACAGCGGATTTGATTCTATTATGATCTTTTACTTTGAAATCAAATACGATTGGCTCACTTCCTACATTACATGAAAAAGTTTCATTCCTAGATAATATAATATAAAAGTTAAGTATTGTCTCTCTATTTTCTTTTTCTTTTCTTTTCTTCTTTACCATTCAGGGTTTAAAGTTTTGGGTATATACTTGGTTTTATATTTTAAGATTCCTCCTACTTTAATACGTACAAATGGATCACTTGTACCACTTTTATCTACACCACGTAATCCACGTGCTTCTAATAATGTAATCATGATGACACCTTTTCTTCCTGTGGCGTCACTGAGTGTTCGTGTATCTACAATGGATGAAGGTGCAAGTGATATAGCATCATCCAAACTATTACGATGTGCTGTATCTAATGATTGCCTACTATTAGGAATAACATTACGAAGACTATCATTAGATGAACGTGTCATACTATATTGTGAACTTGTAGAGGCTCGAGGAAGAGGACCTGAAGCTTCTAGATTTACATCATCATGTACATAGGTACGAGTAGCACTCAAGACAGATGTTTGATTCTTTTTATTTACCAAAAGCTGTGGATGCCATATAAATCTGACTTGTACACTGCCAGAGACACCAGCAACACCATCTAAAGGAATATCTACCATACGAGCTTTAAAGCTTTCAACTCCATCACCACGAAGTGTAATACCTCCTGAGCCAATAGGTTGATGTCCCTGAACATGATTCCAATCAAACACTTCAATACGTATACTTGCAGTTACTCTTGATTGCTAAAATCATATCACAAGATAAATATATAAATATATCTATATATGTATTTGTAGAAAAAAAAAAGAAAAAAAAAAAAAAGAGGATACGTAAACTTACAATAGGAACCGTAAAGCTCTCATTTTGCCATCTAGGATTCAAAGTCTTTCGAATAGTTTCACTTTTATAGACTCTTTCTCCATTAACAGTAAAAATAACATAAGGATCACTAGTACCTGTTTTATCAGCTGCCATTAAATTTCGCGCACTAATTAGATTAACTGTCAAAACACCTTGATCTATATATATACATATATGAAAAATTAATCAATATCATATAAAAATTCAATAGTGTTCAAAAAAAAAAAAAAAAAAAAAAAAAGAATAAGTGAGAGGCGGGAAACTTACTGTCTAGACTCTCATCAGGGTTTAATACAAAGTTTGCCATGGGATCATAAGAAAAACCAAGACGAATCCTTGCAGGACCATCGGTACCCATCAAATTAAACCATGTTCCTTCATCATCTGAAGGATCAAGACCAAGACGTCTATGTTTCATGATACGACGAATAATAGACGAACCTGAATCAATCCAATATCCTAATTTACGAATGTCCTTTTCATCCGAATGGGCAGGTTTAACTTCAATAGCAATACGTGAAAAATCCACTTCTTTAATGAATGCATCAGCGTATTCATCAAACTGAAGGCTATCGCCACGTAGTTTAGCGGTTTTATAGAGTGGCATCAGTGAGTCAACAATCACGTGACAATAGCAGTAGGCAGGTGAAGAGAGTTGAACTTCATAAATTCTGATCTTCAAAATGCCAGAATTGTATGACCCTAGATCAATCAAATCATCAGGCGTATATCGAATATATGTACCATGCAACCCACGAAGAGGTAAAGATCTTATTTCAGACTCATTATTAGTAGTAGGTAGAGTAGAGATAGAGGATACATTATTGTTTGTATGATTCAAATCAGCGTTAGAATCGGCATTAGGATTTGAGCTCGCTTCAAGTTGGGGTAATGCCATTACAGGGAAAAATTCGGCAGAATAATGAAGTGCACCCTTTGAACTATGTCTATCAATTGAGTGAAGCCTCTCCCATCTTTTTTCAATATATAATATACGAATCAAATATGAGTTTTTTTTTTTTTTTTTTTATCATTTTACTTAATTTTGCTCTTAACTTTACCTTTCGTAGTTAATATTCTTTGATTCATACCAAACATCAGGATTAACACTTTGATTACCAACTTGTTGTCGTATAATTTCAGAAACTTTAAATTTAGTTATACCTAAACTTTTATCTCTCATTTTAGCATTCCAATCCATTGCTTCCAAAATAAAGTCTTCTTTTAACGAATGTACAGGAACATATACAGTTTCTCCCCATTCAGGATTCAAGTTATTATCAATAACTTCAGTTTGTGCACGAATTTGATATCCAGATAACACGCGAATATAAGGATCACTCTTACCATTTGTAACCATTTCAACATTACGAAGATCACGAGCTTCCCAAAATGTAAAACGAATAACACCAATAGGCGGTTCTATAAATATATAAAATATAAATCATGTACACTTATATAATAATAATATTTTTTACTTACTATCATAGCCATGACCACTAACATATTCAGAAAGGCCATTCATAATCATAGGCTTCCATTGAGCACTTAAACGCAATTGTCCGACTTGCTTATCATCATTCGTTAAATTCCACCAACTATTGTTATGCTCTTGTTGACGTATTATATCAGTTAAATATGATGTGAAGACACCTAAAAGATGATCATCATCAGCACTATCTCTGGCTTCTACACGGAGGAATAAAGAAGTCTTGTCAAGAACGACCATTTCATAATAGTCTTCAAATTTGGGGTTTGATTTCTTCTTCATTGTAACGGTTTTTTTCTTTTCTATGCCATTGACAATAATACGGATATAAGGACTCATTGTATCATTAGTTGATATCAAATCACAACATTCATGTATCATTAAACGAACTACACCAGAATCTATAATAAAGAGAAGTTGTTATTAAATATGTATAATCTTTGTTTAAAGTAAATACTTACTGGATTCCACAGCAGGCTCGATAGTACCATCATCACGTTTAATAGGTTTCGAAATAGGTAAATAACGAATATCTACTCTCAAGTCAGAAACATGTTTGCCATTACGAAGAACTAATAAATTTCTATTAAAGCAAATCAAGTCAAGTTAATATTATAAGAATATACGAAAAAAAGAAAAAACACATACAGCCCTTCTTGCTTTGCATCTGCTTCACCATCTAACTGCGAAAGATTAAAGTTAGCAGTACCTAAACGCCTATCTTTTAAACCAGGCCTTGAAGTCTTTAATTCCATTGATAGAAGCGCATTTAAATTGTTTAGTTTTAAATATCGGGTTTCATTCCAAGTAGGTGTAAAAGTATTTTGACAAACACTTGTTCGATCTAATTCTTGCCCATGATCCAAATAAAAGCGGATATAAGGATTAGGAGCTCCATCAACGATATCCTCAACATGCTTAATACGGTCTGTGGAATATACTGTTACAGCTAGCACACCATTAGCAGCATCTATATATATATATATATATATTTAATAAAAAAAAACAGTCAATGTCAGCAATGACATGTATTTCATTTATACGAAATAATATACATTACTTAAATCAAAATCACCCTCAAAGAATCTATCAACATCCACTGTAAAGACATTAGGAGTATACATCAATGGTCCTAAAATACTATGTACTTGATCTCGGATGAAGCTTTGAAGGCCAGGAATCACATTCACATCAAATCCAAAATTATCTGTTCCAAGAGGTTTCAAAACATAATCAAACTGAGGCTTTTCCAGGAAACTTAACTCTACCAGTTTCACAAAGGGAAAACGACTCATAAATTTAATTTGTAATCGTAAATGACCCGAGAATGCCATATCTTCTACAACAACAGGAAACCCTGCTCCAATACGTCCTTTACCAACTCGAGCATTCATAATAACTCTTGGATTTATTTTATAATCTAATTCCTCTTTTGACAGATCATCCAAATCGTTCGGTATAAATGATACTCTCCAATCCATGCACTAGCAAAAAAAAAAAAAAAAAAAAAAAAGATTAGATTTTGATTCCTTCGCATGTCCCCCTATTTTAAACAATACTGACTACTACATCAGGATCGGTGTTTGAATACGTTTTGACACTTTCAATGCGAAATGGTTTTGTACCAAGAGTAAAAGTGGATAAACGAATAGAATCTAAAAATGGGGGCAAGTAATCAGCAATATAATTATCAAGATTCTCAACTACTAAAGCGCTTAGCACTGGCTCGAAAATAAGCCAAAACTTTTGCATGAAACTATTCATCCATTCTACTGATTCCTCATCTGCTTCCATTTTGAATTTAGATACTTGTCTTTGAATATCATCACGTGCATTACGTCGAAATCGTCTCATACTCGTACGATAGTAGGTTGCTTTATTTTTTAATTTTTTTTGTAGGGATATATAAAATAAGTATTAACGTTTAAAATAGATTCATTTGCATATACACATATATTTATAAACATTTTGTTTCTTTTTACCAATAAATAAACAAAGCAATAAAATAGTTCCAATTCCGGCATTTAACTTGGCTAGTGAAAATGAAATAATTGCAGTAGTAAATAATGCTATGCCATTATGATACCATTCACCGTAAAAGATAGAAGGAAGTATATCATCTAGAGGGTCGTTATTTATGGATTCATCATAATGAGTAGCTAATATATTTAATGGATCATTGGATTTCTTGGCAGTATTTTTTAATAGAGAAGTCCAACCAGTTCGGTACCAGTCTGGTATTTTATTATTAGAAGGATTAAAAGCACCTGGTATATTTAAAGTTGTAGGTGGTATTGATTTCTTTTCTGCGTCTGCAATAGTATGTCTCGTTAACTCTGCATCATGTGTATTTAACTCAGTGGATAATCCTTTACTAGGAATTATACCATGTAAATCGGGTACAAGGTCAACTACAGAAACAGAACTTTGTTTTCTACGATGAATTAATTCATTTGTCATTGATATCCTGGATGTTGAATGAGAAGGAGTTAATGAGGAAGATGAGGTAGGTTGACTAGGGTTTGTTATAGGTGGCATAGTCGATAATGTTGGAGGTGTTGTTGGTTGCTTTACAAGCCGAGGTGGTAGTGGTGGCGGCGGTGAAGAATTGTCATCAACTAATAAATCTCTTGGTTTACTAGTGGAATTTATAGATGCTGAATTTGATTGATTAAATGGGTAACTTGCTTCCATAATGTATTTTCAAAATAATAAAACATTCATATAAAAATACATTTTTTTTTTTTAAAAAAATTAAATGTAACAATGAGCACTTGTATGCAGCCAGGCCGTCTGTGACGTCGTTTGTACCACAACACTTTAATAGGAGCTTAATTTTTAATGTCTCGATGCTTACATAATTTCATTCCAAGGATAATATATCCTTATTAATTGGTCATTAAAATAATTCCGATATGTTTGTCCATACTAATCACGTTCCATTAGATTTGATCTTACACAAGTATAGGCTCATATTTATTATATGTCTTTATATATGAGTTATATAAGATCATTATTATTTGATATAGATAGATTAGCTGCTTTAAATTGAGTAAACCAAACATTCTATTATCTATTTTAGAAGCTTCAAAGAGGATAGTTGTTGCTTGGTATAGTGAGCAATTCAAGGATTTCAAAGCTTAAAAGATTAAAGTATAGTTTATCTATTATAAACCAATATTTTACACTTAAATATAATCTATTTCGTATAGCTATAGAAAACTTTTACTAAGCACATGTTCCCTATTAAATTATGTGTTTTACTTGGTTTGATTCTGTAATGTCGTATTTAGCCTTATTTCTGAATTGTATCGAATTGGATTACTTTTATTTTATTGTACAGATATTTTTGAAGAAGATTATAATAGATTCCTATTGACTATACTAACAGAGATAGATTCAAGATCGACTCAATTCTTGAGAAGTAATAAAGAATCAAAAAAGCAAAGAAGGAGTAAAGCAAATTTGCCAAGACCGGTAAGAATAAATACATGAATAAAATAAAACTAACTCTTCCAAAGATTGCCACAGTTTTCTTTGGAGGAATGTACCTGTTTAATCTTTTTTTTTTTAATAATTGATAGCAACATGATGCACTTAGGTAAGACTAACAGCAAAAATAAATTATTTGATCTTTCTCTATTACATTCAATGTAAGTACTACATAAAAAGACTTTGATATGAGTTGATTATGTATCAAACTTATTTTACTATTTTCTGATGAATAATGTGTAGTTAGCAGTGTCTCTACGCTGGCATCTTGGTTGATTGTCTAGTGGTATTACAAAACCATATCTTTTCCATCCAAATAAATAAGCTTATTTAGCTACACACTACTGTTTGTTTAAATATACACCACCGACTAGAAATGCCTAACACTATGACTAATCCACTGAATCATCTTCCTAACAAACATAGAAAGTTACTTACCACACGAATCAACTCCTCTACTTTTGTATATATCATTCGTTAGCCGACAATGTGTTGTGCACTCTTTGAATTTGATTACCTTTACTATAGTAAGATTTCTCCTGAATATCTCTCTTTTCCTTGATAATAATATGATCACATGATTATGCTGTAGTAATTAATCTAGTATCTATTCTTCTTCCATTATTTACCTTTTTGACTAACAAAAGTTTTTTTTAGGCTCTTTATATCCTCCTCCCCCTTTTTTTTTATCTGATCCGGACAATACACGATTATTTTACTATGTGCTCAAATGGGCTTTAATTTTTTTTTATTCAATAATAATATTTAATTGTAACTAGTATTTCGGACGTGACGTAATCTTGAATTGGAAGAAGAAAAAAAATAATAATATCGGAGTTAATTATGATTTCGCGACACGTAAGTTGCTTCAAAAAGGACGAATTGCCTAATTTCTATATACTTTTTTTTTTTTTTTTTTTTTTTTTTATTATTTCGAACTTGACATTATAATTCATCATTACTTGTAAAATATATTAAACATGCCACCAAAAGCTGATTGGGAAAAATGTAAACTCGCTAATTTCAAATATAAAGAGTGTTGAAGTGAATTAGATCATTTATTTACTTTATTTTTTATTTAGACGATAAAAGTATCGAGGACAGAGAAGAAGAAAAGATCGTTGGTAAAGTCAATATAAAATGAAAAAAAAAAAAAAAGCGTAGCATGATTTAAATTAACTTTGTTTTTTTTTCTAAAATATTTTAGCTTTGGATGAAGGAGATATTAAACTCTTGACAACTTATGTAAAGTTTCAAACATAGATTGATCACGATCAAGACAAAATTATTAGATTTATATATACCTGTATAAATATTTTACTGATAAAATTATACAATAGGGACAAGGTCCATATACAAAAGAGTTAAAGACCTTGGAACAAGATATTAAAGACATCCAAAAACGTGTGAACGAACATATTGGTAAAGAAGTTTGAAATGACTATTTTTTTACGCATAATTATGGGGAATATTAATGGAATTTATAGGTGTAAAGGAGTCTGATACTGGTCTTGCTGCACCTAATCTATGGGATATCCCTGCCGATAAACAAAGAATGCAAGAAGAACAACCATTACAAGTTGCTCGTTGTACAAAGATTATTCAAGGAGAGAACAATGAAGATCCAAAATATGTTATTAATGTTAAGCAAATTGCAAAATTTGTTGTAGAATTAGTTCGACATGTATCTCCTACAGATATTGAAGAAGGCATGCGTGTTGGGTAAGATGAAATACAAAATTGCAATTATTTTCTTCATTTCTTTTTTTCTTTTTCTTTTATTCAATCTGCTTTTAATAGTGTTGATCGTACAAAGTATCAGATTCAAATTCCTTTACCACCCAAGATTGATCCATCAGTTACTATGATGCAAGTTGAAGAAAAACCAGATGTTACTTATAGTGACATTGGTGGTTGTAAAGAACAAATAGAACGTCTATGTGAAGTAGTTGAATTACCACTTCTTCAACCAGAAAGATTTGTAAATCTTGGTATCGACCCTCCTAAGGGTGTTTTACTTTATGGACCACCTGGTACTGGTAAGACACTTTGTGCACGTGCCGTAGCAAATAGAACAGATGCAACGTTTATTCGTGTTATCGGTTCTGAGCTTGTACAAAAATATGTGGGAGAAGGTGCACGTATGGTTCGTGAATTGTTTGAAATGGCACGTACAAAGAAGGCATGTATTATTTTCTTTGATGAAGTGGATGCTATTGGTGGAGCAAGATTTGATGATGGTGCAGGAGGAGATAATGAAGTTCAACGTACTATGTTGGAATTGATTAATCAATTAGATGGTTTTGATCCCAGAGGCAATATTAAAGTGTTGATGGCTACAAATAGACCTGATACTTTAGATCCTGCTCTCTTGAGACCTGGTCGTTTGGATCGACGTATAGAATTTGGTTTACCTGACTTGGAAGGTCGTGCTCATATTATGAGAATTCATGCAAAGAGTATGAGTGTGGAACGTGATATTCGTTACGAATTAATTGCAAGATTATGCCCTAATGCTACAGGTGCTGAATTAAGAAGTGTGTGTACTGAAGCTGGTATGTTTGCTATTCGTGCCAGAAGAAAGGTTGCAACTGAAAAGGACTTTTTGGAGTCAGTTAATAAAGTTATTAAAGGTTATCAGAAGTTTTCCAGTACTCCCAAGGTAAGAAAAGGACGACATAGGGCATATTTTATATTTAATAACTTTTTTCCGTTTTTTTTTCTTTTTAATAGTATCTTATGTGGAACTAGATTAACAAGAAAAAAAAATACACCCTTACTTTCTTTATTTTTTCTCTTTTCTTCTTTTATAAATAAATAATAATAAAAATACATATATATGTATATTCATTTATGTGTTAAAAACAAATCTATATACGAACGTATATTGGGCGTTTAATAGGAACATGCTGTATATTTATGTGTAAATTTATATTATGTATGTCCAAGTATTGTTGGGTCATTATCGTTAACATATGATGTAATATGTAATTGTAGAGACTTGAACATAGATTTATTCTATCAAGTTACATGATTAATAATAAGTTATACTTGTAAGAGTCAAATAATATATATATGTATATCAATACACAGTAAACAAGCATTTTATATGTCAAGAAATAAGAACATTTTTTTATATAGATGTATATGTGTATATGTTTATTTTAAATTTGATAATATGATTTTTGAATAACATGAATTTATATAATGAATAAAAGCAAAGCAAGACTCCTCCTCTTCCTCCTCCTTGAATAAAATAATAATTGAATATTATTCGTATTTAAGCGTTAGTCTTCTTGTCGGTTATCTTGTTTCCCTTAGTATTGATCATTTTGGCAAATCTAACAGCGGGGGTATCAGCTTCAATGGCAGCATTTTTATAACGCTTAGTAAGAGTGACTTTATCATCATCACAAGGGTGATCATTTCTGGCTGAGAGGCCATGAAGGTCGCATTCATCACCATCACATCCTTCGTCCTTAGTTTTATAACCAACAACGGGGCCATTTTTATCAGAGTCATAATAGTCACCATTATCTTCAGCGAGGATATTGACATCTTGAATAATGTTCTTGATAGTCCAGTCATAAAAGTTAAGGAAATCGTTAAGGATTTCCTCGTCATCGAGAATATCACCGACACCAGAAAATTTCTTTTTATAATCAATATCAGTACTTTCAACATCATTGTGGCCATTACCAGCATGAGGTGCAGCAGAGACACCGGCAATGAGAGCAATCATAGCAGAAATGAAGATAATAGCACGAACCATTTTGTTTTGTTTTGTTTTGTTTGTAATGAAGTAGTATGAAGATGATAATAATAAAAAAAAAAACATATTTTTGGTCTGTCAAGTTTCTCTATTTATATTAAAATTTTGAGGCCATTTTTTTTTTTTTTTTTATTTGACAAAGTGCATATACATGACATAAAATACTTCATCGTGTACATATTACGAAAAGGAAGGGGGCCATTTTTTTTATTTTTTATCTTTCTTTCTTTCTTTTTTTTCGGTCAGTTTCTTTTGTCACCCCCTTAAAGAATTTGACGTTAATTTAAAAAAATTAATTTTTTCTGCATCTGCCACTTTATAAAATGTATTATTGACAAATATTATATTTATTTTATCCCTTGGGAATTGCAAAACAAATTAATGTAATAATATTTACACTTATGATAATAATAACAATAATATATGAGCGTATAAGAGTAATAATAGTGCGTGTACATGTATATATATGTGTGTATATGTGTGTATGTATGTGTGTGGTGTGCGTGTGCGTGTGTGTGTATGTATATGTATATTTATATTAATATTTATATTTATAAAATTATTCTTCATCAGCTAAAATACAGTTAGGATGAAGCATAATAATAGGATCATCAAGTTCTTCTTCTGAATCATCTTGTCTAATTTCAATTAAAGTTTCATCCTAATAGACAGAAAAAAATGAATAAATAAACTAAATATTTTTATATAAGTTACTTACAGTCTTAACAAGTTTCTTAATAATTTTATTGATAAGTAAAGTTTCATAATCAAGATCTTCAGCAGTCATATCTGCTTCACGTTGTTCAAGGTACCACATAATTAATTCACTACGACGCATTCCAGGGTCTAAAAAAAAAAAAAAGAAAAAAAAAAAAGCAAACAAACAAAATGACAAATTAGGTAAAATGTATCAGCTTTCATCCCTTTAACTCCTTATACCTTCATCAAATGATTGTTGAACTAAACGAAGTTTGTGCGCTAACATAAGTTTAATTTGCTCGAATTTTTCATACGTAATCGAAATCTTGCCACTGGGAGGGATAGCAGAATTTCCTACATGTTGGTCTGCTGTATCATTTAATGTCATACCATTTAATGCTTCTGCACTTGTCATCACATCATCTTGCTCTTCATTCATTTCATCATCAATATTAACATCTTCTTCTTCAACTCGAATAATTGATTTTTGAAGTAAATTAAACGCTTCTGTTACATATGCTTCTGTAATCTATTTTTTTTTAATAAAATTAAATGCAATGCACATATTTTTTTAGAAAAAGTGCGTTATTTTTTTTTTAAAGAAAAATACCTCCTCGCGACAATTAACTCTAGCAATAGCTTCAGAAAGACGGATCATACTTTCTAATTGTCTAACGGTAATACGATATGAATTTCTACCAATACCTTGTGAATCACCTTGTCTCAAATCTCTATAACAATCAGCTAATCTCAAAGCAGCTGCAGGTGTCATCTAAATGTCAAATATTACATGTATTAAAAAAAAAAAGAGAGAGAGAGAAAGATATCCTGTTTGAATATACTACCTTTGGTTTGAATGTTCTTGCATAGCGAATATAATTTTGGATTTGTTCTGTACTAAACTCAGGTTGCATGAAATCATCTCGAAGACGATGGGTATTGACGATATGACGACCAATATTATAATCAGTAATATCATTACATTCATCCAAAACAACAAAGAACAAATCAAAACGTGACATAATGGGTGCAGACATATTAATGTTTTGTCTCAATGTCAATTTTTTGTTATATCGACCACTCACAGGATTAGCTGCTGCAAGAATACTAGTACGTGCATTCAAACTAGCTTGAATACCTGCTTTAGCGATTGAAATTGTTTGTTGTTCCATAGCTTCGTGAATTGCAACTTGATCTTTAATATCCATTTTATCAAATTCATCAATAGCACAAATACCCTATACAAATATATGCATATATACATAGGTATGTTTAATATTCAAATTATTGAAATATACATATAAATATTTGAACTTACATTATCAGCCAACATAAGAGCACCTGCTTCAATAGAAAATTCGCCTGTTTCTTCATCTTTGATAACAGAAGCAGTTAAACCAGCAGCACTAGAAGCCTTACCAGATGTATATACAGCTCTAGGCATAATACTGCAGACATACTTTAAGAATTGAGATTTACTAGTAGAGGGATCACCCACGATACAGACATTAATATCACCACGAAGATTCATACCTTCAGGGGTTACCTTATGAACACCACCCATCAATTGTAATAGAATACCCTTTTTAACTGTTTCATGACCAAATACAGTAGGTGCAATACTATTCACTAATTTACCAAACAGAGAGCCTCCCATATTTACCATCCTATGTAAATCTTCAATCTCCTTTTGAGAAAAGTCTGCATATACATCTCTTTGATCTTCATCAGTTGTATCTTCACCATGAAGATTGTTAGATCCATTTCCTTTACTGTGATTAGCAGGTTGAACCATACAAGCCAAAAAGGAAAGTTTATAGGTCAAATCACGCACACCAAGTGCTTTCAAGCCTGTAACACCTTCATTCGCAATACCCTCAGTAGAACGTACTTTAGTATCTCTCTGAGTTTCAACAGAGGTCCCTGGCGTTCTAAAGGCAGCCACATCAGGTACAACAATTAAGGTACCAGTAAAGATACACTTATCACCTGCCTTGGCTCTTTCGACCATATCATTACGTACAATTACATCCATACTTCTCGGCATACTTCCAGTAGGAATTTCATTTGCATTTTCCTGAATACGAATTCTCTGCCAATCGACAAATTTAGATTGTTCAACATTCAAAGTCCAATGAGAACGATTATAGCAAGTACTTGTTTGACACATGGTAGGTTCTGTATATCTAAATTCTTGTTCAACATCATTCATTACTTTACCACATTCATTACAGGTAAAGGAAGCATAGACCAATTCAGGGCGAACTTCAGTTGTACGAGTTACAGTACCGCTGACACTGACAAGGTGACCAATTTTATCTGTTCTTAATTGACGTACTCGATTCAGGTCGTTTAAACCGTAAAAGGCAACTGTGAAGTTTCTAAATGTTTCACCTTGAGCTGAACGTAAGGTAGGCTCATTAATGAAAAGACTGTCGGGAAAATGATTGCGAGCAACGTTATGAATAGCACGACGAAGATAGGGAAGGAAACTATACGTTATACGTAGATAACAAAAAAAATAAGTATACATGAAATAGAAAAGAAAAAAAAAGAAAGAGAGAGAGAGAGGGAGATTTGACTTACCGATAATATTGCTCCTTGATAGCAATAGCTAAACTTTCTTCAGTTGCTTCAATATGAGAAAAATCAACAAAAAGTGTATCAATTTCAGAATACTTGAAATTTTCAAGTTGCATCATATAAGGATAGCCATACCAACTAGAAGTGCTGTTTGATACATAAGATGATTGATCATCTTTAAATCTATATACATTTATAAAACAACAAAATGGTTAAAACTTTGTATGTTCTTATCCCCTTTGCTTTGTCCTAAATAATAAATGTTGATAACTTTACGTTTCTATAAACTTTTCAAAAGTTTCCATGACAGCCATTGCAGTTTCATCAATGACTCGAGGAATATTGTCAGGATCATAACCTGGTCGACGTTGAGTACGAGTGGCTTGGGTGTCATCAATGTCCATATTCATAGGTGTTTGTCCTTGAGTATCGGAAGCCAAGGGAGCTACTTGAGATCCAAGAATACCGCTGAATAAATGATCACTAGCAAAATCTGTCATTTCTAATTATCGTATACGATTAAAAAAAAACAAAAAAAAAAAAAAAAAAATTGAAAATTCATAACGGGCGCGTTTTTTTTTTCCCAAAAAAAAAAAGTGAAAACCGCGTTTTCTAACGGTCACAGAGTAACTGAGTATAATGTTGTCTAAGACTATTTTTGAACTTCTACAGTATAGAAGATAGTGAACATATCAAAAATTGATCTTTTTGATTCAATAAAAGGAGAAATAGAAAACTAAAAGACCATTCCTTATTTGGGATCAAAGGCTAAAAAAAATATATACATATTTGTATATTAATAATTATTTTGGCTTTATTAAAAATCCATCTACTATTCTTTCAGTTAACGCTTAAAGAAAAAAAAAAAATCTAAAATACTTTTAGACATCATTCTCTCTCATCTTTATGTTATATCTCAAAAGAGAATAGGCCCATTAACAAGTATACTTTAGTTTAAAATAATGTCTATAGACTAATGCTTAATTTTTTTTTGTTAAGTTAGATTTAGTTCTATTTGTTTCCTATTATCATTTTTATATACTTGATGATATTTTATTAGTTCTTAAAAGGTAAATTTAACTTGGATTTAATATCCAAATAAATATATAAACTGAGCAGTTTTTCTATAAAGGTTTATATGTAGTCGATTTACACCTCAATTATCAATATTAAAAACCATAATGTTCTATATTTGAGTCTAAGCTTTTCCTTTGTTGCTTGAGAAATTTGGCTATTTTTGAAAACGTAACAATAGCCAGCCAAATAAAAATAAAAGTTTTACTTTTTACAGAGTTCCCGTAATATAGTCCTTTCAATTCTTTTTGCTAAATAGTCATTTGATATCAAATTGAATTATTAATCCACAGAATCGGAATACTATTCTTATCAGCTGCATCAATATATTAAAGAAAAGTTAACAAACGGCATCTCTTACTATCAAATTCAAATTTGTAAAAAAAAAAAAAAAAAAATAAAATAAAAATAAAAATAAAACAAAAGTAGATTTATCCTTAGTAAATAAAAGAATATTGGTGGACACGTTCAATTGTATTCTAAGCTTGCTGATACAGGGACAAGAAGTGTATTCTCGAGAATGATAATGCATCTATTATTGAACAAAAGTAATTAAAATTCAAAGTAATATTCAGATGTATCTCAACAAAAAAAAAAAAGATAAAGGCTTTATCTATATTTGTCTACCCAATTGCCTCAAGTAAGGAGGATAATAATCTCTTTTTAGATCAATGACAAAATATGAATTAGATTTATTTCTTATTAGTTTAAAGGTAGTGTATGTAGCCTTTACTTTAGTTAATTCGTACATGAAGTTTAAGGTTTACAGTAATAATTTGATCTCCTCCTCATTACATAGAAGAAAGCCATACTGCTATATTAGTTTCATGGTCTATTATAAAAGCCTTTTCCTTTATATAATTAAAATATACAGAACAATTCTAAGGTTATCTTAAACCTGTTTAAATGTAAATAAAAAAAATAATAATAAATAAAGCCTTTATTCTTAGATTATGTACGTTAATATCAGCGGAGTAGTATTACTAAAATAAGATGATAACAAAAAACGCCTTATCATTTTAATAATAATGTTCATTATTTGTTTCTATGGCGATAATAGTATTTCCCTTTATTTAGTAAGATATGAAAGTCTATATTATCATTACTAAACTATTAAAGTATACGTCATCAAGCGAGAGAAAGAGAGCACCTAATGGAATAAATATACACACATACTAAATAATTAATGTTCATGATGATAGTAACTTACAGCAAAACTTTTTAACTAATAAAAAAAGAGAAACCGGACTTTAAATTGTTTCATAATTATTGAAAAAGATGAACTTTCTTTTCTGTAACCTTTTTTTTTTTAGGCTCATAGCGAATAATATTTTTTAAACCATAAAATTCGTACGACAAAATATTTTTATATACGCACACACACACATATTATTACAATTTTAATAAATTATATTTATTTATTTATTTTTTCCACTCTTTCACTATCTTTTTTTTTTTTTTTTTTTTTTTTTTTTTTTTTTTTTTATTTTATTTATTAGTGCACACTCTCCTTTTCCATTCTTTTTTTTTTTGTTTTATTCTTTCCTCTTTTATTTTCTTTTTCCTCAATGAATTATGAGACATTAGAACAACAAACTGCACCTGAAAGTACAAGAGGTTTATTTGATATTCCAGAGGTAAGATGCTACAAAAATTATAAACTAATCTCGAGGAAATGATGCTGACAACATGTTAAAAGTTTTCTTCGAAGACTTCCTTTTCTGATAAACGTCGTACTTTTCATGGTGTAAGTAATTCTCAACCATTGGATAATAATAGAAATAGAAAACCTATTTCTTTGATGCCTACTCCACGTCACCAAAGATCAAGGTCTGCTATCAATTCAGAAATCGTCGTTACTACTTCAAGGTCATCTTCTAGCTTACCAAAAAATCGTCGAAGCGCTGTAGGCTTACATATTTTAAAAGAGGAAATGGCAGTTGATTCTTTACAAAACATGATAAATACTCTAAAGACGTTACCTCCTATTATTTCACAAGAGAGACGACCGAGCGATGAAAGTATGTTTATGTCAAGGGAAGCTGCTTTAGCTGAGGCTGAAGCCAAGTTGATGGGTACATTTAATCGTCGTGATGAGAATGGAAATGGTTATATCAAAAAAAGAGCTTCACTTCAACAGTTACCTGTATTAAATGAACATGGTGAATCATTTTTATCCGAACGTCAACAACAGTCTTATAATAAGAGGTCTTCAATGAACAGTAAATCATTAAGTTTATCTCTTGGTTCATCTGAAAATAGAAAATCTCTTAGCCATCGTTCTTCTCGTAATTTTGATGAGTGGAGAAATAGTAAATAGAATTGCCCCTCCTTTTATATATATATATATTTATATACATTGAATGGGTGTATAGATGCTAATAACTTTTCCTTTATTTTTTATTAGGTACATCATCTTTATCTATGAATAATAATAATAGTGGTAGTGGTAGCAATAGATCATCATTTTCTCTTGTTCCTTTTACACCTACTCGTGTTAATTTTTCAAGAGATGATGCTAATCCTCATCAACGTCGACCTCTCTTTATTGCTCATCTTCCATTTTCTGCTTTAACACCTTTATTTAGAGCTAGGCAACTTGTACGTGGTATTTTACGTGTTAACAAAAGAAATCGTAGTGATGCTTATGTCTCTTGTGATGAACTTGATGGAGGTGATATCTATATTTGTGGTTCAAGAGACCGTAATCGTGCTCTTGAAGGTGATGTGGTTGCTGTCCGTCTTGTCAATGTTGAAAAAGTGGTTCGTGAAAAGCAAGAAAAGGAAGAAGCAAAACTGGCTCGAAATAATGGTCAAGTCAAGGTACGTTTACCCGATGAAGAAGATGAAAATGAAATTATCTTTGGTGGTGATGAAGAGATTGAGATCGTGAAACCTAAATATGCGGGTGTCGTTGTAGCTATCTTGGAAAGAGCTCAAAATCAAGTGTTTTCGGGTAACTTGACTTTGATGAGACCTAATAATAAACGTGCCGAGGAACAACAAGACGTAAAGAAGGAAGCCCCTCGTATTGTTTGGTTTAAAGCTACTGATAAACGTGTTCCCTTGATTGCTATTCCTATTGAGCAAGTACCTGCTGATTTTGTGGAAAATAATGAAGCCTATAAGGATCGTCTTTTTGCAGGTTCTATTAAACGTTGGCCCATTACTTCTTTGCATCCCTTTGGTATTCTAGAAAAAGAATTAGGTGTCATTACTGACTTGGATGTTCAGATCAAGGCTATTTTAGCAGACAATAATGTGTCGGATACCCCTTTTACAGAGGCTGTTATGGATTGCATACCATCCCCTTATCAATTCACAAATGAAGAATATCGTCGTGATTTAACTTTAGATGATCATCATCGTATGATTACTATTGACCCAGCTGGAAGTACTCTCTTTGAGGACGGTTTATCTATTACTCGTTTAGGTGATGATACATTCGAAGTGGGTGTACATATCACTGATATCACTTGTTATATTAAACCTCATTCACCATTGGATAAAGAAGCTAGGGCCAGGGCAGTTCATGTCTGTCTTGATCAAAAGGAAGTACCCATGTTACCCACTGAATTAGCAAATATTGCAAACTTTACACTAAATGAGTCAAAGTAAAGTACTTTATAAAATAATAACGGAAAGCATATATAAAAAAAAATACTCATCTTAATTTTCTTTTATATATGTATATATTCTTTAGACCTGCTATTTCTGTGATATGGAAAATTAGTTCAGATGGTATGTTATTAGATACCTGGTTTGGAAAGACAATTGTCAAGTAAGTTTCACAAACAAATATATCCATTTTTGGTATGTTTAAAATCTATAATTAAACTTTTATATATATTATACATACATATAATAGATCTTGCGCACAATTAACATATGAAGATGTACAAGATATAATAGATGGAAAGGAGGATAATAAGGTTAACAAAGATATTAAAGAGAATATTCTTATGTTATATGAGCTTGCATCAACACTTCATCAAACACGGTATACCAAAGATGCTATGTCTCTATTCAAGACTACTCTCAAATTTGATGATCCTAATAAACCTACGAAATTTAATGTTTCAAATTCAAGACCTGATATTATTAAAATAGTCAAAGAATTCTTATTTATGGCCAACAAGTGTGTAGCTCAAAAGATATCTAGTCAATACCCCGAACAAGCTTTATTACGACGTCAAGCACCACCCAATTCCAGAAAGATTGTAAGTTAGAATAACAATAATAGTAAAAAAATAAAAAAAATAAAATAAAAAAAAAACTCACTAATATTCTCTTTTTTTTTTTTTTTTTTTTTTTTTTTTTTTTTTTTTATAGCATGAATTGAAGGATTATGCCTCACGTTATTTAGGCATTCAATTAAATATTACGAATGCAAACACAATTCAAGAATCAATTCAAGCTATACAAGACGATGAATTACGTCAATTAATATCTACTCTTGTATTAAAAACAATGCAACCTCCTAAATACTTTTGTACTGGTGCATTTGATATTTTAAAATATTCTCATTTTGCTACCGGTCTACCTCTTTTCACCCATTTTACTGCACCTCTTCGTCGATATGCTGATATCATTGTTCATCGTCAATTAGATTCTACTTTAACGGGTGGTAAAAGACTATATATATTTATATATGTGTATACATTATGTAATATATATCCTAAATTCATTCTTTTTTTTTTTTCTTGTTTTATATCATAGAAAAACATTTCTATTTAGATCGTGATACGGTTCAAAAACTTGCCCAGCATTGTAATGTAAAGAAAGAAGCAAGCATTACAGCAAAAGAACAAAGTAAACTATTATCACTCGCCTTATATCTTGTTCATAAACAACCTCAACAATCAATGACAACTGTGTTTGGAGAAGCACGTGTGATTGCCGTAATGGAAGACTATTTTGACGTCTCCTTACCTGAATTTGGTATACAAAGACGTATCCATCTTGCTAATTTGCCCTTGTGGAGACATGAATATGATCCTCAAGAACGTGCTCTGACTATGTTTTGGAAACAAGGTGTTATTCCTTCTACTGGATTACAACATCAATGGAGTCTTTCTGATGATGAGTATGAAGAAGAAGAGTTATTTTATGCCGAGAATCGTGATAGCAACGTCAGTAATAGTAGTAATAGTAGTAGTAGTAGTAGCAGTAGCAGTAGCAGTAGTAGTAGTAACAGTGATAGTCATCATCATCCAATCTCTTCTATAAGTAGCTCCCACATTAGAAAACAAAGTAATGAAATGGAAAATAATCCACAGTTTGAGGCTATTGCTCTTGCTGCTGCTAGAGCTGGTATTATCCCAGCTACATCTAATTCAACCAAGAAATCTGCTTCAAAGAGAGCTTCTATTATTAGCTCTCGTTTGTCTGCTAGTACAGGATATAGTTCTGAACGATCTTCGCAGACTATTAAAGCTCTGGATAAGATTAGAGTCATGCTTACCATTGAAATGACTAGAACCCCTCCTTTGATTCGTGTCTTTGCTGCTAATCCTTACGCTTAAAAATTCTATCTATTATTTATCATCCCTCTCTCTCCCACACACACACACACACTTCCCTTCCCCCCCCCCCCTCTCTCCCCCTCCCTTTCCATTCGTCTTTTGAATATACACTACTATCATCTATTATGGATTGATTGATTGATTAATTAGTTGACCCCCTTTTTTTTTATATAAATATATTCATTATTAGCCAGTATATATTTTTATACATATATATGTATACATATTCAATTATGTAGTATAAATAAACAAAGATCTCATTTCTTTTTTTTTTATATATATATATAAATATTTATTTATTTATTTGTATGTATATCTCTAATTTTCATTGACAAGAATCTTCAAAATATTTTCAAAGGAGTCACGAATTTGTTTTGTAGAATCACGTTCACGAAGAGTGACGGTACCATCCTTGACGGTATCGAAATCGATAGTGATAGCATAAGGGATACCGAGTTCATCATTACGAGCATAACGACGACCGATAGAAGCTTTACTATCATCAGTACGAAGAGAGACACCAGCCTTACGAAGCTCCTTGGCATATTTACGAACAAAGGGTTCAAAGACAGCATTACCAGAGAGAGGCAAGATACAACACTTGAAGGGAGCGACAGCAGCGGGGAAAGAGAGGACATTACGGGCTTCATCATCTTCACGTACCCACCAGACATGTTCCAAGAGAGAATAGAGGATACGACCGATACCAAAGGAAGGTTCGATGACGTTAGGAACATATTCACGTACATATTCAGTGACAGTACCACGTTTGATAGTAGCGTTCTCTTGAGCGATTTCCATGGATTGACCATTTACGTTGATAGAGCCAGTACCCTTGGCCTCCATGGACTTGGCCAATTCAGCGTATTGGTCATCGGATAAGGCCATGAGAGCCTCTTCAACAGCCTTAGCGTCCTTCTTGAACTTGGGACCAAATGTCTTTTTGTTGATCTCAACTTGCCAGCATTCAATAGTACGAGGTTCAGGAAGTTGTTCACGGACCACCAACTTTTCACCAGTACGCTTAGAGTGAACAGAGAGATCATAAGCAGAACGATCAGCACAACCAACGCATTCGATCCAACCGTAACTAGTATGAATTTCAGCATCCCAACAGTCACAAGCATAGTGAGCCATTTCATTATCCATATGTTGACGGAAACGAAGACGTTCACGCTTAATACCAATCTTATCCAAGAAGAGGTAAATACGGGCAAGGAAATAACCCAAGGTTTGGTTATCGACAATCTTCTTTTCAACGGCTTCTCCAATCGACATTTCAATTGTATCTGTCTTTCCGCTCATTTGAACGTCCTTGGGTAATAATGTCAAAACAACATGTTTGACATCTTCAAATTTAGGATGATTTTTGTTTTCAGGATCAACATAATGTTCAATTTCAGCCATTGTGAATTCACTATATATTGCATTTATATAGAATAAAAAAGAGATGGATAGATAGTTAGTTAGAGAGTATATATTCTCTCTTGTAAATACTTACCGAACACGTAAAAGACCAGAACGAGGGGAGATTTCGTTACGGAAAGAACGACCCACTTGAGCAGAAGCAAAAGGCATCTTTTCATTGTTGAATTCAAGAAGTTTCTTAAAGTTAAGGAATTGACCTTGAGCAGTTTCAGGACGCAAGAAACTATAATAATAAAAATGATACACACACAAATATATATATATATATATAAAAGAAGGCAGACAATAACAGAGAAAAAAAAATACAAGTTAGTTAACAATCGCCTATCATCTTGTATAATAATTACCCCTTAAGTTGACCAGTAGGACCAATCAAGGATTCAAACATCAAGTTAAATTCCTTTGGTTCAGAAAGTTCATTACCCGTTTCTGGAGAACGAATATCAAATTTCTTCATGATCTCAGCTAATTGTTCACCACTGTAATTATCAATTTGAGCCAAACATTCTTCATAAGCTTGACGAACGTCATCAGCCAATTCAACGGCTACTACAGTACCCTTCTTCTTCTTCTTCTTCTTGTCAGCAGCTTTAGCAGCTTCAGCAGCTTCAGCAGCAATTTCTTCGGCACTCTTACCAGCCTTGGCAGCTCTAGCTTCCTTATCACCTTGAAGACGAGCTTCAAGGACAGCCTCGATAACATGATCAGCTCTAAAGATTTCACCATTCTTTAAATCCTTACACATAAAATCAGCGAATTTATCAACATGACCGGAAGTTTTAAGAACATCATAAGTTGTCATGATTGTTGTGTCAACTTCGAGCATTTCTTCTTCCAAGACGAAATGTTGTCTCCAGAGAGAAATGATGTTGTTTAAAAGAGCACAACCTGTAGGACCGAAATCATAAAGACCGGCAACACCTTAACAAGGAAAAAAAAAAAAAAAAGAGAAAGAGAAAGAAAGAGAGAAATAATTTTAGAATAAATCAACTATATAAATATATAAATAAATACATAAATATGTATATTACCACCGTAAATTTGAAAAGAAGGTGCGTAAAAGAAACGTTTAGTAACAAGTTGCTACATTAGAGTTGACACGTTAATGAGAGTTGCAATGTATATATATATATATATGTATATATGTGTGTAAGTGAGTGGGTGAGTTAAAAGTACCTCAAGGGCAGCTCTATCAAACTTAACAGAAGAGGCCATTTTATCTGTATATAATAAATAAGGAAAAAAAAAAATAGATGTGTATGAATATCTGTTGTTTTGTAAAATAGCTTGTTCGGGGTTATACACTAATATACATATATAAAAAAAAAAAAAAAATTTGTGTTGTGGCTTTGAATTGACGAGAGAAGAAGAAGCCTTAAATTATTATTACAATTAGAATTAAATCATAGTTTCAGTGTAAAGCAACAACTTTGTTATTGTGTTTAAAGTAGTACTATTCATGATAACAAGAAGAAATAGAATAGCAGTCATATAAGTCTTTTTAATTGCATAAAAATTTTTTATTACTTGACAGGATTAAAGGTTTATTGGGTAACACATAAATAAATAAATGAATAAATGAATAACAACTTCATTAGAAGACAACATGATTAGCAAGGTTTTATCATGAAAATTCCCTTTTTTTGGAAAAGTATAGAAACATGAAATTCATTGTAATAGGCCCAATCATCGGCTATTTAAAACAAATATATATTTATACACATATAAAAAACAACTACTGTTATCACTTTTTTTTTTTTTAATATTCTTCTTTTTTCTTCTTTTTTCTTTTCTTTTTCTTTTTTTCTTTTTCTATAATATATAAAACGATCCTATAATGTCTATCTTTGTTGGACGTTTACCATCATACAATTTTGATGATAGAGATTTGGAAGATATATTTTACAAGTATGGTAGGATTATTAACTGTCAAATAAAGAGAGGAACACGATATTGTAAGTGCATTCAAAAAAAAATAAAAAAATAAAGAGGATAGAATAATTGACTGGGATACTTTTAGCCTTTGGATTTGTTGAATTTGAAGATCCTGAAGATGCTTATGATGCTATTAGAGACACGGATGGTCTTGTAAGTATAAAATAGAGTATGTAAATTCTATTAAAACAAAATATTAACTTTTTTTTGTTGTTGTTGTTGATTGATAGGATATTGATGGCACTCGTATTGTAGTTGAGAAAGCAAAGGGAACTCCTCGTAGATATAATGATACTACTTGCTATAATTGCGGTGAAGAAGGTCATTGGGCTCGTGATTGTAAAAGGTAAAGTTTTTTTCTTTTTTTTTCATTTTAAAAGGAAGGAAGTTTATAAAGGCATCTTCATATTATACGGAAGTAAATCAACAGAGGCAGAGAATGAGGTTTTATTTTTATTTTTATTTTATTCTATTTTAATTGTTAAAAAATTATATACAATTTATTTATAAAAAACTGGTTTTTGTTCTGTTTTGTTTATTTATTTAGACCAAGACGCGATTATAGAAGAGATAGATATCGATCACGTAGTCGCACTCCTGATAGATATAGTTCACGTCATTATTCTAGAAGAGGACGTAGTTATTCACGTTCTAGATCTCCTTATGATGATCGTCGTGGACGTAGTTATAGTCGCTCTCCTAGAAGATATAGTCGTTCACCTCCTCCAAGAGACTATAGTCGTTCTCCTAGAAGATATAGTCGTTCACCCCCTCCCAGAGGTTATAGTCGCTCCCCTCCCCCAAGAGGATATAGTCGCTCACGTTCACCTCTTCCAAGAGACAATAGTCGTTCTCCTAGAAGACATAGTCGCTCCCCATCTCCACGCGGAGATATTCCAGCTGAATCACAAGTAGTCGAGCAACCTAATAATAATAATAATCCATCAGAAGAACAGCCAGCCATTCAAACAGACCAACAACAACAACCCGAACAATTATCAAATGTAGTAGAAAATAACAATCAGGAATAATGGTAGGTCTCCTACTAATAATAATATATAATAAAATACATATAAATACTTGTATTAAAATTAAGGAGAAAAAAAAATGATTTTTATGTGTTACATCTATTCTACTTTAATAATTATAAAATAAAGCTGTTGACAATGACACTATTTTGAAATTTGATTTCATAATTAAAAATAATAATGTTGGATTAATGTCAATCAGATTTTGATTGTTATAGTCTTTTCAGTTTCTATAAGCTTCCTTTTGTGTGTATGTATATATATATATATAATTACTGCTGTGTTAAAAGAAAGAGATACATTTGAACCCAATGGCAATAGATCAAAAGCAAGGAAAAGACAAAATTAAGTTTTTTAATAGAGAGTATCAGCCATAGAATTTTCTCTACTATATCAAAGCTTAATTGTTGATCTTATCTACAGAGCTTGATTAGTATTTAAATTAAGCAGTGTATATGAGCAACACATTTATAAAAGAAATACTCCTTATCATAATAATAATAATAATAAATACATACAGAGAAGTGTTATCATCGTACCTTGAACATGATTCAATTCAAAATAAAATAAAAATTAAACCTTACTACAGTAAAAATTAAAGATGATTCATACAGCCTTTTGAAATAATAGTGTCATGCATTCTTTCACTAAAATAACACTATTATTTTCTCTTACTATTTGTGTAATATGAATGAACCAATTAAAATAAATATTGATTTCACCATTTTTCTTGCAATTAAGTGGATAATCTTCTTTATTAAAGACAAAGCATAAAACGAACACAGCCCTATTTCTTTCTTTCTTTCTTTCCTTTATTTTTATTTTTAATACTTTCTTTATTTAACAAAAATGTTTGTATTTATTATAAATATAATATGTGTTTGCAGGATAGAATTTTTATTAATTTTTTTTTTGTTAAACACGATTTCCACCAATAGAATAAAAAGAGCAAATACCACTACATCTTGCTCTGCCTGTGTTCTCTTCAAATGTTTTACACATTTTGTATGGAGGAGTATATAAATGAAGTGAAACAGCCCCACATTCTTTGTTTGGATTAGAAATACGATGTAAGCCTATTTTATCTTTTTTTTTTTTTTATATAGAAAAAAGAAAAAAAATATTATTATTATTATAGATAAGAGTTATGTAGGGTATATTACCATGTACATATGTAACTTGATTAGGCTGATATATAGTATCTTTTAAGACAGTCAATGGTTGTTGCTGTTGTTGAATAGTATTTGTGTTTGACAAAGAAGAACCTGACTTTGATGACTCATTGGCTGTAATATCCATAAAAACAGGTTGGTTATTATCATCATTGTCAGCTGACGTAGATGGCCAATGGAATAGTGTTTCTTTTAATTCTCCGTCAAGTACTTTCATAACACAATGAGAACCTGCATGATCATGAATTGGACTATAAAAGGAATTAGTTGTGTTTAAAGTAGGATGATGAAACAATTTACCTCTTTTGACCTTTGCTCCAAGCTAAAATCATCAAATTAAACTACAGATAATAATACAAGTAAGTTAAATGGACTTTATATAAACACATGTGTATATACCTTTCCATTTCCATCATCAACCAAGTTACGAGTATATGCTCTTGAATGATCAAATAATGTATATTTATTCCAATCGGCAGCATTAGAGCTATATCTTTCCATTAACTCAATAATTCTCTGAGGGTCAATACGTTCCGAATCCAGACCTTCGTCACCTAAAACATCATGAATAGATTTAATAAGATCATTCAAGGTAAATTTACTATCCACAGTAGAGGAAGCATTGTCCTTTGTAGTAGTAGAAAGTAGAACAGAAGTAGGTTCTTGAGGAGGAGGAGGAGGAGACATTATTATTTAACAAAAGAATAAGAGAAAGGACGATAAGAAAAGAAAAAGAATTATTATTATTTATAGTATTCACAAAAAAAAAAAAAAAAAAAAATCTGTGTTATATTCAAGTAACATGTTATAGTATACAATTCTTTTTTTTTTCCACGGTCGTTTCTCTTATAACAAGTAAAGTTTACTTCACGGGAATTTAGTTATTAAAAAATGTATCATATTTATAGATACTAATTATTATTTGCATAATAATGTCTAAAGCTAAAGATTTCAACCTTTATAATAGAATATGATAAGTAAATAGTGTCAGCTTGATTATTATTTTGATTATTACCATGAAATCTGATTTGATTCAAGTTGATCGTCTTTCGTTTTGGTTACTTGTTTAACTTTATCAAATCTTTGTTCAATCTTTAGTTTATAATTGATAAAATGAACTCCTTGTCTATTAATACATTGCTTTGTATAAATAAGATTAACATTTAAAATAGTGTATATACATTTATATCATTGTTGTTTTTTTCTTTTTACATATAATAATGCTAATTGATAAGGAATATATTGATGATTTGATGAATTTAAATGATAATAAAATCTAGTAGCAATAACATATAATTCATTTAGATGAGAAAGTGACTGGTATTGTTGTAACTGCTGCTGCTGACCAAAATCATCATCTGATAATAAGACAAACACTCTTGGGTAAAGTTGTTTCAACTTTATTCTAAACTCTTTATCTTGTAATAAAATGTCTTGTCGTAGAGTGCTGACTTGAGTCCTGCTTACGATTTGATAAAGTCTCTATTGACGCAAATACATATATATATATAAAAACCATAATGTTAAATCCTTTAATTTACTTGTAATGTGGAGTCCATGTTCTTTATTTCTCTTTTTGATTTCCAAATCTCGAGTCTATTCTTCTTTTCTAATAAAAGTTCTAATTGACTCAATTGGTTTAATAATTGTAATTTTTTATTTCTTTTTTGATGAATAAAGATAGGATCATGAATATGAAGTTGAACTAATATGTAAAGAGAAAAAAAAATAGTGTTTATTTCTCTTTTTCCTTTTTTCTTTTCCTTTTCTTTTAGGAATTACCTTCTTGTTGTTGCCTGACTTTATCTTTTATTTGAATTACTTTTAAGGGCGCTGTTTGAGACAATTTCTTCATTCAAGTCCCGGTGAAAAATAAAATATTTATTTATAAATATAGAAAAGGAAAAGAAAAAATCTTTTAATAGCACAAAGTCATTTATTATTTATTTATTTTGGATGCAAAAAAAAAAAAAAAAAAAAAAAAAGAAGTTTAATATGCATCTCTATCCTATTCTTTTATAGCGTCTTGAAAGAGGAAAAATAAGACATTTTAGTTAAAAAGAAATTAATGTATTTGATGCTTTATTCCTCTCTCTTTCTCTTTTTTTTTTTTTTTTTTTTCCTCCCCTCAAGTCTTATTACATAATAATAATAGAGATAAATTAATACTACACATTTATTCCTTTTGTAACAAATAAGAGAATAGTTTAACTTGATGACAACGAATACTCTTCTACTACTATTTTTAGTTTAAAAAAGCCATATATGGTAATTAAATTATCATGTTTCTATGACAACTTTTTTTTTATTAAATGTATTAAATGTATGTTGATCTGCATGCAACAATAAATCTCCTCTCTCATAGCGGTACTAATAATAACCTGGTGGCTGTGTTATTATCATATGAAGTCATATTTTATCATCAAAATAGTAGTAAAGAAGATCAGCAATAAAATAGCTTCTTTTTTTTTTCTTAAGCGTAGGATAGTAATGATGAAAAGGAGAGGAGAAAGAATATGAGCAGACTACTACTAGCATTTAAAGTTAAGAAACAAATTCGTATACTGTTAGTTGAAATAAGTAATATTGTTACTATTAATAATAATAATGACATCTATTCATACTATTCCTTAAAAGAAGAGCTATTTTTTTTTTCTTTTTTTCTTTTTTTCTTTTTTTTAAAAAAAAAAAAATACAACACATGAAGAAATAATATATCTTTTTCGGAGATATTACTATACATATCAATAATCAAATTTAACAAGTTCCACTTCTATAGTGCTGAGCTCGATCAGCAGATTTATAAAATTGAAAAAAAAATACTATTTTTAGGCAATTTTTTTTTTTTTTTCCTCCTTGGTTCATGACTCTTTTCTCTTTTAATTGTATTATATTCAACAAATGAAAATGATCAAAGCAGAATTATCCTAGATATTAGTTATTCAAGCCATAAGTTTTACATAATTAAAAAAAAAAAGGAGATTATAAAGTCATTTTGACAGAAGAAAAAGGAGACGCATTTTTTTATACCAAGATCACATGCAAATACCTTTCTTTTCTTTTTTTTCTTTTCCTTTCTTTTGTTCTTTTTTTCTTTTTTTGACATATATTAAAGTCATCTTCCAGGGTTTAGCTTAACTTTTTACGATTAAAAATAGTAACACTTGTAGTTTTACTATTATTATTATTTTTTGGATGATTCGATTAGCTCTGTGCATTCATTTTTAAGATAGACATATAAGCATTACATATTATCCGACCAGGAGCTTAACTCTTGGTACTAATGTGTTTATAATGAGGACATTATTAAAGTGCTTTAACTTTCGTCTTTTACTTTTTTTTTTCTTAATAAAATATACTTTACTTTAATTATTACCGCAGAAGGGTTTATATGTATGTTGATAAAAATAAGTTAAACATGTTCAACCAATCCTATACGTGAGATCATGTCACCGAGATTGGTTAGAATAATGAAAACAAAAGTCAGAAGAATTAATAGATATTATGCAAATCATTAAATCAATTAAAGTGCTTAATTTTAAATGTACATAAATTAAAAAGACATGCATTTAAAAAATATAGGGACAAAAGGAACATATTTATATATTTATATAAAAGAACCATTAGAGAAGAATGTATCTTATTTTAGACAAAGTTACAAGTAGAATAACGTACTTTCTCCAATAGCAACGCAACTTTTTATTTGTTGAGCATTTCAGATATGACTTTTCTTTTTTATGCTCGAGACATAGAAGATTATCTTTAGCAAGATAGAATCGTCCTTATTTACTTACTGTAGGGTGATAAGGAGGAGGGAGAAAGGGGTTTTATTAAACCTCCGTGCTCTGCATCCATAACCTTTAGACACATTTATTATTCGTAGCAGTTCCAAACGATTACCTTAAATGGTATACATATTGAATATGACATAACGTGTTGGTTGTTCATTTAGTTTCTATATAGGATTGCTTTTGAATCTTGTTCATAAGTTCAGATGCCTTCTTCCAAATGGGTGATCTACTTTAGCATATCCTTCATCGTTAACAGTGATGATGTTGTATTACCATTATACATGAAGTAGGCCATTTCAAGAGTACCATCAGAAATAGTTTGTTATTCATAGAAATACCTATCTTTCGGTTCTGCATTTTTATCCACTAAAGAAGATCTTGTCTTGTTATTGAATAGAAAGGATATTCCAAACAAGATATTTGTACCAATTTCGTCTTCTTCATGACTACTACTTTAGAGACAAGACGCAGATCATCTTTATTGTGAACCATAGTTTTAAGTAGTTATTTTCTATTAAGACTGCTGGCCAATTGTTAACCTTGAACGAAATTGAATGTTCAAGAGAGGAATATTAGTCACTGAAGCTACCTCAGAGTGATTATTTAAAGATCCATTCATTCTTAATAAGTTTATATGTATTTATATATGTATATATGAGTCTTATTGATCATATTCAAAATAATAGAAGAGTTAAATGAAAAATAGAAATGCTATTATTAGGCAATGATGAAAGTCTGTTATGTGTGTGTGTGTGTGTTTTTGGATTGTATAAATCCATTGATTGAATAAAATTATCACATTCGCCATTTGGAACCATCGACATTGTATTTAAATTTTGGGATTTCAAGAACATATTCTGGCATAACATATTTGAATTCATTATTATCATCTTCGAATTGTACTTGATAATTGCTTGTATACTGTATATCCTTATTCTAATAAAAGGATATCAGCAGTTTTCTAATATTTTGCATCTATTTGTTTCTATTTACCTTGGATGGTGGAGTTATGACTTTAGCTTTATAAAAGCATGTTGTACCAGGATACAATGCTAATACATCTTGTCCAGCATTTAATTCTGTCAATTCTTTTGCTTCATCTATATTTGGAATAGGAATTACATTTCGGGGCTGTATCATATATCGTCTAAATAAATAAAAATGAATGTTTTTTTTTTTTTTTTTTTTTTTTTTTTTTTTTTTTTTTTTTGCATCATTATTATTCAATATAATTCTATCCTTACTGCTTTTGACCGAATTCATCTTGATCCACGTCTTCAACTTGATATCTTGTAAATGAAAAAAAAAAAAAAAAAGAATGAATATCCCATATTGATCTTTATATTCTTTTTTCTATATATTTACTTATTTGTATCAATATGATAACTTATGACTATTGCAAGTATCCATTCTTCATTTTTATCTTTTTGTGTAGGATGTTTAGCAGCAACAGAGGTTCCATTAGTCAGAATTCTATTATCACTAGATATTTAATTTTGTATTCATTATTATATTATTTTAACTGAGTTATAGAAAAGACCAGATCATAAAAGTGGCCTCCTCCATTCCTCCCTATTTTTTTTTTCTTTGTTCATTTACTCATACTGACTTTTTAAATTATTTTATATTTACGTTTTGCTTTTCTTGAATGATAAGGAGTTAATTTCATCTTGTTCAATTCTTCGTTTCTTTCTCTTTTGTTCTAGAACTAAATTTACAAAAAAAAAAAAAAAAAAAAAAAAAAAAATTAAATAAATAAATGCATATAAATGAAAATTAAATTACCGTTGTTATATTCTGATGCATTTCTTAATGCAATAAGAACAGATAATTTCTCGATGATATCATGTATAGTTCTAGAAGTAAAGGGAGGACAAAGTAAGAAACGAGATATATACATACATATATAAAAGAGAGAGAGAAAAATGAATAATAATAACAGCTATTTACTTTGCTTCGTTATTAGATAGATCGATTCCCCCTTCATAATGTTCGATTAATTTCGTACTAATTGAAGGTTGTATTTCTTTTTTTTTTTTTATAACACACAACAAGTAAATGTCTGATATAATAATTATTTCCTCCCAAATCATATTACCTTCTTCGTTATTAATGGTAGTATGTATTTTATTTATACCATTTACTATATTTGAAATATCATTTTGTATTGTTTCAAGTTTAGAAAGTGCATTACAGGTTTGCTTCCATAAATTAACTTCCTCATTTGTGTCATCAAGTGTGGCTGAACGAGATGTACGAGATTTACGATCCATTTTTTTTTTTTTTTTGCTTTTTTCAGGGACAAATAAATTTCAAAAATATATAAGAAATAGTAGATTGTTCTTAGTTATTTTTGTATTGTTGAATCGATATTCTCTTATATTAGAGATACTGTTATAATAAGGAAGCAATTATAATAAATAAAATAAAAAACAAAACAAAAAGTATATAAAAAAAGAAGCAAACTCAATTTTTTTTTTTTTTATTCTCAGTAATTTTCTTTTTGCCGGTTTGCATACAAGTTTTTCTTTTTTTTTCGGATAGAAAAGATGACTATGAAAAATGTCAAATAGTGTTACCATAGTGATTATGTAGATATGTTATTGTTAATGTCAACAAAAAAAAAAGGGGGGGAATATGTTTATAAATTATAAGAAAAATAAATATATTTTTTTTATTAGTATTTTACCATATTTCATAATGCCCTTTTATTTTATTTTATTTTATTTTATTTATTTTATTTTTATTTTATTTTTATTTTATTTTATTTTATTTTATTTTATTTTATTTTATTTCATTTTATTTCATTTTATTTTTGAAACAAAAAAGATTTTTTATTTTCTAAGACTATCTTTAAAAAAGTTATTTTTGGATATGATGGTATTATTAACTAAAATAAATTTTATTTTATTTTTTTTTTTAAAGAAAATAAGAATAAATATGGAACAATGTTTTGAAAGTTAAAAATAAACGTAAAATAGTAATAATACCTGGTATCATTCAAGTAAGGATGAAATGTTACCTGGTATTTTTGTAAACTAGTCGATGAATTGTTCCTTTTCATTGATTCTTGACAGAATTGAATAATGTTCTAATAACGCTTGTTTAATATTTGAAACACTAACTAATAAGAGATTCGACAAAAATTCATAGTATTTGAAATAATAAAAAAAAAAAGGAAATTTTCTAAAGTATTAAAAGGCAATTAAATGTATAATATACACACGTGTTATGTAATATTGCTATACATTAATGTAATTTTTTTTTCTTTACTTTTTGTATGTTTGTTTGTTTTTTTTGGAGGGAATAAAAAGTATCATATTTATGATTATTATTAGGAGGAAGAAGAGGTGAAGGATATTGGTATATAAGGGGATTTACCTAAGGAGCATGTAAATATAAAACTGAAAATAGAAACCTCCTAATAATGTTTTGGATTATTGATTATTGAAATAGCGCATTTCATCTTCTTCCTCTACTGTTCTGTTACTACTCTTTTACTGATAATTTTCTTTTTGAATCCTTCATATACAGTCTCCGATTTTATATCTTATTTTAGTTCACGAGGGGGTACGTCAAAACTAAAAAAAAAAAAAAAAAAAAAAAATATAAATACGAACCTAATTTTTTTCCCTACTTCTTTCATTTCTTTTTTTTTTCTTTATTTTTCTTTATATTCATATATTTTTTTCTTTTAAATAAATATATATAAAAATATATATTTTTTCCTTTGAAAGAAATGAAATCTCTTTCTTTTATTGCCCTTTCACTTTTAACTGCTGTCAATGCAGCTAGTGTTACCTTCAAGCTCATTGCACCAAATGCTACTGAAAAAGTTCAAGTAGATGTTGGTGGCCATTTAACCACTTTGACTGCTTCTGACCCTGATATTCCTTATTTTACTGGTGTCGCTGAATTAGCTGTGAATCAAACTTATAAGGTATTATAAATGAAAATGAAACCATATTCTTCTATTATGTGTAGCCAATTAAAACGTATTTATTTATTAGTACATCGTTGATGGTCTTCATGAAAAATTTGACCGTACTTTGAGTCCTAAGAGTAATGGTTCATCTACTCTTAATGAATTCTTTGATCGTCCTGTCACTTATGCAACTGATATTCCTCCATTGCCTCTTACTCTTACACAAGGGGCTTGGACTCGTGGCTCTACAGATGACCCCATCTGGGATAGCAACTATATTCCTACCATTTTTGTCACTGCTAATCAAAAGGATATGAACAATTTGATTTTAAATGTCCCCAAAAGCACCTATAAAGCCAAGATTACCTTTATTGGTCCTGATAGTGTTCATAGTTTTGAGGTAAATAGAGCATTATGCAGCTCAAAATTTAACTTTGACTTGTTTACTTACATACATTCCTCAAATATTATATATATATATATAGAATTGTTTATTTGGCCTTCATAAGCCTGGTCGTAAACATAATGATGCTAAACAAAGTTGGGTTTGGTCTCTTCCTAAAGGTCAATTTTTTGCTAATCGTAATTGGTTCAAGATTAGACATCAAGAAGAAGATCCTACACAAATTCGTGAAAAACTCTATGCTGATCTCTTGCGTCATATGGGTACTTATGCCAATGAAGCCAACTTGGTTCGTTTCTTCATCAATAAAGAAGGCATGGGTACCTTCAACATGCTTGATGATGTGATCATGTATTCTTATATTAGTGCCATGTTCTACAACGGTAAACCTCCCTCCCAAATGGGTGGTCTCTATGATGGTGCCACTGGCGCAGACTTTAATCCTAAAACTGGTTATGATAGTTTCATTCCTAATGTTGAATCTCCCGTTGATCAATATGCTCTTGCTCCCTTCGCTGAAGCCTTTGCTGCTGTTGATTATAAGAATGATGAACAAGTAAAGGCCATTAACCAATGGTTTGATGTAGATCAATACCTTCGTTTCATGATCATGGAATACCTCACAGGTTCTTGGGATGCTTACTGGATGGCACAAACGAATGATGGTGCTTATATCGATTCCGCTGCTAAACCCACCATGTTATATTATCTTCCTCAAGATTTTGATGCCACCTTTGGTGTCAACCTTGCATACCCAAAGAGCTTTATTAACATCACTGTCAACGAATGGCCTGCTAAATTCAATAAGGCTTTCTTGATCAACAACTTTGTCTCTAACCCTACCTTGAATGCTACCTTTAGAGGATATTTGAAGACAACTGTTGAAGAACTTTTCAACATGAAGGTCCTTGAACCCTATATTACAGCTCGTCATAAGTTCATGTGGCCTGATCTTGTCTGGGATCGTTCTATCAAACAAAGATCTCCTGGTAATGTCTATGGATGGACTGCTAAGCAAACAAAAGAAAACTTGTATAAGGGTGTTACTGCACCTGGTAAGGAGTCTGGTGGTGCTCAATGGGGTCTTCTTGAATGGATTAAGGCTAAGGAAGAAGTTGCTAGACGTGAATTAAACATTACCGAGTCCGACATAAAGGATCCATCAAGTACAAGTTCTGCTCCTGTTAGTACTGCTACCAGTACTGATTCTGCTTCTACTAGTACTGCTTCTGCTAGTGTTACTACTATTATTCTTTCTAGCGTTAATACTGCTACTGCTACTGATGCTACTGCTACCGCTACTGCTACTGATGCTGCTCATAAAGAAGGGGATAAGACAGTTAGTGCTGCCGCCAAAGCTACCTCTACTAGCGTTGCTGCTAAAGAGCAATATGCTACCTCTGGTGCTTCAAAGGCTATCCCTCAAGTCTTGTCCGTTATGGCTATTGTTGGTGTCATCGCAACCGCTCTTTTCTAAATAAACGGTTGTTTCTTTTTTTTTTTTTCTTTAAAAAAAAAATATTGTTATTATTATTTTTCTTTCCTCCCTCCCTCTCTTATCTCCCTTTAACCCTCTATTATTATTATTATTATTATTCGCCTTTTTATGATTTTCCAATCTTTCTCGTTATTTCTTAATTTTATATAACGTTTCTTTTTTTATTTTTTATTTTTATAAAAAATGTATGTATATATTTATATATATGTATGTATTAGAAAAACTATTTGTCTTCATGTCATATTGTAATAAAGTACATATTTATCAATTCCCAAAAACAAAAAAAAATATATAAATATATATATTTGTGATACTCTTGTTAAACAACATGCGCGCACGGACAGGGTTGTCCGTAGCGATAAGATTGTAGCAAAAAAAAAAAAAAAAAAAAAAAACAAAGGCAATAAGCATAAATAACTTTTTCTCTGATCGACGAGGAGAAACATTCATTCCATAGTTTTCATTTTTTTTTTATATAATAATAATGATACATATTCCTTTATTTGCACGGCGATGCAAGGTCTTTTTCTAAAACACAATTCTCCTTTTTTTTCATTGAATAAGTTTAAAAAAAAAAAGGTACTAAAAATAAATTAAAGAAATATGAAACCAAGACGATCTTCTTTTTTTTTTTGTTTAAGATAAAGAAACCCCCCCGGGGAGGGGAGGGGGAAATGAAGGAATTCATATAATAAATGTTAAAAAAAAATTTACTTTTTTGCCCCTTATTCCATGTTTATCATGTGAGTCAAATTAAATGAGGAGATCTTGATAAGAAGTGGTGGTGGTGTCAGCCAAGAAAAAAAAAACTTACCTTTTGAAAAGTAAAAAAAAAAAAAAAAAAAAAAAAAAAAAAAAAAAAGGAAATGATTTTCCTTTTATCATAACCATTCTTCATAGCTATGCACATATATTAAATATATTTCATTTATGTATTTCATTTATTGTAATAATAATAATTAAATCATATCTTGTTGTCTCACTAAAATGTCCATTTTTTTTTATTGTTCCCTCACCCAATTATGCAATCAAATGTAATTTTATATCTATGATATAAATTTGTATATTCACGACATGACATGACATATATTTTATTTTATTTTATTTTATTGGGAACAAAAAAAAAAAAAAAAGAAGAAGAAAGGGCTTCTCCCCCCCCACTCCCCTTTTTTTTTTCTTTTAACATACAAACATTCATACGTATGTACGTATTAGGACAAAAAAGACGTTGTCATACCAGAGGGTGGTGGTGGGTTACACCGAAATTCACTGTACCAGACAGGTTGTTCAACAACAACAACGGCTCTTTTCTCTTGATGCTGTCGCTTGTTGGATTTTTTGATTAAAAGCTTGCAAAACTTATGATACCAATGAGTACCTTCTTGTTTACTACTACTACAGTGTGTTTCATTTGCTGTAGGATGATAAGTCTTGATACGAAAGAGATGTTTCAATTTGATAGCCAATGCAGTTGTTGTCCTTGTCGTTGTTCCTATCAGTGTAGTAGTCGTGATGGTAGATGTAGATGTAGTTGTAGTGGTGTTACTACGATTATAAGGATGCTGTTTCTTTTGTGAAACTGTATTGTGTGACAATGCTGTAGTTGATAATGAAGAAGAAGGTGATGATGACGACAACGACAACGACGACGACGACGATGATAATGATGATGATGTATTATATTTCGGAATAAAACAGGTTTGATGATTCTTTAATAAGGATCTTTTAGGTGAACTTGATAAATGTAGACGAGAGGATGTCAAGGTATTATTGTTATGAAGAGATAAACTCACCATAGAGGAGGTATCTGTTGTTGAATAGCCACCACCTGGGTAATCATGCTCTGCAGTAGGTAAGAAATAAGAATCATTATGATAGGGGAAAGGTAATAAACGAGGCGACTCGACCACTTGATCTTGTTTACGTCGTTGTCGTTTATGAGTTATAGCAGTGGTATGATGATGATTTCTTTCCATTTCATTCCAATACCTAGCAAGTGGCATAAGTGAAGGTTCTGCCAATTCGATTTTAGATACATTCTCAAATGTTAATGGATATATATGCTGATCTTGTTCTTCAATTAATTTATGATGAGAAGAAAACGAGTAAAATGATGAAGTGGAATTTACTAGAAAAGATGAATATAATAATGGTTCACTGGAATTATCAAAGTTTCTTATTTCCTTCATTGTTTCAAAGTCTATTTACATAACGTATAAGCAAAAAAAAAAGAAAAAAAAAAAAAAGAAAAAGAAAACAGGATTTTTAATAAATGGATATATAGTCTTTATATATTTGTTTATTTACATTTTCCTTATTATCATGTAACCCGGGCTCAGAGCATCAAGAGAATGAGATGAATGAAAAGAACAGGGCTTCTCTTCTGGGCCTAATAAATTAGGATAGTTAGTACAACTTATATGTTACCTAGTGCACTCTTTCTACACATGCACACACACCCACACACACACATCACTTTTTTTTTTTTTTTTTTTTTTTTTTTTTTACATACTTCAACTGTCAATTCTATATACTTGAAAAAGAATAAAATTCATATTCATATTTACTTCTAACAAAACTGACATGTATTGCTTTTTTTTTTGTTTGTTGGAAATAATAGCGGTTCAGTTTTAATAAAGATTACACGTGGAAGATGAGCGGAAGGTTGTATCTTTTCTTTTTCTTTTTTTTTTTTTTTTTTTGAAAGTTGTACAGTAAGAGGGAAGCAATTTTTACGCCCCTTTTTTTTGCTGTAGATCGAAACTATTTTAGACTTCATTACTTGTAATACAGTGCAGTCATCTTATGTTCCCTTTTTTTTTTTTTCTTCACATCTAGAACTTATTATTACTGTCAAGCGGGCCTGTGCATAGAATAGTTCCGTAAACAGATCATATTTTTTTTTTTAAAAAAAATTTTCCTTTTTTTTTATATATTTATTTACAGTGAAATACATAGAAAAAGAATCTTATCTTGATTTTCTTTCAAAACTTTTCTTTTTTTTTTTTAACTATTAGACAGCCAATGAATGTAGAAGAAGAGAACGTATATCCATCTAATTTCTATTTTTTTTTTTCCACAACAATGTTACCTGTATGACCTCACATTCTGGAAGTGTCGGAGCATAACTTCCACCACAACGACATGAAAGTATTTAAATTCACATGCTATATAATGATGATATTTGCAAATAGACAACACTATCAATAGACTTGACTAATAATGAATAAAAGTAGAAGTGAGTCTAGTCCTTTTATTTATCTATTCTGTTTGGGAAGTAGTGTATGATTGTATAGAAGAAAAATTTTACAATACAAATTTATTTTATTTGATTTTTTTTTTTTTTTTTTTTTTTTTTTTTTTTTTGTTGAGGGGGGATGAGCTTCGTTTTATATACACATATTTATTTATTTATTTATTTATATACACACACACACACACATCAGTAACATGTCATTGGCACAAGGTTTTGAATCAATATTAGGTCCTACTGTATTAGAAATAGATAAAGCTATTCATTCCGTAAAAGAAAGTCAAAATGAATTAGGGAAAGAAATAGAAAGATTAATTGCAGGTAAAAAAAAAAAAATCCCATCACAATAAATAATAGATTGTTATATACATGTATTCATTGGCCATTGTCTATTTTAGAACTAGAATTGTTTTCAGAGATAGCAGAATCACCTAAACTTCAACCTTGTTTAGAAAAACTAGTCGATGCTAAAAAGAGATTAATAACTACAAATACTTTAATGACAAAAACGAACGAAAGAGTAGAAAGGATACAAAAAGAACTTTTAAATATAAAAAAATAAGTTTTGTTTATTTATTTTTTTTTTCTTTGTTAAAAAAAATTAAAATGATCAAATGAATGATTAGCATTGTTGTTATTACTTGTTGTAAAGAATGATTCTTCTATTGGTATCTTTTGATGATGATTCATGGCTTGATAATTAGCTGCTGATGCAATCAGCGGTAATAATTCTGGAGGTAGATTATTTAATTGAACCCCATAATTCTCCAAGACGGTATAAATGTTATCGTTTTGCTGTTGATTTAAACTAGCAAGAGATGAGCTTGAGGATGAATGAACAAGACCAGGAGGATGACTAGGTGGTGGTGGTGAGGAAGAAAAGATAAGATTATTATTATGATCAGTAGTAGTAGAGGGACTAAAGTTGAAATAAGAAGAGATGGTGGATGTAGATGAGGAGTCATAATTAGTAGTAGAGGTTTGCTGTTGAATGGTATTTGGTGATGTTATAAACTGATTCGTTGTCCATGTTGGATGTAGAGTGGTAGCATTGGGTAATGACATGGATAATGATGAGGAAGTAGTGACTTGTTTTTGAATGTTGCGACGTTGACGCTTTTGTATTGTTTGAGATGGTCTAGTAGGGATAGCTTGATATCGATTATTATTATTACAAGTAGTAGTAGTCGACATTATCATATTATGACTACTTTGAGTAGGCAATGATGTAGACAATAGTTGCTGATCTCTTTTGACAACAGTAGTGGGAGAGTTATTTCTATTTATATTTGTAATTGTGCTTCTGTTCCTCTTTTTGATAACATCTGTCTTTAAACTCAATGGTCTAACAACGCCATGTAATTTTAAGAATAAACCACAAGCATTGCAAAGCGGATTCCCATTTGGATCTCTACGCCATAGGGGTGTAGTTTGAGTAGAACAATTTGAACACTGAGTTTGATTTGATCTTGATTTTTGTGGATATGTCTTTGTAATTGTTTCTTCTTCTATAGAAGATACAGAAGAAGGAGAATGGGGTAATAGAGGAGTAATCGGTATTGGTTTATGATAACTATGAATAGATTGATGATGATGCATATCTTCTTCAAAGCTGGCATTTCTAATATTTAAGAAAGAAGTAGAAGGAGGATCACTTCCATAGAATAATGTGTTTTTATCAAATGATGTATATCCTTCATTATCATGTGTAGATACATGAATATTATCTGTCTTTTTAGACGATAATGTATTATTCTTATGAATAGCCTGTGTATAAAGTAGTTATTATAATAAGTGGTTGGTAAAAGAAAAAAAAAAAAAAGTAATAAAATCAATATGAATTACCATTGGTTGTGATTTAGTATGAGTAGTAATAGTAGATTTTACATTATCTCTTTTTTCATTTCCCGAAAGCATGGGTTCCAAGGTAGTAGTAGCAGTAGCAGTAGCAGTAGCAGTAGCAGTAGCAGTAGCAGTAGCAGTAGCAGTAGCAGTAGCAGTAGTAGCAGTAGCAGTAGAAGAAGACTCTTTCTTTAAGGTCATTGCCATCATACGCCAAGTAAGATTTTCTACTCTAGAAGCATTTGGTAAAGTATCCTTTGCCTTTGTATACATTCTCCAAATTTGACTTGATAAAGGATCATCTTCTTTAGCCTCTTCTTCTTCTTTTTGATAATAATTATCCATGAGTGGATCTTTATTATCTATAAATAGACTTGATGACAATACTTGATCTGCCATACGAGATGTTGTTAAAGAGGATTGCTTTTTTATTGATTTTGGTAACATAATAATTTATTAATGAAAAAAAAAAAAAAATAAAATAAAATAAATAAAAAAGAAAATATTTATTTTATAGAAAAAGAGGAAAACATTCTTTTTTTTTTTTTTTAACAAGTTTTACATATTTAAACTTCCACCACCACACTACTACTTTGTTACCACAGAAAAAGAATTTCTATTTACAGAAACAATCTCACCTTAATCATTATTATAAAGTGCTGTATCCTATATCCATACATACATACATACACCTATTTTAATAATTAATCATACATTATGTATTTATAATGATTGGCTATTATTATGTAATATACTTTATCACTACGAACTACTTCCTCGGATGATATATGTCTTGTGGTTCTTTTTATTATAACGGTTTGTTCCGTTCATGATAATAAGGTATTCTAATTTATCAACAATGGTATATAACACAGCATTATGGAAATACACATACTAGTATAAATATTTATTTATTTTACTTTTTTTTTTTTTTTTTTTTTTTTTTTTTTTTTTTTTTTTAAAAAAAAAAAAATAGGGGAAATGAACTGAATTATACATGCTGAATATGAGTTATATATATATATATGTATTTATAGTATTATAATTATTATTATTATTATTATTAAAAAAAAAGAGGTGCCTTTATAATTTAAGCATCTGCACTCGCTGATAAAATACGAACAATACGTTTACGACCTTCTCCAGATATATTAACAACGCCTTGTTCTTGTAATGCCTTCAATACATCCTCAAATGTCTTATTATCCATAGGCTAACAGTCATAATAGATATATATAAATAAATAGATAAAGTAAACCAAAAAATCATCTAATTCAACTTACCACTTGACTTTGTTCGTTAAATTCTCTAAATAATCGATTATAGTCAATACGACTTGTTGTATAAGAGGACAATTTAGAAAGTAAGGCTTCCTTCATACTATTTTGAAGATGACGCTCATGAGAGGCAGTACCAGATAAGATAAGATCCATATCAATACGTCCTGTCTTGGGATCGGTAGCATAATCTTTAATGGCTTCACGTAAAAGACGTGAGGCTTCTTCTACATCCTCTACTTCAACCGTAGCTGACATTCTCATACGTGCATGGGCCTCTGACATTCGAATCATCGATTCTAATTGACGTGTTGTCGCTGTCACACGCTTTTCAAATCCTCCTCTATCTTGTCCTTGCTTACGTAATTCAACATAATGATCCACAAGTCGATTGCCCGCTTCTTCACTCAAGATCGGATGAACCTTTTGTCGTGCATAATTAATGTATTTTGTTAAAAGTTCAATATGAATAATATCTTGTCCTGCTGTTAATGGATTATCTTCCATATAAAGTGAAACTAAATGTTTAGCAAGTCGACGATCTGAATCTTCATCCACTCGATCCAAAATCAGATAGAGTAAATCAAATCTAGACAAAAGAGGGGGTGGTAAATCGAGATTGGCAGGCACAGACAAGTGTTTGTTCCATCGTGATCCAATAGGATTAGCAGATGCACAGATGGAGGTTCTCGCGTTGAGTGTGGTGATAATACCTGCCTTTGCAACTGATATCGTCTGTTGTTCCATCACTTCATGAAGAACAGATCGTGTAGCATCTGACATTTTATCGAATTCATCAATACAACAGATACCACCATCACTCAATACAAGCGCACCACTTTCCAAGACCAATTGACGTGAATCTGGGTCTCGAGTGATATAAGCAGTTAAACCAACAGCTGAAGAGCCTTTACCAGATGTATAAACACCACGTGGTGCAATTTTATGAACATACTGGAGAAGTTGAGATTTACTCGTACCTGGATCACCTACAAGCAAGACATTGATATCTCCTCTAAATCGAGGTGCTCCTGACTTTTTAAATGTCTTGTGTGTACCCCCAAATAACTGTAGTAGAACGCCCTTTTTAACATCCTCTAATTCATAAATACTAGGTGCTAATGAACGTGCCAAGGTTTCATACAAATTGGGACGTTGTTTTAATGCTAAAATCTGTTCTTCATCCGATGTTGTAACTACTTGAATTTCATCACTTTCTTCATAACTAATAAATAAATAAATAAATAAATAAATAAAATTTTCATTCAACAAAAACTAAAAAAAAAAAAAAAAAAACTTACGCTTCAGGTCCGAATTCAGATCTAACTGTATTATCCACTTGCATACGTTTTTTATCTGTACGTTTGATATGAACCACATCTAGATAAGTTCTAAAGAGAGCACGAATGGTTCTTTGCTTAGGATTCACTCTAACAGGAACACTTCTAAAAACACCTGTCACTTCTAAACGATCACCTGGTTTCGCGACATCTACTAAATCATCATACAGACATAAGGTGACTGTTTGAGGTGTTTGTCCATCAGGAACTGTATCAGGTGTTTCTTGAATTCTGGCTACCTGTTTGTCGCTAAAGACACAACGGTTATGAACCAGGGTCATACAATTCTCTGAATTACATGCTTCTCGTCCACATCGAGTAGGCTCTATGATTCTACCACGATCAACACCTACTGTCACTGTATAGTCACATACTAAACAACGGAAAAAGGCTTCTTTCATATCTGGAATAATGGGTGAAGCACGAATCATTAAACCCTTGATTGTAATTAATTGATCCACATCTATAATACAAAAAAAAAAAAGAGTTTAATCAATTTATATGTGTATCTATTTATTGAGCATGACTTACTTTGAGGGTCCAATTCTCTCATATTAACTGACTCTGCTAAATTATAAGGACGAATCTATATGTACATATATATATATATAATTAACTATACAAGAAAAAAAAATACAAATAAATATATAAAATAGTCTTTACCTTTAAGCTAATACCATTCACATCTAGATTGGGAAATAGTCGCACATAAAATTCAGTAATTGTATGGTCTAATAATGAAATGATTTCTTGAGGATATTTTACAAGTTGATCATACAACTTGTGAGACTCGGGATAAGCTTTTAAATTTCGACAATCCAAGTTGACACTTGTTGCATTTGTCTCATAGATATGTGTCAATAATTGAGGATAAAAAGGTTGTTTATCAGTTTCAGTGATCATCTCGTTCATGCGACGTTTACGATGAGCCAAGGTAAAGTTATTCAAAAAGTTACGGAAGGTTGAAATAACTTCATAGACATTTACGGTTGTACCCCAAACAAGACGAACAGCAAGAGAGGGGTCTGACTCTTGTGTATCAACGTTAAGTGCACTTGACATTTCAGCGCCCATAATACTGGGTGTTTGAGGAATATAAGGTGTACGAATAAAGGTTGTATTCCCTGTGCGTGGTGTACGTGGTGAATCATAACTACGGGTGGGTGTTGAGGGATAGACTAAAGGTGATGTAGCGGCATCCCCTAAAAGAGTAGAGGAGAGCTCTGATCGTCTATATCTTGCACGAGAAGGTGATCCAGGTTCGAGTTGAGAGGAAAGAAGTTCAGAACGTCTACTAAAATAACGACCTGGTGTATCAGGTATATTATCGGATGGTGTAAATTGGCTACTCATATGAAGATTTATACGAATTTATATATGTATATATAAAAAAAAAAAAAAAGGAACCAAATAAAAAACAAAAAAAAAAAAATGAAAAATAAAAAAATACGCGATACGCGTTAAAAAAAAAGAGGTGGCTTGTCCCTTTTTCGGAAACTTAAAATATCTCGCGTAGTCAATTTTCATGACGTCAATTATTTTTTGGTAGCTGTAAAGAAGAACTTGAATTTAAATTATTTATTTTATTTTACTTTATTTTATTTTTGTTAATTACTTAAATGAGCACAACTAAAGCCGATATAAATAAACAAGGTTGGGAAGACTCTGTAAGTATCTCTTTTTTTTTTCTCCTTTTGTTTTGTTTTTGACACATTCACACTTTGTTATTCAATCTTTATACATGTATTGTACTGTAGGAATTTCCTATTCTTTGTGAAACTTGTTTAGGTGAAAACCCATATGTTCGCATGGTAAAATCGATCTATTTAAATTAATGAAGAAATGTATATTAATATATATATATATATATATATATATATACCATAAAAACTAAAATAAAAAAAAAAGACAAAGCAACCTTATGGTAAAGAATGCAAAGTATGTATAATGTTATTCGCAAGTTAGTTTTATCAACACATAAATTAACAACTAAAATTACTCAGATCTGTCAGAGGCCTTATACTGTTTTTCGTTGGATGCCTGGTACAAATGCGAGATATAAAAAAACAGAAATTTGTCAGACGTGTGCTAAAGTCAAAAACGTGTGTCAGACGTGTATTTTGGACTTACAATATGGTAACATATAAGTATATATTTATTACAATAGACAATGTTAACATTTTCATTTGTATAGGTTTACCTGTTGAAGTAAGAGATAAAGCATTGCATTTAAAATCAGAAGCACCTTCTACAGATATCAATAGACAATATTTCGCGCAAAATCTTGCCAAAAAAGTAAATACACATGTATTTTCAAGCTATATTTCAATAATAATAATATTAACACACTCCTTTATAGGTTGAAGAAGGTGAAGGTATCTTTAATCCTGGTAGATTATCATCTCAAAGTCGAGAAATATTAGAAAAATTAGCTAGAAATGAACCTTATTATAAACGTAATAGAGCTCACATTTGTTCATTTTTCCTAAAGGGTGAATGTAATCGTGGTGATGCTTGTCCCTATAGACATGAACTCCCCGAAGAGAATGAAAAAAATATGAAACAAAATATCAGAGATCGTTATCTTGGTCAAAATGACCCAGTTGCTCACAAAATGTTAAGTCGTGTACGTAATGGAGGATTAATACCACCCGAAGATAAGAATGTGGTAAGTAAATATGATTTTTATATCATATATAAAAAAAAGAAAAGGGCTTAACATTGTATGATTATATATAACAGACCTCCTTATTTATTACTGGTGTTGAAACAGAAGTTACTCAAGAAGACTTGAAGTAATATATGACGACTGTCCATACCATTTTTACTACATACTTACTTTTTTTTTATTATTATTATTTAATAGGGATTTTTTTTATGTATTTGGTGAAATTAAATCGATTGTTGTGTCTCACAAGACAAAGTGTGCATTTGTCAATTTTATTACAAGGACATCAGCAGAGCTTGCAGCAGATAAAATATCCGACGTTGGCTTGAATTTGAAAGGACATTCACTTAAAGTTGTTTGGGCTAAACCTAAACCACAACACATTAAATCAAGTAAGGGAGTAGCTGTGTAATTTTTTGGAACTTGTAATTCCCCCATTTGACATATGATAGAGTCGGCTACAAACATGGACTACTCACTTTTATAACTATTAAATAGTCTGAATAAACTAGCTTGTAAAGTATATCATCTATTTTTAAACAAAAAAAAAAATCGGTTTCAAATTTATCTTTATAAGAATAATATTTATACCTCCTTTATTTTATTTTATTTTTGTAAAGGGAGAGGTTTCATCTATATATTTATATATAAAAAAAATTCTTTTTTTTTTTTTTTTTCGTTTCCTTTTCTCTATTATAGAATCATGGTTATCATTAGTTCAAACCAAAGGAAGCCACTATTACTATCGACCCTATTTCTCGTTTTCTGTTTAATTTTCTTTTTTTGGCCCTTAAAAATGATGAATAACAACCCCTTAGAGCCAGTTGCCTCTTACACGCCTTTAATCCAACATCCCAATTTACCCGATCCAAATAAACCACCTGCATGGCAAAACACCACTCGTGCTAAAGCGGCCTTTGTCATCTTAACTCGTAATGAGGAACTTGACGCTCTTCGAAGATCCATTCAACAATTAGAAGCAAGATTCAATCATAAATTTAATTACCCCTACGTATTTTTAAATGATGTCGAATTTACTCCAGAATTTAAAGAATTAACTTCGAGTTTAACGAATGCAGAAACAAAATATGGTAGTTTATAAATATATATATATGTGTGTGTGTAAGTCTTTTTAACTTGATTTTATATATATATGTATATAAAGGTCTTATTCCAAAGGAACATTGGAGTTACCCAGCATGGATAGATATTGAAAAAGCAGATAGACTACGAAAAAAAATGGGAGAAGACGGTGTTATTTACGGTGGTAGTCTTTCTTATCGACATATGTGCAGGTTTATTCATATATAAAAGAACGATTGAACAAGATCAAATTTTTTTTTTACAAGTCTATTTATTATTATTATTATTATTAGATTCGAAAGTGGATTCTTTTATAGACATCCTTTAATGGAAGAATATGAATATTATTGGCGTGTTGAACCAGGTGTCGAATTTTATTGCGATATCGATTATGATCCCTTTTTGTATATGAAGGAAAACAACAAAAAGTATGGTTGGACGATTTCATTAATTGAATTTGAAGAAACTATTCCAACTTTATGGGAAACAACAAAAAAGTTTATAAAGGAACATTCAGACATGATTCCTAAAAAGAATCTAATCGACTTTATTTCCAATGATAATGGTCATAGCTATAATCTATGTCATTTCTGGAGTAATTTTGAAATTGGGGATTTAAAGTTTTTAAGAAGTCCTGAATATTCTGCCTTTTTTGATTATTTAGACAAGTCAGGTGGATTCTTCTATGAAAGGTAAAAAAAAAATATATACAAATTTATAAAAAAATAGAAGCAATTTTATTTTAATTTTATTCAATCTCTCTTTCTTTCTTTCTTCCTTCCTTCCTTTCACTCTCTTTTTTTTCTTTCTTTCTTTTTTTTTTTTTTTTTTTTTAATTGGGGGAGGGAGGGGGATTGAACTGTATTGAACATTTTAGATGGGGAGATGCACCTGTACACACTATTGCTGTTAATCTCTTTTTAAACAAGTCACAAGTTCATTTCTTTAATGACATTGGATATAAACATGAACCTTTCATGCATTGTCCTGTTGTACGAGAATTACAAAAGAAGTGTCATTGTAATGCAGAAGATAATTTTGGTAACAAATAAAAAAAAAAAAGGGGGAGAATTGAGAACTGTGACTCAATATTTTATTTTTTTAGATCTTACACCTAATTCTTGTTTGCGTAGATGGATTGAAATTTCATAATAAAGAACAGCTTAACTCTATTTGTAGCCATATATAGGCAATACATATTATTTTAAATAGAGTAAAGGATATCGTGTCTAAGAGATTAATGGTTAGTTAGTTAGTAGAAGGGAATGGAAAGAGAGAGAGAGAGAGAGTTTATATAAAATTGGTTACAATGACTCTTTATCATCAATTGAGGGATTATTATCATATATAAAGTGTACAATTATAGACACAAGTCTTTTTTTTTTCTATCATAATTTATTCTGAAAGAGTAAAATAAGGAACTTCTTAGTGTATTAACATGTATGTGTAGTAACAATGTTTCCTTGTCTTTCTAACAATACTGTGTCCAAGTTCTGTAATACATTCTCTAAAATATCAGATTTATCAAGTTTTACCATTTCTGGGTATTTGTATAATTCTAGTCTCTATTGTTAAAAAAAAAAAAAGGAATTAATACATTAAATAGCAATAATAATGGGCTCTTCTTTTATTAACCTCTGGATCAGATGATGGTAAGGTATTATTCTTGTTATTTATATTACAAACATCTGCAATTAAATCTAAAGCTTTTCCAATTGAAGTTTTCTATTGTGTATGTCTTTTAAGTAATTAACGAGATTTTATATTCACTCTTATATACACTATACCTTATTCAAAAATACGGGCCTAGTTGAATCCTTTGAACTAACATAAAGATAGATACGAGAATGAATGGGTATAGAAGAACCCTCAATGCCTTTAGCTTGAGATTTCATCTTCATTAATTCTACTATACCACCTGGCTTCTTACTCACTATTGCTTTTTTTATCTTAAGACTACTTTCAACAAGAGGCTTATTATGATGGAATGTTTTCGATAGTTTTTCTTGTGCTGCAAGCTTTCTATCTTGTTTCTTTTGCTCATTTTCATTTAACGAAACACAGTGATGTGAAGAAGGATATCGATGTCTAAACAATAGATGTATATATACATCAGTAACTATAAGCATCTTTATATATCAAGTAATTACGCTAAACAAAATTCTTGTTCACATCCGTTACAATGAACAGGCCCTATATAAGGATCAATGGCATGACAGCCGTCAACTGCACAATCTCGATTAATCATCTTTTTCATGCTTGTATCATTAGAATATAAATATAATTGACAGTATGATATTTTATGTTTCTCAAGCTATAGTTTAGATATCGTTAATGACTCCCGCTCATTTTTTTTTTAGGCTTTCTTACCGCTTGTTCAGGATTCATGCTCTCGGGTGCTTTAATAAGATGTTGGCAAACATTACATTGAGCTAATTGGTTGTTAACTTGATTCCATTGAAGACATTGATGAGATAGAGGAAGTCTATGATCACCACTTAAAAAAAAAAAAGTCAATAGATGTATACACATCATTGTTGATTAATTACCAGAATGTTTGTTTGCAGAATGGACATGCAATAGGTAAAAAGTCTTGTATAATAAGGTTAAAAGAAATAGGATAGTTAAACATTTCAGAATTCGTTTTTACCTAATGAATTACAATCTGAGAGTTGACAATGTTTTCCAACTTGTGGCAGTTCCATAAGGTAATCAAAATAAAAAAGAAAAAGAATTAGAAATAGAAATAGAAATAGAAATAAAAAGAAAAGAAAAGAAAAGAAAAAAGAAAAGAAAAAAAATAGTAAATGATGAATAAGTCACAACACATGTCAACATGAATAGTTTTATTATCACACTATTTTACAAATGTATATAAATAAAATGAATCTGATCTTGGAGGGGGAAGCTTTTTTCTTTTTTTTTTCCTTTCTCTTTTTTTTATACATATATATAGATTAAGCAGTTGTTGCTGTTGTTGTTGTAGCTTCTGCTGGTGTAGATATAATATCATTGACTACTTTCTTTTTATCAGCCTGCCTCTTGTTATGTTGAAGGATTTTTGATTTTAACTCCAAAGCCTTTTCACTAAATAAATTCTTATCCCTCGTTTCCAGCAAATATTTATCTAATCCACCCTTTTTATCAATTGTACGCATAACAGCTGTCGTCACTTTGACTTCAATGAATTTGGAAAGTGATTCAGAGTATAATTTCTTGTTTTGTACATTGGGTAACCAGTTACGTCTTGTCTTTTTCTTTGAAAATGGATTATTGTTACCGAATTGAATATGTTTCCCACCAAATAATCCTCTTTGAGCTCGTTTGAAGGTTGCTCTAGCAAGTGCATAAGCTGGTTGTGCAGATAACATTTATAATTAAAAAATAAAATAAAATAAAATAAAATGAAACGTGTTAGTTTTTCCGGGGCAGAGGAATACCCCCCTTTTTTTTTGGTTTTCGCCTATAATAGTATATTTCAAGTCACGATGGTGACTTTTTATTAACTTGAAAAAAAAAAAAAAAAAAAAAAAGAAAAGGAAAGGAAAGAAAAAGAAACAAATTATGCTGTTCAATTAAGTATATATATTTTTTTTTCCTGCTTAATGATAGAAGATTATCCAGAATACATTATAGGAGAGAGAACTAGTAGTGTAACTTTATTTTATCTTTAAGCATTACCCAAGACTACTCATAAGCTATAATTAGGAAGGAGAAAAACGATATCATGTAAAATGGGTTGGTTGCGATGTTGATGATAGCACATGGGAAACGAAAGAAAAGATGGAATCGTAAGGAAACATACATAATTTACAAACACACACACACACACACACATATATATATATATATACATGTATAGTATAGTATTAAAATGAAGAATTTAGTGAATGGCCATCATCAGTAAAGAATTACAAAAACGATATAGCGAATAAGACACTAAAACGATACCAACTACCAAAACAAGATCCAGGTCTGGAGGAAGCTGTATTTAACTATACGAATACAGTAGAAGATTGGGAATCAGAGGTTGCCTCGATTGACTATGTAGAAAGATCAAAGATTCCTGGCCTTATCGTATATATTCGATGGTAAACGAAAAATAAATAAATAAATGTACATGTAAAATAATTTGTTTATTTAGGAAAAATGGATATAGAACTGTTCATCATTCTTCAGAAGTTTATTTAAAATGCCCACAAAAAGTAAGTAAAAAAAAAAAAAAAAAAAAAAATGAGCGGATAAACTGGTTTGTCTATTTATTTATTTATTTATTAACTCTCGTGTAGATGATTGAATATTTTGAACAATTTGCCATTTTTAATGAAATCTTCGATGAAGACTAGATGAATTCTATATATAGAAGAAAGCATGAAAAGAGTCCACTTGTACATAACTATTATTACGCTCATCATCTATTTGTATCTTGTGATATATAAAGGAGAATATTCTTTATTTTTTTATTTTTTAAACATTATATGTAAGAACAACTTTTTTTTTTCATTAAACGAGAGAATAAATACTATTTTTTTTTCTTTTTTTTTCTTTTTTTATATACTGGGTAAACTAACAAGTGAAGGAAAAGCATAAGGTGTGTTATGATTACTTTTGTTATCATGTATCTCGTGATCATTAATGATTTCTTCCATAAAGAATTGAACTTCTTCATCTTCTTGTTGTGGATAAAAAGAAGGTAATTTACAGATAGGATCTTCTGGTGGAGAAAATAAATAACTACTACTACCACCACTACTACCATCACTTACACTACTATTATTATTAGGAATATTAATAGCCGCTGTACCTTCTATTAATCTGTCTATTTCGTCATCCAATGTACTAGATGGTTTTTTAATAGAAGAAGATGCTTTCCAATGAGATATCCTACTACTATTATTTGTTAAAGTAGAGAATTGATCGTGATAATAAGAGGGCTGTCGCTGTTGATTTCCTCTTCCTCCCCCCAGATCATTGGTAGGAGTAAATAAATCATTTAATGAGGAAGGAAGCATAACAGATGAGTCATTCAAAAAATAGTCATTATTAGGATAGAAAGTACTGCTATTTCTAACCGAAGATGATAATCGATGGTTGTTATTATTATATAATGACGGATCGTGAGTAGATGTTTCACGTGGCAGCAAGCCAGTATTTGTATTATTAGGATGATGTTGTGTAGCAGCAGCATGAAAATTCTGAAAAAATGAAATAGCAGGTGGAGCAGATGTTCCAGTAGCAAAATCATGAAGATAAGAATGCTGCTGATGAGGAGAAAAAGCGTTAGGCATCATGATTTGATCTGCTGTATTCGTTTTTTTTCTTATTATAGGAGGAGGAGAAGTAGATAACAAATAACGGTTGTAAGATGACATAGTATGTAATAACGCACATTTTGTACCAAATTTACAATTCCCCTTTATAAAATATTTACAGACTGCTGCTTCCGAAGAAAGATCTGAGTTGTGGGAAAATGTACAATTAGTTCCTGCTGTACAAGTACCTTGTTTATAAAACTTGCAGGGAACATGAGATAAGTTGGAAACTAACAAAAAAAAAATTAAAAATAAAATAGAGAAAGAGAAGAAATTACTTACGTTTAATCATATTATTAGGAATTGAATAATGATTACTTTTATTATTGTTTTGGAAAAAAGAAGAATCTGATGTACGTGTTGTTGTCCTTTTATGCTGCTGAAGTTGTGAAGGTGAACTTTTTGAAAGTAAGTCAAGTGCGAAATCAGGAGAAGAAGAAGGATAAAATGTCAAGTTTTGGTCTGTCATATAAAAAATAAAAATAAAAATAAAAAACAACAATAAAAAAAGAGAGAGAGAGAGAAGAAAGAGAAAGGAATAAAGAAAGAAAGAAAAAAAAAGGGGGGAAAGGAGAAAATACGTTGTTGTATAGCAGCCCTTTTTAATAATTAAAAGCTCCGGAAAAAAAAGTAAGTCATGCGCACATACACAATTATAAGTTACACATATAATAAATTTGCTTAATAAAAAGTAAAAAGGACATATTATGTTCCATTTGGCGGTAATTTTTGTGCATAATAAAAAATTTAACCAGCGATTAAGAAATTTTCAGTCAGCAAGTTCACAGAATCCAACTAGCAGACTTTTATTGTGAATATATTCAGATTGAGTATAATTATTTTATTCATCAAACTTCTTACCTAGACCAGCTCAATAGATAGAAAGTATATAAATATAAAAAACAACAACCCCTTTTGGGCACAAGGGTAATAAATGTGGAGGGAAAAAAAAGGGGGGGGAGAAAGTAAATGGGAGTGCATATATCAGATCTAATTTGTTTGCAGCTAAATAATATTGATAACAATGGTTGTAGCCCGATAGTCATATTATGTTGTGTCAGGTCAATGAACTATAACATTTGCTGTAAAAGTATCCAATGTACTAATCTAGAAATTGATTTTGAAAGTTATTGAAATAACATGTCGAGGATATAGCAATAGTTATAGGTATGTGTATACGAAAGAATGCAAGCTGATGTTTTTTTTCTTGTATAAAATGGGCTTTAGTGAGCTTGTGCTATTGATATGAACTAAGTTTAAATATCCCACTAAATAGCCTTCGTAGAAACCGACAACTATGTTTTTTTTTTATCAAAGAATAGGATTTATAAATTTTAATTTTCACTTTGCCTTTTCCCCAATTTATAAAAATAAATAGTTTCAATTAGCATTAGTCATTTGTTTAATTTGTATTTCTTTTTTACTAACTATTTTTAATTTACTATACATGTTGTAATCTTTTTTTTTTATGAAGAATATTTGATGGAAATGAAATAATGAATTGTGGAGGGAAAGAATGCCCTTTGTTACTCCTATTTAAAGCATTCATATTTTGGATTCTTTTTTATGCTTGAACATACTTCTCAATGATACGCTAAGACTAAGAGTCATTGTTCAAACAATTAGTATTTTAAAGTTTTAGTTAAACTTGCATTATAGTGTTACAATTTGATATTCAATATTCAAAAAGTACTTTTGACTTATTTAGCATTCGATATCTCTTTAGAGTTTTTCTGAATGAGGTTTCTTCTTTCATGTAGCTCAAAAGAATTGTTGGCTTAAATGCATTATCAGGGATTCCATATATTCTTGCATGCTATTGTTTTGGAAGCCTGACCTCTTGATTATTTATGACTATAGACACTAAGTATACTTATTGTTTGATTTTATACTTTGAACCAATAATCAACTAGTTAGATGATTTAATACTAGTTTTTTTTTTCTTCTTCTTCTTTCTTCACAGTAATGATTAAATAATGTACAAGTACTTCAATGTATCATTAAACAATTCAAAGATATTGTCTCTTTATACAAAGACTGTTACATAGTATCCTGTTATATCTATTCTCTAGCAGTCTTTGTTACAAGTAATTTTTTATTTTATTTTATTTTTTAATTGAAAAAAAAAGATGAATTCACAAAATAATCATCTGCTTATCAGCACTTTAATCTTGTACACACATTATGCAAAAAGTAGTGTTACTATTATAATTTATTCTATAATAATTTACTCAAATTTGATACTATGACTTTCAAAGGTAATTTGTCCGCCACGATAGGATCCCCTCTTCTTTTTATTTTTCTCGGCTCTAAATCGATCTCCACGAACCTTAATTAAATCTTGAGATGCTTTCCATCCATATGAATTTACATCAGAACCTCCTTTGGCTTCATATGAGTTATCTTTTAATCGATCATCTAAAAACTCTACTTCTTCAGGCTTGACTCTTTGAAAAGGTGTACCTTGTTTACGAGGTTTCTTTTCTTTTTTAATACTATTAATTTTAATTAGATAAAATGTTTTTTTTATTCAAGTTATTAGGGTAAGAGTATATGTAGACATGTGATGTTGTGTTTTATAATATATGCAAAAAAAAATAAAGCTATGTTTTATGGGTAAAAAAAAAAAAAGTTTTTTATAATTACCTATTAGCTTTCTTAGGTGATGGTTCATTTTCAGCAGCATCTTCTGCTTTACGTTTAGGAGAGTTACTAGCATCAACCATGGTAATATCTGTATCAGCATTACTACTTGAGCTATTAGAGTCGGAACTATTGCTAGATGAGGATGAGCTACTAGACTTAGAACTCTTAGAACTCTTAGTAGAATCAGAGTCACTATCTTCAGAATCAGAGTCACTGCTAGAGTCGGAATCACTATCTTCAGAATCAGAGTCGCTGCTAGAGTCAGAATCACTACTAGACTCGGAATCGCTGCTAGAGTCAGAGTCGCTGGAACTAGAGTCAGAGTCGCTGGAACTAGAGTCAGAGTCGCTGGAACTAGAGTCAGAGTCGCTGGAACTAGAGTCAGAGTCGCTGCTAGAGTCAGAGTCACTAGAACTAGATTCAGATTCACTGCTAGAGCTAGATTCAGATTCACTGCTAGAACTAGATTCAGATTCACTGCTAGAACTAGATTCAGATTCACTGCTAGAGCTAGAGCTAGATTCACTGCTAGAGCTAGAGCTAGATTCACTACTGGAGCTAGAACTAGAACTAGTTTCAGACTCACTCTTTTTTTCTACCTTTTCTTCTTCATCAGATGATTCAGAATCACTGTCAGATTCAGAGCTGCTACTGCTACTAGAATCAGATTCTTCTTCATCAGATGATGATTCACTGCTGCTAGAAGAACTGCTAGATTCTTCCTTCTTTTCTTCATCATCAGAAGAATCGCTACTTGATGATGAGCTATTAGAACTATTGGATTCTTTCTTTTCTTCTTCGTCAGAAGATTCACTGCTAGATGATGAGCTGCTGGATTCTTCCTTCTTTTCGTCAACATCCATTGAATCATCACTGTCATCACTGTCATCACTATCATCACTATCAGAGCTGTCGGAAGAACTATCAGAAGAACTATCAGAAGAGCTATCAGAAGAACTATCGGAAGAGCTATCGGAAGAGCTATCGGAAGAGCTATCGGAAGAGCTATCGGAAGAACTGCTAGAAGAACTGCTAGAAGAATCATCATCATTATCTGATGAATCCTTCATTTCAACATCCTTCTCTTCATCAGATGAACTGTCACTACTTGATTCATTTCTATATAAAATAGTTAAAAAACACTACTTCCACACACACACACACATATATATATATATCCTTACTTGGATTGAAATTGTTCAAAAATGGTAGCTAAATTTTTCTTTGTCTTCACTTTATCAATCTAATAGAAAAAAACATACATAAATAAATTTGTTCTCAGGGAATATTTTATATTTATATTATAATAGTACTTACAGAAGGGTTTTTCTCTTTTAAAATTTTAGCAGCCTCAGTTTGCCCATTTTCAATGAGATATTTGTAAACAAGAGAATCAAGTGTAGAAGGCATTGCTTTCTTAGACTGTAACAATAAAAAAAAAAAGGGAGAGAGAGAAAATGCTCGTAACGTTTTTTTTATTGTTTTTTTTAATAGTGTGGCTTTTAAAAAATGACTGCTTTTTAACACAATAACAACATTCTGTCATTGATGTCTTGGAAAACAATTCATAACTGTTTTTTTTTTTTTTTTTTTTTTTTTTTTTTAGGATTACAACCATGTTAGTGTTTTAAATTCTATCCTATTTTGTTATTCGATAGCGTGCTTTCTAAGCCATGCTGATTTTCTCTTGTGCTAACACTTGATATGCACAATTCCTACTTCTCTTATCTTCCAGCTTGCTTTCAAAATATATATACTCTATGAATACTACTTAAGCTTTTAAATTAATAATGTGTCCATCAACAGCTTTCATTGCAAGCCTTTATTAAAAGCATAGCTTGAAGCTTTATTATTATACATACTTGGTGGTAATTTTAATGCTATTATTTCATCAAAGATTCTACATCTATTAGCTTATGTTAGTGTAGACGCTTTTGATTAAACTCGCTTTATATAAGTTTGTTGGTGTTGTTGTTGTTGGTTTTTTTTTTTTTTTTTTTACTCAAAGCATATGTTATCCTTTATTATAAATAAAATAGATAGAAGAGAGAAATATTTTATAAGGGGTATTTTTTTCAATGAATTGTTAAATATTGTCTTCTGAAACCAGAGATACCAATAATTGTATCAATAATACCAGGATGTGATGACACAAATTGAAATATAAGCCAAATTACCATCACTATATTTATATATAAAATGTGAGTTTTACTTTATATGTATAAAGAAGTTTTTTTTTTTTTTCCTTTTTTTTTTTTGTAGATTACTTACAGCATAACATAGGAACCCAGAACGAAAATAATCGCTTATCTCGACGTTTTTTTGCTATTTGTATTGTGGGCTGTTGATTGCTTGTTGGTGGCTCTTCGTCTGTAGCCTCTTGTTGTTGTTCAATAAAACTACGAGCTCCCATTGCGTATGCTAACGCCATATACCAAGCTAATTGTTCTTCTGGCTTGTTGTTTTGTGATTGGCTAAACATGTTGGCAAGCATTGTTGTAGGACTAGGGAATTGTAAGAGATCCGCTAGATTCTTAAGATCAGTCGTCTTTGTGGGCATATTATTTTTAATATTCTGAAGAAAACTTGTGGTATCATTGCTTGGTTGCTGAAAATGTGATAGAGTACGCTGCATCCAACTCATTTCTTTTGTTAATGGTTGCTCATCATCATCGCTTGTATCAGGGATGGTATGAATAGGTTCAGCATCCATAATTTCATCTGCTGAATGTACCTTGTTTTCTTCAGTACTAAGGTATTGAATTGAGGTAGGACTCACATTCTTTTCTTCTTCTTCTTCATCATCATCATCATCAGTTGATGTATAGGATACAAAGCTCGACCACATTTGTGATGGTAAACTTTCTTTACAATCACTTAACCAAACACTACTGTCATCATCTTCATCAAAGGAAGTATCGATATCAGCACTCTGAGCATCTGAAGAAAGATAGTCTTCAGCTTCGGAGGGAGTCTCTTCAAGGAGAATAGCTCGAATAGCATCAGATTTAGTTAATTCAAATGGCCGTTTATTCCATAAATTAATGATATCTGGATCTGCATGACCTTTTGTAATTAAAGAACGAACAACTGCCTCATGCCCATACCATACAGCGTAGTGCAAAGCTGTATATCCATTTTTGTCTACAGCATTAACATCACAACCAAGCTCAATGAGAGTCTCGGTAAGTCTTGGAAAACCTAACATAGCAGCAAAATGAAGCATTGTATGTTGCTGAGGATTTGCTAATGATACGTCAGAAGAATCTACATCATTAAAAGTCTTCATAATTTCAAGAACTTGAATAATATGTTGTTCTAGGGCTAAATTATTATTTTGTTGATGTTGTTGTTGTTGTTGGTTATTATTATTATTATTATTATTATTATTTCCACCTTGGACAATGCGCATGGCAATCTCTCGTGCATCTTCTACTTTGCCAGTCATTTTGAGTCCAACCACTTGTAGCGCCAACTCCATAAGAGCGCGATCATTTTCATTATAGTAAGTGAAAAGCATTACATCCTGGCTTTCAACCACAAGTGGATATTCTTTAAAGGAGACAACAACAGTGCCAGCTTCTGCAGCCGGAGGTAAAATACAGACAAGTGTGTTAGGAGACCAATAATGAGTACTAGAAGCAGCAACATCACCAAACATGCAAGTGAGACCGGTTCTAAAGCCACTGCCTAACAATGTCACTTCAACGCCACCAAAGGTAGGGCCTTCAGAGGGAATTAAACGCTGTAATAAAGGCCGCTGTTCTAATGGTGGTGGTTGTGGCATAATAAGTTTTTCTGAAAATGCTGATATCGGAGAATCCATAGGAGACTGTAAGGTAGGTGGTCTAGGCTGAATATGGTAAGGTTGTGAAGAGAAATAATTTGGAGCAAGAGCTGGACGATTTTCAACATTAGGTGATTTATTAGAATTAGCTATTGTTGTACGAAGACGTTTTCTTCCTGGCTTGACTTTATTTGATTTATGGTCATCTGTAATCATTATAGGTGGTGACATCCCTGTTGCTACTCGTTTCCCAGTATGATCATGCATTTCGAAATAAATACAAAAGCCGAGCCGCTCATTATGGTGTCGACAATAACATGTGATACGAGTTGGAAGAATGGTATCTCCTGAACTAAAATCAACCATCTCTGAGCAATTGAATAGTAATATTTTCTGTTCTTCTAAAGCAGTATTTTCTTGTATGTTGACTTTATTCTCTTTTCTTCGTTGTGATCTTTTACGTTCTCTTTGAATGCATCCTACACAAGTCATTACTTTTCGAGAAGGGTCACTTGCACAGATAACACGAGCAGTTAAAAATAGCATTTTTTCAGGATTTATGATAACTGATTTATCGTCTAAGATTTGACGTTTTAACTTATCCTTGGCAACCATATGCTCAGGTAATTTAAGATGAGACCACCATTGAGCTTTATCGCCATCATCAGTAACTAATTGAATACATAATTTGATTTGTGTTTCTACACGAGACTTTGCCCCTGTTTGTGGTACACCTAATACTCTAATTTGCATCCTATAATACGAAAAAGTAAGTATACAATATATGTGAATGAATTTATCTTATTTACCCTGGAAAAGTATTTGAAGTAATATTATTGTTATTTTTTTGTAGTTGCTGTTGTTGCTGTTGTTGCTGTTGTTGTTGCTGCTGCTGCTGAATTGGCCTAAGAAAAAGAGATTTATTAAAGTTTATAAACAAAATAATAAATGCTTTTTTTTTTGTCTTATTTTACTGCAAGTTAAACTGTTGTTGCATAGAATATCCAGTTAAATAGTCTGTAAAATTTTTTGCAAGATTTGGAATAGCCTATAATGTAAACAACAAAATTTAATCTTCTTTTACAAAATGAAAATATACATGTATACTATATTTATTTATATTTTTCTTACAGTATTAATTCCTGACCAAAATGTAGGAGCTGTTATAGTTGTTGTAGTTGTTGTTGTGGAAGTCATTTCAGTTGAATTAGGTAAAAGAGGGTCCACAAGACTTGACATATTTGAAGTATTCTGCTGTTGCATAAAATATAAAGGATTATCTGGAGAAAGTTGATCTAATTTATAAAATAAAGATTGATCGATAAAAGAAGATTTCATAACATCATCATGTGGTTCAGAAGTAGAAGAACCTGATGGTGAATCACATGCATTGAAATTGTCTTCACTTGCAACCGAGCTATGAAGGTCCATTAATGGACTTGACATTTTAATGAAAGATAAAGGAAAGAAAACGATTATGAGTTTATCTAAGAAAACAGGAAAAAAAAAATAAATAAATAAATAAAAAACTTATATCGTTTATCCAATCATGATCAACTATTATTGCTCGGTACTTGTGTGGAGCTAAATTTAAAAACTCTCATCACGAGAATATGATATTAAGCTTAAATAGCCTAAAGAGGAAAACAAAAAAGTTTCAGATATATAAGCCTAGAATTATATAATGGCATAACATAATGAAATTCTCATACGCTTTTTAAAAAGACTAACACATTTGTTATCATCATACATTTATTATTCTTTGAAGAAAACTGAGTAATTTATATAGCGCTTCCTTCTTTTCTAAAATTTATATTTAAACACCGACACTACTTTGCCATAGTTCAAAAAAGGAGAAAAGGAACTAAGAGACAAGAGGAAAAAAAGAGTAAACTCAAACGTGAGCAAGGAGGAAAAGAAATTACTCTGTCTGTATTGGAAGAGGTGGAGTGAAAGTAGAATTACCACAAGATTAGGACGAAATATCTCCATTCTTAAAGAAAAATGTTGCGGCTGCATTTTGGATAGAGGAGCAAAGTTTGGAGAGAACTCTCAATAAGCGGTTATGTTGGATTCTAAAGGCTTCATTATCGTTATCCATTTTGGATAAATTGGCAAATTTGAGGTCTCGAAGGTAATCACCGTTGTAGGGGTTGAAATTCTGTATTTTGGACAATCTTGAATTTAGCTAATCGATTTTTGAATTCAAGTACATAGTCAAAATGTATTAAGTAAGCGACTACGTTGATGGTGAGGTGGTGTCTATTTAATGTACAGACGTTGTAGACACCTAGTTTTTTTTTTGAGTTTGTTACGAATCGTACCAATGTAAAGTCAGATTTTAATAGAGAAGTAAATAAAGATAAGGCCTTAGTTAGGCGATGGGGGGCTAGAAAAAGCGAGTGGTTAATTCTATTTTACGAGCTTGGTGCTCATGTTTATCACGAGAGAAAAAGTTTTTAATGTAAGTAATTTTGGCGGGATTACGCCAAGGAGGAAAAGCGAAGTTTATAGTTGAGATGGGTGTAGACTGTGAAGAAGGAATAGGAGCAAATGCAATGGAGGTTGAGGAACCTAATTTATTCTGACCATTTTGATCTTGGAGTAAACTTTTCAGATTTTGGATCTCATGCTGAGCGTTGGCAGGTTGAGAAGACAAATGGAAAAATGTAGTTGATCATTACTGCTATCAGTAGTTAAAGGGGTATGAATTTCATTGATAAGATAGAAAGGAAGGGAATTGGTATCTATTGTATTAAATAGAGCGGTGTGTAGCTTGTAAGCGTGTATTTGCTTAGTGCAGGAGGAACATTTGAATCGAGGTTGAGGAGAAGCCTGTTTTGTAGACCTATGCCTATAAACTGAAGTTATTTTATTACAACAAGGACAACTAATTTAGTTTTTATTTACTGTAAAAGCTGTCAAAAGATCTTTCACTTGGAAGAGTGGAAGTAGTGCTGTTGTTGTTAGCTCTTTAGAAGAACTTCGATCGGGTATTATTTCAAATTAGATTCGAAATAAATGCTTTGAATTGAAGGGTAAGTAGAGACTATAGTATGAAAATGTTTTTGCAGTTGAACTTTCTAGAAAAAGAAAGTGAAATTTTTTTTATCCAAAACCTAATTCAAACAGACGGGTTTGCTGTAGATGGTGTTGTTGTTGCTAACAAAGCTTCAAATTCTATTAAACCAATAATTTAATATAAAGTTGTTATCTGAATCAGAAGATAGGAAGATAGACAAAAAATGGATGGATTTTCTCTATGAGGACAAATGTGACTACAGCTGCTTATAGCAATAGTGAGATACCGCATCAGATTAGAAAATCAGTCACTAAAAAATCATATTATTCTTTCATAGGATCTAAACATCATAAAAGAAAACAGCAATAGAGAATAAAGCAGTAAAATGTGTAATATTTTCTTAAAAACACCAGCACTAAAAACCGTCAGTTTGCCATGACACACTGAATATATCACCTACATTATGCTTCGTGTAAAAGAATACTATCCTTCAATGGATCATGTGCTTCATTTGTATAGGGGATTTTTTTTCCTATTACTAAAGTTTACAATGTGCTAGGCAAGAAACGGTAAATATTTTTAATAAATAGAAGAAAAGAAAGAATAAGATTAAAAATAAGGAGAATGGGGTGAAGAATAAAAATCTTCTTATGAATCTTCCCAAACTATAAAAGAGATATGGTAAAATAAGCACAAATATTTTGTGAATGATAACATACTTATTGCATAGTGGGCAAAGAGGTATGTATTGGACACACACACTCACACACACACACACATATATATATATATATCAGGATAATATGAAAACTCCAGTTATAGCCTTTGGGAATAGAATAGTTAAAAAGGACACTGACAAGTTTAAAGATATTCAAGCAGGAGCCACCCATGCATAGTGGAAAGAATTGTTGAATATATACAAACACGATGCTTTGATTGTAGCTACTATAGGTGAACATAGAATACCCAAAGCAATTAATTATTACTGCTCTGCTAATACCAATTTAACAAATATGCTTTTATATGAAACAGACCTGTCATTCATCATGCTTTAAATGAAATTTTACGTTTCTAATAATAGGCTATTATGGTGTCCTCTTAGCTTGCCAAAGCTGTAAGATACTGTCTGAATGTGAATACAATGCTGCAAAAAATATCCACCATATCTCTAGTGAGATAATAACTGGTCGAGATCATCCTTCTGCATTCTCTTATCAGAAACAATAACATTATCGTCTCGAACACGGGGTTTTCCTAATGGAAAATTTATATTTTTTTAGGTAAATCTATTTTTACTACTCAAAATTGTACTGTTTAATATAACTTTTTTTTTTTAACTAGTCTCGATTTCATCCGAAAATACTTCATCTATTGTTTCTTTCCCCCTGAGTCTATTAAAGGCTTTTAATTCACTTTAAAGAAGAACTTCCTCGGACAATTTTTATATATAATTATCAATGTGCTCATTGGGTTTAAATTTTGTCAATAAATAAAACATATATTTTAAAGGTACTATAAATTTACATAAGGCCCTCTTTTTTTTTCTTCTTACATTAAAGAGAAAAGCCTTCTTCCATAACCCCAGACTATGGGGCTATACAGTAATATGATAATAAACAAGTTGAAAATGAATACTACATATGAAATCATCATCATTATTTCCCCCTACCCTCTCCCAACCCCGGAAATTAGGAATCATTAATATAGGTAACATGCATATAAGTAGTAGTACTAGTAGTAATAAGGAAAACTATCACATAGAATTTATAATGATTATTTTTATTCAAAATCATTGATCTCTTACTTTCTTAAATGAATATGTATACATGTATATTATTATTATTATTAGTTTACCGAATCTCAGGGGCTTCATCAAAATGTATTTTTGATATCATGTGCGCTTTGTGACGACTCTTTATTTTTCTTTGACCTTTCTTCTTTTCTTTGATATAATGACTGAAGGAGAACTAGGAAGTTCTGCTACTCGCCATCATCGTCACAAGACAAATCAACATTCACGCCTAAGAACAACTTCACCTAATGATGATCTGGTAGCTGCTGCTGCTGCTGCTACTACTACTACTACAACAACTACAACTTTTACTTATATCTATCCACAACAACCTTTTTCAGTTCAATATTATCAATCACCTACTGATCATCACTATGGGAACAGTTATCCAGGATCGTCTATTTTACATTCTCATCATCTTCTTCATTACCCACATCCTTCAAGTCCCCCTTTTAGTCCTACCTTACTTCTTTCATCAGCAAACAATCCTGCGTTTGTTTTATCACCTCCTTTACTTCCACAGCAAAATACCATAGATAAGAATTATGACTTATTAGATACTCATTCACAAAATGTTTATGTACGTGGATTATCATCAAAGGAAACTGATGAAACATTCTACAATTTGTGTAAAAAGTAAAGTATAGAACATATAAAACATCATAATATAATTAATTAAATTCTTATAGTTATGGTTCAATTAGCTCCTCAAAAGCTATCCTTGATCAAAAGACAGGTAAATGTAAAGGATATGGATTTGTAATGTATGAAAATCCAAAACATTGTCAACAAGCCATTCAAGGTTTAAATACATTAGGATACCAAGCTTCTTTAGCTCGTATAGGACAAGTGAAGTATATAATACATATATATATAAGCAATATAAACCAATCTTTTTTAATCTTTAAAAAAAAAAAGGAATCATTTAGTTCTCGTTTAAAAAGTCTCCAAGATGAAACATCGACGAATATTTATATCTCTAATTTGCCTTTCAATATGAATGAACAAGTAAGGCAGTCATAGTCATTTATAAGTACTCTACGATATAATGAATTTATATTTAGGATCTAGAGGAATTATTTAAACCATATCCAGTTTTATCCAATCGTATATTACGTGACCAGAATACTGGTTTAAGTAGAGGTGTTGGATTTGCAAGGTAACCAATTTGTCATATAGTTAGTTGTAATATGTATAAACATAAATATACTATGTTAAAGATTAGTGAATCGGCCTTCTGCTATGGCAATTATTGAAAAATTTAATGGATATTCAATTTCAGGCTCATCATTAGCTCCATTACAGGTTCGTTTTGCAGATTCACCTGCACAGAAGAAGTTAAAACATCAAACAACTACAAACAAAAAGAGCCCAGCTAATCTTATTATAAGACCTGTTATGCCTGTTACTCCAGAGACAATATTGGGCATTGCTCCACCATACTCTTCAATTTATCATAGATAAACAGCTATATATATATATATATATATATATCTGTTACAATTACTTTATATATAGTAGATAAGAAACATTGCTCTTATAGTACTTTTGCCTTTTTTTAGAATAAAGAAAGATTTTTTTTTAAGCATTGACCCAAACTGGTAAAGAAGGAGTTTCAAAAGACCAATCTTTACCAGTATATTTATAAGCATGAAGCCAAAGAGAGTTCTTGGTATCATTAAGGCCATCTTGAATAAGAGGTATATTACATTCAGAACAACGAGGCAAAGTTGAAGATGGGTCATCATCCATATAATCGTAAGGCGCATGTTCAATCATACTATCAATCACAGATTCAAAATTATTTTTTGTTAACATAGATGTCCAAGGGGTTTTATAACCATAAATGGGGTCATTGGTAATAGGAAAACCTAAATGTCGTAAGTGAATACGTATTTGATGTGTTCGTCCTGTTAAGGGTTTGCATCGAATAAGGCTTGTATCTCCATCATAACTGATTCTTTCAAAGAGAGTTCTGCAGGCTTTTCCTTCTGGGTGAATATAATTAAAAGAAACTTTGTAAGAAAGAGTCTTGATGGGTGCCTCACAAATAATCTGCTCCCTTTTTTTTTTTTTGTTTTGTTTAAAAAGGTGATATGTAAGTAAATCTTGAAAAGCTTACCTGGGAAATTTCCCTGAAACTCGACATAGATACTCTTTTTGAATTTCTGCTGATCTCATTTGTTCAGCAATACTATTTGCATTAATAGAAGATTTACAAATAATCATTAATCCTGAAGTATATCTATCCAACCTATTCAAAGCTATATAATGTCATTACATATCAAAAGAATAATATATACATATATTATAAGTATTTACGAAATAATGTGTCGTAATTTAATTCTTTTCGCATAACATGAATCACTGTGTTATGTCTAAATCTTCCACCTGGATGAACCTATGTAATGAAAGTTTAGTACTTATCATTTCTTTATATATGCTTACTCTACCTGTATATTTGAAGGTTTATTGATAACAAATAATCGATCATCTTCATAAATTATCTCTATAGGCTGATCTGTAACAGGTGGCTCATGCCGATGAACAAAATGATTTAGAAGATCTTGATTTTTAATAATTGAATCTGGAGTTGTTGGTTTGTAATTAACAGTAACTAGTCCCTTTTCAATCGCATCTTTCTAAAGAATGTACATTATTATATGATAACAAGCAACTAAGTATCATTATTACATAATATTGCTCTGATCGACCCCGAAATTCACTTAAAAATGCGTTCAGGACTGTTTTGCCTATCATTCTTTGCTTTGCAAAAACCCGAAATTGAAAATAATATGGTTTTACTTTTCGAAATCCTACTCAATAAGTTAGTTTGTTGCATGAACACAACTTATGCTTTTACCATTTTCAAAATAATAATTAGCTGTATCAAGATCGGTTTCTTCTTTTAAGGTATTTGTTGTAAACAATTTATTCTTATACCACAATGTTGCTAATAGTTTCTTCCTTTTATTCCATTGACATTGATTCCTTTGTAAAATAAACATTATAATTACATCGATTCTCCACCCCTCTTTTTCTTTTTTTTTCCTAGTCAAATGATGTATTTTTATACTCCGTATACGACGACGGGCTTCTAAAAGTTCCATATATTTATCAGCTTATATGCCAAGTTTTCTGTGAAGGAGCTTTTTTTTTTTTTTTCTTTCTTTATACAAAGTAAATTAAATGTTTTCAAGAGTTAATCCATTTGATGAGTCAGTTAGTAAGTAAACATACAAAATTAGTATGCATTTATACTTAATTTCATTTTGAAAAGCTGCTGCAACCAATGAGAATCTTACAGTAGAAAACTGGGAACTTATCTTGGCAGTAACTGATAAACTAAACCGAGCTACTCCCGATAGGTAATATTTAATGGAAAAGAAAAGTATCAGCATATAGTTTTTATGAATTAATTTTATTGTATATAGTGCAAGAGATTGTATTGCTGCTGTTGAAAAGCGCTTGAATAATAGAAATCCCAATGTTCAACTTTATGCCATTGCAGTAAGACTAAAGAAAAAAAAAAAAAAAAAAAAAGAGAGAGAGAGAGAGAGAGAGAGACAGAAAAAATACAATTAACAATTAATTGCTGATAGCTGGCTGAAGCTTTAGTCAAAAATTGTGATATTACTGTACATCGTGAAATATCTTCTCGCTCATTCACAAATACTTTAACTAAGCTTGTTCATGATAAGGTAATATTTAAATATCCAAACAGCTTATAAACAATTGTTAATAAAGTAAATGATAATAGACAGTTCATCCAAAAGTAAAAACGAGAATTCTAGAGTTTATTCAAATGTGCTCCTTTGAATTTAGGGCAGATTCCACTCTTGGTTTAATAAATGAAGTATACCATTCTTTACGTGCTGAAGGTATTCAGTTCCCTTCGCCACAAAAGCCAAGAAAAGAGTTTACTCAGGTAAAATTCAATTCTTTGGATATTTATATATATTTATATACTTTGTTTATAGTCAGAACTTGATAAACAAAAAGAAGAAGAGGAATTACAACTTGCATTAGCACTTTCACTTTCTGAATCGGAGAATCGTCATACTTATAAGGTAATTTAAAATTAAAACACCAATACATAGTCTCATTCTTTTTTTCCTTGTCATAAGTCATCTACAGCTACTACTTCGAACAGTAATCCTACAGTTACTGCCACTAAGGTATAAAAATCTATTGATTTATTTTTACTTATTTATTAATCCTATAATATATAGCCAAAGTCAGCAGATGATGAAACTGCGCAAATTTCCCGAGTTAGAGCCTTATATGATTTTCAACCTACAGAGCAAGGTGAACTTGGATTTCAAAAGGGGGATATTATTCGAGTCATTGAAAGTGTTTATCGCGATTGGTGGAAAGGGGAGCTTCGTGGCAAAACGGGTATTTTCCCCGTCAATTATGTTGAAAAAATCGTTGACCCTTCTCCTTCTGATCTCTTAAAAGAAGTCTCAATTGAAAATGAAGTCTTGAACGAGACACGTAATATTGATCGTTTATTGGAAATACTTTCTAGTGATACCTCGTCAACTTCATTTTCTGATAATGAAGAGCTTCAATCATTGTATAACAGTACACTCGCCATTCGACCCAAGTTAGTTAAGCTGATTGAAAAATATAGTTTAAAAAGAGGTAAAAATAAAATAAAAATAAAGATATGTAAAGATGTATATGTGTTAACGATTAATGAATAGATGAACTTGTTGCTTTAAATGAGAAATTTATGAGAGCGAGAACAATGTATGACAGTATGCTTTCTAATTCTATTGCAAAATATTCTACTGCAAATACTTATGGATACCCACCAGCAGTAAATCAGCAATCACCTTATTATACTGAACAATCTACTTATAGTAATAATTATGGTTATCAGCAAAGTCCTGTACAGGTTAATACACAATCTACATCAATCTATGGTAGTAATGATGCTATGACAGCACCTGGCGCTTCCACTGTTACTACTACTAATCCTCAACAGCAGCCCTATGATTATCAGCAACAATATCATCAGACGTCTTTTGATAACACTACTACGACTGCTACCACTGCTACTAATAATATTGCTGCCCCTACTGTAATGTCTCCTCCTCCTCCTCCTCAACAGCATCAAACTTATACAAACTATGCTCCACCTCAGCAGTCAATAACTACTTCGGATAACAATTATTATCCACCTGTTAACTATAATTCCACATCTCTCGCTCATCAGCAACAATCCCAAACCGCATATACATCATCTGTTTCTCCTTCTCAAACTATATCTGGTTATCCTCAACAGCAACAAAATTATTCCACTCAAAATTATTAAAGAATTTTTTTTTTTTTTGAAACATAATAAGTTTGACAGTAAGAATGTAAACGTTTTTTTTGTTTTAAGCGAAATGTGGTTTAAAAAAGAACATCATTACAATTTAGTCTATTGTTTTCTTTTTTCTTTTTCTTTTATATATATATATGTGTGTATTACAATTATGATAGTACATATAGTAGTTTTTGCTTCTTTTTTAATAGCGATTAATAGTATTCAGTTTGGTGAACAGGTATTAAATATCACTCAATATCCTTTTTATATTATGATAGGTAATCCTCATCTTTGTGGAGGGACATTAATCTCCTATGATCCCGCCTATGTTTTCACGGCTGCACATTGTCTTTTAGATGCTACTGAAGACATCACCAACTATTTTGCTGTTGTCGATAATAAGACGATAGCCATTGCAGATTACATCATACATCCTTATTATAATAGATCAGTAGAAAACGAACTAGTTTTTGATGCAGCCATTATTCGTCTTGCTTCTCCTCTAGTTAGATCAAGTACTATAAGCCATGCCACTTTTTGGTCATCTCAAATGGTATTGTCCAAAGCAACAACACAAGGTATTATTATTGTTTATCTACATATTCGTCTGTGTATGGCTCTTAATGGTATACATATATATATATATATATGTATTATAGCTGAATTGATAGGACTAGGATATATGGATGTAGATGGTCATACAGCATCTACATTACAACGTTTACCATTAAAACTTACTGCTATGGTAAATATGACGATAGAAACAGAGAATCGATTAGGAGCTATGGCATGTCATGGTGATTCAGGTGGGCCTCTTATTATCTCTGATCAAAGCAATAATAAATCGTTGGTAGCTGGAGGATTAGTGCGTATCTTTGGAGTTTATGATGCAGTCCCTCATCAGCCAACGTGCCCTATACGTGTTGGTAAAGTAAAAGAAGTCTTTACAAATGTGCAATATCTGTTGGATTGGATGTCCAATGTGACAGGGATTACAAAGATGAACTTGACAGATCCATTATATACGCCACCCTATTTTGATGGCAATTCTACAACATCAATAATCACATCAAGTAAACCGATGTTAAATGAAGCAGCATCATTATTTACAAAAAATAATAATTGTTTATTTTTTATTTTCTTCTTATATATTATTATTTACATAAAATCATCATCATTATCATTTGTTGTATAAATTTCTTGTCTTAGTCCCTGTATTAAAAGATCAGAAGAGAAATCCTGTATACTCTCGAGATCCTCTTCTGACTCTTCAGTACCAACAATACTATCTTCCTCATTTACTTGGAGCCATTTATTAACATCGAACTTGTCCATCCAATGCTTTCTGTTTGCTTGCTGACTGCTTTCTTGCAATAAACTTTGAGCATATATATTACTCATTGGCTGTTGTGTAGGATGATCATCAATAAAGGAATTTAACATTGATGTGGATCTTTCTTCTAAATCATCTGTTGCTGTTGTTGTTGTGTGCCCTCCATCACTACTTCTTTCAGCTTCATCATCAATAAACGGGTTATTACCCAATATAACTTTTCTTTTGCCTTGTTTAGGAATCCTTAAGGGTGATATATATGCAATACTATCATCGTCATCGTCGTCATCATCGTCATCAGAGTTTATTTTTCTTACAAGACGTTTTTTGGCCTGATGTTGTTTGTTGCCATTAATGTCTTCATCTTCTTGTTCTACAAATATGATTGGCCTCTTCGCTAGCCTTCTACGTCTACCGATTAATGGAGAAGAGTCATCATTTTCACTACTTTGATATCTATTATTACGCAAAGGAGAAGGAGAATAAAGGCCTTTGGCTAATTGGTCTAGGAGACCATTATTTTGTTCTTCTTCTGTCATGTCTTTCGTTTGAGAAGAAGTTACATTTTTTAGTTCAATATGTGTAACTTGATATTCATCTTCATGTTGACTACTAGATGATTTTGTTTGGTTTCCTATTTGCTGTTGAACAGATGATGCTGACTTTTCATCCTTCTCTTCAACAGGAGGTTGACTATCTTCTTCATTAAAAAAAGAATCATCAAAATTAAACTCAAATATTTCTTCCTGTTCTTCTTCTTGTACAGCTTGTTGCTCAGTCTTTGTAACCTCATTATTATTAGTTACATTAGACGAGGAATGGTTGTTCAAAGCTTCAGATTTTGGATTTGCTTTATGATTAGATTGCATATTGCTATCATTGGATACCTTTTCAAAAAAAAACTCTGGAAATTCCTGTTGGATTACTGCTACTTCTCCATCTTCTGAGAGCTTGTTTTCAAGTAAATAAGCAAAGATTCCATCACTGAATTCAAAATCATCATCACTATCATTATTCATTAGATCTGCTGTAATCTCGTTCTGTAAAGGGCTCTTTGGGCGTGTGGTTGTGAGTCTTGAATTATATGATAGAGGCTTTGGTAATGGGTGGTTTAATAATTTCATCGCAACTTGGTGTCCTGTCATGGCCTGAACCTCCATTTGTCGCTCTTGAAACAAGAGTAGAGCATCTTTAGTAAACTCAGGAGGATCCACTGCGGTAAATATAACGTTCATTATCTCTTCACTTGGCTCCACTAAATTCTTCTCAAATGGATAAATAGGCAAAATTGGATGATTAAAAGAAGTAAGTATTGTCTCAGCTTGAACTAGTAGGGCCTCATCTTCTGAGAAAAAATCATCATCAAAGTCAATGCTATCTAACATATCAATAGACATTTGTTGTTGTTGTGATTGTTGTTGTTGTTGTTGTGGTGGTGGTGGTGGTAATGGTGGTAGTTGTGAATGGTTAGTATCTTTTTTGGATTCTAAGGGTATATCTTTAGCAGCCCTGTCAAAATGATTATTATTATTAGGACTCATTATAGTAGTAGTAGTAGTAGTAGACTGTTGAGGGGTAATATAGGTAGAAGTACCAGCTTCCTCCGATAATGGGGGTATAGTTTTAACATTTATTTCTTCAAAATTTAGTTGATTGTTTTCTAAATTTTCATAAACACTATCCGGTAAAATAGGATCCCAAGAGGGCGAACTTGGAAAATCAAAGGTAGTAGGGTCAAAAAAATCCACTTCATTAGGTTGTACTTGTTCCAAGGGTAAAATTTCTTTAGATTTACCCTTATCATGCTTTTTATTGGATTTCTGATCTAACCCATCATCCTCCAATTTTCTCTTAGTAGGTAAATATAACGTTTGGTTATCTATGAATTGATCTACGGCACTTGGATTATTTTCAATAAAATCAGTAAGATCATCATCTTCTGATTCATTTACATGATGAGTTTTCTGTTTCTTATTCTTCTTAGAAGGCAATATCAACTTCTGCTGGATCGGTCTTGATGAGGAACTCAAAGATATTGGTTGAGTAAATGATATAGACAATTTTGATTTTTCTTCTGGATGTAGAATAAGATGTTCCATTCTCTGTACCGCCTGTGTAAATTGTAATGTACGTCGTGAATGACCAACACGGGATGTGTTTTGTAAACGACTTTGTAAGGGTACATACTTGCTAAGACTTTTTATTGTCTTATGTATAGGCCAGTGACGTTCTATGGCCTGCGATAAAGTTGTTGCGCCTAATTCTTGCAAAAACAACTGCTGAGCATCGGGTTTTAAAAAGCCGTTTGACGTAAAGTTAGTCTCTTCTTGGAATTTACGTTTTCGGGTCGTAGTTATTTTGGGCTGATAGGTGCCAACAGTGAGTTTTTTTCGACAAAGAGTAGGCTTGTAGTTGGCAGGTATAACAGTAGGATTGGGGTGATAGTATTTTAAGAGATCGCCACGGGCTACTAATTGTTGGATTTTTTCATATGTTTGTTTGGCTTGAGCAAACTTGGTTTCCTCAGATTCGGTCATAAGTAAGATACATTTTCCTCTTCTCTTACGACCTGTTCTTCCCATTCTTTGTAGCTACATTAGTAAAAGTTAGATGTTTTTCGAATATTTTTTTTTAAAAAAATAAGCATTTATTACCATTCGAATAGGTGATGTTTGAGAATCAAAGCAAACAATTAAATCAATTTCACCAATATCTAAACCTTCCTCACCAATACTGGTAGATACAAGGACATTATATTCATCTTTTTTAAATTTTTGAATAACCTTAAAAAAATAATAAAAAAGATAAGCAAATATACAAATGTACACATATACATATATACATATATATATATATATATATATATGTGTGTGTGTGTTTATATGTGTGCAATAGCTACTTACATCCTGTTGCTCCGTTTGTCTTAGGCCTTTGACACCATGTTTATCAGACGATTGCCCAACAAAAAATGTACTTCGAATTAACGGACGATGACGATCTAAGATATGACAAATATCGTGTACTGAGCTACGAAAACTTGAAAATATCATCACTTTTGATTGCTGTCCTTCGGGAACACTACTAAAATGCTCCAATAAAATCCCTACTAAACGGTCCAGCTTTGGGTGACCCACAAAATCAGGATTATGTTTAATGTCCTGTTTTAAATTGGATATCATGGCATTTAAAACTGGATGATGATAAAATGCTTGCTGTGCCTTATTAAGCCTCTTGCCTGAATCAAGAGTCTCTTGGTATTCCTTAAAGATGGACTCAATACAATCAACAAATGGTACAACACCATGTTGACACAATAATTCATGTGCGCGTGCTGCAGACTCAGCTACTAAAAATAATGAAGTCACAGCAAATTTAAATTCATTACGAAAGTTATTGGCTGTCGCTTGAAAATGTAGCCGAGCAGATCTTAGTCTGAACGGTGAAGCACGATCAACGTCAGCAACAACTGAAGTAGGGCGCTTAGCAAGATCTTGGAGAAGTGGTAAAAAGACCTTATTTCGAAAATCGTGAATGATACGAGGAAGACGACCTGTTGATCCTTCTGTATAGTTAAGTCTCACAACAACATGTTTGATTTGTTTACCGTATGAAAACTCCCGAATATCCATAGAATCTTCAGTACGAATTTGGATATTGGTAATATGTAAGTTAGTGATAACAGATTGAACAGCATCCAAATTAGAACCTGGTGTAGCAGATAAAGCTAAAATACGGAACTCTGAATTTTTTTTAGTGATCCTACGAACAACCTCTGAATAAGCATAATTGCCTGTAGCACGATGGGCTTCATCTACAACGATACAGCATATCTTGTCTGCAGGACAACTGGATGTCTCAAGATCTTTCTGAACTGTTTGTGGTGTTGCAAAGAAGACACGTTTGGATTGCCAAAGACCACGACGCTTTGCAGGTGTTGTGCTGCCTGTAATATCCACAGTATCTTGTTGAGGTAAACCACAAATGGTAAAGCAGGCTTCGATCTGCTGCATAACAAGCGGACGTGTGGGGGCCATAAAGATAATTTTAGAATTAGGAAACCACCGCCAATAGTTATACATAATGACAGCAGCGATAAAAGTCTTTCCTAGGCCTGTGGGTAATGCAACTAATGTATTTTGGAAGAGAGCTTTACGGACGATATTAAGTTGATAGGCACGAATGGGATAATTAATGGGATAGATCCAAGTACGTAGTTGCTCTGGATCAAAGGGATGAAAGCAATTTGTAGTATCTGGTAATAATGGAGGCGGTGGCTCTGGGTCATTCTCATCAATAGATAAGAAACTAATTTGTCTCTTATTTGTTGCTGCGTGCTGTTGTTCAACTGTAGCTGTTACTTCTACTAATTCCTCAAGATCAAAATCATCGTCAAAGTCATCATAAACATTGTCCTTTTTGTTAATCGTAGCTGTATCCATATTCACTTGTCCTTCAATAAGAGCTAAATCAAATTCAGGATCAAAAAGATCTGAATCGTTCATGGCGGCGGTAACAAATATTAATAAAGAAATATGTGGAAAAGAAAAAAAAAAGGGTTAAAAAATGTTCCAGTCATATTTAAATTTCATTTATTTTATTTATTTTTTTTTTTATTATTATTCCATTTTTTATTTTATTTTTTTTTGGGTTTTTTGGGTTTTTTGTTTTTTGTTCTTTTTTATTAAGATATCATATAAACTTAATGTCAAAGAGAGTCAAGTCTTCACGATATGATTCTGAGGTGCATTCAAGACATTTGAAAAGACAGCTAGAGTCGTTAGAAAAAGATAATCATCAATCACTAAACGATGTTGAAGGTTTAATCAACATTGCATTAGCAGCACAAGAAGATGAAAGTAGTAAGTATGCTTGTAATTTATATGATCATTTAGATTCACTTTATATAATATTTGTATAGATATATCACAACGTAAATCGAGAGCAAGAACTAGTAATATTTATTCAACTAGGACAAATTTGAATGCACTATTAGAAGAAACCGTAAGCAAGAAATTTATAATGAGAACTATTGATTAATATATTCAACATAGCCTGTGACAACTTATTGCTATCAAACATGTCAAGTAAAACCCTCAATATACCCAGCAAGGAATTTTTGCTCGGTTTGCGGATTCCCAAGCCATTATACTTGTTTGCGTTGTGGAATGAAGTATTGCTCAACTAAATGCTTAACAACTCATACAGAAACTCGATGTTTAAAATGGACAGCATAAATGTATATACATGTGTGTATTATTATTTTTATTTAATGGTCATGAACACGAGAAATATGATAAACTAAGCCTTCACGAGTTGCATAGATTCGTGGATGATTACATTCAGGATAAACACAACGATAAGGCTCTTCACCGAAATGAGCCTCTGTCAAATGCTTAATAACATTTGTTTTTCGATTAAATACTTTATGACAACTTGGACATTCCAAAGGGGGATAGGCGTTATCTAACAATTTCTCTGATTTTTGAGACAGTGTAGGTTTTCTACTTTTTGATTTATGATGTTGATATAGTGAAAAAGGTGAAGGTGGTGGTGAAGGTGAAATGAAAATATCATTATTATCCTCCAATAGGATTGACGATGATGACTGTCTTTTTTTATTGTATATTGTTGTATTTTCTATTCTTTTGCAATTTGTTTTCTTTTCTATAAGATTACGTGAATGTTCGACTACTGTTGATATTCTAGTATTAATTGTATTATCGTTACTACTACTAATGTTATTATTATTATTACTATTATTTGAGTGAGAGTCAGATAAGGAATATTGAATGAAAGGGGGATCGGGTAACGGATTCTCTGAATCGAAAACCAAGTGTGAATGTTGAATGTGGAAATGTAAAGCGCCTCGAGATAAAAACCTTTGGTCGCAGTGAGGATGTATGCATAAATAGCGTAACTTTCTTTTATGTTTTTCAGAGAAATGATTATTTGATGCTGTTTTAGATGTAAATACTGTATCACATAAAGGACATAGTGAAGGAGGATAAATAGTATCAATCAAAGAAATCAACGACGTATATTTATTCTGTATTTGAAGTTTATTGTTTATGTAACTTATCGTTCTTGATGCCATTAATTCCCTTTTCTTTTTCCGTTTTATTTCTCTATCATTTAATCGTAATAACTGCATATTATTATCGTGTTCTTCGCTCTTCATTCTAAGATAAATATTGATATAAAAAAAAAAATAGTAATAATAAAAAAAAAAAAAAAAAAAAAAAAAAAAAAAAAAAAAAATTTTATTTGTAGGTTTTTTTCAAAAAAAAAAAAAAAAAAAAAAAAAAAAAAAAAAAAAAAAAAAAAAAAAGAAAAAAAATGTTTGATGCAATTAAATAATTGCTTCATTGATAAAATTTTATAACTCATTAAGCACAGAATATTCAAAATATCCTTAATTGCTCTGGTTATTTCAAAGAATAGTGAAATAAATAAAAAATAAAAAAAAGAGATAAAACCCCTTCTAAGGGATAAAAAAAGAGGAGAAAGGAAAAGGGAAATCGTAAGTAAAATGTTGAGTGTGTTTATTCAGTCGATAGTCTTGTTCGAGTAACTACTATCCTGAAAATGTCATATGCAGCAGAGAAGATGAGGGACCTTTTGTGTTTTCCTGTTACGTCTGTCATTACAAGAAAACTCGAAAGAATTGAATAGTAAATCTCTGTCGTTTCAAGTGATGATATTCTAATTCAAAGGGATCATATGAAAAGAGATGGTATAAACAAGTCTTTGAAAGAAGAAGAAAAGGATAAACAGCAAAGGTCTTTCATAAAGTAATCAGTAGAGAACACGATTTTATTGGATGTAGGATGCTAATAGATAGGAAAAGAAAAGAAAAGAAAAGGATCTATAGTTTTAGACTAAGTTGCTCTTTACATCCAAGCAAGAAGTTGGGATTTAGAGCTTTTTTATAATGATATAAATATTTGATTTATACAGTTTCAAAATACTCTTCCGTTAAGTAACCATTATTAAAAGCTTAAATATCAAGATGCATTTTGTTGAGTAGCAATTCCTTTATTGGAGTTTATAAGACTGCACCTGTAAAATAGAATCTCATTTCTATACAATAGATTTCCTGACTAGATGAAGTCATAAACTTTGTGAGGGATTTTCAGTTATCACCGAAAAGTCTGCACATTTCGATAAGAGTCCAAATAATATAGTATATCCTTTGATGGTAAGCTAATTATAAGGCTATACACTAATTAGAGACATATAATTTGGATATAGAAATGAACTACTAACAACATATCAAAGTCTATTAATATTAAATGATTCAAATACTCAAGAGTGTCGGTAACCTCCTTGTTAAAAATTATTCTCAATTAAGAAAAAATGCTTATTTTGGGATAATCTTACCATATAAATAAAATGAGGGAAGGTTATTGTTGGTATTCGGTAGAGCATATGCTAACGGGATATAGTGCGGTCCTCAATTGCAGTTATGCATTTCATATAAAGAAAGTAGTATAGTCACGTATATCTTTTACCATTTATCAAAATCTCAAGCTAGTGTTTAAAATATAATTGAAATGTGAAGTAAGCTGAATTAGTTATTAAAGCAAGTCCTCCATCAGAGGTTCTAAACAGGATAAGTTAGGAAGTCTGTCATTATAGATTGAATGTAATAATTATGAAAATGTTAGTTCTTAAAATAATGCCAGTTTTAAGTGAGCATCAATAAGTGACAATATTTTGAAACGAAACTTTAACTCTATTTTATGTTGTTAGTAATTTAGAAAGCTAGTTCTAAATAAAAAGCATAACTGTGTATTATTTACTTCCTTTGACTTTATTATTAATGAATGGAGGTAGTGCGAATGATATTCAGGAAGATACATTTCAAAAGGTTTATCATTCTTAATCTATTAAAAGAATATTGTAGTTTTCTGTCACTATCAAATAAATGTATAATGTAACTAAGATTACCTGTACCTAAACACAACTAGAATTGAAGGACTTTTTTTTTTCAGTCTCAATATCATAATTGTTCTAAATTGTTTTTAGCATCTACATAAATATATTTGAGTGTAAAATTTTTCTGGTTTTATTATTAACATTAGTATTAATATTCAAGAAGTTGTTCAAATGGCTTTCAATGATTGTTTAGACTTATGAGTCAATAGATTTACTTTTTTTGAAACCATGCAGTCATAAGTATTTGAGGGCTCTCCTAAATAAGTGCAAATCTCCCCGATTAATATATAATACCATATTCTCATTAGATTAGGTGTAAGCATCTTTTTAATAAGCTCGCAATATTTCAAGTATATTCGTTCAAAAAATACATACATTTTAAGCATATAATTATTTATAAATGGTAATTGCAAGGAGTAAACAAAGTTATAAAGGATATTAGGCGCGTATTTTGCTAACAATAGAGATGATTAACTCTAAAGATGAGGGTATATTTAACCCCAAAAGATTTTATAGTAGTTCTGCTAAGATGAGAAATTTGGGAAACTGATATTAATCGATTTCCTATATAAAGATGAAAAAAAAAAAATACATAAATAATAGAGATAAAAGAAAAAGTAAGTTCTTAGTTGTCTTTATTAAATATTGTTATTATCAAACAAGCATTGAAATAGTTTTAAGATAAACAATAGCTATTTTTGTCACATATTATCTCTATTTTTTTTATTCAATGCTGGAAGTGCTTTTATAACTATTTCTGTATTCAGAGAATATACGTCCAAAAATTTTTCTTAAAAAAACATAGGTGCAACGTTGCTGGACGGTATTTAACAATAAGAAATCGTATATATGAGCAATATTGATATATTGAATATTGTAGTTTAAAGCACCTCAAAGAATTAACATACTTAAAAGTCTTATTTAAATTGAATTCGACATGAGAAAATGAGAAAAATTTATGTCATTCCTCTACAATACAAAGCAGATATGACACGATTATTGAATTATCACAGGAAGGTTTTGCATGTTAAGCTTAGTACAAGTTTGTTAATGCAAATCGTCTTTGAGCTATCTGTCTTGTAGGAAGGCTTTTGCCAAAAGTGTTTGTAAGAGTATGAAAGAATAAAGTATATGTACATCTTTTTTTTTTTTTTGAGTTATAATAACATGTGATGTAATATATCTAACTTTTATGATATTACTAGTATTATGTTTACATTATATCATACTCAGCACAAAATGAAGGTATATATCTATATTCTTACTAACATGTTTGACTTCTAAAGTTAATATTACCGTTTTTAATACAATTAATTTGTTTAAACATATTTTCTTAAAAAAGCCAATCATAAATTTAAATGGATTGTTTTTCAGATAGCATATTAATGAAGTCTTCTGTTTATTTAGAAGAATTTCTAATCTTTATAGTAAGACAAGAAACAAGTGTATTGTAAATTTTAACATAAGCGAAATAATTCAAAGAAAAAAATACATTTGTATATAGCATAGTACGCAAATAATTCTCGTTTTAAATACTCAATAAATAGCAACTTAGAAAGAATCCAAGACGTACACTGTATATATTGACAAGATCTCTCTTCAGTTGGGGAATAGTCCTTGCAGGTTATTCAACAAGGTATTGAAGTATAAAACAAAAAAATATCGTATTAAGATAAAAAAAAGTAATAAAAATAATCATTCTAAACAATATATAAAAAATGAAAAAGACTATAATTTAACGGCTTAACAAATGCTATATTATAAATGTGTTTTCCTTTACCATGAAAAATTATTAAGACAAGGGTTCTTTGATTAGCCTTTTTTTTTTTTTCCTAATCATTTTTATGCTTCTATGTTTTTTGTTATTTTTTACAAGTCCATATTCAATTATATGTTTAATTTTTCTTTCATATGTTAGTATCTTCTACAATGAGCAATTTGCATCACTGAAGAAATGTCACTTCGATATTATTTAATAATCTATATAAAAAAATTAACATTAATACTTCCTTATGATCATATATGATACAAAAATAAAGGTTATTGTTTAATAATAGCCTGAATTCATATGTTAGTACATTAAAACGGATTGAAGAAACTGTCGTGTTCTTTATAGCTAGACAGCTGTAGTTTCATTTAATCATTGTAAAATATAATAGATACTAATAATTCCTAAAAATGAGAGAGGAAAACTGTTTTGCTCTTAATCGTATTATATATTTATAATTTCAATTATTGACATATCATGACGAAGAAAAAAAATAAAAAGCTATGCGGCTAAGGTGGATCGAACACCTGACCTTTAGATCTTCAGTCTAACGCTCTCCCAGCTGAGCTATACCCGCTACTTGTGGTTTGTCAATTTAAATAGTAAGTATAAACCCGATTCAACTCTCTGTGGTCACTGCAAGCAATGAGTATATCTTGTAAAAAATATAATACAGGATATAATCAAATTTTAGCAGTGATTTTTAAATGTTATTATTTTGATCACTTTTTATTAAAAAATGTTTAAATAAAAATAATATTATATTTTGGAGGTTATAATAGTATTCATGTATCCAAAAAAAAGTATATCTCTACTGCCATTTTCTATCATTTTATTTAATTTTTAATTTTACAGCTATTTTGGCTGTAGACCAGGAATTTCCTTTATCCGGCATTTCCGCCAATAAAATTACATAAAATGAAAAAAAAATAAAAATTGCGGATTCTGAAAAAGTACTTTAACATTTTTTTTATTTATTTTTCATTTTTTTTATTCCCCACAAATTTTATATGCGTAACTTTAATTATAGGCTTATAAAATGTAAATTACATTTCAATAATGTAAAATACATTGCAATTGTTTCAAATCATACTTGATGTTTTTTTTTCTCACTCAAGTTTTTACCAAAAAAAAAATAGTACACGTAATATAATAAAAATATGTATTATAATTATATAAATAAAATAAAGAATTTTTATTATATGTAAATAAAAAAAAGATGTTTAATTAAATTGCATTCAATCTAATCTATTTTGCATTTCAATTAGATCGTGTAATGTGTTGATTTATTAATTGACTTTAATTTTGAAATGAAGAAAAAAAAAACTAATTGCGAATGTAAATTAAAGCAATTCCATTATTAGTGATTATATACATTCGTTTACAATTAGTGAATTTAGAGAAAAATAAAAACAAGATTTAGCAATTATATAATTAATGTAGTTGTGTTCATTTCAATTAAATTCCTTTTTTTTTTTAAAAAAAAAAAATTCAAATTTAATCCCCCCTAGTAAAATTATTTTATATTTTACTTTTTTTATTCTTTATTTAACAATGACCAACATTACCGACATTGACAAATGCAAATGTTCTGCAATCAGCTCAAAAAAAAAGCCCTAAAGACTTTACTATATATTTTCAAGAGGTAATTACTACAATTACAAGAGTAATGACATCTCCATTGTTTAATGAAGATGACATTGGTAAATGAATTAACACATGTAATTAACAATTCTCAAATATTTTTAGTAAAGGATATTATTGTTCAAAGTAACAGACATTTTGAAAGGTAAAAGATAATAAGTTAGTGCAAAAAATATAAATGTATTGCTAAGACTTTTTACATTGTATATATAGAGTTTGCTGCTATTCAATAATTTAGTTCGTTTTATTTCAATAGCGGACCGAAAAAAAAACTTTTTTTTTAAAAAAAAAAGAGGTAATCACATCCTTTTTTCCTTTTTTTTTCATTTTTTAATACATTCGTTAAACTACTAATTTTTTTATTGTAATAGATGTTCATTTTAATATTGTTAGCTATTACTCTTTTTTATATATGTATTTAAATTATAGGTCTTTGTTGATTATTTCAAATTGTAAGTATTTACATTATTTTGAAAATATATGTATCTTTTTTTTTTAATTTTTCTCTTTTCTTAAATCAAAAACAACTAAAATGAAACAATTAAATAGGTATGTGTTGGTCTTTATTATGCAGCAGCAATATTTGATTCAGATCTACAACAAAGACTTGTATTATTTATCTATTGAAAAAAGGTATATAAAATAACACCTTTATCTTTAACTATTTCAATATGTGTATTAACAATTCTTTATATAACAGGGAGGTCAAGTACAAGTGTACATCATTCTAATGTAACATTGAAAGGTATAGTGTGGGAAAAAAAATAATAATACCCGAGATTTAACTAATATTCTTTTCTCTGCAGCACAAACATAGATCTAGCCTTTTGTATTTTTTTTTTTTGGTAAATATGATATTTCTATACTTTATCATATGTTAGCTTTTATTAATTATTTATTCTATTAATAGTGTATGCTTCTTTTGTAAATGGAATACTTTTCTGTTGATCACTTCAATTGCTACTACTTTTTGTTTCTGTTCTGTATGATAATCCTTGCAATCTCTGTGTTCTTTTTCTTTTTTTTCCCCAAAGCCCGAAAGGATTCTTTAATCAATGGCCATGTTATCAATAGAATATGTATTCAAGGTAAGTGTAATATTTTACATGTAATGCTTATAGCATACTCTTTTATTATATTATTATATTATTATTATATTATATTATATTATATTATTATTATTATTATTATTTTATATGTACCAATTTTTTATGTAATAAATAAATAAATAAAAAAGTAAATAAAAAGCCACATTTTTTGTAAACAATGTATTTAATAATGTCCAATAAAGAAAGGCAATAAAGAAGCCTATTTAATATAAACAAAGCCTAAAAGGGAATAAAATACCATCTATATAACCCAATAATGTATAACTATGTTTTGATGAGTCATGAAGCATAAAGCCAATGATAAACAACATGGTATGTAAAATATTAGCAAATGAAAAGCAATTATAAAGTACAGGATTTAATCAAAACTTGTAAAAAACAGTACATGAAATATATAAACCCTGTGTGTATCTTGTAGAAAAAAGTACAAGAAATGTTCAAAACTTGTATATATCCTGTAGAAAAAGTGCAAGATTTGTTTATATCTTGATTATATCTTGTATGATTTTGAGGCAGGATTTATACATATCTTGTACATATATCTTGCACATACAAGAAATGTCTAATTCTTGTAGTACATGATATAGTGCAAGATATAATCAAATCCTGTGTTATATCTTGTAAAAAATATACTCAGATGATTGCAGTGGGTTAACCGGTAAGTTAAAATAAAATAAAATTTAAAGAAGACGTTAATTTAAAAGACAAGATCAAAGATAATGTTTATTTCATTCAAATCAAAATCGTATTTATACTAAATAAAATATTGTAAAATATTATCTAAGTATGAACGTGTTCCAATAAGATTTGAACAAATATTAAAAGCCTTAAAGAAGTCTTTACGTGTTAACATGTTTCACTTTGGACCCTGTTTTTACGTAACCTTTTGTTATTGGTAATGGGCTTGAATTTCATCTTCCGCTTAGCTTCTTTCCTTAGGCGTACCTCTACTTCTAATGGGACATCCTCATAAATTTTATTAGGCTCGACAGGTTTGGAAGTCAGTAAATCATATATAGCTTACATACAAATTTTGAAGTCACGTGACCTTTCAAACTTGTTCGGTATTCTATATATTTTGTGTATTAATTAAACCTCTTTATTTCTTTCTTTATAGATATTGTTTTGGGTTAATTCCCCATATACCGCCGTCGGACTTTGAAAAATAGAATTTCTTTTTATTGTAATACCACTAGTAGTGATAACCTACAGCTAAAATATGTTGAATTGCCCAGTCTATTAGGAACGAAATAGAGAACCAACAAATAGAAGTAGAGTACAATCTATCGTTTAGAATTAATAGGCAAAATAAAAGAAGATTTAAGCCGATAGATAGTAAAGGATTCAGACGTGAGAAGAAAGAAGTCAAAATTATGCATAATTTGTGAAAATAGAAGACGTCGGCATAATTAGTTGACAACATGAGAAAATCAAGAAGACAACACTTATGCATCTTTACTATAATCACGATTTTCCCTGTTGTCACATAAACTTTATTGTTGTAGCAAATTTAATATAAATATCGAGAAATTATTAATTTTGAATAAAGATAACCATTAAATATTGTTATGATTGTAGTCGTTTTTATAACTAAGTTAGTAGAAATAAACCATCATTTATTACATAATAAAGAGGTTATTCATATAAAACTAGTATATTGAACTTCACAGCATAATATTCGTTCTACACTCAGTTTTAATAATAGTCATTGTTAGAATGTTCGAGCAATAATAATAATTATATACATAATTCAAACAGGATTATGACTGGTGTATTCAATTACATAATTGTTCTTGAGTGATACATATCAGATATACATTAATAATATTGAATATTGTTAAATAATGAAATCTCATACAATGATAATGATAGTAGCTCATAAATAATTGGTATTGTTGCAGCTAGACATATTCACTGAGAATTAATATTGATGTGTCGCAGTCCAATAATAATGATTCGTTAGGTTTCTAGGAACAGCGACAACTCAGGGAGAAAAAAGGAATAAAGATATATCTTATTGATCGCAGAATTATTCGGAGACAATGTTTTATGTAAAACACTTTATTATAGTAAAACTTGCTTATCTGAATCATATTTCCATTGATAACACTTACCTTGTAAAAACATATAAATAAACCTCAATTTTTCCATATAATTTTCGTTGTACAATTTTTGTATTATCTTGGATCCTTCCCCATATACCGCCGTCGGACTTTGAAAAATGCAATTTTCTTTTATGGGAATGGCTCTCTAATATATTATTAGTGAAAAAAATACCGACCTTAGCGTTTCTTGACTTCTTGAGGTACGAAAGCGTAAAATTTCAGATAGTATTAAGCAAAAATAACAAAGAATACAATTAAGTTTTATAATATTTGTTTTGATTAGCAAAGATAATGGAAGAAGAATAGACAAAAGACAAGTCTGTGAAAACTTCGTATAGTTTATTAAAGATAATACAAAAATTGTACAACGAAAATTATATGGAAAAATTGAGGTTTATTTATATGTTTTTACAAGGTAAGTGTTATCAATGGAAATATGATTCAGATAAGCAAGTTTTACTATAATAAAGTGTTTTATGTTTTGATACGCAAAAAGTTAAAGAAAGAGAAAAGACAAAAGACAAGTCTGTGAAAACTTCGTGTAGATTTTTATTGAAAATAATAATACAAAAATTGTACAAGGAAAAATTATGTGAAAATGTAAAGGGTTATTTATATGATTTTGCAAGGTAAGTGATATTAATAGAACTACAATTTGGATAAGTGTTGATTAAGAAGAAAATAATATAAAAGAAAAAATATAAGAAACGATAAAAGTCTGTGAAAACTTTGTTTAATTCTTTTATTTCAAAAAAGCTGTCTCTTTAAAATTAGACAAAATGGATCCTTATTTATATCTTCTGGAAACGGGTAAAACTTCTTGATTTAATATTATAAAACCATAGACATATCCAATAGATAATTATGAATCTTGTTTAACCTTGATAATGAAGAACCTGACTGATCAATTAATCTCAGCTGTCAGTTATGTTCCAAATGCTAATCTGATTCAAATAATTAGTTACCAATGGTATCTCAAATTAAACTAAATAATTTTTTTTTTTAGAACTTCAGAATGATCTCGAATTGATACAATATTGTTTCTTTATTGAAACACATATCTCTATCATCTTCTAATCAACTCCTCAAGTTTCTATTCTATATAACTCTTTAGAGATTGTTTATAATTGTGCATAACCATACTGAAGATAGTGCTTCTTATAGGTAATTAATTTTCAATATTAAGTATTTTATATATTGATCAGCAACTATTCTTCTTTCATGTTTAAGACATCTATTACATAACATCTCTGTAATTTTATAGTTTCATTCTAACACAAGTGTGTCTCATATACTAAAGTAGATTAGTATCGTGTACATGAAGTGCACCACTAATATATGATAACATCATCCTACTTTGATAATGATTGAATATCTATACTATATTTTGTAATACATCATCATATATACAACAATAAGCAAATATTGCTATAATAAAGCATTAGTCATAAATATTTTCTCCGAATAATTCTGCCTACAATAAAATCTATTTTTATTCTTTTCTGCCTGAGCTGTCGCTGTTACTAAAAATATTAAATTATTATTTCTGGGGTAAGCGACGCGTCAATATTAATTCACAGTGAATATGTCAGCTATAGCAATACCAATTATTTATATGCTACTATTATTATTATCCTATAAGATATTATTACATAACAATATTCATCTTTATAGCTATCTATATATAATATGTATGACTTATAAATAATTATGTAATTGAATATAACAGTCATAATCCTATTGAATTATTATTATTACATAATATAATATATATAGTTATTTTTAATGCTCGAATACTCAAACAATGACTATTATCAAAACTGAGAGTAGAATGAATATTATGCTGTGAAGCGCGATATATTAGTTTTATTTGAATAACCTCTTTATTATGTAATAAATGATGGTTTATTTCTATTAACTTGATTATAAAGGCTACTACAATCATAACACTTATGATTATATCGAGAGCTTGTTCTATAACAACCACAACAGGATCGGAATAACTTTGGAAGAACATTATAAGATGAAGTATGAATATAATGTATTTTTAAAAGTTGGTAATTTTTTTTTGAAGAAAATCAGAATATAAGACGACCAAAGCATTATTTTATTTGATATGTCACGTGACTTTTGCATTGCTATACAAAATATATTTATCTAGGTCTCTGTCTAAAATTGATATGTTCGTGGTGCTTAACAGTAGAATCCTTTTCTTTTATTTTTTTTCTTTTTGTGAAGCTAATGTTTCTTCTAGTTACTTTTATACTGAGACAAAGGTATAAATGTAAGTTGAATATTGCTTTTGTTCTTTATGTCGTCGTTAATGTATTGATATTTCTTTCTGTTACTGTTTCTATATTTAATTGACAATCTTCTGTATTGTCGTTTCAGTTCAATTAATCAAATTACAATTAAACAACTTAATAAAAATTTAAAGCAAAGTAAAAGCTTGATTTTATTCCATTATATTAAAAAATGATACTTAAATAAAAAATGATATTATATAAAAGGAATTATTAAAGAAGGGTAAATTAAAATAAAATAAATTGAATTACCGGACAAGTCCGGTATATCACGTGACTGTTGATTAAATTTTTAGTGTGCAAATTTTATATTTTTATACCACTTGTCAAAATGTCGTTTCTTGACTTCTTGAGATACAAAAGAGTAAAACTTTAGACGGTATTAAACAAAAAATAACAAAGAATATAATTAAGTTTTTATAATATTTATTGATTGTCTTTATTTAAAATCAATTATTTTTCGATATTTATATTAATTTTGCTACAAAATAAAGTTTATATGACAACAGGGAAAATCGTGATTGTAGTAAAGATGCATAAGTGTTGTCTTCTTGATTTTCTCATGTTGTCAATTGATTATGCCGACGTTTTCTATCTTCACAAATCATGCATAACTTCGACTTCTTCTTTCTCACGTCGGACTCCTTTACTGATGGTTTAAATCTTCTCTTATTCAGTCTATTTATTCTGAACGGCAGATTATATTCCACTTCTATTGGCTGCGTATCTACTTCGTTGCTAATGAACTGGACAATTTTTTTATGAGGGCAGTCTAATATATACTTAATTTTAATATAAAAATCACGTGATCTAACCAATAGGATTAATTTATTTGCTTATCTGTATTTTAATTTTAAATTTAATCTCATATTTTTCTTCTTGGTTTGGTTGAGAAAAAAATTAAAGGTGGAGAATGTAAAATAAGTCTATGAAAATACGGTATGGTTTATTCAAGAAAAATAATACAAAAATTGTACACCGAATAAAAATAATATAAAAGAATGTTTGGGGGGATGTTCATATGTTTCTACAAGGTAAATAATATTAATAAAAGTATAATTTTGGCAAGTAAAGACTGAAGTAATAAAAAGAATCATGTAAAGGTTATTATGTTTGAATAATTTTACTTTCAATAAGATAATTTCTCTCTAAACTGTCTCATGTTTTTTATATCTATTATTCCTTAAATATAATCTATACCATCACAGCTATTTCTATAATTAAGTTGGTAACAGAATTAAACTATTGTTTGCTACAAAATAAAGAGGTTATTTATATAAAATAAAAATTTCGTAACTCTCAGCATAATATTCATCAACTCATAGTCTATGTTAGAGTGATACTCGAATATTTAATAATAATTATGCATTGTATTATATAACAATATAGTTATTATTATATATTAGAAGTATCAATGATATTTGGGTTAAGAATAAAGAATAATAAAGTAAACAAAAGTAAATATGTGATATAAAAAATATTATACCAATCAAAAACTAACCAAGGAAAAAAAGAAAAAATTATCTATACAAAATGTCTGACATTTATACTTTTTGTATAATTGTCTTATTAATGATTTGTCCGCCTAATTTGTATACTATTATTGTTTATACTATTGTATTAATATGCATAATTAACAAAAATATATATATTATTAAGTGATCAATCATTCAATATATATAATGTATACAATGGCCATAATGTACAAATACTTGAGTTACTTTGTTTATTATAACTCATCTTAATTTATTATATACGATAACATATTTTATATCAAGTTTAGCTTATGTATAAATAGGTTTAATGAAGGAAGAAAAAAAATTATAATAACAACAAGAAAAAAAAAGTCTATAAGGATTTATTATAGATTTCATTTTAAGTTAATTTCAAAGTTACAAAACTCTTTTTATAGTTTAATAACAAGAATCTTTTATCAATGTCGTGATCCTCTATTAGGAATATTTAGTCTAAAGGATATGATGATAACATATCTAAATTCAATACTGGAGACACAACTTTGATTTCACTTGATTGAATTCAAGCAAGTAATGCTATTTAGTATAGTTAATTTCTTTTGATATCATTCATGTTAATAGTTAATAATACCTTCACTAAGGTTTACTACATTATCCAGGATTCATATGATAAAAAAAATATAAGGTGACTCTTGATAGTACAATGTTGAAGATAATTTATATTACTGATTAAATGTTATACATAGCTATTATAATTAGTTATGATTAACTACAGTATACAGTTTTTCTTTTTTTTTTAAAAAAAATAGAATAGTCAAGTATACCGGATTCAGTAACATAAGAAAAAAAAAGCCAAATACAATGCTTGATCCATTTCAGTAACTCACAAGTATTACTGACTAAGCTGAATTGAAGTGTACAAGTAGAAAAATTATTATACACACAAAAAAAAAAAAAACTGATTCACATAAACTAAAAATAATATATACAAATTAAGTTTTGAAAAATTACCTGCATTATGATGGATAAACTTATTTTTAAAATTCCTTCTTTATATGGTAACAAACAAATTATTTTGCGTAGCTGCACACTTGATTATTAATACTTATCAGATCAAACAAATTTATATTCATACTCAGTCTATGACGACATTACAATGCTTTTTTTTATCACAAGCCCAATTTTAGTCCCCAATCTTCGAATTATTTTTCATTTTTCAGTTAAAAATAAAGCAGTAGATGTGAATTGAGAATATTGCGTTGAAAATAGAGCAGTTATTTAAGAGAAAAAAAAATTCAATATAAAAGAAGAAGAAGGAAAAAGCACATTTTATGATACAAGCTAATAAGGTAAACTTTTAATTAAAAAGAAAAAATTTTATTATATAAGAAGGAAACATCAATGAATAAAATGAGTTATTAGTTTTATGCATCTTCTTCTATAATTTTCCTAAATGTGTCAATATTAGTTTTCATCTCTGTATTCATTCTTTTTAATTTTCTAGCAACTTCTTCATAATAGGAGTTTGTTGAATGCTCATCAGTAGTAGTAGCCTTAAGCATTTATTAAATTTCTTTTCATATACCAAAGATGCATGGTTTGGTTTCAATCTTTTCGTCAGAAAGTACTGAATCATTCTTCTAAATTTTCTAATAAATAGGCTATCCATAAGATGGGCATTATACTCTTTCAAAATGTTATATATTATTACATTATTCTTGCTCATAATGTATCTGGATATTTACTGAGAAATATTGACTTTAAACTATTTCTAAGTATCTAAAAGGATAAGAAACTCTATCATCAAGATTTTCTATCACATTTCGCAACATGATTTAAATAAAAAGGGAGCTAAGCTTTTGCTCTTCTGCGTATCACTTTTACATGGTGATATAATAATCAAAGCCTTATTTAAGCCTCCCTCGAAAAAAAAAATAATAATTTAAAATATTGATAAGGGGTACGTTCTACTATGCTTCTTTACTTTGCTGGGTATACTTTTATAATCTTTACTAAGTAATTAGCAATAACCATTTAATTACTATCACGTATAGTTATGTTATTATCAATCATACATTAAACTTCCTCATAGTTAACATTGAGCATTAGCTATCATGATGGCTATTTATTTTGATAAAAGAAAAGAAAAAGAATAAATAAATGCACTATAATACAACAGCAATTATACGATCATGGTTTATTCCATTTTGAAAAAAAAAAGAAGTCAAAATACCTCTTTATGCGAAAAAAAAAGGAAATTTTTATTGGTCTTCTAACCATGAGTCAGAAACCAAATGTTTGTTAACTGGAAGATTCAAAAATAATTTTTTTCCTTTAAATTATGATCTACCAGTTAACAAGTCCGATATAAAAAAAATTGGTTTTTGAATCTTATAGAGTGACAAAGTCCAAAAAGTATCATCATCAAACCCTAAATAGTTATTGTCATGGTTTAACTTATTCTTAGATATTATGAAAATCACATATTTTATAATGAAATGTAGCAGCAATAACTAATAGCAGCTATATAAAAAGAAAAAAAGACGGAAGAAATGACAGGCAAAAAATCTATTATATTTTTATCAGTTTATTTTACAGTCGCCGAAAATGAGCTCTATAACTTCCGCATCACCCCGTAAAACACAGTATAAATTAAAATGTTTTTTTTTTTTACACATATACATATCATTGTTTCTTTTTAGTTAAAACAAAAAAAAAACAAAAAACAAAATAAATAAATATTAAAGATGTCAAGACAATTCATTGATTATTCTATTGCAATGGTGACTCCCTTTAACCAAGAAGGTGAATTCTTGGCTGATTCTGTTGCTCCTCTTACTCAGTTCTATATTAATCAACTTAAGGCTCCTGGTTTGTTAGTGAGTGGTTCTACAGGTGAACAACACTGTTTATCATTAGATGAACGTAAACAATTATACAAGATTGTAGGTGAAACAGCTCCTAAAGGTTTTCCTCTTTATGCTGGTGTAGCTGCCTTCAAGACAAAGTATGCAATCGAATTGGCTCAAGCAGCTGAACAAGCTGGTTTTTCTGGTATCATGTTGGGTGTTCCACCTTATCGTCGTCCTTTACAAAGAGAACTCGAAAGTTATGTCACAGAAGTTGCTAATTCGATTAAGCTTCCTTTCTTTTTATATAATACACCAGATAGCAATGGCTGCCAAATTGAGCCTGAAACATTTGTAAGACTTGCATCAAAATTAAGTAATCTTCGTGGTCTTAAAGATGTAGGTCATCCTGAAAATGTTCCAAAGATACAATCCCTTTTAGGAGATGAGAAAATAAACTACTCATTTTTCACCGGTAATGACGATGAGTATGTTGAATTAAAGACAAACTATGGATATACTAGTATTACTTCTATGGCAGCTAATATATTCCCTGTGGAAATGAAACAAATTTTTGATTATATGGAAAATAATGAAAAGGATAAAGCAGAATCTATTTTAAATGATTTAAAATCTAAAATTCAGACCATTGGAAATATGGGTTATGTTCAATGCATTAAATATATTTTAAGAGAACGTGGTGCTCCTGCTGGTTATTGTCCTCCTCCTCTTATGGATCCTTCAGAAGAAGAGAAACATTACTTGAAGACCTTTGTATAAAAAAAAAAAAGTGCAATATTTTGTCCATTTCATTTATACACGATTTTATTTTTATCTAAATGTAGTTAATAAATATTTGTTGATTTACCAATTATAAAATGGTTTTGGATTATAAATTGGTTTTGTTTCTTTTAATGGAACCCAAGTCTTGTTAGATTGTTTCCATCCTTTAACATTTCTTCTATCAGTCTTTGTATCTATCACACTTGAGGCTTCTTTAAATATAAATTTCATATGAGCTTGTTTATGATGCATGACACCAAATTGACCACGACCATGGAAATTGATACGTTGAATAAATCTACCTTTACCAACCCATGCTTGTGCTAAATCAAGAATTCCCAATAAGTCCCTCCCTTTTTATTTTATTTTTTGACTTTGTACACATCAATTTATTTTTACCAATAATCATATTTTTCATTCCCTTTTGTTCGGCAGCATTTTTCTTTGCAAAGGCTAAATTATGTAATATTTTTCTAGCTGCTTTTTTATCAGAAAATTCCATTTGTCGAATTGCTTCATCCACAGGAAGATTACGAAGTTGTCGTGCAAGCATATTTAATTTTTGTGGACTTGTTTTAAAATTTGCTGTGGAGAATCTGTACTATAAAAAAAAAATTATCATTATTTATTTATCTATTTTTTTCCTTTTCTCCTTTTCATTCCAAGATGACTGTCTTACTTCTGTTTCAATCGCTTTATGCTCTTGCTCAGCTAACTTTTCTTCTGCTTCATTTTGAACATTTTCAAATAAAGAAGAGACACCTATTTGTGGTCGTGTAGCAATAGGCTGTTCAGCTGTCTTTGTTGCCGAAGTAGAAAAACTATTCTGCAAATGTTAGTGAGTGGAATAAATCGATTGTTTCCTTTTATGCATTACCTTAATTGTAAAGCACGAATGCCATTAAATACAGTTGACTGTTTAAATGGTTGTAAAGATCTAAAAGCTGAGGCTATGAAAATAAAAAAAAATGAAGAGAGTTTATTATTATTAGTTAAATATTACTTATATTCTCATAGAAACACATACTCAAAGATAAAACAGACATGATTACTTTTCTTTCCTTTGTTTTCAAGTAAAAATAAAATAAAATAAAAGAAGACGAAAGATATATAAACATGGAGGGTGGACAATTTAGAAGGATTTAATCCCCGAAAGTGAAAAAAAAAAGCTACATTGTTTATAATAATGATAATAAATCAGGATAACTTTTATAGAAATATAACAAGTAGAAATATTATATGTCTATATAACATGGTATATTCATACAAAATACAGGCTTTTCCTTTACCAACCAAAGCCTTGTGCTTGTTGTTGTTGTGTTTGTTGATCTTCTTTAAATGCTGCTAAGCCAATCAAGATTCCAACTATAAAAAATATCAAACTAATTATAAACCAAAATACACCCCAAACACGACTTGACATACAAGAGCCACCACAAACTTGAGCAAATTTAGATGCATCTGATTCATGAAGTTTACGAAATACAAGGTCATCTAAAATATCCCAAAGACAATAGAGACATGACATAACGCCTACAAACAATACAAAATAACGAAGCCCTGCTCCACGTTCAAGCCACCAAAGAAAGATGATGACACCAATAAATAAGAACCCAATACCTCGTGTTAACCAGTTTTTAGCCCACCAAAGTGTAAATAACAAACAGACGCCTAAAAAGATACTGGCTATTTTAGATGCTAATATATTAAATCCACACATGACTAAAATAGCTCCAATTAAAGAAGATCCTAAATAGCCTGCGGGTAATGTACACATTGGAATACCGCCTCGCTAAATTCAAAAAGAAAAAATATATTTATTAAAAATATATAATTTACTATTTTTACTACTTGAGCTTTACCATTCGAGTAACTCCACCTTCGTCTGGATCTATTTCGATAGATTCGATTTTAGCACAGGTTAAACACCCCATAAATGCATGCGAAAATTCATGTAAGCCTACTGTTAATAACTACTAATTCCCCTCATATTTAATTTTAGATTTTTTTTTAGTTTAAATATTGACATAAAGTATAATTTACCTTAAACGGTGATAGAATAATCTTGGCTATTGGCATATTCCATAAAATTAAAATTGCTGCTGTATAAACTCCAATAATGATGAGAATGATCTTTTGATCTTCAGTTGGTGTAAGTCGATTTACTGCTTCATTAGTTACTGCTTGTCGAGCTACTAAATAAGTTTCATAACTTCTAATGTCCGTTGGTGCCATATTATTATTATTTTTTAAAGAAAAAAGGAGACAAAGAAAAATATTAAAAAGAAAAAAAGAAAAAAATAATAAATTATAGTGTTTTGCGTTTAAAATTCAAGATTTTCTTTCTTTTTTTTTTTTTTTTTTTTTTTTTTTTTTTTTTTTTTTTGCAAATAAGGTAGTAAAAAAACAAAGCAGTATGCCAATAAAATCACGAATTACTTGAAGAACTTTTGGGAACTTACAGTTGATAATACCAAAATTGACTCCTTTTTTTTTCCATGTTGTTCAAATCCAATTGGTTGCTGCATATTATTACCCCTAACTCTACGTCATTCTGTGAGAATTTTTATTTCCTACTTTTTCTTCTTTTCTTCTTCACTCAAGTGTTTAATGGTAAGTTTTTTTTTTTTTTTTTTATAGAAAAAGAATTTACTTAGTGAAGCGTCCGTTGAAGCAAAAAAATGCAAGGTACAGTAAGCGAATGGGCCCGTAGGCCTAAAAACCTGCCCAACCCCTAGTAATAAATATAACAGCCTTCTCTGTGCAATATGTTCCTTTGCTAATTTTTTTTAAATATAATATTAATGTGTCGCTCATCCCAGTGATAATAATTCGTTATGCTTCTAGGAACGGCGACAACTCAGGAAGAAAAAAAAAGAATAAAGATATATCTTATTGATTGTAGAATTATTCAGAGATAATATTTTATGTAAAATGATTTATTATAGTAATACTTGTTTATCTGAATCATATTTCTATTAATATCATTTACCTGGTGAAAACATATAAATAGCCCTCGACATTTTTCATATAATTTTTCTTGGTACAATTTTTATATTATTCCTGATAAACTATAAAAAGTTTTCACAGATTTGTCTTCTGGTTATCTCTCTTTCTTTATCTTTTGCTATTCAATACAAAAGTTGATCTGATTTCCATATTAAGATGCTATCATTTAGCTTCTTGCTTCAAGAACATGATATATTCGTCAATAGAGTTATTCCTGTGCTTATCATTCCATAATGTAGTTGAATCTAGTTTATGTTTTGAAGGATATATTTATATATGATACATGTATATACACTACACTATATACAGCTATACACAGAATTATCGTGATCTGAGGCCTAGAACACCACATAATTTGGGCGAGATCTGTTGTATTTATTGAAGGGAGACTTCACCAAAAAGTCGGAAATAGTGGTTGTGGAAAAAAAAAGGGAGTAAAAAATTAAGACATTTATTCAATCGTGTTACAGTTCTTGAAAATCAAGGGTAACTAGAGTTTGTACAAATATGAAAATATGAGGTCCCTCGATATGGATTCTTGTTTGGTAATAGATGACAAAATACTGCTTTGAGAACTCCTATATTAGTGTGTTCCCCTGAAATGCTCCTTCAGTAACTTTCAGTTTTTTTTTTTTTTTTTTTTTTTTTTTTTTTTTTTTTTTTTTTTTTTTTTACGCATTATACTAACATATACTTTTTCTTTCTAATTAATTAAATTACTAAAACATCACTTACTGAAAAGAAAAGACACGCACCCAGTGAGCTAAAATGGGTCTTAGAAAACATGGATCGATTTGAACACATAATGTTCTTTAATGAACATACACAGTATTCTCAGAGACAGTTGATCCGACGCTTCAACATCATTGTGAACGATTGGATTGTAAATGAGTCTAAGAAGAAAGCTCTTCAAAAAGGTTATGATAAATGGAAGGAAAATCCAAACGAAGTCAATAAATTTTGGGCAGAGTGGAGCCTGAAAAAAGCTATTAAAAACAGAATTAATGCGCCCATATCAGAGGCCAGCACATCATCAGTAACAGTAGCAGAAACAGAAACAATTGCTTCTACTTTATCTAACTCTACTAACGAGCTGCTCAAGAATTATCTGTCGAGCTACATTACCGCCCCAAACTGTAAACCGTATATGATTGATAGCGTCAATGTTAGCCAATGCTTTTATGATTTTCAAACTGTCGTAAAGGAAACAATAACAAATGGAAACACCTTAACTTTTGAAAGGCATCTTGTCCATATTCTGTCAGTTTCTTCCATACTTTTACTGTGTCGACAAACTAACGACCCCGATTTAGACGGACACTTGAACGGCTTATCATCAGTCATCATCAAGGACCTGTTATCACAGTTAGAGTGGGGCACCAGTAGATTTCCTCGTGAGCTTATCATAACACTAATGGACATATACCGTGATTTAACCACTGATAAATATGATATTGACGCTGCTGTAGCCAAGATAGTTAGTTTATCCGTCGACACTGAGCCCATTGTAAGGCAGTGCCTTGGCGTTTTCTCACGTCTATTACAATCATTGCCACGATTTACGAACTTATCGGTGATCAAGGGGCGCCGCCTCTGTTCTCGTTATTTACAGCCGCTGCTACAGGGTCTATTTGATCAATGTAGTTTCAACGGTGATATTTTTTTTGATTTTACCGATGAAAAAAAATCGAATGCCCGGAATATGCTGGTATCAACCTCAGTAGCCGTCAACCTGATGGAAGCATTAGTTTGAATGCAGGGCCCATTAATAAGCATTTAGGGTATATTGAGATTAAACCTTTTAGTACGGCTAAAAATCACTACAAGGTTAACGTTGATCTTACTCGTCTGGTCATTTTCAGAAAAAATGCCATTGACAGCTACCATAGCCAAAATATCATGGTTATTCAGGCAGTAGGGATGAATTTGACCTTCTATATGATTCAACGAACCACAGAAGAGCTCTACACCATGTTTGAGCTAGAGCATATCCGATTCCCATCGTCAATTGATGAAATGACGATGATGTTTGTAAGAATGGATAAGATGATGAATATTGTCCAAACGTTCAGAAAATACTGCCTCGCAACAAATCTTCCTCATGCCGAGGTTTCTAAAGGGTCTTTGAAGTCTCCAATTTTACAAGCAATAACATCTGCGACTGTGAGTCGAAAAAGAAAAAATCACCATCAGCACAATCATTTTTAAGACCCGTCCCTATCATTTTATGCTTTTATGGATAAATACCTCCTTATGTTTATGTTTTATTTAATTATTTGTCTTGAAAAAAGTTGTTAGTTGTCGTGATTGCTATTATAGTATCATGATTGTTTTTTTGTAAGTAAGTATTGGCCAAATAAAGCACTACTTATAAAAAAAAAAATATCAGGAACATAAACTCAGATCAAACAATAAATTTTTTATTTAGAACTTAATCAGATCATTATAACACTCAATAGATAATCCATAGATCAGTTTCTTGAATCAACACAATGTATATCTGAATACTATCACTGTTTCATGGCTTATCTTTTTTATAGCTATTTTTATTTCTTTGATTCAGGACTTATTAGTATAAATACAAGCAGTTGTGTAGACACAAAATAGTCTTTATATCATTCTTTTTACATCGAATAAACAAGTCTCAAACTATACTTCTTTTTTGTTCTCTTTTTCTTTTTATTTTTCTTTGTTTTAATACATACTATCACAGGTTCTTCACAGTATTGGCATTAACTCTTCTGGGTTTTCGAACCTATTATCTATACAATTATACAAACAAATGGTGCGACCACAAATGGAGTATGACTTGGCTATCTTAACTCTCACTGCTGCTCAGTACAAGCAATCAGAAAAAAAAACACAAGATGATTGTCACAGAACCATCTTCGGCAAATCTCCTACTGCTTCGACTGAAGTTATGCGTCATCTTAGCCATCTTCCCTCTATGAAAGAGCGTAGCCACATATTGCGGATTACACAATCTAGTAAAAAAAAAAAAAAAAAAAAAAAAAAAAAAAAAAAAAAAAAAAAAAAAAAAAAAAAAAAAAAAAAACACACAGCATCCATTGCCTGCGCATCCATCCTCAATTACATATATCGCAAGACGTGGATGACCCCATCCCGTGTCTTCTCAATCAGCTTCCCTCTCGAACGCCCAAGTCACTTCATACACAAGCCTACTGGCGAATACATTGGATTGCCATCCAAAGATTCCTCTATAAAATTGACATAATACAGCACGGTACTCCCTACGATGCTTTAATCCTGCCTAATCTGTCTTTAGACTTCCCTATCTTCCTCTTTTTTATGCTTTTTCCTTCTGCCCACAAAGTTTTTTTTTTCTCTATATACATTTTTGAACTGGTCCGGGCAATTTTAGTATATAAAATACTTGTGTTCATTTGGATTTTTTTATTTAATAAAACTCAACTTTAAATGTCGCCTGGCTCAAGAAAGAATTGTCGCAGATAATAATTATATTTGTCGATCGAAGCTAAAGAACTTGTCCTTTAATATGACGAATTTGTCACATTTTTATCATTGAGATTAAACAATTTATTTGATTGTGCCTTTAGAGTTGAAATATATTTACAAAGCTAAGATCTTAGAAATGCAATTTAGAAGCTTTGCCCGGCTAGGCCACTACATCGCCTAATTAAAGTCAAGTGATTCAACTTTCTTAGCCATGGAGTCAGAAAAAAAATAATTTGTAGACTAGTTTATTGTTTTTAATATTATAATGTCTCCATATCCATACATTTGCCTAAGAATTTTTGAGAATGGCCTTTGCTGTAACCGTTTTAGCTGCGTCTTCAATACGGTCAGCTATTAATTCATTCTTTTTTCAAAGGTACTTTGCGAATTTCTTTCTTGATTTTTGCCCAACATTCTTCAATGGGGTTTATTATGTGTGAATAGGATAGTAAGAATAATGCATTAGGTCCATGTTTGAGAATTGTTTGGAGTCCTCTCTCTCCCTTTTTTTTTTCTCTCTCTGTGACTGTTTGGTATGCCTATTTAGCGCGATTTTTAACATGTATATGTGGAAAGGAGTTGCTTGGTAACTTATACATATTGAGACGTTACTTTGATCAATTTCGTCTTTGTTGTACTACTTTGTTTAGCAGCTTTCTACTGGTTTACCAACAATTTTGATGACGACATAATGCCAGGGGGATCGTATTTTTTTTTTTTTTTTTTTTTTTTCAAACTTACTAGGCTTTCTTTCACTAAAATTACATTTCATCTTCCTGCGACATTTGCAAATGCTAGGCCTTTTCTACACACACACTTGGTATCTATATATATTGAAGAAACTTAATCTGAGTTAGCCCAAGCAGGTATCATTTATTGTATGTTTACATTTTTTAATCTAACATCTTTTTTAAGCATGTTTTACTCCTTCATGGAACTTAGCTTTGCAAGATCGGAGAGTAGTTCTATTTGTTTTGTTCGTGACCGTATTCATCATTTTCCAGTAGCTAGCTTTGCTTTGCGCATTTTGCTCCGTATCTTTCGCCCGTTCTGCTCCCCATTATGATGAACACAATGATGTTTATTTTTTTTATTTTTTTATGTATTTCTCAAGCATTTTAATGCTCATCATTTTCCGGACAGAAACCGCATTGATAACCAGCTTTTGCTTTGCGCATTTTGCTCCGTATCTTTCGCCCGTTCTGCTCCCCATTATGATGAACACAATGGTGTTTATTTTTTATTTTTTTATTTTTTTATTTTTTTATTTTATATGTATTTCTCAAGCATTTTAGTGTTTATAATTTTCCAGAAAGAAACTGCACTGATAACCAGCTTTTGCTTTACGCAATTTGTCCTGTAACAAGTCATTTATCTCATCGATATAGAAGGTAATAGTACTTTACTTTTCCAGGATACTATGTGACATACTTAAAAATGGAAATCACAGCAATTTGTATCAAGCTCTGCCCTTCTCAAACAAGACTCAATCTGTACGCTAATTTTTGAATGTCAAATTCTGAAAATGGAGTTCTTTCTACGGAAAAGCAAAGGGTAAAGTCTACTACCAACCTCAAACAATAACATTAAAAGCGTCAAAAGCTTAGAAATATCTGAACAAGGTTTTTTTTTCTTTCAATTTACTGTAATAAATGCTCTCACTCTCACCTAAATTTATTTTTCAATGATCCATCTGTATTAAAATTTTCTGGCAGTGAAAAGTTGAGCGACATTAAGTAAACAGACTAATTTGTAACAATACATTTACGAACATAATATAATAAAGAAACTTTATTTGTAATTGTTGATGATAAGTAATGATTTAAATTTTTTTAATTACGTCGAACAAGTTCAGTTATATTTTACAATGGAGCTGTAAGACACGGTTGGTAGCAAAAAGTTTTTGTCTACTAGGATAAACTCCTCAGATGTACTTTCTGTTGGCAAAGACATATTCATCGATTCCTACGTGACTATTTAGTATCATTGAAAACATATATTGCATGCTAGTATCTTACTTTTAATTGTATTAAATCCATCAATGTCTTTTCTGCATTTTTGTATGTATCAAATGAAGTGGGTAATATTCCAACGGAAACACGCTCATACGGATAATATCCGTCACTAAATGAAACTATGAATATCTCATAGCACAGACCTAAATGATAATAAAGAATATTAGTATCTTTTCTAAGTAAAACTCTGGAGAACGCATCTAGCTTTTTTTTTTACCGTAAATGAGCACACCAAAAGTAATAGCTTCACTTGGCAATGTCGAAGTCTTCAATCTTATGTGCAGCTGTCTTTTACACGTCTCTAAAATTCTCGCACGAGCAACATCAACACATGATTTTGGTGTTCCAATGGGCTTAATCTCTCCATTACCCACTTCACAAAAGTCAGAATAAAAAACAAGATCAGGTCGCGTAGAAATAGAATCAGGCATTTTTTGTTTATTAATCCAGGTGGAAAAGTCCCTAGATAAAAAAATAATATCGTTAATATACGCCTTTGTATTAATTTGTGTTCAACATACCATGAAATTGTTACATCATTGTGTGACGACCACAAAGAACAAAGTAAATCAGCTACAGACTTAACTATAAAATCGATCTCGCTTGATATACGTTTAGGAGGCTTGGAGTGATTCAAATAAATACCAACCAGGATATGATGTAAAGCTACTTCATCGACGGTGTTGAGCGAAACGCCTTGAATATTAATCACAGTTCCATGTTCCATTGCTTGTTCCATAGCCCTTATGTATCGAATAATTTTATTAGGTAGTCTTCTCAGGGGCACCAAATACCGGCGGTCGATAGGATTGCTTGATTGTGGCGTTTGGAATAAAGCAGATAAATAAAGTCTTTTGTCAATATCCATTGGTTTTAAAAGCTTTTCAAAGGCAAGATTATGAGCACTGTCATAAATTGACTTAATATTTAAATTGCTAGTAATCATATCCTTCTTTCCTTGAACGATAATATTTAATTCGCTTAACGTCATCGACCAAACATGACCTATAATACTCCAAGATGATGATTTATCCGTCATAGTTTCCGACTCTTTTTCTTTGTAAGAACTTTCGACGTCGTTATCACTATAAACAATCTGTAAAAAAGGGGCACTTTGGGCTGAGACATCACCAGACTCTACACTAGACTGGGAAATGGACTCTACACTACATTCAGGTAATTCTTCGATAGCTTGAGCTTTCTCCTTCCCTTTTTTTTTCTAAATTGAGGCATACATTAAATGCTGTTGTAATATTAGCTATTTTTAATTGTTTACCTTATTTGTACTGCCCTCAGCCTGTTGTCCAGTTATCAATTTAGCAATAGAATCGTTGTCGTTTTCATAAGCTTCTAAAAGTGCAAACGTTCTCTTGCTTTTGATAGATTGTACGATACTCTCTTTTGCAATTCTTACTCCTTCAGCTAGCAGCTCAACCCAATTTACTTCTACGGAATCTAAAACACATACATCATCCTTAACTTCTGATGCAAACCGTCGTCTCCACATTCTTTCGATCACTTCCGCTGACGTGCGTTTGTTTTTTATTATATCACTGATAACAAGTCTATTATTCATGCTTATAAATAAAGATAATTGAGGAGGAATTTTCATTCGGCGTGTGTATAATATGTATGTACTTAAAGCTATATATATATATATATATATATATATATTGTTGTTGTTAGTTCAATAAAACTTCCATTTTCTTTTAATTTAATCAACCTTCTTTATAATCTTTAGTCATTATATCAGTATAAATTAAAAGACTTTTTTATTTGCAATCTCAAATTATATTTTAATGACGCAAAAGCGAATTTGGAAAACGAACTTTTTGAGTGAAGCTACTGTACTTATCCCTTAAACGGTCACAGTAACTGGACATGTATGTAATACTCTGAAGTATTGAATAACAGATAAAGTCACATTTGTACTACATAACATTTGCTGCGTCGCCAAGACCGTAGCATACATTACTTATTCTAACTATATGTATTACATTATAAATTGTCCGTAGCTGTTATAAAACAAGCTCTGGATATAAGCATAAGTAATATTATAATAGATGAATTACATAATAAAGGGTAAATTATAAGCCTGAACATATAATAAAACTCTGTATGTAACATCTTGTAAATCATATAAAACTTATTGACATCCAATCGTCTAGATGTATCAATTATAAAAAATCATATCATTTCTACATATTTATTTTTATAATTTTGGTAAAGGATTCAGGTCGTCTTTGATCCAATAAAATGAAAAAATATAAAAGACATCAGGAACCTATGCTCAGATCAAGCAAAACGTTTTTTTATTTAAAACCTTAATCAAATCACTATAAAACCCAGTAAATAATCCATATAATTCAGTTTCTTGAATCAACACAATGTATATCTGAATACTATCACTGTTTCATGGCTTATCTTTTTTATAGCTATTTTTATTTCTTTGATTCAGGACTTATTAGTATAAATACAAGCAGTTGTGTAGACACAAAATAGTCTTTATATCATTCTTTTTACATCGAATAAACAAGTCTCAAACTATACTTCTTTTTTGTTCTCTTTTTCTTTTTATTTTTCTTTGTTTTAATACATACTATCACAGGTTCTTCACAGTATTGGCATTAACTCTTCTGGGTTTTCGAACCTATTATCTATACAATTATACAAACAAATGGTGCGACCACAAATGGAGTATGACTTGGCTATCTTAACTCTCACTGCTGCTCAGTACAAGCAATCAGAAAAAAAAACACAAGATGATTGTCACAGAACCATCTTCGGCAAATCTCCTACTGCTTCGACTGAAGTTATGCGTCATCTTAGCCATCTTCCCTCTATGAAAGAGCGTAGCCACATATTGCGGATTACACAATCTAGTAAAAAAAAAAAAAAAAAAAAAAAAAAAAAAAAAAAAAAAAAAAAACACACAGCATCCATTGCCTGCGCATCCATCCTCAATTACATATATCGCAAGACGTGGATGACCCCATCCCGTGTCTTCTCAATCAGCTTCCCTCTCGAACGCCCAAGTCACTTCATACACAAGCCTACTGGCGAATACATTGGATTGCCATCCAAAGATTCCTCTATAAAATTGACATAATACAGCACGGTACTCCCTACGATGCTTTAATCCTGCCTAATCTGTCTTTAGACTTCCCTATCTTCCTCTTTTTTATGCTTTTTCCTTCTGCCCACAAAGTTTTTTTTTTCTCTATACACATTTTTGAACTGGTCCGGGCAATTTTAGTATATAAAATACTTGTGCTCATTTGGATTTTTTTATTTAATAAAACTCAACTTATTTTTTTAAATATATGAATTTATATATTCATAAGCTGCTATAATACTGTATTCTTGAGCAAAAATATAACACTATTTAAGCTCTTTTATTTTATTTTTTTTAAAAAAAAAAACAAAAAAATCCCTAATTAATATAACAATAAGATGACGAAAACAAAGGCAGTTCTTTTTCTCTATCTTTATATGTGTATATGATATGGTCTTTTGTTTAAGTATATGAGTTGATTATATTATTTGCTGCTGCTGCTTAAGAAAAAATAATTTAATTTAAACAAAGTAAATTTATTTATTTTCTACTTTTTTATTTTATTATTTTTTATTTTATTCTATTTTTTTTTTTTTTTTTTTTTTATTTTTTTTTTTATTTTTATGAATATATAACAATGTCACGTCAATTACAGTCTGTTATAAGCCTTGTTTTAGCTACTTGTTTTGCAACACTTGTTAAAGCAGCTGGAGATGAAGATGTTTTTGAATTACGACCTGAAATTCATCATATTTTTAGAGAAACAGAAAAGATGCCATCTGCAGTATTTTCAACATTGTTTGCCTTTATTACATTAACACCTTGGTTGTTCCTTATTACAGGCGTAAATAGATATCAAAAAAAAATCGAATCTTATATGCATATATTTATATATATAAAGAAACTAACTTTTTCATCCATTTATATTTAGTGGCTTCAAATTGGTTATACTCCAGGAAAGGTGATGCTTGATTTGTTTTCGGGTTCTACAGTTCGTACAGTATCTATCATTGCCTTTTTAGCTTCATTAGTCTCTGTTGAATATCTTTTTTATCTTTATTGGACAAAACTTAACCTTTTCCAAACTTTAACTTTCCTTTCTGGACTCATCATTCTCGTCTTCTTTACAGGTCAACGCGCCCTGAATTCAATTCAAGCAAGAAGACTTGGTCAAACAAAATAATAATAAGAATAGTTCTTGTACAATAAAAGCAAAAGCAAAAAAAAAAAAAAAAAAAAAAAAAATCATTTATACATATTTATTTATTTATCACTTTTTACACTAACAGGACGATCACTATAGATAATCACTGTAAATTCTGCTGCAATGTCTTTATCATGAGTAGCTAATACAATGATATAACCTAAATAAAAGTTAACGTTAGATGAGATGATAAATAAACATGTAAATAGATTCATATATTACCCGTTTCATTTTGACTTAAAGCTACATCTCCTGTTGCTACACCTTGAATTACATTTGTGTAGGGACCTGAAGTAGCTACTTCTTTACCAAATAACTCTGTTGGATGCTTTTCATAAATAGTAACATTCATGGAAGGGACAAAATCTGAATTATTCTTGGCTTGTAATCGTACTCTAAAATAAATATATAAACAATATTATGAGTAGGGTTAAGTCGATTTTTTTTTCTTTTTGGCCAACTTTACTTGACTGTAGTTAATTCACGAGTCTCTAATAAATAACGAGGATTCTTATCATAGTTACCAAAACTAGGGCATCCCATTGCACTATAGCCTACAATCCATTCACCATGAAATACCTTTTTAAACATACCCTAATAATATAAATTAAGTATAAGGATATATACCATGCACATATTTAGAAACTTACAGCTCCTTCAGATGGAATAGGTTCTATTTGTACTTTCACTGTACTTGATACTGTTAGTATAAATTTCCCAATTAAATCTGGTTCAAAAGTAGATGCTACTATGGTATAATCACCCGCTTTTATATATATAAAAAAACAGGTTTAGTTGTTTTTCTATTCATATAAATGTATATGCATATATATAGAAATAAGATTTTTACGTTTAATACTCGGTAATTCGCAATAACAAAATCCATGTCTATAAGGACCTGATTCTGCCAAGACATCACGAACAGAAACACTCGAAACTCGTTTACCTCCTTCCATAAATAATAAATGAACTGCAAAATCCTTTTGTGATTCTAACTGTAATAAAAGTCCTTCTGTATCTTGTTGACTATAGGTGGGTATTGTGATTTTCCATTGTGGATTATTTAAATAGGATGCATTACAAGAATTACCACCTGCTGTTTGCTCTGTCCATTGGCTATGAACCTAATTTATAATATTAAAAGCAAAAAAAAAAAAAAAAAAAAATCAATATACATGTATGTATATAAATATAAATATTTACCTTCTGTTCAATAGAGTAACGTAAAGGTATTTCTTGTAATTTAAATGGTGCAAGTGAATAAGCACGTAAGGAAAAGTATAATGAACGCTCTTTTTCATGTTGAGATACTACAATAGTATAATCACTTATGCCAGGTGGGGCATTAAATCTAACTAATATATGCGGACTATTCACATAAGTTCCCTAAAACATGTCCGTAAAGAAAAAAAAAAGTCAAATAAACCAATACATACATGCACAAAGGTAATCAATCTTACCTCTTTAAATGGATTTCCAGGATAATATACCCTTTCACCATTTGTATCATTATATACATGCAATGTAATATAATCAGTATTTTCTTCTGTTACCATGATATGTTTTGAAAGCAATAACCATACAGCCGCAGGTTTCTTTGTATCAGGTACATTTATCTTTAATCGAAACTGAGGATTATATCCTAAACTATAAATGTCTCTTTTAGGTCCCACATGCTCTGGCCAAACAGAATGTATAACCCAACGATGTGTAAAGAGTCCCGGATTCCAATTAAGATGAATAGAAGTGAAATTGGCACAAACAGATTCAAAATCAATCCAAAAGATACCATCATCTTTCTTTTCAGCTACATCAGGATCAAATTGAAGAAGTTCTCTTAGTTCTTGAGTCCAAACATTCGTATCCAAATGACTATAGGGTCCACGCCATCGTTTATGACTCCAAGGGTTCTTGACCTGCAATAAACGTTTTCCTTGAACCCATTTCACATCAATGACAGCATAGGCATGGGTAGGTACAAGGCCTAATTGAATGGCTTCTTCTTCTGTCATATCACCTGTAGCAATCGTTACAAGAACATCACCATATTTTACCCCATCCAAGATACGTTCCCATACATTATCTGCTACAAAATGTTTACTATTTTGTTAATAATGAAATGATTAGTCCAAAAAAAAATATTAAAAATAAATAAATATATAAATTTTACTCATAAATAAAGATATGTTCAGGAATCCAGCCCGTTAAACAATGAAGATCAATACCTGAATTTGATCCAGGGAAATCATAGCCACCCATTAGTTTCATATAAGCCTTTTCTATAATACTAGCCCATAATTCATCTTTATTTGTTGAAAAAGTACACATCAAGGTGCCTTCCCTTGAAACAGGTAATAAATCATCGACAACCACTTTTCTAGCAATTCCATTATATACAAGTTTAATAACATATTTTCCATTAGGATTATAACAAGGCTGACCATGCTTATTTTGTGGGTATATACAAGAGGTAATCAATTGCTTTTTAAATTTTTGTTCATAGGCAGCTGCAACACATAAAGAGGCAACAAACGAACAATCTGTCACAATATCCTGAATGATGCTTGTACTATTAAAAAAGAAAAATATCAAATTATTATTATTATTATTATTATTTTAATCATTTTTTTATACCTTGATATGACACGAATGAGTTGTGGGCATTTCATGATAGCATCAGGTCGCTTCCATCCTCCCATTTTTTCTAATTGTTTTGCAGAGAGTCGTAAAGAGCCTTCAGGATCTATATAACGTGTAGAATCAGAGAATTTTTCCTTAAGATCTGCTTCATCTATCCAGGGTAGAAACGTTTTATTGTTTACATTCGAGGTAAACTTCAAAACTTCAATTTCTACAGAGGACAATTTTTGAGCCAAGATATGATTCTCGTCATCTATATGATGATTATCCACTGAAATAGAGGAAGAAGCAGATGATGAGTGTTGATAAAATAATAGACTAGGACGATCGGATGCTGAAGAAGTGGATCGACTCCGTGGTGACGATCGACCCGAACATTTGACAATGGCTGGAGAGGTAAGAGTGGTAAGTTTCTTTTTTAACATTTCTGCTTTATCCAGGGCCTTTGTAAAATTATCTCGTGCCTTTTGCTTTTTAATTGAATCATAATCGTATCCTTTAAATGCCTTTAAATAAAGTTCTGCTGATTCTGAATAATATTCTAACCCGAGGTCAATGTTGCCATTCAATTCATTCACCTCACCTTGATCAAAAGAAAACTATAAGAATATTTAGTATTCTATTTATTTGATATTAGATCGATTACTTTTGCTCTATCGTTATAATCGTCTTCTTCAGTACGACTAATATCAGAATCAGTCGAATCACGTCGATGATAGGGTGAATTTTCATTAATGTATAAGGAAGGTGAATTAGTACTTGTTGTCTTCATGTAACGATCTAATTGTTCTATTCTATGTCTATATTCATTTAACTTTTGTATTAATTTATTACGATCAATATGACAGTTTTCATCTACAACAATAAGACGACAGAACATTAAATTAATAATTTAGCTTTAATTCATGTTGTTCAGTTATAATACCTTGAAGTATTTTAGAAAAGTTCTAAAGCAATAATAACAAATTAAAAACAAATATACATACATGTATTTGTTGGAAATAATCGGGAATCAATAATTTAAACATGCCATTTACCTTAACTACAACTTTATAAGCATCCCTTGCTTCTGAATATTTAGCTAAATTATCAAGTTTAATAGCATTACATGCATATGCATATGCTTCACTATAAAACTTTTTTACATGTTGATTTGATGATTTCAATAAAGTTAAAGTGAATAATTGTTGTTGAGCATTGGAATGATGATCAATTTTTTTTGAAAACTTGGTCATAAAAGCATATATAAAAATTTAATAATTATCATACAACTTTAATAATAATATTTTTTTTTTTTTTTTTTTTTTTTTTTTTTTTTTTTTTTTAAAAAAAAAGACAGATTTTTATTATTATGTATTCTCCTTTTTTTATAAATTTACACAAATTTATACAAATAGTCATTGGTTTCACTCAATACAAAATTCTGCAGGCAAAAGTAGTACCTTTTTTAATTAATCATAGCTTATTTTTTTTTTTAAAAAAAAAGACTATTTTGCAAAGCCTTTATGTAACGTGTTTCTATTGTTTTTGATCTATTATTAGTAAATAGAAAAAAAAAAAAAAGATGAAAAAAAAAAAGAATATTATGTAGGAGAACAAATTTATAAATATGTGTGTAGTATAAGTTTAATGAGGCTATTACTATGACTATGACTATGACTACTACTATTACTATATACATTAGATTTTAGCAAAAACACTTGGCTTTAACTGATATTTTAAGAACATATTCACGACTGCAGATAAGACAAAGGCCATCCCAGTAAACATTTGATATGTAAAAAAAGAATGTTTATCAGTAGCCGTTTGAATAGCACCCGCTAAAGTTGGACCAAATCTTGCTGCTGTCATGAAAAACAAATAAAGGCAAATACCAGAAGGGTATTTTTCCATACCTGTAATTTCGGCCGTGATGGGTGCCACTAATCAATATCACAGGTTATATACAACTCTCTTTCTCTCTCTTTATTTTATTTTATTTTTACTTTTTTTTTTTTTTTTTTTTTTTTTTTTTTTTTTTTTTTTTTGAACATATCAAGTCTTTTATACTTACGTAATGAAAAAACGGTTCCGCTCATAAACCCATAAATAATGATAAATATCATAAGAGTAGCAAAAGAGTTTGCAAATGTCCATATCAATAATGAACTAAGCCCAGAGATAAACAAAAATATAATATTTATATTTACTACACCAATATGGTCACCTAAATATCTACAGAAAAAAAAAAAAAAGGCAAAATGAGAATTAGAATTAGAATATAAAGGAATAAGTTACCCTGAAATAATGCGACCTATTACATTAACAGCAGAAAATATAGCTACTAAGATGGATCCTTGAGCTGGTAAAAGTCCAATCTTTGTTGCATGAGATGGAAGATAGAATGCTGGAATAAAATAGGATAGCATACTTAAATTTCCAGCAAGACACCAAATAATGAATTTTGGGTCTTTACATATATTCAAGTCAACTATTTCTTTTAATTTTGTTTTTGTACTAGTTGATGTATAAGGATTCTCTTTTAAAAGTAGCGTAGCCAACATACTAATAACAAAGGAAATGATACCCAAAACTCTATAACACCTGTAAAAAATAAAATAAAATAAACGAACATGTTTATAATATATATACATGTATTATTATTATTATTACCATGCACCACCTAAAGACTCATTTAAAGCTGTCATCACAAATGGCATAATTAGTCCGCCTACACCTGATCCACTGACCATGATGCCCATAGCTAAACCTCTCCTCTTGATAAACCATTGAGGTGATATAGACATTGAAACCTATATAAAATAGATGCTAAATAGGTTGTTGGTTTTCTTCAATTGTTATAATTACAATATATAATAGAGCAGCACCAATTCCATGCATCACACTTTGTGTAATATATAAATGCCAGACCTTTGTTGAAAAGCTCGCTAATATTAGACCAGCTGATATCAGAATTGTACCAAAAAATAATACCCATCGAGTACCCAAAAGCGAAATAAAAAATGGTGTAATGGGTCCCATCAAACCACAAAAGGCAAAACCAATTGTGCCAACAAAACTTAGCTCAGTAGCATCCATAGAACCTTTAAAGATTTTTCGGTCAAAATAATCCTGCATGACACCTAATTAAAAGAAAAAAAGAAAGTTGTTCTTAATAATGAAGAAGGGCTTAAAGATCATGTGAAACGTAACACGAAGGAACCCTTTTTTCTTTTGACATTTATATTGCTAATCATTTAACACAACTTACCCCTATATAATCAGGTTTAGTATCTTTTTTATTTTATTTTATTCTATTTTTTTTTTTTTTTTTTTTTTTTTTTTTTTTTTTTTGATTTCATACCAACTTGATAATGTACACATGCTAATAGCTTGTGCAAGAAATCCACTAACTAATATTACCCAACGATATGGGTCCTCTTCATTATCTTTATAGTAAGCTTTTTCGTTATTTTTACTCTTTTTATAATACTCAAAGTCTACTCGTCGTAGTAGCCTACTAACTATTGCTAAGAGAGAAAAGTATACATATATACATAATTAACTTCTCATAGGCCACTGTAATAAATATACGTACATTGGGAGGGTTTCAAAGTGCTTACAGTGCTTGCATCCGTCAAGTGACTATCCATAACAATTGTACTGTTGTCATATATTGATGACTTCATATAAATATCTTCTTCAAATGCTGTATTTTTTCTGGGTAATTCTGGAGTGGTAATGAAAATGTTTTTCATATTCGATTTATGAATATATCAGTTCCTATTATACTTAATAGTACAAAAGATGAAAGGGGAAAGAGAAAGAAGAGAAAACAGTTCTAAAAGGATTATCGAGCAAAGAAAATGTGTTTAAAAGGGAGAAAAGAATTTATACTAGATCAAAGAAGGGAAGAAATTTAATGTATGTATATGTGCGTTATGTATATATAAATATAATGTATGTATGTATGTATGTATTGTATGTATAAACGATACTTTTTTTTTTCTACTCTGCGTATATTCTTTATAAATTCTACATTCTATACAGAATACAGATTCATTATATTCATTTTCTGTATATTGTTTAATGATTTATGGGAGTATTATAGTCTTTATGATAATTTTTGCTCTTCTCCTTTTTTCTTTTCTTGTTTTAACCTAAACATTTGTCATGTTATTATTTAAGAATATTTTCTATCTATTTTTATATACAATATAAGTGAACAAATAACCATGTAAGTTAACCAGACTTACGTGTTGATGCCTTTCCCCTCAAAAAAAAGGAATTTAACGTTAAAGGGGTTTAATACATAATCTATTATTATTATTAAAAAGAGAGAGAGATCTTCAAATAAAGACTATGTACATTGTAAGCAGCAATATATTGAATTCATTGTAACAACATAGGGCATTATATACGACCTATTAAAATTCTAAGCTTTCATCATACAAATAAATTTATATAAATGTTCATTTATTTGCCTATGTTTTCTGCACAAATACAGATACATGACCTTGAGGTTATTTTTAGTGCAAGCTTCTTTATACAATATATGATATCATGCTTAATAAACGCGTTCAATAATAATAATAATAATAATAGTAAATAAATAAAGAAACTTATAGTTACTTTAATTAGTTTGGTCTATATGTATACAGTACATATGTCATTACTTTTATCCCTTACATAAACTATCAAGTATGAATTATAGATAGATAGGGAGATAGAGTATAGTATTCAATCCCTTTATTTTAGTTCAAATAGATATAGATGTATAACTTTGTCATAATGTCTCCTGTCGATCTATTATAAATTCAGGTACAGGTGCAACAGTTGAATATAATTTTATTATTAATGCGTCTTCTATTATTGGACGAGAATAATGTTTCTTTTCCTGAAAAAAAAAAAAAGAATTAAAAAAGAATAAACAAAGAATTAATATAATTCATGTATTGTCTTTACCAGCAAAGTTTGCCATAAACCAAATCTTAAAGCAAATTCCTTTTGCATCACTAAATCATTCGGGTTATTACTCAATGATTGACTATTGAACTGATCATGAAGGATGCTATAAACAAATCGATGCTGTGCTTTACAGTGTTCAACTGATTTCTCAGTCAAGATAGCTGTACAAAATCTACGATGACACCATAATGATTCATGGCCAGGATATTTGATTATAAGTTGATCTAACCATTCCATATGTTGTTGAATTGAATTGAGTTCAGTGGGTGCTAAAGTCATAATTTGCTGCAAGTATTGAAGTCCGGAAAAGTCACTAATATTCAATTCTATCCATTTAAGCATTTCTTGATATTCTTGTTCAATTCTAGTCTGATCACAAAAGGTAGATAAAATCCAATATCTAAATGTCCATGCATAATAGTTTCTAGGATATAAAATAGATGTGGTTTGACATAGCTTGAGTTCATGTGTAATATCAATCGTTTTGTAATAATTTGTTAAAATCCATTGTCGATGAGACCAAGCAAATGAGCTCTTTGCATGACGTGGAATAGTAAATATTAACTCAATTAACCTTAATTCCCTTTTAATATCAATATAACCTGATATAATAAGCCTTTTCCTAATTGCAAACTATTAGTTTTTATTCAAGCCGTAATATTTTTTTATTCTATTTTACCTTCTATTCATGGCTGTATAATTGTCAGGTTTTAATAATATCATAATTCTCGTTACTTGTTCTATTTCTTTATCATTACTATCATCCAGACTAATAAAATACTCATGTGATTGTTTCAACAAGATCTTTGAAGATGAAATGGCAATTCCTAACTTAGATTCAACTACAATAAGTGGATAGTATTTTTGATTCTTTATAGGTATTTCATTTATTTCGGGAATTAATGGTAATAAACCGAGCTCATCACTAGTAAACAGTAACATAAGTATTCATACTATGTACATTTAAACAGACTTTTTTTTTTACATTTCATTTTCATTCAATGCAGCACATAATTTATTATATAACAACATGACTGAAATTAGGGTGAAATTTCAACTATTTAAACAATTAATTATAATAGTTTTATCAAGTAATAACAGCTCATCTACATACTTGATGAAATACAACTTTAAAAAAATTTGAATAATAAATGAATTAAGCAAGACAGAAAGAAGGTCCTTTTTGAATAATTTCAGAATAAATCTGGTAGGCAAATTTCTCCGATTTTTTTGTTTTTTTTTTTTCAGCACCAATTGACAAAATTTTCGATTTTATGTTTGCAACGGATTTTTTTTTTTTTTTTTTTTAAATCTACTACATTAGCTTAAAAAAAAAACTCCACACATGTCAAGAAGGAATCCTAAGGGCGCCGCTTTAGAACAAAGCCATTACGAATCACCTGAAGTAGTTAATTGCTTTAACGACATTATTGAACCATTATTTCAAGAGTTGAAATCACTACAACGCGATCTTTCTTTAACAGCTCAGGATCTTTCTCTTTTGATTGGACAATTACAACAATTTCAACAAGACTGTTTAGGCGCTTTTAATAGACCTACCAATGCACCTTTACGAATTCCAGCAAAATTATTAAAAGTGGAAAAAAATACTGTCTTAACAACGGATTCTCCCATCTATACTATTTTACTTGGTGCATATACTTATCGACTAAAACATGGTTGGAAAAAATGGGATTTCAGTAATCCAGCTAAAAAACAAAGAAATGCTGATTTGGTTCACTCAGTGAGGGATTTATTGATTAAATCTAAATTCATTGCTGTACCAAGAATCACTCTTACCGATTCTATTGATGATTCACATTATAAAATTATTTTTTCTCTTATTAAAAAAATTGGGGGTAAAAAATAATAATAATAATTGTATACATGTATATATATAAAAAAAAAGAGTTAATAATTGAAATTTATAAATTTTATAGCTATTTATGTTGGAGATAAAGATAAAGCTACACATATTTTACATGGTAAACTTCATAAATACAAGAAGAATAGTGTGGAAGAAGATTGGTTTAGGACATTAGAAAAGAGAGGAGATTTGGTATTAGTTCATTGGTGGTATTATCCTGACTCCTTTGATAGTTGGTTACCTCAAACAGATCAATTTGCTGACCCTGAGGAAGCTCCTGAGCATACTGGGCCTTGGCGGATTTCTGTAAGATGGTTGCAGGATACGGTTCGATTTAATGAAATGATGAATGAAGAAGATTATGAAGATATTGATGAAGATGATGAAGAAGAAGAAGAGGAGGAGGAAGTGGAGGAGGAAGTGGAGGAGGAAGTAGAGGAGGAAATGGAGGAAGCAATTGTGTCTCGCAAACGAAGATTAAGTAATTCTGAAAGTGATATACCAGCTAAAAAGACAATGAGGCAGACAATGAATAATGAACCAATACCATCTACAATACAGATTCCATTTAATACTAATAATCAACAACCACAGCAACTACAATCACAGCAGCAACAACAGCAACAACAGGAACAGCCACAACAACAACAACAACAACAACAACAACAACAACAACAACAACAACAACAACAACAGGAGCAACAACAGCAACAACAACAACAAGTAGAAGAGTCATCTACACCACCTATTCCTTTAGTTAATCCAGGTAATCAACCTGAAGTTCGTATTAGAGATATTGAATCAGAAAGACCTCAAACTGGAAGTAGGCAGAGAAAGAATGAATTTGAACCTTACTTAAATGGTGATATAAGTAATATTTCTCAATATACAGCAGCTAATGTAGAATATCCAAAGAGACCTCTCATGATACAAAAACTAGATGAAAATGAGAATGATCAAAAAGGTTTGACTTGTTATTTATATTTTTCTGTAAAGCTATAACTAAAGAAATATATGTATATATCTGCTTTATAGACTTAGATATTCCTTCTCTTTTGAAATCGACGCCCTACAATTATGCTGATATTAAGTTGCCTGCATGGTTTGATAAATCTTCTATTCACGAGATAGAAACTTTATCATTACCAGAAATTAACCAGGAAAATTTAACAGCAGAGGATTATAAAACTTATAGAAATTATATGATCGATACTTATATGTCTAATCCAGACTATTATTTAACTATTTCAGCTTGTAAATCAAAATTAGATGCAGATCTATTGCTATTAACTAGAATTCATCACTTTTTGGAAATGAATAAACTGATCAATTTTAAAGTAAGTAATTCTATATGCATATACAAATATATATTTTATTAAAATGAATACTCTATCATCTCTATAGTCTGACCCACGCAGGAGAATATTTGATCCTTACATTGATAGTGATCCTAGTGCTCAAGTAAATCCTAAATCACAACGTAACTTTAAAGACATAGAGAAAGCAGATCTACAGTATTTGCGTGATTTAATCTTTAGTGAATCAGAAACGCCTTCAATAAGGTCCTCATGGAACCTATCTATTGAAGATCCAAATAACCCGGATGGACGTAAAATCTTTCATTGTTCCAATTGTAAAGTAGATTGTAGTGAAGTACGATATCAATCTTTAAAAACCAAAAATTATCAAGTTTGTATCGATTGTTTCCTCGAAGGTCGTTTCCCATCTACTTTCTTCAGCGGAGATTTTTTGCGTGTAGAGTCATCTACTGGACCTGACTTACAGATGGATGAAGCATGGACCGATGAAGAAACCTTGCGATTATTAGAAGGTGTTGAACGATTTGATGATGACTGGCTTATGATTTCTGAGCATGTTGGTAGTCGTTCTAAAGAGCAATGTATTACTCAATTCCTACAATTGCCTATTAGCGATGAGTTTTTAACAGCTAAATTATCTAAAAAGGAATTAGAGGAGCTACCGTTTGGTGATTTACCTAACCCTATCATGACTATGGTTGCCTTTTTATCAGGCCATATAAATCCAGGTATTGGTGCAGCTGCAGCAAAGGCAGCTTTGAAGGAGCTGATTAAATCAGGAGAAGGTAGAGAGGAATCAGTAGAGATGGATCAAACCATAAAGAAGGAAGAAACTGAATCCAAACAAACTGATGAACCTGTTGAGACAGAGATAGTTGACGTTATGAAAGAAGAAGATAGTGATTCAGAAATAAAGATCGAAGAAAACAAAGTAGATCAAGGAATATTCTCTAAAGAAGTATTACAGAGAGCAACTACAAATGCGTTAAAAAGTGCTGTTGAATGTTCTCATAAACTAGCAAGTTATGAGGAGCAGGAAATACAGCATTGGACCAGATTAGCAGTAAAAACAATCATAGATAAATTATCTATCAAAGTTCAACAATATGATGAAATTGAAACATCATTAGTAAGTGAATCAAATGACTTGGAGAAGCAAAAGAACATACTAGCTAGTTCCATTGAAGCCTTAGTCAGCCAGACCTTTCCTGTAAAGGATTCAGAAGAAGAGTCATCAACTCAGCAAAGTACATATAGTAATCCAACTTCATCTTCAAATGCAAATGATGTTACAAGCACAACACTATAAAATTTTATCTTACAAAATAATATTTTGATTCCCCTTTCCTTGTCTCCAATTTTCTGGAGCTATTTCTTGATTTGTATATATTGAGATACATACATCAAGATCATCTTAATTAAATTTGAACAATCATAAAATATACAAGTAGAATTTTAAATGTATTATATGAAGAATAAATGTGCGAGACTTGATAATGTTCACAAATAAATATATGTAATTGAAGTGTAGTCCCTGCTGTCAAACTAGAGCCATACACCTTTAAATAGAAACATTTAATTATTAATACTATAATGGATAAACTAAACTTATACTTTTAAGAAACGTTTTAAGATAGATATTAATTGCTTATTAGTTTCTAAACTTTTTTTTTTTTTTTTTTTTTTTTTGTTATAGAGCCACCTTATTAGAAATGAAGCAAATAATATTTAATATCGTAAACCCTGCTTGGCTTCTAACATTCTTGAAGCTCAATACTGTACAAGATCATTCTGTAAAAGAAAAAAAAAACTAGGCATTGATGAATAAGATGCACTCAATTTTAGTCATTTATTAAACTTGTAAATGGTGTTATCTAAATTGTCAAACATCTATATTATGAATAGCAGATATGTTGTACGCCTTTACATTTCACAATAGCAAATTCATATACAATTTTCTGTAGGTATTGAATACATAAGTCTAAAGTTGACTTGTATCTGCGTATTATTATTATTATTATTGTTAATATTTTGATATTAATAATGAGTATAGTTTTATAGATTGATGTTACTACAGATAGCGTCTTTTTCTATATATGCAGATCACAGCTTTTACTATATATTATAATTATATTCTTTAATTATTCTTGTTTAACGTATGCACAATTAGAGTTTGATTGTTAAATATACATATATATTCCATTTAAGTTCGTTTACAAAGTGTCTATATGAATGTTGTTGTAGTTTTGAGCTATAGAATACTATTGATCTCTATTAGATAATAGAGTATTATCTTGGGTAGCTTTTAGTCGAATAAAAAGTGTTTTATGCTTTGTAGGCGTTGTTGGTGTTCTTTTTGACAGGAAGTTATTGAATGTTGATCCTTTAGTAGGATTATAGTACTGGCTGTTAACAAGTATTCCCATAGAAAGCATTAAAACGCGATCGACTAGACTAAAAGGATTTTTAACTATATTGGGTATATCATATTTATTCCTCCATAAACGAATTTGATAATGGGATATTGGTTTATTTAATCGAGCATGTCTGTCCTCGAGCATTATGCTTTTCCAATAAAAGGCCAAAACAGCCATACTTTCCAATTCAAAATTTGAGAATGTTATATTATGATACCCACGAAGACTAAGCCATGATTCAAATTTGACTAAGGCATACCAATTCAATCTCATAAAGTATGGGAATCTGAATTTAGGAGGAATACCCGTTATTTCTTCAATGGCATCAACCTTTAATTGCATTTGAATATTGAATGATTGTAGAAAGTTTCCACCAAATACGATAGAGTCCTCTGGTGTATAGACTGCATGAATCCAACCACTAGGAATAAACCTAAAGAAAAAAAAACGTATATAAATACATATATTTATATGATAGTATAAATAATGGATTGTCTATTCAAGTATAATAATGATACTTTACAGTGTATCTCCTGCCTTGAGTTTTACAATATAACATTTATCAACTTTATCGCCAAAAAATGTTGAATAATCATCAGATAATGACCAAATACGATATTGTTCTAGGTTTTCAACTGTAGGCTTAATAAGATAAAAAGTTTTAGCTCCACTCACGATATGATAAAAGACCTAATATGTATAATTTAGACATGATAAGATTAAAAGAATTTACATATTTACAGAACTTCCACCAAAATCAATATGGCTTTAATAAATAAATTAATTAATAAAATAAATAAAAATTAGCTATATGTATATTATCAATATAGTTATTCAACTTACAAGTCGGTATAAGACCCTTTTGTGCCCATTAAACAATAAAGCTGAACCTTTGGAATCCCAACATCTTTTTGATCCCTTGGCCACATCAAATCAATCCAGTCTAATTCACGAACAATTCTTGGTCTCTTGATTTGTTTAGCTAATTTTGTACCACTGATTTCTAAGCTAATAACATTTAAAATACGATTTCTTTTATCAGGGTGAGTATCAAAATAGTCAGCCCAGTGACGCATTGTCCAATCTGTTATCTCTGACTGTAACTCTACATCAATAACATCTACATGAACATCATATCCTCCAACTAAGCCTGCGATATCATGAACAGTAATATCACTAGAAGGCATCTTCATATCTAATGCAACAAAAGTTGTTTCCTCTTTTTTTTCAATCACAAATGGTTTTCGAAAACCTGTAGAACGTAAGAGGTCAATATTGACGTCTTCATAACGTTTAAATTTATCTTTTCTAAAAGACTTGCTGGAGAGTAGTTGAGTCCATTTATTTTTTTATTTTCCGATGATAGTGATGTCTCCTCTTTACAGTTTTTAACTTCCACATAAGCACTGGTCTTTTGTGCCTGATTTTGGCTTTGTGCTTCTGGCTGCTGCTTATCTGATGCATAAGCAAACAAACAAACAAATAAATAAATGAAAGATTCAACATACAAATGAATATGTATATGTATGATATTTATATATATTCTTACATGCAGTCATTTCAAGTAGTTTTATACATTGCAAACAATAAAATTTATTTTTCTGATCTGTATTTTCGGTTGTTGTAGTAAGACATTCCGAGTGAATCCAACCTTGACAAAAATCACAAGAGGTCCATTCTAATCTTTCGTCAAGTGTGATTTCTTGACTATTACAGATTACGCAAATCTTCATTTTTACTAGTCAAACAAAAAATGGGTGTATAAATATACATATATTTATATGTATGAATATATGTATTTAAAAGAAAGGGAAGCATGCATTTAAAAATAATAACAATAATAATAAAAAAAAAGACTAATGGATATGCAGTATGGAGTGTATATAGTGATTTCTTTTTATTCATTTTATTGAACTCGCAAATAATGTGTAATAATGCATAATATGATGTATAATTTTTTTTTTTTTTAAAAAAAAAAAGTAGAAATAAAAATAAATAAATGCATGTGTGTATGTTTGTATGTATATTATACTTTTTTACTCTTATCTATAGCAGGTAGATTATCTTCAATAGTAGATGATGAACATACAGTGACTGATTCTTCTATTAAGGGTAATGAAGTATCTATTTCATTAGGCTTTTGTAATTGCTGTGAACCAAGAAATTGTGGTAATGATAATGGGAAACCATTTCCAATAGGTGTCAGCATAAAGTTACTATTTAATTTTTGATTTTTATTATTATTTCTAATATGTATTCGGTTAGAGATATGAGATTTTAAACTAAATATTCGTATATGTATATAAACTTACGATGCTTGCATATAAAGAGATGATAGCGGAGAAGTATCCCAGTAAAGAGATGATGATTGCCTACTAAGAGGAGTGACATAATGACTAATTGTAGTGTCTTCAGTATCACAATTTGCTTCACTAAAATAGGAATTATTATTTTCTCTAGTGATGTTAGGAGGACTAGGACTTTGTGGAATAACATTATTACTATAATTGAATAATGACATCTGTTGTTGGTAGTTCCAGTCTTTCTGTTGTAATATATTATTATGTGAAGTATTCGGATTAGCTACATTATTACATAATAACTGTTTAGGAGCCTTTTGTTGAATTTTATCTTGATGTAATTTAGTAGTAGATTGAAGTCTACAATAGCAATGCCATAGAATGAAAAACAACAATAACAATGTACAAACTACTACACCAACTACGATACCGATAAGTCTTGGTAGACCTCCAATATTTGAATATTGTGTGTCAGACTGAGCATTGATATTAACTGCCAAATAGGACCAGGACCAGTTTATGACATTTAAAAGCTGTATATCAACTGCTTTTGCTGTTCGATTAGTACCTGCAATAACCCAAATTTGGTCTTTGATTAAGATAGATGTATGGTTTGATCTATAGAGACCTACACCTTCAATAAATGGTGGTTGACTCCAACTAAAATTTCTTGTATCTAAAATCCAAACATCATTTAAAAGATATGCACCAGTTTCGTTAAAATATTCGCCTCCAATTATTATTAAACTGCGTCCATCTGTATGTAAAGTGGTAGTATGATGTTTTCTTGGTATAGGCATACTATTGCCTATTGCTTTGATATTATTCCAGATTGCTAATAATATATAACAAAGTAAGAATAGAGTATATATGTATATCTATGTATGCATGTAGAATGAATAAACTCTTTACAAGTACGAGGATCTAATAAGATAATATCTGACATATTAGCTAAAGGAAAATTTGTTACTCTATCTAAATTTGTTTCATGATTAATAACAGCTCCACCTAAGATAACCAATTGTCCATTTGTATCTCTGTTATCAAAATAAGATGTTAAAAAAAAAAGATGCATATTTGCATACATATAAATATATACATATGTGTATGTATTTTATTACCTAATTTGAGTTATTGTACTATTCACTCTAGTGAACCCAGTACTATACTTTATTGGTGTAGGTAGCCAATTATTACTTTTGCTATCATATATTATTATTTCTTGATGCCATATATTTGGATAACGATATGACGAGTTAAAGTTAAGGCCAGTAAGAAGCTCTGAATTTCCTCCTAAATGATCATTAATGAAGTATAAATAGAATAATATGTAAAGTACAAACCAAATATAACAGTCAAGTTTGATCGAGTAACTTCATAAGCAGCATTGCGTCTAGCCAATGGGACATTTCTCATATCTGTAATTTGTTTCCAAGTATCTGTTTGTGTATTATACTGACATATAGTCATAGATGATTCGTATATTCCATTGATACTTCCAGCACCAAAGATATTAATACTGATACCATCAGCATCAGGTAACGCTTGAGCAAAATGCATTATTGGACATTGATTATTTGAGATTCGTAAGGATAAATCTTCGCTATATATAGACAAAGTTCAGTTATAGTAGAACAATTAACAGTAATACATACATTGGTGGTTGTAAAGTATTAAAATTTTTATTTAAATCAATTCTTGTAAGAATATTATCAGCAACTGAATTTCTTGAGAAAGAAAATACCCATATAGAATTAGATTGTTGAATATAGACAGGCTTTCCTGGAACAGGTATAGTACTTAGAGTATAAACGAGCGATATAAAAGTAAATGATAATATTAATAATTTCATATAAAGAAGAAGAAGAGAGAGTTAAGGGAGAAAATAATACATGTATGTACTAAAAGAGACAGGAGAAGTATTATTATATAACAAGAACTTTTGTGTAAGTAAATAACGAATTCACCTTCAGCTCCTCTCTTCTATGATCTGCACATATTATACATGCTTTAAGTGTAAAAAACAGCAACTTTAATTTTATGTAGTAAAATCATCACCCTTATCCCCTAATTTTTTTTAAAAAAAAAAAAAGCTCAATCTCCTCTTTATCACTGTATATTTATTATTCTTATTACATAACATTAACTGTAATTGTTAGCATGTACAAGCTTGTATACACACATACACCATATATTTAGTTATTTACTTTTTTTTTTTTTTTTTGTTCTCTGTAAATGATTTCCTTGTTGTATTAAAAAAAAATGAGTCAAGAAAATATCCAATAATATTTCATATTGAGGTATCAACAAGCCACCACAGGCACTAGGCTTTCAACAAAATTTCAATTACCGTAGTGGAAACAAGCGATATTTTTTTTTTTTTTTCTTTCTTTTTCTTTACATAACTCAGTGTTATAATGACTACTGAAGCACCAAAGGTAGTAACTAGTAATAATATTAGAATTAAGTTTTAACATCAAATTATAGACTGCTAAGCGTGATAACCTTCGTGCTCTTGAAGAAAAAGCACGTAAACTTTGGGATGAAGCAAAAGCATTTGAAATTAATGCTCCCACTATTGAAGAACATCCTAACTTTGAGGATCTTCATCAAAAATATCCCAAATATATGGCTTGTATGCCTTTTCCTTATATGAATGGTCGTCTTCATTTAGGACATGCATTCACTTTCTCTAAAGTTGATTTTGGCACTGGTTATGAACGTATGAAGGGTAAAAGAGCTCTTTTACCTCAAGGCTTCCATTGTACCGGTATGCCCATTAAGGTAAATAGTAGGAACAAACAAATAAACAAAAAAATATCAGAAAGCATCAAATTAAAACGTTGTCATTTTTAGACTAGTGCTGATAAAATCGCTCGTGAAATCAAAATGTTTGGTAAAAATTTTGAAAAATACGAGGAATTAGCAGCAGCTAATGCGCTCGAAAAGAAGGAAGTAGCAAAAAATGTAAAGAGTAAAGTAGCTGCAAAGACAGGTAATGTCACTTATCAATTCCAAATTATGCTTTCTCTTGGTATTCCTCGCGAGGAAATTCATAAGTTTGCTGAGCCTTATTACTGGACTGAATATTTCCCTCCTCAAACAATTTCTGATATGACTGCTTTTGGTGCTAAGGTAGATTGGCGTCGTTCTTTCATTACTACAGATGCCAACCCTTACTATGATTCATTTGTTCGCTGGCAAATGAGAAAGTTGAAGCAAATGAATAAGGTTAAATTTGGCGAACGTTATACTATTTACTCTATTGTTGATAATCAACCTTGTATGGATCATGATCGTGCTTCTGGTGAAGCTGTTGGTCCTCAAGAATACACTGGTATTAAGATGAAGGTTATTGAATGGTCAAAGCCTGCTCAAGAAGCCCTTTCTCAATATGCTGATGCTCTTAAGGGTAAAAACATTTATTTAGTCGCTGCTACCCTTAGACCTGAAACCATGTACGGTCAAACTAATTGTTTTGTTGGCCCTGATCTTGAATATGGTATTTACAATATTAATGATACTGATGCCTATCTTTGTACTTATCGTGCTATTCGTAATATGTCACAACAAAAGATTTTTGCTAATGGTCGTACTGAAATTGAGAAGCTTGCTGAAATTAAGGGTGCTTCTGTTGTTGGTACTAAGATTCACGCTCCTTTGAGTGTCTATCCTTCTGTCTATGTACTTCCTATGGAAACAGTTTTATCTACTAAGGGTACTGGTGTTGTTACCTCTGTTCCTTCTGATTCTCCTGACGATTTTGCAACATTGTCTGATCTCAAGAAGAAGCCTGAATACTATCATATTGATCCTGAATGGGTTAAGGACTTTAACCCTATTCCTATCATTGATACACCTAACTATGGTAACCTTATTGCTCCTAAGCTTTGTGAAATCAAGAAGATCAATTCTCAAAAGGATCGTAATCAACTTGCTGAAGCTAAGGAAATTGCTTATAAGGAAGCCTTCTATCAAGGTGTTATGTGTATTGGTGATTTTAAGGGCATGAAGGTTCAAGAAGCTAAACCTAAGGTTAAACAAGAGTTGATTAACTCTGGTGAAGCCTTTGTTTACAATGAACCTGAAAGTCTCGTTATTTCTCGTTCTGGCGATGAATGTGTTGTTGCTCTCTTGGATCAATGGTATATTGATTACGGTGAAGAGGAATGGTTGGCCAAGACTAAGAAATGTTTGAGTCAAATGAATACCTTCACTACTGAAACTAGAAACCAATTTGAAGCAGTTTTAGATTGGTTAAATAAGTGGGCCTGTGCCCGTAGTTTTGGTTTGGGTACTAAATTGCCTTGGGATGAACAATTCTTGGTCGAATCTCTTTCTGATTCTACCATTTACATGGCTTATTACACTATTGCTAATCTTTTGCATGGTGGTTCCTTGAATGGTAGTAAGGTTGGCCCTGCTGGAATTAAGGCCGAGCAAATGACAGATGCTGTATGGGATTATATCTTTAAGCTCGGTGAATATCCCGCTGATTGCGGTATTCCTCAAGCTACACTCGACCGTTTGAGACGTGAGTATGAATATTTCTATCCTTTAGATCTTCGTGCTTCTGGTAAGGATCTTATTCCTAATCACTTGACCTTCTTCATGTATAATCACACTGCTATTTTCCCTGAGGAAATGTGGCCTCGTGGTGTTCGTTCTAATGGTCACTTAATGCTTGATTCCAAGAAGATGTCCAAGTCTACTGGTAACTTTATGACTATGAATGATGCTATTCAAAAATATGGTGCAGATGCTACACGTTTTGCACTTGCTGATTCTGGTGATTCTGTTGAGGATGCTAACTTTGAAGATTCTACTGCTAATGCTGCTATTTTGCGTCTCCATACTCTCTTGGAATGGGCCGAAGAACAAGTTGCTAAGTCTGATTCTCTTCGTACCGGTGAATACAACTTCTTTGACAAGATTTTTGATAACGAAATGAATAAGTTCATCACAATCACCGAAAAGGCTTATGAAGCTACCTACTATCGTGATGTTCTCAAGTTTGGCTGTTATGAATTCCAAGCTGCTAAGGATGCTTATCAACAAGCTTCTGTTGATGTTGGTATGCATAAAGACCTTGTCTATCGTTATATCGAACTTCAAGCCTTACTCTTATCTCCCATCACACCTCATTGGTCTGAACATATTTGGCGTGATATCTTGAAGAAAGATAGCTTAATTGTCAATGCACGTTTCCCTGAACCTAGTGCACCTGTTGATGAAGTCCTTGATGCTGCTACTCGTTATATTCGTAAGACAATTAAGGCCATTCGTGATGCTGAACTTAACTTATTGAAGAAGAAGAAGAAGAGTAAGAATGGCGAAGGTGAATATAAGCCCAAGGAGCCAAAGTCTCTTAAAATCTATGCTGCTACCAAGTTCCCTGAATGGCAAGAAACCTGTTTGACTGTCATGAAAGCTAACTACAATGATGGCCAATTTGATGATGTCAAGATTCGTCAAGAGCTTGGTGCTCAGGGTGTCTTGAAGAACAAGAAAGTAATGCCATTTGTTCAAGAACAAAAGAAATTGATTCTTAAAGATGGCCCTGAAGCCTTCAATCGTACATTAATCTTTAATGAAATTGAAATGCTTGAAAAGGCCAAGGAAGAGTTTAAGCGTGCTCTTGGTTTCCATACAATCACTATTTTAGGACATGATCAATGGACAGAAGAGGATGTGAAGGCAGCTGAAAGTGCGGTTCCTGGTGCTCCTTCTTTCAATTTTAAGAATGAACCTCAACCCTAAAAAAAAGAAAAAAAAGAAAAAAGAGAGAGAAAGAAAAAGATTTCACCTCTTTTGTCAAAAATATTTGTATTTTAATTTTTATTACACGATACATTTCGTTTACATTCACCATTTCATCATATATGTGCATGCATATAAATTATTAGAAATAATAAAACTTTATATACTATCTTTGTTGTATAAATGATATTTTTATACTGCATATGACATCATCGGTGTGTTTTGTTCATTTTATTTTATTGTATTAATGCATAATAAATAATATATTTCTATACAAGGCTGAGGTTTATTCATCGTTGATGTGCAGCGACAAACTTCTTTTGTTCTGCAGCCACAGCTTCTTTAAACTGTTCAACTTCTTCCCAACAATCGAGAGGTCTAGTTTGATTTTTTCTAGTAATAAAAAAAAATAATTAACTAAAATTCTTGTTTTCGAGTTTTTATATAGATAGGATAGATAGATAACATACTTATAACACATAATAAGTGCTTCCTGACGTTTAGACACTGTAGGGGGGATATCGGATGGAGCAGTCCTATATCATCAGATTTAATAAATGTGTGTGTGCGCTATATGTTTGACATGATTCTACTAACAATTATTACCTTTGTACTTTTTGTATCATATTTTCAATGTCTTCAGCCATCGCAATTGAATTATGATCATTTTCAATATTTTTTTTTGCTAATTCATCATATGAGCGTTTATTAACTTGCTCCTGTTGCTCTTTAAGACGTTGTAATTCTTGAACCACTCGCTCTCGAACTAGTTGTTCAATCTTTTCATTAGATACAACAGGCTCCTACACATTGAATAACGTTAATAAAAGTAGAATTTTTATTTTTATTTTTATTCTTATTTTTTTTTTTTTTTTTTACCTTTTTATTTTCCATTACAGGTTCATTGAATCCCTGATTGAACTGTTTTTTTTTTTTTTTTTGTAAGAAATGTTTAATGTCATTCAAGTAAAAAAATAAAATAATAATAATTGATAATTTTCATTATTACTTGAAGAGGGTTGCTATTTTGATTATAAAAAATAATAGGTTCTGAAGACTTTGATTGCTTTGCTCCCATTTCTCCCTTTTTTTTTAAAAAAAAAAAATGAAGTATGAAATCAAAATATATTATTATTATAGCTATTCATCAAGCAGGGTTTTACTTCCCGCCGCACATATAGTATCATAGTTGATGGCAGCAGCAGCAGCAGCGTCAACCAGCAATTTCACCCCTCCCCCTCCATCATAATTATTGATTCAAAATATTAAAATGATGACGTTATTATATTTTGATGTTTTTAAACTTCAGTTGGAGAATCTATTATTGATGAAGGAGGTAACAGTAGTTTATCTTTATGAGTACAATTAAATTATTGAGAAATATTAAAATTAAAATGGCCAGTGATATCTATTTCATATTGGATAATTTAGGGTCAGTGTAAGATATATAAAGGTTTAAAAAATCCCTTTAAGATACAAGAGGTAAAAGAGAAAAGAAGAGAGAAGGTGGTACCTTATCATGTACCAAATAATTCATTTCATGAAGGATAGTACAGATAATTGGCCAACAGTAAATCCAAGCAGATACATCTTGTAGATCTCTATGCTTACACTGAGGAAAAAAAAAAAGGAGAATGGGCCCTTAATTGATCTGGGCAAGTATAGCAAACGAGTATACACATGTAGACATTCAGTGATACTCAATTAATTTAGATGAGTGTATGGATGATAAGGACAATATTTGGATGTATTGTCAGCTAACCAACCAAGATACACATCGAATGATGCAGCTACATTCATTATAAGACATAATCAATAGTAAAGTAAGGTCTATAAAAAGTTAAAAAATAGTTTGGTGTGGCGACCATCCCATAGTTGTGTAAGTCTTTTTTTCGAGAGATTTCTTATGATATTTTTTTTTTTTTTGAAGGTGTATATGTCTAGAGTATTAGAGCCTTCTTCATTACAACAAAATCACCAGTATAGTATTTTAGTAAGTTTATACTATTGAGCATTCATATTTAAACTTTAGATAAATGGAAGCAATGTAAACAGTAATATATTAATAGGTAGGTGATTTATTAATACAGAAAAGAAATTGGTCTTGTAGGAGGAGCGCTCTGCCTGCCATTGTAGATTGATTAACCAACTGAAGTATTAGTGTTACTAAAGTTCGAGAAAACTCATCAAAGGTCCTTCTAATACAACTGTTCTGGCAGGATTCTAAATGTTTCATGGTTTCTTTAACTTAAAGTACTAATTGCTAAATTATATTCTAGCTGTTGCGGACAAACTATTTGTAAGTGAATGGCAAATAAACGATCACCGCTTTGGGAGTTAACGCTTATGAATACTAATTGATTCATTGTTTGTAGCGCGCTTAGTTGGCATTCATTTGTACAAGTTGTGAGGTGTCTAGGGCTTCTCTCGATTTGATGGGAATATTCAAGCATGAAAACTAATCTTATTGGGGGATTGGATTACCATATAAAATATATATCCTATGCTAGCGTCAACTGGATATGTATACATATAAAATATATTTAATTATTTACTTGGGACCTAGTTCCTTGATAGTATAATAATCTCAGTAATTTTATCTATTTTGTCTAATCAAATCCAACTTGTTTGTTAAGTGTTTCTGTATTAACAATGATATAGACTAGATTTATCATTTGCAACTTATTATACATCTATCTTGATAATGCTTCGTTGAATCCAAGTCCTATTATAAGAGTCTTTTCGTTCATTTCAGCTTTGTCGATTATGTGATGCGAATAAGCGCTATGTATATATTCATTAAATCCTTTTTACAAAAATGTCTTTTATGATGTCTATTAAGATTAAGTGAAAACTTTAAAACTTTCATCGTATTGCATAATTTACTTATTTGAAGATAGACAATAGTAATAATTTAAGTCAATAAGCTTATCTATTTTTATTTCAACCTAGGGCTTTATATTCTGATGCTAAATGTTATAACCTCATTATTTCTACTACTGTTTATGAAATGGATATCAAATTTTAAGAACTACTTTGATCTACTTTTTTTTTTTTATGTGCTATTAACTTTGTCAGCTTTAGTAATTAAATAATATACATTCACTTCATTTTAAATTAAATTTTATTCTCTAACTAATCTTATCTTAAAGAAAACAATCTGCAAAGGTGGTGGTTAAGCTCACTAAAAGCGAGCTAAATGAATAACTGGAAACAAAAATTTAGTTTACTAGAATCAGTTCCTAAATTGGGTGCGCCAAGTTGGTGCTCCATAGTGAACACATTTTTTTTTTTTTCTTAAAAAAAATAAAAAAGTTTTTTTTATTTTTTTAAAGATCAATCTTTATAATTAATAAATTTAAAAGGTAATTTACTGAAGCTTTTAATGTAATCAATAGTTCGATTAAAACTGTTAAATAGATCTATTATGACTGATTCATCTAAGCCTCAATTTGTTCTTCCCTCTATTAATGATAATGAAGGTGGCTGGGGACCTTCTAATGATGTCATCCCTCAACAATTCCGTGAAATTCCCTATACACCTTATAGCAAGTCTGACAAGTTAGGTCGTGTTGCTGATTGGACTAATCCTGACGGGCAAAAGCAAGATAATAACCAAACTACTGGTGGTCGTCAAGGTAGAACAGGTTTTAACCGTTTCAACAGAGGTAATAAACACAAATAGAATAACTGAGTAGCGTCAATTGCTAATTTTTTTTTTAATAATTTTAGAACAACATCAAGCTTATGGTGCTTCATTTGCTACTGCATTTGCTTACTTCCACGGTGAAGATGAATCTTCCTTTTCTGTTGTTGATAATAGATCATCAGGTACTAAGAAGCAAGCCTTAAAGGCCGTTGGTGGTAACAATGCCCGTACTAGCCGTACACAAACCAAACAAGGTTATCGTACTGTTAACCAACGACCTACCACTCGTTACCAACAACAAGCTAGACGTAGATATGGCTACAAGGATTATGAAAAGCCTCAACGTGTTCGTAATGCATCAATCAATATTGGTGCTGATTGGAAGGTTTTGGATGAAATTGAATTCAGTCGTTTAAGTAAATTGAATTTCAATATTCCTCAAGCCACTAATGTGTAAATGTTATATATTTATATTTTTCTATTTGGTATCTTTTCTATTTGCTAAACTAGAATTTTTTTTTAATATAGTGCAAGCTATGGTTTTGTTAATGTTTATGATAAAGCATACGACAGAATCAATACAAAGAATGAAAAGATGCTTACACATATTGAACGTGTTAAATATGATAGTACTACATCTGAAGATCCAGTTATTCAACAATTCATTCAGGAAAATAAGGCTACTGTTTTTGCTACTGATGCCGTTCTTTCACTCTTGATGTGTGCCACACGTACCGTTTATCCTTGGGACGTCGTTGTCAAAAAGCAAGCTGATGGTAAAGTAATTTTAGACAAACGTCCTGGTGGTGTCTTTGACTTCGTTACTGTAAATGAAAATTCATATGATCCTCCTGCTGATAGTGATAAGGAGACTATCAATTCATGGTCTGCTCTTTGTAATGAAGCTACCTATATTAATCAAAACTTCTCACGTCAAGTAGTCGATTCCAAAGCTGTTGAAAACTTTGAAAAGGCTAATCCTTTTGCTACATCTGAGACTGAAGGTGAATTAGCATCCTGTGGTTATCGTTATCGATCCTTTGATTTAACAAACCCTGATGCTGCTGAAGATGAAGAAAAGATTGAAATTATTGTTCGTACTGAAGTTGATGCAGCTATCAAGACAGGTAACAAGTCAGGTTATGCTACCATTCGTGCTTTGAATGAATTTGATCCTACTGCTCAAGGTGCAGGCGGTGCTCTTCCTTGGAAGAAGAGTTTGGATTCTCAACGTGGTGCGGTTGTTGCTACTGAGATGAGAAATAATGCAGCTAAATTGGCACGTTGGGCTGTTCAAGCTATTTTGGCAGATGCCGAGCAACTCAAGTTAGGTTATGTTGCACGTTACAATCCCAAGGAAAACTCTCGCCATGTTATTTTGGGCACACAAGCTTATAAGCCTCGTGATTTTGCTGCTCAAATGAACTTGTCATTAACAAACGGTTGGGGTATTGTGAAGGCTGTTGTAGACATGTGTTTGCAATTGCCTGAAGGTACCTATATTATGATGAAGGATCCTAATAGACCTATTCTTCGTATTTATCATGTACCCTTTGAAGAAGATTTGGAAGAAGATGAGGAAGAATACGATGAAGAAGGAGAAGAAGAAGTTGAAGAAGCAGAGCAAAATTAAGCTCTTTGTTTATTATATAAACTAGATTATTAATATTTTCTTTTTTTTTTCAATATATCAAAGCATTTATAGCAAGCGATAACTTTTTTTATAAATATTATTTTAACAAATTATTCACGCATTTCTGATGAATGAAAAAAAAAGAAAGAAAAAAATAGTCTAAGAGATAAAAGAGGAGAAAGGAAAAGAGAGAGAAATCATAAGTAAAATATTGAGTGTGTTTATTCAGTCGATAGTCTTGTTCGAGTAACTACTATCCTGAAAATGTCATATGCAGCAGAGAAGATGAGGGACCTTTTGTGTTTTCCTGTTACGTCTGTCATTACAAGAAAACTCGAAAGAATTGAATAGTAAATCTCTGTCGTTTCAAGTGATGATATTCTAATTCAAAGGGATCATATGAAAAGAGATGTTATAAACAAGTCTTTGAAAGAAGAAGAAAAGGATAAACAGCAAAGGTCTTTCATAAAGTAATCAGTAGAGAACACGATTTTATTGGATGTAGGATGCTAATAGATAGGAAAAGAAAAGAAAAGAAAAGGATCTATAGTTTTAGACTAAGTTGCTCTTTACATCCAAGCAAGAAGTTGGGATTTAGAGCTTTTTTATAATGATATAAATATTTGATTTATACAGTTTCAAAATACTCTTCCGTTAAGTAACCATTATTAAAAGCTTAAATATCAAGATGCATTTTGTTGAGTAGCAATTCCTTTATTGGAGTTTATAAGACTGCACCTGTAAAATAGAATCTCATTTCTATACAATAGATTTCCTGACTAGATGAAGTCATAAACTTTGTGAGGGATTTTCAGTTATCACCGAAAAGCCTGCACATTTCGATAAGAGTCCAAATAATATAGTATATCCTTCGATGGTAAGCTAATTATAAGACTATACACTAATTAGAGACATATAATTTGGATATAGAAATAAATAACCAGCATTTACTCAACCCCATTATTGGAGTTAAATATTAATAACTAATGTTTAATTTATTGGCTGAAGTTTCTTGTTGATTATATATTATACAAGTGTCAAAGTACGGTTATTTTTATAGAAATATTACTCAATATGTATATTAAGTCTTATAGCATATTCACCGTTTAATACATATTTTACCTTAACTATTAGCATTACATAGAATAAATCAAGTAAATTTAATTGGCTAGATTTTTTCTTCTATAAGAGGAACACGTTATATATAATTTTATTTTATTTTACCGTGTTTTAATTAATTTTATTTTTTAAGAAAAAAAAAGAAGGAATAGATCATGTCCAGAAGAAGGATCATCAATGATTCAGAAAGTGAAGAGGAAGGTTCAGTAAAACGTACAAAACTTGATTGCAATGAGACATCACAAAGGATGGACAATAATGAATCTAATGATGATCAAGAATCTCCTGACACACATTTTCTTGAATCTGATCACATGAATGAAGAAGAGGATTTAGTACCACTTTTAGTTGATGAAGATGATGGGTTAGTTAAAATTGTGGATCGTAAAGAAGTCAGTAAAAAAAAAAATAATAATAATAATAATAATCAATAATTTCATAGATTTGTAGAGGGATCGATTGTTAAGATTACGCTTGTCAATTTTGTTACATATGATTATTGTGAGATCTATCCTGGGCCCCAAATGAACATGATCATTGGTCCAAATGGTACTGGTAAATCAACCATTGTTTGTGCAATTGCTTTAGGATTAGGTGGTAATCCTAATTTACTGGGAAGAGCCAAGAATATTGCAGAATTTGTAAAGACAGGTGAGGATGAAGCAACGATTTCCATTGAATTGAAACAAGTAAACGTTCGAAATATTATCATCCAACGATCTTTTAGAAAATCGAACAATGCGACTACATGGAGAGTTAATGGTATTTTATTAAATGTATATTGGATACTTAATTTAATAGCCTAACAACAAGATCTATTGTGGCGTCTCTTTCTTTCGTAAATAGGTAAACTTACTACGCAAAAAGAAGTAATGGATATTATCAGCAAATTTAATATTCAAGTTGATAATTTATGGTAAGAAAATATAATACATATTTATATATATATATACTAAATAGAACCTTATAGTCAATTTTTACCCCAAGATCGTGTTGCTGAATTCGCAGAGGTATGAACAAAAGAGCAGCATTTAACGAAAATATATTAATAAAGTAATTTAGTTATCATCGTCTCAATTACTAGAAAGAACGCAAACAGCGATTGGTAAGGCTAATTTGCGTGATATGCAAAAGCAGTTAGTAGAATGGAGAGAAAAAGAAAAAGAATTAATAAATGTATGTATAAATGTACATTTATGAATTACCACTCATTTTTTTTTTTTTTAGACAAACAACTCTGATAAAGATCATTTAAAAACATTAAACAACCGTAATAATCTGCTTGAACAAGATGTGGTGAGAATGCGTTCCAGACATGAAAAAGAAAAACAGTTAAAGTTATTAGAAGCACAAATTCCTTTAGTAAAATATACCGAGGCTAATACGAAAGCTAAACAATTAAAAGAGGAATATAATGAAGCAAAAGAAGAGCTTCGAAAAATCATTACTAAAACGTTACCTGTCGAAAATATATTAAAGTAAGTCTAATAATAATGAATTCTATAAGTCATTATATTAATCCTTAAAAACACACATAAATAGGGAAGAGATGGATAAGAAAGCAAAAACAATAGAGATGAAGAATAGACAGGAAACAGCTTACAAAAAAGCACTTAAAGAAGTAAAAGATAAATCTACTCAGGCAAAAGATACAGTAAGCGCCTTTTTTTTTTTTTTGTTAATATTTATGTCAATATTAAATACACTGTTATTAGAGAGCACAATTAAACTCAAAAAGGAAAGAAATAGAAGGGTACAAACAGAAGCTTTCAGAAAGAGAAAAGCAACTTCAAATTCAAGAGAAAAAGATATCGTATCTTGAAAATGAACTAAAAGAGCCACCAACAATAGATGTAACTCAGTTTGAAGAAAAGATTGTAAGTAATATAAATGACTAAATCTTTGAGATACTTATTCATCTTTGACAGGCTAAAATTAATGAAGATATAAGCGCAATTGATACAGAATCAATAAAGATTAAACAGCAACTTAGAGAAGAAGATTCAAAAAAATTCTCATTAAAGCATGAGTTAGAATCAAAGTATAAAAAGTAAGTTAGTCATTGTAAGCTTTTGGATTTGATACTTATATTTAAATTAGAATGAAGGAACTTGAGAGTGTTATGGCTAGACGTTTAAAGAGATTAGAAAATAACTATCCTGATACTGTAAAGGCATACAAATGGTTAAAGGAGAACAAAGATAAATTTGAAGGGAAAATATATGGCCCCATTGTTCTTCTTTTGAACCTCAAAGATCCTCGCTATGCTGCAATAGTGGAAAATGCTTTAGGTGGTGCTAGAAGTGATTTACTAAGAGTAAGCTTCTTTTTTTTTTTGTCTATTTCATTATTGACTATTTTAACTTTTGTTTATAGGAATTTGTTTGCGAGAAAGAATCAGATTATCGTAAAATCACGTCTTATCTTGTAGATAAACAAAAATGGAGAGTCAATTTTTCATGGCCTGACGATCTTTCCGATACTTCAACTGAATCACCTATTTCAACTGAAGAACTTAAGCGAAAGTTTGACATGGATGATTTTATAGTTAACTTAATTGATGTGCCAGAGTATATTAAACGCTATCTTTGTTTAGAAAGAAAGATACATTTATTTCCTGTAGCACTTCATTGTTCCCGAGAACGTGAAGTTGCAAGTTCCGGTATTTTTGGAAAATTTAATGTGGGTCATACATCCTATATTGTTAAAGCAAGCCAATACGGTACCAAAGCGCGACAAACTACAGCTACAGCTATTCGTAATGCTGAATATCTTGGAAATTCAAGTAAGTCATTCTTAAAGTCTATTCGTTAAAACTTAATGAATTTTATTAGTTGATAATAGTGAGCAAAATAAGTTAAAGGATGATATCAAAACTATTCAAGCTAAAATGCAACAGGCAGATATTATCATTAAAGAATTAAGTGATAATTATGATAAAATCAAGCAAACAATACAGCAAAAAAAGTACGAGAAAGATGATTTGAGATCTCAGAAGAGAGATGCTCAAAGTGCCCTTGTAAAATATAATACAGGTAAAGATAAATTACGAATACTGAAAGAAAAGTTAGAAGAAATCAAGAAAATGCCTGAAGAAAGTAAGGAGATGATTCGGAAATTAGAATCAGAAACTATTTCTATTATAAACCAAGAAAAGAAAATATTGCATGAGCATGGAGAAGCCTTGGAGGAAGCAATTGACCTTTATGAAAAACGGAATTTGTTATCTTTACAATGTACATTTTTAGAAGCTCGTTTATTCTCTATTCGAAATTATGTTCGACAACAAAACAGCCAACGAGAAGAAGCTGAGAAAATGTTGGCATTAACTAAAAAAGAATACCAACTTGCAGAAAAAGAAGTTAAACAGTACATGGATAAATGTAGAGTAGCAGGTCGAGACCTTCCAGAAGATCTTGTTGAACCTTTTAAAGAGATCTTAACACGATGGAAAGAAGATAGTTTGCAAATTAGTCTTGAAGAGCTTGAAAACGAAATTTCAACAAAACAAGGAGAGATCGCTTCTATTCGATTTGCTAACCCTAATGCCATGAAGCATTATGAAGAAAGAAAAAAAGAGGTAATTTTAAATATATAAAAAATGACTTTTTTATTTTTATTATTATTAAATTGGTTTATATATAGATTGCACGCTTGAAAGAAAAGATACTTGCAGATGAAGTTCAATTAAAAGAATATGAAACTAAAATTTTACGACTTAAGGTAAGTTTACAAGATTTTGCTTAGAATCAAGTACCAACATTTCTGTAGAATCAATGGGCTCCACTTGTTAAAAATCTTGTTGGAAAAATTAACGCCAAGTTTTCTGCTGCTTTTCAACGTTAGTTTCATTTTATTTTATTTTATTTATTCTTTTACATTTAAATATTTATTGTATTGTCTTCATTTTTTAGGTATTAATTGTGTTGGTGAAATTAGAGTTCAAGAATCAGAAGACTTTGATAAATGGGGTATCAACATATATGTCAAGTTTAGAGATAACGAAAAACTTCAATTGCTAACTGGACAACGTCAGTCTGGCGGTGAACGATCTGTTACGACAATTTTGTATTTAATGTCACTTCAAGACCTTGCAAAGTCACCTTTTAGAGTTGTAGATGAGATTAATCAAGGTATGGATCCTCGAAATGAGCGTATGATTCATGAACAAATTGTACAAGGCGCAAGTAGGCCAGGTACATCACAATACTTTTTAATTACACCCAAGCTATTGCCTGATTTGTTTTATAATGAGCGTATTCGTATTTTATGTATTTATAATGGTGAATGGGTCCCAACAAAAATCAAGCCTTTATCTGAATATTTAAATCATGCACGTAGAGTAGGGATAGCTTAAATACGTATAAATAGATATATATCTGTATTTATAAAATGCAGCTTGTTGTTTAGATAATAAATACCCCTTTATTTTGCTTTTCACAGTATACTTTTATTTGGGTAAAATAAATTATCCAATAGAATGTTGACAAATTTAAACTACATGCAAATAGATAAACCCTTTTTTTTTTTTTAATCCTTTTATCCTTCTTTCTTTCTTTCTTTTCAAAGAAGTAAAAAAAAACCAACAATGAAGCTTAGAAGCTTATGGATAATAAATGTTATCCTACTTTTTTCTATAATTTCATTTGTCTTTGCAAATGAAGAACAACAAACTCCTATAAAAGCTGTAAAAGTAGAAAATGAAGATGAGTTAGGAACAACATCCTTTGAAGAATCCATTGTTCAACTTGAAGAGTTAGAGACAACTGAAAAAGAAAAGTTTACTTTTCAGGTAGACATAAGATGTATATTCATTTAAAAGAGTTAATAATTAAGCTTTTTTTTTTTCCTTTTTACGCAATAGACTGAAGTGTCACGTTTAATGCATTTAATAATTAATTCACTCTACAAAACTCGTGAAATCTTTTTACGTGAATTAATTTCAAACGCTGCAGATGCCTTGGATAAGATACGTTTCTTGTCTTTGACAGATCCTGAAGCCATTGCTGCCAAACCTATCCTGGATATCCGAATTTCTGCTGACCCTAAAACAAAAACATTGACAATTACAGATACTGGCATTGGTATGACTCGTCAACAGCTCAAGAATAATTTAGGTACAATTGCTAAATCAGGTACATCTGAATTCTTGGCTCAAATGGAGAACAATAAAGATGCTATTACGCAGATTGGTCAATTTGGTGTAGGCTTTTATTCCGTCTTTCTTGTAGCTGATAAAGTCACTGTGGCATCCAAATCAAATGACGATCCTGATCAGTATGTATGGATGAGCACAGCAGTGAACGATTTCACGATTGCTAAAGATCCTCGAGGTAATACACTTCAACGAGGTACACAAATCACACTTTATTTGAAGCCAGATGCTTATGAGTTCTTGGAGACAAAGAAGTTGAAAGAATTAATCCAAAGGTATTCCCAGTTTATCACATTCCCTATTCAGGTCTTGACCGCAAAGGAAAAGGAAATCCCTGTTGAAGAAATCAACCATGATGATGATGATTTGATTGAAGAGAGTATGTCAGATGAAAAACCTATTACAGAAAAACGTACTGTTTATGAATGGGAACTTGTCAACGTACAAAAACCTATTTGGATGCGAGATTCCAAGAACATAACTGATGAAGAACATAAAGAATTTTACAAGTCATTGACTCGTGACTATGCAGATCCATTAGCTTGGACTATGTATAAAGGTGAAGGCGAGTTTGAATTCCGTTCTTTACTCTATATCCCATCTACTGTAAATGAACTCTTTTATCAAAATATCAAAAACCAAGAATCCAACCATCCTATTAAATTATTTGTGAAGCGTGTCTTCATTAGTGATGAATTTGAATTATTACCAAAGTGGCTTTCATTCCTCAAGGGAATTGTAGATGCTGATGATATGCCTTTAAATGTATCTCGTGAAACACTTCAAAGACACCGTAGTCTCCGTGTTATTACACGTCATTTAGTGAAGAAGGCTCTAGAGATGTTTAGCAACTTGAGTCAAAGAGATCCCAAAGCTTATGCTAAATTCTTAGGTCAATATAATAATATATTGAAATATGGAGCAATTGAAGATCAAGTCTATCGTAAAAAGATTACAAGTCTCTTGAGATTTGCTAGTTCTCATAACAAGGAACCTTTTTCAAACAGTTTAGATGATTATGTGGATCGATGCAAGGCCAATCAAAAGAGTATCTATTTTATGACAGGCAGTAGTGTCTCAGAAATTGAACAATCACCTTTAATCGAAAGTTTGTTGGCCCGTGGATATGAAGTCATGTATTTCACAGACCCTATTGATGAATTATTTGTTGAGAATGTTCCTGGATATAATGGGAAGCAATTCGTGAACATTGCCAAAGGTGATTTAACTTTCCCTGAAGATGAAAAAGATCCTGAAAACGAAATAGCATTAGAGACAACATTTAGACCCTTAACTGATTGGTTACGAGATACTTTACATGATCGCATTGAAAAAGCCGTTATCTCGAATCGACTTACTACCTCTCCATTTGCTATTGTTGCTTCTGCAACAGGGCTTAGTGGCCATGCACAACGTATCTTAGACGCTCAAGGTGCTAGCTATAAAGATCCTAATATGGCTTTTATCTTGGAAACTATGCGATCACAAAAGAAAATCTTGGAAATCAATCCTAAGCATCCTGTCATTACTTCATTATTAAAGCAAGTAGAAGAAGATAGTATTACAGATGAAACAACTAATTTGATTCAATTGATGTATGATACAACGGCTATCCGTAGTGGATTCCCTGTAGATGATATTACTCAATTTGCAGGTCGTGTAGAAGGTTTGATTCGTAAAGCAGTTGGTGTTTCACTTTTAGAAAAAGCTGAAGTGAATATTAAGAAAGCTAAGGAAAAGACAGAAGAAGAAAGAAAAGCAGATGAAGAATTAAAGAAGACAAATATCATTTACGATCAAGAAGAAGCGATTCATCATGATGAGCTTTAATAAATAAATTGTTCATTTTTAAATAAATTATTAGGCATTTTTATAAAACTAAGCGAATTCCTTCTTGTAGACGCAATATCCCCAAAAAAAAAAAAAAAAAAAAAAAAAAAAAACTCAAGATTACTATTTTATTGATTGAAATGAAAGGGTATTTATATGAATTGTAGATATTTTGATACTATATACATATGCTTATCAAGAATGATTCCTGATCTATGAATTCTTTTTAGTAGTCAGTGATATGTATTATAAATTAAACCGTTTAATTTAAGATGGATAATGCTAATTAATCACATATACAGTAATTAATTAAGAGGTTACTGAACTACACCATGAATTGAACCAAAACCTATATTTAAAAAAAAAAAAAAAAAAATTAGCAAAGGAACATATTGCACAGAGAAGGCTGTTATATTTATTACTAGGGGTTGGGCAGGTTTTTAGGCCTACGGGCCCATTGGCTTACTGTGCCTTGCATTTTTTGCTTCAACGGACGCTTCACTAAGTAAATTCTTTTTCTATAAAAAAAAAAAAAAAAAAAAACTTACCATTAAACACTTGAGTGAAGAAGAAAAGAAGAAAAAGTAGGAAATAAAAATTCTCACAGAATGACGTAGAGTTAGGGGTAATAATATGCAGCAACCAATTGGATTTGAACAACATGGAAAAAAAAAGGAGTCAATTTTGGTATTATCAACTGTAAGTTCCCAAAAGTTCTTCAAGTAATTCGTGATTTTATTGGCATACTGCTTTGTTTTTTTACTACCTTATTTGCAAAAAAAAAAAAAAAAAAAAAAAAAAAAAAAAAAAAAAAAAGAAAGAAAATCTTGAATTTTAAACGCAAAACACTATAATTTATTATTTTTTTCTTTTTTCTTTTTAATATTTTTCTTTGTCTCCTTTTTTCTTTAAAAAATAATAATAATATGGCACCAACGGACATTAGAAGTTATGAAACTTATTTAGTAGCTCGACAAGCAGTAACTAATGAAGCAGTAAATCGACTTACACCAACTGAAGATCAAAAGATCATTCTCATCATTATTGGAGTTTATACAGCAGCAATTTTAATTTTATGGAATATGCCAATAGCCAAGATTATTCTATCACCGTTTAAGGTAAATTATACTTTATGTCAATATTTAAACTAAATAAAAGTCTAAAATTAAATATGAGGGGAATTAGTAGTTATTAACAGTAGGCTTACATGAATTTTCGCATGCATTTATGGGGTGTTTAACCTGTGCTAAAATCGAATCTATCGAAATAGATCCAGACAAAGGTGGAGTTTACTCGAATGGTAAAGTTTAATTAGTAAATTTTAAATATGGATTTTAATGTTCTTGTTGTCTTGTAATAAATGAGCAGTCATATTTCAAAACAATAATACAGTGTGCAACAATTTTATTATACATATTACATAAATAAGCAGAAAAATAAATTATAAAAAAAAAATAGGCAATAATAATGCTTAGCATGAAGTCGCACGTTTAAATCGCCTACAAATACTAAACTTTGATTCATGAGGAGAAGTTACTTGTTGTGTAGAATCGGTGACAGTACAATAAGTGGCTACAAATTCGCACAAATATCCAAGTATCTTTTGTTGAAGTCTTTCAAAAGAACATGATTTGGAACTGTCATCATGGCTTGTATGATGATTTTTATCTTGCTGTTCTGTTGTTGTCAAAGCCTTGTTAGTATCTGTTGCTGCTGCTGTTGCTGTTGCTGTTGATGGTTGTGGTGGTGGTGGTGGTGGTGGTATTTCTTTAATAATGGTGGCATCACTATTATTTGTTAAATACAAGTGTGATGAAGGATTTCTTTTCTTCAGTGATATTATAGGCTGTAAAAGATCCCAAATTGCTTCTGCTTCTTTTGTGGATGATAAATAAGGCGGCAACTTCGTGTTATGTCTGATAACTGGAGTGAAAGAAGAAGAAAGCTTGGCGCTTGCAAGAATTTCCTCTGTACTCATGGTCATTGTATGCATTAAAATGATAGACATAAGAGCAGGAGCCAAAAGAGGATATAGATATAATAAATTTGAGTTTGTAGTTGGCGTCATTGCTGATGTTTCCTTTGACAAAATTTGATTCATATTCCAATTTGGAACAACTGCATGCGATAAATAGGTATCATTATGACTATTGATAAATTCCTCATCATTTTGTAGAATAGAACTCCAACTATCATCTGTGAATAAGGAAGGAGAAGAAGATAGAGTAGATTCATCAGAAGAAGATGTATTCAATGTTGTAGTAGTAGTCGAATTTATATTCACAGTATTGTTCATCATCATATTTCCAAGCATTAAATCTAACTGAAGTTTTTCATATTCCTTTTGTAATTTTTCTAACTTTGTTTTCATCCATTTAAGTTCTAATTTTAATTGATTATTATCTTCCTTTTGTTGTGCTAATTCTTGCTCTAAAGAGTGGATATATTCTGTAAAAGGAAAAAAATAGAGTCGTCAGCATAATTTCCTTTTTTGGGATTTTTTTTTTTTTTACCTTTTCTTCTATGCCTAAAATTACGAGCAGAAATTTTATTCCTGAGTTGCCTACGTTCTTTTGAAGTCATAAGCTTGAATTGAGATTCAGGTATATTATTACTAATAAGTCTAAAATCTAATCGACCAATAGAACTGCCAACATGTGTTTCCTTTATAACAGAAGAAGAAGTAGGATTTTTATTACTATTAAAACTCTTGGGGGTAGGTTCTGATAGAGACTTGTTTCGATACAAATCATCTTTCATTGCTTGTTGAGCTTCTTCTCCTAGATAAAGCTGAAAAAGATCTGAATTGGATAAATGAAATACTTCCTCCTGTGGCTGCTCTATCATGGCTGTTGTATTGTTAATAATAGTAGGATTCATTCCATTTTTTTCTTCTGTTGTAGTATGAAGGTTATTATCTTCAAGAGCCCAACTAAATAAGTGCTTTTCAAAACTATTATTATCGTTCATATTAAATATTATAGAGAAAAATGAAAAAAAAAGAAGAAGAAGAAACGAAAAGAAGTAAATCTTCTTGCTGGAGCAGCAATAAAAAAAAAAAAAACTCTAATTCTGAGTTTGTAATTCAGTAATGTCTGGAGAAAATTTTAAAAACACGTTTTGTTTAATAAAAGTTAATATTAAAGGTATTTTCACTGTAATACAATCAAAAAACAAAAACTCCTTCACCCAACTATTTGGCAAAAGATATTGAATATGTCAGGATTGTTTAGAATGAAAAGAACGTTTATTAAGAAAAAAAAATCCCTTTTAGGATTAAAAGAAAGAGGAAAATAGGAACCGACAAAAGTGCTTATGACACACTTTGTACATAGAAGAATACGAGAGAGTTAATTGCGGGGTATTTATCATGGTTATGACAGCAGTGACACATCGATTTTTAGGATCAAGTTTGTGAAGGATAATAGAAATAATTGATTAAAGAAAGATGTTAAAATATATAGTTTCACTATAATACAATGCTTTTCAATTGAATCAGTCGAATTTGTCAAAATTAAGCATGGATAATAATGACTGCATTAGTAATCAGGGTTCTATGATTTTTAAGAGATTTAGGGGTAGTCATCATTTGTAATCGTATCTATTACCTTCTTCTCCCTTAAATAACGTAAACATTATATCCTACCGTTTCCTTTTATCTTGATTCCCAAAGGAATCTTGAACGAAAAAAAAAAAAAAAAAATAAAAATAAAAAAAAAATAAAAACTACTGTTACTTTCTATTCCCTTCGTTGAATAGAATCGACCAATTTTGATGTAATCAGTCAACAATTAGCTGTCAATCGGATGTTAAAAATATTGTTTATTTATTTTTTATTCTTCTTACGCGAATTGTATTGTATTTTTTTTTTTTTTTTTATGTATATATTTTTCAAAAAGAGAGAAATAACAAATGACTACTGAAAATAAACTAGCAACTGTGCTTCGTTATGCTTACTTACATAATTTGAACTGTGAACAGGTTTATAAATGAATTACATGTACTGTATTTATTGATTTTAATTCTCCTTTTTTTTTTCTTTGTTAATCTGTTAGTGGATAGAACCTACAAAAGAATGTCTGAAAGATTCAGATCAAGTAGATAAAGAACTGTGTGGTAAAGAATATATTTACCCTATAAAAAAAAGTTTTAACGTGTGATTATATTGACAATCATTATTTATTAGATTTATTGTTAACATCCTTATTTTCATTCACGCGAGCTTCTGATCCTTTATTAGAATCTTATATAACAATAGCCACTACAGGTCAATCGAATACTCTTACAATTGAACCCATTATATCACCTCATACATTCATTAGACACCTTTTTTCTTTTCTTGAAACAACCGCTCATCAAAATCCATATCAATGGTCCTATCTTTTGAAAAGTATCATGCCTACTCTACTTACTTTCAATACAGATACTATTATTAGTGATTTACATAATCAAACATCAACTGAGGAATCTATTCAATGGGTCGATACATTAAGACAAACGCTTGAAATTTTATCCCATCTTGTAGCTATAGGTTTATATTCAGATGGTCAATCAAGTAAGCCAGTACTTCATTCTGCATCATCATTTCAAAACACAACACATACACAAACAGCCTTATTTGATTCACAACTTTCTTTCCAATCACAGCAATCCACATCCAATATAAATACGAATAATAATAATAATAATGGTTTATTAGATGTGGATGCAACACTTGATATGGATAATACACAACAGATGTTAGAGGATGATATTCCGATAAAAGATACTGAAATGAAGGATGCTACTTCTACTACCATTGCTACTCATCATCCTGAAGACGATAATAAATCGACTATAGAAGTAGAGAATGCGATTATGGCTGCTGAAATGATGATTCATTTAATTGAAAAACGAGATATGAAGCGTATTTTTGAAACCAGAAATACTCAATGTCGACAACAAGGAAACAAAAGTGAAGAAATTAACGGTAAATTAAATAAAATAATCATGTACCTATTTCGTAAAATTGACTCATCTTTTTGGGGGGAGGAATAAAAAAGATCCTTGGATAAAATGTCAAGAGAAACTAGATTCAAAAAAGAATAAAAAGAAAGACTTGAAACAAGCGTCAGATAATTTACAGATACAAAAGGTGCTAACGCTCATTCAAAGATTGACAGATCGTGATTTAGAAAGAAAGATTGCAGTTCACATGAAATATCATGAGTTAGAAGATGAGGGTACAGCAAGAGCTATACCTAGTGCAGGTCTAATGGGGCTTTTATACCATTTAGTTCAAGTACGACCTTCCTTAGATGATGATTCAATTATAGATCATTTATTAAAATTACAAACTATTAAAGGTTCATTTGATGAATCATTTTATTTGGAAATCTGGTTTACTGCCTTAACAGGTCTTCGAGAAGCATCTTTAAGTACAAGTTGTCAGAATCTTCCTGAATATGATGACGATGATAAAATAGAAAATAACAAGAAAACGAATAGTCAAAATAATTCAATTGTTGCTACTAATCGTTTACTATGGAAAAGTCTTGTATTTGTTAAGGTAAGTTTTAAAGAAGAGTGAGGTATATGATGATATGATATGATATATATAGGCTTATTTTATAATTGGCTTTTATTAGATACCTTTTTTATTAGATAAATTACAAAAAAAGAAACAAGAAATGAGTGAATCGCCAGTAATAGATGAAAGCAAAGTAAATACACACATGTATTTCATATAAAGCATTACCATTCACTCTTCCTCTTTTTTTTTTTTCCTTTTGTTGAATTGAAATAGTATAACCCTTTAGAATCCTCTTTAAAAGAATTAAAGGCATTTACAGGTTTATTGAATGCATGCAGTAGTAATAATACAGATGAGGTACAAGATAACATCTCCAAAGTGGAAAATTCAATTCGTATCTTGCGTGATAATGATGTCTTTACTAATATTGTGCTTGTCTGTCAACGACATGGATTTGTGAGACCCAGGATAGCTGCTGAATTATTGAAAAAGAAGGATGAAATGGAGATAGAAGAAGATACAGAAAAGCTCTTTATGTCCACTCAAATAATAGACCAATATATTGACTCAAGCTGTGAATCCATATTGAATACTAATAATTTTAAAATAACTGTGAATGAATTACTCTCAATTGGTATCTCCTCACCTTTACATTTAAGAAAGATAAGTGATTGTATCTTGAAAATCATGGAAAAGGCAACACAAAATTTTGATGCATTATCAGCGATATGTGAAGCCTTATTAGAGACTCCCTCGAGTCTTGATTTGATTCTTCAATTATATACCCCACAAGCCTTATTAAGTCCACTTGAATCTATTTGTAATCATTGGGAGCCTTCTCATTATGGAATACAAACTGAATCCTTAGAAAGCAATGCTATGAATGAATTAGAAGGAATGCAATTGTTATATTTCAAGTTTGGTAAAATATGGAAACTGGTAGTTTCTGCTGTCAAACGATTCAAGGTAATCTATGTTTGTTTGTAAATGGAATGCAATTGTTTCTTATCTATTATTGCTCAAAAAGCTTTATAGAAATATGGATAAAGTCTTTAAAGAAAAAGATGGATTTGTGTATAAATACTTTACACAAGGTCTATTGATTTATGGTGTTGATCTTGAAGATGAATCTATTGAACCTTTTATTCAAGATTGGATGAATGCATTATTCACTAGTAATAATAACGGCCTTTCAGAAGATCTTCTTCGGTAATTTTGTTTATAAAAAAAAAAAAAAAAAAAAAAATTGAATTTTAAATTTATTTATGCTTATCCTATTTATAGAAACACTAAACCTCAGGTCTTGTTAATGATGATACCTACTATCATTCAACGTAGTATTCTCTTTTCTACAGCTAACCAACAACAAACAGCATTTTCTTTATTAAAGAATTTGATCTCTTATTTTCAGAGTCCCTTTTTAGACTTTACGTTATCAGGCATATTTCCTATTTTGTGTGAGGAACTCTTAAGAGATCATGAAGGATCGTCCTATGCTTCACTCACTTGTCTTCGTCAATTGATCATGACAAAATCATCTCAAGATAGCATTAGTCTTCATCCAGTTTTAGGTTCCCTTGAATCACTTTTAGAATTTAAACGACAAGAAAGTGAACTTAAATCGATAACAGATGATTCAACAGTTGTTTTGGTACAAGGCATGACAGAATTAATGGAATTTATCAAAACAAAGACAACCAAGTTAATGACCACTGAAGATTACAGTCATCGTTATGTAGAAACTATCACAACAGGTGTCACTCCTTCTACTTTGTTTGAAAAGGCAGAGCTTATGTTCAAGTCAATCGTCAAAAGTGGACGATCGATGTTTATGAGGGATGTAGACGTTGGTGAAAATCAAATGTTATTGTGGGATGAAACACCTCAACAAGTGTGTCATTATTTAGATATGGTTTTATTTGAGACAGCATTAGAAATTGGAGGTGCAAGATGGTTTGTACGTATGATTGTGGAACAAGTTTTAGAAGCAGGTAGATCTGGTGGAGCAGTAAGAGCAGGTAAAAAAAAAAAAAAAAAAAATCGACAGTATATGTATAAAAGAAAAAAAAATAACTCAAGTATTATTATTATTATTAAAATAGCTGAATTTGGATCTTGTTTGATTACTACACCTTTACTTTATTCTGTAAATCAACATAATAGCTGTATTCAATTATTGCAATGTTTATTACAGGATATTTTACCTTCTCGATTATTAGAAGGAGCAAGACAAGGCATGTCCTATTTTCAAGGACAAACATTAGGTGTCTTTACAAGTGATTGTTTAGTCCTCATGGCACATGAAAATCAAACTGTAAATCAAATAGGTCGCTTATTTTTTGATGCATTAGTCATTGATCAAAGCATTGAAAAAAAGAAGAATATACAGCTTGAAGAAACAGGAACACGTTTCGCTGATTGGAGTGAAGAAGTTATATCGAGTGCAGTTTGGAGAGGATTTATAAAAGGATTAATGAGCAATCCAATTATTGAAGAAGTTTGGCCAAAAGCATTTGTTTAGATAATATATGTATGTATATATATATATATGTGTGTGTGCAGTCATAGCAAATTTTTGTATTATTATTTTTTTTCGTTTTTTTTTTTTTTTTTTTTTTTTTTTTGTTAAATAAACTTGAAAAAACTTAGAGACTAAATAAGTTTAGGGGGGGAAAACCTGCTTTTACCCTACTAATAATCAATCTCTCATTAATAACTTGTTTAATTCATAAACCCCCTATATATAATGTCTTTAAAAGAAATTTGAACTACAAGCTTTTTGGATGTATTGTTGAATATAGTGATACATTGTTGTAGTTTCATCATAAGGAACTATTTTTTTTTTTTTGTAAGAAAAAACTAAAATAAAATAAACTACAGTGTTTGATCATGTTTTATGTCAGATGTAGAATATAGTTGATTCCAAGGAATACAAAGAATGATTCATATCTTTAAGAAAGTAGTAGTTCAACAATATACATATTGGAAAACAAGCAGTGTGCTGTTTAAATGTAGCTTATATATATATACAGTTTGTCTATGAGGTATAATAATAATAAGAAGAAATGTCTAGTTAATTAATTGAGAAACAGAAAATCAAGCTACTAACATTTATCATTAAATTTGATATGAATGTCAACAAATAAATATTGCTGAAAATAGGAATGATATTTCTACAAAAATGCTTAGCGGACACACTAGACCTTTCCCTTTCTATCCTCTTTCTTGCCGAATATAACCTTTTCAGCTTTAATATCACTGTCTTATACATCAATACACCAGTTATAATCCTGTTTGAATTATGTATATAATTATTATAATGACTATTATTAAAACTGAGTGTAGAATGAAGCTAGAGGTCATAAGCGTAATATATATATCGCCCTTACTCGCTTGAGCTAAAATCCTATTGAGCCATTCGGGTCTTTAGAGAAAGGAAAGATGAAGCGCCACCGCTTGACGAAAGAAGAGACTCTATCTTCTAGAATGAGTGACGTTTTGTAATGATGTTCACTTTAGCGATCTTTACGACTTTTGTCACTATTCTAAACGACACAGTGTAAAGTGCTATACTCGAACTCCTTTCATTGAATAAAATATTTACTACTTTAAACTTCAACTCTACGAAAACGGTGCAAAGAAGTAAAAGAACTACGTAATTTAGTCAAGTGCCGTATGATTTTTAAGTGCAATGTGTTAAAACCTGGTATTATCTTTCTTTTCTTATTATTGATTTATATATATATATATATATATATATTTTTATACATATTTGGTATTTGAACAACAATTTGTTTGGCATTAACCGACAAAGTAAATCTCGTTTCTCGACACTTATATTTTTTATTAACCGACATTTATATTTTTTTTTGTAACTACCAATCATAACTGCCAATTTCATTTTCCTGTGATCGCCAATTACTCTTTTTGTAATCGCCAATATTCATCAGCCTGACAAAATATCGTTTTATTCAAAGTATAAAATCTGCAGTACGAAACAACATTTTTTTTTTTTTTAATTTCCTTTTTTTTTTTAATTTCCTTTTTTTATTTTTTTATTTGTTCTCCTTTAATTTCTACATTTTTTAAATATGGTTCAACAGACAACATTTTCAATAGAAATTGGTAAAGCTGAAAAGACAGGTGAAGGCCCTATTCATCGATCCATCTTAACTCCTAATAGTCTTATGAAGACACCAGCAGAGGGAGTTGAAACCCTCTATGATATCTTTCGTTATGCATCTGAATCCTTTCCAAATCGAAAGGGTGTAGGATACCGAGAACTTTTGGATACCATTGTAACAAAGAAAAAAGTTAAGAAAATGATAAATGGCCAAGAAATAGAACAAGATAAAACATGGTCTTATTTTCACTTGAGTGATTATCATTACTTGAGTTATGAAGAAGCATTTCAAATTGTACATCAATTAGGTGCTGGTCTCATTGAGTTAGGATTGAAGAAAGGTGAAAAACTTCAAATTTCTGCTTCTACAAGGTAAGCATTATTTCTTTGTTATCATTGTTTTGGGTTTCTTTGTTAATTTTTAATTTTTAATTTTTTTTTTTTTTTTTTTTTTTTTTTTTTTTTTTTTTTGTATAGCCATGAATGGATGTTAATGGCACATGGTAATACAGCAGGAAAAAGTAAAATGAAATAAGCTATTTTTATATTAATTTTTTTTTTTTTTTTTTTTTTTTGTCTGTGTGTTTTAGGTGCATTTTCTCAATCTATTACTATTGTGACCGCTTATGATACATTAGGTCCTGAGGGTCTTCAATATTCCATCTCAGAATCTGAAGCTACTGTTTGTTTTGTCAATGGTGAACAGCTACCTATTCTTAATAAGATTTTATCAGGTTGCCCTACTATCAAGTCTATTATTTATAGAGGCACGGCGAATCAAACCGACATTGAGACATTAAAAACTCAGCACCCACACATCAAACACGTTATTTCTTACAATGAACTTTTAGAATTAGGTAGAGCTCATCCTAAAGAGCCCACAAAGCCTCTTTCAACTGAACTCTGCTGTATTATGTATACGAGTGGGAGCACGGGTAATCCAAAGGGGGTCATGTTAACTCATGGTAATGTTGTAGCTGCAATTGCAGGTGTTTGTCGTATGTTACAACATCTCTTGGAACCGAATGATACCATCATGGCCTATTTACCCCTGGCTCATGTCCTTGAATTTTTAGTTGAAAATTTGTGCATCTTTTTAGGTGTTACGTTAGGTTATGGCAGTATTAAGACATTGACAGATGCCTCTGTTAAAAATTGTAAAGGGGATCTTCAAGCATTTGGACCTACTATCATGACGGGCGTACCTCAAGTATGGGAAACAATTAAAAAGACAGTTTTATCCAAAGTAGCTGAAAGAGGATCAAGAATAGAAAAAATCTTTATGGGAGCTGTGGGATTAAAACGATTCTTAGGACACTATAACTTACCTACCTCCGTTTTAGATAAAGTTGTTTTTGATAACGTAAAGAAGCAGCTAGGTGGAAGATTAAGATACTGTCTCTCTGGTGGTGCACCTGTTTCGGCTGAAACACAAGAATTTCTATCTCTGACTGTATGTCCTATCCTGGCTGGTTATGGTAAAAAAAAAAAAAAAAAAAAAAAAAAAAAATAGATATATGTATATGCATATCGATATAGATATAGATATAAATAGATAACTTGTTTATTTGTTGGCAATGAATTCATTTTTATTTATTTACTTATTTATTTTATTGTAGGCATGACAGAAAGTAAGTAACAAGAAGAAATCATGAATATATTATCGATTTATTTATTAATTTTGTATTGTTTCAATTTATTTGATATTATTAGGTTGTGGGTAAGTAAACAAATATGTATTATTATGTAATCTAATATATATATATATATAAATATATATATAAAGGATGTGTGCAATCATGGCACCTGAACAATATGCTCTGGGTGAAGTAGGTTCACCTGTTCCTTGTGTTGAAGTTAAATTAGTAGATCAACCTGAACTTGGTTATTTATCTACAAATGAACCACGAGCACAGGGTGAAATCTGGATTCGTGGTCCATCTATTACAGCAGGTTATTATAAACGAGATGAAATAACTCAAGAAACATTAACATCAGATGGTTGGCTCAAGACAGGTGATATTGGTGAATGGACAGAACGTGGTACTTTAGTGATCATTGATCGTGTTAAGAACCTTGTCAAATTAAGTAACGGTGAATATATTGCACTTGAAAAACTTGAAAGTATCTACAAGACATCACCTCTAGTAGAAAATATGTGTGTTTATGCAGATCCACTTTATCCAAGGCCTGTAGGTTTATTAGTGCTTGCAGAAAGTATATCAAGAAAATTTTTAACAGATATTGGTATTCAAAATGAAGATGAATCATGGGAGACTTTATGTGTTAAACCTGAAGTACGTCATGCCATCTTGAATGCAATGCAAGAACAAGCAAAACGAGGTGGTTTAAGAGGTTCAGAAGTGATTTCAGATATTTGGATCTGTAAAGATTTATGGACAGCAGAGATGGGACTCTTGACAGCTGCACAAAAATTAAAGCGTAAAGAAATTAACTCTACTTATGAAAGGGAGTTAAAAGAAATGTAAGTAATGAATTCAAAGAGAGAGAGAGAGAGAGAGAGAGACGAGTTGACCAAATTTATAATTATAGGTTAACAAAACAAAAAAAATAATTAGTAGAATGTATAATATTATCCAATCAAAAACTATCCAAATAAAATATTTTAATCATGTGATTTACATGATAATTAATAGGAGGAAGATGCGTGTATATCATATACATGCATATAACTGGATTTTAATTTGTATTTATTCATGCAACTGTTATATATATGTATATTTATTTTTTTTTTGTTTGGTTTTCTTATTTTCAAATATGAATAAATTAAAATCAACATTTCATAGAAAACATTCTATTCTAAAAGATAATATTACTGTTGTTCAAAATCGTTCTGAAGTGTTTGTACAGAAAGAAGAAAAGAAATTACCAGAATTAAGTGTATACAACTTGTCAGAAATAATAGAACGAAATCAGTATTTAACATGGTGGAAAGACTTGAATCCATTCTCATTTGAAAGAGTAGATGTTCAAACTATTTTTGACTTTACGTCTACAAGTGAATTGCCCGAGTCCATCTTAAACATAGTAAAAAAAATAAATAAAATAAAGAATAATATAAACATTTATATTCATATAAAGGTAACCAATAATAATAGATCTTTTCATTGTTTGAAGCTACAAGAAAAGAAGGCTTTACACAAGAGAATTTTTTTGCTATCTTGAGACTCATTGCCCATGCTCAACAAGGAAGAACAATTCTAAATCCTGATATCGTTTATTTAGGAGGTATTATTATTATTATTATTATTATTACTTGAAAACAATAATGATAATGTATTTTTTTTTTTTTTTTGTAAAAGCTCCTTTACCAAAATTCCATACAGACGCAATAGATGTATTAATGAATCAATCTCTCCATCATGACGCATCTGAAAAGACTATAATAGGTCATCATCATCGATCAAAATCAGTTCCTTATAATTTTTTATCTTCTATTAACACCACTATGACGGACTCACTACCGAATAATAATATTCCAAACCATCCTTTATTGTTAACTCAAAGCTTTCAACCATCATCTACTATAAATCCATTTGATGATGATGATGATGATGCTCAATCTTCTTCTTCTTTTACAAATAAGAATAATGATTTAACTTTACTACCACCGCCCAAGGTACCACCTCAATCTACAAAACCTGCTAAACTAAAATATGCTAGACGATAAAACAGATGATTTTATTTATTTTCTACGAAATTTATTTAGAAATCCCTTCTTTTTTTCACTTAAATCAGATAATGGATATTTGGGTGCATTTTGGGCATCTGCACGATAACTTGCTGCTAATTCATCTAAATTATCATCCCATTCAAGGTCCCGTAAACGATGACCTAATTTACGTTCCCTTAATTTGGAAGTATAGGATCCAACAATTGTACATGCATAAAACTATATCACAAAAAAAAAAGTGAAATTAAATAATCATATTATACATACGCTTTTTCTTTTCTTTTTTTTTTACCATAAATAACTGTCCTACAAATAACATAATAGCACTACCAATAACATCTGCTTGAACTGCTTGTCCACAATTTGCTAAGCCATAGGTATTACCTGGTTCCATTCCCAAAAATGTCGTTGAATATCCACCAATAGTTACTGTCGCATTGGATTGTGGTTGTTCATTATTTGTACTTGATGAAGAAGGATTCACTTCTTCACAAGCAGCTAACGACTTGGATCGATTTGTCAAAGATAAAATAAACGAAATGGCTTCCCAAATTGTCAAGAGAAATAATAATAAATAAAATAAAATCTTTGTTAATCTCATCATGCTCAACTTGGCCTATAAAAAAAAAGAAAAATTAAATGTGCCTGTTCAAGAAAAAAAAAAGTCCTTTTCCTCTTACCACTGCACCCGAAAATAGGACAAATAAACCAACAACAGCAGCAGCAACTATAATAAATAAAACATCATTTTTTTAAGGTAAATGTCAAAATAAGTCTACATGTATGTATGCATATTACTATAAAATCCAATATAGATCCAGGGAAGAACGACATGAGTTATAGAAAGATGAATAATCATAGCTATAACGAATTGATATAAATATTAAATTATATAAATATATAAATAAATTTATTCATTTATTTATTTATTTACGATTTTTATGAGTAAAAGTAGCCCCTAAAAGTGCAATTGAAACAAGCTAAATGATCAAGGTTAGTTTATAATTGTACATTTCATAATTTTATATTTACAAGTAAAATGATACCACTAATAATCACGCCTCCTCTTAAAGGTATAATACAACAACACTTTGCTGGCATATTCGTTTAAATAAATAAATAAATAAATAAAAAGAAGAAATATATAATAGTTCCTTTTCTCTTAAAAAAAAATATATGTATATGTATTTATATATTTATAGGAATAAAGTGGCTGAAAATAATGATGGGTCTTCTCGTTGTAAAAATAAAAAAAAAAAAAAAAAACACAAATTATTCTTATTATGTCATGTAACCAATCAAATAATTTACTGGTTAAAAAAAATAACAAGTTACCAAATAAATTTAAAAAAAAAAAATAAAATAAAAATAATAAAAAAAAAACTGTCAAATTAAAGAAGTGCATAATAATAATAATAAATATATTTTTTTATAATGTCGAGTAGCGATTGGAAAGACCTATTTGGTAGTGATGAAGAAGAAGAAGTAGAAGAAGAAGAATCTATCATCTCCTTCCCTCATGTTCCCGGATTAAAACTTATTAGACAAGGATTAAATCATGAACAACAAATGGGCTTAATTGAAGCATTAATTCAGCATGGTTATTTTGCCTCAAAAGATAGTAATCAAGGCATGATATTTGGTGAATTACCTGAATATATTCGGTGGTTAGAGCCTTGGGTTCTTCAAAATTATCCAGGTTTATTTGATAGCGATATTTTGAATAGAAAACCAATATTTGATCAAGCTATTTTAAACATGTATAAAAAAGGTATACATTTATATCAAATATATAGACACGTAAATTGAATTTATATGTGTATATTTTTATTTTTTTCAGGTGAAGGTATTGCAAGTCATGTAGATTTATTAAGGTATAAAAATGATAATATATCTCATGTACATACATTGTTCTAAATCAAAAATATATAGATTTGAAGATGGTATATTAATTATATCTTTATTATCATCTTGTGTCATGACAATGAAAAACTGTAAAGAGGAAGAGATGAAATACGATATCTTATTGCGTCCTGGAGACATTTTAGCACTATCAAAAGAGGCAAGATATGACTGGGAACATGGTATTGAAGAAAGACTTTATGATGAAATTGAGGGTGAAATAATTGAAAGAGGCACAAGAATAAGCGTTACTTTAAGGAAATTAAAACAAGCTCCTTATAACACGGAAAAAACGGAATTAAGTTTACCGAAATGATGAAAAAGTTCAAATACTATTTAAAACTCCGTTTTTTTATTTTATTTTTTCAAGTACAGCTGAAGAAAATAGTTTGGGCTACACAAAAAAATTTTGGGCCACATCAAAAAAAAGATGGGTCCACCAATTTTGAAAATGGGACAATCTATTTTCTTCAGCTGTAAAAGTATAAAATCTATTCTTCTTACACACACTTTTTTATTATTATTATCCCCTTATTATATTTATATTATATAATGGATAATGCAAATAATGATTTTATTAGTGCTTTAACACAAATGATTGCTTCTGAATTTCCTCTAATATTATCACTTATTTTCGGTGGATGTTGTAGCAATGTATTCGCCTTAGAAGTGCTTGTAACGTAGGTGATATAATCCCTTTTTTTTTTTTTTTTTTTTTTTACTCAACCTAATCGTCATCAAATGAGTTTGTAGTGATGCACCAACAAGTGGTAGTTTATTCTTTTAGATTACAAGTTATTTAACATGAAGTTATATTAATCATTTGTATTTAGGTCAACTTATTACTTTTGGACAATTTCTTTTTGTGTCATTAGAAGGCTTAAGACATCAACTTACTTGGGGTCGATTTGGCCCTAAATTAAAACCTACCATTGTTCCCATTCGAAAATGGCTTTTCTTGGTCATCATGTTCTTTATTGTTTCACTTTTGAACAACTTAGCTTTAGGATATAATATTTCTGTTCCATTACATATTATTTTTAGATCGGGTGGATTAATTGTAAATATGATTTTGGGCGCATTGATTTTGAAAAAAAAGTAATACAAAAGAAAAAATTACATTTTGTAATTATTTTATCTGATTCATAAAGTTGAATAATAGATATTCTTTGGGCCAAATTCTAGGTGTTTTATTTGTTACTGCAGGTGTTATTTGGGCTACTTTAGATAATGCTTCTTCTAG